TCCAACGCCGCCACCTCGCGTCGGCGTAATTAGGACAAAAGGCTGTCATCAATACATTGACACTGATGTCATGTTTTTAGGTGATGTAATCTGAACATTGCGACAGGGGTGGGTAAATCGCCCGCCTTCACTGCAAGCTCTTACCAGCTGTTTCTTACCCCGTTACAAGCAGATTCCCAATCTGTACGTTTTAGCAATATGTTCTCACTTGGAGCATAAGTACCTGTGAAGGACATAGAAACATTGATCTCCACGTTGAACTTGTCAGTGAAGTGATAAATTTGTGAACCTCACTCTGTTTCGCTCAAAGCGTCGCTGCTATTTTTGGAGTCACATAGGGTTACAGATAGAGATATAAGCACTAGTATCACATCCATCTCAGATCTGTTATACGCTGGATCAAAGCAACATATATTCATCTCGAGAGCTCTGTGTTATAATCGACGCTTATTCAATATCCCTCTGCTCGCTGCCATGCTTCTTCCACTTTCCAAAGCCAAGATAATCCGCGTATCACAGAAGCTTGCTGAATCACACAACGTGGCTTCGTGGGCAGCATGCCAATGTTGTCTGCTTTATCGGTCTGTCGTATGATCTTGATCGGTTTCAGGAAGTCTGACCTTCTTTCGGGCTGTAATTTGCGTTAGCAAAATATTGCAATTATAGGATACCATCTCTTTACCTTTATGTGCTAATGTCCATTTCAAGTTACCAACAGAAATCTTTACTTTGCACTTCGGTATCCTCCGAAATTTTTCGTAGTCCCATGTCGCCTTGAAGGTGATTATGAACACTGATAGCCCGAGTTTAAACTTCAGTGGGCTTGGAAACAAGCCTATCTTTATAGTAAACAATCCTCTTGATTGCTTGTACTTGTACCCCATTTTGCCACAGTTTGCTGGTGGCGGTCTGATGAAGACGTAGTATATACATCTTATCAAAAAGATACAGATAGATATGAGTGATACGCAGAATTCGAGCCGAGTCAGACTGAGATACACATCTTGAAGATTTTGTGGGGGTCCCCCCAAAACGGCCCAAATCAGTTCCAGCAAAGCCATAATGTAAAGAATGAAAGAATGCTGATATCGATGTTGCTGCTTGCATGAAAGAGGCTGGATTTGACCTCTAGCGACCATAAATGTCGAACTGAAAAAGAATCCACGCAGGTGTTTGGCATTATCTGCTCATATCGTGAACTCTAGCAAATGTGAGAAAATAAAAATAAAACATTCACCGTAGCAACCGCCCAAGTGGCATATTCCTGACGACACCCGGTTATAAATAGTGGTGCTGCCTGAAAACCTTCGAGAGTACACCAAATTAAAGTTCTACGACGCTGTAATCCTGCCTTTGCGTGAATCGATGGCCCATGATACCTGCCTTGGGCAATCTCGAATATACTAGTCATCCGCTAGGGGGAGGCACAGATTTCTTACTCTACTAAAATGCAGAAGCGGTTCAAACATTCTTCAGAATACATGTATTCTTCATCGGCATATTCCCACTAGACGTTTGAGTGCATCGCCATCGGGTAAAGCTATCCAATTCACAGGCATGTAATGTAAGCGATTCAGAGAAAGTCAAGGGTTAAAATGCAAGCATCCAAGGCACCTTCAAGTGTTTGCCTATAGAGTTTTTATTTTGCCGCTCTTAAATAAAAGGTAGTGGCAGGCCTTGATCATGCGTGTCTGGCTACTGACGGAGAGCCAATTTCCAGTACACTACCAAAGCTCTGTGTAGTCCTTGCCGTGCGTGGGGTACAAGCCAGATATCTGATCTCGTTCTTTCTGAATAGTGATATTTAGTTTGGTTCTTTCTTGGATAATGGCGTGCTTACTGGAATGTTTGTGTGGTTGATAGATACCAAGTTACATCTTCATGCTAGAGCTGCCCTATAGGTAGCCTTGCTATGAGCGGCATCGTCGTACTCTCCGCAAATGTTGTCAATATAGGCGTTCATCACTTTGCGCATTACATCGGAGCCTTCGTGCGGTAACGTAGAGAAAGATACAAAAGATTGTAGCTGAGACGACATAGTAATTGAGGACCCGATATTGGTCCCAAGAAAATATAGAATTACCTAGTGCGTCAAAGTAAATTGAAGAAGACATAGTGACATTTGGCCTCTAGTCTTCTCAGAATACTCTTACTATTCAAACTTAGGTTTGTAATGAGTTTTTTATCTGATCCTATAGAGCGCCTTGAGACTTTCTCGCTTGCGAATCATAAAACAAATCTCATACCCTATTGAACGCTGTCAAAGTTTTCCAACATTTTCTGCATCACAAATTCAGCCTTCTCCAAAATCTTCTTTGCCTGTTTCTCGTCATTCTCCCCTAGCACCCACCAGGGCGCAGCATTCTCAATTATCTTTTCTAGCCACCATGCCGTTTGCCAAGCGTCTCCTCTGATGCTGTTGGCTGGTGTAGCCACACCCTTTTCCTCCAGGCGCTTCAGATACGTGATGTAAAACTCCCTAGGCCAATCGCCTCCATCCAGCCAGTCATCCAAAAACTCGTCAAGAGGCGGGAAGAAGCCAGAAAACTCCCAGTCCACGATGCCCGTGATGCGTGGTGGGCTGCCAGTTACTAAGACATTGCGAGGAAATAGGTCATAGTGAGTAAATTGAAACGTGTTTGTCTGTATGGCGCTCTGTTTGAACATTTCATCAAAGTTGAGCTTTGGCAATCTTTCCTCACAAAGCGACTTGAGAGGGCCCAGGAGGTGTCGATTGGGTGCAAACGCGTCTGATGATTCCAGCTGCCTCAACTTGTTATTCAGCTTGAGCCTGTAATATTCTTGCATAGTCGCAATTGGAGTTGACAGCTTGATTTCCTCAACGATGTTGCCTCGAACAGCCATGTTAGAAATGCCAGGACCGAATGGCCGATCAAGAGTTACTCCATCTCCTAAGCCATTGGCCGATTGTTTTGCCTCTTCCCGGATCTTGAGGCTTCCGCAGTGCTTTTGGGCCGGAATGTTGAGGCGCCAGCTTGCTACAATGTCAGCAAGCTGTAGCGCGAGATCCGTAATTGCTGCAGTATCTAGCTCCTCTAGATTAACAACATTTCCGGACACTTTAGTTGTGAGAATCCAGCCAACATCGTTTTTGCTTTCTGCGTCTGGAGAAACAAGTGTCTCGAGAGACTTTGTCTCTGCATGATCCGTAGAAACAAAGGTTGCATTCGCTCCAGCTTCAGACCACGCCAGGACTCGCGGAAAGGCGAAATTTGGGCAGTACAATTCCAGCAGCCGCAAACAGGCAACTTCGTTTTGCACTTTGTCGCCGTCGTACAATGAGCCATTAATCTTGAGGACGGCGTCTTCTTCTCCAAGGGCCGCCGTTTCGTCTGCATGCTGCATCTTGAGAAAGTAGATTTTATTGTTGAATGATTTCCCTGCTCCTAACGGTGTTACGGATTCCACCTTTGTGCCAGGCCACCCATTGCTAATAATTGTGGCAATGGCTTGCTCGCTCATGGAAACGCCATGTGATGGGTGACTTGTCGGAACTTCTGCAGAGTCGACATATCCGGGCTTTGTGTCATTAACGACGGTCTTGATACTATCCATGGTCGCGCAAGTTGCCCTGATGAAAGTAATAAGGGGAAAGGGGAGGTTAGGCGAAAGCCAGTTCACTGTGTCTGACGTGTGTGGGCTGGGATAGATAGTGGTGGAATGATGAACAAAATTCTTTGCTCAAAACAAGAAAAAAAGGGAAGGTTGACCTGCTATCAATTCATTGCGCCAATCAAAAACTGAAACTTGTCAATTCAGTCCCTTGCATGCGAGCACTTCCGTGCGTGGCTCTGGCTGATAAAGTAGTATTCCGATTTGCATTCCAAGTATGGAGACCGAACGAAAGGAATGGCTCAGAGGCCAATCAAGTTAATGATACGTCATACTGTACTATTTTCTCATGTCTTAGAAGCTACAAATGAGTAGGTAGGCTCTGCGATCTTTTGCGCTGGGCAATCCCATACTTGCTGGAGTGGCCCCTATCCCCGCTATGCATAGCGATCTACCAAGAACAATTATGAAAATCACATTTATTAACTTTATGTATTTATGTACAGCTTCTCTCTATTTTATTCTCTTCTTTCTACTTTATCCATTCTTCTGGAAAAGCTCTCGTGCGTCTACCATTGAAGTCTTGGATTCGCTCCATGGCATATATCTAGAACCTTGGCTGCTGTCTAAGTGTTTCTCCTAGGGTGAATTCCAAAAAAAAAAAGGTCAAATGGACACCGATGCTGTTGTAGCCTGGGCGATAAAGACACTTCTAGCTGAAAGACGAATTCGGAAGAGAGATAAGCCAGGATACTAGAGCGGCCGAACTTGGCTTGAAAACTTTTTCTTGTGGCTACTGTAACTAGAAGAGAGTTACGAGAAGGTTTCCACTGCGATCTCCAAATTAAGGATATGTCTCGGATGTGCTCTTCCGGTTCTTGAATATTGCTCATTAATTGGCTTTTGTGAGATTGGCCATGGAGTATGTACAAGGGCGAGAGCATGGTTACAATTGATGCTATCGGCTCGCACCCTGTTTGTTTGCCTTTTAGCGGCCCTGGCCTGCACCAATCTTACTCGATCACTGCCCCTGACTCACCGGTAGGATTCCCTATCAAGATCTCAGCCGCACGCTTGTCCCACATTCAGCTCACTGGAGTGGTCGCCGATCTACTAGGGCAAACCGCCACCGCCGCTTCGGGGCGGCACGCGAAAGGCTAGACGCTGCCCGATGACAGCTGAATTCAGAGAGTATGGAGTGGTATCGTCATACCACCGAGTTGACAGGTCATGCTATCCAAAACTTCAATTACAGCAATAATGGTGCTCGCGATAAACAGCTCTATTGCTATCTGTTAGAGGAAGAAACTCATCAAATGGCCAACTCGCAGATGGTGGCACTATGTAGAGTATTTCGCTAATGAATGGTGAAAATGAGACTATGGAACTTTTTGCGTTGCGCTTTTCTTTGGAATCCATCCCTTATATGAGTTTGTCATTTATTACAGCATGGACTTTGACGATGGTGCTAGCTGGTAGAGCCCTTTGAGCATTTCATGGTCAGCAATAGCCTTTGCATTATCTGTTCACGGAAATTTGAGCGAGTCTTACCATAACTGAACTTAGTATGCTCCCACACCGTCATTGTTTGAAGCGCAGTACCGGTAAGCCATTTTTCAAACTGGCTGCTGCTGAGTTTGCGACTGAGAATAAACCGTATATTTTCTCCCTCCAAAATTTGCAGCGACTGATCTCCAATCCTCACCTCCTGTTCTTCCACAGATTTGATGCTTGTGTGAAAAGCCTCTTCTTGGGGGTCCCAAGTACCATTGAACGTCCATTTGTCTGCATCAAAAATGTCTGCGCCCAAAGCACGATTGACATTGCTGATACCGTTGAGAGCGAATTGACGGGAGAGCCCATCTGAGGTATCATATGCGCGGGAAACGGTCGAGGCGTCTTTATTGCCGTCAACTCCAATAAGAAATTGGATATTCGACGTGGATGAGCTGTTGGTATATGCAGTCGTGATGCCGTTAACAAGGTCTCGGAACTCATTTACTGGCTCGTTTGCTAAGCTGCTCCCTAGCCACAATACTGTGACTCTCTTTCCGCGAAGAAATTGCTGATTCGCCACCCAAGAAACGCCGTCCTGATATGTCATGCATAGGGGATGGCAGGCCACCAAGGGAGAGTGGCCTAGGTATAAACGGAGCTCTTCGAGGCTTTTTGCCAAGGATGATGCGCAAAGATCAAGAGCAAAGTATGTCACAGGTATCTCCCGTTTAGCAAACTCGCCAAGAATGATGGATGTCTTTGCTAGCGATCTAGGATTCAATGGCGTCAATAACAGTGTAGTTATACGACTAGAGCGGTCATTTAGAGAACATACCCGCTTCCTAACTCCAAAATTACCCCATTGGCTCCAATTGACTGTACTATTGCGTCAACGTTGTTGCGGATTACATCTGCTTCAACGCGAGTGAGATAATAGTCAGGCGATTCTGTGATCTTCTCGTAAAGATTAAGGCCGACAGCATCCCATAACAGAAGAGATGGTAGAGATCGAGGCGAAGACTTCAGACCTTGGCTGATGAGCTGCAGAATGTCAATATTATCGGAACTTCCAGTCTCAGCTGATACTTCTTCCTCGAAAATGTCGTTGGATGAGGGCTTTGCGGGCCTATTAGGCTCCCTTTGCCTATAATGGTTTCGGCCGTCCTTTGATCCGCTATCTAATCCCATGGTTTGTCGTGGCAGATAGATCTAGTAAGATGAAGCGGCAGTTGGATAAGATGATGTGCTCCCTGGAGACTGGTAAGATCAGATGTTCGTGTAGTGATAAGCAAAAGAGTAGATGATAAATCGAGAGTTATGCCTTCGATTCCACTACGAGCATAGTCATGGGAAGGCTTACTAGAGATCTAAACCCTTGTTGCTATCAATATGAGGAAGCTTGTCTTGGGTTGGCTATCAGGCCAATATTGCTTTAATGTAGACTAGAAAGACTGAAATGAAGTTTTGGGCGTCTCCACCCCATTGAATAAGCTTTATAAGGGTTATAAATAACTGCAAACGGGAGCCCCATCAACTTCCATAGGCATATAGCAAGCACTCTCTATCCATTACTAACTTCATGGGAGTCCCTGACAGACAAGTCTCTGCTCCTGTACCCTAATCATTCCCCCAATGCAGAAAATAGATCCGCTCATGACTCTCCTGGGGAGCACTAATGGCTTCGGCACTTTTTCTCGCAAGCTCATTGATCCAGGAAGCAATGCGCAGCACGCCATCGTACGAGTAATGAAACTAGTTTTATATGTGCATATGCCATGATTTCAACAAACAATATTGTTGGGGTCTGCGTATTTCTCAGCATATCAAGAGGCCTAAGAAGCAATTCTCTAGGCCAAGTATCAGTGCTTCGAGCAGGCACGCAAGGAGGCTTCTGCAGGGAGGAAAGGCCCAGGCGTCATAGGCCCACAATGCCCCTGACCCAAAAACCGCTGAATCCAGAAAAGTGCCTTGTTTTCCAGAAGCTGAAAGGTGAGACAAATGTCTCAGTTGTCAAGCCCAGCCACCGACTAGACTACATGTAGTTTTCACAGCATCTTTCTGATGCGAGCGGACCATCGCGCGGTAAGTAACTAGGTTTGATTGGGCATTCAGAATCGGTATTGGGAAGATGGACCGTCCCGCATGCTACTCTTACGGATCTAGTTAGGACCGACCCGTGTCTCACATCGGCCGACTTACAGCTGGGGCTTCTACAGAGCACATCTCCTTCTATTACATAGATATGTTCTCTCCGAATCTACTGATTAAGTTTAAAGTGTACATTCACTCTACAATTGAAGCCTTGGTCGTGTTGGAGCCACTACTATCAGCAGAAATCCCCTTCATTCAGCAATGGTTCATAGCGATAATGTGCCCAAAGGGGGCACAAGTGACAATGACCCTCGGGAAAAGCCAAAAATGTTTACAACATCAAATGGGTGCCCAGCAAAAAGCCCTGAATCTTCTCCTATGGCATCTAATATGCTACTTCTGAGAGATTTCCAACTTATCGATCTCTTGTCACATCTGAACCGAGAGAGAATACCGGAACGAGTTGTTCACGCCAAAGGAGCTGGCGCATTCGGAGAGTTCGAGGTATAATTGTATAATTATCCACGTTGCCTTGGTTCACGCTAATTTGGTGACTTAACAGGTTACGCATGATATCTCAGACATTTGTAGTATTGAAATGCTAAATGGTATTGGGAAGAAGACGCAATGTCTTGTTCGCTTTTCCACCACTGGCGGCGAGCGTGGCTCTGCCGATTCTGTTCGTGATGCTCGTGGATTTGCTGTCAAGTGCTATACCAAAGAGGGTAACTGGGACTGGGTATGGAACGATGTACCTTTTTTTTTCATCCGAGATCCCATCAAATTCCCTGGCATGATCCACGCCCAAAAAAGAGATCCTCGCTCCAACCTGAGAGACCCAACAAGATTCTGGAGCTGGGTCATCCAAAATCCAGAATCACTTCACATGGTCATGTGGTTGTACAGCGATTACGGCACCTTTTCTTCGTACCGCCATATGAACGGATATATGGGACATGCCCACAAATGGGTGATGCCAGATGGATCTTTCAAATATGTTCACATGTACTTGGAGGCCGATCTAGGCTACAAAAATCACTCGGATGAAGATATTCCGCACATGACTGGCAACGACCCTGATCACGCCGCTCGAGATCTATATGATGCTATTGAACGCGGCGAATACCCAACATATACAGCCAAAGTGCAGGTCATTGATCCAGCAGATGTCCGAAAATTTGGGTATAACATCCTAGACATGACCAAACACTGGGATATGGGGACATACCCTACAGATCTAGGGACAGTTGGCGCCAGGGTGGTCGGAAAACTCACGTTGAACCGAAACCCTGAAAATCATTTTGCTCAAATTGAGCAAGCCGCATTCTCTCCGTCTCACTTGGTTCCGGGAATCGAACCTTCAGAGGATCCCATGTTGCAAGCCCGATTTTTTGCATATGCAGACGCACAGCGCTATAGACTTGGCGTCAATTACCAGCAGATTCCAGTCAATCAGCCAAAGCATGCATTTAATCCACTACTCCGAGATGGAGCAGCTTCTGTCTTAGGGAACTATGGCTCTCACCCAGGTTTCGTAACTCGCAAGGACACAATGCAGTTCCGCCACTTTGAAAGCTCGTCCACGCCTGAACACAAAAAATGGCTGGCTGAAATTGCTTCAGAGCCAAATGAGAGGAAGGAGGAGCTGGATCTTAGATTTGCTCACACCTTTTGGACGCACTTGGACGACCCGCAGTATGAAGGTTGGCAAGAAAGGATGGTGAGAAGTCTTGGTCGCGATATTGCAGGCGTTGAAATGGAAACGAGAGACCAGGTATTCCAAGTCTTGAAGAAGGTTCACAGCGAACTAGCAGCTAGAGTAGAAGAGAAAGTAGAAGAACGCCTTGCCCAGGCGAAATCACGTCTGTGAGTTCTCATTGGGAACATGTAACATTTACGCAACTGATAACCGGAAGAGGAGCAGCCACCAAGGATATCCTGATAACACTGTTGTAACATCCTTTTACTTTGTGGGAATATTGCTCACAAACAACCCTCGTCTTGATGCTTTCTAAAAATTTTACCCAAAAATATGAACGTTTTGTCGTGCGATAGAGATTTCTTGGCTGATTAGTCAAGTATAAATAATGACTTATGACGCGAGTAAAGCCTCAAGGTGCAAGGATAGTCTTGACGTGGATGGAATTTTCAGCCGTTGACTTCAAACTACAGTCACATCACTCTTGTTACATGCGTCATTCTACATGTGATCGAAACGAATTATGGCACAATTTGAAAGTAAAAATTCTAACTGCCATGGAAAGAAAGATTCAGCTTTTTAACTACTTCCATCTGTTGTGGATCGGTAATAAGGGGATCGGAGTTTTCAGTCCTATCGCCATCGGCGTTAAGGTGAAAACATAGCATCAAGGTTAACTGCGACAACTCGCATTAAAGCTGCTCTAAGACAAATTGCTTATTACTCATTGCGTAATCATGGTACACTGTAGCTTTATTGAATCTGAAAACTTCCCGATGCTACCTTCTAATGACAATAGGTGATGAATGATGTCTTTGTTAGCATAGGTAACGGATGCTTAGCATCTTAGATTTCTGCTAAAGGTTGATTTCTTTAGGCAAGTAATCAATTATTCAAATTTCGCTCATCTACGTCCATTATTTTCTCAAGTATAATAAAGTCATGTGAATTTTTTGAAACTATAAGCCGGCCACATTGATCGGCTTGCTGGCCGGCTACTTTGGTCGGCCCCTGTGGTCGGCTGAATTGGTCGGCCGTACTAGTCGATTATGACAGTCGGCCTTCTTGACCGAATACCGCAACGAATCTAGGTAATTAAGATGAAGCAAATAAGTAATATCGTGAGTCTTCATAGAGAGGAATTTTAGTTTCTACGTCGGGGATTCGGCAAAGTTTGCTTGTAACTCCGCCGAGATTACCTCAACCATCCTTGTAATGATCCATAATGCACTGTAGTGTTTAGATATTATAAAATACTCTGGCAATGAGCAGAATTACTAAACGGTTATTGTGTTGGCAGATTCATTAGCTATAAAGAGACTGCTTCGTCAAGTCATAATCCAGAGAATATACACAGTTTAAACGAGAACAGACCTCGCTATTTACTCTACAACAATCATGGCCAACGATCTTGTCCTTGTGAGTGTTTCACCTTCTTCTTCAACTGTCTTCCGTTCATTGGATCATAACTTGATCTCTTGGTGTTTTTTAACGATCAGAACATTCACTCATCAAGTGACAGCTTACTGGAGCCACGGGCTTTATTGGTCTCCGAACTTTAGTCTTGCTCTTGGAAGCGGGTTACAAAGTCCGTGTTGCAGTTAGGAACGATACAGGCTCTGCGAAGATTAAAGCTTTCAAACCTATTGCCCCTTATGAATCTCAGATTGAGTTTATTACTGTTCCCGATATTACCCTATCGGGCGCTTATGATGATGCTGTCAAGGGAGTGAAATACGTTGTGCATGTGGCATCGCCTTTTGCCACACCTGATCTCCTCGAAAGCGAGTTTGAATCCAGCTATATTCAACCAGCAATTAAAGGGAGCATAGGCATGCTAGAGTCAGCAGCCAAGGTTGAAAGCATCCAAAGAGTTGTCATCACCGGGTCCTATCTTTCGATTGCCGGCTTTGCTGTCGCTGGCACAAATGCCATTGTTGATGGTATGTGTTATCCCGTGCATGGAGAATGTTGCTAATAGGTATGTTATGGTATTACAGAGACTCACCGCAGCGCTGTCACTGTTGGACCGTACCCCAACTGGATTACGGCATACGCTGCTTCGAAGGCTTTAGCCTTTGAAGCTACTAAAGAGTGGATGGCCAAGCATAAGCCATCATTCGATCTTATTACTATCGAGCCAGTGTTTGTACTTGGCCGTGATGACTCCGCCACAAAGGTAGAGGAGCTCTTTAAAGGTTCCAACGGAATGCTTTTAGGCCCGCTGGTAGGCCATCCGCAACTGAGACCAACCGCGTGTAACCCAGTCCATGTCGACGATGTGGCACTGATGCATGTCCGAGCTCTTGATCCAGCTATTCCTGGTAACGAAGACTACTTGTCAAACTCACACTCGCTTGAAAATATGGAATGGGCACAATCTTTTGATATCATCAAGAAGCATTACCCGAAGGAATGTGCCGAGGGCATTTTCAAGGTCGATACAACAGAGCGTCCGAAGACTCTCAAAGTTCGAGTTGACGGAACCAAGGCTGAAAAGGCGTTTGGGATTACATTCAAATCTTTTGAAGAGCAAGTAGTCAGTGCTGCTGGACAATATCTGGAGCTTATTGGTCGGAAGTAAACGGTTTACTCTTGGGGAAGTTCCGCTCCATTGGTATGGGTAGGCAGCGGAACATTTATCAACCTCAAGCTATTTTACATGTCAAATGCATAGATAGTCAGAGTTAAAAATAGCAAGCATTGAAGGTTACACACATGCAGTTATAGAAAAATCTCACTCTATTCATTCGTAATTATCCACGTACATTCCCGTATATCCTTGAACACATCTCACAAGAATATAGATGAATAGTATATATTGGACTGTCATCACCTTGAAAGCTAATTGTGTAGAGGTTTCCTACGGAAGAGTGCCGTTTTAGTTTGAACTTTAAGGGATATATGTCCAGTATTATTTACCGCGAGCTGGTCCAGGCAAGCTCAACATCTGAATAAGTACCTATGCAAATGTACTATTAAAAATTAGGGTTAGCTATTTGCTGTCTAGGACGTACAGCCTACATCAACTCCGCCGCAATGTTCAGCAATGTACCCATCTTGTCCGCGCCCGCGTCCCATGTTTCCAATTTCCGTCGATAATATGGCTGATTCGACCGCCTCTTTGCGTTGACAAGCTCCTCAAACGAGGTCATGGGATCGCTTGCGTCGTATAATGCCTTTTCAGTTTGCCACTCTGTAGTACTGCGGGCTTCCCAGACTGTTTTACTAGAAACCACAGGCAGTAAATTCATCGGATACTGAGGCATGGGGCTGCCGCCTGCGCGTACAGAAAGGATCCGGCTTATTAAAAACCAGACGCAAATAATTCTTAAGCATGTTAGTATCCGTGGCTGATGCAAATGCTCTTATGGACATACCTGCGTCGGGTTTCAGCATAGATCCAGTCTTCCCAACTTGTAGTCGGCAAAGCCTCTCCTGGATATGTAAAACAGCTGCCTCCAAGAATATCGCGAGATCGGTTACACAGCACCTGTAGAAATTAGTCCAGAGCCTAGAAGTCATTTTCAACTCACGCGTACTTTGAACATTAGGAAAAAATTCGGCGCTAAAGATAATGTGCCGGAATCTTGGTCGACAATTGCCATGATGACAAAGAGTATTACGGATTGCAGCGCATTTTGGAGATCAAGCAGCGTGGCAAATTCCACCTTTACAATATTAGTCTAAATCCCCAAAACTGTGGTAAACCTTTTGTAAGGGCGTACTTCATCTTGCAGGCGCTTAACTTCAATCCCAATTGTCCGCCAAAGGAACGGTCTTGTCTCAGTTGTCCGAGTAGCGAAAAGCTGTGCTATGCTCATGCAATTGGCCAAGGTCTCGGGCAATGATGGCAAATGCCAATGAGCGTGTATGAAGGGTGGAAATGTCTGTCGGCGCAACATCATCTGTGGAAAGGCAGATATAGCCTGCGAAAGAAGACCCGCCGCAAATTTTGATGTAGTAAACACTTGATATGTATGCAATAATTCTGTCGAAGCCCCAGTTTGAGCCCCATCATCCTCATCTAAAGAAGAGCACTGGAAATCTAGAGCTGTCTGCCATGAATTAGTACTATTAGAAACCGGAGTCTTTTCGGTATTCGAATCGTTTGCGCCCCGCTCATCGCTGGATTGATGCACATCTGACGAACTGGAAGATGTATTATATGCATGTGTCGTGTAGTCTGAGGATAGTGTGTCCGGTACAAAAGATTCAGTCTGCGACGAATTAGCAGTCAAACCTGGCTTCTGCTGTTGTAAAATAGATGGGTTTTCCATTAGCGGCTGCTGAACGGATCCTTCATAGATGCATTCGAATCCTTGAGCCTGGCATCGACTACATTGAGGCCGTGAGAGACTGCATTTAGTCTTTGATACATAGCAGCGGCGACATGATCTCGGCCGATTTTTGCGCTTTGTTTTGGCACGGCGACAATAAGAGACATGGCGGTTGAATGAATATTCTGCAACATAATCTTAGCCAGTATTTCAGGGTGGTGTAAGAGGCAAGACGTTAAATGATCAACTGCTACCTTTTGTGAAAGGCTTATGGCAAATAATACAGACTTCGAAAAAAGTAGGTGATGTCTTGCTGGTGGCGCTTGTTGTAGACTCGTCCATAGTGAACAGCTACTTTTAAATGTATCGAAGCTGAAAGGTCTTTGTCTGCACAATAAGGCAAGCTGCAGGTGGGAAGAAGCGCGTTCTTAAATCCGTTGAAGTTGTGGAGATAAGCCATCAGCTGCTAGCACACTTATTACAAAGCATCGCTGTAACATCGCTGTACACTGCATTCTCTCCCCAGCCAGCCTTATGCTCTTCTTCAGTCCAAACCCCGTATGAGCTGAAGGCGTGATACTACGCGTCTCAGTGAAGGCTTATTATCAATTAATTCTTCATGGACTAAATTCATGATCTAGAAAAAGGGAATTTTTTTTTTTTTTTTTTTTTTGGATTGGTAGGCTGGAGAAGTTTTGTAGGCACGCCGAAGCCTTTCAATTGTTGAGTAATCCCTCCACGTCTTACCTGGACAGCCTCAGTCTGAGAAACCGGTGCGAAACTTTTAAGCTGAACATGCAAATGGTATTGTAAAGATTTCCGAGACGATGAAGCAAAATGAACACTTTGAATATTCAAGTACACTGGACTAACATGCTGATCAAATTTGCCAAACTGCCGTTTTCTGTTACTCTTTGTCCTCTGCCATTGGCGACATACTGAAAATAATCACATGTGGCTATTATGGAAATTTCAAGTTTTGATCTGTAGGCTGTTCGTCGCCACCAAATACAAGAAAATCAGCGTCGCTCTTTTCCCACGGATGATCCACTTCGGCAGAACGAATTAGTTCCTCGTGTTTCTGGCTCCTCACAGTAATAGCATATGGAAAACTCGCCGGGTGAGAAATTAACCCCGGCGAATATTCTAATTTAGGCTCCATGAAAGCTCCGTTTTTGTCGGTTGCCTTGGTGATATTGAAGGTGGCTAACACCCGCGCAACGGTTATAAAGATAGTATCATTTGAAATGTATCTTCCAGGACATATTCTGCGGCCCCAGCCAAATGGTCCGCTTGGCTCGGGCTCATTCCGTGGCTCTAGGAATCTCTCTGGAGAGAAACGATATGGATCCGAGTATGTTTGCGGGTTATGGTTCAACCACCATGATGAGACGATCAAGATTGACCCTTTTGGGATCCGACAGCCGCCGTAGGTAATCTCTTCATCGGACATGTGAGGCGTAGTCATTGGCACAACAGAATACCATCTCATCAATTCCTTGGCAACGGCTGAGACGTAAGGCAACCGTACCTCATCTCCGAACCGAGGAAGTCGACTGGGATTTGCGCCAATCACGTTGTCGATTTCCTCCTGTGCCTTCTTCTGGACTTCTGGAAACAAGAGCATGGCTAATGTAAAAGCGGTCAGAGCTGACACAGTGGTATCTGCACCTCCACCGTACATGATTCCCGCCGCCCACTTGATAGCATCTTCAGTGTCATGGTCTAGCTTTGCGTCATTTGATTTGTCACTGCTGTATCGTTCAATCAGGTTTGACACGAATGAAGAACGGCAGGAGCCGTTTGCCATTTGCTGTTCAACGAATGTATAGGGAATATGAGCTGTGTCAAAGTTGAGCTTCTTCATTTTCTGGGCTTCGTTTTTGAATGCTGTTCCTGGAAATCCATTCGGCAGATGCTGAAGGACGGGAAAGATATCAACCAAGTATCTCATCGGAGTCATAGCTATTGAAAAGTTGTCCATCATCTTCTCGATCAATGCCACCAAAGGATCAGTCGCATGCGGATCGATCGAATAACCATACACGATTTTTAAGACAATGGCGCCCGCCAAGCTGTCAGACCGGTTAACTATTTGGCTGCCCAATATCTGACTCAAAAGACTAATGATTAAACTCACGTCCTAAAATGCTTAACAAGATTCTCAGGATCATCCAGGATGCGCTGTAAAAGATGGCGCGACTCTGTATCTTGGATGTCGTTGAACCTCCCCGCAAGCAGTCTAGTGCCTGCCTGTTGGTGCATGACTTTTCTATGCAGCCGAAAGGTTGCATCATATGGTTTACCAGATGTGAAATCGTCAAGACCGCACAGCTCGTAAGCAAAAACTGTCCTTGGCCGGCTGGAAGTCTTGAGAGACATTTCGTTCATAATTTCATGTGCTGCTTGCTTATCCTGAATGATGACCATTGTTTGGCCCAAAACTGTTACAGAGCTAAGAGGGCCGTATACATCTTTGAATGGGAGCCAATGCTGAAACTCGGGCGTCCCAGCGGGCGGAAGATCCAAGAGATTGCCAATAATTGGTAGAGCCCTTGGCCCTGGAGGAAGACTCAGCAGGGCATCTTTCTTTCGAAAGAATTGATGATAGATGATACACCCGACTAAAGCAAAAACGCCAACGGCAAATGTGGCAAACATAATGATGATAGAGACGGTAGTAAGGTCGGTAGTGGTGGTGTAGACGATGAAGGAGGAGAGCATATAATTCTCTCGCCGCCGACCCGACTTATAAGATGACTGAAGGAGGTCCTCACCCCGCATTCTCCGGATTGCTGTCTTGTCTTGGAACTTTTTGAATGGTAACTACACAGGCTCTTTACGATAAGGAATGTAACGTCGGGGTTATCCCACATTACCCCAACCGAAACATGCAAGGCTGCATGAACAGCTGAACCGACATTCTCTTATCGTATCGTCTTATTCCACAAGATCATTGAGAACATAGTTTTCAAGATTGGTACTTGCCTAAAATTCCATCGTAATGACGGTGAACAAGATAAGACAATGAACGAGTCTCCTGTATGAAGACGAAGTTACATACATCGCGTACGTAATGCTCCTTAAGATGGGGGGAAACGTGGGAGTTATTCAGGCTGCAAGATATGAATTTCGACATATCAATAGTTATACACTATACTCTATCTGTAACACAGCCCCTGCCGCCCCCGCCTTCTTATTTTGATGCTTGTCATCAGTCGTGAAGGATCCCCAGCCTTGTCGAGCCTGATTTTTCGCTTTGACACGCTACTTCGTTCACCTTCTGAAATTCTTTCTCTATGAACTTGTAGAAAGAAAATATCCTCGAAATCTTAAAATTAGGAAAATTGACAAATTGGTTTAGGATATTCATCGTGTATAAGCTCGATACTAATCTGAGATCTGTTTGATGAAATATTTGCGTTTCAGTAGTACTAAATATACCAGATCTTTGTGCGGCCCGGCATACCATCCGTTTTGGGTTATCAGTGCATCACTTTGGTGTTTGTGGCTGGCTGACGTTGCACTCTTGTGTTGTAACGCCTCCAGCTAGCAGGATTTTAAAATGACGACTGATAGGAGGAATACTATTATAGTAATAGAAACTGCATAAATGCTAGACTCGATTTGTTCCAAGTCGAAGAAGGCCTGTTAGTCCTGGTGACACGAAAGCACCAATTAGGCCTTCTAGTATTAGAATTCTGAGTGTATGTAAGATGTGCATGCATTAAGGATGTGCATGCATTAAAGATACGCAACATGTCGAATAGTAGAAAAAAGATTTACCAATAAAAGCAGAAAAGGCTAGGACTATCTGAATATTCAACAGTCTCGTACTATAGATATTCTCATTGCTGTCTTACCATAGCTGCTATAACAAGCCCATAGTATGAAGCGCGAGGGTACTTGTTAATCAAATCTTTCACAGAAAGCTTCGAGCAGACAATTGATATAGAACGGGAAATGTATCACTGCCTTTGCATTGTAATACTAATGGATTAAATAAGGTCTACACCTCGTCATCATTTGGAGCCAAATCATCATTATATGTACATTAATCTACTGCAAGAAAGAAGCTATTTTGTCTATATGCTATTAACCTTTGTCAAGTCAGATTGAGATGATGACCTCTCTGTGCTATTCTCAGCCGCATCGTTTGAGGTCCGACTTGTTGAATCGCCAGACGATTTCTCTTCACTCGATGTCTTCGATCGTATGTCGGCATCGTGGACCTTCTCTCGACGGACAGTAATAGCAGTCGTCATCATAACTACATTTCCATTCTCCACCTCTGATGGTGTCGGCTGTGGCGAATTGTCGCTGCATCCACCTCTGGCATACGCGTGATACGAGCCGCCGCAAATAGACTTGTTGCTGTTGAAATTGTCCATGATATCAGAAGCATTGCTATTATTACGGCCACCAGACGATCCGCTGGAAGATTCGCCGTGCACATTGGCATGCGCGTCTCGTCCTCCGGCTGTCAGCTCAACGAGGCGATTGAGGACGGTGAATTCGAGTTTCAATTTGACGCTGTACGCGAATGGCTTATACGATATCTGGAAGTTGTAGAGGTTTGCGAATTCGAGAACGAGGATTGTGGTATCGAGAATGATGACGAGGATATTGACGAGGATAAGGTTCTTCAAGACGCGACGTATCGACCGCCTCTTTCCAAGAGCGTTTCCAGATCGCAGTAGCTTTGCGGTTTCGTAAATGTAGATGCCGGATAGCATGGTCTCTTGCAGAAAAAAGACTATGATCTCAATCCTTTCCGTAACTTGATACGGTGTTTCAAATATTTCCGGATTATTTGAGAATGACCCGTAGACCAGAGGGATAACCATGCCATGACATACCACGGCATTGAAAATGATGATCCACATGATTATTTTCAACCGTCTTTTGTTCCTTAGCACCAAGTGTAGACGAGACCAAAGGACGAACGATTGTCCGGTCACCATGAATACCCATCCCATCAAGCTAAGAGTGCATGATAGATATCCCAGCGAGTTGGGTCCGAAGAATTTGATGCAGAATCCTATGCAGGATAAAGCGATGCCCAGCGTCGCAATTAAGAATGACCAAAAGTATAGTCCGGCATATCGCTTAAAAGTGCCCCATATTATACAGAATAATTCGAGGACGTTGTACAGCGCCAACGACAAGAAGACAATGATGATGGTCAAATCGGTCTGGCTGATTCCTTGGTCGCCAGCACCGAAGGAGCGGGTTGGTATGAGAGACGTCATCATAAAACAGCAAGCTGGACGCTGCTCAGGCTAATCGTGAGAGGATTCATGGAGAGCTGCCGGTGATCGTGGCTTTGTTTCTGTTACTCTCCATCATGGTTTTTTATGGATTGCAATTGTTCGAAATATCGGAAATGATGACAACTGACTGACCGCAGATGCGGCCCCTGGCGGTTTGCTCATTATATCGAAACCAGTCTTCATGGTTGAAGTCCGAAGCCGCCGCATTGGTACGAGTGTGGCAACCATCTCTAGGCGGAACTCTATTACCACACTGGGTTGCCAAGTCTGAAGCTGAAGAGCTGAAGTTGCAGATACGCTTCCGTACGAGTAGTCTTGCCGAATTGGCATGTCGACAGTACGCCGCAGGTATTTAGCCTCATTACCGTCTGGATGGTAGCGAACAGTCTGAGGCGCCGTTCTGTTTAGGCCTGGAACAAGCCACTAATGGCGCAGTCGACAACAGTCTCTGCTTGTACTAGAGGGATTTACATAATTGGTCTTTCTCCTCGCCAATGGATTATCCGAAGCTCGCGGTGTAGTGTGGCTGAAGCTAACCGTCATCAGTGAGCATATGGTCGATTCTAACTCGCCAGACCTGTTTCTTGGAGCTCTTGGCCGTTGAACCAAGGCAAGCCACTCAAACCAGCCACTTGTAAGGCTACCAGGCCTTTAAGCTGGAGGCACTGCTTACTGAGTCGGCAGTTGAGGAGCCTGCAGTTGCTCTTGAATCAAAGCCAGAGCTTTAGGCTCTAGCGGATGAGATCTTACCGCCCGCGTTCAGCCGATTTGTTACCGAGACACAGTTCCCCGGATCGACAAACCGAGCCGTCTGGCCAATAGTACTTTGCTGAACTATCTTTACACACAAGTCAAAGGATCTGTGGAGCTGGGAGTCCTGCCTACACATACTTGGTGGTTCTATTCAAACTCGAATACATTCATCAACAGCTACCCCAGAAATTCGTCCATGCCAAGATATTTGTATTTGCCGATACAGTAAATTGAAAAGAGGACCACTAGTAACGCATCGATCAGCCATGGTGGAGTAATGCGCGGAGAATTTGGCTGGCGCAGGACATTGCCTAATTGGGAAGCTTTCTGAGCAGCCATCAGTTAGCTATCAGTCCATCTATTTCTTCAAGTCTATGCGAAACTCTTCCAGACCATCCAGACTATCCATGTTTTATGACAAGTGGCTCAGCCCCAATATCCCCAATTGGCGGCGGACAACCAAATCTTGCTTTACTACCAGTGCCTGTCCGACTCCTCGCTCATGTCCAATGAACTCCAAAGTGTCAAGCATCCACTGCACTTGAGGACCCGGCAGCCCTGAGACTTGGACAGCCAGGTACAGGCTCCTCGTGACGAAGAGGGCTTTAGCACAGCGCGTATCTCCGTCGACAATCATTTCTCCGCTGCTGTTGACTAGCCCGAGCATATAAGGGGCAGTGCTACAGATGGTGTCGGCAACAGCCACAAGGCTCGACTGCATATCCAAGGGGTCCAGGCCGGATATCGACGCCACTAAGTCAAGTGAATTGATGGCTGCTATGCTTTTTAGGACAGATAGCTGCGCGATATAGTAAGATGTCCAGGTGCTAGATACGCTTATGTTGGGGAAGATGGCGAGGCAGGCTGGAAGGTAAACAGAGCTGTTGGTATGAATTTGGGGATTTGGGATGACGGTAGGTCGCCATTCTACAGGCAATGTGTCTTCCCACTCTTGTAGAGCCCGTCGCAATCCCTGCAAAGATTCTAGACAGGCCATAAGTGGCCCCATATCAAGGGGGTTTCGGAGACATGCAGAAACTTGTGCGCCGCTGGATGCTGCCCAAGGAAGTAGGCGATCGCGAAGGGCGCTAGACGGCGTCTCCAGCACCGACGTACCGACGAGGAGGGTTGATTCAGCTGCAGCAGCATTTTCGTTTGGATGAAGTATAATGCGTTGCATAACTACGCCCGTGCGGACAGATCGGTCGAGCCACTCGTCGTTGTCATTGGGCTTCTCTTTTGAGAGCCGTGTCTTGAGAAACTCGAGCTGGCCTTGCCGGTGGGGGCTCTTCGATGTCAAGTTGTCTTCTCCCATAATCATCTTTGTTCAAGGGGGGTTTAGTTGTTGTCAGCATTCATGTACACCTTGGAGCTAGGAAAAGCGGGAATTCGGCATACGTACATCGTACTTCCAGAGAATATCCACAGTGGCAAGGACGGCCGCAGAGGGAGAGTCTTTCTCATGCTGCAGCGAAGAGCCTAGGCTTTGCAGGGCTAATCCGTACGCAGTTCTAGCCATGTTGATATACTCATTATCCATATGTTTTGTCTTGGCCAGGGTAGCCATTGATATGGCCTCCACTGATCTATTAAAGTACGGCGAGTCGGGGTTCATGCCAAATAGACGTGGTAGCAACTCCATAAAACCTGGAAACAGCCCATCAGAGGGTATAACGAAGTTGTGGAAAAAGTGGACTATAGCGACCTGCAGCCAGTCGGTAGACATGGAGTGAAGAGGAGCGGGAGATGTGGAATGAGAGGAGGTGTCCCACACCCCAAGCCTCTCAGGTCTATTTTCGTAGCGAAATACAGCCGTCTGTTGATCACGATAGCCGGGACAGGCTCTGTGTCCCCGTTGGCAGCGTAAACAACGGGGCTTATTTTCATCGCACTAAGGCCAATGAGTGTAAATTGTGCGATCTGGCAGTGGTGATGATGTTAAGGGGGTGAAGGTTGCTTTGGCGTACCTTGACCTTCATTCTAATGCAAGCTAGACACCCTTTGCTTTTCAACCGGCCATCGCGGGGTCCAACTTTGGTAGTTAGACTCATAGTAATAGTTGTAAGTCAGAGTTGTGAAGCTGTAGGAACTGTACAAAGCATCAATCGAAGAAGCCATGGACGTCGAGTTGTCTCTATCGACCTTTTATAGGAGTCATTGACTCAGAAGTGCCTCTACATTGTCAAGTCATAGTCAGTTAATGGCTGGCCCTTGACCCTCACCCACAAGGGCTCTTTCTAAGAGTTTCAATCAGGCTATGTCTTTCAATTTTGGCATGGTACTTTCAAGGAGGAGTTAATGCTAGGCGTTGCACGTGATCGCAGGTTTCTTCCAAACTCGGTCTAGGGAGGATTTGCAATCCCCTGGTCGCGGTATAAGACCTGCCATCACAATCCATGCTAGACTACACGCTCGGCATCCGAATCCAATATGAGACTCCATCTGATCTTCCAGACGTCCGACAAAGCGAAACGCTCATCTCGGTCGGCCTGCCATCAAATTTTCAGGGGCAACATATGAGATGGACGGCTGTTCCCCTGGCTTCTACACCTCAGCTCTTGCGTGTCAGTCCGGCGGAGCCGCAGGGTGTAACTAATACGAGACTATGTATACCATGGAGGCCTACCATTTCTTGATCTCGTGGCATTTTCTATATAAGGGATCTTGGTTTTCGATGCTACAACTTCGTCTTTGATCCAAAATCTCAAGCTTACGTGTCACGGAGTCTGGACTCTATTGCCCATTATGACGCCTCGACTTATCCATGGCATTGCTCTCTTTCAGTGTTTCATCACTACCGCGCTCTCCTGCCAGTTCCACGGCGATATTGGCAGCCGAGAAATCCTATACGATGCTGCCATCGCCCACAACATCGCTGCTCGGTCTCTCAGCAAGCAGAACGGCACTGCTGAGCAGATGGCCATAACCAATGTCCGTGTCTTTGACGGATTGGTAGTTGGCCCCCCCAGCACCGTCATTATCACGTCCAGCGGCCGTATAGGCAGAGTATATCGCCCAAGCACGGTCTGTCCATCTCTGGAACACGTCTTTGATGCTGGTGGAATGACTCTGATCCCGGGCCTGATGGACTCGCACGCCCATCCGTCCAACATATCGAACCTCGTCTCCATGGCCAGCAACGGCATCACAACAACAGCGCTGGCCGCCTGCCTCAACCAGGAGTTCTGTGCCTCGTTGCGTAGCCACGCAGGGCTCACGCAGTTAATTACGGCTTCCTTCCAGGGCACAACTGCAGAGAGCAGCACCACGGCCCTGGTGCCGGCCAGCGAGGCCTTTCAGCTCGTCCACAACGCCAGCGAGGCACCTGCATGGGTGGCTCGCCAGGTAGCACAGGGCGCCGACTTCATCAAGCTCATCGGCAGCGCTCCTGGCCCTGGACTCACGCAAGACGAGCAGACGGCGCTGGTCAGGGCGGCCCACGAGTCCGACAAGCAAGTGGTCCTCCACGCGGCCAGCTACGCCGCTTACGAGCAGGGCCTGATTGCCGGAGCCGACCAGATTCACCACGCGCCGCTGGATGTCCCCGTAGACGACCGGCTCCTGGGCATGTTCCGGCGCGGCGCCACCAAGGCCGTGTGTCCCACGCTGACCATGATGCGCGCCATCGTCCAGCGGGCGCATCCCGCTAACTCGTCGTTTGCGTCCGCAAATGCCACTGTTGCAAGGCTTCATGCTGCGGGCGTGCCGATCATGGCGGGGACAGACGCGAATGCGGTCCCCGGTGTGCCGGCCTCTGTTGCCTTTGGAACCAGCCTCCACGATGAGCTGGAGAATCTGGTGGATGCCGGCCTGACGCCGCTGGAGGCACTGCGAGCGGCCACGGTGGTGCCGGCAAGGGTCTATGGCCTACATGACCGAGGCATGATTGTAGAGGGGGCGAGAGCTGACCTGGTGCTCATCAATGGAGATCCCACGGTCAACATTTCTACCACGCGAAACGTCCAGAGGGTCTGGATAGGCGGTGTTCAGTTTAACGCAGAGAACTGGAAATAGTTTGAGATTTGGTAGGGAAGTTGTTGAGGTGGATAGCTGAGTACCTAGAGTTGATGGATACGTTGATGTGTTTATTTACACAAGTAGGTTGGTGGTTACTTGTGGGAGGTATACATGATAATCCTTGAACTTGTTTGATTGGAACCTGGCAGCAACGCCTTATTTCCAACATGGAGAGTGAAGAGTGGTGACGTAGATTTGTCTGATAATATACATTCGTTATAAATATTTTACCTTGGTATATTAATCTTTTGAGTCAGTAGAAGCTTTCAATTATAATATGATATTTGAGTGTTTCTAACTGCTTGTGAGCTGTAAGTGGAAGAGTCTAACGTAGTAGCTTATAGTCATAATACCTCGATATGATTTTGAAGAAGCTACACGCGGGCCAACTGAGAATAATAAATAATACTAAACTTACAAAAATAATGAAATATCAAGGACACTTCACATAAAGTATCAAAAAAAGAACAGCCTCTTAGAGGCCTGGCGGATCTCTCCCGCCGGGAATTGAACCCGGGTCTCAAGCGTGACAAGCTTGCATACTGACCACTATACTACGGAAGATGTACCAGGCGTTGCAGCGCCTGTTGTAGCGGATCACGTAAGCCCGTCGAATTAAACTTGTTTATACAGCATTGTGAGAAAGAGGGTCAAGGTATTACAGCTCTAAGTCGTCCGAGACGGCATTGAACAAACTATGTTGAGTAATAGATGTAAAGAAAAAAGAAAGATTCACTGGTCGTGAGTAGGTAATAGTACCGAAAAGCCACAACATTCAGCAATCGATTTAGCTGATAACGAAACGAGGAAAAAGAAAAAGAATAGCAGATATGTCATGGTGTTCAATCCTCCCACCTTCTTAATGTACTCGCTTGATAGCACCATCCTTCACGTTTCCTAGCTCTCTCACAGACGAGACAATAAGTCCAATGCTTGTCAGGTACTGCACATTCTTCTTAACCGCCGCGTGCCACTGCCTATGCTCCGAGGACTCAGTGGCCAACTCTTTTGCCGATCTTGGCGCACCGAGAGCCCCCAAAAAGTGCTGAACCGGCCAAAGAGGGTGTCTGTCTCCTATTTCGTTCATAGCGGCCAGTGCAGTCTCTTTCCACTCTTCCCAAGGCACAGGCTTGCACTTGACACTCAGTGCTTCGTTGACCAGTTCCCAGAACACCGTTGTGGGCATACCACCAGTCACATGGATAAATGGGCAAATGGGGTCTTCTTCCAACACTTGGTTCAGCACAGTTGATGCAACGCTGCTGACATCCGCAATGTACATCCAGTTTTCTGCAGGCTCAGTTGGATACGCGTGGATGGCAGCAGCTCCTGAAACTACGCGCCAAATCAAATCATCCACGTTGGCAACTCCGCTACTCTGCGAGCCAATAATGCGGCCGGGTTTGACAATCGAAAGTCGATTTTGCTTGGCAGGGAGATTCTTCAAAGCATTCTGGATGATACTTTCGCAAACAAATTTGGTCTGTACATATCCGTTTAGCTGTTCAAGCTGTGAAGCAACGGCAGCTTGATCGTCTTCTGTTTTCAGGCCACCAGACACAAAAACGAATCTAGGATGGGCAGAAGACGCGGCCGTGATGTTGAGCAGTTGAACAGTTGAGTCGACATTAGCCGCTTTCAGCTTGTCGTAGTCCGCATTCCAATTGACCACGGCTCCGTTATGCACAATGGCGTCGATGTTGCTGTGCGTCTCAGATGTTCCCAATAGCCTCTCCCATTGGGAGACGTTGAGTCCCAATCGTGATTTTCCCAAGTCACCAGCCCAAACTTCAATCTTCTTTGCGTCGTTTTTGCGCCACCATTTGGCTGTCTGGGCTGTTGCCCTGATTCGTTCTAGTCCATGCTGCGGTGAGTTGCATCGAACAAGTACAATAACTGATTTGATGTAGATGTTGCGCAGTAGCTGCCGGAGGAGTTCTGTTCCCAAGAAGCCCGTAGCTCCCGTAAGGAAGACTGTTGATTCATCGGATAGCTTTACAATTGGCCAATTGATGAGGTTCTTCACTTGAGAAGCAGAGATGTCCTTGGTAAATGACTCTATCCTCTCCACCAGATTCGTCACTGATTCTTGATTAGAAGCAACGTCTCCACTGCTTTCAACGAACTTGGCCATGCTACTGATTGTTGTATGCTTGCTGTTCAGAATGGAGAGACCCAAACTCACACCGTACTCACTTAGGATAGACTTGGCAAGAGTGACGATGCGAATGGAATCACCACCCAACTGGTAAAAGTTGTCGTCTACACTAATAGATTCTGCGGGCAGACTTAACACGGACGCCCATTGGGAGCGAATGAAGAATTCCATATCATTGGTACAATCACGGAAGACTGTTCGTTGGCCAGACAAGTACTGCGCGAGTTCACCCGTAGGAAGTTGGGCAACCGCTTGCAAGAGCAGTTTGTGATCGAGTTTGCCGGCACTGTTGTGAGGCATTTGCGCAACCGGTATGATATATGATGGCAACATGTGTTGGGGCAAAACATGGCTCATATTTGCCCAAAGTTGAGAGACCAAGTCCTCCATACGCTTATTCTTGACCTGGAATTCGATATTCTCCTTCACCGCGTCGCCATTTGTTTCATTCCGGAAACAAATAAATGCCGCTAATGACTCTTTGTTCACAATGGCAACTGCGACATGTTCGATCTTCTCCTCCAATTTCTTGACCTGGTATTCAATCTCACCAACCTCTACACGCTGGCCGCGAATCTTAATTTGTGTATCCTTCCTCCCGAGATATTCCAGCGTTCCGTCCTCAATGTACCTGACCAAATCCCCTGTTTTGTAGAATCTGCGGAACTTTGTATGCTCCGCAGGCAACCATTTCACATCTTCTAAGAAGGAATGCTTTGTTTTTTCGTCATCGGCAAAGTATCCTCGTGCCAAAGCAGGGCCTTGAACTAAAAGCTCGCCTACGCAGCCGACCGGCGCAAGCTTTTGGTCGTTTTCAGAGTCCACAACCCAGCAATGGTGGGCAAATCCACGACCTATAGCAGTGACAGGATCTCTCAAAGATGTATAAACATGCGCAGACGACGAAATACAAGCCTCAGCAGGGCCATACGCATTGCGCAAGTCCAAACGACCGTACCATGTCTGTAAGATATCCTTTGAAGCAGCCTCGCCACCAAGAATAAGTGTCTTGAGTGAAGGGACTGAGTCAGGCGCTATTGTCTTTACGACTGTTGGCGTCAAGAGAGCGATATTGACCTGGGCATCCGTCATGAACTTTGCGGTATGGTGCATCCGTTCTGTCTCAGTGGGCACACAGACGGTACCACCAGCAGTCAGGGCAGCGAATATTTCTGTAATGCAAGCATCGAAGACGTAATTTGCGAATTGGAACCAACGAGAGTCCTCGTTGGTATTGAATGCCCTATGCTCGCCAATTAGGGATGTGCATATACCCTGGTGTTCGATGACAACTCCTTTGGGCCTCCCTGTCGAGCCTGATGTAAAAATTAAATAAGCCGCATTTCTCCCTGTGGCCATATTCGTGATTGCCGTGTCTTTGATCTTGGATAAATTCATCTTTGAAGACAGCTCAATGGTGTTTTTGGTCATGTTCATACACTCCTTGGCAAGAGATGGAGATACTATTAGAATTTGAGCTCCAATGGCGTTGACCAATGCTTGGCGACGAGCGACAGGATGACTTGGGTCCAGTGGAACAAAGGCACCGCCAGCCTTGAGTATACCGAGCATAGCAATAATGGCCCAAACCGATTTTTCAAGACATATAGGCACAAATACATCTGGCCCAACGCCCTTTTCTCTCAAGACAACGGCCAGCTGCGAAGAAAGGAGATCGAGCTTCGCGTAGGTCATAGAGCCACCAGTAGAGTAAATCGCCTCATGGTTTGGTCGGCGCTTCGCTTGGTTTGAGACAAGGCTATGAAGGCAGTCGTCAAATGGGCTAATATCGGCAGAGTTCCACCCGATGGCCTGCTGTAGATCCCATGGCCCTGCAACAGAGACTTCGCTCAGAAGCTGTTGTCCCTGTGAAAGTAACTGTTGAATAACATGGTTGAACTGCTCAGAGAGCGCCACTGCTTGAGATCTAGACACGCTAGCTGTGTTGTACATGAGTACAATCTCAACCTCGTTGTCGAATAGTAAAGCCTGGACAACGAGAGGATAGTTGATGAAATTCTGGATTCTATCCTCGATTGCTTCATTGGAGCTCTCATCAACTAAAATCGCATCCGTGCTTTTACTTCCCTCCGTGAAGAATCCAGCGGGTTGGATAACAAGCAGACTAGAGAAGTTGCAAGCCTCTTTGGCATTCTCACTTAGCGAAGAAATTCTCTGGAGGCCGAATTGCTCATGTGCAACCATCTTGGTGCTCTGTGCTTGAATGTTGCGCAGATATTCTGAAACTGCCTGACTCTTATTAAGCTGAACACGAACCGGCACTGTCGCTAGCATTACTCCGGGGATAGAATCAGCGCCAATGAGAGCTGCATTGCGGCCAGAAACACTGGCCCCAAAGCATACATCATCGGTATCGGAATAGCGACCAAGTATAATAGCCCACGCGGCTCTAATAACAGACGCTTTGGTGACCGAAGTTCTAGAAAGGTTAGAGAAGTCTACCTCCTTGCTAACATAGCGCGTAACTCCACTGACAGCAGTGGCCTCGCTGATACTGGTTGGGAATGAAGCGCGTTTGGCGTCATGGACTTGTTCTAGCCAGTATGCGCTGGTAGTATCATGTTGGAGGTCTATAGTATACTTCACAAAACGGGCATATTGGGCTAGAGGCGGAGGCTCATTTCCTCGGTAAATAGCATCCAATATGCCCATGATGCAGCCCATTGACCAGCCATCAAAAATGCTGTGATGCATGGTGAGGCAGAAATAATGACTTCCGCCGTGCTGAACCAGGGCGTATCGGACAAGGCTGGATCCGTATCCCATCTTTATCTCATTCATCGTTTGACAATACTTGGGAAAGTCAATGCCATCTGTAGCATCCCACTCATGACAATCTTGTAGAATTACTTGGACAGCCGTATTATTGACAAGTACAATTCTCGTCCGTAGGTTGGTGCAAATTCCCAAGGTCTTCTCCCAGGCTGCCTTAAATCGGCCTATATCGACATGACCTGGAATTCTATAAGTGTTCTTCGCCACATAAGATCCTAGCTGTTTGATGGACAAGGCCATGATGCCTTGCTGAAGCTGGGTACATGGATAAGCGTCCTCAACGAACTTGCTGTCTGTTAAGCCACACAGAAGAGACACTTCTGTTAATAATGCATCAAGCTTGTCAGGCGATAAGAGGGCAAATCGCTCAAGATCAGTGACCTTGCTTAGCTCTTGGCCACTGGCTAATGCTGATAGCACCGATATCTCAGAATCCGCAAATATGTCTGCTACTGTCAGGCTAATACCAGCTTTCTGAGCTAGATTCACCAGTTGGATCGCAGTGATGGAGTCGCCACCAATCCCTAGGAATCTATCATGCCGACCAATCTCTCCAGCGCCAGTCTTCAGGACAATCTCTGACAGCTCACACAACTTGCGCTCCATTTCAGTTGCTGGCTCTGCCCTTTCTTGTCTTCTGGGAGAATAACCGGCGATTTGCTCGGTTGATAAGCTAGCTGCGGTATTCAAGAGTAACTTGCGATCGACTTTCAATGAAGCGACAAATGGCATACGTTTGAGAGGCAAGATTAGCTTGGGCATCATATAAGGCGGGAGGCGAGCCTTCAAATGAGCCCCAACTGACACTAATGATGAGCGTACAGAATCATCAAGTGGCAAGAGGATATCGTCTCCAGTGTTTCCGTCCGTAAAGCTAATAAAAGCAGTCAGAGTAGCACCCGACTTGTGATGAAGAACATCAACAGCAACATGATCGATAATCGGAAGCGATCGCTTCAAGTGATACTCAATTTCACCAAGCTCAATTCGTTGACCACGAAGCTTAACCTGCAAATCTTTTCTTGCGACGTATTCTATGAGCCCATCAGGAATATACTTGACCAAGTCTCCCGTGAAATAAAGTCTTTGGGTCCCGCTCATGATTGAGGGCGTCAAGCAGTCAATAGATTCTGAAAAAGATGCTTTCGTTTTTTCGGCGTCTTTGTAATAGCCAGAGGACAACACATGGCCTTGGATTACAAGTTCGCCAACACATCCAATGGGAGTAAGTCGACAGCGGTCATCTGCATCAACGATCCAAACGGAGCTATTGAAGCCTTGTCCTAAAATCTTTCCGGAGACATCACTTGATCGTACCTCATGTGCCAGTGCTATGACACAAGTCTCTGTTGGACCGTAAACATTAAAAAGCCGCACTAGTATAGCTGATGCAGTATATCAAGAGTGAGGCGGGCACTCAATCCATCAAAAATCGCGTGGTGGATGATCCACACAAAATAGGACTTCCCATCTGCATTACGGACCAATGCGTATCGACACAGGCGTGACCCATATGTCATTGTAATGTTCTTGGCCTTGGATGCAAAGGAATCCATTGTCTCGTCAGCTGTGTCCTCCCATGTGGCAGTACCCTCGATCACTGCCTGGATCGTCTGGCCATTCACCGGTAGAAGTCTGGTGCGCAGGTTATCGCAGCGTTCTACCGTCTTTTCCCATGCCGATTTAAATCGCGGAATATCAACATGGCTTGGCAGCTCATATATCTGCCTCGTCATGTACGATCCGGGCTGCTTCTCTGCCAGAGCCATGATACCAGCCTGGAGCGCCGTGCAGGGGAATGCATCCCGAATAATATCGTCATTAGCCAATTCACATTTGGCATTGATTTCCTCCAGAATTATATCAACTTCTGCCTGTGGCAACAGGCTCAAAGGTTCAACGTCGTATGCCGCGTGGTTGATCTCATCCAAGGCAGCCACGGTAGCCATCTTCATAAGGACAGGATTGCGAACTATGGTAGCAGCTGTAAGGCCAATTCCATACTTCTCAGCTAATGCAACAAGCTCAATGGTAATAATCGAGTCTCCTCCAAGGCTCAGAAAGCTGTCTTTCATGCTGATATCTTGAGGCTCAATATTTAGAACTCGGCTCCAGAGTTCTCGGAGAACAAGCTCTGTCTCTTGTGTAGGAATCCCAGCTTCGGAATTATGGTGAGTGTCGGCATGCGCGAGCTTCAGCGGCTATGCGAGCTCTCTTCTCTTTTGGCGAGAGGTCAGACTCCGTCGAATTCCACGTGTTCAAGAGGCGATAGAGAGCTTTTTCATCGACTTGGCCCGTAGAGGTGATGGGAAGCTCGTTGAGAACAGTCCATCTTTTGGGAATAGGGAAGCTTCCACTCGAGTTATAATCCTTCATCTTTCGAAGCGCTTTACGCGCTCTCTTGATTACGGCAGAGACATCCGCCTGCTCGAGGCCGTCCGCTGGCTTAGCCAGAGAAATAGCCACGACCCATTGGGGCTCGTCGTGTAGCGAGGCCAGATTCAAAATCTTTGCCTGCTTGAGAGCTTCATCTTTCAGAAGTTCTCTCTCCATCTTGTGTCGTATCTCAAGACTTTGGGTGGTCATGCTTTCGTATTGCGTGTATATGGACGTCGTTTTCGGTACGCTTTGCTTAGGCGAAGGAAATATACATCGAGAATCTTTGAATAGGTAGTTTATAACTGTAGCTGCAGTTATAGTCACGGCTGCGAAGAAGTGAGGGGAATAAAAGTGATTCTACGAAGGATTTTGAGACATGAGCTATGTCACAGCAACACACTTCATCTTGCAACTTCGTTAGTATTGCTGGATCATAAATCATATTTTCAGAAGGGATGGCATTCTCCTTCTAAATGGGGTAAGCCACATAAATAAGAGCAATCAAAGTCTTCCAAAGGAGACACGATGGTGGATATTTTGATCGCCTGCCAGAGCAAGGCTGCTAGATGTCTCACGTTGTGTTGGCCTGGTGTGTAGAGGTATAATTCGACGTATGCCTTCCAACCCGGTATAATAACCTTTGGCGCAACTTTGTGGAGCATATCGGGATACAATAGCCGAGCGGTTCCCAAATGACGGGAATATACCCAGATTACATGCAGTATCATATCAATGCGTGTATCGAAGCCGCCGCAATATCATGGTCATTTCGAGACTCAAGCCCGATGTGACGAGTCTGCAGGTGTGGAATGCATGATGGTCATCGTTTGCATCCCTTTTCTCGCTTGACAGGTTTCGCATTAGGCGAACCAGGGCGTTGAGCTGCCACATCAAAAGAGCGTGGCTTGCCGCTGTCTAAATTGGATATGCAAGGGAGGATTTTGTGTGAGAAAAGAAGAGGATCTCTGTGTGAGAAAAGAAGAGGATCTCCGGCTGGCGACATATATCCTTTACATCAACGGTTCTCGTAAGAGACGGAAAATTTGTGTGGTCTGAGGAGTTAACCAGAGCACATGGAGCAATATAAGTGTGGGTTGAATCTTTGCGAGTCCATTCGATTGTATGCCGTTACCGGTGGAGGTACTTCTCGCATCAAGGTCGTGCACTCTCGCTCGTAGACTAGGCAGTCCGGAAAGGAGATTTCCTCAGGATTAAAAACATCGTATCAAGGTCGTCTCAGAACGACATCTACCACTAGTATGACACGTTCCTAGACATCTGTCTCGACGTTGACGACGGTTAAGCTGCAGAAGGCCCATATGACCTTTGCGTCAGCCAGCCACTCTGGTGTGTTGGAGGCCAAGGCTCTGCCATATGATGAGTCATACGGCATAGGCCATGGATTCGGGCAGCATTCGATGGGTGGCATTATGTACTCCGTACTTGATAGCAATTGTGTTGATGTATATGTGGAAGAGAGCCGAGAGCAGCGTTGAAGAAGCTCCGTGCGAGGCAGAGCCGAAATAGCTTAGTAAGGCGATCTGGTCCACGCCCTACCCTAGAAAGAGAGGAACTTGGGGCATACAAGACAAATCTGCAATACTGAGAGGGAAAGTCGATTACAGCTATTGCACTATTATTAATTTAGTGAGGATTTTTTAATGATAGTAATGGGGCGAGAAGTCGTGGGCGCTGTTTGCAGGTGAAAATTACCTGTGGCGATGGTGCCCAATGTTGTCACTTGTTGTCTAAAACTTCATACTTGTACGATGAAACCAAGAAGATGGCTTCAGCGCTTAACATAATCTGATGCTCTTGTTAAAATCACTTCATCTCTGTATATATATTTTCTTATTAAGCAACCAAACGATCTAATCCGTTTTATAAACTTCCCTCCACCCGAGGTTTACAACATCTCGAGCTCACCAGACTTATGGCTAGCACTATCAATCGCATCACCTCCCACTTAAAACACAACCTCTCCGCAAAGCCACGTTATAGCGCCTCTGAGCGTGGCACACTAACAGCATTAGCCTGCGGGAGACTTGCAAGCAACTTGGGAGCTCGTGCAGCTAGACTCGTTGGCGGCGTCCCGTCTTTCGTCATCGCTCATCATAGTCGGCAGATCGTTATCGATCGGATGCGTATGGCCAGCGCATCTTGGAATGCTGGGCGACTAGTGGCAGCGTTTTCTCTCTGCATCGTGGCATCAATAGATAACACGTCAACGAAGGGGCAAGAAAGATGGAAAGAAGAAGAAGAAAATGCATTTTATTTCATGTCCTAGCTATAAAGCAGGCGTGAAATTGCAGGGTAATCAGACGCGCTGTCACGCCGCAAGATGACTAACAAGGCTCAATCACAAGACAGTGCAGTAGCCTGGAGGCTTCGAGCACATGGCCACGCATTGTACTCGTGGCCTTTGAAAGAGAAGACAGAAAAGAAAAAGACGCAGCAAAATAGACAGATGGAGCGTCTACTGAAAGCTGGCCTCATCATGCCCTGAATTTAAAACAAACAAATGACGGCATCCACTTATTTTTTTTCTCTTCTGACCCGGTTTGCAGCCAGCGCCGAAGCCAATAGAAAGCCGATAAAGCAAGGCTCCAGCTCCAGCTCCTCCAAGCCACCAGCTAGCCAGACCACCATTGCTTCTGCTTCTTCCCACCACCGTTTCTTCCCTTCTCCTTGTCATCTTCCATCTCGGCCTGCTTCCTTTGTCTCTATACTATACAACGGCATCCTCGATCGCGCACCAATCTTCTTTCACGCATCGCTACTTGGCTGATTCCAGAATTCGTCTTTTCCGAAGCTACCCCTCATCGCTTCGCCCACCAGCTCTTTGCCGAGCTCCCGCGCCCTCGAAGCTCTCATCGGCATCTTCGCCTTCTGCCCAACGTCACGACCCCTCAGCCGGCGCGTCTTTGGCTGCTCGACAGCAGTTGATACTACACAATGGCTCCTCCGCCGCCAAACTCGAATAGCACGCTCCAGGAGCGCTTTCTGGCCCTGGCCCAGACTCTACAATGTGTGTAGCTGCCCAATCTCGATCATTTTTCTCTGCACAATTTGCATGTGGACCACTCGCTAACGATGTCTTTGTCATACAGTTGCCTGGTTTGTCGGGTATGATCTCCAATAACCCTTTGATATGACAATTCTTCAGCTCCATCTTGCTCCGTCCTCCCTTGAGCTCCGCTCGCCTCATCTACACTTTTTACCGAAGCAACCCGAGAGACAAACACCACGGGCGTGGGATAGGGGCGAGATTCTCGGATGCCGGGAGCCAAGGGGCAAACGAATTGGACAACAAACATGGAGATGCATGGCTGACGCTTCATCTACTGCAGGCACCTTACTCTTATCCTCACCACCTCTCGATATGCGCTGTCATGGCTGTTCATGAACTACTACAGTGGCATGGCTCAGTTCTCCTACCGAACGTCGTTTGCCGCTGCCGCTCTTACGTATGGGATTGTCGTCTACAAGACTCAGCGGGCCCGCGCAAAGACCGGAACCAGGGCACCCAACGGTGTTGTTGGGCTGCTTGCCGATGAGAACGTTCAATACCTAGGTGAGCTCGAATACCGATATGGACACGTCGCGTGATGTGCCTCTGTGTGGTGCTCATAATCGCATTTCTGACAATTTTCGATAGCTCTGGCCCTTGTCTGGCTCTTCATGCCCCAGTATCCCCTCGCTTTACTCCCTTACTCGGTCTACTCCATCTTCCACGTTGCCACCTACACGCGCGCCAACATCATTCCCGTCTTCCAGCCCCCGCCGCCTGCCGCCGAAGGCGCTGCCCGACCCAAGGTCAGCAGCCCCTTGGCCGACAGGATCGGAAACTTTGTCAAGGAATACTACGACTTTTCTATGACCGTTGTCGCCTACCTTGAGATCAGCTTGTGGGTTCGGGTTTTCCTTTCAGCCATCCTTTTCCAGCGTAGGTCGTGGATCTTGCTTGGCCTGTATACCACATTCCTCCGAGCTCGCTATGCCCAGAGCAGCCACGTCCAGACTTCTTTTGCTCACGTCGCCGCACGAGCCGACCACTTTGTTGGCGCCCAGGGAACGCCACCCCAGCTCAAGCAAGCCTGGGATATTGTCAGGAAGATTGCCGTCCAGTTCCACGACGTGACCGAGCTGAACAAGTACATTGGTGGTGGCCCTGCCAAGAAGACGTCATAAATGCCCGGATATCGTTAAACACGCGACCGGGAACAAAGAATGGCGACTGAGCGATGCGCTTCATGTGTATCTTCCTCGAGATTTTCAGTTTGATGGAAAGTCAAGTTTGGTAGCTCGGCCGCTGTGTCTGATGAATGGCGAATTGGCGAAACTGGCAATCTACCCCTAGCAACTGCTTGTACTACTACGTCAAAGGCTTGCCAGTGGCGAGCTTGAATCTCAATGGCAAATTCCGAATTTGGTCTTGATCAACTGGAGTCGAGGACCTCAAATCTTTTTTGTTTTTTTGATGGCTAGAATAGGGTCAAGTTAGTGGATGTGCGCTTGACCAGCTGAGATCAGCAGTTGAAGAATGGTGTGAGGAAGTGCTCCTCCTTGTATCCCACTCAATGAGATGGGTTATATAGTTTGGAGAAGAGCTTGTAGTTTGGCGCGTAATGGGTTTATACTGGTGGCCGTTGATAGTGTTGAGCAACCTTTCTCTCGACAAGATGTCTAAAGTATCTATTATCTATCATAATACAATTACGTGTTTGGATCCCTCACAGCTCAGCGAGAAGAAAGAATAAAGATGCGACAAACCGAATCAGATGACTTTGAACCTGAATATGCTCATCCAAATGCATCTCTCTGTTGGCTACTGGTATTTTTTTTTTCTTTGTTCCCTCCGAAGAGTGAAGCGCGTTGTGAATAGCTTCAAAACAAGCTTGTTTGATGTCATGGATCAACTTGATGTCATCCATTTTGGTGACGCCACTAATCTGGCACTAGCCCGCTAAGGCTGGGTGAAGCACGCGGGCGGGCTGAGGGGCAGCCTCGAGCTCAATGAATGCTATCGTGGGGCACGCTGACGATGACGTCGCCTAAGCAGCCCGCTGAGGCTCCTGTAGCGACATTGGAGTCCACTGAAGTCCACTGAAGCAAGCCGCCTAACACGCCACAGTGCACCGCTGTACTGGACGAGCTCCACTAACAAAGAACAAAGACGCCAAGGATCCTGTCCTGATCAGCGGCGAGGTCATCGATTCTGCAGCCGGATTCCGTCTGGCCTTGCATTAGCATCAGCATCAGCATCAGCGCAGAGCACTGCAATTTGCAGTAACCGCTTCTCTTCTTTCTCACACCTCGTGAATCTCTCAGCCCGCTCACAGGGACTGCAGCTTCAGACTTTCGAGAGAGCGCCGCGCTTCTGCTGAGCGCCTCAATCCGTCCCAATCTCCCAACCCAAAGGGCAATGGCTTCATTTCTGCGACAGCTCGTTGCGGGCCCGCGGACGTGGCACCCAGAGGCGGGCTTGGACCTTTGCTACGTGACGGACTTTATCATTGCAACGTGAGTAGAAGCTACCACATGATGTGATGCATGGCACCGGTGACATTCTGACATTGGCCTTGCGCGCATATCTAGATCTGGCCCTTCGCAGACATACCCTCAACTCGCCTACCGAACCCCTCTCGACCAGCTCGTTGCTTTTCTCGACTCAAAACACGGCGACAATTGGGCCATCTGGGAATTCCGTGCTGAGGGCACAGGATACCCTGACGAAGCCGTCTACAATCGGATATGGCACTATCCATGGCCCGACCATCACCCCCCGCCATTCAGATTGGTGCCGATGATCATGGCGAGCATGAGGAATTGGCTTCATGGGGGAGATGCGCCGGGCGGGACGTCTGCGGGGAAGGACAAAGGCAAGAGTGCGCAACCATTATCGTCCAACCCACCAATTGGAAACGTCGCAAAGGATTCCACCACAGAGCCAATCAAGACCGAGAGAAATAAGAACAGAGTTGTGGTGGTTCACTGCAAGGCGGGCAAAGGGCGTAGTGGTACCGCCAGCTGCAGCTATCTCATTTCAGAGGAGGGCTGGAAGGCTGAGGATGCGCTCACGCAATTCACGCAGCGTCGCATGAGGCCTCAGTTTGGAGCCGGCGTCTCAATTCCTTCGCAGCTACGATGGGTCAATTACGTTGATCGCTGGACAAAGGGTGGGAAGAAATATACCGATCGCCCAATCGAGATTGTTGAGATTCACGTATGGGGACTTCGAAACGGTGTCAAAATGGAGGTGGAATGCTTCGTCGATGAAGGCAAGAATATTAAGACTGTGCACACGTTCTCAAAGGAAGAGAGGATGGTGGTTGAAGCAGGTGCGCCTGAAGGCGGCGGCCTGACGGAGATAATGTGGGATTTGGCGGGGTACTCGAGTCCAAAGGACAAGGACAAAGAGTCAGAAAGCTCATCAAATGGAGAGTCCAAGAAGAAGGGCTCTCTTGACTCTCCATCCTCGCTGCGATCGGCTGACCCGTCAATGGAGCAGCTTCTACGACGAAAGAGTGCTAAGCTGATTGAAAAAGTATCGCCGCCGGGATCCCATTCGAAAATTGACAAATTTCGAGCCAAGATCAATTCCAATGACAAGGCTCCTTCTCCAACAATGTCTTCTCCATCAGAGGTCCGCACAGAGGCTCCCGACGAAGCAGAGCCTGGCGGCAAAGCCGTCATCATGAAGCCCATGACCCCGATCCGAATTGCCCACAGCGACGTCAACATCTCCGTTGAGCGGCGAAACAGGACGTCCAAATCCATGGGCCTGACAATGGTTACAGCCGTCGCTCATGTGTGGTTCAATGTGTTTTTCGAGGGGGATGGCCCAGAGAAGGAGGGCAAAGCAGACAGAAATGGCGTGTTTGAGATAGAATGGGAAGCCATGGACGGTATTCGAGGTTCTAGCAGGAAGGGAACGAGAGCGTTCGATCGCATGTCGGTTGTATGGCGAGTAGCAGATAGCGGCGAGGCCAAGGCAGAAGAAGAGGTTATCGAGCCCAAGGAAGGCGAGCCGGTGCCGCAAACCAAGGCTGCGGATTGGAAAGGCGCAGATATTGCAAAGCCTCCGGATGCCGAAAAGGATCTCGGATTACGGATGCAGAGTCCTCTCAGCGTAAATGTGAGCAGGGCCAGCAGCATCAGGAGTGCGGAGGGGACGGTGGATGAGCAAGGCCAAGGCCAAGGGTCGAAACGTGACGAATCAATGGAAGGTCTAAAACGCAGTGGGCCGTCAGGCGAAGATTTGGATGAAGAAAGCAAAAAGGCTTAGGAGGCATTGGGGGGTTGAAGAAGACGTGATATACGATTATTAGAGACGCATTATTTGCTATAGCTATTTTGATACCAACGCTGAATGAACTCGTTTTTGAGGTTTCTTGACGTCGAGAATAACCCAAGTTTGATAACATGCTCGGGAGAGGCTGATATAGAGACGTGAGTTTTCTCCCTAATTAAGAAAAGAGTTATCCAGCATCATAGGTACATGTAGCTCTCAACTGCTATTATCTAGCACTCTAGCTAGGTATAGCATGGGCTGCTACTGCTGCTACTGCTGCCACTACTGCTGCTACTATTTTTATATTATAGATATTATGGATTTAAGAATTATACTTTATCAAGTTACAGCTAGAGGTTAGACAATAAAGCTGGGGTGCTGAATAACCTTCCATATACATATATAGATATATACCTATATATAGATATATAATAGAATTTGGTTTTGTTTTTTCTTTGTAGCAGGATATTAGATATAGTAGAGAGCGAATTGTTCTTTCTAAAAATGACTGTTGTAATCGTGCCCTTCCCTCCTTCTTTTAAGTCAAGTGGTATAACGGATATTATCGCATTAAAGCAAACAGTGTATTTCGAATCCTGACCTTGCTGTAACTAGCAATTCGGCAGGCATCGTGCGTAGACTCAACAAGAGATAAATATACTGAAGTTATAAGTTCATCGACAGTATATGTGTCGTGTCTTACTCAGCTGTTTCTTTACAAACTGAGTTGCCTGCGTCTCTAAGACGCGCCAAAGTAAAAACGTATTCGCGAGCAACAAGCGTCTATATCATCCACGCATGAGGCTTGTCAAAGCAGTCATCCCACTTCCTCTTCCCCGAAGACCAGAAACTCCTCATCGTCGCCAACGCCACTCTGGTGCACCCTCCCGTATAAGGATCCCGCACGCTGTTCAGCAAGTACATCTCCACCAGCATCTGGCTCTCTACAGACTCGGTGGGTACAGCAGCACCGGCCACAATCACCGGCCACAGGATATGGTCGAGGAGCGGCATGAAGTCGGACGAGGTGTCGAGAAGATGAAACAGCTGCTTGCGGTGGGTTTTCTCAAGCTCTGCGCATGACGTGCGAGAGGAGCACTCGGACGTGCAGGACAGCGTCATGGAGCCAAAGACGGCCACTGCGGATTTGAAAAGCAGCGAGACGAGTTGGAGGTCTTTGGCTTTCCTGGCGTCCACGGAGTCGGTCATGGTTTGGACGGGGTATGCGTCGATTCGTTCGAGTATTGCGCAGAGACTGGGTTGCGAATCGCCTTTGGCGGCTTCTTGTCGGAGGCGGTTGATGAGAAACATTTCTTTGAACAAGGGCGCAGGACAGTAAAACAGCGGGCTGCTGCCGAAATCGTATATGGTCATGACATCGTCGACGTCAAAGTTGCAGGCGTCGACCATCAGTCCATTGCTCGGGCTTGTGGTGTTGAAAACAGTGACACCACTAACGAAATGGAAGAACAATAGTCAGCTTTTCAAGTCGTTGACGTCGGAAAGGTATTCAAGACAATGTCCTTACATGACAAAGCTTTGCATCAGCAACGGGGTTGTGGAGGAGTTCATCAGCTTCTTGAGGCCGCCGCAGAGTTTGATCAGTAGGAGATAGGCATCGGCATGGACGCGCCAAGATTTTGAATTAAAGAGCAAGATCTAGTAGCCGCAAAGTAAGTAACTGCTCATTACATCTACCACATAAACCCCCCACGAGATCGAGGAAATGAATAGGAGCTTACATCTGCACTCATCAACTGCGCCATGCTAGAGAATATGCTGAGGATATTTGGGAAGCTCTGCTGGATATCATCATTGAGAGCGCTTATAGACGTATTAATGTGAAGGTAGAATTTCCACCACAAATGAGCCGCCGGCCCGGTAGTTGCGGGTTCCAGGCTGAGGTCGTTCTTTAGCGTCACATACATGATGTGATAGCCAACTGCAATGGCAAGAAAGCAGTGGCGGTTTGCAACCGAGAGAGACTGGAGGGCCTCGCCATTTAGTTCGACGACCCAAGCGGGATTCTGTATAATCTGCCGTGCGCGCAGCCTTGGAAGCAGTTGGTTGTTGTCTGAAGAGCAGACCTGTTAGACTCGAAGAGCAACTAGATGAAAATGTTTGCCTTGGCTGTTCGACGCAAGGCTACGCATCGCATACAGATGCAAGATATGCGAAAAGCTGTAGCCTAGAGCCTGGACAAGGTGGAGATGTGAGAGTGGAGATTGGTAACATGGAGAAATCAAACTTACACATCTTTATGGCGTCGATATAGTCCCAATCCTGCGGTCTTAGGTCGGGAGGAATAGCCGTTACATGGATCTGCATAGCGCCATCCGCAGGGCTATTGCCAGATCGATTCCTGCAGGCAACAAGCTGGTGTCTCGGATCTCCTGAGCGCTGAGAAGAGCCTCCATCTTCGTCTTTGTCGCCGCCTCTACTCGGGGCCGCCTTGTTAACGACTGTTGTTGTTGTTGTTGTTGTTGAATCCGGAGGCGAGTCGCCGCTACTACAGCCAGAGGATGATGCCCCGGACGGAGTGCCAGCATCGCTGCCTCGATCGCTCTTGTTAGCCGCCGTCTTCCTGATCCGAGACCGCGGCGGCGTGCTCGCCTTGGGCTTTGGCGATGCCGTCCCCGCGGTCGAGCTGCTCGGGATGCTGCGCCGTCTCGAGTCTCGCGCCGCAGCCGTAGCTGTAGCCGTCGCACTCGGCCGGGCCGCCGGCTTGCCCTTCTTCGGGATCCGCGAGACCATGCCGGTGCGCAGCCACGTCAGCGGCCGGTTGTTGGTGAAGCCGGGGCAGACCATGCCGGCGGAGCTGCAGTTGCCGCATATCGGCGTCTTGCCATCGCAGGGCGAGTCGCGGCGCAGACACTCCCAGCACTGCGGCCCTTTGGAGATTGTCATCTTGGCCGGCGGCAGTTCATGCTGCGGGGGATGTAAGCGAGCGAGAAAGCGTTCCCCGGACTGGCGGGTTCGAGCACGGCCGGCTTTCGTCCCTGGTTTCGGTATCAACCGGCGGCGGGCGCTGGTCCCAGCTCTGTGGTCATGGGGAGGTTTAAGAGGATGGTCGAGGGGCGTGGCGTTTGCTTGACTCGTGAGTGCTAAGTTTGGAGTCCTTGCCTCGATCTGGGGGGGGTCCTTGTATCGATTATATGTCAAGGTATGTCGTAGTCATCAGCTATTATTATGGAGCACTGGCGGGATAGAGCAGTATCACCCAACACCTTCTACAAGGGGGGGGCAGAGGCGCTTCTACTGAAAGTGTTGAGTGAGTGAAACGAGAGCCCCAAGCGCTGACGCCCTGACGGTAATTCTTGTATACAGCAGCTCTACGGCAGGAAAGCAGAATGAAACATTCACAAGGCTAAATGGAAATACGAAACGGAAAAAGGCAGCAGCGTTTGAACACACCCGATAGGTAGGCAGTGATGGAAGAAGCAGGTTGCCGGAATTACATGTAGATAGAATCTGGGCCAAGAGATGTGATTGTATGATGATATCAGTTTGACTAGCCCTGAAGTTGAATCCATCAAGCATTCAAGTCACGCCGCATACTCGTGTCCATTGTTTTGTGTGCACTCAGCGAACAAAAGGGCCCCCAGGTAGCACCGAGAGCAAAAGCCCCGGATATGGGACCGAGCATGGGCTGAGAACCCCGATGAGGTCCAGACGCAACACATCTCAAAGCCTGCATTATCGGCTGTATGGCCAATGGCAAGCATGATGGCAGTCTGCTTTCGCTCAAGCGCACAGGCTGTGTGCATGGCCAGCAGCTGCACAGCTTACACACGATGCGGTTGTATGAGATGCTGAGCCACCGGCTGCGCTCCAGGCAGCGGTTTCTCATGCCCTTGGTGCGACTTGATGTACCTGGCTGGGATGTAACAACGTGTGCATCTTCATATATGCAGAGTACAAGCATGAGCAGTATATCCCCCAGCTAACCACCATGAGTCCGGATTTTCTTGTCAGCGCTCCGACAACCTGCAGCAAGCAGTCAGACCACGCTCCAACCACAGCCCCTCTTTCCCCGTCACAATATATGAGAGCCCCTCCTCAGTACCGCTTCCAAACCGCCTTCAGAGACACCCGCATTGATTTCAGCGCTAATACAACAGCCGGGAGGCCACGGCAGCGCTAGGGCGGATCGACGTCCCGCGAGATGTCGCGTTTGGGCGGGCTTGGGGGCCTGTTTGGACCTTCAAGCGGCTTCTAATCGACCCTTGTATCATCGGACGACGGCTATGCAAGATGGCCAAGTGTCCGGGGGTGTAATGACGTTGATGGTGATCTAGATGGGGATTGGTGTTGATGATTGCTCATTTGAGAGCCTTGGAGTTTTGATAAATGATGTATAAGATGATGTTGTCAAGATTCTCAACTAGCTGCATTCTTTTCTCTTTTTGCTCTTGCCATCTTTTGAAGAGGACAAGGTAATCGGTGATGACCTTGCATTATGACCTTGCAGCTGGCCAGATCTAACATGAATGAATGCAATCTAAATGGCGCAGCTTAGTGTAGAAAATCAAGGAAAAGCTGCAGTCTCATTGGATTAAGAGGGACTGCTCAAAATATAGCTAGTCTTGAATCCTTCACAGCTCATGCGATAGCCGTGAGCAGATGTGTTGACACATAACTAAACCAGATACTATGGCGCTATTACCATTTGTCTATTCACATTTGAGTGATGGGTCGAAACAAGCCAAAGCCCATAAATCCACGTGCTCTGAAGCCATTCCTGAGAAAATACTGAATTACCAACAAAACAAGCAACGCCTCATCGTCATATTCGACGACTCAAACCTCCGTGGACTTGACATGTGGCGATTCTGCAACCCATGTGCCACCAACGCCAAAAGCTGACAAAAACACGGCACGGAATTAAGCCCGTCGTCCGTCTACCCTAGATCGTCTTGGCAGGTCTCGTTGGCTTTGGACTTTTCTCGGAATCAAAGCCTCAGCTGTTGGCATTACTCGCTTTTACATAATCGCCTTTTTCCATCGGGCTCTGCTGTCAACTCTCTCTCAGCTAGGTGAGATATGACAGCCTTGATAGGGCCATTTTACGCTTACTAGGGACGGAACATGTCCCCGGCTGACGTGCCTTGAAAGCCCCCGTGGAGTTGAAAGCTGTCATTGGAGAGACTAACGCTATAATGAGTTAAACCGATTATTTGGGAAAACTAGCTCAGGCATTGTTGGGGCGGGTTGGACGAGGTCAGATGGCGTCCATCGAGAGCTTAAATTGCTGGGCTCATGGCCATCTGACGGCGGATTTTAGGCCGACCGAAAAAACCTTGGGTCGCTGGCATAGTGCCCTGAAGAGCATTTTGATTGTTCCTGCAGACCTAAACCAGTTTGCTGGGCTCTGATCGACCCGGTGAGAGAGAGGTCGGGTTAGCCGGAAATTTGCCTTGTTCCGAGGCATCCGCCGGCCGGGTTATATATAGCACGGCTCGTCGATGGAGGGCCAAGAGCGAGTAAGCCCAAGTCATTGTCGTCACAGGTGGCTGTCGCGGATAGGCTTGCGGGAGAAGAGTATAGTGTCTTGGAATATCAAGAGTCCTGTGTTGTATGTAGTAATCGGAGATCGGCATCAGGATTGGTGCACGCTCAGTAATTCCATGGCCGCGTGATGATATAAGAGACATCAGACCTCCCCTGCGCCGGCGGCTTTGTAACATGCAAGAACAAGTTGTAAGCAACAACGCATCTTTCAATCATCATCGCCGACCCAGCGTCTGTTCCCAGGCCCGGACACGCTTTGTTCCTTGTTTCTGCCAGGTCATTTCGCACATCGGCTGCCAACCAACCGCCCCCCTTTTTCGGTCCTCATTACACATTCAAAGGTGCCCAGCTGCTTAGATTCTGCCAGATTCTCTCCAGGGCGGCGGCGTCATATCGGCCTCCGAAGCTGCCGTCACCGTCACGGTTTAGATCTGCCCCCCACACACACCCATTTATTAATCGCGAACCGACCAGTCAAAGGAACTTCTGAGCTGTTTCTGCTCGCTGCTTGAACAACTTGGTTAAAACGCGACTTCAGCTGCTAATAAGCGTGCCTTTTTTTTGTCTTCGATTTCTTCGGTATACTCCGTCAGCCCCCCTTTTAACCGCCGCTGTTGGGTGCGGGCTTTCATCTTGTTCGCTGAACCAAAGACCCTCCCTGGATACGCTTATTTTTTTTATATATTTTTTTCCCCTTTCGACTGCCGCGCCGAAATCGCCTTTTATTTTCCTCTATATACTCGTATATCGCACCTCAAAAGTTACACAACATATCGAATCTCTCTTTAGTTTTGTACGCACCTAGTTTTTACGACCGCGAAAGAGCATCATGACGGCCGACTTCGAAGGCTCCGCGCCGGCTGGCCGGGTTTTGTCCTCAAACTCAGCCACCAACCCGGGAATCTTTCCCAACGGCCACTTGGGCCACCTGAACGCAACCCAGGAGGAGGCTCTAGAGCGCTTCAAGGTGGTGCTGGCCGAGAAGGGCCTGTGGAAAGCTGGCCCTCCAGCTTCGCACGACGACCAGACGCTGCTGCGGTATCTGCGAGCCAGACGGTGGATCGTGGACGATGCGTTGGTTCAGTTCAAGGATACCGAAGAGTGGCGGGCGGCGAACAACATTGATACCCTGTACCAGACCATTGAGCTCGAGGCGTACGAGCAGAGCCGTCGCCTGGTGAGTTTGCCCTATTCTCTGCCGCCGAAAGGGCTGGAAGCTGACTTATAAATCCCAGTATCCGCAATGGACCGGCCGCCGTGATCGTCGCGGCATTCCGCTCTACGTCTTCGAAATCCGCACCCTCGACTCCAAGGCAATCGCCAACTACGAGAAGCAGGGCGCAAACAGCACATTTTCACAGGCCAAGACCGACGGCAAGACCCCTCCAGGTCTGCTGCGGCTCTTCGCCCTCTACGAAAACCTCACCCGCTTCAATCAGCCATTCTGCACGCAGCTGCTGGACCGCGAGCACGCCGATGTGCCCGTCACCATGAGCACTAATATCGTGGATATCTCTGGCGTTGGACTGAAGCAGTTTTGGAACCTCAAGGGCCACATGCAGGCCGCATCACAGCTGGCCACGGCACACTATCCCGAGACGCTGGACAGAATCTTCATCATCGGCGCGCCCATCTTCTTCAGCACAGTCTGGGGCTGGGTCAAGCGCTGGTTCGATCCCATCACCGTGTCCAAGATCTTTGTGCTCGCTCCCCACGAGGTCAAGCCCACGCTGGAGGCCTTCATTGACCCAAAAAACATCCCCAAGAAGTATGGCGGTGAGCTCGACTATACATTCGGCCAGCTGGGCATTCCCGATCCTGCGTGGGAGGGTGTCATTCGCTGGGAGAAGGGCTACAGCTCGTTCCCCAGCGGACCGCTGCTCTGGGAGGACGTCCCGGGCGAGGACCGACTGGCGTGTGTTCGACTGGGTGCCGAGAAGGGCAAGACGCAGCGAGAAATCATCTGCACGCTCCCCAAGGCGTTCAAGCTGGCTGAAAAGACGGCCGAAGAGGCGACTCAAACAGAAAGCGTCGCAAACACAGCGACAGAGACCACAACTGCGACGACCGACGACGTGTCTGAGGGAACTCAGACCACAGAAGCTACTCTCGATGGAACGACTGACGAAACAACACAGACGGATGGTGCCGCCGAAGCGATGGAGAAGCTGAACATTAACAGCGAAAAGACCAACGGCACGACGACGGCAGAAGTGACTACCATGCCCACTGCTACTGCTACCGCCGCAGCATAAAACACCTCATGATACATACAAAGGGCAAATGCATTGAATATGAGCACCCATGCATTCATTCATATTATGTTTTTTGAATAGCGCTATTACATATTGCATACATGTATACAGAATGCCTCTTCATATGCATCCCCCGCATCTTTTCGACATTGTATATTGCGGAAAGATAAAAGGGAGACACACTATTTGTGTGGTTTGACATTGTCGGAATTTATAACTTTTTTTTATCATCCTCGTCTTGGAGAGGAGAAGAGGAGGAAACTCGGACGGACACTTTTGGATCAGACGAGGATGGGGATGTGAGGAGTATTGATGTTAATTGGTTGGGAATACATATGGAATATACCAAATATCTACGGACAATGGGTGATTTATTTATTTTCTTATACAGGTGTGGATACTTTCGATAGGGCTTGGTTTGGGGAATGCATCCATTATGCTTGAATGATGACTATTTGATTGCTCGATTGCTCTGCTCTATATTCTAACGGCCTCTCAATTCTCCGTAGTCTGCCTACACATGGCTCTGATATACATGTGTATCTTCCTTTTCTTGTGCTTTATTCGCTCTATTGCGCTCTACTCCTCCTGCTTCTCCACAGCTCGACTCCCTGCCCAATCTCTTCCCACGTAACTCCATCTATAACCAGTTTCATCGTCAAGCCCAACTGCTCCGTCTCCCGATTTCTCGACTCGTCATCGAAAAACAGTATATCCTCGAATCGAATCCCCGTCCGCTTTTGCAAGGTCTCGAAATGCTTAATCTTGCTCCCGGGGTATATCTCCAACCCTCCGTCAAACACATCAATCGCAACCTTCTTCTTTGATAATGCCGATGACTTTCTACCGCTGCTGCTGCCTTCTTCATCCTGGAAGGATGCTGTCGGTGGAATGTGCAGCCCCTTGAGTAGCTCGCGAGCCAGATTCGGGGCACTCGTCCGCGACGCCACGCCTAGTTTTATCTTATTCGGGCCATTGAGATATGGCAATACAGCTAATATCTCGGGCACCTCGTCGTAGAATGTGAAATCCTCGCCCGTGCGGTCTGTGGCGCCGGTATGCGTGGCGTTGATCTTCAGCGGCGGCGTGACATGCGTGTCTACCCAGAACGGCCAGAGCGTGTAGTCCAGATCAAAGACGATGAGTCGCGGAAACGGCAGTGAGGGATCGCATAGCGAGGCAGGCAGGTTGGCGCGCGGAAAGGGAGAGGGAGTTGCAGACATGGGCGTTGATGAGAGCCCTGATGGCGTGGAGCTGAAGGTTGGAGTTACGGGCGTGCCAGCGGCGGAGGAGGCGAGAGAGAGAGTCGAGGACGAGGTTGGAAATGATAGTTTGCGAGGCATGGCGGTGGTTATGGAGGGTTTCAAAGACGCTGGTGTATATATAGAAGAAGAAAAAGGAACAGGAAAACAGGTTTAAAAAGTTGGAGGGGCTGCCAAGACTCCGAGTTGCGATATTGCGATCGCGGACTTGGACGCTAGGCCGCTTATTAGTGGGGGTTGACGATCGGTGGCGACGAAGTTATAAATTACATGTAAGGAATGGCAAATTTGCAGATTAGAAGTATTTCAAAAAACGAGGTACTAACAAAGGTAGAGACAGGAATAAAGAGATTTAGTAATGTATGTAAGTTATTTAGCACCTTAGTTCCATTATCTGACACTGACAAGGCTTAATAATATAAGCTACTACAGCTACTACTGCCGCTGCTACTACTGCTACTGCTACTGCTACTGCTACTGTAATAGGATTGGGGTGCTAGATAACTTTTTTTCTTATAAAAAAATAAATAGTACAATAATAAAGCACGCCAGGGTTTATAAAAGACTTAGAAAAAGACCGCAAAAACTTATAAGAAGAACAGACACCTGAACATACGGAAGGCCCATTAAGCATGCGTAGAACAAGACTATCTAGGGTTAGAGAAGTCCTGTGAGAAACAAAGAAAAGAATGGACAGTTAAACTTACAGAAGGCTTTAAGGCCTGGAAAGACTTTTACAATTCAAATTGTTATCCACTCGTTGAGAATAATTACACGATTAAGCCGATAACTAGGCCCTTGTACAAGAGACATAATCTATTTATATCAATGCCCTCATCTAATACATAGTCATTATAAAGATTCAGAAGTATGAGTGTTAATTCTCCATACAACATCAGCCCCGTCCTCATTCATTATATTTCTCGACCTCCAGCGGTCCAAAGACTTTTGAAGGCGCCCTCGTCCCGCTTCACCAACTCTCTAGGACGGCCGGACTCAACAACACGTCCCTTATCCATCACAATCACACGATCAAAATCCATTATAGCATCCAGCCGGTGAGATATTGCAATCGTAGTATATCGAGTAAACTCATCCCTGATGAGTCTTTGTATTGTGCGGTCGGTATCCTTGTCCACAGACGACCCTACCTCGTCCAAGAGCAGCAAGCCACCGATGTCGCCTCCCTTCTCAAAAGCGCCGCTCAAATATCCGTCTGATTCTCCAATTTCAGTACGGGCGGCACTGCCGCGTATACGTCGTCGTAGTATGGCACGGGCGAAGCCAAATAGCTGTCTCTGGCCATGCGAGAGCATACTAGTAGATAGGCTGCCGTTTAAGCCACCGTTATCTTCTACAGCCTGCCAGAGGCCTACTGATTGAAGCACTTCGGTGCAGTCGCTATCAGTTGATAAATTGTACGGATCGAGGTTTGTTCTGAAAGAGTGTCCGTCCGGAAAGAAGATGGAATCCTGGGGCACTGCAATAACACGCTGTCGTAGAATTGAGCGATTGACTCGATTGAGTGATACATTGTCGATTGTAATGCCGTCTGCGCATGCTGGAAGTGGATCTAGAAGGCGAAGCAGAAGCAGCAGAAAAGAAGATTTACCGCTAGAAATATGATCAGTGGGTTGGGACACGGGATATACAAGCTGCAAGCGGGCTCACCTTCCACTGCGACCGCAAATGGCAATCTTCTCGCCAGGGGCAATACTCATGCTGACATTTCTAAGAACCAGATCTGTAGCATCTGTGCCGTCCGAGTCCTCCAATTGTAATGATTGATTCAATTCGTTGCTATTGGAGAATGTTAGCATCAATTCATGCATGCATCAATCCAGGCAAGTGCATTATAACGTACTTGTAAGAAGCAGAAACATCTTTGATCTCCAGCGATCCATGTAATGGCCAAAGTGGTGGCAGCATTGCGTCCTCTTCAGGAGAACTCTCTGGCAGCACTGTCTCACGAAAAGACTTGAGCCGGCTCACAGCCCCAATGGATATCTCCAAAAGGGTATACATGCGGATCAGATTCGACACATAATCTCCTAGAGACATTAAGCTGACCATTGAGGCTCCGGCAAATCCAGCACCTGTGACTGCCTTGACCTGGGTGACAAGAACTACAACTAGTGTGGCGAGGACCGTGACGACCGCTGAAAGAAAGAAAGTGAGGCAGTGCTGGACCATGGCAAGGAGATATGCCGGGCGTTGCGAATTGTCCAAGAGGCCTAAATTGAATCCAAGGCTTTCTTGGGCCCAGCCAAAGGCGCGAAGAGTTGCGACTCCGGTGACTGTGTCTGTAAAATGCGTACTGGAGATGCGAGTCAGCTTAGCAATTATGTTGTGGTGCAATAGAAGAGCCAGTGTGATTTTGACTTACTAAAGTGGACTCTTTGTTTCAAGATCTAGCAAACGAAGCTGTCGAGAAGTAGAGAGATATACGTTTTGAATCAGCCACATGAGCGCAACAACAAACGGATAGCTGATTGCGATATACGGCGAAGCTGTAGCCACAACAACAGCCATGCCAATAGACATGCATAGCTCTGCCATGACATTGAGGAGAGCCTGAGGAAGCTCTATATCAACGAGAGAAATATCCTGAGAGAAGAGATTTGTGACGATGCCGGCGTCTACGGTCGTGAAGAATCGCAATGGAGCTCTAATAACAGTACGCAACGTCTGATGATGCAAAGCTGTGCCAGACTGCGCAGTCATGGAGATGAATAGAATAGCACATATGATGCCTATACAGGCCAGGCTTAGGACTTGGAAGAAGGAATAGATGCCAATCCAGTACGCCTGAGAGTGAGCTCGGTGAGCAGACGTCACATCGGCGGACCAAAAGTTCAGCCAGATCTGCGGAAAGTTGAAGAAAAAGCCGAGGGCGATGCCAACTAATAAGAATGACAGTAAAGTTATTGACTTCATGCTCCCTGCATAATGTTTATAGACGGACCAATCTCTTGTTTTTCGACTGTGCTCATCTGTTGCGCTCCACATTGCCGGTGGTGGTGTGCGAGCAGTAACGACAGCAGATTCTTCGCTTTTCTCTGCAGTGGATAGAACGGATGAAGAGTCTGAAGGCAGATTTTCGGAAGGTTTCTTATTAACTTGGACCTCCAGACTTTGGACGTAGCCGCCAAGTGAATCAAGATCATCAAAAATGCCCTGCTCAACGATCAGGCCGTCATGGTTCAGGGCGACGATATGATCTGCAGACGGTAAATGGCGCACCGCATGAGTAGATAGGACTGCAGTGGCATTACGGCGGCGAATAAGACCATTGGTGGCGAAGACTCGTTGAAATACCTGCTCCTCGGTATCCGCATCCAGTCCACTAAGCGTGTCGTCGAAAAGGAAAAGCTTGGAGTCTGAATATAATGCGCGTGCCATTGATACCCTCTGTTTTTGTCCGCCGCTTAGGCTCACACCATTACTCCCTATCTTGGTAAGATCTCCCTGTGGAAGCAGAGCAAGATCTGGAAGAAGCATTGTCGCTTCAAGAACTTCATTGTATCTATTTTCATCAAACGAAGAGTATCCGAGGATATTCTCTCTCACACTGGCGTTGGTTAGAAAAGGAGTTTGATCGCAGTAGCCGATGCGGCGAGCTGCAGGCTCTATCAGTACTCGACCATCATGGATGGGCGTCTCCCCTAACAGGGCTTTGAGAAGAGTCGATTTGCCACAAGCAGTAGGACCAATCACAATAGTGAGAGAATTGGCAGCAATGCTAAAAGAAAGCTTTGATAGAACAAGTTTCTCCTTATCCCAGCCGAAACTGCCGTCGCAAACTTGTATTATCGCGTCACAGTCTTCGCCTATACTCCTTCTTAAATCATCTTCTTTTGACTCATACTTGAATTGAGCCGGACCAGCGTCTTCACGAAAGTCTATACAGCATTCTTCCTCCAAGAAATTTTGAATGCGCGTAAGACATTGAAAAGAGGCCATCATAAAGGGTACATATTGAAATATCTGGGATAACGGCTCTGTGAGAAGAACAAGAAAAGACAGCGCCGTAAATACACGAGTGGTGTCAAGGGTCCGTGATGTGACGGCAAACGTGAACAACGGGCCGAGCATGGATGGAGCAAAGCCAATAATCACAAACAGGACTATGGTCATTCGCCAACTACCACCAATACCGATCTCAACCTCACGGAGGCGCTGGATAAGTGCTTCAGCTGATTCCGCCAGGCCAGCAATCTTTAAAGTCTTCATATTCGCAACAACGTGAGACAGAGCACCGACTCTTTCTTGAATCTTTTGCATCCAAAGGTTTTGCCTGGGACCGCTCAAACGACTCGCGATGGTTACACTGACAACGCAAACGCTAACGACAACGATGGGTGCGACAAAGGCAACGCCAAGCTCTCGGTACAGCAACCAAAGGGCAACTCCAGTTTCGAGGAAACTTGCCCAGAATTCATGCATAGCCATGAAGCCCTGTCTGGTACGCTCAATATCCGTACTCATCAGAGTGAGTACAGAAGAGTCACCGACTACTGAGAGCCTAGACCGTAGAGTCTGTTCATAGATGACACTCGCTAGAGCTCCGCGAGCCATCCAGATAGTCCTCTCTCGTAGGTAATAGTAAATGGATGTTGAAACAGCAATGCCTCCGTATACAAGAAATGTCGCCACTATCAAGCCATAACCATAGTTGACAGGCCTCTCGGATGCTGGTATCAGCAGATACGATAGCAATGAGTTGATGAGGAAGGGCTGACAGAATCTGAAAGCCGACAGGGCGAGTCTCGGCGGTATTGGAAGTAAGAAAGAGCCCAGTAGAGATTTCGCAAGAGCTTTGGCAAGTCCGTGCTTATGGCCATGGGTCGAAGAGACTTTTATTGAAGTGTGAAGCTTCATTCGTAAAGTATCACTAGCCATATGTCGATCAAGAGAGAATAAATCCTCCAAAGACAATACTTTCTGGCGACCAATTGCGAATAATTTCCAGACCCAACTGAATGCCGCCAACCCAAAGAACCCAGCCGTTTCTTCTGGGCTGTGCGAAGCGGTATCCCATTGAATCCATCTCGTTTTGGTTTGAGACTCGGCCAGGAATGCAACAGCCTTTACGCCAACTGCGGCTGTAAAGACGGCAGCGAAGGCATGTTCGGTGTGCGTCACAGCTAAGAGCCAGAACGAGCGAGTTCGTACAATATCAAAGAGTAGTGAGAGCCACAAGTAGCTGCTCAGCAGCATCGACGGGCGTGGTGAGCGGGCATGTTCAAGAAAAGACAGCGGTAGGGCCAGCGAGATGGCAACTACATCTAGTGCAGCGGATGATATGAAGAGAGCAGCCTGCTCGCCGCGCCAGACGATGCTTAGAACAAACGACGAGAAGCGTAAGGCAATACAAATTGCAATGAATGCCTAGAACGAATTAGCACACGCATTTCGGCCAAGCACATGTATTTACTTTACAACCACCGGGAGCACCTACGGCTTTAGAAAGTTGGTAAATTCGACCCTTGACGATCACAGGCTCTTTGACTAGCCAGATGCTGCGGACAAGCGCGAGAATGATGAAGATTGCGGCAGGAAGAATTGAAAAGAATATCGCCTCGAATCTGAGAGTGAAGTCAAACTCTCTATGGTTGCAGCCATGGACAGCAGGCCCGAATGTGGCATCGTTTGGGCAACTGAAATAATCCATCCCCCTTCAAAGGTGTAAAAAAAATATTTTACCTGAAGAATACCAGGGATCCAAGACCTGCCAGGAGCCATCTCGACATGGAATTGGAGAAACAGAGTCTTATGAGATTAGCGAAAAGGATGCGGGTACAGTAACACGCATTGCGTGCCTAACACACGAATCTGCAAACGCATCATCGATATCTCTCTCGATATGGTCTGGTTGATGGAATTAGCTGCTGTTTGGCAGTGCCTAATAAACAAGCAGCATCGCACCAGAGAGGAGTCATATGCGGTTACGCGGCAATTAAAATGACTTTGCGGCCGTTTTCTCCGTCGTCGCTCCGTTCTTTCTTTACTCAAATCGGAAATTAAGACCTTTGCTGAATAAATCCTGCTGTTACGGCCTGCAACATGCAAGTTTATCTGACCTAGGGAGCTTTTGCAAGGGTGTGAACTAGGGGCAAGGTGCTTTTGTTCAATCGGCCATATATTGTACGGGATAAGCTGCAGCGGGACTAGAGTAAAGGCATCCTGCTAGATCCTGTTAGCGGCCAGTTGCGGAGGAGTCTTTGCCGCCGCTGATTGTATTTTATTCATCGTCTTACGGACTGGTCTCTTTTTGAAATGGGCAAAGTATGAATGCGAAGCCCTATGTGGTATATCTTGTTTATGTACGTTGCGATAGAGGGAAACGCACTAAGTAGTATCAGATACCTAAATGTGCTTTAGGTCTAAATTAAGATTTCCATGTGCTCGACTTACGCGAGCTCTCTACATGTAATAGCCTTGAACTGATGAGAGAGGACACTGCGGGCCGACTGCGGTCTAAATTATTGGCCGCAGTCCTTTCTTTCAGCCGTATGCTTCCACAAATAGTTCAGGAACTGAGATGATATAACTGGAGAATACGTATACTAACCAGACAACTTGGTAAGAGCTTTGCATTATGTATGAATGGGCCAGGTATTTTATAAACAATGATTAACCCAGACAAATCACTATTTACAACTGTTGGATAGTTGCTACCATAACATTCTAAAGGAGCTTGTCGTTATAGCAGTTGCTCCTTTCAGTCAAATGTGCCTAAAGCAGACGCTACGTTTAATTCTATGCATCTTTTACATCAACGTCGGCTTTGGCCTCGCGACTTGTGTCTAATGTATTGTTGTTGGTAAACATTTCTTTGGGGAGACTAGTCTGTCAATAAGTAAAACAGTCATAAGCGAACACTTCTCTTTTTCTGAGCATCTTTTTAGACGAAAGAAAGATATGCTCATTATTTGGGTCACATACATCATTAGCCATTTCTTATTGAGACCTTGCATGCTCCTCTAAACTTTCTTAATTTGCTTTATGTGCATTTGGGAGGCCACAGCCCCGTCCAGAGACCTGAGTAACAGTAGCATCCACGTGTCCCCATGCGACAGCATTGCCATTAGTGAGATCATTCAAGGCATGGAGGCCAATATTTAAACCGCCATTATAGACAGCATCTATTCCCAATACATGTATGCTTCTGTCAGCATACTCTAGCTTGTAGCAGGCGCCGCACAACGTAGAGTTCCATGTAGTACCCTGAACGCCGCCAATGTATGGGAAGCGGGAGATTTGGCCCTGGGTTTCCCAGTGATACTTGGTTATGAGTCCGTTGAGGCCATCAGAGCAAGATACATCTCGAAGAGATCGTGAAGCATCGTCGTAGCCTGGATCGAAAGATACTAAATTAATTGTTAATATGCATGTACGTAGGCCTCAAATTTATTGTAAAGGACAGTCCATACCATAGGTGGCAGTGATGGCTGTGACGAGTGTAGCAACGGTGAAGATATTTGAGAGCTGCATATTGGCAAATTCGTAATCACAAGAGATATATATATGTGCGTGTGTGTGTGTGTATAGGTTGCTTGCAATTGTACGTATGAGAAGCGTCGAAGAGGAAATTTGTAAACGTGGCGTTGATGTTGGAGACTGTTCAAATGTTCAGAGTTGGGGAGTATTCCACCATTTATAATGCTCCATTATCATACCATCTTCTCATCTGAAGTTATTGTTCCTCCAACCACGCATCTTACCCAAAATATCTGACACAAAATACTAGCGTTAACGCAAAAGGGAGAGAGAGCCATTTTAGCCTGCCTTCGTGGTTGCCTACTACTGGCCACTAGGGTAAGTGTATCAATCTGTTAGAGCATTTCCGACCTGGATCTGCTTCCCATCATTAGATATCTCCAGATATATGTGGCGTTACCACTGCCGTGATTGCTTTAGAGGCTCCGGTCCGGGGGTGGTAGCAGCCGGGGTTGTAAACAAGACTACTATCCTCATGTTAATAACATTGAGTCACGAAAACAACCACGTATATACAAAGATAAGGGTAAAAGTACAAGTAAATTAAAAAAGGACATGCAGTTGACAGCCAGCCCCTGGAGTCCATCCCGCCTATCCATATACATACAAATTATGGAGTATAGCAGCAATGATAGAGAATACTTAACGGCTCGCGCGGCCAAGCCATTGAGACACAGAATATTTCCCTTAAAAAGCGGTGAGATAAAGATAGCGTCGTAAAACCGCCCTACATAATATCGTATATTTTCCCTCATATGTCTAAGTAACTCTTCAAACTGAACCATCAGAGTCAGTGACATCATACCATAGGATCATGTGAGGCAAGGTGAGACAGCAGCTACTATGTATTATATGGCCACGGATCAAACAGATACTGCTGAGACTCTGTGTAGCTATTTCTCGTATTCTGATCTCAACTGAGACACACTGCTGCCTAGGTACTATGTATTATACTACATGTAGCTACCTAAGGACTATCAATTTGTCAGTTTGTCTCATGCGCTCAAAAGCTGTTGTAAGACCTCTCTATACTCATCTCGGCGCGGCCAATATATTATGATCTCTACATACACATGAGTACTCTTGGGACTTCATCCATCTTCACAATGTCCGGAATTCGCAGTTTAGCGCTAGTGTTAAGCTGCCGGATTGCTCGGACTTGTCGCTCAAATTAAGGACCGAGAAATATTTTCTGTCGGTGCATCGCAAGTACATATAAAACAAGAGGATAGAAGTTTTGTAATATTCTTGCAGCCCTTGATAATTCGCGCATCTGTACTCCGAGACTCTGAATAGCCCTTACATGTAGGCCACGCCGCAAGAGACTAAATCTCTTGCCCTGCATAGAGACTGACTCCATGTATTACTGAATCTGTACTATTTGCTCCTGCGCGGCGCTTTCAAACCACTTCAAAAAGCAAAGTTTCTTGGCTCCTTGGCTCTGCCTCAGACTGTTGCCAAATAACAGCCCAATCCTCTCCCAATTATCCTGCTTTCCCACCTTTTGCACCACAAGAAAAATCGCCCACTCTTTTCCTGTCCTCTTCAAATGCCCCGCCATCATCTTTATAATCCTCAGGTCTCCGACATCACAAATATTGGTCTCAGAGTTTGGTGCATCTGGACTGAAAGACCAGCCAGAGATTGTTGATTCTACGGGACCAATGTCTCCGACGCTGTTAAACTCAAGAGTGAAGAGTTTCTCGGGAGAAGGATTGGGTTCGCCATTAGTACAAACCCTGATAGTGGCACTCACAGACGGTCCCTTCAGCGTGACAAGGCCTTTGCTAAGACGCCCGAGATATAGAGGACCTTCAGATACACAGTCTATATGTAGAACTTTGGAGAAGATATTGACAGTGTCGTCTGTCAAAGGTCGCTGACACCAAGTAACGTCGATTCCTCCGGCAACGGATGCCCACGACCACGACGGGATATTTGTTAGCTCTTTTGGTCGGCGACTAAACTCGTCCATAAACCAGCAACTGTCAATAATGAAAGTGGTATCCCATAGCCCTGCGAGATACCTCGTGTTAAAGAGTCCAGCGAACTGAGACACAATACCAGCCATTGCTGGCAACCGGTCACTCAGGTAGGTAAATTCTAGTTCCATCATGCTCATGATATTGTCGTGCCAAAGCTCCCGCTGTTTAGTTGCGCTTCCACTCTTAACATCATTGCGCATGATGCTCCTACTTGAGTTTGTACGGAAGAGATCCCAATGTGTGTTCTCATATTTTGACTCACACTGACAAAGGGTCTGAGATCGACAATCCCAGACAACTTCTTTGGTGCAGAAATGGACATAGCGACGGGATAGTATTTGCTCTTGGTATACCCAACCGCGAGTCATCAAAGGAAATTCTGGTGTGAGTAATGAATCTGGTTGCATTTCATACGGATGGGAGATTCCTGTTTCGGCGATCAGATGATAACGTTGGCCATGATGTATGCCTTTAATCTCCAATGGCTTGTCGTATCCAGCTAGTTTCGGGAAGAATCCAATACTTCCATCTATCGAAGCTGTTGCCGCTAGGGTGACGTGGCAGTTGGCATAATAATCCGCCATCTTTGCTGCCTCGCTCTCCCAATCACTCGCAGAATCTTGGATGATGCATAAAGAGTCGATCCAGATATACTCGATGCCAATCGTAGGACTGAATTCGATTGCGTCTTGGAAGGTTTTAGACAAGGAGTTCCATGGGATTTCATCCTTGAGTCTTTCGATATTGTCAGACACAGTTCTCAGGATTTGAGTCTTTCCCCAGCAGTGGCTAAGACACGCATAGCGACTCTCTGTGAGTGGCTTAGGTTCGATTAGACGAGCTTTGAGAGCTCCTATCTTGTCCGATACAATTTGAACAACTCTCTTTGGGAGTATTGGCGCATTTGCCACGCGGCAATCTTTGTGATCTCTCTCGCAATCGCTTATCCAGGTCAAAATTTGCTCAGCGAGATGATTCCTATCCTTTGAGATGCCTGACCACGGTTTAAAAAGTGGCCAAGGACACGGCTCCCCTACATGCATTCGTTAGTCTTTTCATTTATCAACCCATCATGTGGTCAAAACTTACCCGATTTTGCATGAATGTTCACCTTTCGAGATGCTGTGTGAGTCATGTCTGCGACGCCTTCGGTAGGCCAGATGCCCAAAGACAGGCTTTCGCTTGACAGCGTCCTGTCGGCCGCGAAACTTAGGGTGTAGATAGCGGGATTCTCAGCAGCTTCTGGATGGCAGTGTTTGCATGCCTCTACGATGAGGCCGCATGTGAAGCATTCCTTCGCCGATTGAACGAGTTCCTGTAGGCAGTGGGTGTAAAACCCCTCCGCATCGCATTTTTCACGGACAGTGATCTCGTTGAAATCGAAACATATTTCGCATAGGGTAGAGGATGCATCTCCCATGGTAAAATTAAGCCAACGTAGCTAAACTTGGAGAGTTGCTGTAGCGAGTAATTGTCCCGCCTTCTTGCACAGACATGTTTATGGTTGTAAGTCGCCAAGAACCTCGTGCCGAGGGGCCTTTGCACATGCATGCCGGTAAATCTGAACAGGCAGATCCTCCGTATAATTAAATCCTATAGGTACATAGCCACAGGCCTAATCTGGCGCCTACATCTTGAAACTGCTACTGTACCCGGACCCGATACTAGCGGATTGCTGACGCCGAATTGTGGCGCAAACTTGAAGCACCCCTGACATGCTTAATAAGGCTGCCTAGACCTTATACTCCTTTTCATTGCTCAAATATCGAAGCTGAAAGAGGTGAACAATTGAAGAAAGCTTTGCGCTGGCAGCTTTACAACTGTTAAATCACTTTTTATTGACTGGCTTCAACCGTCTGATTGCTCAAAACTCACGCGAGTGTTCAACATGACGCGTTTGATGCCTCAGCCTTCCGAAACGCCAAGTCAACGAATGAGAAATACGGGAGGCCAAGGCAAGCGCCACTGCTGGGAATGCCGTCGACGATGCTTAGTATGTGACTCTGAAGAGCCTGGATGCAAGAGATGCCATAAATCAGGCATACCATGTCCAGGTTATGGCGAGGAGAAGCCTACCAGACTGAAGTGGATCACGCCCGGCAGAGTCGTATCTCGTGACCAGAAACACAAGAAAACTTTACGGCGGAAGAATCAAGACGACTATGAGGAAATAACAGCAGAAATGATAAGGGAGTTAACTCCGGTTGGAAAATACGCGCGTATAACAATTCCACGCATTGAGATCAACGACGAAGTCCAGGTCATCGCACAAGCCCTCGAGTACTGTAGGTTTTCATTCATTCAATATATTTGGTAGCAACTTGCTAATATCTGCTGGATAGTCAACTCTTGCATATACGCAGACTTAGCCCCAATCCACGATTTTGGCCAGAATCCTTTTCTTTACCGGATCTCGATAAAGCATCTCCAAGCTGCGCATCTAAGCCCTGATTATCTGAAGTATGGCATGTTGTGCATGATTATGAGCCACCGAATCAACCAAACGAACAACGCCCTTCAGCTCAAACCCTTAATGGAGAAGTTCTATTTCTATTGGGGCCTCGCTGTCCGATCCCTGAATGAGTACCTCAACATGGAAGACAAGCGAGCCGGCAATACAATTATTGCTGGAATATTGACACTTTTACTTGCAGACGTTAGTCACCTCTACCAAGATTCATCAAAGTTGTTCGCTATGCTTACGTGACTAATTCCTGTTTAGATCCACCAAGGGAGGTCGCTTGATTGGCGATGCCATTTACGCGCAATATACAGACTGATTACGTTACGTGGCGGATTCTACGTACTGTATAAGTCAATGAGCATGAAGCCGTTGATGCTATGCTTTTGGTTGTACGTTTCTCTAATCCAACTCCTTTTTGCCGTTATCACGAGCTGACTTGAGGCATATAGTATTGCAGTAATTGGGGACACTACGTGTCCGGCTTCAGACCTCTTTATGGAAAATTTACATGTTGAGGCTCTGAGCTTCTTACTTGAAAAATACAGCATCATGGCATCTCAAATTCATCTATGCCCGATCCAGCTGTTTCCCGAAATCTTCAAAATCAACCACTTGCGCATGCAAGGTGCAAGGCCTGATCTTTTTGACGCCAAAGCCCTCCAGGAGGTGGCTTATGAAATATTGGAGCGCATCAACTCCTTTTCGCCCCAGAAGTTGGCTGAATCTAAACACTCATGCCATGAAGACTGGGTATTAGTAGGCAAGGCGTATCAGGCTGCTGTTGCGCTATACTGCATTCTGTCACTACAGAGTTTATCAGTTCTTCCTCAGTCTTCAGCCCTGCGAAGACAATGTGCTGAGCATGGAGAACTATTGCAAGTCCTTCTCAAAGAAGCACTCGCTAGCAGAAGGCTGAAGAGGTTCATGGTTTGGCCGCTGGTTGTACTTGGAGTAGAAGCCGTTCATGGCGGCGAGGCAATGCGCACCTTTGTTGCTAATCAGTTGACGGAACTTAGCCATGACGCCGGTACCTATGTTCCACTCACTGCAAAACGAGCTCTTGAAGAGTTTTGGAGCTCTGGAGAAACTCGCTGGGATGATTGTTTCGATAGGCCGTACATCTTCACGCTACAGATTGCTGTGGATACAAGCCGCCTCATGCCGCTGTATAAGTGATCCTTCAGACATCTATTAAAAGCAACGAGAATCTATTAATAATAGGGCTAATCAGAATATATCAGAGTTTCATCAAATTGTCTACGATATGCATAATCTTTACTTGACTCTTGCCCCTTTGCCATCTACTCTTATCGCCATTTTCAGCTGCACTTGAAACTCTCGCCGTCAACTTCAACACGCGGCCAAAGTGGGTCTGAAAAGTGCCCCCGGAAGCTAAAAGTCTTGGCACTTTTTTTCTCCTAATCGGGCAAGGCGTTACTCGCCTCAGGAACAGTTGGCTGCTCTACAGCCTCTCTTTTGCAAGCTTTGGCAAGTTGATAAAAGCCCCAAAGTCGCCATGGTCCTTTTCTTTTGCTCTTTACTTCTATTCAGCTTTCAGTCCTTATTTTCTGACAGTTTTTCTTTTCTCATTCTTCTATTCGTTTCTTCTTAACGCCACGACAAGTATCACGCCATTTACACATACAACCACTTTCATCTTTCATTACTTATAGATCATTCGACTTCTACACTATTCGCCTTTTTTAAACGATGGCAGGCGGAGATCCAAGTAAGAAACCATGTTTTAATCTCAGGATGCATATTCTCGATTAACAATATGAAGTTTTGTACAGTTTATACGTCTACGCTCCCAACCATGGAGCTCCAATCTTCTTCGCCGTGGCCTTTGCTATTTCGGCCGTCTTTCATATCTGGCAATGCTTGTAATACTATTTTACCTCTATATAAGATGAGTGCTAGGAATGTTGGCTAACCTCCAAATTTAGTCAATACAAGGCATTTAGATTAGTCGGATTACAATCTACATGCGCTGTGTTATTCGTGGCGGGCTTTGCTTGTCGAGAGTATTCATCATACCACTACATCTACGAAAAAGACGCAAATAATGTTCTCATCCCCTTTATTCTTGGCCAGGTCTTCATATATGCATGCCCGTAAGTTAACAAACCTATCCTAAGCATGCCCCATGACTAACGGCTAATGAATGTCCAACTGCAGCCCCCTTCTCGAGCTTTCGAACTACCATGTCCTCGGCCGCGTATTCTTTTACGTTCCTCATTGCGCTCCGCTTCCAGCCTCAAGCGTTCTTCGTGTATTTGGAGGCCTCATGGCTATCGTTGAAGCCTTGAATGGTGTAGGAGCCTCTTTATCCGCTAATCCGTCTGCATCACCTGGTACACAAACGCTCGGAAGCCACCTGATAATGGCAGTCCTTGTTATCCAACTCATCGTTATTACGATCTTCGTTGGCCTGACTTCTACCTTTCACGTCAAATGTGTTAAAGCCTCGGTACCATCCAAGAATGTCTACACTCTGCTAGCTACGCTATATATGAGTATGACGCTAATCTTCATAAGATGTATCTATCGGCTGGTGGAACACACTGGCGATACAAAGGTGGATATCACTGACATTGAGGCCCTGAAACAACTGAACCCTCTTTTGCGATACGAAGTCTACTTCTATATTTTTGAGGCCACTCTTATGCTTCTCAATTCCGCACTGTGGAATGTATGGAATGCAGGCCGCCTGTTGCCGGCGAACCCCCATATCTATTTGGCACAAGATGGAATTGAGGCCATGGTAGAGGCGCCACCGGACTCTCGACCATTTTGGCAGAAAGCTGTGAACATGTTCACATTTGGGCTGCTATATGGCAAAAAGAGTCCTGTTGTGAGACTTGAAGAGTTGACCGAGTATTCGAGAGTTGGTGGAAATGGGCAAGCTGGAGCGCATATGCTCAAGTGATGAGGCTTGGGAGTATAGTCTATGCGATGCATGGACCGCTGTGCGATACAAGCCGAGCCAAAGGGGATTGTATCGGAAAAAGACTGTGCGTTTAGGTTTTCTCATTAAAATATATAGACTTTCTTTTGTTCTTCTAACTGTACTCTATGTCATAATTTATTCTTTAGCCTTCTATTTTTCGTCTCGACTATCCTAAGTTATCTCAGAGGGTTAACGCCATCGTCCATCTGACGGCTTCGCTTTGCCCTTAGTATCGTCGAAATGCGCCGAGATCATAGCCTCATTGGCAGTCAATTCATTGAATGCCGTCCAAAGGTTTCTTTAAAACCATGCCGAGTGAATGAGGAGCCGTTTCAACAAATCCGTTCTTTTGGTATAATTTTCTTCCAGGCCCGTCTGCCATTAGTGTGATGTAAGGAGCTCCGTCTTTGGGAGCTTGCGCTGAGATTTCCCATAGCAGCCTTTTCAAGATCTGGTCCCCCAAGCCCTTTCGTTGGTGCTGTGGATGGATTGCCATGTCCGCTATGTGGAAGTACCATCCGCCATCGCCAATGATTCGGCCCATTCCAATCACTGAGTTATCTTCTTCCGAAGTAATAAAGCAGCCATACCAGCTGCCTTTGGAGATTTCGGTAGCTTGTGATGCAGTTTTCGGCGAAAGGCCAGCGATTAAACGAAGGTTGAGATAATCTGGTACGGATGGGTACCCATCTTGGATAACATATCCGGACGGCAAAGCCGTGGTGATGGAGGAGCTCACTATCGATGGTGTCAATTTTATGCTTTGGAAGATTAATACACGATTGACAGACTCGAAAATTGCTGTGTAAAGGATGGCTTTACGAGTTTCTTAGGGGATGGAGTTTACAGCACTCGAAGAGCATTTGGCGTCCAATTACTAAGGGAAGCGGCCAAAACTCTGACAGTGGGTTTATCGGTTCAGCGAGATGGGAAGGATTTAAATATTAAGAGAATCAAGTTTCACGGTGGAGGTCCGTCTTATTTATAGGTTACTTGGCAGAATGCGGGGTCCTCGTGAAATCCGATATTTGCGACAAAACCGAGATGTGCGATCAAGTCCGCGATAATTGGTACATCTAAACACCTTACAAATCGGAGTCGTGTATGACTTCGGAAATCAATTGATAGGGAGACAAAATGCATAAAATTTCAGGTGTCTGCTCGAAAATGAGAAAGCGCTGGATCTCGTATTCCGCACTTCTTCACGCGCTCTCTTTGCCAGACTAGTCGAGATTGGCTCTCAAAAGATGTCACAGCTTCAGGCAAAAGACGGAGAAACTTCCACTCAAGGTGTGGGAAATGACAAGGACGATTCCAAGTCTCTCAGTGCGAGTTTTCCATTCAATAGCAGCGCTGGACCACTGGCAGACATTGAGAAATCTGTTGAAAAGGATACTCATGCCACGAAACCGGACAAGCACCGCTACCCAGAATCAAATCTCAGCGAAGGCATCGTTGGCTGGGAAGGGCAAGATGACCCCGAGAATCCCCAAAACTTTCCCTCCAGTCGCAAATGGGGGTTGTTGGCGTTGATGGCCGGCATCACTTTCGTCTCGCCGCTCGCGTCCAGCATGCTATCACCCGCTATCGAGTATGTCGGGGCCGAATTCGGAGTCACCAACGAGGCTATACTTTCTTTTACTGTGAGCATCTACTTGTTAGGTTATTCAGTAAGTATCACCGCACCAGTATGTTTGAAAAGAAAGAGGTATACATCAGTACTGACTCAACATGCAGTTTGGTCCCCTCTTACTTGCGCCTCTAAGTGAGATCTACGGCCGACGAATTGTTCTCAGCAGTGCAAACTGGTTCTTCGTCGTATGGCAAATCGGTTGTGCCAAAGCCCCAAACATTGCAAGCTTGATTGTGTTTCGGCTTCTTTGCGGTGTGGGCGGCTCTGGGTGTTTGACTTTGGGAGCCGGCGTCATCGCCGACCTGTTTCCCATTGAGAGCCGTGGCTTGGCGACATCTCTCTGGAGCATGGGGCCTTTGCTAGGGCCTGTAGTCGGACCGATCTGTGGAGGATTCATCAGCGAGACTGTGGGCTGGCGCTGGGTGTTTTGGGTTCTCTTGATAGTTGGAGGAATAACCTCTGCTGGTATTGAGATACTCAATCGCGAGACCTACGCTCCCGTTCTCATTGAATGGAAGACAAAGCGCCTCGCAAAGGAGCTTGGCAGGGATGATCTCCACAGCGTTTATACAAAGGCGGGAGCCGATACATCTATCTTGTCGAAGCTGAGAGCAGGCATGGTACGGCCAATTCTCTTGTTCTGCAAGTCTCCCATCGTCTTTCTTCTCTCAACATATCTGGCTTTGGAGTATGGATTACTCTATCTTTTCTTCACTACCATTCCCTCTGTGTTCAAAGATAAATATGGCTTCTCAACTGGTTTATCAGGGCTGGCCTATTTGGGCATTGGCATCGGCTTCATGGCTGGATTGGTATTGACTGCCCTCACCAACGATCGGATCATGGCAAAAATGGCGCAGCGTAACGGCGGCAAATTCGAACCGGAAATGAGGCTGCCCATGATGATCTTTTACGCCGCCTTTTGTCCTATCAGCTTCTTCTGGTATGGTTGGACGGCTGACAAAGGTGTTCATTGGATTGTACCAATCATCGGCATGGTACCCTTTGGCTTCGGGTTGATGGGCTTATATCTCCCCATTCAAACGTATATCATCGACTCATACCCGACTCATGCGGCATCAGGTAGCGCTGCACTTGTCGCCTCTCGGTCGCTATTGGGCGCTCTGCTCCCACTTGCTGGTCCAAGGCTCTTTGCATCACTCGGCCTTGGATGGGGAAATTCCCTGTTAGGCTTCATTTCACTAGCATTCATTCCTGTCCCCATTCTATTTTCTAGATATGGAAAAACCATCCGTGAAAAGTATCCGGTGCAGCTCTAAGTGGCTGCATTTGACGAACCGATAACTGACGAGACCATTCGCCAAACCGGAGGTGCCATTTACTCCTCATGGTAAGGGACAAGTCCAAGATCAAATCAACAGAGATGCCTAAGGTCTGTCTGTTGATTTACAATTTTCAATTTTTACATAGAATCTTTTTGTCTATTTCATAATCATTTCTACTTCAGATGATCTATTGCTAAATTATAGAGTAGCGGTATTCATTATGATCGCATTACGATTATGTATTTACATTCGTCTACCATAGATCCGCTTATGAGCTTTTTTCTATTCATTAAACCATTAATCTCTGATAAACTCAATCGCTTGTTCTGGTTTCAAGGAGATGCATCTCATGGTCCCAAAGGGTCTTTGATTCAACTTGTTAGTATGTTTATTGTTTTACTATGCGAGTTTTACTAAAACTCAGGGTGTGGAATATTGCTTACCCAGTCAAATAAATCTTCCATCGTATCAATACTAAGCAGCTCGTAGATGGCATTTTGTGAAGACGTAAACTCGTCATCTTCCATATCATGTGTAGGACAAGGCTCTTGAGGCAATACGTCTGAGCTGCAGAGCTCCATTTGCCGAGATGAACTGGCTTCATCCGAACCTCGATTTTGTTTACAGATTCCCAGTCGACGTAGCATCACGACCAAAATCTTGGCAGCTGCATCAAACTCAAAAGAAATCCTCGGAGCACTCTTCCAGCTCTCATACAGACTTTTCAGCAACTGAACTAGCCGGTCAGAGTCCACAGGACTTGTTGACTCCTCTGCTTCCCTCCGATACACCAGCTCTAAGCATACCACCATTGCAGCCGTAAGTCCATCAGAAACACAGCGCGAGGCCTGAAACCAGACTTTATGACGGTTCGAAGTTTTACGCGAATATACCTGGAAGATCTCGTTTTCTAGCTCCAGTATTCTTTCTGCCGCAGAAACGCACGTCTCTCGAAAAGATTGCGTTTGGAAGTCCGTTGATCTCTTTGTGAGAAATGGACGATGTAGGACACAGCAGGTACGCTGATATGTCATCTCCAAGTTAGATCTCCAAATGGCCATTTTTTCATCCGTGATTGACGACCCAGTTGATGCAATACGAAGGACCGTGGGGATACTGTCTCTGATAGCATTCAATTGTTCGCATAGGCTGGCAACTTTCTTAGGTTGAGATGCGAGATCAGGTGCTAAATCCGCAATATCGGCAGCCATAGATAATATCGAATTCATCTTTTCCATATATATAATTCTGTTGCAGGCCCTGGTAGCGATTCGAGCTGATGGCAGCTCTAGAGTGAAGGGGTCAAAGTCTTCGTCCAGCAAATTTCGAGGGCGTTTCGCATCCCCCAGTTGGCTGGGAACCACTCTGGGCAGCCCAGTCTCATACGCTACGACACAATCCGTCACCAAAAGCGTAAGCCATGCTCGTCGACGCATTTCTGCCTCGAAAATGGTTATCTGGTTATGGATTTGAGTGTCACGATGATATCCACTTACAATCGCCAGTCGCGACACTAGTCCTAGCAAAACAGAGACATCAGTCTTCAGATTATCAGTCCGCTCATACTCCATTCCCAGATAAACAACAGCCGCCTCAACCTTGTATTTTCCAGGAATCGCCATGTCCGATTTCGCCAAGAAAGCTGCGCTCTGAATACGATAAAACTCAAAATCACTGGGCAGACTCAAGCCTGCCACATTTGAGTCAGTGGTATGGTCCATCCATATACTGCAGCATAGAATTCCATAGAGCAGCGACAGCCAGGCTGGAGGGAAACTTTCGGGATTTTGCCAGAATTCCAAATACTGTCAATAGTTAGAAAGGGTGAGACTGTGTTCGGCGAGATCAATACCTCTTGTTTGAAGGTCGGAGCGTGTATAGTAACTGTTCAATTCGTCCAAATTAGATGAATGAACTGACCAGCATGATTGGAGGTGGTCTTACTCAGAAATGGTTCCGTAGAATCCAGACATCGATACACAAGCGCATCAGCGGTTTCTCGCGGTGGTAATTTTCCGAGATGTTCCATGAACAACGTGTCTTTGAAAAAGCCTGTGAGTAGCGCTGGGCCTTGGCAACTTCTTTGTTGCTTATTTTCCAAGCCGTCTTCAATATTGATGTTATATCTCACAAGCTCTGTAGTCTAAATGCAAGTTAGAAAATCCCAAGCGTGTAGCGAGTGCGTGAATGGAGTCTAATTCACAAGAGAAAACTGACAGCGTCGTTCATGATGGCTAGCCAATGATTTTGATTCGTAAAGAGAGTGTCGTTACTTGTCGGTTGCGATATACCACATCGAGATTCCGAGTCGAGCAAAGGTTTTGAACCCACTCGACATGATATTGTATCGGAGCCACTGCGCCGTGTGGTAGGACAAGGCAACTCAGCATCTCGCAATTCGGGCCAAGATAAATTTTTCTTGGATATTTCATCTTCCAAATGCCTGAGTCTTCCATCAAAGGAGCGTAAACGATCGTCAACTAAGAGGCGATCGTTAATTGTCGAACTGCCTGCATTATTTGCTGGAGCCGGCCTTTCACGACCGTATGCGCATGATGCTTCCCGATGTCGTTTCACGCAAGTTGCGCAGGGCTTTCTCCGGTCGCATTTCAACCTTGATAGATTAATATTACGAGTCCAATGAAATTTCTGTATTAGAAGTGATTGTTTCATACTTGTCTTTCCTGCAGGTGTTGCAAGACAGCAGCACTCGTGGCTTTTGGTGTCTGCGTTTCCGAGGTTGTTGGGAATTCTGAGATAACTGAGGCTCCATTGAATGCAAGGTATACAGCTTTCGTGTAACATCCGGATATACGCGCCCAAGATTATTTTATTCTTCTTCTTGCCAAGAGCCAGGTTCACGCATCGTACTACAGGCAGTTGAAACACCCAAACCCACGACGCTTATTGGACTGTCGGAAATCTCGGAGATCTCGGGTGCTATTTGTCATGGCGCGTCACTGGCTTAGGCAGAGTGAGAGAGAGAATAGACAGCGCCCGATCTCTTGCTGATTATTGTGCGTGTAACAGTCACGTTATATCTGCGTACTGATCACTTCAAGTGAGCGTGGTATGACTATGGCGATATAAAGTCCTGACGAGCCTTATTTTACTTCATTTCATCGATATTTGGTAGAGACTGTTCAGGCGTCCGGACTAACTAGGCACACATTTAGTTTTGGAGTAGGCGACACAAAAATCGTAAAATATGTAAAGCATTAAGCTCAGCAGAATCAAAGAGAGCCTTCCGGAATTCTCTTTTGGATTGTCGCGAGATTCAGCGTAACTCCTCGCCGCAAAATGAACCGTTGAGAAAAAGATCACTACACAAACGCTTAGACCGCTACAGTTTGAACATCCTCCGACCTTGCAGAAAAGATAGGCCAGGCCCTGAGCAATGATAGGAACGTAGGTCGGACTAAAAACAATATTTAGTTTCAAAATCCCTTTGAGCTTTAGAGGGTGCAAGGGCAAGTACCGGATTTTTTCCTGGCCATATGCATAAAATGCACCTACGAGCGCGTTTCTTGCTCGTGCTGCTAGAGTCGTTGACTCATTGTTAGGAACAGCTAGGGGTGCATCGTAAGAGTGTTTGTGTTTCGATATGGACTCGTCTGCAGGCGAGTTTTCTTGTGGTATGTTTTTGCTCATCTGGATTGCTTGACGGATTTTTTTTTATCGTAAACTGAAGAGCAAGATCCTTCGGTGATGGTAATGCAACAGCGGTCTATGTAGGTTTCAAATGTCGTTTGTCGAAGGGTGAAAAATCTGAGGCAGCCGTAGCAGCTATGGCCATGCTCGGTACTGGCCGCGCTGCTTATATGTACGCTATTGAACAAGTGAAAGCAAACAAAATGGAATTTAGAATGCAATGGAGCGCTTTGGTAGCACTTGTTGGCGCGGAACGGCAGTTGTCGGAGGCAGCCAATGTGCACAGACATAAGCCCCATGCTTGCTACATCTAAATAGTATATGATGACGATTTTGGCGCTTGGACTCATCAACTTACCAAAGTCTAAGGATGGGGCAGCTACCCATCTAGGATCTTGTATAAATTTGAAACCTATAAATTATGTTCATAAGAAACTAGATTCCTAGCGTTGAGGCTCTGGTTGCTGCTTGCCTCATCGGCTGATGCGCAGTAGCAAAATTACGCTCTGTTTAGGGTGGTCTAAATCTAGAAAGCAGAGTGACTAGGCCAAGTAGGCTGTATACATGTTTGCAGTTCTGAAACGATACGATGCTTACTCGTACAATAGCAGCCGAGGACGGATAGACACATTCATCCTGGGCTTTACTTTATAAATTGGCTTGTTTGCCAATAAAGAGCAAGACTGACACGGAGCAAATAAGTACACGGGGCACCACCCTGAGAGAACCATCTCTGCTGGCTAAACAAATGCTGAGGCCTATATAAGACTAGGACGTAAAAGTGAGGTATCGTGTGGAATACATGTAGAGAGCATAAAATAACCCATATCGCCCAGTTGAAAATATCTCTCGTCTCCTCCTTCGCAGGCTTCATCAAAAATCCCCAACACCATACAATACTCGTCAATATGAGATTTCTGTACACTCTCGTGGCGCTTTTGGTCGGCCAGGCTGCGGTGGCAATACCTATTACCCATGCTGGGATGGACCTGATTAACCACAGCGTCAATCCTCAGTACGATGTAGTCGCTGCTTTGGATTCGCGCGAGCTGGAGAAGCGTACCACCTGCCAAACTGTCAATCATGTCATCCGAACCATTGGAACTAGCAGAAATCTGTAAGTTTAGGCTCTCCAAGTGGCATCTTTCTTCTGACCAATCATACGTAGCGTAACATTCTATACCCTGGCAACGATTCTTGCACGACAAGTATGCGAATACGTCAATGGTTACAAATGCCTCGAACTGTCAAATATTATTGTACTGGCCCTCAACCTCATCTATTCCGCTGCGTCTCACTACTCCGGTGCTCAGGCGGAGATCCTCTCAGGCGCTCGGAAACGAAACTATGGCGATATACACACTGGCTACGTGGACCGGTGGACGAATGTGATCGGCAGCAACGGCAATAACTTGACATATGACGCCATCTCGAGTCTGTCATTGATAGCGGAGAAGAAATCCTTCAACGACGAGACGGCGACCCGGGCTTGGTGAGCCGCGTTCTCCTCGCTGGTCTCACGGGCTCTCACAGCCCTAATACCAAGCAGGACATCATCGTTAACCACTTTGCTGATGGTAACACGTTGTTGCATTTGCCAATCGGTGAGAGCTCCACTGACAATCGAGGTAAACGTGTGCCTCCAGGCTCAGGCTTCAAAATATCCTATGTAAGTAAAATGTAAGTTTTGGGCTATAGCGTGCTCATACTAACATGTGTTTCTTTAGACTACAAGGTCCAAATCCAGGCTCTCATACTCTAAGCAGCAGGAAATGTCAGGCTTTATTGCTGCCGCATGGGCAGCCGCAAGCGAGGCGTATGACATGACTGATTTCATTGGCCTTGCTCAAGACGGTTATAATGTCAACTTTTACTATCGAGTTATTCCTGAAGTTCGAGGCTTTGGGCTCAATTACGAATCTGTGGATATATGTGGAGGAATGGGTGATTTTCTATTCGGAAAGGCTTAGTATGGCAGACATATAAACAGGGCTGCATCGTCACCATTATGGATACATATAGAAATAGGGAACTTTTTTATTGCTTTGCGGTTGGGTGATTGACAGTGCAACTTTTGATTCCAACTGTTGCCACTGTTTACAAATTGGCTTTCCCCCCATTTATTCCTTCTCTCTCATTTTAATCTTTCTTCAAGGCTACTCTCAGCCATCCTTACAGCACGGCACATTCTTGAGTTCCCAAACGGAAAGAAGACAATTAGGCGTCCTAGAATTTCTTGGCCCACTTCAAGTCTTTAAAGTCTTCAGAGCTGGCAACACGCACACGAGATCCGCGAATTGCAGGGTTAGAAAGGATACCCTCGTAGACAGAAGCAAACTCAGTGCTGCTTGAGACGCCATGCGCTGCAGCATCCTCATCCACTTCAACACGAAACATCAAATACACCTCATTCACACGCACATTTGTTTTCTCATTCTCACGGGAGGCTGCCGTGGTCATGGAGAATAAGGGGCCTTGTGTCATAGCTGGCAGCCCAAAGATGGCCAGTTCACCCTGCGCGCCCGTGCAGATAGTCCATGTACTATCGGGGTGGTTTTGCTCGTACAAATAGTCGATTGTGTCTCGATAGGCAACTAGAGCATTGATTACATTAGAAGACGAATATGAAGCATGCTCCATTTGGAAACCTACAAAAGTTGGCTTCAAAGCCCATGTTCATGTTTTTACGAAGCCTCTCAGTGGTAATATCTTTGAGAGCAACGTCGGTGTATTCGCCACCCACTGGACATTAAAATGTCAATTAGCAAGACGCATATTAGTTCCATTGGAACGAATGAGAACTAACCGCAAGTATATACATGCTGAAAGGCTGGTAATTTGCCAGCTTTAACCTGGTCAACTACGCTCTTGACTCCCGTGTCTGATGTAACATCTGCTTCAACAACAGTAATGCCCTCAGATGTTCCCGCGTGCTTGTAAAGCTTGTTAGCCGAAGCCTGGTTACGGACTATAGCCAGGACTTGACGTCCAGAGTGTAGGGCACCCTTGACGGCGGCCACGCCAATATTGCCAGTGGCTCCAATTACTAGCACGCGCTCGGTCATGATGAATGAAATTTGGAAGTTTAATATTGCGTTTTCGAAATGGAGAGATTGATGGATAATAGCGAATAATTGCTGTGACTTTCTTCAATTAAATACATCGTCAAACCTCAGTAAATAAAACTATATATTCTCTCTCTCCCAGTTTCACAGTTCCATACTGGACAGCGACGGTCAACAACGAAGTCCGAACAGAGCTCGAATTGATGCAGTCGAGAAACAGAAAGACAACTCGGTATTTTGTCAAGCCCGAACGCCGCGCAGATTACAAACATCGGTAGATCGCCTGCCGACGGAAGTGGGTACCCCGAACAGTTTGAATCAGGCGACACTGGTTCTGCCTGATGCCTCTCATTGGGTGCGTCTGGATATTCTGTAACTGTATAGACCGCGCACTCTTGGCAGGATTATGTTTCTATTTGATGCTCGCTTGGCGAGTCATTCCGATAGATGCGCCACATACCTCACGTATAGTGCCATGAGCTAACAATACAGCATGGTTCTTGATCCTTCACTTCAATCAGGCTGTGTATTTATAATGCACCAGCCACTATGCTACACGATTACTAATTCTATAAACGAGAAAAAGATCAATTTACTGCTCGCAATGACAGTCGAGGACTCGTAAAATGAATGGAGGCATAAGCCAACCAGCTTGAAGCTGCTAACCCTAGTGCTCGAGAAGCCCAGCCAACCCACTCATTAGTGGGGAGAAGAAAGGAAAGATTGCCAACTATACCATGACATTACCTCCAAACTTGGTGCTGTCTAGTGTCTTCTGTCTCTTGATGTTTAGATACGCTTTGCGTATCGGGCTCGGTTGTCGGTAGCCAAAACCTCCGACAAGTGTTATCACAAGTAAACCGTTCTATTCGCTCTCGGCCAGAGTGGACTTAAACAGCGGACATTAGCGTTATTTCCAAGATTGGTAATAGGAGTTTGAGTGCGAAAGAAGCGCGCGCATAGGAAGTTAGTCTATATATAAATGAAAGTGATGACTTTCGTTGAATATTACTGCTACCCAATATCTCATCGAATTTAACCTGAAAAGACTAAAAAAAGAAAGAAAGCATATCCACAACCATGTCGAACCCCAGCGTAATCATCTTTGGCGCCACTGGCAGCATTGGCTCTATAGCTGCTCGAGTGGCCAATGAGCAAGGAGCCAAAGTCTTTCTTGCCTTACGAGATGTCAACAAACCCATCCCCGGACTCAGCCCAGATCAAGAGCGAGAGCGCGGATTCGAAAGACTACAAGCCGACCTCACGGACGTAGAGAGCATCAAGGCTGCTGTGACCAAATCAGGAGCCAAACACGCCTTTATCTATCTCATGTTTGGGGTTACAGACGGCATGCGCTCAGTTATCGAGACCCTGAAATCTACCGGAATCGAGTTTGTCGTCTTCCTCAGCAGCTCGAGCGTTACAAGCCAAAGCGTCGCCAAAGGAGGCGACCTCAAGGCCGTGCCGCCGTCCGACTTCATCGCCTTTTCCCACGCCCAGGTCGAGATTAACCTCCAAAACACATTTGGAAAAGGCGGCTACGTGGCTGTGCGGCCTTCCTATTTCGCGTCCAACACATTGCAATGGCGCTCCATGGTCCGCGCTGGTGAGGTGAAGCTGGTGGCACCAAACGTGTCGTTCGACTACATCGCGTCGTCCGACATCAGCCGCGTATGTGCGGGATTCCTCGTTCGTGGCGCAAAGTCTCCTGATGGTTCGCCCAGCCCGTCGTTTGTGACGCTGTGTGGACCGCAAATGCTGTCTCAGAGAGACGCTCTGGCTGCTATCGGCAAAGCCATCGGCAAGGAGCTCGCACTCAAGGCCGTAAATGAAGAGGATGAGGGTGTCGAGGTGTTCAAGGCCAATGGGATTCCGGAAACTATTGCCAGAGACCTTGTGAAGAAGTTGCTTTCTCGAACGAGTGGCGAGGATCGTCTCTATGCGGATGATCTGTACGCAGAAGCAGTTGCTAATGTGCAAAAGTACGGCGGGCAGTCTCCCACGGGCTTTGCTCAATGGGCTAGTGAGAACAAAGAGCAATTTCTGTAAGGAAATTTGAAAAAGACAAGAATAAAATAGGGCAACAATAAAGATTATATATAGATAAATGCTATCTTGTGTTCTATTCCCATTCTACAAACTTCTTGCCCATTTGCTGTTTCTGTCGCAGCTAGCTCAAGCTCCTAGGAATGAACCGCTGTATACGAATTAAACGTCTATAAGTCAAAGCGGCTCTACGCTGCCCCGTCTGGCGCTATACTTATGCTTATGAGTCTTGCCACAATCCCTGGTGGTGTCCGTCGGAGAATTTAGCCTTATTTTCAGGTCCTCGACCCCCACGACGACAAAGCGAATCAGGTAGGCAAGGGATGCTCGATCTGGTCAACCATCGCCACAGACCCCACTTGAGAATAGTAATCATAAAGGAACAGCAACTATTGACTGCCGCGTAAATATGGCGATATCCGCGACTACCGATTCAAGTGTGTTGGACGATACAAAACCTTTCGCTGTCTAGTGCAAAGTCACGTTGAAAGTGGCCCAGTACTGAGGAGTGGTAAGAAGCTCTTATAAACTAGGCATATATAAACAACTCTCAACGAAAAGCAGGAACGATAAGAACCACAATATTATTCACGTTTTTTACAAGTTGATATAAAGCCTAATCAATCCACAACAAATGAGAGAGGTGAGTATACTCTGTCTCTTATCAGAGCAAGAAAAGAATAAATGGAACAATCATCTCCAGAGATCCTCTATCTCTTATCACGGCAAGGGAAAACAAATGGAATTATGTTCCCCAAACCTAGATATAGTGCTTTGTAATCTCGGGGTAAGGTAACGTCGCACGCTCCCGGAATCTATTGATACGATGCAGAATCGATATCCTTTCTATATTGCTTCTATTAATAGCATTATCTTCGGGAGACTCGGTCAGCTGTTATCGTGAAGATAAAGCATGGAACAGAGTCTATGCAGGCCTCGGGTACTTTACAGCACTACGATAGAAGGAGTGTAAATTATGTGTGACTTGAAGCAGATTAGCATGTCGACTTTAATAGAGCTGCGGTACTCCGATTCGCTGCGCCGAGACTTTCGTGCAACAAGGCATTATCGTTGATCCTGCCTTAGTACGATTCTGAGGGGGGCTAGAAGAGCAAGTTCTCTCCTCTTATGCGATAAACATATCGATTAACTATCTGTCTTTTCTGATTTTCGGAGATCCATGATCACGCAAAGTCTTGGAGGTGGTAAGGAAGTTACACTGCGTTAATATGATACTGATGGGGGCTAGAAGAGCAAGTTCTTCGGAGCAACTAACTGACCGAGGTAGAAAAGGAAAGAGTGATTACACGATATCACAGTTGATGTTTTGCTATATAAACACCGATGCCACTTCTTTTTTGAATAGATGTAGACAGTGCCATAGCTCCAGATAATCTTCTTATTTGTTTAGAGACCACCGCCAATATCACAGTCTCGTCTGAGGCAACAACACCAGCCATGTCAGATGCTACTCCTTCATCGGATTCAACTTCAACTCCCTCACTCATCCATTCGAGAGAGTTGAAGCTTGTCTTCTTCAGCAACGAGTTTCCCCATGACGACAGGAAGACGCTGATAAGGCGTCTCCTCGCCCACAGCAAAGGCAAGCAGTATCCTACTCTTGCGCGGTTCATCCATGAAGCCACATTAGCGCTTCGTGAAGAGGTTCGCCAGCTTCCCACGTTACTTCGAGAACTGATTCCGCATTTTGAATGCATCTTTGACCTGGCCGATGAAGCAAAACACATCAAGGGGCCATTTGGTTGCTCCATTGACGAGGTTCTGCTCTGTGCTGTGCAGTTGGCCACTTTCATCGGCTACTATGAGGATGGAAAAGACAATTATGACTTCCACAGCGTGGACGCCTGCATAGCTGGACTGGGTTCTGGGCTTTTGATGACGGCAGCAGTGTCTCTTGCGCCAACGCTTGGCGATCTACCTATTGTTGGAGCCGAGGTGATTCGTGTAGCATTTCGACTGGTTGTTCTTGTCGATCAGGTATCGCAGAACCTACAGCCAAAGCCCGCTGAGGGTACTGGAGATAGCTGGGCCTATATAGTACCAGGAGTCGGAGCTGAGGATGCTCAGAAGGAGCTTGATGCTTTCCATGCAATCGAGGTATGTTGTTGGCTTCCTAATTACTCTATCCACCTCCCTGTATCGGCATTATGGCAAACAGCTGCTAACAAGAAACATATAGCACACGCCAGAGGCCAGCAAAATCTTCATCAGCGCCATAAGCCGCACCTCAGTCATTGTCAGCGGCCCACCAGCACGGCTCAAGCACCTCTTTTCCGTATCCAACTTCTTCCGCAGCCATGACTTGTCGGTGATGCCAGTATATGGCGGTCTGGGCCATGCACCCCATGTATTCAACTCTGCGCATACCGACCAAGTCGTGAACACTCCCTCAATGGAGCTACTCGATGCGCGCTACTCACCTGGTGTCCCCATCTTCTCCATCTCAACGGGCGAGCCGTTCTCAGCCAGCAGCGCCAGTGAGCTGTTCCGGAACATAGTTGATGACCTTCTCGTAGGGCTCATTCAGTTCGACAAGGTCATCGAGGGCATCCTGCAAAAGGCCAAAGACTTGGAGGCGACAGAATGTCAGATGCTCATCTTTCGCACATCGTTTCCCGTGCGAGATCTGCTCAAGGCAATTCAAGAACAAGAACAGCAAGGCTTGAGCATTCTACGAGCCTCGGTGCGAGACTTGATTCCGTGGGTGAGTGAGGCTGCAACGTCACAAAAGACTCAGGACACCTCGCAGTCCAAAATTGCCATTGTTGGGATGGCATGCCGATTGCCCGCAGGAGCAGCTGATACCGAAAAGTTCTGGGAGATCCTAGACGCTGGGCTGGATGTCCACCGCAAGATCCCGGCAGACCGCTTCAACGTCGATACGCACTACGATCCTACAGGGAAACGCATGAACACGAGCTTCACGCCGTACGGCTGTTTCATCGATGAACCGGGTCTCTTCGATGCGGCTTTCTTCAATATGTCGCCCCGTGAAGCCCAACAGACAGACCCAATGCAGCGGTTGGTCATTGCCACGGCCTATGAAGCTCTTGAACGAGCCGGATACGTTGCCAACCGTACCGAATCGTCAAAGTCAGAGCGTGTGGGCTCTTTCTACGGACAGGCCAGCGACGATTACCATGAGGTTAACTCAGGCCAGGAAATCGGCACCTACTTTGTAACCGGAGGATGTCGAGCTTTTGGACCGGGACGAATCAACTACTTCTTCAAGTTCGCCGGGCCCAGCTACAGTGTTGATACTGCCTGTTCGTCCGGTTTGGCAACTATTCACGTATGTTTAATCATTTCTCTTTTCACTCTCTATTTATACAGATGCTGATATTCTTTCTTAAACTAGCTCGCGTGTAACTCTCTCTGGAATGGCGACACAGACATGGCAGTGGCCGGCGGCACAAACGTACTCACCAACTCAGACGGCTTCGCTGGACTAAGCAGCGGCCACTTTTTATCCAAGACTCCCAACGCGTGCAAGACGTGGGATAGCGAGGCTGACGGCTATTGCCGGGCCGATGGTGCAGTTTCGTTGGTGTTGAAGAGGCTCGAAGATGCCGAGGCCGACAACGACAACATCCTCGGCGTGATTCTCGCCGCAGGAACCAACCATTCCGCTGCAGCTATTTCCATCACGCATCCCCATGCTGGCCACCAAGCTGATCTCACTCGAGCCTTGCTGCGCAAAGCCGCTGTGGACCCGCTGGATATCAGCTACATCGAAATGCACGGCACTGGGACACAGGCCGGCGACGCGCAAGAGATCCAGTCTGTATGCAACGTCTTTGCGCCCCTGACAACTCGCCGCCGCTCATCCAAGCAGCCACTCTATATCGGCGCAGTTAAATCCAATATCGGCCATGGTGAGGCAGTTGCAGGTACAACAGCGCTGCTCAAAGTATTGTTGATGTTCGAAAAGGGGGCCATCCCGAAGCACGTCGGCATCAAGGGCGTGATCAACCCAGGCTTCCCCAATGATCAGGAGATGCAGCGCAGGAACCTCCACATTCCCTATGAAAAAGTGTCGTGGCAGAGAAATCCTGAGCGCAAGCGTGTCGCCGTCGTTAATAACTTTGGAGCATCCGGCGGCAACTCCAGCCTCATCATCGAGGAGCCTCCGTTGCGCGAAAAGGCAGAGAAGGGTGATCCCCGCGCAGCCCACCTCATCGTGGTCTCAGCCAAGGGAAAAGTATCGCTCAAAGGTAACCTGGAGCGCTTGGTCGCTTACATGGACGCGCATCCGGATGTTTCGATGGCTGATCTGGCTTATACTACAACCGCACGGCGCCAACATCACAACCATCGCGTAGCCATTTCCGTGCCCGTGTCATCACCAGATATCATGGTATCTGCCTTGAAAAAGCAACTTGCCGCGCACATAGAGTCGGCAGATACACACAAGCCTATCCCGCCAACAGGTCCCCCGCGGGTGGTGTTTGCATTTACAGGCCAAGGGGCTTCCCATCGGTCAATGGATCTCGGGCTGTTTCGTGAATCACCAGTCTTCCGCGAGCACATCCTCCATCTCGACTCGCTGGTGCAAGGCCAGGGCTTCCCATCCATCATCCCCGTTATCGACGGCAGCTATCCACAGGACCATGGGCATTCCCCCATCAGGACACATCTCACTCTCGTCTGCATCGAGATTGCCCTTGCCAAGTACTGGAACTCGCTCGGAGTATATCCTCATGTGGTTGTCGGCCACAGCTTAGGCGAGTATGCTGCGTTACATGTTGCCGGTGTTCTCTCAGCCGCCGACGCCATCTTCCTGGTCGGCAGCCGTGCCATTCTCTTGGAGCAGAAGTGTACCAGTGGCAGCCATAAGATGTTGGCCGTGAAAGCACCACTTGATACGATAAGTGAGATAGCTAAAGCCAAAGGCTTGCCCTTTGAAGTCTCATGTATCAATGGACCCAGTGATACGGTTCTCAGTGGGCCGAGGGCTGATATGGACGCCTTGGCTGCTGCTCTGCAGGAATCCGGCCCAGATGGTCCCGGGCTCAAGTGCTCTCTTCTGGATATAGCCTTTGCTTTCCACTCATCCCAGACAGACTCAATGTTGGATGAATATGAGGATTTGGCTAGCAAGGGTGTGATTTACCATGCACCCACCATTCCAATTATATCGCCGCTGCTGGGCCGCTGTATCTTTGACGAAAAGACGGTCAACGCAAATTACCTGTGCCGTGCAGCTCGTGAGCCTGTTCATTTCATCACCGGCATCAAAGCTGCGCACCACGCTAGACTTATTGACAAGTCAATGGCGTGGATCGAGATTGGACCCCATCCTGTATGCCTCGGCCTGGCCCGCAGTATCTTGGCCGACTCGTTCTCTTTGCCAGTCGCTGCACCGTCCATGCGCCGGAGCGAAGACGACTGGAAGACATTGAGTCACTCCTTGGGCCTGCTGTATAGTGCTGGTGTGCCACTGCGCTTTGATGAGTTCCATCGTCCATTCGAGCCTTTGTTGCGTCTTCTTGACCTACCGACGTATGCATGGAATGATAAGAACTACTGGCTCCAGTACAATGGTGATTGGGCCCTTTCCAAGGGTAACACTTTCTACGACGAGGAGAAGAAGCAGTTACTGCTGCAACAACAGACGATAACTACGGTGGTGCCTCCACGTTCCAGCCTTCGAACGTCGCTAGTTCATGAGGTTGTAGAAGAGGCGTTTGACGGCTCTGCTGGTCGTGTTGTTGTACATTCTGATTTGATGCAGGCTGATTTCTTGAAAGCTGCGCGGGGCCATCAGATGAACGGAGCTGGTGTAGTCACTTCGGTAAGTAAATACTCATGAACGTCTTCTTATCGAAATGAAGATACTAACCTTTCTATTCCACAACTTGCAGTCGATTCACGCAGACATTGCCTTCACCCTTGGCAAATACCTCTATGAGAATCTGCGACCACAGGCAAAAGCGGGAGGTACTGTTCTCGACATGGAGGTATACAATATGTCTGTACGCGAGGGCATAGTAGCCCAGAAGAACACAAATGTGCCGCAGATGATCCAGGTGTCCATATCCACCTCCAATATTGACGCAGGGGTAGCCAACCTCGAATGGCATAATCTCACATCTGATGCTTCCGCGCTCGCCGATGAAGAGCCCATAGTGACGGCCCAGGTCCGCTACGGGTCTTCAGCCGACAACCTTGTTAGCTGGATGCCGATGGCACATTTGGTACAAAGCCGTATCGACGCCCTTCAACATCTCGCTGAGATTGGCGTAGCCAACAAGTTGTCCCACAGTATGGCATACCTCCTCTTCTCCAACAACCTGGTCCACTACGCAGACGAGTACCGGGGCATGCAGTCGGTGGTGATGCACGAGCTCGAGGGATTCGCCGAGGTGACGCTCAAGACCAAATCCAGCGGCGTCTGGACTGTTCCGCCATTCTTCATCGACAGCGTTGCCCACTTGGCGGGTTTCGTGATGAACGTGTCCGACGCCATAGACACTCGCACCAACTTTTGCGTCACCCCTGGCTGTGGATCATTGCGAATCGCTCGCCCACTCGTTGCCGGGGCCAAGTATCAATCCTATGTCAAGATGATTCCGACGGCTGAGGACCCAACCGTCTATCTCGGTGACGTTTACATCTTGCAGGAGGGCGAGATCATTGGCCTTGTTCGCGCCATCAAGTTCCGCCGCTATCCTCGAGTGCTACTCAACCGATTCTTCTCGCCGCCCGACATTAAGAACGGCGGTACTGTCACTACTGCGGCCCATAGTACTGTATCATCAAAGCTTGTCGTGTCAAAGCCTGTCATATCGAAGCCTGTGGTATCGATACATAACATATCAAAGTCTGACGTCGCTGCTGCCAAAGTTGTCGTGACAGAAGTTCAGTTGGGCAACGAAGAGGAGCAATCGCTAAACATACCAGTACAGACTCCAATAGTTGTTGCTCATGCCTCTGTCCCTATGCCAATCCCCATCTCCACGATGGCTCCAGTTATGGCGGCGCCACCCGCGGCGGACAGCACAGCAACCAAAGCCATGGCGCTTTTAGCTGATGAATCGGGCCTTGATCCAGCTGATCTGACCGATGATGCTAACTTTATGCATCTCGGAGTAGACAGCCTGATGAGCCTCGTCATTGCTGAGAAGTTTCGGGAGGAGCTCGGCGTTGTGGTAAATGGCAGCTTATTCTTGGAGTATCAGACGGTGGGAGATTTGCGTGCGTGGTTAGTCGAGTACTACAGCTAAAGCAGCGAGTATTTTGTAAGAGTGAGCAAAATGTTGTTTATCAGCTACACATTTAAATTTTGCTATGCATCTGTTTGTCTCTTTGCCGCTTTGATCTTGGTGTTCATCCTCAATGTATAGGTCAAGATGTCTGAAGTATCAGTGTGAGGTTCAAATCGAGTGCAATTGGAATCTTTCACGTTTTCTAAATTTTGTACAGAGTTCATTCTCTATTCATGCTAAGTTTACATGAGTAGGTAAGAGTAAATTCTGAAGTGGCAGTTCAAAGTCGTGGGACAACATTTACCAGTTCTTTCTTAATATTAGGCGGATGCACAGATAAACCTCTCTCATTGTTAAATACATGATGCAGCAGTAGCAATAGTAGCAGCAGCAATAGCATGGAATCAATGCGTATAGCCTATGGAGCCCATATCTGGAGCGCCGAATAACATATGTGGGGTGCCGGATGGTTTTCTCGTTAAGAAGCTGTCAACGAAAAGCAGGGAATAAAATAAATCAGATTGATTAAAAATAGGAATAAATAGAAATATCATGTAGGACATAAGACAGAGGCAAGCTATTCAAATAAAACCACAAAAAAAGGCCGAATTAGATCCCTAGACTTGCGCCCTCATCAAATGTTTGTTTTTGTAATTTCTGGCGCGTGCATCCTTCACTTCCTTTGAAAGCTAAAAACATCCTATTCGCTACCGAAATGCCTCCCATACCTATGCAATCATGCTGTGTTAAAGATTGAGTATTCGGAAGATTTCTGACGTTCACACAACGTCTGATACATGTGATGGGCTGCTTCCCTTCGGCGTCTGCGTCTCATATACCTCTGACGATGTAGAAGCGGTGGCAGCCACATCCTCATTTGCACTCTGTTGCAAAATCGGTTGCAGAGTGTTCGGTTCATCCTTGCAAGTCTCGTGAGAATTGCCCATGGGTGCCGGACTGACTTGAGCTGAAACAATCGCCGTACTCTCCAGATCTACATCGCTGTCTTTCTCGTGGAATCCCGTTGATACATCCTTGCTCTCGACAAAGCTAGGATTCTCAGCAGATGGCTTGTTACTTGTCTTGACACGTGGCTCTGGAACAACTTCATCTTCTGAGACAGCTTCAGCCTCTGGGATAGCTTCAGCCTCTGGGACAGCTTTGTCATCAGAGACATCTTTGTCTTTTGGGACAGCTTCAGCCTCTGGGACAGCTTCAGCCTCTGGGACAGCTTCAGCCTCTGGGACAGCTTCAGCCTCTGGGACAGCTTCAGCCTCTGGGACAGCTTTGTCATCAAAGACATCTTTGTCATCAGAGACATCTTTGTCTTTTGGGACAGCTTCAGCCTCTGGGACAGCTTCGTCCTCTGGGACAGCAGAGATATCTTTATCCTCTGGAACGGATTCATCCTCTGAGACATCTTTGTCCCCTTGAACGTTGGGTTCTACGACCTGAGCTGTCGACGAGTCATCGTTCTTGCGGTTTGACATCTTCTCCTCGTCAGTTGGCCCGGATTCCACAATTGACGCGTCCGTGGTGGCTTCGCTTGCTGGCTTCCCTTCGCAACTCTTTGCCTCTTTTGACCTTTGTTCTGCCTCAATTTTGCTTATTTCGGACCGAATCCACTCAACTCGATGTTGATGGTAGGTCACTCTTGCCTTGGCCTCCTGATATTTCTGCTCGCGATCACGAGCAGCTCTGGAGTGAGCTGGATCTGGTTGCGGGATCCTTTGTTCTTGTTCTGCCTGTCCCTGATTAACCCGCGTCTCGGACTGCTTCTGTTTTTTTGCTGTCTGTTCATGTGTCTCTTTCTGGTAGTCAGTCGCTGTCGCGTCTCCCTCGGGTTCATAGGCTCGCTTATGCTGAGATGTGGTACTTTTAGCAGAAGTCGCCATCACTTCTGCCTTTGCAGATCCCTCCCGCTCAGCTGCAGGCTCTGGGCGCATCCCCTGCGTAGATCGGCTAAGTAGGTGGAGGTCAAAGCACTTGAACCCGAGATATTCGACAAACGTTGTCCACTGGTCTTGCTGTTCCATGTCAAGATACAGCTGGAACGGTTGGACAAATCCGTAGTGTTCAAGAAGCTTCTTCATAGCGCTATTATACTTGAGAATGGCATCCTTCGCTTCATCCTCGGTATCACATCGCGGTGGCTGCGATTGGCCATGTTCGCGCTCCCATAGTCTGCGCCGCACCTGTTCGTATTCAGCCCCGCGTCTAGACGTGTCAGCTTCCCCCAGCATCTGTTCGTGGCGGCGTTGCTGGTCGAGATACTCTGGAAATCCAAGGATGCGTCCTCTATGCCATAGCTGCGACACGCGAAACTCTTGCCAGCGAAATAGCTGCCTATGGAACACTTCCCAGTCGGTAGGGTGCGGTGCATCTGGATACAGTCTCCACGGCCATAGTAGGTCGTAATATTTGTCCACGTTTGCCGCGATTTGCGGAAGAAGTTCAATGTCGAACAGTGGCCGGCCGCCCTCTTCGAGAAGAGCTTCATAGCACCTGGCTTGATACTCTTGCGGCCCAACCGGTGCTTCGAACTCATAATCTTCTGGTGATGCCGAGGGGCACATACGTGGTATCGGTGAGCCTCTTTCTGAAGGTACTTGGGCCAGTCGTGCAGCGAGGTCTTCGGGATCAACTGAATGGGTTATGGCTTTCCGCATGGCCGCTCTAAATGATTCATGTCAGGCCGAGTCGTAATGGATTATTACGTGGCATTGTAGACGATCAACTCACTGCAGTTTATCGTCCAGGAGGTCCCTCTTTTCCTGAGACACATGTTCCCAGTCGGGGATATTGTCGATGAGCAATGTTTCGTGTTTCTTGTCGTAGTTCTCCTTGACAAATTCTTCGAGCACCTCTGGCGCAACGCTGAGAGCTTCGTCGACTGGAAGCAGTCTCACAAATTTCAGAGGCTCCATTTCTCACAGGTGAATAGGATTACTGCCTTTTGGCGTGATTTAAGGAACTTGGGAGGTAAATAAAGAGATAAGTGGCGTTTCCTCTTGGTCAATTGGGTAGGTGGTATTTAAGGTCAGATCTGTTGTGAAAGAAACGGGCACACCGGCACGAGCCAAACAAAGGAGATGCAAACACAAATGCGGCCACCTCTGCACGTGAGGGACAAAGAGTTGAGCGCAGGCCAAGTGCCACAGGTCCAGCGCACGATAATATTACCATTTTGTACTACAGGTCTAAGCCAATCCAAGCAAGATGTATTTTGTCAACTCTAAATAACATTTCTCCGCAGCTATCAGATTACCAGCAAGGCTTGCTTCCTGCACGCTTCTGCACGCGTCTGCACGCGTCTGTACGCTTCTACACGCTTCATCAATCTTCTCGCTCGCTCGCCTTGGGTCGCTTCATGATTCTTTCCAAAGGATTTGGTGACCGCGGGCCCCTAAAATTTCACGTCAGCTTCGGTGTTACATGCCTACATATACTGAGGTACGCAGAGGTCTTCTGCTTTGGATGAGGTACGTGTACTTACATGGCAGCGCTTGGTCTCTTGAGGGAGGCCGGTGCTTGAGATTCGTTGCCCATCAGAGTCTCTATCTCTTCTATTGTCATCTCGGCGTCATCGTCATCGTCAAACTTGGACCACTCCATGGTTGAAAGAAGCGATTCTTCCGCAGGCGCTGCATGTGCCGATCCTGACGTGGTCAATGATTGCTCGACTCCTTCTTGGGGCTCGGCGTGATGGCCTGGGACAGTTGTTGAAGCTGTCTCAGAATCTTCATCATAGTCTTCGTCTAGAATCTCCCCAAAGGTAGATTCATAGAAGAGGCTGTCTTCCGGGTTGCGAAACTTGGGGAGAAATTGTCCGATATGAACCATTGTTGTTTCGGCCTGGGGAGGTGGCGCCTTGGCAGAGCTGGCACATTGCTCAGGATTGCTGATAATGTATCTGCTTAGTGACGAGCCTCCAACACCCAAGCTGCTACTTGTCGTTCCGATCTGATCGTCGAGCCTTTGGACGCCTCCTGGGACGATGGTACCCTCGTCATCTTCGCGTCCAGTCGAGCAACTGCCACCGTCGGCGTCATAGTTTTGCTCTTGGGCTCGAGCAAGTAAGCCCAATGCTCCTTTGTAGCAATCCGCAGCAGTCATTCTGTCACCTGGCTCCAGACGAAGCATCGAGTCCAGAACGAACGATAACATTTCATCATCCTCGGCTCTACTCTTCATTGCCACCCTCTCGCAGATCGTTTCGCACCAGTCCAATCCCATGCTATGCCTGCCATATTTGGGCAGCCCACACAAGAGCTCAGCGAGTACGATACCAAGTGACCAGACATCAACAAGGGCCGTATAAGGCTCCCTTTGACATCTCTGGATAGCGTTTGCTCCCATATATATCTCAGGCGCTAAGTAACGATATGTGCCGCACATAGTCCTCAGAATGTCTCCTTCGTGGGCAAGCCCGAAGTCTGCAAGGTTGATAAATATATCATTGGGACGGCGATGGAGAATAAGAATGTTATTTGGCTTGATGTCTCTGTGCACAATTTGCGGATCGCTCAAGTGTAGGTAAGTGAGAGCATCCAATGCCTGTACGAGAATCTGTCCGCATTCGACGCGGGAAAAGTGGTTGTTGGCTTTGATATGGTCGCTAAGTGTGCCTTCAGACATATATTCAAGTCGCAGCCACGCGTTTGGTGGTGGGGATACGCCGAGAAAAGATACAATGTGTTTCTAGTCACAGGTTAGCAATATCCGCAAAACGAAGATAAATCTCTCTATACTAACATGCTTGGCCCGCTTCATGATAAAGGCCTCGTTCTCCCATTGCTCCCTATCGACCGACATCGGTTCTTTCGGTTTCTTTAAAGCATATTGCAACCCCGTATCGACGATCCAAACACGAAAGACGCACGCGAACGATCCCTCGCCAATTTTCTTCTGAAGGGTCACATACTTGGTAGGCCTTTTTGCAGACGTGTAAAAGCCTGATGGAAGTGTGGTTCTGGCCTGGCTTGAGAGGCCAGCATTGCCAAGGCTGAGGATTCGTCGGACATCCGCACATTCAGCACGGTATCGATCGACTTTGTCCCTATAAAGCTTGGATTGAATATCGTGACGCGGTATGACGAGTGTGAAATGCAAAATATTGTGCACTTTGACACCAATAGAGCCCATTCCTTCAAGAAAATCACTTCCGCCAACAATCCAGCTAAAGTTGGACCACGGGCCCCGTTCAGCCTGCCCATACATGACCGTGGTCCCGCTCGTAGACCCCAAGTCCCGAACAATAAGACGATAGCTGTCGTCAAACGTGAGGGAAAAGTGATAGAGTCCAACGCCTTGAAGGGGACGAAAACGGAGCTCAGCATCCTCACCATGTCCGCACCTTATGCCATGGCGAGTTTTAGGAATGTGGTCGAACGTCACCTTGATACAAGCTTCGTATTCGAGGGGATTTCGGCCCCCTTTGTTCGCCGTTTGCCTGCCACGTCCTTCATCACGTCCTTCGAATGTTCCTTCATACAGTGTCTCTCGATCTTGGAGGTTAAAGCGCCGCGGAGGTGTATATCCTGGGTGCCCCTTATTTAGCTCTATGGCCCTTTGCGCTCCATTTTGCCCTATAGTTCCAAGAGCCGGGTATATGTAGGCTATGATATTGCCGTCGTTGTCGTGCATGGCGATGAGTAGCAATAGATCTTTCGAGATCGATTTGTAGAAACGATTATTCCGTAGAGAAGAGAATAGGAGCGTTACTGTAATGGTCAAAGGCTGTGTCGGAGTTTGGAACTCATACGGCGATTGTGATGTTTTTCAAGAGTAAGATGGGCAAGGAACGAGCTTCGGGAAGAGGCATCAATGTAATATATGAATAATAAACGTTGTTTGAATCTGCATGTCGTACAAAAAGATTATTCTTACGGGAGGACACGCAAACGAGCATAGAAAGCCCCATAGTGTGAGACAATGTGCGGGTAGTGGTGGATTCGTGAGTCACGAGGATAATGAAAGTATATTTCGACAATTATTCTCGTTGTTTGTGATGCCACAACTGGCGGATTGGTGGGCTAGAGAAGTCATTTCTATAATGCTGCTATTCAGAAAGGCACTGAAACAGACTGGCCCTGGTGACGGCTCCGCTTGCCATAAGTGTAGAGTCGTGTTTGTCCGAATGTGCCACAGACCAGGGGCGAGAGACCAAACGGCTCGAATTGAACTTGTGATCCATCAAATGGTACGAACAGCCATCTAAAGTTAAGTCATTCAGCAAGTCTTTTTTATATCTGTGGTGCAAATATAGGCAAACCAAAGTTATATTTTCCCGAGGTAGACGACGGCGCTTTCTGGCGCTTTTTAGACAAATTCATAGACTCATCAAAAGGATTCAATCTCTTCTACGAGAAACCTGTTCACAGCCACTAATAATTAAGTCAAAGATGCGTCCCCGAGCTAACAGTCCTCTGCGTGTGGTGAATATCTAGCAATGAATCACCGCCAACCGTTTGACCAAGATATCATGTCAGCACGCCACTCCTAATGTGATGGGCACCTGCAGGCCTATTGGCAGTTTCACAGGTGCACCGACTGGCAAAAGTTTGAGTGAATGGAGAGCAAAAAGCCCTCCCATCCTTCCGCCACGGCCGCGGGACAGCCCGTGTGCAAACAAAGGAGCAAAGAAGTGAATAGCGGTGCCTTGTTCTTTTTCTGTTTGAAATGGGCCCAGCGCAAAACCACAAGTTTCGTAAGTACAAGAAGGGAAGAGTTGTCCAGCGCCCTAATTTCATCGTCCAGCACCCATTGTAGCTCTACGGGGTAGCCAGTCCACGTATTTAAACACATATTACCACAACTACCAAGTACATTCAAAGGTAGCAGCATCAGTAGCATCAGTAGCATCAGCAATTCTACCTATAAGACTTCGTTCGTTCTCCTCTCCCTCTGATCCGGTAATCTATCTCCACAGAGGATGCAAGATTCTTTACTCTCCAAGCTTAATGACGACTTTTCCAATCTGTTTACCCTGCCAGACGAAGTCAATAGCCTCTTCTGCCTTTCCGAATTCCCATACTGAGTCGATAATATCCTCAAAGGTCATCTTCGCAGCTGAAATCGCCGCCATGAGATCTTCTTGGTCGTCTTTGGAGCCACAGTTGATTCCCCTAGCATCAACATTAGATCAGTCCAGGATCACGGCGGACTTAAGATACTCTACTAACCTTATGTTCAGTCTGCGGTCTATGATTGTGGAAACAAACTCCTTCAGATGTTCAGACTTTGGACCCCCAAGGTAGCCGACCTGACTGACAACACCACCACGCCGGGTGCATAGCATGCTCTTGACGAGAGAAGAGCTGCCGCCATTCTCGACAACAAGATCGACACCAATGCCGTTTGTGAGCTTTAGGACCTCCTCATGCCACTCCGGATTCGTCTTGTAGTTGATGGTCTCGATGTCGGGCTTTCCAAATTGCTCCTTTACCGTGTTGAGCTTGTCGTCGCTTGAAGAGGTTAGGATGATCCTAAGGCCTGAGGCTCGGGCAAGCTTCAGAGCAAAGGTCGCAACGCCACCAGTACCTAGCAACTAATGTTAGCCAGCAAACAGCATGAGCTGCTGGGGGAATTACCCTGAATCAAGACTGTTTGGCCCATGGCAGCACCTTTGAGTGCAGACCAAGCTGTTGTTCCAGCGCAAGGGATGATGCTCGCCTGTACCCAGTCCAGATGCGCGGGAAGCTTCGTGACTAGCTTTTCATCGAATACAAGATGTGTTGCCAGCGTTCCATCTTCGTTTGCCGCGAGCCAAGATCGCCCGGTCGAGCGAGCACTCACGTACTCGGAATCGGTGATGGGAGCTACTCTGTCTCCCACAGACACGAGCGACACTCTGTCACCGATTGCGATAATCTCGCCAGCCGCATCATTACCAGGCACGCCATTGGGAATGACCGGCCAAGGGTTACCGCCGTTTGCAATGTTGGCATCACGATAGTTGAGAGAGACAGCGCGGACCTTGATCAGAACAGCGGTTGGGTGGAGAGGAAGCGGCAAGACTTCAGTGACAAGCTTCACCTTGGCGCTGCCTGGGGTATAATCGTCCGTCCTGCAGAAGGCTTGGCGGGAGGTTACTGAAGCCATTGCGGCTTTGATGTGAATAAACGATGTTCAATGTTTGTTGACTGTGTGTAAATGACTAGGTGCCAAATGTGATGCTCAGCGTTTGAAGACTAGATTTCTCATTGGTCTGGTTATATCGATGACATTTCGGAGCGGATTCAATAGTACAAACGCGATGCCACGGTTTTGACGACTTGACAAATACATTCTCATTCATCAATCTTCATTATTAATGATCGCTTCTTGCACCATACCGAAACCCCACCTCGGCCTCTAGAGGCTCTTTACCCCGATGTGGACCGACCCAACCCGAAGTCTTTGGACCCGACCTGATACGAAGCCGTATCACCAGCGGCGAATTTCGTTTTTATACTTGCCATACCGGGTTTATGCGTAGACGGGCGTTGGCGATCTTTGAATTCGCTGTGTTGCCGTTATTTCATACAAAACATGATGACGTATTGAAGATGCTTGAGCTCCAGCTTCCCCACTTTATCCGGGTCAGCTATCAAAGACTGCCTTGTATGGATGGAAGATACTTCAGCTTACAGTCTCTTTCTTTTGGAACGCAGACTGCTAAAATAGAATGGCTATGAGCTCAGCAATCATATACGAGAGCAAGGCAATTACGAATCGTCAGAGAAAAAAGGTGTCTACATCACCTTTCGAGTGATCTACTATTCACCTCTTGCAAAGCGCCAGGCCCTCATGCAAGCAATGAACAAACAGCACTACACAAGTCGTAAGACGTAAATTCCTCATCGCGAATATTCTAAATAATCAACGGCAATGACAACAATCTTATTTCTTACTGGAGTAATATTATGCAGTCACTATCAAGCGTCAACTTCTGTATAGGTAGCCTTAACAGCGCAGAAACCCTGCCTTAAGCTGGTGCCTCACATATTGGTGGAAGGCCCCTCCCTCATTGGCAGCACTCAGGAAACCAGACTGATAGGTGAGAGAGAGCAAGGGATACCAATATTTTCGATACTGTCGCAAATTCTCATGCACACTTGTGACGGGATGGGTACCCAAATCTCTGCCCGACTGTTTGCTCTTTTGTGCAATCTAGTTCTAACACCGAACACTTTCCCACCACTACATCTCGTCCAATTGCAACAGCTACTTTCAGATTTGTATGATAATTCAAGACTTTTTTTTTATACTGACTACTTATCAAGCTATAGCTTGGGGGCTATAAAATATGCGGCTTATCCTTGTGGCACCTGGCTAGCTGCATTAGCCTGAAGCTCATTGGCGAAATCTTCCGTGGCCAGACGCAATAACACGTTGAGCATTGGTATGCTAACTAATGTATATTATGTCTTAGTAAGTCACCATTTCCGGGGCGCCCCCTAGGCACACGGGACCGTACAACCGCACGGGACCCTTAGTCAGCAAAAGCCTGCTATAACAGCCACTGTAATTTTCTTCTAGCTGCCCTTAATGCTATCTTTCTGGGCTACTGCTTTTATCTCTTAGCACACATACTTTTGCACCTCTTCTATGGCCCTCTAAATGGCATTTACTACAGGTAGGCAACTGCTTTTCTAGCTGCTTTTCTAGCTGCCTTGGCTCCCTTTCCAGCTCCTTTTCCAGCTCCCTTTCCAGCTTTTTTTCCAGCTCCTTTTCTAGCTCTTCTTCCTCCAGTGGGCTTGGAGAGTATTGTGGTAGTAGTAGCTGGCTTGGCGGATAGCTTGGCTGTAGGCATAGGTGTGCTGGCTTAGTTGGATGATTATGGCTGTAAAATCGGGCCTCTGTTCGATGCCGAATCACCCAAAGGCCACTATCGCGATCGGCAACGTTGACTGAAAATTGGCAACCTTTGCGAAATTGGTTACACGAATAGAGTAGCTTCCATCGATCAGAGTGTGCGATATAATTAGACCTTCGAATAATCCACTTATAACCACCAATTGCTGCATAATAGTCTAGATTAAGCTCTAGGTCTTCCCTAGATTGATAGAATTGTTCAGGGGGAAAAGAGGCTGTATTCATGATAGCAGGGTAAGTGCATAAAGAAGATAGCTATAGGAGGCAGCTAGAAGAAAATTACAGTGGCTGTTATAGCAGGCTTTTGCTGACTAAGGGTCCCGTGTGGTTGTACGGTCCCGTGTGCCTAGGGGGCGCCCATTTCCGGAACTGAATAGATGCGCGCTCACATGCATTCATGCATCTACTATTTGCTGCATCTCTTTCCCCCTTGCATTGTTAGCGGACTTTAGACTCTGAGCTATGAGTAATATTGATGTACACACGTAAGAATAAGAATAAGAGAAGCATTACATAGACTCAGACGAGTAAGAAAGAGGCTGGGTGTTGGGTTAGGAGAGAAGGTGTAAGGACGAAGAGCGCGATAGAAAAGCCCCTTCGCCTCCTGGCAAGAGAAGAATAAGACTTCATCTTTGATTCAACTTCAAATTACACTGAGTCGTCAATATTCTTCCCCGTTTAACTTATACCAATACTACCTTCATCATCCTCTTCGCCAAACCATGTCTGACTTCACTCTTAGACGCCGTGCAGAATGGACGCCTCACAGACGCGTTATTCTAGCGTGGCCAGGCTTGGAAGGAATCCTTAAAGATTACCCAGAGATGTTAGCAAAGGCAACGCAAGAGGTCTCAACTCTTGCAGCGGCCATTGGCCAATTCGAACCCGTCACTGTCGTCGTGGGCGCTGAACGCATTGAAGAAGCCCAAGCACATTTCGCCGATGTCAATACTCCTTTTCCCATTGAGACGCGACAATTTGAAGGGTCGGAAATGGATGTCTGGACAAGAGACTTTGCGCCAGTATTTGTTATCAAAGAAGGCCCTGGAAGTAGCCGCAACGTCGTTGGCGTTGACTATAACTTTAATGGCTGGGGGGACAAGTACCCCACGCCCACAATTACTGAATTCGCGAAGAAGTTTCTGAGTGAAGAGAATTATGGGTGGATTGAAACGTCCATTGTGACCGAAGGTGGTGCGCTGGAGACGGACGGCGATGGAACTCTGCTGGTCACAGAGAGCTCCATTGTCAATGACAACAGAAACCCTGGCAAGAGCCGCCAAGAGATTGAAGATGAACTTATTCGCACTCTTGGAGTTGAGAAAGTCATCTGGATTCCCGGAAGGTCAGGCCTTGACTCAACTGATTGCCACATCGACGCTCTGGCCCGCTTCGCCCGTCCAGGTGTCATCCTCGTGAGCAAGGCCAACGAGGTGAAGCCAACCGACTGGACGGTAGTTTACGAAGAGACTCTTGAAGTCTTGAGCTCTGCCACCGACGCAAAAGGCCGTCCATTTGAGATTATTGAGGTGGAGGAGCCTGATGAGGAATGCTTCGAGCCTCCCCCCAAAGGCGTCAAGGGCGTCAAGGGCATCGAAGAAGAGCGCGCCGTGCGCAGTTATGTCAACTACTTTCTTCCCATTGGAGGTGTCATTCTGCCTCAGTTTGGTGATCCGGCGCACGATGCTGCCGCCATTCGGGTTGCGCAGCAAGTCTTTGGCGAGGAGAGGATGATCTACCCCGTTCTCATCGAGCAGCTGCCCATCTTGGGAGGCGGTATTCACTGCGCCACTCAGGAAGTTCCATTGTTTCCCTAGAGTGGAGGTACTGTTTCTTGATAGATCTTAATGGATATCTTTGCTTGCTTCTGATCTTAGTTGAAGATAGCTGCTGCTGTAGTGTAGTGCTCGCAAATAAAATCCCAGGTTAAGCTCTCAGGACGAGAAAACTACGACAACGCTTCAATTATAGGCATTACTCGTCCATATATAATTGTGTAAAGCTGTAGTCTCAGTAAAGTTCGTGAAATTTGCACTTGAAAACTACACTAGCTCAATGCTCTGCCGGTCCGACTCCTTGAAATGTCTCTCCAAGCGCCCTGTTGGGCCTGGCTTGTCCACGGTATCGTCAATTGAATAGCAGGTTATATCACCATATCCGAGTCGTTCATAGCGCGGAGGATCAGTTGTCGCCAATCTCAAGACAAGAAAACTATCACGGTATTGATATGCTTTCCCATCCTTGTGCCGAAAGATGATCTGTTCGATATGAGCTACTTTGACAGCATATTCTGATCCCAGCGGTAGTTCATATTCGATTGTGGGGAATTCTTGCCAAACACAGCTTCCATTCACTTCAATTGTTGCATTTCCCTTTTTGGTGAAAGAAAGCATGCCTTCCTGCGCAAAAGTTGAAATCACTAGCTTCGCGTACTCAAGTTTCGACGTAAAAGCCGGGCCGCTCCATTTCTCCTTGTATTCTTCAACCCAAAGAGACGGAATTACTTTGTCACTAAACGAAACATCTCTGAGCCCAGTCCCATATGCACCGCGCGGAAGCATGCATAACCAAGACCAAGATGGAAAATTGCTTGCTGGGCGTGAATGCGACGGCTGAGTGCCCTTGAACGGACGACCCTGAATAGCCCAATTCAAATCGGCATGCAGCGTTTCTTTCCACAGCCCAAGCATGGGCGTATGTCCGGTAGCAGACTTGTAATAATTAATTAAGCCTGCTGCTGCCGCCGCCGCGTCGGAAAGAAAGGTGAGCTCGCGCGTCGCATATGACCTCAACCACATCTGCCATAAAGAATAAGCCCGGACCTTGCTTGTAAAGTCGAAGCCGTTTGCGACAGTAAAGCCGTAATCCAGCGCTGGCATCACATTCTCTACAGACCATGCTCCATCTTCTGATTCGAAAAGCTCTCGGCATTGCCACATGATTTGATCGGTTGTAAAATATACTGTTCTTGGCGCTAGTGCGACTTCCTGGAGGACCCAACCCCTTGTAAAGTATGGAGAGGATTTGTGGGACAGAAGTTCGCGATATTCTTCTTTTTGTGACGAGGGCCTGATCATCAGTTCTTGGTCGGCTTCGTCTGCTGCGTTTCGTACTGTTGTGTCGGTTGAGCGATATCGAATCACGGCAGTAGGTATAGCCTTGGAAATATAGAGGGAAGAGAGATCGACCATGCCTCCATGAGCATCATGTGCAGCAGAGGCAGCAAGATTTATATAACTTTGACGGTAAATATCTGCCATCTTGGCTGCCTCAATTTCCCAGTCATTGGAGTTGTCTTGGATGATGCAGAGAGAGTCAATCCATATGTACTGGACACCAAGCTTGATGGCGATCAAGACTGCATCCCTGAAATTTAGGTTCAAATCATCTAATGGTATACCTTTTTTCCTAGTCAGTTAAATGTACCAGAATTGTATTTGCAAAGATGATATACCTTCAAAGTGACGAGTTATATTGTCGGAAATGGTTTTGAGTGGTGGCTTGGACGTCCTGGGCCCCCAGCAGTGACTGAGGGTAGCATAACGAACATCTACGTCGACAGCAGTAGAAGTCTCAACCAATCTGACCACTTTCGATCGTTCGACGTCTTTCAAGTCCAGAAGCCTTCGCGGCATAATGGATGGTCTTTCCACACATCGCGTATGATGACAGTCGCAGTATGATAGCCATACCGAGATGGCCTTGAGGCGAGACTCGAACGATGGTAAATTCTCTTGCCACATAACTCTGCTTCTGATGCCTATTCCCACTTCAGCATCGGCTATATCGAAGTCGTCATTATGTAGTTGGACTCACTCTCAGGATGTGCAAGATAGTACACCGGGTCTCTAGGGCCTGCGCTCGGAAATGGAAGGTCTTCCACCCAGGTGACATTGATCAAACGTCTTCCCGAACTGATTTTGACTTCTGCGAATATTTTGTATGACACTTCAGTTGGCTCATGGCCGTTATAACGTGGTTTCCCGTTCAAAACATCTCGGAAAACATATTGACAGAGTGGGCATTGAGCCGCTGAGGCTTCGAGAGCTTCAAAGCTCGGTTTGTAAGGTATCACAAAGTAGGCGTCTGATGATAGATTTGGAGTTTTTGTCCAGCTAATGAAGTTCTGGCAAGGTGAGCAGAGGAAGGAAGAAGGCATATCTGCAGCCATTCTGAGGTGTTTTTGGTCGCTGAAAGTTGAGCCCTAGAAAGATAGTAATGGTATCGCGCACCAAAACATGTTTCGTGGAAAGGAAGCAATGGACTGCTGGAAAAGTAAAAAGAAAGAAGAGGAAAAAATAGCAAAAAATAACCGCCGTGATATCCCAGCCAGATGCTTGTATAGGAAAAGCCCAATGCGGGGGTCGAACCCGCAACCTTGAGATATCGCATCGCCAATTCAGAGCGTGTGATTTAAGAGTCTCACGCTCTACCGATTGAGCTAACCGGGCGCTTACATAAGCAAGCTGGCTAAGCTCCAAGCGGTTGCTGCTTGTTGGAAGTTCTGCGATGCTATGTGGATTATGAAGCTTCGTCATGGCGATGCGCCGACATTGGCAGAGAACACAAATTACTTCATAGTCACTTTCTAGCAAGACAACGATAGATTTATTAGAGAGAACAAGGCTTCAATGTCATTGCTGCTATACAGCTTGTTAGCAGATCTGAGCACATGGAGATTACATATATTCCACAAACTACATATGTTCGCTATCGACAGCTTCGCTTGGCTTATAATTGAGACGACCTTGACTCATGAGACAAAGTATCGAGGTCTCATATCGCTTTCTATAAGACTATAGAAGAATCCTTCTCATTTCGTGAATAGTTTGGGACTAGAGGGATATTATGGACTGTATCCATCGGCGCTCGGTCGAGATTTTAGAGCCGGGTAAGAGTCCGTGTATACAGAATGGACAGCGTAAATGGCATAAAATCATCTGCAAACTGACATACATGGAAGACCATCTACATAAAGAACTATCTATCTGCCTCTAAGCAGTTAATAAAAATAGTAAGGAATAAGGATTATATATTTTAACACAAGGTACCCAGCAGTTGAAACTAGAAATAACAATGTTATTTCTTCTTCGGCTTTGGCTTCTAAATCAGCACCTTTTTCAATAAGCAACCATCCCACTCCCACATGTTCATACTTCGAAGCAGCAATTGGGGCTGTACAGCCATCTCCGTCCACGATATTCACATCAACTCCCTTGGTAAGACGTTGCCTAACCACCTTGGTAAGCCCTTTTGCAGCGGCCCATATAAGTGCCGTTGCACCACCGAGAGAAACGATGGAATCATCGATACGTTGAAGCTTATTCCACTGTTTCTGTAGATTTTCCCGCTGGTCAGACATGTTTCTCAATTTTATCTCCATCTCCACTCGCTTGTTTGTCACAATAGATCGCGTTTTAGCATATTCTTTCTCCTTCTCCATAAGTGCCTTTTGTTTCTCTTTAAGCACCCCAATATTGGCTGAAATGTCCTCTTGCTCTTTCTTAAGTTTTTTTATATTGATATCATAAACATTTATTATGCCTTTTAAGTCCAAATTTGCTTTTTCGGCTGCTTCATTTTCGTCCAGGAGTCGTAAAGATTCACGTATAAACGTCTTCTCCTTCAGTTCCACTGTTGTGTCGATTGGTCCTGGTCGTATTTCGAAGCATGGCTGTCGCTTGACACGTTCTAGAGCAACACGCAAAGTGATTAACTCATTGTGAGCTCGCTTTTGTCCGTCGATATTTTTCATCATAGGCGCAAGATTGAGATCCTCTGACAAGACATTCCTGCTGCATATGGAGATCAAGGACTCTGCTAAGTATTCAGAGTTGAACTTTCTGTACCTAAGAATCACAACCAAGTCCTCAGACTCTTGGTTATTGTTGCGGAGCCGAACGAATATATGGTGTAGGGAGTTGTCGTTGCTGGATGTAGATATAATTAAAGACCGCTCCTTGTCCCAGCACAATCGCGGCACCACATCAATCATTTTGAGATTGATATCTGAAAAATCTTTATCTTCGTAGTGAAAATAAAGCAAATTTGAGTCAGTTGGTGCCCTTTCATGGCTTTCATGCTTGATTTGGATTTTTTTTGGAACGGTTGCAGGTAGCATAATTGAGTGCAAGGACAAGTTGTATCCTCGAGGCCTGATGTATTCGTCCGGTAGTCCTGTAGAAGTTTTGATGAGAGGTATTGCAACGACTTGCTGCGCGTCATTCTCTGGCCCGCAGCTAAGTAGCCCAAACATCTGGCCAGTAGGAGTAATATGGAGCGGCAAATGAGCTCGAACGCTACCCCCAGATATGTCGACTGCTCTGGTGTATTGTAAAGATTGTTCTCGGCGTATGATATGTCCAGAGTTTGCAAATTCCAGGGGTGTCTTTGCCATGACTCTACCCGCCACGGCTCTGCCTGTCGAATTGGCAGATTGTATTTCATTGACAGATTGCGATTTCGTAATTCCCCATGCCAGTATGGAATCATCTTTAATAACCTTCATAATCTGTTCTTGCAGCCGAAAGAATGCTTGATCACGACCTTCCCCATAAATCATCGGCATTGTAATGTCAAAGATTCCCAAGAGGCAGTATGCAAGATCTTCCTTTCGTTTTGTCTCTCTATGTGCCGCCCATGACATTCGCTGCGCAACACTTGCAGTGTGAAGCTGGGCAATGCCTAATAGGTATTCGCGCGGTATGCCCGTAATTGACTCAATGGTGGTACTCATGTTTCCTTTTGTCCCTAATAGGCGCCAATCTCGAATCGCATTGCCATTGGCGGTATCTTGCGCGCTGCATGTGCCAGAAGAAGTAATAGTGCCGTAGAATCGTAATATTTTGGGTGCAACAAGCTCTTGAAGAGTCCAACCCCTTTGAAACCACCGGCTTTTCTGGAATTTGGAGTCTTTTTCCTGTGGGTTCTCATTGCTTGGAACGTCGGATAAGAAAGCGTAGCAGATAGCAGCCTGCCGATACCATCGGAACATGGAGTTTATCGCCTCGCTGAGTTCAACGAAGTTTGTCTTGTCGATGCAGCAGGTATCAATCCAAGCGTAGCCAATCCCATCTTTGATGGCTTGTTGGCAACATCCTCGAAATTTGATAGCTCCTATGCCTGGCTTTTCTATATTTCTCGCCTCAACATCGCGAAAGCTGAGCTCTTCAGAATCGCTGCCCCAGGTATGTGAAAGTATAGCATAAGGAGGTACACAAAAGTCGGGAAATTCCTCTATTGCAAAAGTCTTGGCGTTAACAAGTCGCATTGTGAGGCTTCGCGTGGAGGTTAATTGAGAGATTATCAAACTAGCGTCTGATGCTTGTACTATGTTTAGCCTCTGAGGTATGCTATATAAGCGGGAAGAGCGCCCATTTATATATTCATGAACAAGTAATCTCATGCTCATTGGTATGGGGTAGCTGGCGACAAGGGGTGGGAAGTATACTCCACTGCAAAACCCTACCAGGTACAGAGGCCATGCACCGTACATACCTGCATGCCTAGCTACATGTAGCTACATGCAGTATGGTCACAAATCGATACACGAATCTACTTGATGTCACTCTCTCAGCGAAGAATTACTACTATGTTGCCGGTGGACTTTTAGCCAAATAACCACAGCAAGAGGGACGATGCCCGGCCCGATCTCTTCGGAGAAGAATTTCGACATCAAAATTGTGCCCAATGTGGGTCAGTGGGCAGTTGGGGAAAAGGTCTCGGAGCAGTTTCACTTCTATTGTTGCCACTTCTATTATTGTCAGTCTTCGGCCGGTAGCAAGAAACAAAGACTGTAAGTATCATCAGTCTTGATAGCAGGCTTGGGCGAGCAAACCCGGCCCTGGAAAGTATACCCACGCTCTCAGCCGTATGATAGATATATGTAGCAGATGTAGCAGATGTATATACATGCGTGTACAACCTACATGTGGTAGCTGTCACAGGCTCCCTGCATAGGTACCTAGGTAGTACAATCACTCGCACCCAACCATGCTACGCGTTCGCAACGAGATGATTGGTAATCCCAGGCGGAGAAGTGAGGTTCAAAATTCGCAATGGCCATAGGTTTGAAAAAAACGGAAACACAGTTCGCCGGTACGGCCAAAGGCGCTCTCCTTCGACAGCTGAGTTTCAATAAAGACCTGCCAGCCTAGCACATGCAGCCATACATCATCATCGGCGATTCCAAGGGTAGATGTTGGATTTCCGTCTGCCGCTAGTGCTGTGAAAGGAGGGAATGTGGCATGGGAAGGGTCTCAGTCATGCGTGTTTCCAGTTCTTCAATTCGCTGGATTTCTTCTTTAGGGGTGGGTATGACAAGTGGCTTAATGCCATGAAGAAGAATATCGTGGCTAGAGGGGCAGTGCATTTCCGGTCAGTGGATTCAGAGACGCATGTTCAAGGCACTGGGACTTTGGCCATAGTAGCCTGCTTGTGCGCGATCATCTGCGGCAGCGATGGCGAAGTTATTTCAAGCTTCTTATTCAACCGTTTTTGTAAATTATTTTTCCATTTTCGCGCTCCAGCAAGTATTGATTCACAAAAAAATGTATGTTGTTTTATTTCAGGCAGTTTTGCCCTTTCTTTTGAAAATTATTTACAGTATGCTACGACAGAACGTAGGAAATTTTGTTCACCACTGAGCGGCTACTTTATCGTCAGGGATTCTTTCAAAGGCAGCGTTGTTAATAGTTAAGGTATATAAACTGTTGCGAGGCAGCAAAATCCACGATGCGAGGGGGCTGATTCTTAGCTACATGTAGGTACTTAGCGGCTTACTTGTGGAGTGCCAGCGCCACTTGGTTACATCGTGAGCAGATAAAGGCGGCAGCTAAAACTTGGAAGGATTTAGCCTCGATTCGCGAGTTCTTGATTTTATACTTCAGATGTGGAAGAGAGAAGACATGGACGGTGGGGGATGCGTTACGCGCGGAGAGCAAATCACATTGCAATGTCGTAAAAAGCGCCCGAGTTAAGGATCACGTAAGAGCTTTTTCGGTGTCAGGGCGAGTACGAGAATAAAAGTAGTTTGGATAAAGGTTGAAGGAGTATAGACTATGATCGCCCAAACCCCAGATGGCAACGCGTGTTCGGTCTTCCAAGCAAGTGACAACGGACTGATCCACCCCCATATTCGCTCTTCCCCGACAACAATCCCATAGGCTATAGGGTGCAAAGGCAATCGAGGCTCTCTCTAAAAGTGCAGGCTTTCCTTCATGGACATTGACGAAGCTACCGATATTGATTCAAATATTGAACGCATTTTGCAAATCATCCGAAACACCCAAGAAGAGTACGATAACGGGCGTCCTCTGCCCCCGATTATCTCTGAGACTCGCATCGGTCTAGAAGATCTTAGTAGCATTGATCTTTTCGTATACTGGAGCTGGTACTTCCGAGACTGGTGAACATGGCGCATTGGACAAACGATAGGAGCGGGAGAGGTTGGCAGGTTTATGTCCAGATAGCCATGGAGTGGTTGGTTAGCTGCCATGACAAACCAAAATTGGAAGAAGGGGGATAACGCACAGCTTGAAAACCCACAAAGTTCAATCGCCTGGCATCTCTTTAGGAAAAGAAGACGAGAAACAGCTGAGTCTACACCACAATCATTGCAATACCAGACAGGAGGATCGCTGTAGGAATCGAACCCACACCCCGAAGGGCTGCCAAAGCGACCTTAGGGCAGAAGCCCAAGGTTTTCACCTTCCAAGAAATGTAGATTTTCACCTTTCAAGAAATGGAAGAAGCTGGGCTTTCGCCCGCTTTCCAGGGGGGATAGTTTTGGTTTTCACCAATTATAAAGGGGAGAATGTGGGCTTTCGCCCATCATCCGGCTGAAGACTGTCCTGCTCTCATCTGTATGATCATTTGCGTCTACCACCACCATTCAAAGTCTCGTGACGGCACGTGTTTCTCTTCGAGAGAATCGGAGGCATTGCTGGCCGTGGTGTCTTCAGTTGGAGCGGGCTGGACGGAGGGAGCGGCGGTAGAAACAGCAGAAGCAGGAGTAGCAGTAGCAGCAGCGGTGGTAGAACTGTTGGCGGCGGTGGTGGTGGTGGTGCTAATAGCAGCGTTTAAAACAGAGGCAGAGTTACGAGCTGCGCTCATTCCATACGAGGGATTGGGGAGACGCTGCGGTCTTCATTAGCAGAGAAACAGAGAATGAGTCAAAGGCCTATATACTTACTGCGTGTCTATGCGCTCGCTCGACGTTGACGGCACGGCCGAGGATCTCGAAGTTCTGGAGCTCTTCCAAGGCCATCTTGGTATTAGGTCGCCTGCTGAAAGCAAGCATTACCCAACCAATGTGATGATTCGGGCGGGTCGCACCCGGTGGCCACAAGAAGGTGACAGAGTCGGGCTTGGTGAGTCTAGCCCGGATGGCAGACTCGACTTGGGTCGTCGTAGCGCTGAATGGAAGGCTTTTAGCGACGAGCAGGACGCGATTCTTTCGGTAGCCCTTGATCTGGTCCTCCCACTGAGGGTTGTATCGTGGCATTCTGTTTGTTTTACGAGTCAGTCGCTGTCGAATGTTCCCAGGGGTGAGAGAAACAGTGAGTCGAGCTGGGCGACTACTTACTTTGTTGTTGGGAATAATAAAGTACGACGATCTGAAATTGTGTGATGATGAAACTTTGGTGCTTGTTTGCTTGTCTGACGGCAGAGTGTTGGGTTGACTGGAGTTGTGGGAAGAGAGAGGCGGTGCTCGAGAGGGCCTTGGAACAACGAACTGGTAGTACCTTCAAAGGTTTTCACAATCGCGGAATTCCCACGCCAAAAGTGAGCCACATCTGATTCGTGGCAGCCCGCGGTTGTCTTTGGCGACGGTCATCAGCTGGCAAAAGGTCACATCAGCAATTACCAAGGGCAGAAGCCCTTACCAGCTGTTGACACTTCCTGATCACTTGCGCTTCATCTATTCTCGCACACAAACTTCTCACATCATCATCATCATTCTTTTCAAAAACTTCAACGCCATAAATTTATTCACCCCATTTCGTTGGCAAGATGCCTTCTTCACAAAGACAACACCAGCTCTTTCAGACAACTTCACCACCACCATCAGGGCTACAATGGAGTCTATCGCCCGCAACCAGGCCACCGTCTCCCAGATCCAGCATCTCGAAGACGCAGCTCTGAATCCATTGACAGGAACTGCTTGGCCCCCCGGCCACGATGATCTTCTTCAAGCTCGTCGCCGTTTGCCAGTCTACGGCCGATACCAAGAGATTCTCGACACGTATCACCAGTCTCGGGTGATGATCCAGTCAAGGGAGACTGGCGCTGGCAAATCGACCCAGGTCCCTCAGCTGCTTGTTTACGACAAATATGCCAGTGGCCTCCAAATCGCCTGCACCCAGCCGCGACGACTGGCTGCCAAAGAGCTCGCCAATCGAGTTGCCGATGAGATGGGAGTCGCCTTGGGCGAAGAAGTCGGCTACAAAGTCCGCAACGACCAAAGGGTCAGCAAGAAAACACGACTCGCCTATTTGACCGAGGGCGTACTGCTTTCTTCGCTCTCCTCGTCACTGTCCTCTACTTCTTTAACGGCTTGTTCTACTGACAAGTGGACTCGGCGGGCTATTTCTCTAGACTCATCATCGTCCAGCGTCAAAGGTGGATCAAAGGACTGTTCTGCGCAGAAAGCCAGCACCTCCTGGTAATCGATCGTTCCCTGATGAGTGGCGATAGCGAGCAACATGCTCTTTGACATGTATTGTCCTGGTGTTGCAAAAGGTTGTTGAGTATAGTAACGGGCCCAGACATCTTGCCATCCGCGACGGTCAAGGTCTCTAATGCGAACGAGCGCCATGATGAAGTGAAAATAGAGGAAGCGTGAAACAGGACGATTGTTATTAAGGAACTTAAGCTCCTTTCCATCAAGGTCATCGACTAGACAATCCGCACCATATGCACAACCACGAATATTATCAGAGATAATATCTGTCTTCCATCTTGTAATAGGAAATTCTCTTGCATCAACTGGGACAACTACAAGGAGATACTTGTTAAACCATCCCTTAATCTTGTTCGATAAAAGAAGCGCATTCCCCGCTTGTTGAAGTGATGGTGCTCGATCGCCAAATATCAGAGGACCAAGGTCGGCAACATCCATAAAAAAGGGCACAATGTGTGCAGCTTTAGCTTCCGCCATCCACTGTCCGGCTATATGACACCAAACAGCCTTCTTGGGAGATCCTTTGTGGTTCTTGTAATTGGCGTTGTAGTAGTCTATAGCGCCGCTGCGCCAATCCCGCTCGCGTTTCTTCTTGTCCTTGGGAGCGCCCTGTCCGTCACATTTCCTGTAAAGAGCCAGAATGGCTCCATAAAAGCCTTCGCCCGACAGATCCATTAGCCGAACTGCTACAGGATCTCCGAATCGCATCCTCTTCCTGTGATGGCCCCATAACCCCATTCCGGCAGAGATATGTCGTTCGTTTAGCTCTTGGCGACGTTTCACGGCCTGCTTGTAAGGCAGAATGCCAGCTTCTTTCTCGTGCTCCACAACGCATTTCTCAAGCGCAATTTCTTCCTGCTCCTTCAAAGCCAACTCTATCCCAAGTGATGCCAACTTAATGCCGTCACTGCGTTGGATTTCCGGCTGCTCTTGGTCTGGCGCAATCTCTGGCTCGACCCTGGCCTTGAAAGCGTGGTATAATCCCCGGATCTCCGCCGAGACACGTCGAGCTCTGTCAAGGCCAGCCCTTGCTGCGGTCAGGCTGCGCGGCATAACGGCTTTGGAGGGTTTGGAGTGTGGGCTGATCTCGGGCGAGGCTGTATGCGACGACTCCGGGGTGTTATTCTCGGGAGAGGCAGACATGCTTAGTTGAGATGATGGTGGAAGAAGATGCAGAAATGTTCTGAACAAGTGTGAATTGTGTGATTGTGTGGTCAGATTTGCTGAGCAGGCGTTGGACTGGTGTGATGATGAGAGAATGTGTGTGGGAGAAGAGGTTTGGAAAGGTGCGGGACCTGATATTCATCGTGTGTGGTTGCCGTGGCTGATGAGCCTCAGTTGAAGTGGATCTGAAACTTATTTAAGTTTCAGGATGTACGCCACGATGCAGGAGGGAAAGCTTCAATGTTATTTAGCACTCCAGCTGTAGCTACCGCCGCTACTGCTGCTACTGCTGCTACTACTATTGCTGCTACTGCTGCTACTGCTGCTACTGCTGCTACTGCTGCTACTGCTGCTACTGCTGCTACTGCTGCTACTGCTGCTACTGCTGCTACTGCTGCTACTACTACTACTACTACTACTACTACTACTACTACTACTACTACTACTACTACTACTACTACTACTACTACTACTACTACTGCTGCTGCTGCTGCTGCTGCTGCTGCTGCTGCTGCTGCTGCTAATACTATTATTACTACTATTACTACTGCTACTACTACTACTACTACTACTACTACTACTACTACTACTACTACTACTACTACTACTACTATTACTATTATTATTACTATTTTATTTTCATAAGTATTTAGCAGCTGTATATTTAATATATAAGCTAGCTGCTATATTATACTACAGTTGGGGTGTTGGATAATAAAATTAGGGTGCTGGATAACTTCTCCCTTATTTTGTTGTCCCTGATTCTTTTGCAGACCGGTTGCCTGGAAACCTCTAAACTCAATTTATGCCCACTGCCGTTAGCTCCCGTCGGCAAATGACCACCTCAACTTTTCTTAGATGCGGTTCCTGCTTCTAGCCTTTTCCAAATAGCGGCTACAACAAATATGGTAAGTACCTCCTGGCACCTCTGAGCTCCGATTTCTTGACAGTTTCGGCAATTAATGCAGAGTGGCTGACAGTGCGAACTTCTGATGATTCACTCTTTTTTTTTGAACAAGTTGCTAATAGTATTGTTTTAGGAGCTACCCTTCTTCCAAGCAGATAGACTTGCCAAGAAGTGGGATGAGTCCCTGAGACAGCCAAACGTCGAGCGCTCCCTCAACGATGCAAAGGCCAGGATCGGAACAGCCAAGACTAGTAGCCCAGTGCGCGGTATCTCAGCGGCTCATTTTGATAATCCCCTTATTTTCATTCTTCTTCTCATGTATGTAGTATTATGTAGGCAACACGTACGTCGGTAAATTCTTGGTGTCTCCTGTTCTCATCCGTTCGTGATTGTAGCTCCAGTTGTTTGGCCTTGACGCATCCCGATCCCATGAGGTACCAGCAAAGAGAAGCCAGTCTCTACAGGTTTCGCGTCAACAGTACCCCAAGGCTCAGCATCAATCACAAAAAAGTAGCATCATCGGCTCCGCCCTTTCGTAAGCGTCATTATGCTCATGGTCCAAGTCTCGTAGAATGCTCATCAGTGCTTGGTTCTAAGCTCTGGCGGATGCGGGTCATGGAGCATGTTGAGTATTGCGTAGATGCAGGATTTCCTCTGGCACAGCTTCAATATAAGAATCTGTTACAGTTTTACTTTTGTCTTTATTTTTATTGTTCATCACTAATTACAATAGAACGGAGACGCGAGAGCATCCAACTTAAGCAGAATATCGTCTCCACCGACGCATCCACAGATCCACCTACAACAGCCTACCAAAGACTGTTACATCTTCCGTAGTATAGTGGTCAGTATGCAAGCTTGTCACGCTTGAGACCCGGGTTCAATTCCCGGCGGGAGAGATCCGCCAGGCCTCCAAGAGGTTACTTATTGAATACTAAACATGTCAAAGTAGCAGCAGTAGCTGGGGTGCTGGATAATCTTTTTGCTTCAAGCGCGGTTCACAAATACTTCAAGCGGGAACTAATGTTATTTTTTTATTAAGCCGTACGTGTATGAAATCAACAGTCAACTCGGAACCAAAACAATTCGTCTCTCAGCCCGTCGCATATTTAGCTAGACATGCCCAATAACAACACTCGGTTTCAAAATTCAGCGTCCCTGTTGCTTCAGCTGTTGTCAAGCATGCACCAAGCATAGCCAACAGCGCCTGTCTTACATCGATCCATCGACCTACTAACAAAGATAATAAAAGATGTCTAGCCTAGCCACCTATATGTTCGAGACCTGTGAGCCGCTCGCGGGCCTCGATTAGAATAAAGAAGAGCGAAGTCGTCATCATCATCCATGCAGTCCTGAGCGGTGATTGAGTCGTCCCCAAAGTAGCCCCAATATCTTCCCCAGAATGCTGATGCCGAAGCGAACCTTCCTCTTACAAATATGAAGTCGGCCAAGGATAGGCGCTGAAAGTGGCAGCGCTCCGGTATTGCCTCTTTTATCACTTCAACCGTCTTTTGGTGTTCATTTGCATCCACCACAATCTTGGCTTCTCTATGAAGAGCCTGACCTACATATTCCAGGATTGGAGTTATACAGGCAATCCAATCCGCAAAAACGTCTTCTGCTTTTTTTCCAGTAAGCAGTGTTTCAAAGTAGGGTTCCGGCTGCTCTACAACAACCCCTAGTATCTGAAGATTCCCGAGGATACCATCCCAGATATCAGGGTTCATGCGAAACTTGCGTCGGTGAGAGAGTCCCCGAGGTCGTAGGATGAGCACCATTTTGCGTATCTTCTGCCTTGTGTTGGGCCTGATCAAATTTTCGAGAGTGGACTCGTCTTGAATGTTGATTTGAAGAGTGTTTTCTTTGTATAACATGTCCGTCAGCTCCTCGGTGATCTGATGGCAGCAGAGCAGGAGTCCAGGGAATGTATTTCGATGATCATCAACAAATGCCGAGGGACTCCTTATCTGCTTCACTTTAGTAACTGTTGAAAGCTCACATTGGCTTTTGCCGTCACCACCGCTGTCGATCTCAGTAGCGTCACCTCTCTCCAAGCCCTGGTGACAATGGTCGGGTATCTCCTTGAACCAGTCCGGGCCATTCCGGTAACACAGGGACCTGGAAATATCGTACCGAAACTTGTGTGGGATACAGAGTCCGTAGATCTGCCGGCGGATTTCCACTGGCAGAGCAAGAAAGGCGCTCGAATTGGAAGACAAAGGAGAAGCCATCTTCACTTCAAGCAAGATGCTCCTAAAGAATATCGACGACCAAAGGAGGCAACTTTGTGTTTTGGTCCTGTAATATTGTTCAGAAGTGAGGTTTTTATTGTGCAAGAAAATGATGACGATGTATATCGTCATACATCACGCCCAGTCTATTTTCTTTGTCCGTGGCTTGGAAGCTAATGTTCCACCCAGCGCTGCTCCATCGTGTGGATACAGCGAAGTCGCTCGTAGGTCAATGTAAATGGATTCTTCTGGTCGGCAAGTGGTGATAGAGCTTGGTCTTGGCTGAGCCCTACTACAAGTCTGTCAATATCATCAACACACCATACCCAACTTACTTTCCACATTGAACTCCGTACGGCTTAGAGACATCGCGCGGGAGTCGAACCCGCTCCCTGAGGCCATCGTCTCACATTATCGAGAACGAGTAGATGTTCAGGGCGACCAGATGCCGAAGCACCAGCGACGTTTTAGGGCCGAGGTCCGAGGGATTTTACCCATGAAGAAAGTAGAATTTTACCCATCACGGAATCGAGAACATGGTCTTTCGACATTGAGGAAATAGACTTTCATCCATCAAGCGATACCGGCACGTCAGTCCTCCGAACTGAAATATCAGCAGGGCAGCAACCTCTTCGTTGCGTACGTGGGCAAGGAAATTATCCACATTGTTTGGAGCGTCGTCTCTCCACTCGTCGGGCCAGATTTGGTCATCAAATGCGCCGTCTTGGCTTGCGGAAGCCGGATCTGCCATGGCGTTGGCTGGCGCGAAAGATTCCGGCGCAGGAGAAGCGCCACTGGCGATGGCCTCGGTCGTTGAGCATGTTGGCTTTGAGAAAATTAGCATCAATAGTGGGGACGGCACGCTCAGCTACAGCACAGCCGGTTTAGCTGTGTCAAAGATTGAATACTGGGTAAAATGTTCGGAGTGGTACTTACGCGATAACGGTCAGGATTTTGTGTCGTTGAAGGTTTTTAATGATTTCGTTTGAGAAAAGAAATTATGAGAATTCAAGAAGTTTGGGCGAAAGCTACCTGCTCTGTGCTTGTCATGTGCTGCAAGAACACAAGAGCACAAATAGGCAAGTTTCAGAAAGGAGTGAATGTGAATGAAAAGTGACAATAAATGCGCTCCTGGGCTGATGTGTGCAATTTTTGTGTTTCTATTTTTGGATGGACTAAAAACAGGGTCCAAGGTTAGCCTTTTCTCCCACTTTTTAAGATTTTGCTTCCCGCACCTCCACGTCTTTAGCGTCTTCCTGAGCAGGTAACTGGGTAGCTACTGCCATATACAGACAAGGGGTCCTTTTTACATGCATCTCTGTCATCCTGGCTGAAAGGGAGCCCCGAAAGGAAAACGTGAAGCAGTACGGTCATTCTTAGGAACAGGTCGGATCGCCGGCCTTGTATATACACTCTCATGGTTGACGATTCAATACAACGAATCGATGCAAAGACATGTATTGTAGAAGCAGGTGTAGCAGGTGTAGTAGGTATAGTAGTCGGTATACTAGGTATGGCAAGTATAGTAAGTATAGTAGATGTAGCTGATGTGGCTGATATAGAAGTAGAGTTTTTTTGGGGGGAATACAGCTGAAAACGGTCAAAAGACAAAATCTCAGCCAGCAATGGAACAGAAAGGCCAGATCTACGCACGCAAAATATAAAAAGAGGACAATACACCCGCAGGATTGCTTCTAATAACAAAAGCTTCCCATCCATTAAGCAAATTTGATCAAACGTTCACTCAATTCACACAGACTGCATCCACTTCCATCATGTCTTCCATCGACCAAGACGCAACATCGACCAGCTCAGGTTCATCCGAGGACATCCTGGCTACCGCAATAGCCAAGCTTGACACCGCTCGACGCATGTTGATGAATCTTCAGAACGCATTCGAAGCTTTAGAGCGCAAAGTAGAACCAGAGGTAGCGCCAAACCAGGAGCAGCCGGAGCCAGATGCTGAGGCGAGCGTTGCGTTAGCATCACTTGGGATCGAGGCAGCTACCAGGAAGAAAGAGGCGATTCGGCTCGAGCGAGATGTTGTGTTCAAGAAACGGGAAGCCGGTGATTTAAATGGCCGGGATGCTGAGAAACTTTTTCAAGGTCAGAACCAGCGTTACTTTTCAGCCGGGGCCGACCTGTGGAGACATCAAATGAACAGGATGCAATTTGGAGACTCTTCGGGAAACCGGTCGATAAATCCATGTGGCGACGACCTCACTCAAGGTCTTATGACTCTCTACAAGCGTGATGAATTCGACAAACAACACAGCCGGTTTCCGAGAAAATACAATCCACGGTGGTGCCAATGGAAGGGTCGTGATTCGGGATGGCGCAAGGATGCTTTGGCCTACTACAAAGGCAGTAGCAAATATCACAAAAACGCCCCTCGTAATGCAGCTTGGTGCCATATAATCGGCACGTGGCTTTCATCAGATTTTCATCATGCTACACATATCGTACCCCCTTTTCTTGACGACCACGGCTTTGGTAAATTGCTATTTGGCGACCGAACCCAATCACTTCAAGGAGCAGGAAATGCACTTCTTTTGTCCGATTGGATGAATGGGTGGTTTAACAGCTGTGACATTATAGTTATCCCGGTTGATGCAAAGGAAACTCCCATTATGCGATGGCGCGCAGAGATCATTTCCCCTAGTTTACAAAAGGGTCAACTAGTTATGGGCTTATCTGGCAAAGACGTGCATGGAAAGGAACTGGTGTTTCTTAACGAGAACCGCCCAGTCCCAGGCTTTCTCTATTTCCATTTCATCATGGCGCTCATTCGCGTCAAAGATCTCCAACGTTTCGGATGGGAGGCTGTCTGGGCCCGGTATTACGAGCAACGCCCTTTTCCAACGCCAAGCAAGTACATGCGAGGGAGCATGTTGCTTGCCCTTGCCACTCATTTCGGGGCAGCCCACATGCATGTGTTAGAGTCTTGGATCGCAGACCATGGCTTTGAGGCTTCCATGAAGCTGACTGAGGACGAAGCTGTGGAAGCGGCCCGCCGGGTTCACATGGTAGTAGTAGAGACTGCTGAGCGTGCTGAGCGGCTAGGGATCTATGAGAATAGCGACGATGATTGCGACGATGATTGCGACGATGATAGTGACGAGGATAGTGACGAGGATAGTGACGAGGATAGCGACGAGGATAGTGACGAGGATAGCGACGAGGATAGCGACGAGGATAGCGACGATGAGAGTAATCTGGACAGTGAGGAGTAAGGTGGGAGTCTGCTTGTGATTTCTACTCAGCGAAAGCAACTCAACAAACTAGTAGTCTATAAGTGCGAGCTCGCAATAGCAGTTTTTACAGATTGAAGATACACAACAAAGCCTCATCCATGCCAAGAATGGAAGAAATAATTAATCACTGACCTTGAGCCATATGAATGAACTAAAAAAGTCGAGAAGAAGGTACCTGAAACATGGACTGACCATCCCGGCGGTACAGTTTGGGAGAGAATTGCGAAATTGGTTGAAGGAAGCCCAGCAATCTCCGTCCCCGTGATGAAGGAACTCGCCATGCTGAAGAAATCATGGAAGCGCAAGAGAGACGTGGAGTAGACCCAGTCTTTCATTTTTCGTGAAAGGATGGACCAATTGACCAAGAAGATAAATGATGATACAGAGAAGGAGGTAGTAGACTTATTTGATGTATTGAGACTCCATAGATCTAATAGAAGTGGTAAAATAAGTCAAAGTAGCAGTGAGATTAAAATTATTAAAGACCGTAGAAGCAATTCTCGCAAGCTGAGGCAAGATACACACAGATACATCAAGATCCAACAGACCAAGTTACGCTCAGTCACAGATCTTGACCTATTCCCACCGAAACTGAGTAATCAGAGCCTATGTGTCTGAGCATCATCAGTCCCCTGACATTGAACTCCTAGCGCATATCTAAATATAAATCACTGGTATATGGCAAAATCTCGTAGTGCCGCTCATTACTCGTCATCCCCGGCCTCGACAACTCGCATGGTGGAGATGAAGAGACCTTGCGACATGAGCGTTGACTCACATCAGCTTCATGAGGTAGTTGTGTTAGGCAGCCAAGCTACCACTGTGCTGACTTCTGTCTCGGTATTGGCTCCAAAGATTAGCAGTGCGTCCATCGTCCAAGAATATACCTTGATTGAGCATTCATAATACGGCGCAGTTCAGAGAGTCTTTCCGGTGAACGGTCATAAAGATGCGCTAGATCGTCACGATCACTCTGGGGCGTGTCGTTTGCCGTATCTAACAGGCTGCCATCTTGTCCCTGTCGAAGCTCATAAAACATATATGGTGTCTTGGCATCAGCCCATTCCCATGCTTGAATGCTGAGATGATAAAATGTTAAGCGATGTGGTAGGAACATGGAGGAGAGCAAGTTGGCATGTACTTACCTGAATACATTGCATGATAACAGCAATTTCTGTACATCTATACGCTCTATCCATGGCTGGTCCGCACCCCAGAGATAGACGACGAAAAGCCAATCCCCGCAGAGGGTTTTGTGTTTCTGGCGCGAAAACACAAATCGCTTTCCGCAAGTTATATTAGGCGGAGCATCGTCAAGCTGTGTACGGTTATGAGACTCTGTGCTCTTCTTCACAGGATAATCTTTCCATGATCTTATGGACGTTATTTGTTCCGAGTCGCTTAATTGGGTGGGAACATCGACCAAAAAGCACCGCACAAGCATACGCCATGGCGGCAGTGGGCCTTTCTGGCTGTGCTCGTAGCTATACCCTTTGGGAAGCGCATGATAGGAGATTAACCATCTAAATGGTCGCACTTCGGGTGGTGTCCCCGGACCGAGGAGCATACGCTGTATAGTTGTGTATGGCCGACGACGTCTTTCCATTTCAACGACTATAGCCTTATTGTCGTCTTCATCATCAACAGATTTCACCAGCCATTGTGGTGACATTGTGTTGTTTGGTAGGAAACGCTCTGCATCCGTGGTATAGACGGGGCATGGATCGTTGTCGTCGCGAGCGCCCTGAGACGGCGAATTCATCGCTGTAGGCTTTGTAGGAGACATGATTCGAACGCTCGTGGCCGTCAATAAGATGGAATGTAGAATTTGATCCTGCGATGGTGTTCTCGGTGCTCGGCCAGATTTGCGATGTTATATGCCTCATCGAGCGCCACCCATGAAGTCACGTTAATCTGTCCCGACTGGTTTTGGTACTATACTCCTATACGGGCCATGCTTTGATATAAATTCTTGTGCAGGCTATTTTATCTTTTATCTAGCAGTTATTTAACCTGGATAAAAATATTGGATAGATCACCTGATGGTGGCTGGGGTAGCGCAGCTATCAGGCTACATACCAATCCTGCGAGGCATTGGCGCCAATAAGATCCTTGCTTACCAGCACAATATAGACAACCAATTGGCTTTATTCATGCTATCCTTTTGGCTCTGCAGCGACGTCAAACGGCAATTTACCTTCCTTTGAGCCACAAATTGCTAAAGTCGGTGCGAGACAACTACATGGATGCCGTGCAGCTGCATAGATGCATCAAAAGAGATATCAGCGAAGCTCAAATCGTGAAAACACTTGAAGAGGTGAGCAAGTCCACCTCTTTGGAGAAATCTGGCGACTACTTCGAATCGCTCTGCGCAATTGGGACGGCGAGCAAAATTTACTCAAGATTGCCGGGAGCACGAGCAGATCTCCAGGTTATTCGCATGCAAATAAGCAAGTCAAAATGGTAGCAAGGTCTGAAAAGCCTAGTGCCTCTCTAATCCATGAAGCTGAGGATCACCATGTGCTGCATTGCCTTTTTTGAGACAAGGACAATCGATTTGGATCCCGAGGAATCGGGTTTGTCACGCAAACTCCATATTCGTCGGCAGTCGTCTCCTCAGCGACCTCATAAACGAGATACCTCATTAATTCATTGAGAGAATCATTAGCAATGTTGGCAAACCGGGTCTCACTTTTTTAGTTACACCACCCGATCCGATGGTTCAGGATTTTGATCCTTCACTGTGGCATCTGATTACGCACGACAAGTTTGATGGGTTGGCGCAGGACAGCTTCCAAGGAACGTCTTTCCACCTCTCTTTCGCCGGATATGATGTCTCCCTGCACGTCGGCCAAAGGAGTGTTCGCGATGCCTCTGCCCGATTGCTCGAAACTGCCGTCTCAGTGGCAAATGGATTGCGGATCTGGACATCTTGGAAGCATCCATGCGCTGGAGGAGAGTGCCGAAGCTACATGTATCCTGTCCTCATTTGGATGATGCCGAAAAGAGCGTTCCTAACCTTGACCTCGTATCTACTGATTCTTGGTTGGAACTTCTAGAACCCCCGCAAGAAGGTCAAGATTCGGCGGTGCGAAAGCGTCCCAATGTGATCATTCTACTGAATAAGGTATGCTGGCAGTGTCAAAGCCTAAAGGCCATCGGGAGTCAGCTTTGCTAGGTATCTAGCAGTGACGTCCGGAAACTTCGAAATGGGTTCAAGGGCGACTCAGTTGGTTCAGAGAATATGTTGTCCAATGGCTCCGAGAATGATGATAGTGAAGAGGAGGATCTAATAACAGGAGTATGTCTTATTTATTAGGGATAAATGTATGCTTTTAACAAGTCACCAAATCGTGCGCATAAAGCAGAGAGATGGCAGAAGTGAGAAAGTCGCACGGAGGTCCAACTGATGCCAAAGACGTATAATAAAGCTTAGTGTCGATGTGTTTCAACGAGCCGCATCGAGCTCAGTTGGCGATTTACGATTGGTTTCCAGTCACATGATCGGCCCGGCTAGCTCAATCGGTAGAGCGTGAGACTCTTATGAGGTACACGTTCTGTATTGCAATCTCAAGGTTGCGGGTTCGACCCCCGCGTTGGGCTTTTCCTATATATTCTGCCAACTGAGATGGTGCGGTTATTTTTTGTTTTTTGGTCCTTTTCTGTTTAGGAACATTGACACCCTTGCTCTCTTTTTTCCCAAGGTCGTTATCCCCGACGACGTAGTAACCGATTCTGTGGCCGCCTTCAAGCGATTGGATCGTTTGTCTTATTCCTAGGAACACTAACTTTGGACTGACCCATGGAAACGATCAAGACATGCTGGCTATCATCAGTTGCCCACTTGGCCAATATCGCCCTCGAGAGTCTGGTCCTAAACTCCCGTTTTCGTGAGCTCCGAGACCAGTTCACGCACGAGCTTGGCTTATGCAAAGATTCTCTACAACAGCTTTTCCTTCAACGAGCGAGAGATTGCAAGTCATCAATGGTAAATCCTAGAAAATGAACAAAGCTGACCGGCTCCTAGGTCGAGAACTCCATCGCCTTCTCTCAGCGCAATATCACCGGAGAGCCTCTCTGCGAGGCTCAAATCTGATGTAAACAAAAGTGACTATTTTGAGTTGGAGTATTGCAGGCACACACAAAAAAGATTTATCAAAAAGCATTATGAAGTGAATGGTCAATCAAGACAATACTACATACAGTGACACAAGGACCTCATCCAGCATCAACAGGGGGCATCTCCTCCCACCCATGAATGTCGTAAATTGTGATTAATATTCCACCAATGATGCAGGGTTGCGGCGCATGCAGCCTCATTTACATTCATCCTACACACCTATACCTAGGTACATGTAACTAATAGATCGCATCAGGCATGTTACAACAGTCCGCGATAAAGAAAAAAGAGACGATGGGCTAACCAAAAACTTATCATGGACATTAGCGATATAAACGACATGATTTTCTGCGGCCAATATGTATACAGCACAGCCGTGTTGGACACTGCCGGCTTCCTGCTACTCTTGCCCACCAAAGTGCATATGAGGTAGGCAACCATCACGAAAACACAATGTGTCAATCAGGCTATAATGACACCCTCCTTCTGAAGGATTTTTATTGATTATCCTATTAATAGGTGCCACGCATCCATGCCCATGCCGTTGAATGGGGAGCTGAACGTGGGGCTAGAGCCAATGGAGAGAGAGAGAGAGAGAATGAGGCTCAAATCGAGGGTCAAGGGTCTAAGAGGCAATAAGACGAGGCTGTGAGGCAACCGACAAAGTCTCCCTATCTCTCTTCTCCTCTTCCTCTGCAGATATTTTACGAGCTCATGTCATCGAGCCATATTGAAATCTACGCAAAAGAGCCATCTCCTCTGCCATGAGCACTCTTTATCAACCCATTTCGCCAAACGAGCCATCCGAGTCTACAACTGTCATGACTGAGAGCCGCGGAAGTCTCGAGCATAGAGCAGCGGTGCTTCAAAGCGGAGAAGCCCGCAATGAAAGCTCCGGAAATGGCCCGCCTGTTGCCTCCAAGCGTGTCAACTCTACTGTTACAGATATTAGCAATGAAGGCACGATTGTTCTAAGCCGTTCTCTTTCCAGGGGCCAACTCTTGGAATGCATCATCCACTTTTTCGCCATCAGCGTAAGCATCGGCATCTGTCTGCTTCATTTCTTAAAAGTGTACTGGACGGACGAATCGACATTGTCCAAGAGATGGCGCTGGGTGTCGTCTTTTGTGTCTCTTGACATAAACGACATCATCAAAGCTCTCCAGTTCGCTGCCAAGGTTCATGAGATTCTTATCGTGGCTTCCATCGGCGCAATCGTGCTGTATTTTGCACGGCGCCGCCTGGTTGGAGACGAGGGCATCGCGCTTGGCCTGCTGATGAGCAGTTACAGGATCGACACGCCCTCCAATATGCTGTCGTCCAAGTTCTGGTCAGCTCTCAGCTTTGACACGAGCAACCTAGATCCAGCGGCAATAGGTCTGAGCCTCCTGCTGCTCGTCTCAGCCATTCTCTGCCAGCTCGTGGGCCCGGCCTCGGCCGGAGTGATGCAGCCCAGCCTTGACTGGTGGAACGTATCAAACCCGTACGACGGCCAGCCACTGCCCCTTTTCCTGTCCGTCAGGGGCAACGAGACATATCCCCTGGCGTTGGACAACGGCACTTGGCCCCCAGAGGCGTATGATCCCAATAGCGACGAGTTTATAGCAGAAAACGCGACTGCCTGCTTGACTAACGCTGCGGATTCATGGTGCCCGGCATTTGGAGTCAGCGTCGTGGAAAATTGGGCAATATCAAACTATGAGGATCATGCAACGCCCAATATCACCGTAACAGGAACCAGCGGCACGCAGAGAGCGCTTACGGCGGACTTGATTGCGAATGGAACTGCCATCGCGGCCACGCAATCCAACTGGGTCATCCGTATGTTCGGCCTCTTTGCCACATATGTGAAGCATCGTTCCGCCTTCGCCGCCAGCTCCATCACGTTGCCCATATACACATCCACCGACCCGATGTACGCCCCTGTTGTTCAAGTGCAATGCCAGGCCTTGCTTGCCAACGACACAAGTGGCTCGGTCAAGTTCCTCACCGATCAGCTCACCAATTACACCGACTCTGGCGCCGATCGGTACAATCCTCAACTCTCCTGGTCAGTGCCCCCTGAAGCCTTGAGCCTCCACAATCAACGGGATTATGCCCACTTCGAATGGGTTGACCTTTCAAAGCAGACGACGACGGGCATGTGGCGTCCATCCTTGGGCGCCGTGGCCAAGATACCTGGCTGGGTGAATGGACGACCGGGCTTTTACATCATCCCGTGCATCATTGACGCTCGATGGGCAGCGTCATCGGCAATTTATCAGCCCATAATAAGCGATATAATCATCAGCAATCTATCCAGCCCCGCCGATCTCGCGTTCCGTTCAAACAGCGCAGAGTCCATCTCCTCCAAACTACGACTAAAACCAAAACCAAAACCAATCTCACGCCAGCAGCTGGGCATCGGAGATGCTATCCAGATAGGCCTTAACTGGGCAAACTTGCTGAACACCCCTCTATATTCTTCTAACGACACGCGAGCCCTCACCAATATTGAGACGATGCTGAACATCTACGTCAGAATAGATGAAAACAACGGCACTGATTACGCCGCCTTCACGGTGGGAGTAAACAACAACACCTATGTACGCAACACTACACAGCTCATGCACGCAGCAGAAAACACAACGGCCACCATTCTGAGCCTCACAATTGCCGATGCGCTATCGCGTCTCAGCGACGGTATCGAAGCTTGGAACTTGATTGTTCTAAACACCACCAGGGGCGGCAACGTCACCTGGACAGCTATAGACTTTGATTACTATTCTATCAACTCCTCAGACGCAACTTTCATGAAGCAGTTTACGTCCCTCAGGGTCCAAGTCCATCGCTATGGCTGGGCATACGGCTGGGGAGCCGTCATCATACTCGACGTCGTTGTTCTGCTTATGCACGTTTTCATGGTTGTCTCGTACGCAGGCTACCACCTCCTTCATGTTCTTTGCTTCAGGGGACGCTGGTGGATGACAGACGCGTGGAATAACACTGCGGATCTCATCATACTGGCCTGGGATTCGTCGCCGACTACGGTGTTTCGTAAGGCAGAAGGGGCCAAGCCGTCGCTTTGGGCCCAGAATATCAAGGTTAGGGAGAGAATTGGCGGAGATGCAATGGAGCTTGTGGCTGGACGACCAAACACCAAGGATGGCAGGCTCCGGACCGGAAGAAAATACACGTAGCATGTTTTATACTGGGAGATATTGTCCAGCATTCCATCTTTTTTCAATATTCGGCACATTGGGTGTGGCTATTGGTATGAGTTTACTACACTACTGCTTCTACTGCTTCTACTGCTTCTACTGCTTCTACTGCTTCTACTGTTTCTACTGCTTCTACCGCTTCTACCGCTTCTACCGCTTCTACTGCTATCTGTTTCTTCTTTTATTGTCTACTTCATCTACTATTATCTATTATTTCTACTATTATCTATCTACTATTTCTACTGTCATCTACTAGTTCTACCGTCATCTACCAGTGATTAAACGTTTTTTTATTTAGACTGACTGTCTTTTTGACCTATTTCTGGGGGTTGGATAATGAACCCGGGGAGCGAATAGTAATTTCCTTGACCTCTTCTCAATTTGCCTATATTTATAAGATATACTTCCCTCAGTAGTATATGGAATATCTATTAAAAGGTAGACGAGGCAGTTGAAATACTAAAAGTACGCTATACTAGAAACGCCTAATTGAGTCTTTTCTTTACGATTCCTGGGGAGTTTATGTCAAAGGACAAATTGAGTACTGCATACGTAACTTCAAATTTAATGACAATTGTTGAGTATTATGCGACGGCTGCAAGCACTGGAGTGGGCATTATATTAATCCCTGGAGACTTGGCCCCACGACTCTTAAAACTTCTGAAAAGCATTAAGCATAAGCATTAAGCATCGCGCACTTCCGTGAGCCTTTTCGACCGTGATATTGCCGAAAGGAACAGTGTGGTCATCATCATGTATCTCTACCGAGAAGTAGGCAGCAGGTGGTATCGAACCGCATGCTACCTATCTGTGCCGCAAAAGAAATGAAACTAGCGTCAACCAGCTTTCATTCTGAATTACCAGGGTTGTGAAATAGGCACAAAATAGAATTACCGCTCCAACGCCGTCATGTCTTTCTACCTCATACAGCATAATGCAGAGTTGTCCTCAGATGCCAATACCTGCCTGCAAATAGCTGTGTATAGTGCATCAAGCAATTTGTCAGCACTTGTAGAAAATCTCCCGAAAAGTAAAGAGGTCAATTCCCTTTAAAAAATTACCCAAAAGGTAAAGAGGTCAATTATTTATCCCCTGCTCTATGTAACAGTTGAGAGTAAGCCTACATTTTAAGCCTACATTCCTTCTAGGCGCTAATGGCAAAATAGGCAGTTTGTGGGAATATCTCTGTATCAATCAATCCAGGCACCTACTCAAGCATGTCCCATGTAAATATTGTACTTCTAGGCTCTGTAGTATATAAGTGTACTAGTATTCAGCTTTAAGATTTTGCTCAGCTCTTCTATCCCTCGCTCTCAGTCCCGTCTATCACATTACTATTATTACACTACTTCCAAGGCGCGAATCTACTCAAATATCATGGCGTCGCACCCCCGAACTCTTCATGAGTATGTACCGTGCTTGATATGCTGGAATATTTAGAAAAGCTGAGGATATTAATACTGTCTCAACTTACAGAGGTGATCCCAAGGGCACGTTTCTCAAGATAGACGGCGGAATCAATGCCTATCTCGCCACCCCGTCGGAAGAGAACGCTCGCAAAGGCGTCGGCATTCTCTTCATTCCAGAAATTTTGGGCATCTACCCCAACAGCCAACTATTGGCAGATGGCTTTGCCGCCAAAGGATACACCACACTCATCCCGGATGTATTCAACGGCGATGCAATTCCACTCGACAGATTCCCCCCTGCTGATCTCTTAAGCTGGCTTGCAAAGGGTTTTGATGGTAACAACCCACATACGCCTGAATACGTCGACCCAATTATCATTGCAGCGATTAAAAAGCTAAGAGAGCTCGGAGTATCCAAAATCGGAGCTGTTGGATATAGCTTCGGTGGCAAGGTATACTCAATTCCCATCTGTCCCATTCAGTTCTTACCTTGACATTTGGTAGTATGTGGTCCGACATTTCAAGAACGGTATTGACGCGGGATTTGTCGCGCACCCCAGTTTTGTGGAAGAGGACGAGTTGGCTGCCTTGGCTGGTCCTTTATCCATTGCTGCACCTGAAACAGACCGGCTTTGGCCAGCCCCTCAGAGACACAAAGCTGAAGCCATACTTGTTAAAACCGGCCAGCCTTACCAAATCACCTTGTTTTCAGGAGTTGCGCATGGCTTCGGTATTCGAGGAGATCCGGATGTGAGGCTACAGAGATTTGCAAAAGAACAAGCATTTAATCAAGCAGTTGCTTGGTTCGATGAACATTTGCTGGAGGTGTAAAGTAGTAGGCCTATTTAAAATTGATAAACTACTTATGACGTTTATATCGCCAACTAATCCAAAGCCAGGGCAAATGCTCATACACATTCTTCTCTACCTTGCTCAATGATATCTTCTGCCCCGGTAGTGTCTGTCTCCCCTGTAGCTGCCATACGGCCCTCCTCGCCTATGGTCCCCCCTATCTCGAGAGCCATGATGGCCATGTCCACCACGATAACCTCCACGACCGCCCCCTTCAGCGTGCTCATATCTCGGCGGCGGTATTGGCTCTTCCACCTCAACTTCATACTCCTCATACTCCTCGTTGTGGAACTGCGCCACTGTGTCTTGCTCCTCTCGAGCTGCCTCCGGGTCGAAAACGAACCGCATGGTACCATCCTGCCCGCGGGCCGTTCGTCTCATAGACGCATCCCCAGGCCACGATGACGCCGTTGCAGTGGGTGAAGTCGCAGACCCAGGGGTGACGGGAGGGGCATCCTCGTTCTCGCAGCGACTGCAGTAGTACATGTGTCGAGAGATGAATTCCTTTTCGAGCTCCGTGTTAAGGGCGATCTTGATGTCCATGAATCGGTTCAAGTCAAACTGCGCGCCGACTTTGGTCGACTTGTGATATTGGACGTATAGATCCAGAATGTCCAGCATTGTCTCGAGCACAGCCGGGCGGGAATACTGCCGCCGCTGAGCAACAAAGGCCTCGACTTTGTCCAAGTGCTCGCCAGTCATGCGGGCTGTGAGCTCCACCAGGGCCATGACCATGGAGAAGGTGGTTCGCTTGATGGGGACAAAAGTCTTGTACATGTCGATGCTCATGGCGTAGGCAATGTTGAAGAAGGGTTTTTCCTCTTCGGGGCCGAGAATGCTGCGGACAACCTTGACCAGCAGCTTCTGGGGGTAGCGTGTGCGAAAGTCGAAGCCAATCGTTTCGAGAATCAGTCGCTCTAATCCAATGATGATTTTGCCAGGAGATTCGAAGATCTAGGATGCTTGTTAGTTTATGTCGGTAGGTCTATATAACGTCGTATCGATCGAGCGCCTCAAGGAATGAAGCTCACGCACCTTGTCGTCCGACGCCGCGGGCTTCTCAGGGTTCTTAACGTTGTAGGCCGCCGCGAGGATATCCTTGGACTTCTTAATCGTATCTTCAACCTTGCACGCGACAAACAGCGAGGCCAGGGCCGCGTCCTGGTAGTTGTACTCGGCATCGCGGAAGTTGAGGCGGAACTTGTGGAAATACGTGCACGCCGTGTCAAAAGTCCGCACCGGCCTGTAGTTTCATCGCCAGCATTAGCCCAGCAGCAAAGTAGAGAAGCTCATGATACGCACAGATTCAGATGCTGCCTCACAGTGTCTATGAGCTGGACGCCCTGCAGGCGGTAATTATCCTCTCGCGCGGGATCACACCCATTTTCCTTGAGCATGCGCCGTATCTTGAGCTCGGAGGAGTATTGGTTCGAGCTGGAGATGTAGCCGGGGTGAGGCCCAATTCGCGAGGCTGAGTCGCCATTTAAGGCCGCTGGAGGCGCCTCGGCATCTGTTGAAGACATTCTCGATGAGGATATATTGGTGGAACGAGGTGGAATCTGCGTGTAGTCGTTCCAAGTCGCGAGTCGGGTCGAATTGAGTCGAAAACGAGCGGCAGTCAAGCCGTGGCGTCCTGTTCTTGATTCCTGCTGCTCTTTTGCAGCCAAAGGCACAATTAAGCACTACTTTCAGTGCTTTGGAGGTGTCGTGCAGGGCATTTCTAAAGCTTCCCCATTATAATTTTGAATTCCCACGCCCAGGATTCGCTGCAGTCGAGATGGGAGCGTACGTAGTGGCTGATGCTGAAGGTATAAAGTTGCAATCACAGGCGTCAAGTCCACTAAACTTTCCACGGCGCGCAAACATGCCGCACAGCGCGGATTAGCTCCGCCTAATGACGCAGTCTGGCGGTTGAATGTAGCACAGCTTACCCTACAGCAGATGGAATAATCCGCAAAATACATTCAAGTCACTGGAAGAAGCGTGGGGCTTTTTGAAAAACCAAGAAAGTTATATTTCTATTTATTTCTACTCATATTTTGTTGGACTAACTCTAACTGCTGACGAATTCAACAGATGCCCCAATGGTTGGAAAGTTTGCAATATGCTCAACTCCTCTCAGCATACATGCACAAAGGTATATTCATTATGCGTAAAATTGTTTCGTTTTATTTTGTTATAAAGGCTGCATCTCTATCTTGTCATGAGAAACGTAACATCCAAAAGCGTCTCATTTTCGCAAGATGTTTAAAAGTCGAGTGCCGTGAAAATGTCTTCAGCCAAAGCCTGCTGCTCTAGTTGGGCTTGCTGAGCTCAGGCACAGCTGGAGCATTGCTCACGGGAGTAGAGCCGCCAGAAAAGTTTGGTCGGTAGAGGTTGAAGGGAAGGCCCATGGCCACAGAGGCAGAGCCCAGGACAGCGAGGAAGAGAGTAGAAGGCTGCATGGTTGTGGGTGTGTTGAGAATAGAGACGAAGGTGTGTGATGAAGGTATCGGGGCGGCTGGCGCAAATGTAATTTGAAGACTTAAGAAATAGCGAAAGAATGAAGAATTTGTATAAAATTCTACGAGAGCTAGCTCAGTAGAACAATAGTGTTGTGAAAGAAATGGATACTGAACAAAACGAAACAACCTCTCCTCCACTTCAAAGGCGGACGCAGCGCACTTATATGGTGTTCACGACGCAGCAGCCATCAGGGGCCGACGCGCAGCCATTCACTCGTCATCTGAAACACGCCTCCGCGATTATCCCCAGCGGACAATAGGCGCTGAACAAACACGAGCGGCTTTAGGCCAGCGCATGAGACAGACAGCGGCCTGTTTCGTTGCCAGTTTCAGCTATACGCAAGGGGCCACGCCTAGATGCGAGGGCGAGGCAGCCGTTTACTGGCGCCGCGCTTCTGAGCTGCCCAAGACGGCACATTCATGGATGTTTATTCAAAGCAGAAACAGGCCTAGACAGGTGGTGCGATGTTTATTTAGGAGTTGATAGCCTGGTGCCTGGTTCGTGATGTGCAAGGAAGAGAGAGTCATGCTCAACTAACAGAAGCCTGGCCATGGTCCTTTTTACGAGCTAATGGCTCTTTTCCCGCCATGTTTGTAATTGCCCTAAACATTCATTAAGTCAGCGCGTGGGTGATATTGTTCAATTTAGGAGTACTAGACTCTTTCTCTTAATTCAAATCATCAATCGATTCATTCACAAGCCTTAATTCTTTCACTGCCAGTGCCTCATGTTTCCAACTTGGTAAAACCAACGCTGCTGATTGGCGTCTGCGAGCGCAAATCTTTAGTGGACCGCCAGCGCTATTCCAGCCCCCCCGGATTATTCTTCCGCCTGCGCGATAAGGATAAGCCTCCCGGACGTAGGCCGTATGCGCAAGCATCATCGTCAGCTTCTTCCAGCCACTCATCCTGTATCGTCATCACTCCTTCATTTCTTTTCTCGTACAATACTATCTGAACGCTTAGAATATTTGAGCCCTCATCCCACACTCTCTAAGCATCTTCGCAACGATGCGCGCCACAGCTTCTCTCCCCAGTCTCTTGACGACGGCCCTCCTGGCCAGCCGCGCCGTTGGCTGGCGCATTCCCACTCTCCAACAAGCTACAGACGACGAAGATGACGATACGCCTCTCCCGGTCGTCATCTGGCACGGCCTCGGCGACGCCTTCAGCTCCGATGGAATCCAGGGAGTAGGCGAGCTCGCAGACAAGATTCACCCCGGCACCTTTGCCTACGCCATCGCCATCGGCACGGATGCCAACTCGGATCGCTCAGCGACCTTCTTCGGCAACGTGACCGAACAAATCGAGGCCGTATGCGCCGCCCTCGCCGCGCACCCAATTCTCTCCACGGCCCCTGCCATCGACGCCATCGGCTTCTCCCAGGGCGGCCAGTTCCTGCGCGGCTACGTCGAGCGCTGCAACAACCCCCCCATCCGCAGCCTCGTCACCTTTGGCAGCCAGCACAACGGCATCAACGAGTTCAAAACCTGCGGCAACGCCGACCTGCTGTGCAAGGGCGCCATGGCCCTGCTGAGGTTCAACACCTGGAGCAACTTTGTCCAGAGCCGCCTGGTGCCCGCGCAGTACTACCGCGACCTGACAGACTACGACTCGTATCTCCAAGGTTCAAACTTTCTGGCCGACATCAACAACGAGCGCGAGCTCAAGAACGAGCAGTACAAGAAGAACATTGCCAGCCTGACAAACTTTGTCATGTACATGTTTGAGGACGACACCACCGCCATTCCTAAGCAGTCTTCCTGGTTCGCCGAAGTCAACGGCACTGAGGTTACGCCCCTGCGAGAGCAGAGACAGTACAAGGAGGATTGGATTGGCCTGCGCCAGCTGGACGACAAGGGCGGGCTCCGATTCCGATCCATCACGGGCGAGCACATGCAAATCCCTGAGGGAACCTTGAAGGAGGTCATGACTGAATTCTTTGGTCCCATGAACAAAACGTTTCCCCCGGAGAAGGATGCCGAGGACTTGAGCCAGGGGGAGCTGTGATTTGACCTTGTTTGACTGTGCGCGTGTCCTTGTTTCGTGACCTTTTTCTCTATTAATAAGTTAACAGCCATTTGATTGATACTATCTTGTTCCTCCTCACCATTTTTGTGCCACTACAGGTTTCTCTTTACTGTGTAATAACTTGGGCGCAACTAAATCTCCAAGAGGGCCTATAGAAACAAGTGCACACTACGAATATAACATCTTCTTTTAATACAATACGAATATTTCTCATTTCTTCTATTCATATGTTTTTGACTGTCCGTCTAATACGCCGCAACGCCAGTGCCAGATATCTAATCATCCTTATTATGCGCATACACACAGATAATTATGTGAAAATGAATCATTTTTTTCCCTTTTCCCTCTCTCAAATTTTCCCTTTTTACTCGGCTGCCTTGGCCGCCTTGGCCTTTGCGCTTCTCAGTCTCGTCTTACGATCCGAAATCTGCTGGTCCAGCTTGTCATCGTTGCCCTCAGGCTTGGGTTTCTCCTCCTTGGCGGCCTTCTTGGCCTTCTTGGCCGCAGGTGCAGCTTCAGCCTGCTCCTCAGCATTCTTGCGCTTCTTGCCAATGTTTGCCTTTTCAGCCTTGCCCTCCGAGTCGGCAATGACGTCCTTGTCGTCCAGCCACAGCTCGTCCGTCATCCAGATGGGCAGGGCAGCCGTCTCGGCGCCCTTGATGTAGATGCTCTTGACGTTGCGCCACTGCTGGGGCACCCACTTCTCGACCATGGTGTTCGCCACGGCCTCGACGTTGGCGGCAATCTGCTCGGCCGTCCAGTCGGAGAAGCCCACACGCACGGCGGTGTTTGTGCTGGGCGACAGGCTGACGAGCGCAGAGCCGAGGGCCTTTTCAATCTCCTTTGCAATCTCGGCGGGCGTGGCGGCGTTGACCTCGCCCTCCTTCTTCTGGGGCTTGGTGCGCTTTCCATCGACCTTGCGGGCCTTTGGCTTGAGCACGACGGGCACAGGGCGCTTGAGAGTCGTCTTGTAAAAGGTCTTGCCGAGGATCTTGGGCAGGCGGTTAATGATGCGGTCGTCGCCGAGGAAAACGTCGTGCTCGGCAAACAGCTTGCGCTGGGCCTCGTACTGGCCGTACTTGGCCTTGAGCTTGGTAACATCAATGACGCGCGTAATCTTCTTGCGCAGCTCGGCGGGAAACTCGTCGGCGGCGACAATGTTCTTGTAGGCGCGCTGCGGGTCAGCCGTGATGAGGCAGACGGTGGTCTCGGCGGCGGCGTTGAGGCTGTGCGGGAGGAGGATCTTGCCGGGCTGCAAGCGGGCCTTTTCGGACATGTGGCGCTTGGTGGTGAGGGTGAGCCAGACGATCTGGTCGGTTTCGCCGTCGTTGGCTTCTTGCAGGAGGTTGCGCTTGGAGGAGGACTCGGCTTGTTCCTTGGCGGCGGACTTGATGTGGGAGAGGAGGGCTTTGGAGGCCTTGAGGGTCTGTTGATTGTGTTTCGGTTAGATTCTGGCCAGATTGAAGCACAAAGGTCCTTCTTTTGTCGAGAAAAGAAAAGGGTTGGTAAACTCACCTGGGCGGCATCAATTGCAGCCACGGCGTTGGAGCCGACGACTGCCACCTCTTTTTTCGCAACTTCCTTTTTTGAAGGAGCCATCTTGAATATCTGTCTCTTTAAAATAATCTAAAACAACAAAAAGAAGACAATTGAATTTCGCAGCTACTCTGTGCTTGCAAAAAGTGAAAGATTGGCTGCAGTCACAAAAAACTACAGATTTTCACTATCGCCAACTTTTTTTTTCTCGACTGCCTGTCTCGAAAAAGAAAAAAAAATTCCATAATCTAATCAGGCGAAGTTCTTCCGTGGCGCTAGTGCAGCAACTTTTCGGAATATGCAAGTCCCGGTTGCCGGTCTTGGCTTGAAAAAATACGGAACACGGAACGGCGGCCGGAGACGGAAGATTCGAAGGAGGATCCACTTTGGAGATGTGGAAGCGTTGAAGATGCCTACCCCGTAGCAGAATTGGATGCAGTATTTTGGAGATGTATGGCTGTAGAACTGGGAGTCACTGGTTTGAATGGTTTTTATTTGCTGGTTAGATATTGATGTTTGTACACTTGATACCGATATGAATTCATGCGTGCTGTTGTTGATATTTCTCACTCACTCCGGTAAGCTTGTTTGCCATCTTTTGTATAAAAAGCCCGAGTTATACCGCATCTCCATGTAAGTCATGTTGGCTGTAGCTAGCAAACACCACGCATCGCGTCTGCAATCCTGCATATCCCCTCACGACTACTGCGGGTACCATGACTGATTAACAGCACTCCAAATCTATTCCAACAATTATTAAGAAATGATCACTATAGTCCCCATTCCATGATTTTGTGGCACATGGACCAATTTGCGATGGCGATGCACTTCTGCCTGACATGTCCGGACCCGACGGCAAGCAGCACGCAATGGCACGGCAACTGCAGCTCGGCAGCACGAGTAAGACTGCGTCGCGATATAAAATGACATGGTTTGTACCGCACAGTGGCGGGGCATGCGAGCGAGAAGCGCGATGCCGGGCCACGGAGTTGAGCCAGCCCAGCCACTCAGCTGGCATTACGTACCATCTGCAGGGAACTCGTAGTAACGTAGGAGCCTTGATGTAGGAATATGCCAGGCAGCTTGACGTGGACGACTCCAAGCAGTGCGGTGCAGCGCGGCACAGCCAGTCAAGAGTCGTCTGGGACAGCCATTGACGTTGGGAGCGCCATCTATCCAAAGTACAACATGATGCTGTTATGCCAGTACTTTTATGAATAGAGGACATTTGGCAAACAGACAGGCATTACCAATGTTGTATCGTAGCAACGCCTAATTACGAAATCACAGGCAATTCAACTCTTACTCGTAGCACTGGGTAACTGGGGCATATTACTCGGCGCCTGCAGATGGCGACGACTAGACTTTGCCTGCAAAGGGAATGAAGCCGACAGGGATCTCATCCACGGGCCTTGACCTGCATGCTCTCTCTCTCTCCTGGCCTCTTTTCCGGCGGCTAAAGGAAAAAGACGGCGAGAAGACCAATTAAGCGAAAGCCGAAAAGAAGAACTGATCTCGATGAAAAAAAATCCAATGGCTCGCATGCGTCGAAACGCGGTCCTGGAGCCAAAAGGCGTGGTGGAGACGTGACGAACCTGTACTTGTATCAATCAAGGCTAGGAAAAAAAGGCGCGGCAGTTTAGCAATAGCACGAGCTTGAATGGTGCTACAGATGCGAAGCTGATGGGTGGTGCAGAATGAGGAAATTAACCATGGCACGGCGCAGGATTACTAGTGAGAAGTGGTTAGATGACCCCGTTGCCGGGAATTCCATTGGAGAGAAAAAGGGCGCTTGATGGATGCAATTTTATGGCAGAGGCTGATGCGAGTTTCGGGTCTAGATTGTGTGAGGACGTGTAACATTTGTGAAGGCGTGTAGCAGCATGTACCGCGGGAAAAGATGGGTTTGCGATGCGTACGAGGGAGGGAGCACATGCAAGTGAAAATTGACATTTGATAGCCGTTATCACGGCAAATGCGTACATGGACTTGTGGTTGGAGGTGCATATCGCACTCATGTATATATTCGGAGCGATATCCACACGTGCATATTCCTGCATACACGTACTTGCAGTACTGCTGCATACCACACATCCAGCGAGCGTCGGTTTGCTCCCATATTAATCCATACGTGTACCACCGATGGACTGCCCTTTTTCACGTAAATCAAATCAGTCGATGCCACGCCCAACATAAAACATACAGGTGCTGAACACATGCATCTGCACCCAAGCGAGAGACGTGCATATCATAGCCCCAGCCAGCTCCAAACCCACTGATCAATAGCTCCAGCCTCCAACATCAGCAACACAAACCCATGCCTAGTCCCCATCCATTGATTATAATGCCTGTATGCAGCACAGCACAGACGCAGACTGGGTTCACACATTTTGCCCGATTGTTGGTGCACTCAATTGATTCTCTCACTCTTTGCCACGCAGCTGAGAAAACGTCGCCATAGCAGCATCCAGCCTGTTCCCAGCACAAATTCCTCCCCCTAAAACTGCCCCCCCAGCTCTCCCGCCTCCACCCGCCCTTGGTTGCCATAGCGTCCGGCGCGCCCATGAAATTAGCACTCGATCCGCTGTAACTCTGCCACGGCCTAGCGCCCTCCCTCGCTGAAAGGGCGCTGTAGCAATTTACGCTTCAGCGGTTGCAGCCGCTATAACCGCAAGCTTCCAGGTACCTAATTTTCCAATTGTCCCTCTCGTCTGCACAACGCCAACGCCAACGCGATGCGTCCCTTGTCGCGCGCGTTCGTGTCTTGGGTCTCTCTCTTTTTTTTTCCTGCTCGTCTCCGCTCGTTTAAATACCGCCTGCGCCAGGCCCAGCCCTGGTCTCTTCTCACCCCTTCCCCCAAAACCCACGTCTCTGGCCGTGCATTTGTGTGGGCAGAACGGAAAAAAATATAGCGGTGGTTACCTGTCACTCTTTCTTTTCCCTTTCTGTTCTCTCCTCCTCTCTCTCTTCCCTCTTACTTAATCCTCCTTCTTCCTCACTCCCCCCCAATTCCTTTGTCTATTTCTCGACATCCGGCCCTTTTGATCCTTGCTCCCTTCTTTTCGGTCTGCCGTCGGCCGAGAGGTACAGGGAATTAAAAGGGCAAGAAGAGGGAGTAAAGAAAAAAAGGGAAGGACGAAAAGGACAGACAAGAGAGCTGCATTGCATTGAATTGCTTGATAGCTGATTGTGTAGAGTTCAGTCCAGTCCAGTTCACTCACAGACTCAATTACGGGCACGCATCCACACCTACCTATACCGTGTTAGGTCCAACTGGCTGGGCCTTTGTAAGTGGGGAGCGAAAAGCTCGTAATAACAAACAACATCAACCGACTCTCCGACGCGACTTGCACGAATTGGCGAGAGAAGAGGCCCGGGAGGAATTGCGGTTGGAGCTGCCGGGAGGATCACCAAGAGGAACCAAGCGAAACACCAAGAGCCGCAGTGACTCAAGGGCATGATCGCGTCTTGACGCCCTCAGCACATTCACTGCCGCCGCAGCCATGGACTCGCCCACGCGAAAGCCGGCAGCCGCCGAGGTGGCCCCCGCTCCATTAACAACAACAACATCGTCGGCATCGTCGACTTCGTCCACCTCAGCCTCGTCCACGTCGCTGTCGCCGCTGAAGCGCCCGGCGCCGTCTCTGCTGCCGCCCTTTGAGCCCTCGTCGTCGCCCGGCCTGCCGCGCCCTGCAAAGCGCCAGAATGTCGGCTCGGCGCCCCATCTGCGGTATCCCACGCCAAACATCCCAACCTCCAGCACCGGCATCTTGTCCAGCTCGCCGCTGCGGGAGAAGCTGAGCCGCGGCATCTCCGAGCGGACGCCTCTCTCCGCCGTGCCGTCCATTGAGCTCAACGACAACGGCGAGATGCTGCTGATGGGCCGGTCGTCCAACTCGTCTCACTTCCAGCTCTCCGCCAACCGCCTCATCTCACGCGTGCACGTCAAGGCCCGGTACCTGCAGGGCGCCACGCCGCTCGAGGCCAACAAAATCGAAATCACCTGCAACGGCTGGAACGGCCTGAAGCTGCACTGCCAGGGCCGGACGTGGGAGCTGCTCAAGGGCGACAGCTTCACCAGCGAGACGGAGGGCACTGAAATCATGGTTGACGTGCACGATGCCCGCGTCCTGATCCAGTGGCCCAAGCGCAGCTCCTCGGCCGTGGACGCGAATGGCCTCTTGTCCGATGCCAGCTGGGAAGACTCGCCGCCACGCTCGCAGACGAGGGCCTCGGCCATGCTGCAGGCATCCCCTCTGCGACGGGCTGCTGCGCGTATCCAGTCCCCTGACAGCCCTACTCCGGCTCCTCGGCGACGGTCTGTGGTAGCAGCAGACGAAGAGTCCGGCATCCAGATCTACGAGGACGACGAGGAACACCTGCCGGACTCTGATGGCCACGAGGACCCCGATGTCGGCGTCAGCATGCGGACCGAGGTTACGGCCAGCTTCTCCAGCGATTTTGAGCCCGACGACGAGGACGACGAGAGTGATCCGGACGAGGAAAACGATCCCATCATCCACTCCTTTGGGCCCTATGGCGCCAACATCTCGGGGCGCATGGCGTCCATTTCGACGAAATCACCTCGCGTGACTTCTTCCAAGCGGGCCTTGAAGAAGGGCTCGACCGAGACTCTGGTGCCTAGGAAATCGACCCGGGATTTGGATAGTGCCGAGGCCAGCCCGCGCAAAAGGGCAAGGAGGGAAGCTTCTCGCGAGCAAACCCCAACCCCGAATGGTCGACCACTGAAGAAGGAAGAGGATGAAGAGGAGCAAGTGAAGAAAGAAGAAGAAGAGGAAGAGGAAGAAGAAGAGGATGACGAGGAGGAAGAGGAAGACAAGCCCCCCAAGATTCTCTCGGAAGCCGATGCCGCCATCTCCAACCACGTCGTCAACCAGCTCGCCTACTCCCGCCTGTCTTCCACGCCGCTGTCCACCATCATGCACAACCTGCCCGCCGAGCAAACCAGGGATCTCACCCGGGACGCTCTGAGGGTGCTCATCGAGACCACTGCTTGCATTGGCATCATCGAGCGCCAGGGCAAGGACGCTGCCGGCAAGGCGCTGGAGAGCGAGTATTACTACATCCCCGAGGCCGATACCGATGCTCAACGTCGCGCTGCAGTTGTGGATGGACTGCGAAAGCCCAGCCTGCGGGCGTGCCGAAAGCAGCACAAGGTTAGTGTTTTCTCTAGCTTACGTAGTTGGATTCTAGTCTTTTAGACTGCCATTATTAACGCGTTCCCCATCTAGCAATACTACTGGAAGCGCCCTAAGACGCCTTGAGCGGATTTGTTATTGACAAGACCAACACGGATGTAGAATGGGAAGCGACATTGCCATTTATTTTCATAAAAAAAGACAAAAACAAAAAAAACATAAACAACGAAATTACACGGAGGAACGATTGATTGAATTTGTTATGGACTCGCATATAAAGAGATCAATACCCGCCTTTTCTTTTTGTTCCGAGGCAGCCTCCCTGGGTGGATGCCCTGATGTGGAGGCCCTCTTGTTTATTGCCGTGGACGAGAACTTGTAAGATGTGTCATCATTGGGTCTTTCTTTTCCTCGTCTATTTGACGATATTAGTCACGATGGGGATCAACGGAGAAGTGAAGCTTGTGCGTGTGTGTTTTTTGCTCTGTCTTCCTGGGTTCTCCTGCGAATGCATGAGGAGCCGCTCCTCGGCCCTGGAAAGGAGTCAACTCAGTGGGATAAGAAAATTTTAGCTACGTGGGAAGGCATATGGCGAAAAAGGGGATATGGTGAACTGGACTGGGAACTTGTAAGGAGTTTTTTTGGCTCATGACACCCCGATGCATCGTCGCAACCATCCACGTCTGAAGGAGTTATCTGGGATGCGCTCTTGAAATTGTGTTTTTATTGTCAATGTTGAGTTTGCACAGAATGGACAGGAGCATGAAGAAAGGGAGAAAGACAGACAGACAGAAGCATGAAGAAGAGAAGAAGTAAAAGACGTGCAGAGGCAAACATCCATTGACATCCCCCTGCACCTGTTGAAATTATTACCTGCTATTACACCAATCTGTACATGTATGCATCAATAGTATAGCCCCCTCCAAGCCGATCACATCACATCATCCATTACACTGCAGATTGAGGGCACTTGTCAGAAACAAATAAAAAAATACAAGTCACCTTTATCTCTCAGACAAAACTATCATGACGCACCTGATCGACCCGAGTTGCATCCGCCCCATCCAGTAGAATCAACGCAAGCGACGTTGTGTGACGCAGTTGATAAGTGTACAAGCGAGACTCCAATGTTACGTGATGCCTATCGTGATTGTCCGATTAAATCCCTTTATCAGTTTAAATCCCGAGCTTGTTTTTCTTTTTAGTCAATCTCAGATCTCGGCATTCTTCGGTAAAAACGAAACCAATCTACCCATCTATAGTTTTTCTGTGTGCGTGTGTGTGACTTCAGGACTCCAATGTAACACCACCTGCATCACCGCAGCGTCGTATGATGCTGATTGCCGCGGGATTAGCGGCGGGTCTCAAAAAAGCCAAGCTTCTCGTTATGCTCTGATCCGATCCGGAACCCCCGCATTTTGGGTGGCGAGACCCTAAAAAAGAGCCTGGAGCTCGAGATTTTTGGGCAGGAATAGCCTTGATTAGAGGGGAAAAGGTTGAAAGTGTGAAAAAGTATAAGTAGAAGCTGCGGGTGCGTTTTGTGTTTATTTCTTGTTTATTCTTGCTTTAACCAAAAATTACTTACCTTGGAACTGAAACAAATCAATTACTGTCTTGGTATGTGCCCATCATTGTGTGTGCCTCCTCTTGTCTTTGATGTAATTGAATGACGCTTGATGATGTGATGCTAACTTGTTTATTACTTACATATAGACCTACCTATATATCAGTCAATCAGTCAACAACTCAAATCAATCAAATCAACCACTCAATCTGTAAACACCTACAGACAACATCCACCTACAATCTCAACCACAATGAACTCTTCACCACAAACCACAATGAGCTCTTCACCACCACAAACCCCAACCAAAAGTCAGTCTCCCACAAACCCTCACTCCTCATACATCAAATACTAACATTTATTCTTCACAGCCCAACAATCCCAGCCCTTCCACCCCCAAGACTCCTCCCCCGCCTGCCAGTCCGCCATCCGCCACTCCTCCACCTGGAAGCCCAGCTCGCTTAATCGTCGTCTTAGCTGGAACAACCAGGACCAGAAGCACGAGCTGCAGATGAGCGGCATTGATGGCGTGAGGTCGGGCGAGCAGGGCTTTACGGAGAGGGGTTGAAGTCAAATAACTACAACACAAAAAAAAAACAAGAAAAAAAAAAACATGGAGAAAAAAGAAGTTACTTCTTTGTATGGAATCTGGGAAAATGGGATTAAAAAGGACTGCATAGCATAAGCATAAAAAAGAAAAAAAGAAAAAAAAAAAGAGGCAAATGGTACTTAGCATGCAAAGGATACGGAACTATGGAATGAATACATCACCTAAAGAGAATGGATTATTGAACATCATGAGCCTGCTCCGTCGTCAGGCAAAACATCTACAAGTCATGCTTAATAGCCAATCACTCTTATTAGTCTTGGGTAATGACATGTACATTAATTCTCTTACAATACTACGCATGCACACATCCGTTGACGATACTCTTGACACCAACTGGGAGATTCCAATTCAAGCCGGCCTGAGCCAGAAAACTGCTAGCTAATGTACATCGGTTCAAAAGGGCAAGAGAAAAAAAACTGTGATTCGCGACATGTCGCTCCCAGCCCGCATTCGCGATCGATGGGGGGTATTTCAGACTTGATCCCGTAGTTGAAAACAGAAGCGAAGAGAAGAATCGAAAAGAGAAGTAAGGGGAGTAAAAGAAAAAGACTAAGAGGAGAAATGATGAAAGGCAAACAAACTCCTACTCCCGAGCCTATGCATGTCGTCGTGGGAGTGGCCCCTTATGCAGCCAACCTTGGAAGATGAAAAAAAAAAAAAAAAAAAAAAAAGAAAAACAAATGACAAGGTAGAAAAAAAAAGAGACCAGCAATCATATAACAATATAGCCTGAGCGTTCTGCTTATTTGGCCGTGGAAAGGTGCTCTGCTAAAGCCCCAACAGCATACGCCACTCCTCCTACCCACACGGTGCCCATCACAAGCTTCTTGCCAAAGCCCCTCTTCTTCTTCTCGGGAGCCACTGGCTGCTCCGGAGCGCTCTTATGCGTATTAGTGTTGTGAGAAGGTGGTGCTCGTTTCTGGTGGTAGTCCTCTAGGCTGTCGTCGTAGTTAACGAATCCAGTAGGGCTGGCAAAGTTGCCCGTCACCGACTGTCCCATCATATCAACCGGATTGATGCGAGTGGTGTTTGTGTTGCTGGGCGCTGGGTCAGAAGGAAGGTCACTGGCGTTGGGGGAAGCAGGCCGGTTCTTGCGGAAGATGAGCACGTCGCCGCCGCCTGATTGGATATCGTAGCCGCGCTCCTGTAGTGGTTTAAAGTAAGGGAGAAACTTGGACGGGTGCGACAGTTGCAGCAACACGTCCGTCAGTTTTGCAGGAGTAGAAACGTCATCGTCGGATGTGGTCTCGGCAACGCTAACAGATTCGGTTGACTTGTCAAAGGCGAGAATCTTGTACATGGTTGGCTCATCTGTTACCGCTGCGGCAGAGGCCGGCGAGGACTCGTAGTGCTTGACTACGGCCGCCGCCGTCTCGCTGCCACACTCCTCCGAATAGCTAGTTTCTAGTCCCTTTGGATCGTTAGAGTAGGGGTCCTTCTCGGCGCGTAACTGGGCCAGTCTACCGGTGATGCGTTCGATCGGTTCGGCTTCGGATTTTGGCAACTCACTGGGAAAACTCTCATCCATAGAACTCAGTTCCATCTCTGCCTCGTCTTTTTCTGCTGCCACCTCTTTAGCACCCACGTTGGCCCTGCTCAGCACCTGACTTCGAATCTCATCCGCCGTCAACGTCTCCAGCTCGCTCTCCACATCCGGAGGGGCTGCCTTGTAACCATGGAGATCCTTGTACGCCTTGGATGCTTCCTCAGGGTGCATGGGGTAAGGCGTATCAGGAGAGTCAAAGGTCTGGGGCTCATATGCGCCCAAGTCAGTGTAATTCTTTGTCAACTCCTCGGGGTGGATGTGGCGAATCTTGTCTGGTTCTTCGTATCCGTCAATGGCATAGCCAGGAAGGTCCTTGTAGACCTTGGAGGCTTCTTCCGGATGGATTCTCTCCACCGCCGGCCCTGCATTGGGGAATGCAGAGTATTGGGGCAGGTCTCGGTATGCCTTGGATGCCTCTTCCGGGTGAATTCGGGGAACCGCGGGGCCGGCGTTGGGATATTGCGCATACCGGTTGAGGTCTTCGTAGTTTTTAGAAAGCTCCTCAGGGGTCAATGGGCGAAGGCCATCGGGCTCGTTCCAACGAACAGGTCCGTACTTGTCCAGGTCATCATATTGCTCTGGCTTACAGTCACGCACCTCAACCTTGGCAGCAATCGGCTCTGCCTTTGGCGTGGGGTCGTTCTCAATGGCCTCATAATCCTTGAGGACAGACTCCCGGCAGGTAAAAGGACTGCCGTATGCATGCAGATCTGTGTAGTTTTTCGACTTTTCCTCTGGAGTCAGGCGACGAAGGCCATCTGGCTCGTCCCAGGTGACGGGACCATATTTGTGCAAGTCTTTGTAATCTTTGGACTTTTCTTCCTGGCTTCTCTCTTGCAGTCCGTCAGGCTCATGCCACCTAACGGGGCCATACTTGTCAAGATCTTCGTAGAGCTTGGACTTTTCTTCAGGTGTAAGCTGTGGGAGGCCATCTGGCTCATTCCACGTCACGGGCTTGTACTTGTCCAAATCGTCGTAGTTCTTTGACTCTTCTTCGGGCGTAAGCTTTCGTGGTGCGTTTGGATTGTCAATCTTCATTTTAGAGTACTCGGGCAAGTCCTCGTATATCTTGGATCGCTCCTCGGGGGTCAGATGGGGTAGGCCATCGGGCTCGTTCCATTTGGCGGGCTTGTAGTCGCCGAGATCTGTGTACTGCTTGGACTCCTCTTCAGGAGTCAGTTTTCGAGGTGCGTTTGGGTCATCGAAGCCTGTGGCCGAGTACTTGCCACGCTCGGCGCGAGTCACCTTGCGGTTGGTAATGGGGTCGATGAAGCTGAGGCTGTCGCCCGTAGTGGCTTTCAAAACGTTCTCGGCTGTGACTTGGCCGGAACTGCGGTGTGGATGCATTTGCTGTCGGAGATTTTGCAGCAATGTCCATACGCTGTCCTCCTTGTTGAACAGATGGTTGATCGCCTCTCGCTCGACATCCTCGATGTTGCGACCGGGACGGGCCCCAGACAAATCATCCGACCACGACTTGATGTCCTTTACTCTGGTGTATTTTCCAGAAGAAGAGGCGGCTGACTTGGTGCTCCCTGCCTTTGGGATCTCCGGGGATAGGCGTCCCTTGACCATATATTTCAGGGCGTAGACGCGCTGGCGCTGGCGTCCAAGATCGAAGCCGCAGAATTGTCGGCACTGCTGGCTGGTACTTGATTGCGCAGAAGCCAGAGCACCGCGGGCGAGTAGAAGCCTGGCACGAGGCGAGGCGATTTGCGAAGCTGGCAGCATTGTGAAGGAGGATATCGAGCCAATCGCGGAGCGAGGGATGCACTACCGGGTCTGGCGACAAATCAGCGTTAGCACACCACTTTGATCTGCCGCAAAAAGCAGGGCATTGGCAACGTCACGATGAAGCCACGAAATCACGTACCGGATAGAAGACGTCAAACTGAATCACCCCAAGAGTAGCAATTGCATGTGACATGGAACTCGGGCAGAACCGGGAGTGCGGGGAACGGCCAGAGCAGAGCAGAGAAATAGTAGAGAGAGGGAGGTTAATTCGACCACCAGGGCTGGAATGGTATATATAGAGACAGCCGAGTGTTATAGAGGAGAGGGGAAGGGCGAGTAAGAGCTTGGTGGTGTAGAGAGGATTACGAGGAGGAGGAAGAGAAGAGAGAGAGAAAGGACGCGAGAGCAACGACGTGCGAGGGCAGCTACTAAGTACGGGCAACAAGCACGAATCGTGGGATGCACATCAGCGGCTTATCTGGACTGAAGGTGAGCCAACTCTGGTCACCGCGCTGGGGTCAGCGAGGCCTGCGGGGTAAATCCGCTAAACAGCGCTGGACGGTGGGTTCAGCTCAGTGGCTCGTAGCCGCTCCACCCAGGCGGAACTGCCCCGTTTGGAGCACGACTTGGAACTCTTCAGTGCTCTGTAGCGGTGCAGCGGTACCGTGAGTTTTCAATTGCCATCGGATGCTGGATGCTGCATGTACCTATCAAGGCTCGCCACATCTCAGTGATGTCTGAATTGCAACACCGCAGCAAGCATCGTGACCGCCTCTGTGTTAGCAACGGCAAGGGACACACAGCAAACACTACTGCTGGCAGCAGGCAGCAATCAGTCAATGGCAGCTCTTCTTCTGATGCTCCGTCCTCACTAGCATCGACTCCAAGATGCACGTCCACATATTATGCAGGGGCCCCAGATTCCCCACCGGCGATATCAAGCGACGTTCCCAAAGCAAAGCTGGTGCCCTTTTCAGCGCGCTCCAGAGGCCGGGGTAGCGCTGGGGCGACGTCACAGTGGGGTTGGCGGCCGAATTGACCGAGCCAAGCCGCCTCGGCAGAGGCCAATCAGTGCCATTTGCGGCGGGCTGGGGGCGAAACAAGATGCCAGCGACGAGACGGGCATCACGTGAAAACGGGCTGAGACTGTTACAGACAGACAAGACATGGAGAAGTGGTTCGACGACGCCGGAATCTCGAGCAGAGACGGAAAATCGCCGGTCGCGATGCTCGGGCAGGTGCGCTAATGCAGCGCGGGTGTGGCCGGCAAAAGGGTTGATGCAACGCTCGAAAAAGAAACAAGACACATGGCACTTGGGACGACGATCGGCCTGTCTTGCGTCTTTTGTTGGTGTGGCAGCGCAGCAGGCAAACGCGGCTTGGGCGGGCCAGTGGCAACTTGGCGGGATGCACGGGCTCGAGGCACTTTGAGTGCCTATCAGGAGCCTCGAGGCTAAATTGCCGCACTGCTTGCGGTATAAGCAGTTGTCCGTTTCTAGGTACATGTACAAAGACATGGCACCAGTGTCCCATCGGCTTTATTGCCTAGAAGTAAAGAGACGCCACATATAAACACCCATATTCGGTATGACTGTAAACGCAGAGCGTCGGATGTCGAGTGGCGTTTTCAGGCTTTATGCAGGGGCTGTATTCAACAGATTGACGCTACATGGATTTTAATTTGACATCTTAATTTAATGTGATGAATATTATTTTATTTCCTAATGATTTTATACGAGAACCAAATCCTCACTCTTGAGCCCTCTATCAAAAATCTCGCCATTCATAAACCCATCGACATAACACTCGCCAACAAACTTGTAGTTGTCCCCACAGCATCGAAGCAAGACAGGCACACGGCATCCGTACAAGACACACACAACATCACCCCTCTTCGCCCGCGACGGCGCCATACCCACAAACCCTTGCTCCGTCACCATCAGCCTCTTTCGCATCTCCCGTGGACCGATCGTGTCGTTGAGTCTAGATGGGAAGCCATCTTCCCTCTGTTCCGGAAGTTCAAAGTTTGGCGGGACTGTGGCCAGTGAAGCGGACCGAAAAAGCTCCTCTAGCTTGAACCCCCAGATTTCAAGTCCTTCATTGTCATTGATCCAGGTATAGAACGGCTGATAAGCAGACGTGTTCCTGTTCCTGTCCCTGCAAGCCATGAGGTGTGCAAACTCTACTCTGAATCGGTCCAAGGGAGTGCGAATGCTGAGGTAACGGTCTTCTCGATCGAGAACCATGCTGCGAATGAGCTTGTCCAGCAATCTACTGGATTGTTCTCTGCGCTGCGCAAAGTCACAGTTTGAAGTTGATCGGTCAATCTCTCGATTTCTGTCTGACCGCGACGGAATAAGCTTCGAGTCATGCTGGTCCGCATCCCCGCCTTTTGGCGTAACACTTGTGCTTCCAAGACCGTCAATGCAGTCCAGGATAATGCCCTTGCAGGTCATCTGAAAGTCCTCCGAGAACGAGCATTCAGGCAAAGTATTTCCGGCCGCGGTATAGAGAGCTGCATCTTCCGCGTCAGACCTGCCAACAACAGGACGAAAGTTGCCAATGTAAGAGATACCGCTTTGGCTGACCAAGAGAGGCGTCACGAAAACCTGAACGCGGATATTCCAATTGGGAACCCAAGATGGCGCGGCAACTACTACTTTGTTTTGTACTGGGAGTTGGTTTGAGCTGTTGAATAGGGTTGCGAAGCAAATAATGTCTAAGCTGTTGTAGGTCTTGATGAAGGATTTGACAACGTTTGTATATATAGTCTCGACCGAAACATCGCTGCGATAGTTTGGCTGGCCAACAACACTTCTGTCCTCCTTGTTTGCCAATCCCAGGAAAGCATAAATTCGATCCTTGGGATTGGTCACAAAGCAGTCGCTCGTGTAAGCAACCAAGGCGATGAGGCTCATCTCAATGGGACTTTGCTGTCCGCTCCTCCGCTGGCGTTCGCTCCACTGGCGGAGTCTGCGTCTGTTCCAAGCTGCATTCCGGGCATTGCTCCCAATAAGGGATTCATCTGGATTGCAACAAGAAATAGCGGATATTGCTTTCGGAAATTGCGAGTGCGACATATGCTTGTTTCCGCAGAAGAAAACTAGACGACGCGGCAGAATGAACTCCTGTATCGTCCATACTCTTCTCCACCACGGTCTTTGCAAAAGGTCTCGCAGTACCCTCCACTTCTCGGCGATGTTAAGATCAGGAGGCATTCCCCTCAATTGCCTTCTTTCCCAAGTTTCAACCAGCTCCTCTCTTCTTTGGCAAAGGCTAAGGAAAAACTCCATTCCCTGGTCGGATTCAACATCTCCTGGTCCCAGCCAGACAATGGTAATGTACGAACTCTCATATAACTGGCCCATTAACTGGACTTGAGATGCACGCTCCTCTTCATCATCGCTATTGATACATATCGAATCAATCCAGAACCGTGCATACGATTTGAGATTTGCGTTGTCACAGATGGCTTCAAGAAGAGGATAGGTGCTGTCTAACACGGCAAATGGTTCGCCATCCAAGTCAATCGTCTCATTCCTTGTTACTTCACCCCATGCATACGAAACAGTAGCAAAGCTGGGATAGTCTTGAGAAGTTACATGTAGTGAAAATGTTTCGAGGCGCCCCGCAATATCACCGTTGTCTGTACGCCATACTTCCAGAAGGCGAAAAGACGAAGCTCCAAGTGTTTTGTAAGGGTTCTTCCCTGTGGCTGAGCCCATGGTTACTTGAATCTGTGGCGCAAAGTGAAATCATATGGTGTTGTTTAGAGATTGACATTTCAGACTACACTTGTCCATAGGTAGGTAACTACTTACCTAGTGGTTAGATTCAATTGCGGAGTATCGAGTGTTGCTGCCTCTTATCATGTGATTTGCGTAAAACGCTGAAAGCACTAAAGAGGTAATACACCAAATGCTACCCCCATGGCGAGGACGGAAATTACCAGAAACCCCCTAGACTCAGGATGGTTATTCCTTATTCTCGTTGGAGTTGTTGGTCAGATGCTGCGGCTTGCACGTGTGTCGCCATCTCATTGGCCCCGAACCGTCTCATCAAAGCATCTGCAAGTCATTCTGTCATACCAAATAGCGGCCCATGCGATGCTTAGTGCCAGTCGACTTACACCGCAGCGCCAGACCGCCTCGACGCATCGGAAAGATATCGAGATTGTCGGATCTCGAGCTTCTTTCGGCAGAGATGCTTTCTGCGGCCATTACCTAATGTGCTGAGTTAATCATGCCATCCCGCAACCTTATTCACTGCTTTTGCCTAAATCGGCAGAGGCTTATCGAGCTATGCACTGCTGGATAAGAGTTGATTGAATAGAGTTCCAGAAGAGAAATAAACATTCGCTCTCAAAGCAAAAGCAGACAAGCTTTGGGCGATGAGCCATCTTTAGTACCTACGTCTTCCACCGTTTCCCAAATCCATCAACTAGACTCTATTTGTCCCCCGACACATATCCAAAGCTTCCAAACATTATTCCTCTTTCGACCGTAGCATCAGCTCCCGCCAGCTTGATTTCAAATCCAACAAGCTTAACTGCGCGGATATTCCCAGCGGCGCTTACCTAATGCTCGTTAATATCGGTATCGATAACGCTCTTCCAGCAGCAACCCCGCTGTAACCGGCGTGACTCGTCACTAAACGCGGCGAGCTGCAAGCGCTCTGGCAGGCGACGCTGACATCACAGGCGGCTTTTACAGCGGCCACAGCCCACGCAGCCAGCCATTAGTAATTTCGGTCCCTCTTCCACAATTTCGAACCTTCAAGTCCTCATCACCATCTGGCGAAGCGCCTCTCAACTCCTTCCGCCTCGCGCAACACCCTCCCCCTCCCGCGCTTCCTCCTTCTCCGACCCCTTTGCAGCTTCAGCCTCTCTCAAACCGACCAACCATGAAGCGCACCGCCGCCGCCAGCCGTGCTCCGGGATCAAAGTTCGGCGGCTTCGGTGCCCCGGGCGGGACTGGCACCCTGTCGTACCTCACCGAACCCCCGTCATTTAGCGCCGTGTCGGATCCGAATGTCGTCGTGTCTCTCAAGAACCTGCTGAAGAAGGACAGCACCACAAAGACCAAGGCCCTGGAGGACTTGCTGGTGTATGTGCAGGCGCAGCCTTTTGAGAACAACGGCGGCGTCGAGGATGCCATTCTGGACGTCTGGACCGACATCTACCCACGAACAGCCATCGACAACGCTCGCCGAGTGCGTGAGTTGGCTCACAGCCTGCAGTTTGAGCTCATCAAGTCTGCGAGGAGGCGTGCAGAACGGCACATCCCCAAGATTGTGGGTGCGTGGCTGGCCGGCCTCTACGATCGGGACCGGGGAGTTGCGCGCGCCGCCAGCGATGGCCTCTCCTCCTTCATCAACACTCCAGAAAAGGTCGCGGCCTTTTGGAGAAAATGCCAGACGCAGATCCTCGACTACGCCATTGATGCGATCCGCGAAACACAGGATACCCTGAGCGATGAGCGATCGACGACCAAGGATGATGCAGAAGCCAAGTATCTCAGGGTCATTGGCACCGGCCTGTCACTGGTCCTCAGCCTCCTCCAGCGACTAAACGACGAAGAAATCAGCAAGCAGAGCCACAAACTCGACGAGTTCTTTGACGAGGAGACTGTCTGGCGCGCCATCACCTTCAACGACTCCTCTGTGCGCAAGTCTGTATGCCACCTCGTCATTACATGCCTCAATCGCAAACTTCCCTATGCCGAGTCTACCCAGGCGAAACAGGCCATAGTTACAGGCGGGCTCAAGACGGGCCAGAGTGGTTCTGCGCAAGACTATGTCCGGGCGCTGACGAGGCTATCACAAGTTGCGCCCGATATCTGGACGCCTTCCCCCAAAGAAAAGAAGCCTGCGCTCTTGCGGTTACGGCAGTTTATCGAAAAGGGCTCACAGGGCTGCCCTGCCAAGTTCTGGGAACACCTTGACGAGCTCATTTCTGTCCTCCCAGAAGACCAGATGAAGAAGTTGGAGACGGCTTCTGAATTTCTAGAGGCCGTAAAAGCCGGTGTGACGAATCGTGAAGAACCCCGGACGAATACTTCCATGGCCTGGAAGTGCTTTATTGATACACTTAAGCGCCTACATAGAAATCTTCCCGAAGATGAGAAACTCGACTTTGCCCGCCGGCAGATTTGCCCCATTTTCGAAGACTTTCTCCTGACCATATCCGACAAGCCTGTGGCTGTTCCGCTTGGACCCAACGCCATGACTATTCTAGTTGAAGCTCATCTTACTATTCTTCGGAGCTCTCCAAATGTCGTGTCTATATCGGCGGAGGAGTGGGAACGGTTTGCTGATATACTATGCAACAAAATCTCCAATTCTCTTCCAGAGGTGTCCCGAGAGTATCAGTCATCCCAGGAAAAGATTTTTGAAGAGGGTCGACGATGGTTTAGCCTCATCGGAGAAATTCATAGAAAGCTGGCCAATCTTGACGAATCTCTGCCGGATCAGACAGCCGCTCCCTCCAAGAAAGTCATCAGCCATTGTATAGACATTCTGCGAAATCGAAATATGAAACCATTTGGTGCTGCAGGAGTCCTAGAATACGCACTCAGCACCTCTCAGCACCTTTTCGACGGCGAGACGGGAGATAAGACTGCTGAGTTTCTGTCGGAAGCCGCGGGAGACTCCATCGAAAAGGTTATTCAATCTGCTTCAAGCAGGCCTCTTCTTTCCTGCCTCAACCTTTTGGGGGCCATTCCATCAAGAGAACCAACCTACCGCAAGATTTGGGGAGCTTGGGTTGAGGCGGTCTCGGAAGTTTCCGACCGTGCTGTCCGTAACTTGGCTCTTACATCTCTTATTTCTGAAGAAAAGGCTTCCGAGCCTACCCAGGCCAACGCTCAGCTCCAGACCTATATCGTTACGGAAGCCATCGAGGCTGTAAAGGGCGAAGCATCCGGATGGGGTCTGCTGGAAGCTGGTATGAGCGGCCAAGGCCTTTCCGACGAGAGCTGCAAGCAACTCTCTGAAAAGGTGTTGGAAATTCTCGACAAAGAGCCTGAATTTGTGGAGCCAGCGCTGAGAGCGTTGGAGATTCTTGCCAAGGGCAAGCCGAAGCTTTTCGAGGATAGCTCTCTCCATACCGCTTTGGTTGCGCAGTTGTTGAGTCTGACTGAACTTGGCAACAGCGTTGTTTCATCAAAGGCCATAGCAATTCGAGCACTTCTTCAAGGAGGTGGAGCGGGCAATCAGCCGGTAATCCAAATCATTCACGACAACCTCGAGCGAGCAGGTCCCCAATCGTTGGATATTGAAACTCTCTCCAAGCAGGCTCAGCAAGCACATGCGGCGGGCATCGCCGTTGAAGAAATCTTCCCAAGCACAAACATTTGGATGCAGAAGCTAGCACCATTCTTGGATCAGCCCATCAACCCCTCATTGTCCATCACGAACAGCCTGGGTGGCGCCGTTACTTTGACAAACTCCACAGCTCGGCCGACTGAGGTTCGTGTGCACCGAGACAAAAAAGGACGCTCTGTACCTTTGAGAATGTCTCTTTATTCTGCGCTCCTGTTGAAAGAAGGTATTGATATTGCTACCCTCCCGCGCGAGTTTCAGATCGAGTTGCTCTTTATCCAGTGCCTCATCATACAACTCGCTACTGATCAGATCGACTCCATGGACGAAAACTCACTATGGCTTGGCTTGGAGTCTGACGAGTCCGTGTCAGAGGCGGAATCTCTGGTGACTACGCTGAAGAATTCCATCAACAAGAAGTCGCTATTGTCAAAGTGGTGGGATAATTCTGTGGACAATGAACAGGCTCACATTTTCCGTGGACTTGTCGATCTTCTCAAGGAGGAGTCGAAGGAGCTGACACCCAGAGGCGTGTACAGTGCCCGTGCCATGAGTGAGATTGTGCAGGTCTTTTCTGAGGCTCATAGCCTGTCATCAGAGCTGGAAGAGGCTCTGCTCAAACCAGTGCTGACAAAGGCGGCCCCTGAAACCGCCCTTCTCGCCGCTGCTATGCTCTCGGGATTCGGAGAGACCTTGGAGACTTCCAAGCTTGCGAGCACTTTCCTGAATCGCCTTGTTAGCGACATCGCGGGGGCTTCTGCAAGTGGCGACAAGACTATGATTACGCTCGTCTTGCTTAATCTATCTGCGCAAGTATATGAGAGTGGGCAACTGCCTGTAGCCAGCAACCGTATTGTTTTCGCAGTCAAGCAGATTACCTCTTGGCTCGAGAATGAAGAGCCCTTGAGCGCTTCTCTGTCTGCCGAGATCTGCCGCGTGCTGAACCAGCTGCTTCCTTGCATGAGCGACGTCTTTGGATCGTACTGGGAAAAGGCCATTGATTTCAGTCTGGATCTGTGGGACAAAGCGGTTGAATATCCTCTTCCGGATGCTCTGCCTTTCATCCACTCTTCTCTTAAGCTTATAAAGACACTGAAGAGCCTGGAAGATCCAAACGACGACCTGCAGGACGCTCTCAGAGAATCAGCAAGCAAGCGATCCAAGTCGCTGATTGGACTGCTCAAGCTACCTCGCGGAGCTAGTAGCCAGCCGCTAGAGATTGTAGATGCCATGCTATGCCGGGAAGTAGAGAAGGTGTCTATCAAAAGCATCAAAGATGTCTCAGACATTTATGAACTAGTTGCTTCGGAGTCACAGGATATCCAGACGGCGGCCTTTGATATTCTGCACAGGGCGATTCCAGCCATCCAAGAGCAACGATCTATTGACACTGTTTTGGACAAGACAGGTAAGATTTTTATACCCTCATGTCTTGGGTGATTTCAGGCTAATTTATGTACAGAGGCTCGCTTGCCAGATGAGCTGCTATCGTTGCTTCTCGACGCGCCTACTCTGGATCGATACCCCGACGAAGTGCTGGCACTGTTCCCATCCCCAATTCGAAGCTACCTGCTATCGTGGAAGCTTGTTTTTGACGCCTACTCCTCATCTTCTTACAAACTAAGGAACGACTTTACCGAGAATCTCAAGACAGACAACTGCATGGCTCCCTTCTTGGACTTTATGTTTGATGTGCTTGGCCACTCTGCCGCACGGCCACTGAATCTCGAGAGAGAGCAGCTTACCACAGAGCATATCCAAGACTACGACGTCAAGGTCGCCAGATCAGAGCCAGAAGAAAGAAGCATGCACTGGCTGCTCGTGCACCTATACTTTCTCACGCTGAAATACATTCCTGGCCTCTTCAAAGCCTGGTATCTGGACTGCCGCTCTAAGCAAACTCGCATTGCGGTGGAGGCGTGGACGACAAAGTACTTTTCACCTCTGATCATCTCGGAGGCCCTTGACGATGTGCAGACGTGGGCGGATGAGCAGGAGCCTCCTGGAGATGAAGAGCAGGAGGTCCTCGTCAAGATTTCCAAAAACGCGCGAGAAGTCATTGTCGGCTACGAAATCGACGAGCTCACAGCCTCCATTGTCATCAAAGTCTCACCCAATTACCCCATCGAATCTGTCACAGTCACGGGCCAGGAGGCCGTGGCCGTCAAGGACCGCACCTGGAACAGCTGGATCATGACGACGCAGGGCGTGATTACATTTTCCGGCGGCAGCGTCGTGGACGGCGTGCAGATCCTCAAGCGCAACATTGTGGGCGCGCTCAAGGGCCAGACCGAGTGCGCCATCTGCTACAGCGTCATCGCGGCGGACAAGCGCATGGCGGACAAGCGGTGCACGACGTGCAAGAACCTGTTCCACCGATCGTGCTTGTATAAGTGGTTCCAGACGAGCAGCCAGAATACGTGCCCACTGTGTAGAAATCCGATTGATTACCTGGGGGCTGATACGCAGAAGAGGAGACGTGGTTAGAGGGAGTGCTAATTATTTTTGGATGGCTTTTTTTTTTTTTTTTTTTTTTTTTTCGTTTGAATAGACGTATTATTATGTTGTCATGGGGTTATTTAATGTATATGATGATTTATGCAAGATGTATATGAGAAGAGCCCGCGAGATGCGTATAGAGGGTTGTTTGTATATTTTCCAATCACTTTGTCGCTGAGTTTATTCGTTCATAATGAAGCACTTGAATGTTAAAGCCTGCGAAAGAAAAAAAGACATGTCAGCGACTTTGTGTCTGCAATGTTAAATTCTGACCCAAACACGAGACATACCTCCTCGGCCGAAGCCCTGCTCCCATCGTAGCGAACTAATCTCGCTACGGCGTATCTGAACCCTGCATCGACATGCGGTAAAATCACCTCCCATGCCCTCTGTGGGAACACGGTCCATAGCTCAAAGGGCGTGACGCGAAACTCCTTTGCCTCGGGCCACGTCTCGGGCGTCGGCGTGCCCAGCGTCTTGAAGATGCTCAGAATCAGGCCCAGCTGGTTGCCGTCCTCGTGGACGGCGCGCGACTCGAACAGCGGCGCGGGAGGCGAGCGGATGGCCTCTGCGAGCATGGCGCCCAGAGCCCACATGTCGACGGCGGCGGAGTAGGCCTTGTTGCCGAAGAGCACCTCGGGGGCGCGGTAGGGGCCGGTGCCGATGTCGAGGATCTTGGCGGCTGGTGGTTCTGATGAGGAGGAGAATTCGGGGTGCCAGGCGGTGCCGAAGTCGGAGAGGTGGGCTGGGCCGGAGGGGGAGGCGAGGAGGATGGCGGAGGGCTTGATGTCGCGGTGGATGATGCCGTGGGCGTGGATGGATGCGAGGGCGTGGAGGGCGTCGGTGAAGATGGAGCGGATGTGAGATGGGTCCAGGCCGGAGGGGCTTTTATCAAGGAGGTCTGCGAGGGTGAGCGGCATGTAGGGAAAGGCGAGAACGAGGCGCTGCTCTTGGTCGCGGAAGGTTTCGAGGAGAGGGATGCATGGTGGGTTGAGCGTTTGGAGGATCTTGATCTCGCGGAGGGGGTTGTGCGGCTCGAGGTTCTGATGGGCGACGATGACTTTGAGCGCGAGGGTTTTGTCTCCGGATTGGGTGCGGAAGACTTCGGAGGTGATGCCGTCTGAGATGGGGGTGCAGTTGAGATAGGAGCCGATGCGGATGCCGGTTGATGGGGTGGGAGGTGAGAAGGTGGGTGAGGAGGAGGGAGAGGAGGCTGCGTTTGGGTGGCAGGCGGAGTCGTATTCTTGCTGTGATTTTGTTAGTAATTGATTGGTATGAGTTGAATTGAAGTAAGTAATGCTATGGGTGATGTACTCGTGAAGTTGAGTTGTCGTATGCGGCTTGTTCAATGGCGATGGCCTCACTCATGTCATGCGAGGGGAGCGATTCTGAGCTGTGCGATGAGAGTTAGCCATTGCTCTATAAAAAAAGAAGTAGAGTCAAATTAAGAGATGGACATACATTTTCGATATAATCTCATATCGATCTACGGATGAGAGATCCGATTTCCATGCCGAGGAGGCCATGGCTGCTGATTGACTATTGGTCGAGGAACAACAGCAATAGCATCAGTTTCGGTGGATATTCCAACCGACTGTTAAATTTAGCGATTCTCTGCGCATTAAAACTTATGCACGCTATTCCCTCATGCAAGCAGCAATCAATGCTTCTTCCCCCTCTCGATCATGCCAGCAGGCCGGGGCGACACGTCATTAGCCGATTGGGCTCCATTTCGTTGAAACCGAGCCGGGATCCATGGCCGTCATGACCCAAAGCTGACGATGCAGTCGACGGTTTTGGCTCCCAGGGAAACAAAAACTCATTAAACATTGTCCCGAGGCTTCTCCGGCGAAACAGACTTTCCGCCGTTTTGCAGCCTCCAGCGCCACCAGAATGTGCCAGAACGTGCCCTATTGGCCCAGGCTGCTGCTTTTGGTGCTGACAAGGCTGGCCGTGGCGGCATCGGCCCCCCATAATTGGGCGCCATGATTGGGTTTCCAGGGCCTGGCGTTGGCCCTTCTCCTCAATTAACGCCCACAGCGAGGCTGCCACCTGCCTGCCCACCCGCTGGGAAAAAGGGCCCCAGCCACTAAAGGCCGTGGCCCAAATTACAGCGGGCTGCAGCGCTGCGCTGGTTGGCTCGAGCTCCCCGTGCAGAACAGCGACTGGCACTACCATCGCCGTCTCGCCAGTTCTTCCGTCACCAATTCTCCACCATCCTTCTTTTTCCTCCACCAAAAACATTCGAGCGGCGTCACTCTTCAGCAAGCCGGGCACATCGCCATGCGCGCATTCGATTAGGAACGGTGCACCGTGTCCCAGCTTGCCCTTTGTACAATTTGCCCTGAATATTGGAATATCCCCCCCGTGTCGATCGCAGCGTCAACGGCGGCGAAGCTATCCCTACCTTTACCTTTAATTTATTGATTACTTAGTCAGAGCGACTGTCGCCAGACCACCATGGACGAGACGGCGAGGACAGAGTACCCGGCCATGCTGGTAAGAGAACAGCTTCCATTCCACCCTCCGGAATATCTTCAATCCTGCTCGTTCGGGCTGCTGGACAAAGCGCAATGGACTAACACGCTGCCCTTTTCGGGCGCCCTTCGCACAGGCTGTTCTGCAGCCCGGCCAGGCCGTGCAGACGCTCAACGACCGGATGAAGCGCATCAACAAGATCAACCTCGAGATCGCCGACTGGCTCCAGGTACGCAACGGCCCCGGCGGAACATCCGGTGATGGGAAAATGAGAGATGGGGAAGCTGATGTTGACCAATTGTCGCCTGTAGGAGCGCCGTCGCGTCGAAGAGCAATATGTGCTGGCCATGCGCAAGCTGGCCCAGTTCCGAGTCCCCAATGCGCAGTCCGAGCTGGGGTGAGTCGCCGAATCCTCGTCAATGCCTCTGTCATCGAGGCCGGTCGTCGAATGCCATCGCTAACAAACATGTTTGTGCAGTGTTTTCCAGGTTCCGTGGTCCCGAGTCATCGAGTCCGTCGAACGCAACGCACAGTCCCACCAGCTGTTCGCCGATCGCCTCGGCAATGATGTCGAGCAGCCGCTGAGGGCCTTCCCGCAGCGCCAGGACACCCAGAACATGACCAACATCGCAAACAACCTGGCCACCATGGCCCGGGAGCTCGACGACGCGCGAAGCCAGTCCGACAAGCTTACCAAGAAGGGCGGCAAGGCCAGTACTCAAAAGGTCGACCTCGCGTCGTCCAAGCTTGAGTCGGCCACGCAGCAGTGGGAATCGCAGTCGCCCTTCATCTTTGAAACGCTCCAGGTGCTCGACGAGTCGCGCGTCAACTTGCTGCGCGACCTGTTGACTCAACTTGAAACCCACGAGTCTGATCGGGCACAGCGGAGCACCGACATCGCCGTCGAGACACTGGCACAGATGCTGGAGATTAGCACGGAGAGGGAAGTGCAGAGCTTTGTGCAAAAGGTGACTGCCGGCAAAAGCTCACTGCCACCGTCGAGGACAGCGACGAGACGCTCGACGACGCACATGTCGCAGAATTCTGCCAGCGGGACAAGTGCTCCCTCAACGCCGAATCCCTCGCAGCCGCTGCCCGAAGATGATGCTAGCGAGCACAATTCGCTACCCAATAATGAAGCTAAGCCGGGTATGTAATCAACATGTCAATGGAATGAGCGTGTACTAACGAATTGCCATGATAGAATCCAAATTACGCAGGTTAGGTACCATGTTTGGTGGTCGACGACGACAGAGCGTCCACGCGGGCTTCGGTTCTCTCTCCCCTCAGAAATCAACTGGCGCAACCTTTGGGCGACTTGGCAGCAGCCATGGCCGGGCCGTCTCTCCGATGACTTCTTCGAGCAACCTTCAGGAATCCAACCGACTGTCCATCTTGCCCGAGATGCCAGATGCAGCCCGCAGGCCACAATCATCGTCCGACGCCATGCACGGGGAGCCGTCGTTGAATGGAAATGGTAACACAAATGGCCTTGGACCTGGGGAATCTCTTCTCGATACTCCCGCTCCAGAGATGCCGTCAAGTGTAGTTAACGGCAACCATAATGTGGAGCAACAGCAACCCGAGGCTACCGCCTCATCCGAACCGCCATCCGCCCAGCCAAGCCAACAGGAGGCCACTTCTCCGATTGTTTCCAAAGATGAGGAGGGCTTCACAATACGGGCACCAATGAACGATCCCATCTCAGAGGCCCAGAGAGAAGCCCTTGCCGACGAAGCCGATCAAGGTTTCAAGCTTAATATTCAAAACTCACCAATCGAAGAAGAGGACCCCGAAGCGGCACAGGCCGCCCTCTCGAATGTGGCCAATACACTTCGAGTGGGCTCCGCCAACATGAATCGACGCTCCATGACGGTGCGCGGCCGCCGTGACGTGCGCAACACCATCTATGCGCCTGTGCTGCCTCACTTTGGTGATGGCCAGTCAGACAACGCCATCCCTGCCATGCCTGTCGTTCCGGGATCTCCTCCTCGTCCTCCGTCGTCTCGGCCCGCCGCCGTGGCTGCACTTGCTTCCGAGGCTAGCGCCGCCTCCGATACCCAGTCTGTGCGGTCCGGAAACTCGCTCGGTAGCCATCATACGAAGCACCCGGAGCTGACGGGCCCTGGACTGAATGCCTCCATTATCGAGACTGTTTCAGCTCACTTTGAGGGCGGCGAGCTGAAGAGCACATCAGTTGCGGGAGAGGTTGCTTTTGCCAACAATCCTACAGGTGATGTTGACGCTGCCAAGAGTAAGCTGACCATTTCCTCCTCTTGTCTGACACATTCAAATACTAATGCTCGTACAGCACATGAAACCATTCGTATCAACAACTTTGCCAACTTGGAACGCATCGGCCCCAACCGAATCTTTGTTCACAACGCCTCTCCCGACCAGCCCGACCAATACGCGCTGGACGTCTCTCACCTTTCCGCTTCCAAGACCGCGACTGCTTTCTCTTACCGTGTCTTCTCTGACGGATCAGAGGCTCATTCTCTTAATCAACATGTTCCTCTCCTTGTCAACCCCATATGGAAATCCCAGGGCGACAAGCTCGGCCTCCTCTTGCAGTATCATCTCAACCCCGAGTGCAAGTGGACAGCTCCCGTCACTCTCCACAACGTTGTCTTTGTTGTATCATACGACGGCAAAGCAACTGGTGCCCAGACAAAACCCAGCGGCACCCATTTGAAGGACAAGCACCTTGTCTACTGGCGACTGGGAGATGTGACTCTCACAGACGTCGCACAGAAGATTGTCTGCCGTATCGTCGGCGCAGACGGCGTGGAGCCACAGCCAGGCAACGTTGAAGCTAGGTGGGAGTACGCTGTCTCTGGTGAAGATGTTGTCGGCAGCGGCATCTCCATCTCCAGACTGGAGACTGTGAACAAGGACGCCGTGGAGAGCGATCCCTTTGCGGATGAAGAGAACCCTGCTAGCTCAAACCCGTCTCTCGCAGAGCAGACGTGGGTGGATGTGCCGATTACGAGGAAGCTTGTGAGCGGCAAGTACGAGGGGAAATAGTCTTGACTTATTATAAAGCGCTTACATGTCAGCGTCTTGAGTGGGAAATTGGGGGATGAGAATATCGTTGGTAATATTGAATATGCTGACTGAAACGTGAGCGCTGGTAATTCAAGCGTTGAGAGCGAAGGGGGCAAATAACTTTATGCGACCTTTTTTTTTCTTTCTTTCCTTCATTTCAAAACAGAAATAAGATCGAGCGACTGTACGCCGATTTATTATTTCCTAGAATTTGACTATTCGCTCGTGATATCAAGATCTTTCCTTTTTGTTTTTTTTATATGTGCTGTTGGAGGGAAGCCCTTGCTGCGCTGATGTGTATACACGCTCGTTTGTTTTTCTAAAACTAATATTTGTTTGTTCTTTTGTTTGATGCATAACTCTCGTTTTTTATTCTTTTGTCTTTTTTTTGTTTGCTTTTTTGATACTCTGCGTTTGCATGGAGAGTGGAAGGGGGAGAGGAAGATGTGGGTTTTTATATGAGTGTAGCGGTAGTAGGAATACCAAGGTAGCATTGAGAAAAAGACATGAAATATGCGTATTAGTGCTTTTTAAGCTTTTTCGTCGGTTTCTTATTCGTTTCTATTTTTTCACCCTTTTGATGTTCAGACAAGTGAGTTCTACTGGGGATATTATCTGTTGCTGCGGTTATTAAGGGAAAGTTATTTAGCATCCTAATTTAATTCAGCACCCCGGCTGTACTATGAGCTATAACCAAGTGCTGCAACTCACAGCACTCTATATGTATAGGTAGTCATACCTTAATAATGCAGTTAGTCTGTATATCAAGTCTGGGCGATGTTGGTTACCTTGTCTAAGCGATGGCTAAGATGGCAACCAGCACCAATACCAGCTACTTCTTCGCCACAATGCCTAGATGTCTTATCACCCCTATGTATGAATGAAAGATGCTACTAATTATGCTGTGTAAGAATGGCACGTCGACTCGTCGCCAACAATCTGATTGGCTGGATTCGACCTTTTGTCCTACCATGATCTGCAGCCAATAAGAGCCAGAAGGAGATGAGATATCGCAGCCTGATTTTTATTGCACCAGCATGTTGCCTGACCCCGCACGCTTTCCTTCACGCAGCCTTGGGAATTTCTTCAACTTACATGCCTTTTCGCTCGGGTATCGTCTCTTGATATCGCTATGCCTGCCGCATTTGTGTAACGGGCCCGTGATGTCAGTGTCTTCTTCCTAGCTGTTGACCAGCGAGAGCGATCTGGTAATCAGGCAGCATGGCCAGCTCCGGCCCGCCTCCGCCAAACAGTCGCGATGACTTCGAAATCGCAATCATATGCGCTTTAGCCGTTGAATATGATGCCGTATCTCTCTTAATCGATCAATTCTGGGACGAAGATGGCGATAAGTACGGTAGAGCTACCAGAGATCGCAACATGTACACCACCGGACGCATGGGAAGCTTTAACATTGTGTTGCTGCTTCTTCCTAACGCAGGCAAAGTCAGCGCAGCAAGCGCGGCCTCTGGCTTTCGAACAAGCTTCCCGAATATTACTCTCGCTTTGTTGGTGGGAACATGTGGAGGAGTGCCTTATACAAAAGACAGTGAAGAGATTCTCCTCGGAGATGTCGTTATTAGCAAAACGGTCATCCAATATGACCGCGAGTTTCTTACAAAAGATACACTCGAGGATAGGCTAGGGAGACCAGGACCGAATATTCGCAGCATCCTCACTGTTATGGAAACGAATCACGGGCGAGAGCGCCTGGAGAACCGTGCTGCTGTGCTACTAGAGCAGCTGCAACGTCATGCCGGCCGAAAGAAAACGCGAAAGCCAGTAAATTACGAATATCCTGGGATCCTCAAAGATCGATTATTTGAGTCAAGCTATGTCCATAAGCACCAAGTCTTGCTCCCGTATCGCTGTTGCGACGAATTACCCTGCATTGACTCTCACATGCTCTCCTGTCATGAGCTTGGCTGTGAAGACGACCAACTCGTTCAACGTCGGCGGCTCAACGATGAGGCTCAAAATATTTCCATTTTCATCGGTCGCTTTGGCTCAGGGGATACGACATTGAAGTCGGGAATGTATCGTGACGAGCTCGCCCAGCGCCATGGGCTCCTGGCATTCGAAATGGAGGGCGCAGGCATCTGGGATGAGCTACCATGCGTCATCGTTAAAGGCATTGCCAACTATGCTGATGGCCATCGGAATGCGGACTCAAATTGGCAGCACTTTGCCGCCGCCACGGCCGCTGCAACAGCAAGAGCATTAATTGAGCGATATCCCAAGACAGATAGGCCTCGTCCTCCATTGGTTATTCTTAAAAGGCCCAAAGAAAGAACTAAAGAAGAGAACGAGTGTCTGAGGGACATGCACGTAACTGATCCCGCTCTTGATAAGAAAAGAATCGAAGACACCAATGGAGGCCTCTTGAAAGATTCGTATATTTGGATTCTCTCAAATGCCGATTTTACCCAATGGCGCAACAATCCTGGCGGTGGACTCTTGTGGATCAAAGGGGACCCTGGCAAAGGCAAGACGATGCTCATCTGTGGTCTCATCGACGAGCTGCAAGCCGACGGCATAGCACAACCGTATTACTTCTTCTGCCAGGCATCTGACCCCCGACTAAACAGTGCTACTAAGGTTCTATGCAGTTTGGTCTACTCTATTGCCTGCCAAGATCAAGAAGCTCTGTCAGTTGTCATGGAGAAATATAAGCACGCAGGCAGAGAATTGTTCAATAATGCAAATACTTGGACTGCTCTATCCCAGATGTTGACTCAGATCTTACAAAAAGTAAATCTGGAGAACAACGTCTTTATTATTGATGGCCTTGATGAGTGTATAACCGATCTCCATCTTCTTGTTGATTTCATCGCCGGAGCGCCAGCATTGTCAACGGCAAAATGGATCGTTTCAAGTCGAAACTGGTCAAATATTGAGGAGAAATTGAATACAAGCTCCAAGAAGCTACTCTTATCCCTCGAGCTGAATGAGCAATCAATCTCGCACGCCGTTCAAGCTTACATCAAACACAAGGTCGATCAGCTAGCGGCCCTCAAAAAGCTGGATGAGCATTCGCGCGACGGTGTTGAAGCTTATCTATCTGCTAATGCTAACGAGACCTTTCTGTGGGTAGCCTTGGTCTATAAAGAGTTGTTTAAGGGGAATGTGAAGAAGCGGCATTTACAAGATCTGATGAATACTTTCCCTCCTGAGCTTGGACCGCTATATATGCGCATGATGGCGCAGGTGTGCGAGTCGCGAGATGCAGATACATGTGTGCAAGTGCTGGAATTGATCTCTCTTACTTACCGACCAATTTCGGTGGTAGAGCTAGCATCGCTAGTCAAGATACCTGACGATAACGACGACTTTGATGAGATGAGAGATGTCATTGCCACTTGTGGATCTTTTCTTGTCTTGAAGGATGACATGGTTTATTTCATCCACCAGTCGGCCAAAGATTTTCTGCTCAGTAACGCATCTGACCAGATCTTCACTCGGGGAGTTGCTCGCAAACACCATGATATCTTTTCGGGATCAATACAGATCCTTTCACAAGGTCTTCGACGAGACATATATAAGCTCCGCCATCCCGGGGCTCGACCTTCTGTGCCCAATCCCGATCCACTAGCGCCTTTACAATATGCTTGTGTATATTGGGCTGACCATCTACGAGACGCTGATATCAATTCCTCTGGAAAGACGATTTCGCAAGCCAGCCTACAAGATGATGGTGTAGTCCATTTCTTTCTCAAAGCCTTTTTGATTTATTGGCTAGAAGCACTCTGCCTGACGGGTAAGTTGTCGGAGGGTATTATCGCCATAAGATTGCTGGAATCTCTGGTACGTCAGACAATTTCCGTTTGAACAATCATTTATAATGAAAGTGGTTAACTGTTTTGAATAGACAGCACAAGACTTGGGTCTGCTGCACTTGTTTGTAAGAGATGCTCGTCGGTTTGTCTTATCGTTCAGACCAGCAATTGAATACACTCCTCTGCAATTATATTCTTCGGCTCTTCATTTCGCCCCTACATCTAGCATAGTACGCCAAACTTTCGAGCCAAGCCAGGCGAAATGGATCTCGCAGAAGCCTAGCGTGCGATTTGAATGGGATGCACACTTGCAAACACTAGAAGGCCATAAAAATGATGTTTGTTCATTGGTGTTTTCGCCAGATAATACGAAACTAGCGTCTAATTCCGAAGATGGTAATGTCAGAATGTGGGATCGGGCTACAGGTGCCTGCTTGCAGTCACTTACACTCGATACCATTGATACGCATACGAGCATGGCGTTTTCACCCGACAGCAGTCAGTTGGCATTAGCTTTTGATGAAATTATCAAAATATTGGATATAAAGACAGGTGCCTTTGTAATGACGCTCGAGAATGGTCCAAGGCATAAGTCAATGGTGTTTTCGCCCGACGGCAAACAGCTAATATCATCGAATAAACTTTGGGAGTCCGGCCGCTTTCGGATTTGGGATCTTGCGACAGGGATGCGGCTTCGAACGAAAGATTACTACCGGGACGTGCGAAAACCAGCTGTCTTTAATGTACCAGACGAAGACAAGAAATCAGATGAAGACGAGACATCAGATGAAGACGAGAGATCAGATGACGACGAGAGATCAGATGACGACGAGAGATCAGATGACGACGAGAGATCAGACGAAGACGAGTTTACCGTAGTTCGAAGTCCAATAACAGGTTCACGCGTCGTGGTAGCTAGCAAAGATCGTCCCGTAAAGGTAGTGTTTACATTAGATGGCGTGAAATTCGCACTCATGATGAAGTTCTCAGAGTCGAAAGCTACAGACCCTGGGATAATCTACATCTTGGACGCCGCTACTGATAAATGTTTGCAGAGATTCAGGGACCACCCGGTTACTGAACAGTTGGCACTTTCACCGGACGGTTCACAGCTGGCAATGGCCCCCAAACACAAGTATACTACCGTTCGGGACGTAAAAACGGGCGCTTCTCTCTTTACGTTTCTGTCCTATACAGCAGCTTCTATCTCCCCGATATTTTCTCCAGATGGTGCTGAGCTAGCTGTTGTTGGATATTTCGAAAATATCAACATCTGGGATCTTACTCCGGGCTCTTTTGTGGACCCTGAAAAAGATATAATTTGGTCACTCGCATTTTCACCAGATAACACACGCTTTGCACTCATAACAAATTGCGTGGAGCTCCTAGGTGCTTTCACCATTGAGATTTGGGATCCTGTGGAAGGAAAATGTCAGCAGCAGCTCCAAGTCGGCAAGTCAATAGCTGGTTCAACTACTCAGTCTTCGGACATTGCGCGATTAGCATTTTCTCCAGACAACACGCAATTAGCATATTCGAGAAGAAATGAACTTGTGATTCGAAATTTAGCTGAAAATTCACAACGGGACAAGTTCGAGTTCAGAGCTTCAGGTAGCATACAGTCAATTGTATTTTCTCCCGACGGCACTCGATTGGCGGTGGCAGATGTCCCTCTTCTGGATGAGATCGGCGACACGAAAACTCTCAAAATCAAAACTCCAAAAATCGAGATCGTGGACGCGACCAACGGCGCAATTGTTCACACAATCAATTTCTCAACAGGGATTATAGATGTGTATTTTTCATCAGACAGCAAGCGTTTGGGGTCAGTGTCAGAAAAGGGCATCGCGGCGATATGCGATCTGAATACTGGCGCATGCCTACAGACTTTCGATTTCAAATTTGGAGATATGAGGATAGATTGGCAAGAGGAATATTTACGACGCTCTCACTTACAATATTCCGTTACCAGCATGTTGCAGGATCCAGGGTCAATACCCAGTGCTATCTTTGAGTTTGATTGCAGCGGCGACGGCAGTTGGCTTTTGCGACGAGAAGAGCCTTTTCTTTGGCTTCCTTCGGATTATCGGTCCATGGAGATTGGTTTTGCTGGAGGAAATATTGCTATTTCACCTCCCCTTGTAGGAATTGTTTTGATTTCTCTTAGCCTTGCAGAATTGGACGCTGAAATGGCATCCAATAGGTCATCAATTCTAAAAGTCTAGATTTATACAAATCTTAGCATAACACGACAAAAGACTGGTACAAATATTTAAGCTACTCCTTCGATTCTGCGCCTTACAATGAGCAAGACAGGTTGCCCAATAGGTCTGGCCACCGCTCTTGTCTGTTGTTACCAGGGCCGACGCCGACACTCCACGGGCAACTACTTCTAAAGCTCGGTAAATTTAACTTCAATGCCTATGTAAATACATTTTTTTTGGCGGATACACCGGGTGAACCGTAGTCTGCGAGTAATACGAATATCACGAATAGACTGATTGTCTCTCCGTACGATCCAACGGAAAACCAAACGGCTGAGTATTCCGTTTACATCTACATTAAACATAAAGTGGATCAATCAGCGACTATTGAGAAGCTGGATAAGCAGTCTCGGGATGTTATTGAGACCCATTTGTCTGCAAATGCTAATGGAACCTTTCTGTGCATAGCCTTAATTTATAAAGAGCTTTGTAAAGGGGGGTTAAAGAAGCGGTATTTATAAAATCTAATGACGGCTTTCCCTTCTGGATATACACCTCTATATAAGCGCATGATGGCCTGCATGTATTTTAATAAGTAAAAGTAAGAGAATAACAAATGCACATTGTGATTAAGTATGGTAAGTAATAGTGAATCAGTACACAATCTATTCCATCTCCTTATCCGCCCTTTCCCTAATCATTCTACGCCCGAACCCATATCTAAAAATATAGAGAAATTAAGGAATATTGGGTTTGCCCCGTGGACTTTTATCCATGAAGAAGCGGGCATTTGCCCATAAAGGAAGAAGCATATAAAGGAAGAAGCGGGAATTCACCCATAAAGGAAGAAGCGGACATTCATCCATGAAGAAACGGACTTTTCATCCATGAAGTAGCGGGAATTTACCCATAAAGGAATGGGCTATCGCCCATGAAGGAATAAGGAAGATGAGGTTTACCCCAAGGACTTTCATCCATAAGATAGGTATTCACCTATGAAGGAAGAAATAGGCAATCGCCCATAAAGAAACAGGCGTTAACCCATGAAGGTATAAGAAAAATGAGGTTTCCCCCAAGGACTTTCATCCATAAAGAAACAAGGCATGTAGCCATGAAGGAATAGGCATGTAGCCATGAAGGAATAGGCATTCAGCCATGAAGGAATAGGCATTCAGCCATGAAGGAATAAGTAAAAATAGGCTTTCACCCAAGGACTTTCATCCATAAAGAAAATAAGGCATGTAGCCATGAAGGAATAGGCATTCAGCCATGAAGGAATAAGTAAAATAGGCGTTCACCCACCTAGCACTGCCTCCGCTTTTTGTCTTACTCCTCCTCCTCTCCAATCTCCTCTACGCGCTCGTTGCTCTCTTCATCGCTCTCTTCCTCACTCCCCTCATCGCTTCCCTCTTTCTCCGAACGGTTAATGGCTGCCTCTACGAGCTTGCGCACTCGGCGAGCAGCTTCTGCAGTCTCTTCTTCGGTGAGGTTTATGGGTGTATCGAAGCCGTGTCCTGCAATGTAAGCCGACATTTCAGCCAGGCCAACAGTTCCGTGATGAGTGGCAAGGGCAAGCAACATGTTCCTTCGCATATAATTTCCTGGTGTTCCAAAAGGACGTAGATTATAGAATCGGGCCCAAACATTCTCCCATCCGAGACATTGGAGGTCCTTAATGCGAATAAGCGCCATGATGAAGTGGAAATAGAGAAAGCGTGAGACTGGACGGTTCTCGTTGAGAAACACCAGCTCCTTTCCATCGAGGTCCCTGCCATAATAGCCTGGGAATAGTTCACTATTCCGGATATCAGGCGAAATAAGCTCCGTGCGCCATCGTCTGATGGGAGACTCGCTCGAATCGACTGGGACAACTACGATGTGATAGCTGTCGAACCACTCCTTGATACGGTCTGACAAAAGCAGCGCATTACCCTCTCGTTGAAGTGATTGGGCTCGTTCACCAAAGAGCACTTCACCAAAGCCGTTCAGGAAATAGGGCACGATGTGTGCAGCTTTATGAAATTTTGCTCCATGCCATATGCCGGTTATATGGCACCAAGCATTGCCAGGCGCGACGCCTTCGTGGTCATTGCTATCGCCGTTGTAGTAGGCTAAAGCATCCCGACGCCAATTTGAGCGTCTTTTCTTGCTCTTATCCTGCCCATCGCATGACTTGTAAAGACTCAAAAGCAGCTGAGGAATCTCACCAGCATATAGGTCGACCATCCGGACTGCTCCGGCATCTTCGAATCGCGCCTTCTTCACTTGGTGATGCCATAAGTTGTCTCCGGCAGAAGAGGAGCGTGACCACGCTTCCACGCGACGCTTCGTACAGGTGTTTTGGTCAATAAGGCCGGCTTTGAGCTCTTCGTCCGCAACGGCTTCCTCCAGCTCGAACAACTCTTCCCCCCTCTGAGCCATTTCCACTCCAAGCGATGCCAACTGATGGCTCTCGCGGCGACTTATTTCCGGCCGCTCCTGGTCTGGCGCAACCTCTGGTTCCACTTTGCTCTTGTAAGCTTCGTATGTTCTCTTTGCCGCCAAATAGGTACGTTTGGCTGTGGTGAGTTTGGCCCTTGCTGCGGCCACTCCGGATGGCATAATGGCTGTATGTTGGTGAGCGGCAGACATGGTTGGTCGAGATGGTGATGACTTTGTAAAGAAGGTTGAATTGAGTAATTGGTTGATCAGATTTGCTGAGCAGGCGCTGTTCTGGTGCGTTGATGTGATATTGTTTGTGGGAAACGAAGCTGAAAGAAGTGCCGGACAATGCTAATCTTTTTGTTTGTTTACTGCCAGAAAACTGTCTATACGCCACAATGCAGGGCTTGAAGCTTATTTAAAAGTAGTTGAATACTACAAGTATCTAGGTAGACAGGAACCTTGGTAGGCAAGTACCCAAGTATCTCAGGCTTGTCTGGTGGTTTAGAAACAAGATTGTTGTTTTTGACCTTGATCAAAATTCCGTGAAGCGCTGCTTTTACCTAATACAATTCCATGTGGTGGTGCATCACAAATGCCTTGAAGCAAAGCTCCATGCATCTCAAACAGCGGCTACGACTATCGGCTCCATCGACGCGAATTCGATGTTCATATTTGAGTATCCAGGTAATAGGTATGTAACTACATCAACTTACATGTAGTAGAGCGTTACGGTAGGGATACTGCTACTACTGCTACTGCTACTACTAGGAACCCAGTTGGCGCAAACCACAAATTCTATATTCTGGGACCGCTATTCAATACTTGTAGATGGCAAAGTTTAGGCCGAAAGACAAAGGATTTTGTGCCAAGAATTAATGATCTATTAATAGCAATATATATCTTTGCATCTTTGTTGGATATACGAAAATCGTGAAACCCTGTGGAAGCCCTGGAGCGGAAGCAAGAACAACCATTCCCTCCTCTGTACATGTCCCCTGGCCTTCAGGAACAAGACCTCAATCGGTGATTAAATCAAGTAATTCCACTGTCCTTATAGTGCTATTGCTTAGTCTTTTCTACAGCTGTAACAACCTAAGCACTTTGGCTGGCGGGAGACTGCCAGTCTGCGTCGAACTCGTCTTCATCCGCTCAACACTCTCCTAGCCAGCCCTCGAGCCGGCCGTATTGTGACTCATATTCTCCCAAGATGCGATACATTTGAGCGTTAGTTTGTATTTAGCAAGGTACATTACTAGCTGGTAAGTATTAGCAAGAGTCATAATGTCTGGTAAAGCAACCGCTCGACCCCCCCCCCCCCCCCCCCCCCCCCCCCCTTTTTTTTTTTTTCTTTTTTTGTGTTTTATATAGGCAATGGCAGTAGGTTCTGTTCTTCATCTCCTTTTCCACCTATACGGTAAGTACAAAAGTCCAAGAACAGCACTGGCCTCCTCCAAGTCAATGCGTTAAAAGTGGTCCAGCTTTTCTATCTCCAAATTTATATAATTTAATTGTCGCTGTGTCTTTCCAACATCTTCGCTGCTTTCAAACTCAATTTGCGTCAACTACCTCCGCGCCCCCCGTATGCGACGAATGCAAGCAAATGGTCCGCCCAAGATCAGCCACTGGCAAACGGCGTACGTTGATGATTTGAAGCACAAAGGAATTGAGATTGTTTATGGGTCAGTGGTGTGTCGTCAAATATGGCTGCCTATCCAATAATTGCTCAAAACAACTAAGATATAATATATGTAATATGTTGGTACCGGCATATCACGAAAGATGACCATATAAACATTACATGAGTGGTAAAAAAGTAAGTCTATTCACGTGCTTCATAACAGTCAAAGGGCAGAGAAACTAGTCAAAACAAAAATGTAATATCGGTGCAGCGCTTGCATAAATCGATATCATAATATTACATCTTTTCCTTCATCAATGGATTTGTTCCTTCTCCTTTTCTTTTTGTTTTTTTAGTCTTCTCCCTTCTATTTTGCCTTCACTCCCCCGAAGCCGCCCTCGCATGCTCCTCATAAAACTCCAACGTCAGCGCCGCCAAAAAGCCCGGGATGCACCCCTTCTCCCTGACCCAAAAGCCAATGTGGTCGCCAATCTTCTGCGCAAACGCGCTCTTGGGCCCGCCGCCCACCTTCATCGTGCCCCGCTCGCCGTCAAACACAATCGAGTTCTCGTGCTCGTCCGTCTGCGACGGATAAAAGGTGCTCTCGACGCGCATCTTGCCGTTGGGGATAAAAGTGACGGTCCAGCCCAGTGTTGAGAAGATGGCCTCCTTGAACTCTTGTGACTTGGAGCCCCAGACTTCTTTGAGGCGGCGCGCTGATTTCTGGGCGCTTGCGGTTTCGGCTTTTGCTGCTGCGATTTCGCGCTCCATGGCGCCCAGTACTGATGTCGGAATCAGGGGTATTGAAGGACTCGTCTCCTTTGACCGCAACGTCGCCAATAGCTCCTTATTCTCCTTCTGCAGAGCCTCAAGAGTGGCCCGCTTGATCGCCTCATAATCCGAGGTGGGATTAGATCTCAGCGATAATACTCGCGTTTTGGTCTGCTCTTTGGCGGCAGAAAGCTGCTCGCGCGTCGTAGAGAGATCCTTTTCGAGCATGGAGACCTGTGTCTGTACGCTCGCCAACTCTTCCTGGAGCTTGCGGTTCTTACGCGTAAGCTGGCCCATCTGCTCCTGGGCGACATCATCCTCGGCCCGACTTCGCTTGCTTCCAGCGAGCAGCAACGGCGATGATGGCTGCTGTGATGACGGATCCATGGATGAGAGTTCGCCGTGTAACCGCTGAACCTCCATCTTGTAGTTGTCCACCATGTCTTCCAGCTCCTGGATACGTGCCACGCGGGATTCATCAAACCGTTCGGGCTGTAAGGCTTGCTCTTCCGTGTCAAAGGCTTTAAGCTGTGCGCGCAAGTATTCAACTTCCTTCAGAGCCAAGGCACGCTGCCGGTCGAGACGCATGCGGACCTGGTCGACATTAACAGCCTGGGCAGACGTTGTGGCATTCTCGGCTTGGCTCCTCATTTGCGCTCTCTCTTCTTCCAAGGCCTGGATATGGCTTTGCTGAGCCGCAATCTCGGCACGAACAGCGCCTAGCTGCTCGACATAGGAGGCACTGGTCAGTCGCTCCTGTACAAGCGCCCTCGCAATCTGTTCTGGTGAATCGAACTCGGCCTGGCCTGTTGCTGACATGTTCTTGAGGTAAGCTGACCATGATAGGCGCTCGTCCTCCAATCTTTGCCGTTGTATCCTTGCCTCTGCCAGTTCCACCTCTAGCTTCTCAGCGGCCACAACCTTTCTCATCAATGACCTCTTTTCCTCTTCGACAATCTCGACGGCTTTGTTGACAGCTCGGAGCCGCTTCAGCTCTGTAAGTTGTTCGCGGTTCGAAGCTTCCAGAGCACGAATATGTGAAACCTGCTCAGACAGCTCCCTCTTGATGATGTCCATCGTCTCCGCATCACCGCTTTGGGCCTTGAGCCGTAGTACGTCCGCCTCTAGGTTGCCAATCAATGTGTCTTTTTCTAGAATCTGCTCCTGGCACTGCCGTAATGATGTCTCATGTGCTTCTGCCTCCTGCTGCATGTCCTGTAATGAGCTGTTTGCTGCAGAAATCTGCATTTGAAGATCGTTGGCTTTCTTGTCAGCCCTTCTCGCCGCTTCGTCTTTGGCGCTGGTCAGGTCTTCTAGCTGTTCTTGCAAAAGGCGAGTTTCGTCCTCAGCGGCCCGAAGTTTGGACTCGAGTGATCGTTTGTCGTTTTCCATGGCTTCTTTCAGCTCCTCCATTTCGGATCGGATCGACTCCATCTTACTGTCTGTCTTTGCCTTTTCCGATTCAGCTGATTGGCGATGCTGTGCTTCTTCTTGTTCGCGCCGACGGGCTTGCTCCATCTTGTTATTTTGCTGAGATAAAGCGATGTCTTTTTCCTGCTCAGCGGTCTGCAGGCGGTATTGCAAGGTCCCAATCTCGGCCTTGAGGGCCTCGATTTCTTTCCGATACTTTTCGGATGCATCTGACTCAGGCGGCACGACATTGTCTTTCAAATTCTCGACTGAGCCTCGGAGCGATGGGGTTGCATTGCTTTGTCTAGATGACGGTCTACTTGTGCTGTGTTCTCCAGTAAGGTTATGGGCGGATGTTGACGCTCGAAAAGATCCTATCTACAACACATCAGTGAGTTAGAAAGCATACACAGAGCCTGACATCGAGGCATGCTCAGCCAATTGGCTGCTTGACTTACTCTGGAATCACGAATTGACAGATTTGGTCGGGGGAGGCCTGAGGTGCTTCCAGTACGAAGTCTGCTGGCCGGCCGAGAGCCTGGACGGCCAGTAGGAGTGCTGGCATCCTGCATTGCGCGGCCGCGCATCTCAAAGGTTGGCTTTGGCCTTGGAAGAAGGAAAATACGGACGATGGCTGCTGAGCTTCTGTTTCTTTGTCCGGCAAACGCGCTGCTTCGCGTCGGAAATGGATAGCTTGGCTGCGAATAACGTGGTCACGTGATGATATCAGTTATCGGATAAGCTGCAGCGCATGTAAATGAGCCTGAACTGACTTGAAGTCGATGAATTGCAGTAGGGATCCAATTAGAATTCAATATGTGAGAAATATCCTTTTTATGAGTTCAGTCAATTGGTAATCCGAGTCAGATGTGCAGGCTCTGAGCATGGAATTGAGCTCTGCGTTCCTGAGACTCTTGCGCATCAACAGGCCATCAGATAAGATCTGCGCGAGCCAATCGGCAATCCACCGTGTACCGGCTTGGCTCGGGGTTCGCGGTACCTGAACTCGCACAATTCCCTCTGGCTCTTAAGACGCTTAGCAAGTACATTGCCAATGCATTTCAAATGGAGATGTTGGATCTATACGAGTAGTTTCTACTCGTAAACTGAAAATAACATGCAAATTAACAAATAAACACCCGATGCCATCAATTGGACAATGTCGACCAAGTACACTCAACTCAAACCCATGACGCAGCTCCCGTGACCCACTCGGACAAGACCCAAGAAAGTGGGAAGCTCAGCTTAGCTCCGTCCATCCTTCATCCATCCATCCCGCCAATATCCACAGCCGAAACTCCAGCAAACAAGCCTTTTGACATGCCACTTCCGACGAGCAGCCGCCCGGATCTTGCTGGGTTCGCCAATTAACCTGAGCTCGTCTTGTACCAATCACCCTCCAATTGCCATCACACGACCCGGCCACTGCAGCAACCACGGAATCCCGGCTCTGCGAAACCCGAATCCTGCCTGGATCTACCCAGCTCAGCCCTAAGCATTGAATTGAGCTTCCATTTCATCTACAATGGTCACCTGTGCGCGGAGTCTCGAGGCAAGTGAAGATCACTGGGCACATCTCAAACGATGACCACGAAATCTATATTAACATGAAGCTTTAATAGGCCGCAAGGACCTCTCTGCCATCGACATTTGCGCTTCGTAGACCTCGGCTATCGCCCTTGTTCCTCTCCAGTCTTGAAGCTCGCTCAAAGTACGAACGATTGCCTTCCATCTCCTCATTATCGTCTTCAACATTGTCCTCTTCGTCTTCCGCATACCAGAAACGATGGTCTTCCGATTCGACGACTTCCCAGCAGAACCGACAGGCAGGTGCCCAAAGCCATGATCAAGCAGCGTCAACACCATCGACTCCAACATCTACAACGACAACGTCATCATCATCCTCGGCATCTACATCCACATCAACGTCAACATCAAGCAGTCGTAAAAAAGAGTCTGCTGGAGGCAAATTCAACTTATATGGCGACGAGTGGGAGGACACTGTTGACTTTGCCATTCAAGGATTCGACGAGCTTCCGCATCGCCTATTTGGCGTAAACCAGCATATGATTATCAACTATGAGCTCAAAGAGGCCCTCCGTATGATGCTGCGCCAGTTTAATGCGCCTATCGTCTACTGTTTCGCCTACGGCTCGGGCGTTTTCCCCCAGGAAAGGCCCGGTCGCAGCATCAGCGAGGCTGACTTTCGAGCCGTCCATCCTAGGCCCCCCGAAGCTTTGGTCAAGGCCCAAGGAGGCTCACCCAAAATGATTGACTTCATTTTCGGAGTCACGCACACAGAACACTGGCACTCTATCAACATGAAGCAGCACCGGGACCATTACTCTGGCGTCGCATCGCTGGGCTCGGGCTTTGTCTCGCGCGTCCAGAAATGGGGTGCTGGCGTGTACTTCAACCCCTACGTTGAAGTTAGCGGCATGTTGGTCAAATACGGTGTCACAAGCATCGACAACTTGGTTAGGGACTTGTCCACTTGGGATAACCTCTATTTGGCAGGGCGCCTGCAGAAGCCTGTCAAGATTCTCCGTGACCATCCCCAGGTCCGACTGGCGAATCAGATAAACCTCATCGCTGCTGTCCGAACCGCACTCCTTCTGCTGCCTTCTGATTTCACCGAGGCCGACCTATATAGCACCATTGCTGGCCTCAGCTACCTCGGCGACCCACGAATGGCTCTCCCTACCGAGAACAAGAGCAAGGTAGCCAATATTGTCTCCAACAACATGGTGCATTTCCGTCGGCTCTATGCTCCGTTGGTCAGAACACTTCCCAATGTAGCATTCGTGGATCCAGTTCGGCTCGATGATGAGAGCTGGATTCTGAACCCCGACGCCAACGCCAGGATGCAGCAGGATATGGATTTGGTGAAGAGAGGCAACATGGTCAGACGTTTACCAGGAAGCTTCAGGTCTCGTCTTTACTTTCAGTACCGCAAGAAATTTGGTGTTCCCCGAGACGAATTCGATGCTATGATGGAGGCAGCTTCTGACTCGGACGGAGCGGTAAAGCGCCGTCAAGCGGGAGAGTTTGAGAAGCGGATTGCCGCGGATGACACCGAACATTTGAAAAAGATAACCCGCCAGGTCATCAAGCAGACGGTCAACTGGCCCAGCACATCTCAAAGCATCAAGGGCTTGATCATGGGTGGTTTCAAGAAATCATGGCGATACTTGGGCGAAAAGGTGTCCAAGTGGAAGAAGGGCAGATCCGAGAAGAAGTCCGAAAGCAAGGACGCTGAAAAGCCACAGAAAAAGGAAGAGTAAAGTGCAAGCTTTTACTCAGTCGCCTTAACGACGACGCATTTTTTTTTCTCTTCAGCTTTGGCATTCTTGCCTTTATTTTCTTGCTACATATTGTATCACGTATGCATCTACACAATGAACATAGAGCTTAGATTTGAGAGAGCGATTGCAGCAACAGCCGAGCGGCGCGCAAGATTTTGCATCGGCTGGCTATGAGCCACGAGGACTGGAGACATAGGACACATTGAAAAAGAATGAGAGGCAAAAAGATGAAATGGGATGACAAAAAAAGAGAGACAAAAAAGCTGGATAAGCAGATGGATGGCGCTGATGGAAATGTGAAATAAATGGATAGGATAGATGGATGACTTGGGTTGGCTGGTTTGATGGGCATGGGGGCGTTGACGAAGGAATGAAGCGAATGCTGTTGAAAAAGGCGAGCGGCTTTGCAACTTGTATTGTAGTGTATCAAAATAACTAGTAGGAAATACGATGGGAGATTTTGGCTTCATCTAGGCATATAATTATAATTGTATCAAGACAATATTGTGAGGCCTTTTAGGACGAGTGATTGGAACATTGAATTGCTTCGTTTCATAGCGCCAGCATTAGTCAGCAGCATGACTTGGCTGCATCTCTTTTGTTGTATTTCTATTCTATTTTATTTCTGCCTTGTTTACTCCTGCAACTTGGCAAATCCAAACGACTCCCAGTCCTTGAGCACCTGGTCCTGCACGCTCTTCGGGTAGGCATTCTTGAAGTTGCACGTCTCCCAGTTCTGGCCCGTCGTGTATTCCACCGGCAGCAGCGCATCGCTCACAACCTTGCCGCCCTTGATGGGGTCACCATTTCCATGGCCCATGAAGGGAATGAGTCTGAAGCCGAGAACCTCCTCGAAGAAGACCTCGTCCAGGTTGGGGCGGCATCGAGTGGTGAACGCCCACAGCACGTCCTTGTCGTTGTAAATGTCAATGTCCTCGCCCACCAGGATCAGGCGGTGCATGGCGAAGCCGGGCTTGACGTTGAAGACGAGGTCGCCGACCTTTTTTGCAAACTCCTTGCCGGACGTCTTGAGGGCGCGCAGCTTGGTGGTGTCGACCTTGAGGACGGTCCAGGTGGCGTGGGCGAACCAGGGGCACGAGGCCTGGATGATGGGGAGGCCGGCGTCCTGGCAGACCTGGCGGATTCGAGCGGCGGCGAGGACTCCGAGCATGGTGTGCTTGAAGATGTGCGTTAGCTGATTGTGATACAGGTGGATGAAGAAGAAAGATGAGCAACACTTACAGTTTCGTCAGTCATGCGGCCACATGACGAGATGGGCAGGATGGCGTTGTTGCGGTAGGTGATCTTGTTGATCTTGTGCACGTTGCCAATGATGCTCTTTCCGGGGAATGTGTAGCCGTGCATCTCGCCAAAGGGGCCCTCCTTGGCCGTCTCTTCAATCGACAGCGTGCCCTCAAAGACAATCTCCGAGTTGGCCGGCACCAGGATGTCGTTGGTATCGCACTTGACCATCTTCATGGCCTCGCCGCTCATGGCACCGACATATCCCGGATCGCTGACGCCCTCAGGCAGAGGCATAGAGGCAGCCATGGCCGCAGTGGGAGGAACACCAAAGGCCAGCGCCCAGGGAATCTCCTTCTTGCCCTCCTTGGCCCACTGGTCGTGGATGAGTCTGATGTGCTGCGGGTTGGCGGCCAGACTGACGAGCTTGTTCTTGTCCGACACCATGGCTCGCGAGATGGACCAGTTGGTCCAGCTGCCGTCGAGGTTCTGCAGGATGTGCACGCCAAACGTCTGGACATATTTGCCGCCGTCGGACTGGTGAATCTGCGGCAGGGGCAGCGACCACAGGTCAATGTCGTCGCCCTCGATGGAGTTCTCCTTGCACGGGCCCGTGGCGAGGATCTCGGGCTCAATGGGCGGGATGTGCGTCGCGGACAGCATCTTGTCCATGATTTCGTGCAGGCTGGCCGTGGGAGGGAGGGCTACGTGCCGTGCCAGACGGCTGTACTGGTGGCCGGGCGTCTTGCGGATGCCGCCGGGGGCGCCGAGGATGCGCCAGAGGCCATCTTTGGCGCCGATGATGTTGTGGAAGAAGGGCGCCTTGTCATCGGTCTCGCAGACGAGACGGGTGATGGCGGCGGCCTGCAGGTTGGGGTCGATGGGGGCTTCGATGTCGGCGAGATCGCCGTCGTCGCGGAGGGCGTTAATGAAGGAGCGGAAGCTCAGGTGAGCGGGCTCGGGGTCATTAGGGTCGTATTTGGAAGACATGATGGATTGGATTTGGAGGGTATCTTTGCTCGTTGGCTCGAGATGGACGTCAATTGAAGCGCTTACAGCTCTCTACATATACTCTCTGGCAGCCCAGCCGCGGGAATACTATATATACTCTACTGCCCGCTCTGGGAATCTGGTGGAGTTGCCCGCGCAAGTTGCTGCTACTACCTCCTCTCACTCTCTGACTACAAGGAATCATCTTGGCTTACTTGATTCCAACATCTTGTCTTATTGATCACCGACTCACTGTGATACAGTCCCCATTGCCCCATGCAGTGAGCCTCCAGGACGCTGCAGTCATGCCCGATGCGACCCCCGGCGGTGCGCCGAGAAGGGCCAAGCCGCCGCTGCGGATCATCAAGCGCCGAGCATCCGAGCCATCCGGCCATGTCACCACCAGGACGCTCCTCCAGATCCTTCGCCCGAACCTCGACTTGGCCTTCTCGGACGCTCGGAACATACGCAGCAGCGCCTCCTCGGATCCCGCTGCCAGCTTCACGTTTGCAAAGATGGATATCAGCAGCATCCAGCAAAGCACGCCCGGCCACGGCAGCGCACATGTGCCGACGCCTGAGCAGAGGGAAATCGACAGAGTGCTGTACCTGCGCCGCATTTCGCAGGCCCGGTCGTGCTATCCATGTCGCCAGCGGAAAGTCAAGTGCGATCATGGCCAGCCTTGCCGGACGTGCCAGAAGCGAGGCCATCCTGAGATATGCTCGTACAATGTGGGCACGCCGGAGAAGAGGCGCGGGCGGCGTGCGAAGAAGGCTGTCGTAGATGGGACGACGATAGCATCTCAAGGTGTTTCTGCTTCTACTTCTGTCAATAGGCCAAGTTCTGAGCAGCATGGAAAAGAGCTGCCAGCGCGGGAAGACAGTCTCGAGTCCGAGACGTCATCAAGCCAGACGTCGCCGGCTGCTGCTCGATCTACAGCAACAGAGCTGGCTTCCACAGTAGCAGCGGCGGCTTGTTCGCGTGCGCCGCAGGCAAACTGCTACCGGACCATGAGAAAGGAGCATTATCAAGGGGATAGTTCAGTTCTTGCCATGTTACATGGCTCTGCCGACTCGCCCGCTGTGGAGATGAGGAGGAAGGCCGGGCCGGTGCTTGGCTTGCACAATACGCTCGAGTTTTATCCGTTTATGAAGCTCAAGACGATACAGGAACGGTGGGCGGCGTTATTGAAGCTGATTCCGCAGAAGCAGGAGGTTTTGAGGTGTGTTGTCGTCTTTCAGTTTCAGTTCCATCACCAATGTTTCTAGTTTGCTAACCTGATGCATAGATATTTCCCCTCGCATGGCGCCACAATCTATCCTCTTAACCCCGTTTTGATAGATCCCGATGACTTGGAGTCTGCCTACTGCGATTACCTCTCGGCCCTGGAAGCGGGTGAGCTCAAGGATCCCAATGTCTTTTCTCCGAAATGGGTCTGCAAAGCGTACATATCGCGGATTGCTCTGCTACTGGCAGCGCTTGCTACCAGTGCTCATTATTCGGTGATGCAGTCTCCGAGGAGGCGTTCTGAGCATTGTCGAGATTACAGTAAGTAACTATTGATAATATGAGCCTGATTACATGACTGACCTGACTTCACAATTTAGTACAACGCTCATTTGATTGTCTCCGTCTTGCCAACTACGTCTTGCATCCATCCCTAGATGTGGTTCAGACTCTGCTCATCATTGGAACCGTTCTTCAAGATGTTGGGCAGTCCGATGGCGCATGGGTCATGCTGGGCACCACAGTTCGAGTAGCGCAGGCTCTGGGGCTGCACACTCTGACGGAAGCTCAGCTCCAAGAAGATAAGGGGAAGAAGAAACAGGCTCTTTGGGATATGATATGCAAGCAGGACTGCTTGCTCAGTCTATGCCATGGGCGGCCACACATTGCGACCAACCAATCCTTGGCAACACACAATCTTCTGTATTGTTGCGACGATGCATTGGGCTTCTCGGATATGATGTGTGGTATTGTTTCTGTTGCTATGGGACTTTTAAACTTGGAGCAGCCAAGCTGCGAAGCGTCGTTGAAGCTGCTTACCGAGCTGGATGGATACCAATCCCGGGCCTTGCCGTATCTCGAAGACCGAAACAGCTGTAAAAATATTCAGCAGCGGTATGAAAACCTCACAATCCAAATCCAGCTATCTTTTGCAGCATCAGTCATCTCTCGGCCAGCATTGACCAGGACTGTGGCGACGACGAACGAAGAGATTAACAACCTGCAAATTCTCAAGCGCCGAGCCAAGGAGAGTTTGATGAGCACAGCCAGGTCCTTTATCGAGTTTCAGTCACTAAGCATCATACCCATCCGCACATGGTCGCTGATCCATGCGGTGCTGAGTGCCACGATTATGCTTTGTCTATGGGAGGAGACGCGAAATGATGCAGAGAGCCGAGAAGTGCTGCAGCGCGTGATGGAAATCTTTTCGCGAGCAGCGCAGGCAGACGACGAGACTGGCATGATGTCGGACAACAACCCTTGGCTGTCAATGAGCCACACTCGGGCACTGGTGGCACTTCAAACCGCTCTCCAAAAGGCCCCTGGCCTGACAAGTCCTGCGGCGACAACATCAACGCCGTCATCACTGCCCGAGCAGCCACTGGCGGAGAAGATGCCGCAGCAGAATTACGCTTTGCCAAGAATGCAAGACACGGGGGGGCCACCAATGGATCCGACGGTGGATGGTCCGATGAGCTACAACTTTACCTCGATGCTAATTGACGGGTTTGTTCACTTTTGACAAGGGTTTGCGATAATGCGGACTGACTTTGACCAGGTTCTCCATGGACGCATACTCGTACCCCTGGGACACTTCGGGGGTGTCGCCGTTGATGTATCTCGATCAGATCATGAAAGGTGAGGATGATGCGACGTTTCCCCACTACGACCCCAGCTTTGAGGTGTATTGAATCTAATGATGTCGCAGGGTCTTATGAGGCTGTAGATGAATTTTGAAAAAGGGAGTGGGCCGGCGTTGCAGCGTACTGTTGCGGGTTGGGAAATGTATTTGCAACGAAATTACCAGGAAGGGATGTTGATTTTTAGCTTTGGATACGGTAAGGGCGATGTTTACGATACTTTACGAGATGAAGATGTATTATTTACAACCTGTTGGGGCGCGGTCACTTAGACTCGCTCTGGGGAAGGTCAATCTATATACATGTTAGCCTTGGACCTTGCCTTTAGCAGGAATGCAAGGCCCAAGGTTGATTTGTATGTAGATTGATCTTCCTCAGAGCAAGTGTAAGTTACCGCGCCTCGCTGACTTATTGAGGCGCCAGATGCAGCAATTCTGTCCGTAAGACAAGGACAACAACATTTGAAGGCTATCCTAATACGATGCTTTATTACTAAGAGATGCTCACAAACAATCCTCATTCAGTGACTGGCTTATTGTGGATTTTGCCAATATTAATATTATGCTATTAACATGTATACAGAGTTGATTGGATATCACCAAGCCCTGTATGTCTATGTAATTCCGAAGGCTCGGAATAAAGAATTGGAGTTGATTCATGCTGATGCCACACTTGAATCCAAGGTGGAGTGCTCCCTTGGCTGATGTTATTGAGCATAATTGAGCATAAATGAAGACGTAATACAAAGAGACAAGTAGCTGATTAATATCGACAAGTTGTCAAGTTTCAATGCCCTCTTCGATAGAGCCTAGGTTGAAGCAGTACGGGGATACTGGCCAGGGGTCCAGATTAATGCTTGTGAATCATGCTAGCATCCACCATCTCATGCTAGATCCTGCAGTACGACTTTTGCCTGCATGTAAGGCATAAGCACAGCCAATCAGCACTCAAGGCCACCAATCCTTCTTACAACCACTCCATTGTTTTCAACTTTTTGCCCACATATTCTGTCCTTTCTCGCTGAGCAGGTTTATTGTGATGGGATGAGATGCAACCTGCAGAATATAAGCTGAAATAATATTTTAGCGCTTATTATGCCGATTGCGATCCTTCTTTGGAATATACGTCCATTAGAAGGCGGAAGATTGGGGATCGGAGGCGGGAGCGTGCCGCAGCGGCTGGTTTTTGTGATGGGTGATGGGGATTTTCTTTTTTAGGCTGTTGGAAGAGGCAAAAAAAACCGTTGAAGAAAAAATGTAAGCACTTTAAAATTGGGTTACGATTTCGTTACGATTTAGGCGAGGGTCGGACAAAACTCCGTGAGGGACGTTGGGATGAACTAGCGAGGAAAGTACAAGATTGTGGACTAATAAACACATTTGAGAATATGTTGAATAAACAGGCTTGTGATAGAATAATTCATTTGCGTATACATCTAGAGACTTTGACCAACGCCAGACGAGATTAATGATGCCTACATAACCTGCTCAATTCAATGCGAGGCCTGTCTTTTGGGCGAGTGTCCGCCCGGCTTCGGCACCTCGGCCACTTCGGCGCACGGCCTCTGTAGAAAAAGTAACCATTTCCACCTTCTCTTCCCTCGGCTCGGTCGTTTGGAGATGCAATTCTCGGGCTGCTGGACAAGGAGAAGAATGAGGTCACACTTCTAGTTATTTTTCTTTGTGTAGTGTGTGCGAGTTGGGTTGTCATTTTTTTTGCCGTGCAATGTTGGCGATGGTGCCGAGATGTTTGTAATTGAAAATGTGGATTAGTCGAGAGTTTGTTGTGGTGCTGGATGCTGGATTTGGATTGTGTACATATAGCTCGAGGATGCCGCATCTCTTGTTGAGTGTCCATTATTTCACTTGGACCTTGGTCACAGACTTTTACTCTTATCTCTTCTCTCAGACGTCTCCAAGCTCTAACCTAATCATCCAAACTTCTTCTCGACGATACGATAGGATATACTCGACGACTTACACCGACTACAACACAACATCTACAACATGTCTCCCTCCCTCACCGACGAAGAAAGCCTCGCCATCTCCCACGCCAATGGCTCCAACGGCACCGCCCCGTATCAACCGCCCCAGCCTCGCCGCAAACGCATCATCGTCGCCATGACAGGCGCAACCGGCACCATCCTGGGCATCAAGCTGCTCATCGCGCTGCGGCGGCTCAACGTCGAGACGCACCTCGTCATCTCCAAATGGGCTGAGCAGACGCTCAAGTACGAGACCGACTACCACCCGAGCAACGTGCGCGCGCTGGCCGACCACGTCTACGGCATCAACGACATGGCCGCGGCCATCTCCAGCGGCTCGTTCCGCGTCGACGGCATGATCGTCGTGCCCTGCAGCATGAAGACGCTAGCCGGCATCACCACGGGGCTGTGCGACGACCTGATTTCGCGCGCCGCCGACGTGATGCTCAAGGAGCGCCGCAAGCTGGTGCTGGTTGCGCGCGAGACGCCGCTGAGCGAGATTCACCTGCGCAACATGCTGGACGTGACGAGGGCTGGGGCGATTATCTTCCCGCCCGTGCCTGCGTATTATATCCGGCCGGCGTCGGTGGACGATTTGGTGAACCAGAGCGTGGGGCGGATGCTGGATCTGTTTGATTTGGACACGGAGGAGTTTGAGCGGTGGAATGGCTGGAAGAAGGATAATTGAGGGGGGCTGATGGTGCTTTTATGACGAGGAGTCTTTTACTTGCTTGTTTGCATATATGGGAATGATGGGAATCATGGGAATAATAATGCAACTATAGACGGGCTGGATGGGTTATGGTTGCAAATCATTGGGCGTTGTGATTTAAAGGGACATCTGAGACAGCTTGAATCAAAAATAATCGACATTTATTGCAATTGGCTTCAATGTACAACAAAAGAAAAAAGAATTCATGTCTCACGACTTATACGTCGCGATGATGAAAAAATAAGAGCAAAAAAAGTATGCGACAAGAACAGGATTCGAACCTGTGCGGCCGAAGCCATATGATTTCGAGTCATACCCATTAACCACTCTGGCACCTTGCCTTTTGCATATCTGATGCATAGCAAGTCACGACTATATTAGTAAGACTCTGGCCTAATTCTACAGCGCGACGACTCCAACCTACCCTGCGCATCGAACAAACAATTCGTAATTATTTTCTTGATTCTTGTATCGTCGTAGTTGTTAATTTAGATCTTTGATCAATATCTTCTTTTTTCACTCGCAATTGATGCATACTCTGTATTTTAAAGATATGCACCTTAGTTTTTTGCATCCCCAATGATACTAATCCATGTACTTCAAGTCACATTCAAGGTAATCCTTAGGTGCACGTTGCTCTTCACGCACAAATGACTACACCTTGGGCAGAAAGCGCTCAAAGCCTTGTCGCGTCCTCGTTTCAAGTGCCACAGGCGCTGACAACAGGCCATCCAGTGCTGAACTGATGAATGGTTGGCACCAAATGCAGAGTCATTCTGAGCACTATTTATCCAGAGCACAGCACCTCGGGCTCCGAAACCACAAACTCTTGGCCATGCGCGTGCTTCAGCCAGCAAATATCGACTTTGGCGGGACTCCTGGCGCGGCTTTGAGCAACATCCGCAAACTCGCTGAATAGCTTGTATGCTCCTCGGAGGACATGGAATATGCACCCAATAGGTGCGACTTGAAGAGACTGCCAACTGCCAAGCTTTCTGAACTGCTATTGCTACCCAGCCCTCTCTGGAAAGTCTTTTCCTTCATAAACATAAAGATATGGTACGTATGAGAAGAATTCAATAATAGTAAAAACTTTACGCTTACAATTTAAAGAAATAGATATTAGATACATTGGCTGATGAAAAAGGATTCATTATCAGCGAACAAAACTTCCAAGTCATTTGGCTTCAAAACTGGGGACTCTTGGCTATAAAAAATCGAATTTGTTTTGCTATCGTTATACAACGGCCTAAACACGGCATTATTAATCATGAAGAAATACACGAAGCAGAAGCACAAGAGTGTGAAACTAAATGTACTATCAAAAGGCCGATTGCCCCGCAACAATATGTCGACTCAGTAGTGCAGTGTCAAATTGGCGATTTTATCATCCTGGAAGGAGACGAAGAGCTTTACATTGACAATAGCACGCAGCCTCATGGAATCTGTTTTCTTCCAACTTTGTACGTGATCGAATGGAAGCATTGATCGCTTACTTGGAAGCGTGTGTTTTAGGGAACCAAGGCCACAAATAGGCAGCCACCAATCCTACCTCGTATTCTAGGCTGCGGACATGCATGAGCAAAGAAATAACGAAGTTGAACTACAATACTACAGCCTGCTATAGGAGCATGTGATACTATTACTAATTGTAACCAGAAATATGACTCCTGATGCCTGCTATAAAGACCCCTTGCATCGAGGCTGATGCTTGCCAATACGCCACAAGCCTGGAGGCCATAGAAAGGCAGTAAATAACATAATGTAGGGAGTTTCAAGTAGTGCCAGTCAATACTATACATCCTACAGTAATCAAACATTGTGCAAAAACGAGTATATAGGTATTGTAGTAGTAAAATACTATTACTTGACAGCCACGTAATCCCCCCCTGCATCCCGCTGTACGACCAGCATCATGCAGCTCGGTAATTGCAAAGTTCTATCGCGCGTTTAAAAATACTTACAAAAAACAGGTTTCTGGGCCGACTTCAACTTTTGCCAAGCGGGGCCATTTCCTTTTCTTCCCGGAAGCCGCTGTTCCGATCATTTGACGGCTGACAGCTACCCAATCGCGCATCTTGGATGCATCGCACAAGCAAAAAGTCTAATTAAACACGGCGCCACAAACAAGGCGAGGGAGAGACATGCAAGGCCCTGGACCTGCGTGCCGCGTGCTGCTAAACCAGATTCCATCAGAGTTGTGTCACGCTCTGTTGTCTGATTGGGTGAAAGAGGTTGGATTTTGACGGCAGAGACAGGGGCTGCATGTAAGACATGTGCGGCTGAAGCTGCAAATCTCGATGCCTAGACTCTGGGAGAGGAGAGGAGGACGAGTGACGGTGGCAGAAGAAACATATTGAAAGACACGATTGAACATGGGCTTGAATAAAAAAAAAAAACTTTGAAGATGAAGAAATTAAATGAGGAAGGAGAATAAGACTTGGGTGCAAAGACAGAGTCGTCATCCAAGATCCCGGAGCCTGGGTTAGTTGCAAGAGACACAAAAACAGATAGAGAACTGGCAACCAGGCTCAAGTTGTTTTTACTCACATCTACGTCTTAGTCTCTAATCCTGGACATGTCTGTAGTTGTGCATACAGCATTGCAACAGTTGCAGTCATCTACGTGAATGGTAGCCCACACTCGTCAATCACTTAATTCACATTGCGTTTACTAGCGGATCTATCTATATACAGGAGATGGCATCTAATCTAGCTAGTATATCTGCCTCAATTGACATCATAGACAATCTTTGTAAACCATCATGTAGCCAAGGGCCACCCAGCACCTTTCATCCTGCTTCAGCCCCCATCCGACAATATCCACCGCCTTCATAACATAAATAAAGCCAAGACGATAATAAATAACCGCCCTGCATAGTTGCACTCTGACAACCACCTGACAATTCTCAATTTACGACTATCGCAGCCCTGCAGCCCAAGACCCTCTGTTGTACTCCCTCGCATCCGCCCACGCAAAAGTGCTACATCTTGTCCATTGCCTGCACACACGTGAATACATCTTTTTCGCCTCCCCCTGATTGATATTGTTGTTCCGTGCTCTTCTCAAAAAGCAAGGAGAGTAAAAAGGCAAATTATATGTTGGTTGTAGTAGCGGCTATCGGTAGTTGTTAGTTGCGCCGAATTGCATCTCGATTTACCCCATTACGATCCCTGCAATAGCCAAATCATCCAATATCAAATATTAACAATTCACAAACCTTGTAGAAGAGGAGAATAATAGAATCGTAAATCAGCCCAAAATTCTCACTCGTATTGCAAGGGCCAAATAAACGCCTTACTATAGCCCCCACGAGCAAATGAAAATTACCACGAGATAATGCAAGACAGTACCACTATTCATTTCATCCAATCTCTTTTTATGCAACACAAAGCGCAAGGGGCTCAAAGAACATCCAATAGTCCACTCACCGGTCGCATGCAGGGAGGCGGGTAGACCGGAGCTGCCAATTGGTAGTATCGGCTTCATGGCGTTGGTGCTACCCTTTTTATGCAGGGAGAGAAATGAGTTGGAACAGCCCTTCGCCCCGGAGTACTATCGCCAACGACGCGGAGTGTTGTATTTCAGGAAACACAGAGGGGATAACCTGATTACCATAATGCCATTGAGGGAGATAAATAGGGATGCAATCCTCGCCCCAAGTTTGTCCATCTTCTCTCACCCTCTCATCCTCACAAAGCCAGTTCAACCCACTCATTCACTCGCTAAAGAACCAGTCACTCTCTTCTTCTTCTTCACCAATAAACAACGCCAAAATGCAGTTCTTCGCCGTCGCCACTCTCTTCCTCGCCACCGCCTTCGCCGCTCCCTCCGTGGACAGCAACGGCAACGGCGTCGCTCATCGCCAGCCCGCTCCCTTCTGCCCCCCTGGCCTGCTCTACACCAACCCGCAATGCTGCGATGTTGATGTGCTGGGAGTCGCTGACCTTAACTGCGTCGTCCGTAAGTGCTACATGTTCCCCTGCGTCGACAACCATTCTCTAATGCCGCGGAACAGCTCCTCGCGGACCCAGCAACTGCAAGACTTTTAGCGGCATCTGCGCCTCAATCGGTAAAGAGCCCAAGTGCTGTGCCGTCCCAATTGTAAGTTGTGCCCTCACTATATCCATCGATCCGGGATACTAACTGTATATTCAGCTTGGCCAAGCCCTTCTCTGCACTGACCCCGTCGGCTCCAGAAATTAAGCGTACCGTAGGATTCGACCAAGATCCGGTCAAATACTCTCATTTGGGAGTATCCTGATGAATAGGCCCTATGGGCCTTGTACATTGAGCCCTTGTACTGTACTATCAATAACAAATTCTGCGCCGGCCATAGGATCTGCTGATTGGGCATGGTGGTATGGAAGGGAAGGCGGATGAGGGACTAATGAATGGCTTCGTTTCGATATGCACCTTTTGTTGATACACGTTAATTTAGACATTATAATCTTTTTGCCTGGCATACTCCAGGTCTGGAAATACCGACCCTCCTCCGTTGTTAAAGTTGAGCACACTCACCTGCTCATATCCTCAGAGCATAAGCTGAATCGGCCTGCTTCTCTACTATCCTCATAACCCTAGTCTTTCGCGTTGTGTTAGAACGATCCTCCTTTCACTGATTTTGCTTTTGCGGATTCGAAAGCCTGTTGGTTGGCATCACCAATCGGAACATGCCCTTGGCAGAATAGCACTATTGCGTATCCGCAACAAAGTGGCCGAGGCTTTTTAGTGCTTTTTGTTTCGTTTCTTCGTTTCTTCCCTTTGCTTTGCCCAAAATACTCTGCTCAATCTATGGATATTATTATTCATGATACATAGTATGCTACCCAAGTACTTATTAATAATTGACACAAGTGCTAGACATGGGTCTGATCAAAGCATCTACAACTCATCTGAAAACTCATCTTCCGCATCATAGTCGTCCACGATCCAATCTCTGATCTGAGCTGTACCATTCATCACCTTCTTCCATATCTTGGGCAAGCAGCTCTGAGGAGCCAAGATGTAGCACTTTGGCGCCGGCTGTTTCGGCGGCTCGTTCACAACGTGCCAAGTGTCGCTCGGCCCATCAGTTGACAAGTCATCCTTCACTGGCTGCAGCCCCGTTGGGATATCTCGATTAAATGTAGCGCGCATGAAGATCTCGTAGGCAGCCTCTGGCTGGTACGCCGGGACCATGTGACCCGCTTGGAAAACTCTGGAGAAGCTATAGTTACCATACTGGCGGGTCAAGCCAGCTACGCCCTTTGCCGTCAGAAAGGGTGCATAGCCGGCGCGTGCAAACTCCTCGCTGTGTGAGTAAGGCACTGCCAAGGAAGCCTTCTCGCCACCGATCCAGTTACATGCGTAGTCACGATCGCCGTACATCATGTGGACCTTGATGCCATGGTCGAGAAGATAGCCCACCGCTTCGAGGAATCCTCCCTGGAACTCGTCGTATGAACTGGCAAAGCTACTGCTCACAGCGGTAGAATGGACACTGAAGTTTACTGGAGATCCAATGGCACCGAGAACACTCTCTTCTGTCAGAAAACCAAACATATGGTTCGGCGGGTAGGGGTCATTGAGAGTATGACCAATGTCAAGCCAGCTGCGGTCAAGCTCAAAGTAAACCTTTGCGGCTGGTGAATAACACCAGTCCTTCACATCGTCACAGGGGTTGACAAGGTTGACTCTACGAGCGTTGACGGTGGATACGTCAAAGAAACTGAAGCTCTGCTGACATCTCTCTATTTGCTCCTTGCAGCCGTTGGGCTTGGTAAAGTTGTGCTTCAATTCCTTGTAGATGGACTGGTTGAAGACTTGGATACCATAAGTCTAAGTGGAGTGGACAACGTGGTTAGCACATGCTTAATCTGGGTACTACTGTATACTTGCATTCTTGTATGGAAAGTCAATGTATGACTCCTCCTGAATAAGAGAGTCCAGCCAACCATTGACAATGCCAAGGGTGTCCAAATGAACGAAATGAGCGTGTTCATCGGCAATCGTGCCATTGGCAATCTTCTCGTTCTGCTGTTGGAAAAATCGCATGAAGCCTGGGCCGTAGTGGCCGCCGTAACTTTCTGCCCAGATGCTGATGCGATCGTCGCTGGGCTTGTAGTGAGGAAACTCGGAAAACCAGGTTTGCGCAAAGTGCCACAAGGCGTGGGCGGCTTGAGCGGTGCTGTTGGTTGTGTGGGACTGCTTCTGGCTGCTAAATGTGCCAATCATGGAAGTCAAGTTCAGATTTGGTAATCCTTGCGAGAAGTCTGCGGGTTTGATGTCAAGCCCATCGCCCGAGAGGTTGGCTGTGCAGTTGGTTGGGATATCGTAGGAGAAGCCAACCTGGGTGGGCTCGTCGATGTACAGCATATTGACCTCATTGTTCCAGCTCCAGGGATTGAGCATGGTTGACTTGGAGTCATCATTCACGAAACAAGGGCCATTTTCCATGAAGATGCCGTACATGGATGAAGAGCCGGGCCCTCCATTGAGCCAGATAGCCAGTGGAGCGGTAGAGGGGTTCTTGCGGGCCTCGAAGAACCAGAAGAATCTGATGATCTTATGTCAGATAGCACAGAAAATGATTAATTCTCTTATTGAGCGTGACTTACGTGTTGACGGGATAGTGTTGAGGCTCGCCGTCTGCATCCTCAAGCAGCCCGGGAGGAAGGTGGACATGACCCGCGTACGATTTGACGCCGGGAGTTGTCTCGCAAATTCCGGGCTATTTCATCTCTACTGGTTAGCATAACAGCATCAAAAGAAAAAGCGAAAGCGCGCGACAGACCTCCTTGAAGGAAATGGTGACATTCTCGTGGAACTTGGATCTAAGCACAGTGACGCCGTCTGGCTGTGGAGGGAACTGCGCGACCGCCACGCCGGCGAGGCCGCTTAAGAGCACGGCAGCCGATAACATGATGTCGACTAGGTAACAACTAATTCATTTAGCAATTCAAAACGGCCAGACAAAGTGAATCAAATAAACCAAAATGACTCCGTCCCAACGTGACGCGCAGAGGGGCTTGAACGCGGATCGCTCAGAGGCGGACAATTGCGTGCCCTGCGTCTAAGCCGCAAAAATATAGACCCGTTTAGCCGCTCATCACATCGCAATAGACATCGGCAGCCGCAAACATGGGCACCTATTCGCATCACGTTTCCAGTCGCTAATCTTGAAGTGCCGTAAATGAAAAGAAATTAAATAAAACGAGATGTCTGCCGTGCTTGGAAACATTAGTCCCAGTGCAGCTTTGCCTTGTAGCAAGGAAATTCGACTTGTCGCTCGAACACCACGGCGTTTCTCTGTATCACGCTTGATGTCAAGTCACGGGCACCAAATTTCAATACGGATTCGGTGTCTAAATTGCGCCATCTGAATATGGTGCCAAATAGCGATTCATAGCGGATGGGTAAATGACAGGAACTTAGTGCCAGAAATGGTGCTTCCCCATTCCCCAGATTGTGGATATGTAGCGGTCACAATCTTATCGCCCTGCAAGGAACACAATGGCGACTCAGGACCCCGATCATATGGTCTACGAAACATATCACAAGTTTCTGGGGCCAGCACATGGCTCAGCCCTCAGGAACCGGTAGATGAGAGCCTCACCGTCAAGCTGATATTGAGAAGCAGGGGCACCATCGAATCATAGCCATCGGAGTGAGACAAGTGTCTTGCTTGGGATTGGCGATTGCAGCTAGTCTGTCGAATAAAGGCAAAATCCACCCACGCCTGCGCATGTGACACATGAAATAGGTGGTAATTTTCGCTGGTCGATCACAGCCTTGCCTTCTCTATTGTATGAACTGACTATCACAGTGATGGCAACGTGATGGCGTTAATTTTGGTGTAACTATCGTATTCATATCCGATAGCAGGAACTATTAGTGTCATACCCTAGACTCGAATGACAAATGCTGCCCGAGGGAGGGATTCCCTGGGTTCTAGAAAAAATTTGAGGCTGCTCCCTTGCTTTCGGAATTAGCCAAGCCTCAGCTCGAGCGTTGTTCATTTTGAAAAATTTGAAGACAGTCGCGAGATGCTTGTACAGTGGACGAAGTAATCGCGACTCAATGTGCCGCGCCAGGAACAATCTCTCAATGCACGGATATCCAATACCGCCCCGGGCTGATAGCTGTCGACTTAGTAAAGAGTGCTGATCAAACAACTTCTGTCTTCTTAGTTGCAGCGACCCTCATACCAGGCCTATCGTGCGAGGCTAGAGGCAACAAACAGCTAGGAGCGCGGGTCAGGATAATGTTCCCGGTGTAAAGGAGCAAGTGATAACACAAGGCGCTTCTGCACGCTGCCGCCTGCTAATTACGCAGTGACAATCACCCCTGGTAAGCTGTTATTCTTCCTATATCATAGTTTTGGTGTCAAATGATGCGTAGATGTATGTACTCCGTACTAGTAGCCAAGACAAAAGAAAAGCAAAAACAAAAGTCGGTTTGCTAGACCGACCCACTGTTGGCCTCAGTTCCCGATCTTGACGCTTGCTCGGGATGTAATGGCGATCGTGACGTGGATCTTGGTGATGAACAGTCCAATAAAACGCTGGTATCAACCGATAAAAATTGATGCGATTTTAGCGAAATGTGACAGCTCCATTCACAGGGATTGTGGAATTAGGCTCATCTGCCAGCTATTATTACTCGCACTTCCGCTGTCCGTGCGAAGGACCCTACGCAGGTACAGAGTAGCCACATGGTACCTGACAAACATGCTTGAAGCTACCCGTATTTCCATTCTTGCGGCCGTGATTCTTGCTATTTGTGAGTTTTATACCGTATGAGGCGGGATGGCGAGTCATGTTGCTAGGTCGTACAAGCACAGCTCAAACTTTGCACACATGACAAAACGAGCGTCGCCAAGAAAGCCTCATGTTTGGGGGAGAGATGCCACGCCTTGGCCAGGGGTATAACGACGGACATCAGCAGTTGTGCTCAGTATTTGCAATAGTAGGGCAATCCTAGTACCAAATAATGGTCGTACACAGGTCCGCCCGGCTTCGTGGGTATAACAACCGCTAGATGATCCTTGCGGGGAATTGGTACAGCCAAGGTCGGCAACTGCTTCATGCTTGTAGTCCCTGTGCTTTGTCTTTGTTAGCTCGCTGTAAACTTTAATGACGGCCGGGAGCGGCTCAAGATTTCTATCTAGTCTGTGCGTCGTTGGACGCACAGCATTGATAGTTTCTCAAGCGGCCTCTTACTGCCAGTACTCGCTATAGCCACTGTCCTCGACTCTGGCTTGCACGAGAACCACTGTGTAAAGCGAAGATCTGACCAATCCAGCCAGTAATGTTTCTCAAATTCCCGAAAGAATGCATTGGCCCGTGGCCCGTGGCCTGCATCTCTCCTCCTCTTTGAAGAGTCACCGCGTCCGATTGAACGTACGTCGAAGCTTATTCTGCCGTTTCCTTGCATATTTGTTTAGCATAAGGGAAGGGATATCGTATCATTGGCCCCTGTACATGGCGAATTGTAGCTTGCCGAGTTGTACCGCTTCTGTTCGCTGTCTACCGTCACGGCCGGCAAACAGACGCAGCATTACTCGCATTACTCGCAAGAATCCAAGCTAGAAATCTCATTTGCAAGGGTTGCTTGTCACACGTCTGACGGGTAGATGTGCGGAGCTGATTCCTTGTGATTACTTGCATCGTAATTGGATAGACGGATGCAGTTGTTTGTCGGATTTATGCCATCACGGATCGGCCGATGAGCAAACGACGACATCGATAGCCTTGGTCGCTGTTTTTGGACTTTGTCGCCAAACTAGAGACTCTCAATTCTTTGTAGTAGTATCGGCTATGCCGTCTTCCCGCAAGCAAGCTTTGATTCCAATCCCGTGTTCTGTGCCTGTCGCGTCAGTGACGCCCATCGAGCAGCCTGAATAGAGACAGGACAAACCTCTGTGCGCCGTCGGGTCGGGATGGATGCGGTTTGTCTAAATTTTGACAGCTGATTTAGTAGACGCCACAGAAAGGGGCTCTAGAGATCCAAGCTATGATGATGGCCCAGCTGGTCAATTGATGCTTTTCTTTTGCGGGAGTGGGATTGGAGCTACCGAAAGTTTCCAGAGTTAGCTCAGGTGCAGTTGAGATCGACGTGCCCCGCCCAATGACTTTCAGCGCCGTCGAATGCTAAAATGCCCCGGATTCTGGTGCTTCGTAGGCGGCGTTTTTAGGGCATTGGCAGATGGTTGACAGCTCGAGGGCTTAGCAGTAAACATGGATGGAACCAAGACATGAGAGAATCTACAGTGTGTCAGACTAATCAAAGATTCTACCTTGCGGGCGATCTATTTGGTAGACCTGTCTGAGCGATGAGAGATGGAGCTGGAGCTGGAGCTGAAGGCGATTACTTGTAAATGCATTGATGAAAAGATCAAATGCCACTCAATACGAAATGGATCAATGTATTATTAGCTACATGTTCCGTACCATTCATGAGAGCAAAAAAGAGATACTCCATGCTTACTTGTATACGGATAGATATCGCCTCATCCGACAGACATCCGGCTGGATCTCAATCTCAGTCTCAATCTCGTACCCAAGATTACGGGACAAGGGGGTGTGGTCCTTTGACAGGGGACGACGTTGTCCGCAGGGTTCATTAGCAGCTGAAGCTATGGGGCTACGAGGCGCTACGAGGCGCTACGAGGGGCTGCAGGGCACTAGCACCGCTAGAGCCAGGCCCCAGAAAGGCACCCACAGCGCCTCGCAGCTCTCGTGCTGTCATTGTGTCATTGCCAGCTCCTTAGGACTGGGCAGACCCTTGTCTGGGCGACATTTTCTCTCTTCTTCTTCTCTTCTTCACCTAACCTGGCTCCATCCACCAAACGCCACATACTGTGCTGCATCCAGTCAGTACCCCTGTCTCCATCATCGGTCACTTTTCTTGGGATCTCTCAGCTGCTCGCTCACGTCCTTGTCGGCCCGGATTTGCTGGCCACATCCTTGCCGATCTCGGTTACGCTCTTGGGCTCTTCGCATCGTGACGATGCCACCATCATCACCACCGTTCCGACCATTACTGCTAGCAGCTCCTAGCTTGGGCGCTCACAGTTCAGTTCCTCTGCGGCTTACTAGCCGGCTGCCGGCTTATCGACGCTGGCCATCTACGGAGCATGTGCAGTTCCCAAGTGGATGAGGGTTGTGTCTGTCACTCAATGGCTTTTCTTCATGGTGACGGCGATGGTGTGGCATCTCTCGGAGCCAAATCTCGATAGCACACACACAGGTACAACCTTTGCGTTTCACTGCGTCCCATAGCTGCAATTCCTAATTGTACTCATGTAGAAGCAGCATCTACTTAGTATCCGTTCCCAGCATCTGGCTTCCAACTACGGCGTCCGACTATTGGCCAATCCGCCGAGTACTACTTCTTTCCTCTAGCACAGAGCGCGAGCACCAGCGGATTTCGCCGGAGCCAAGAGCAATCAGTGCTGGGCCTCTTCATGAATGGCGGCCACGCAAGGCGGATATTCGGGCGGGTCAGAGCCCATTCCATACCCGTGTGGCTTTTTCCTAAACCACCAGCTGGGACTATGATTCTGTACGACTCTCCAACTTGGCTGCACCCCCTACCATACACACCCGTGGGGTGCGTGCGAGAGCCTAGGCAAATCTTTTATACCAGTCCACGGGCTTACTTGTTAGTCTCTTCCCCCAGATATCTCTAGACCGGCCTCGCTCTTTTCTCTTTCTTCTTCATATTCTGTCTTTTCTTTCCCATTCTCTAATATTCTCGCTGCATTCTTCTGTTTCTTCTTTTATACCTACTAATAATACCTGCATTGCGATTCCAGCGCTCAAGATCTGTTTACCTGCCGGGGCATCAATCCATTTCATTCGATCCAGCCATCCGAGAGAGCAGTCGCATTGGCCTGTCCCGTCGACTACTTGAAGCTGCTACTACAGCAGATAGAACGGGAATTCTCTGAGCTGAATAGTTGGTGTCTATTTACTTGCCGTATGGCTTAGCTGGCCAATACCAGAGTGTCGCCGCCATGGGTCTACTCAATTTCTTGAACAAACGACCCCAGGTTGATACGTCGTCTGAGCAGAAAAGCCAGACTGCTTCTGCGCAAGCCCGAGGTTTGTCTCTCATATGTCTTATTTGCTCTTCCATTTTCCTGTTGGAAACATCGCAAGCCGTTAGACAGACATCTAATAGCCATACAGGAATCATTACTAGTCGTGAAAGCGGAACGAGGACGCCGGACCCATCGCAACGACTGCTCAAGCCGAGAATTGTGGGCATTAGCGAAGCACGTCCCGGTACAAACCCAAAAGATTCCAACAGCACAAACTCCCAGTTTCAACTCAAACCTACCGGACGCAACCCGAAAGATTCTATAACATATCTAAAGCTAGACCCTATTCCGGGATTTGGCGACCACCAACGGCCCAAGAGCCGCCACAATGTCGAACAGCTCACCCCGGTGTCATTGAACTTCCCTCTTCCTCGCAGACGCTCATCAGCTTTTGTTGATATTCTAGATGCTCAGGGGGACATAAAGCCTTCTAATTTCAAGTCAAGAATCCAGGCGTCCGGCACTCGTGATTATGGCGAAGATGTCGCTGACAGGAATATGGTCGAGACCTTGCCAAGCCCAAGATCTTGTGCCGTTTATTCCTCTCTTTCTGGCTCGACGCTCCTATATCGTCCACATGGCAGCGTATCCACTGCCAGTTCTTCCAAGCACGTCTTCAAGGGGCAAACAGAGCTTGAGTATCCCAGAGCCAACTCTATTTCTGCGGCCGGATTCAACGGCCGTCCATCCTCCCGGCAAACATCTATCATGAGCCGCCCTGGGTCTAGGGGAAGAGTTAGCCCTGCAGCGGAAAGCTTTTTTGAAGCCAATGAGCTTCATGATTATCGCCCCCAATCGAAGATGTCCTATGGCCAAATATCTATAACTGGCAGCCGAGCACCTACGCCACAGCAGGCTCCGAGGACAGCAGATGGTAGTTATATGCGAGATGAGAGCAACACGCTGTACGATGACCCTCGCTCCGCTTCGCCACCTGGCGTCCCTCGCTACAAGCCTAGGCAGTATAGTTTGCCCGGATCAGTTCGCTCGGCGCGAGAAAATCTCAACAACTCTCTTTTGCCTCCTCATTTCGATCGATCTAGACAAATGTACCAGCAGCGTTGCAAAACACCCACCTCTCCAAACCAACTGCACAGTTTCCGCCATAGAGTGGACAATGACTGGAGTCGTTTCAACAGATACGCAGGAGACTATCTACATCCGACCAAATCAACCTGGGAGAATGCAAGCTCATCAGCCTCAGAATATGCGCCCTCATTTTCTTTTGGCAGCACTGGTAATCTTCAAATAGACGATTCTGAAAAGCAACCTTCTATCCGGACATTCGGAAGACGGGGATCCATTTCGTCCTATGCCCCATCTGACTACTCCGGTCAGCAGCTGACTGGCGGCCGCAGCGTCTGCACGGCGGATACCTCCATTGACATACCTCATAATTCTCTATTCAATGAAATGAAGTTCATGGGTGGCTCTTCTCGCAACCTTCGATCCCGAGGCGGTGATAGCTCTATTGCTCCCGATCGAACTGGCGCAGAAGAAGATTCCGGCGGCGAATCTATTTTCATCTCCCCTGCTACGCCATCAGAAGAGCAGCCTCCTTTTAGCCCACTGTCACCAAGTCATAGGTATGGAGGCCTCAGTATAAGTAGCTATGACGCTACCAGTATATCCGACTCGGATGCCGACTCCTTTTGCATCGAGCAACGGCAAACTGGTCGGGATGGTGAAGCACTCTTGTTCAGAGCTCAGGGTTTCGGCGATGACGGCAAGAGTCTACCAGGGCTATTCGACGGCTCGGAGAGCCTCGCCATACCCAAATGGCCAGAAATGCCTGCCACTTCAACAGATGTATCTGAAATGGGCGATGATGAATCATCTGTCATCGGACTGGCTGTAACTTCTCCCGAGCCGCGCCAAACCTCTTCAAGGCCCTTTACTCAACGCGAACGACTACTGGCCCTCGGTTACGATTACGATTCAGATTCAGATATTGAAACCTCCTTGGACTCCGATGAGGTTCCTGAAGACCGAACATTACAGCTACTCACTGCTCTGGTAAGGGGCAGAACATCTGCCGCCGCTGGCTCTCTGAGCACAAAAGGCCCATTAACAGACATGAAAGCAATTGCAAAACTCCGCAAGGATATCAAGAGGAGACAGCGGCTTGATGCTTCCCCTGCGGGACGGAGAAGCAAGTCTTCCAGTAGTGAAAGCGGCGAGGTCAACACTACTACTGCCACGACGAGTTGATGAGAACCGGAAGAACTGGAGATATTTTTTTTTACTGTAACTATTATTACTATCCTGATGGAGGAGGACCACCATTTACATGGAAATTTTTCCTTTGTTATTAGCAAGGCGTTGTTGATTTGACGTGGGTGGATTTTGGAAAACACATTTTACGCTGCAAGCAGCAGCGGAGTTGCATATAATGAGAGCACGGGTTTTTAGGTAGCCTTCTTTTTGTTTAATATTTTCTTTTGTTCTATCCAGGATCAGACTGTTGGATACTTGTATGGGCTATTGGCCAGGATCAAAGACATACGCATAATTAGAGTCTTCATCAAACTAAAACACGAGCGCGCGCCCACGTGGCACCAATTTCTTACTGCTACGATAACATGTGAGATGAATGGACTGCCATCAAAGGGAATTCTAGCAATTCTGTTTAGTGAGTCATCTAATCTATGATGGGATACGGCACTATTGCGTTATCTACGAGACCCGCTCCAACTCTCCATTGCAAGGAAAGCCCTTGAAGAGACCGATGATAGTTTCGATTGAGCGGCGAAAGAAGAGTAAAAAAGACAAACACAGTTCATGAAGAGCCAGAAAACATGTTTCAGCCCCGAGGAGCTGAATGGAAACCTCTCTCCTCCCACCCCTAGATTTTCTCCTGCAACTAACCACTACCACCGGGCATTAGTTCGCAAACTAGCCCATCGACCCCGTTTTCAATAGATCTCGTCAGCTGGTCCTAGAAAAGCGCACACCCTCAGATTCGCAATCTCCTCCGAGCCAATCAAGACGTTAAAAAGCCTCGCCTTGTTTCTTTCGTAGCATTGAAGATGGAGGGAGATATGCAGGGAAGTGGAGAGGGGATCGTGAGTGGATTCTTGTAAACCATCGACGCGAAAAGAGAGAAAAAAAAGTCTCCAATGCACGCTTCTTTTGAAGCAACTACTGCAATGAGACAAAGAACGAGTACGAGTCAAGGAAGGATAACGGCAACACAAGGTGTGCTTATTCGTCTCAGCGATGCTATTGAATTGCTCCCCTCTTCCCCTGAACAATAACCCAATAACCCAATAGCCTAGTTCAAAGGGGCCGCAGAACCACCACCGCCACAATCACACCCCATCTCCGTCCTAAAATGGTTCGCGTCCTGGATAGATTCCAGCTTCTTCAGCGCTAGTTTCGCAACCGTCAACTTGGCAGTCACGCCGCTCTTTGTCGACGTGGCATGGGCAATCACGTTGCCGTGTATCATTAGCGCGCAGAGAAGCTCGCTCTCGGCTAAGATTGCTACTCCCGCGTCGTCTGTGGAGGGCGGCACGCTGGCCATGTGAAGCTTCCACTGCGTACAGCGGTAGTCTTCTTGCAAGGCATGAATTAGGACGGTGACTGGGTGATTGGAAGCGAATGACGAGAGCAGCGACATGTCCTCGAAATAGGGCTGTATGAACTTGGCAAAGAAGTCTTGCACCACGGAGAAGGAGTATCCCGAGTCGACAAACATGGCACCCACAAGAGCTTCGACGACGTCTGCCAGAGCTTTTGGCGGCTGTTGAATCTCAGCCCAAAAATCCAGCGTCACACTCGGGGCCTCAGCTGAGGCACCTTTATCCGAGCCAGCTGCAGCTTTATTGCCATGCGGCTTCCGGCAGCCCTTGGCTTTTTCCTCAGCTTCCTTGGCCTCGGCTGTATACTCCCTGATCAAGCTGTGGAGAGAGGATGTAGCAAGCATTAGGTGCTTGCTAAGGCCGAGCTTAACGCAGAGAAATCCCAAGAACTGATTCGACACCATGGCCATCTTGTGTTCTGTCAGCCATTTTGGATCCGCTTCGGGGAATCGGGTATATAAAAAGTCGACCACGACCATGTCTATCAAAGCATCTCCCAGAAACTCAAGTTGTTGGTAGTCGCGCCTGATTTTTTCTTCGTATACGTACGATGAGTGCTTAAAGGCGCTGCGCAGAAGAGGCGCGCACTGGAAGCGGTAGCCTATGATCTCAGCAATGCGTTCCACCATGTTGCGCTGCGCCGCATTTGGCTCATAGGTGTGCCATTCCGGAGTCGTATATCTTGCACGGTAGTCGCTAAAGTTAATCATGGTGTGGTTTTCCGAGCTGACCATGGCTGTGACTGCCTTTACCGCCATGTCCATGCTATTGTTGCTCTTGCCTGTCAAGTACGCTGCTCCAATGAGCGCTTCGCAAACGTCTGCAATCGATTTGTGTGATAGGCAATGCCGTCTGGCCTTTGCTTTGGTTGCTTTGCCCTTTTTCAACCTGAGATCGCTGGGATACCATGTTCGACGGTCAAATGCTCTAGTACGAATATAGCCCGGCAACTTCTTCTCTATGGCATGAGTAAACAAATTTTTGTTGTTCAGCATCAACATCCGCTTTACATGATACTCGAACTCGTTTTCGTGGGGGTAGAGCGTGTACACAGAAATGGTTGTAGCCATCTTTAAGAAAGTGTCGCCAAGAAATTCCAGGCGTTCGTAATTCTTACCCATGCCGGGCTGAAAATCGACCTGGTCTTCACCGTGCTCTTCGGTATTGAAACTGTCCTTGGTGATTGCTTCTAGAGCAAGTTCAGGGCGAATGGCCAGGTCAACTAATGAGCATACCTCCGAGGCGATCAAAACAGAGTCGATCCTGTACATTACCACAGGCAAAAGCAAGGCCATGAAGACAATGTCAATCGGCAGCTGCATATAACTAATTAGAATTGGGAGAAATTGTGACTTTATGAAGCAATACTCACAGGAGATACCACAAGCGGCTCAAGAATCACGTAGCAAGTGTTGTCCGCCTCGTCACCGATAAAGTACTCGTCTAAAAAGTTTCGTCTTATCGAAAGAAGTTCAGCGTTGACGACTGGCTGCTCATCACTCCAATTTCTTCGCTTTCTCGACTGCAAGGAAAGACTGGTGCTGTACTCTTTGATGTTCTGCTCAACCTTTTTATACGCTTGGCTCTTTGGTTGAGGAACACCAGCTGGAGTCGGATCAGATGGCTTCAGCTGTTCGTTGATCCCAGCCAAGATGAATTTACGTGATCCGTCCCATGCATCTATGGCAAGTTTGTCCTTGAAGAACTCTTTTGGAGCATTTGACCACTCAAGACGCTCAGTTGCTGCAACGTGTTTCACAACCTCCCAGTCGATATTTGATCCGTCTTCAATGTTTTGGCTTCCGGAAACACTACAAGGAGCAATAAAATATGGAAGCTCCCGTGGTTCAGCCTCATATTGCTTGCTAAAAACATGAGCAAAGAGCCTAAGTGTGAAGCGGGATAGTGCCCTTATTTCCTCAGCCGTTACTTCAAGGGAAGGCTTTGAATGTGAAAGTCGTACAGTAGACGTTTGACCACTGTCGAAAAATAAAGGAGCGCTTGGTATATCAGGCAGTGGATTTCTTGTCAGAAGAATCAGGGGCCGAGATGGGTACCCGAGAGCTGCTTGTTGGCTGAGAGATATGGTAGTCTGATACAGGGCGGTAGGAATCTCAGGGCCGAGACAAAGTGACCAGAACCTGGGTTTGACTAGCATTTCATACTCTGACATCTTGTCTGCTGAAAGCGCTAATCTCGCATTTCGTATTACAGGCAATTTCTTGGCAAAAGCCGGCCGGAGATGTTTATCGATGTATCCCTTTTCAATCAAGATCCTGCAGGCTTCAAAGGCAGCTGAACACCTTGCTAGCTGTTTGGTTCGTTGTGATATTCCTTGAATAGTCTTGATAGGAGATCCATCTGGTAAGACAACGCTCGCAATGAATTGTTTCTTGTCGGACTTGACAACGTATTCTATTTTTTGTAGTCCATCCCGGGATAAAGATGATGTGTACTTTGCCAAACATGCCAAGCTGTCGACAAGCTTTAGGCCACCACCCGACTCGGTGGCAATAATAGTCTCGCAGCTTTGCAATACCTCAGGCCTGACATCAAAGTCTTCCACTTTACGATCTTCGGGTAAAGCACGACAAAAGCGTTGTAACTCAAAGGCAGCTGATTTCGCTTGCTGGAACTTTCGATGATGGTGTATGTTTTTGCTTTCTACCAGGGTGACGTAGAGGAACGAGCTTTGTCGAGCTCTGCCTTTGGACTGAATATATTGGATGGCTGATACGCAGAGGTCAAATCGGACGATAACGTCGCATTCTGGCACATCGATTCCTTCCTCCGCCACGGAGGTGGCAAAAAGACAGTTGAATTCGCCGCGTTTGAACTTTTGAAGAGACACGACCTGGTCCTTGAGGGACATGTTTGCGGCACCTGAGGTGGCGTTGGAACCAATCTAAGAAAGCAAGATATGTCAATAAAAGCTAAAGAGCAAAAGAGGCAGAAATTCTTACCATGTAGGCTGTTCTCATTCCTGGGATACTCATTCCTGGCTGTTTGAACAAATCTGCCAACAGGAATGCAGTCGTTCTTTGTTCCACAAACACAATGCACCTTTTCGAGAGCCGCTGACTGAAGGCATTGCCAAGGATTTGATGGAGTGTTTTGACCTTTGGTGATAGGTCTGACCAGTTATTGGTTATTGGTTCAAACTGGTGGTCTCGTATAATGTCTCTCGCTCGACTAACAGCCGCTATGGCCTCATCGCTGTCTAAAACATCAAGGTCTAGAGTGTCACGTCCAGTCTTTGCCTCAATTTTGACCATTTCGTCGTTTGTTGTTAGGAGTTGCCAGTAACGGTCGGCGCACCATGTACCCAAGACTGAGGATGCCTCTTTTGTAAAGCTAAGATGCGCTTTGAACTGCGGATTCCTACCGATACAGCGAGAAATCTCCTCCCACAGATTTGTCTTTGAGTGTTCGGGATCCTCCAGTTTCTCGTAACATTCGGTACGCTCTGTTTCATCTCTATTATCCCGGAGCCCCCCCATGGCTTCGTCCGAGATTGTGGCGATTTTACCACAGAGCATTTCTTCCAAGTCCATAGCAGCGATGCGAACATCTCCTTTTGATGTGTCCACCGGGGATGCCGTCATACCGAGTATACGAGGACGCTCATTCTCCCAACGAGGATAATACTCCATGATTCGGGCGTACGCGTGATTCTTTTTGGTATGATGCGCCTCATCGAAGACAAGCAAGTTGACTCGGTCCATGGAAATGAATCCAGCGCCGAACATGCTGAGCAATGTCTGCGCGGTACATACGAATGCCATGTTTTCTGAAAATTGCTGACGCCAAAACTCTGGATCCCCGATATCGCCGTTCATGTCGCCAAAGATTTTGCCAATTGGAAACTCGAGATTGCTGGTTAGCACAGCATACTGCTGGAAACACAACGCCACCTTTTCCACGATGAAGAAGGCAGACTTGGGCGTGTAGCCCTTTTCACGATTCTCTATCTCGACTTCAAGGACTCTCCGTAGAAGAAGTGCAGCGATTAGTGTTTTCCCAGTGCCTATACACCGTCAATCGTGAGTGCTGCGCTCATCAGGAGATCGAGAGTCGCGTCGCCATACCTGTGTCAAGGACCACAATCGTGTTCTCGTTTTTTGCTCGCTCGTACAGATCGATCTGGTATTCGCGGGGACTCGCAATAATTCTCTCAGAACTGCCTCTGAGTAGCTTGTCGACCGGTATCTTCTCCAGGCGCTCCAAACGGCTGCCCATGTCCGCCTTCGAGGCCGCAAGGACTTCTTTCTGGTTCTTCTCAAGCCATTCTTGGAACTTCATATCCTGTTTTCTCTTCTTTGCTACCGGTGCTTCTTGCGCTTGATTGTCGATCTTTTTCTGCTCCTCATCTTCGACGACATCCTCGAGTTCGGCTTGGTCATCAGTCTCTCGCACAACATCTTCCAGCGGTGGACTTGGTGTATCTGACATTCTATTCTGGTGAGGGGTGAATTTAAACTGTAATAGAATAAAAATTGTGTTTGCAAAGAGTAGCAGATTCTTTATTGATGCGAAGCTCTGAAATTGTGGCCTCAAGTCCCTCGATGATGGGAAGGAGATGAAGCAGATATCGCAGTGCAGATGCAAGAAATCGGAAAGAATACGAAGGGCGAGTTGAAGATGACACAAGGAAGAAAAGAAATCGAGCACGAAAGGTGGTGAGAGCGTTCTTTTTTTAATGATGAGGCTGAGTACACAAAGAAAAAAAAGAAAACAAAGAGCAGGAGAACAAGGAGAAAGATGGATAAGGCAGGGCACGTGCATTTGTCATGTAGCATGGCACCTGCCGCAGACCGCGAACACACGTCGATACAATAGCATAAAGAAAGCATCTTTTGTTTGATAGCATATTACTGCGACTATATTATCATTTAAATTGTTGGTACTGCATTATAATCTCCGGTTGTGTAATGCGGTGTGTTGCCTCACTTGATTTCCATCACTCTGAGGTGAAATTGTGTACTACCTACGCCGGTAATATTTCACTGGACACAAAGCGCCATGTTCACTCAGCATTTATTCGACCAGTCATCTCTTCAAGTACATGTAGTAATTTAACAATACACGTCTATAATATTGCTACAAACAACTCTAACATAAAGCACGTACTATATGCGCGCGCTCGCCGTGATGTGGCTTGTGACAGAGACATTAAAAGCAAATACCACCTCCGAATCGTCCATCCTGACGTAAAAACATACCAAGCTGTACCACAACGAACTGAACATATACCACTTATAACTAATTTTCTTTTCATCGCCCTGAAAACAAAAAAACAGGGCCTCCGATATACGACTCTTCTTTACGCGCATGCCTCGACGTGCTATCCAGAGGGCCGTAAACATGATCGATATCAGTTATTAGAACAAAACAGAACAGAAAAACAGAATGAGGTAGTTGCAAAAAGTAAATAAAAAGATCTCGCTGCTCAGGCTGCCGTCATCTGAAAGCAAGAGATGCGATAAAACAAGCAAAGTTAACATCTTCAAGCGGCTGGCTACTGCGGCTGCATTGGTAAAGCAGTGCCAGCCCCTTGAACATGGCAAGACGTTGGAATGCCCTCAGACCCCGTGAGAGCAAAAGAAGCCTTTGTAGCATAGATTGCAAACGTCGCCGAGTCAGCAACACCAGCGAGCTCGGCTCTCCTGGCAGACGGTCCATTGACTCCCTGGAGCATGGCCTCAGCCCGTCTATACTCAGCCTCTTTCGACATGAGAGTCGCTTGAATCTCGCCTAGACTCATCTGAAGATGCTCTGGGACTTGCGCGGCGGGGTTGATGTGATCGGCTCTCAGCGCATAGTACGCCTGTTCGGCCACGACAGCAAATTCAGCAACCTCTGCCGACCAAGCACAGTGAATTGCGGAAACTGGAGGCGGGCACGAGTTGAGCTCCTGGGTCTTGAGCAGTCCGAAGATCTTATCCGATCTCCCCTTTTGCCGCTTTCTAGGTCGTCCCGGCTGCGCACCAACGGTGGTTGAAGTCTCCGATCCAGAATGACCCGGCTCTTCAAAGACCAGTTGATGTTTTGAGCCAACTTCCGGAGTAGGGGCTTTGTGCACGAGACCTGGCCATGACGGCTGTGACAATGTTAAATAACCTCGAATATACCAATGGCTTGAAACAGATGGGAAATACTTACCAGCCTGGGGTTGTTCAGGTGAACCAGGTCGTTCCCTTGCCGGATGCAGAATCCAATTAATTCTGCTGCTGCCGCCGGGGCTTCGACCCTGGTTTCTTGCGCCGGCCACGACCCGAAATGGGAGCTTTTGCCGTCGTCTTCGCCTCCCATTTCTCCCTCATCTTCGGCTTGATCTGCTTGCTTTCTGCTGGGTCTCGAACATTGAGCTTTTTTCCCTCTAGACTTGTCAGGAGTTATTTCAGTACTTTGCGCCATTTCCAAAGCAATTTGCAAAGATTCACGAGCACGGGCACTAGGTCGTCGTGCTCGCTGGTTTCTTTCCAACGCAGAGGTAGCGTCTTGGGCCCCAAAGTCCTCTGCGGATCTCAGATCTGGAATACTCGCGAGCTCTTCCATTGCTCGTCTGGACACCTCCAATTGGGTGCGGAATACTCCTTCAGCAGGCAGTCCAGTAGGCCTTGGGTTCTGAGAGGCCTGTCCAGCCGCTGAAGAAGCATCTGCCGCCATGCCAACCATGAGTTGTCCCTTGTCATTGCTCGTCATGAAGCGTGATTGAGCAGCTCCGACCCGAGGCTTTGATGCATTGCGTTTGCCTGCGAGCGCAGCAGCAAATGCCGCGGGGCTGTGGTATTTGGACTTGTCGAAGCAGAGGGAAGAATGGTTCTCATACCTTTCAGTCTGATGGCGCACCGGCTGACCCTCAGAGAGATCGAACTTTTGGCCGGTAAAATGGCCGGAAGCCTGAGTCGACTTTCCAGCAATGCTTCGCAGAGAAGTAGGAGCGCGAGAAGATTTCTTGTACACTTGTCCTTCAGGGATGTACTGCATCTCTGCCGTATAGCCAGTAAGATCGTAATTGGCCACCTGCAAAAGCGTCAACATTAGCTCTCTCAACTTTACGCCTCGCAAAGACCAAAGCACTTCAATGGCTGAAAACAACTGACCTGCTCCATAGGATATTCATTATCATGTTCCCATCGAGTTTTGGTCAGTATTCCTGACACATACTGGGGCTTCAGTTCAGGGATCAAGTTCTTCAAGGACTTGAAAGTCTCGCCCCTTATATGCTCGCTTTCGTATTGCGAGGCTGGAGCCGGGATTGGCGTGTCAATCCGAAGGTTTGCTGAGATTGTGTGCAGAACGGTCTGGGCTTGGCTTGAAAGCTCCACAGGCTTGCAGCAACAGATATTTCCAAAGGGAATGACATCTTTAAACGTTCCAAGGAAGGCGTCGTTGCTCATCGCGCCCTAGGCGTGAGCATTGTGTTCATTGCTACGTATATTGATGACTTGATCTTTAAGCGCCTGCTCTAAATGATGTGGAGACAGCAGCTTGGTTGCCGCAGCTCTTTGCACGATTAAGAGATCCGTGGCGTCTTCTAGGAACGGCTTTTCGATTTGAACATGGACAAAGCATTTTAGCTCCTTGTCCTTTACCCAGTCGTCGAAATCGATTTTGTGGTTGAAGACTCCACGGCCACTGAGGAATTGAAGGCCCATTTGCGCATCTTCTTCGGTGATTTGATCGACGGGCTGTGGTGGGCGGTTCTCATGTAGCCACTCGACAAGCGATGGGCCTTCCATGTCCGTCTTAACCGTGTGAAGGGCTGACTGTTGGACGGCAGCCCATTCCCATCCGTGCCATTCATCGCAGAGGTCAATGTAGGTGGTAACAAAGTTGTGAATCTGGGTCCTGTGAAGCTTGAGCTGATTGAATACAGCTACACTAAACGAGTGCTTTTCAGAAAGGCGCAGAAGGATGATCCATTGGATGCCTAGGCTCAGGTCTTCCCATTCAGGTGTTGGCCCTTTGGCTGTAGCGGGCGTGGTGGACTTCATCCCTTGAATGCCGCTACGACTTTCCGGAAGATTAATAGGAAGAGGCTTTCCCGATGCCAAAGAATTGTCTGCCTTCCAATAATTAAATGTCTCGGGAGTAAGAAGTTCCTGGGCAACGTCTTGCTCGGTGGAGTCGGGAAATAGAGGTGAACAATCATCTTCTGCTTCTGCGTTTGGAGGCCGTGGCAAATGGGCCACGCGAGCTCGACGAGCCGGTCCTTGAGTCGCTACAACAATGTGAGTCTTTTCTGTGACATTGAGAGTGTGGCTATCTGATGGTGTGAAACTTACAGTCGCCATCCAAACCCCCTTCCTGCTGAGTAGCTGCTCCCTGAGAGTGTCCATCAGACTTGCCGAACGGAGCTCCAAAGGTTTGCTCTGGTCTTGGCTTCTTAAACAGACCAGATATCAAAGGCAAAGGATCCCCCGCTGGGTTGAAAACAGTATCGGCGCCGCTATCGTATGGCATGGTAGCAACTTTCTTTTGAGGCGAGAAGCCCCGAGGAGGAAATATTGAAGGTTCTGACTTTGTTGGAGAGCCAAGCTTACGAGAATGAGGCGAAAATTGGCTACAATGATTGATCAGTATCTGTAATTTTCGTTCGGAAGAGAGCTCATGGATTGCTCACACCATTTATGCGCGATAATGTCAAGGCAGGAGAAGAGACAGCGGGTGAATGAATACAAGAGCTGGGTCAAAGGACAGCTCTTTGTAACAGCGTTCAACTCCGACGGAGATATCCTGAAAGGTGAAAACAAGAGAGACAAAGGGATATTGCGGACAACAACTAAGAAAAAATGTTGAGAACAACTGCAAAGCGAGCGTGATTGTTTGAGGTTGCGACGTTGGACAAAAGTGCAAAGTGAAGGCGAAAAAGCGTGTAGTCTTTGCCTGAACCGTGGCAACAAGACGCGCCTGAAGTGAACAACATAAACACCACGAAACTCGTAAAAGAAGAAGTAAATAAGGAATAGCCAATGAGAGAGAAAATGTTGACCAGCTGGCAGACACGTCTATGGGTGTTTGGTTTGGCAGTGCTGGCAGCTGGCCATATAAAAGACCATGAGGGCTGTCTATTATAGAAAGCAGCCTGCTTATCGCAGCTGGAATACGTAGGCACGATTCAATGAGTGAATAAAGCAATAATGTGATTCAAAGAAATTTTTGAATTTTGCTGTTCGGAGTTTGTTAGGAAATAATGAGGCAGGTCCGATCGCCAAGTTATATCAACATGTGATACACGGCCAATCTTCCACCAGATCTATCAAGCTTTTGAGGCCTGGAGAGTACAGGCTGTCTCAAAATTGTGATTGAGTACGTATTTGTATTTGAATAGCTACTCATCAAGCAAATAGATCTTTCAAGTGAGAATTAGATTGCCCAAGATGCATTGTATCCTCTGTTTGGCCCATTCTTTCAGTCTTTCCCTTTGAGAACAAAGCGACCGTACCCCTTTATCCTTTGATCTGCTAGTGATTGGTATTAATGTGTTTCTCTTATCTGTAACTCTTCTATCATGATACCCCGTATGCCAAATTCGGCAGATGGGCCCAGTAATGATGTGTTTCCAGCCAGGGACATCATCGACATGACACCGCCAACTCAAGATTTCGATACATTGCATGTGTTACTAAGGCCTTGCTGAAGAATGGCTCGAGCCAGCGCGAGTAGCTAAACTTGGGCAGTAAAAATTTGAGATGAGAGCGACATGAAGCTGTTCAAGACGACACGCTTTGACGATTGAGCTTCTTGGCTTGAAGTAAAACCGCAACTGCATTCTTTCAGCTGCGTTCTTTCAAGAGGTTCAAAAAATATTGTCATTCGTCAAAGACTCAGTCCCAGTCCAAGCTATTTTAAGAACATGACCAGTTAGTATACTTTAAAATAAAAAGTTTCTCTTACCTTGTAGCGAGAAATTGCTCTCCAACAACCATGACCCTAAAATCCATCTAGTTTGGACTGCACAATGCCACTACCTGATTTACTTTGAGGTTGTTGCCAAGAGACAAAGCTGTGAACATTGACGTAAGCGGCTTTGTTGTTTTCTTGCTAAGATTTCAGCTCACGGCCAGTCATGTACAGTAACAGTGAATGCATCACCTTCAAGGTCGATAATTTGCATTCCTAGTCAGCGCCTCATTAGATCTAGTAGATCGACTTACCCATGAGGCCATCGATGTTGGCTTATACATGTACTCTCCACGCTCAGCTACAGCTTGAAGCCTTTTGGACTGAGTTGCACTAGAGCCACAGAGTTGATCAGCTATAAAGGCAAAAGTTGGAGGCTATATAGATATTTTCAATTCCAATTCCCAACATGGAAAACAATTCACATCAATTGGCATCTTGGACAGGCGTTGCGGGACATCGCTTCCTACTCCAGCCATGGCTTCCCTACCCGTCGCCCAAGTTCTTGGACTCGTTTTCACGTCCTGTGCCGCCGTGGGGTTTCCTGACATGTCCAAAGAGCTGGTCATGGGAAATAGAGGGCCTGTTGGACTGGCGTGGGCATCCACCACCACTGTTGGCTCGTTGGCGGCCATGAAGACGTGTCTAGCCGCTGCTGCCCCTGGCTGGCTGCGTGAAGACTTTTTATTGCGAGACCCAACTATAGATGCTGCAATCGGGTTGACTTCGAATGTCAACAGACGGTCCAAAAGAAGAAAGAACCGCGCCAGGGCTCTAGGAATTGTAAGCAAAAGACAGGTATTGGCAACATCCCTTGTCGCTTGACATGCATGTAGTCTCTTACCCTTTCTTAGGCTCGCAAGGGCAAAGAAGAGGAGGTCACACAGTTTGATGGCCTCACGAAGCAGGTATTATCCAGTATTCCGAAATGCGAAAAGGGGCAGACTCTCTCTGTCTATCGCTTCTTGCGGGATCCGTATATGAGCGCCGGCACGACCTGGGGCAACTGGATCGGCCTCTCAGTAACATTGCTAAAGATTTTCGACCTGTATCTCCTTTATTTTAGGCATGGCAAACTTTCTGTAGCAATACTGACTATAGTTCCATGGGCTGTTTGCTTCTTTGTGGCGGTAGTTATGCTGAGACGAAATGCTTTGAGGGCAATTCCTGTTAGAGACGCCGCTGCGGATGTTGCCGATATACTTGAGGGAGAACTACCGACTGCGGACAACCCTGGGGGATATAGAAGGGTGCTTCTTGGTACTCCAGTGAATCCTCGGCAAGGCCTGATATGGAAGCTTGGCTGGATATTGATTGCGTTATCTTGCGTTGCCTCCCTCGCTGCCAACTGGCTGGTTCTATATATACAAAACGACAAATTGACAAAGCATTGGATGGCATGCCAGTTGTTTTGGACATTGGCTCGGTCCATATTCTTCCACTTTGCAGAGGAAATGAAGCCAGTTCCTGCGTTTCGACCAAGAAGAGAATCTCTCAATGACCTTCCAGGGGCTGACAAGGAGCATATTCAGCGATTAGTACTCGGCCTAGCAAAATATGAGATGCACTTTCATCCTCGGGGTGGCTACTCGTATGGGCAAGACCTGTTGTCGTTTGAGTCGATGGAGCTCTTCCTCGCAGTTCCAACCACAGACAAGTTCCCAGTCGAGAGCCTTTGTGGTGACAAGACACAACCGACACTCAATTTCAAGGCCGTTCTCGGCGACGTCTTGCTGGTGAGTGTATCTTGGCTGCTCGGCTCAAGTGAGACGAGGTTCGACCTCTACGACTGCTGCATCGTTGCGGTCACAGTCAATGGCCAGCCGCTTATTATCCCCGCCGCCCGAGCACTTGCAAGTACGATTGGCGCCAATGCCGCTCAAGACACGGAGATGGGAGAGGATGACATAATATTTGAGAAGGGGTCAGAAAATGAAGGACCGGATACCACCAAATGGGTGTATTGGATACCGTGTTCGGACGGAACCTGGTTAGAGGCTCAGTCTGACAAGTCGGAAATTATTGGATCGCGACACGTCGAAATCTTTACAAATGATGGGCTAACGGACCATCTCCAGCTAAAGCAGAAGGATTGGAGGATCAGTCTTCGCAGGGCAGAGGAGGTGGGAGAGGTGGTCAAGTGTCTTGTGATTGCAGCCGTTGGCTGGATCAAATTTGGAGTAGGCCAGCGTGAGCCATCAGATGGCTCTTCGGTGCTGTATTGCCTTTTGGGCGTGTAAATAGTTGAAAAGTTTGAAAAGCCGAGAATGACAAGAGAATACATATTTGGGATTGCTTGGTACATGTATTGCTCATTCATTTCCTGTAGAGATGAGAGTTTGCATATATCTTGATTCCTACACTCCACCAGTTTTACACAACGCCAGAATACACATCTCAGCCCCAACTGCTAATCTTCAACCAAGTTCCAAGAGAATCGAATAGATAGGTCTCCACCACGCCATTCAAATTGTCGGAATAATTCTTCATGGCGATTAAATTGCACAAGAATATCGCTGCGGAGATGGTGGAGATGCAGCATCGGGAGCAGCCGAAGCCACTAAAGCCCCAGAACCCCGCCACTAAAATCCGCTGGCGTAATCCCAAGTTATAGGCTCGGCCAGAGCTGCACCGAAGCCTGAACCTCTCTCATCTCACAATCGCATCTTGGCTTCAACATCCACCAGCCGAAAAGCAGCTGGAATATTCATTCGCCGCTCACCATGTGACAGACATTGCATAAAGGCTGTCCGTCGCCTAGAACTAGAACCCAAAGCCCTGTATCTGTATCTGCATAGGCACTGGCACACGCTCTCATCATGTCTCCAGTTCGCATCGCGTCCGTCTCTTTTGAACACCACCCCTCTGGCTTTGGTGTTGGCCATGCCACGCCTCGCATTTCCTGGCGCTTCTCTGGCGACGCTGATTCAAAACGCTGGGAGCAAGAGTCGTATGAGATCCAGATTGGTCGCCAAGGTCGCGACAAGGCAGAGACGATCAGCAGCTACCAAATACAAAGCTCCGATTCTGTTCTGGTGCCCTGGCCAAGTCATGCACTCCGATCGCGCGAATCTGCCTGGATCAAGATTAAAGCCCATGGAAAGAAGCTCGACGCAGACGGAAAAGAAGCAGCAGAAAGCACAGAGTGGTCTGATGTCGCCGTCGTCGAGGCCGCGCTGCTGGACAAGCAAGACTGGGTCGCAAAGCTGACGGCTTCGACGCTCTTGTCCAACAGCAACGAGCCAATACGGCCAGTGCTGTTCCGAAAGTCATTCTCTCTGCCTGAGAACTCGGCAAAGGTCTCGAAAGCTCGCCTGTACATCACAGCCCATGGCGTCTACACAGCATACGTCAATGGCCACCGCATCGGCACCGAGGAAATGGCGCCTGGATGGACAAGCTATGGCCACAGGCACGCCTATCAGATATTCGACGTTGCAGCAGTCCTGACTCCAAAGAGCTCCAACGTGCTCGGCGTCGAAGTTGCCGAGGGCTGGTTCGCTGGTCGGCTGGGAATGGACAACAAGCGCTGCTTCTATGGGAGCAGGCTGGCATTCATCGCGCAGCTCGAAGTCGTCTACGAGACTGGCGAGACGTATACGCTGGCATCGGACAAGAACTGGAAATCCCACCACAGTGCAGTCACCCGTAGCGAAATCTACGATGGAGAAGACTACGATTCCCGTCAGGAGCAAAAAGATTGGACTTTGGACCCAGCTCTTGGCGATGGTTCGTGGGCGTCGACCGAAGAACTAGCATTCCCGTCTGCAAGTCTTGTGGTTTCTGACTCGCCGCCTGTACGCGTCATGGAGGAAATAGTTCCTGTCAACATCTTCAAGTCAAAATCTGGCCAGACCCTTGTCGACTTTGGCCAAAATCTCGTTGGAAAGCTCCAAGTGCGTCTTCCTACCTCAGCCCCTGACGGGCACAAGATATCATTTAGCCATGCCGAGGTCCTCGAGCATGGCGAGCTTGGCACTCGACCATTGAGAGGCGCCCGCCCGGTTGATAACGTGGCTTTATCTCAGCATCAGCCATCAACATGGTCGCCAAAGTTCACTTTCCACGGCTTTCGCTACGTTCAAGTCGATGGCTGGCCAGACAATGAGGGACTGCCTAGTCACGATGAGATCACAGCTCTCGTGATGCATAGTGACATGAATCGTACTGGGTGGTTCTCGTGCTCCGAACCTCTCATCAACAAGCTGCATCAAAATGCGCTATGGAGCATGAAGGGCAATTTTCTCTCTGTGCCCACCGACTGCCCCCAGCGTGACGAGCGACTTGGTTGGACTGGAGATATTCAGGTATTCAGCCCGTCGGCAAATTTCCTCTTCAACACGAGCGGCTTTATCGGTAGCTGGCTCAGTGATGTTGCGGCCGAGCATTTGGAAGAGAGGAGACATGGAGTTCCCGGATTGGTAGTCCCAGATGTGTTTGACATTCCCGCCTGGCCACCGGGCCCCCAGTCTGTCTGGCACGACGTTACTGTCTTGACGCCATGGGATTCATACAATAGTTCTCGCGACGTAGAGGTGCTGCGAAGACAATATGATAGCATGAAGGCCTGGGTTGACAAGGGCATCCCTCGAGGGCCAAACGGTCTTTGGGATCAGAATGTCTGGCAATTTGGCGACTGGCTGGACCCATCTGCTCCGCCGGAAGAACCAGGAAAGGGTCTTACTGACAGTCTTTTCGTCGCAGATGCCTACTTGGTTCGAGTGCTCGAAACCATATCCAAGGTCAGCGCGCTGCTTGGAGAGGAGAAAGACGCATCTCACTACACTAAAGAGGCCACAAGGGTGAGAAAGGCGTTTCAAGACGAATACACCACGCCATCGGGGCTTCTTGTTAGCGATACACAGACTGCTTATTCGCTTGCCATTTCATTTGGTCTATTCGACCGAAAAGACCAGATCACGAAAGCTGCAAGCCGCCTCAGTCACTTGGTTCACGCGGCCAGATACCGGATAGCGACCGGCTTTGTGGGAACACCTCTGATCACGCATGCGCTCTCCGATACTGGCAACTCCCAACTAGCCTACCGCATGCTGCTGGAACAATCCTGTCCGTCTTGGCTCTATCCAATTACAATGGGCGCGACTACTATATGGGAAAGATGGGATAGCATGATGCCAGACGGAACCATCAACCCGGGCTCCATGACGAGCTTCAATCACTACGCACTGGGCTCCGTTGTGAATTGGCTGCATAAGACTGTGGGCGGGATAAGCCCACTTGAGCCCGGGTGGCGAAAGATTAAGATACGGCCTGTCCCAGGTGGCACGATAACAAATGCCAAGGTAGAATACGAAAGCGTATACGGGCGAATCGTCTCCTCATGGAAGATTGATGAGAATGGGACATTTAACCTTGCAGTCACTATTCCACCCAACTCAAAGGCCGTTGTGATCTTGCCATCTGATTGGAAGGTGACAGGGCAAGGCGACGAAAAGGGAACTGAGATTGGATCTGGAAGTTATGAGTTTTCCTGCAGTTACAAGGCTGGCGAGTGGCCTCCCAAAGCAGAGCTTGGGCGCTCTACGTTTCGGCTTGAATTATGAGATAGAGAGTTTATTAACACTTACCTATTGACTATCTATAACTTTCTATTACCGCTGTTGACATATGTTGGACTCACTTCACCGAACAGGTAGTCCTCGCGTTTTACTCAAAGAGTGTCAATGGGCAGACCAGTCTAGATGCTTGAAAGGATCTTGAAGCCATATTGTCAGCCACCCTGATTCGACGATTTCGGCCAACATAATCTTGCTCTAGGCAGCCAATTCCATGTCTACTGCAACATGGCAATTCTTCTTCACGGTTGGCGCCAACGACCCTCGGCCCCTTTAAGCCCGAGGTAATGTCGCATTGAATCGCCCCGAACTGCCGCGGCCCAACCGCCAAAAGCTGGAAACCCGTCACAAGCTTCTTCACACCGCATTCGCCCTCCCCTCGTGATATCTGTCACCGAAACCCCAGCTTTTCGTCTCAGTGCTTGCGGGGCCCCCGGCATATTCATCTGCCCCATGCCCATGCGCTAGCCAAGCAACTGGCTAGTCCACGATCCTTCGCGGGATTTGAGAATCTGGAATGAGATTAGCTTTGGACGAGGGGGGATTCTTTCCGGGCCGACGGTGATGATGGTGTGTAGCTGCGGCGCAGGTAATTGGATACTAACTCGCCGAGGAAGGCCAAGAGATCACTCGCTTCTTAGTTGTAGACGCGATTCTAGAATCTATCGATTGCATGGCACGAGATATGCAAAAAGCAAGCTGGAGAAAGATGCGGAGAGAGTTTGGTATGGCTTAACAGTCAATGGACTTGTATAAGCGCCAGCCATTTGAAGGGCCTTGCTTCTTTATCCCTGTATATGGCCGCTGTGCTGATTATCGGCTGACTGGCAAGGAATATATTGGCACATCTGCCATCCAGCCGCTTCTTCAGCTTGTTTCTATCCGACACATGTGCAGAACCTTTACGGCACCGTTGATTTTTCAACTCTAGGAACCATAGCAGCCGACGATGAATCAGTCCGAGAAGCCCGAGGTAGCCCTCGACGACAATGTTACAGCCGACGACGTGACAAAGGATGAAGCATACGGCCTCGTCAAGTCGAGATTCGATGAATTATCCATCCCTCGCACGCTCTGGGTCTTTAGGCGAGTCGTTCTCGTCTCGCTCGCGGTGTACACTGGCTACGTCTGCGAGGGCTTCGAAGTGAGTCAAACTTTTACAACATTGGCTTGACGCTTAGTCGTAGCACCTCATCTGATACGAGATAATATAGCTCGGTGCGGGAGGCAGTATCGTTGCCAATGCTGGCTTCATCAAGCAGTTTGGCTCGGTCAAGGGCGAGGGCGGCGTGAGGGCACTTGATCCGACTTGGTGTAAGCAATTGTGTTGTGTATTTCCATGAGTATGGGAAGCTGATTTATAGAATATAGTATCCACCTGGAGTGCTCTTCTGGTATGCCTCTCAATACCTTGACTTGAAACAAATCACTGATGCTGATGAACATAGAACGTTGGCCAAATCATCACACTTACGCACATTGCTTGGTACGTCGTCATGCAGCACATCTTGAAAAGCCCTACGATGGCTAACTCACACCAGGGTCGCAGACAAGTTCGGCCGCAAAGTGTCCTTTTACATTGCGTGGATATGGCTCGTCATTGTGAGTGAGATTGTGGGCAAGAGCATGACAACGAGCTGACAATTGTCTCTAGGGCTGTGTTCTCCTCAATACGGCGAAATCGCCAGGTGTATGGGTACGCTGAATAATACAGGACAGCGACGTGATATCGTTGACGACTACACGTGCTGACTTCCAGCATTATAGGCCATCGCCAAGCTGTGCAACGGCGCAGGTATAGGTGTCCTTCAGTAAGCTTTCAAACATTGATATGCTCCGGACTCCTTACTGACCAGATTAGAATCACCTGCCAAATATACGTCATGGAAATCTGCCCAAACAAGATCCGCGGCGGCTTGGTCACCTTCCAAGCAGTCTGGTACGTTCCCTCACAAAACTCCCAGTCATCATCCCTATTGTTACCCCCCCCAAACTTACCCTAAACAGGAGCAACATTGGCGGCATCATCGTCTCTGTCATGATGCAGCAGCTCAACAAGAAACACCCCGACAACTACCTCCTCGCCATGCGCATCATCTGGGCCCCCGTCGCGCTCATGATTGTCTGCTGGGTCTTCATCCCCGAGTCGCCCTGGTTCCACGCCCGCCACGACAACAAGGAAAGGGCAATCAAGTCGTTGAAGCAGCTCTATGGAGGTGTTGAAGGGTTTGACTTTGAGGAGGAGTATGGCATCATCGTGAGGACGATTGCGCATGAGAGGGAGGTGTTGCAGGAGGCGCCGAGCTATCGCCATGTTTTCAAGGGTCTTAATTTGGTGAGTAGGCGGGATCTGTTTCTGTCTGGCTCCAAAAGGAAATGAACCGAGGACTAATGAATAATCGCTAGAAACGCGCCTTTATTGTCGTGATTCTCAGTGTATCTCAGCAATTCGCCGGCCTCGCCATCATCAACACATACTCAACCTGTGTGTCATCATATCCCATCCTCGCCTGAACTAGCTGCTAACAATCATAGACTTTTTCTCTCTTGCCGGCCTAAACGACCCGTTCCTCGGCACTGTAATTCTCAGGTGAGTTGAACACGCCAACCCTTCACCCGTTGCATTCTCCAATCGTTACTCATCTCTTCCCATTTTAGCTGCTGCAACCTCCTTGCCGTCTTGCTATGGTCCCTATCCACCGACAAACTCGGCCGTCGCACTATAGTCAACTCGTGCGAGACCCTCGTCTGCGTGGTCCTCTTCGTCGTCGGCGGCTTGTTCTGGACGGGCGCGACAACCGGAAACGCCGCCGCGGGCACCGCTCTTGTGCGTCTCTCTTCATCTATAGAACCAAGTTGGAAAGGAATATTTGGTCAGCTAACATGCTTCTATAGCTGGTAATCTGTTGCTTGTGGACATTTTGCTACCAAGTCATTGTCATGTCGTACTACGTCTTCTCGGCCGAACTTCCCTCTGCTCTTCTTCGAGGCAAGTTTTAAAACTTACTCCTAGTTAACCAGCTGTTGTGTTTGCTAACATTGATACAGTCAAGACCGGGCCCATCACCTTCTTCTTCAACTCCATCACAGGCATTGCCACCTGGTATGCTTCACCCAAACCAACTATTCAAAATCCATCTAGCTAACACTTTTAAAAGCTACGCTACACCGCCCATGCTCCTGCACCTAAGTCTCAAAGCCGGCTTCGTCTACGCCGCCTTCTCCGTGCCCATCTGCATCATCATGTGGCTCTACGTCCCAGAGACCTCAGGGTAAGTCGACTAATTCGAAAAAGAAAAAAAAAACGGCCTCATCTAATCTTTGTGTATAGCCGATCCGCAGCTGAGATTGACGAGCTGTACGAGCGCAGGATCCCCGCATGGAGATGGTCCAAGACTGTGACTGAGGCCGAGCAGCGGATGCAGACCGTGGTGCTGGTAAAAGGGGGCGTCAAGGAGAGCCGGAACCAGAGTCGTACACAGTGATGGAGGGCTTAAGCAAGATGTGACTGGTTACACGCAGAATCACCTTGATAAGGACTAAAAGGACGCGGTGTAACATGATTGACCACTAGGACATGTCTTATTGGAAGACGTGTAATACAACAATGCTCGGCATGTATCACAAATTGCAGCGTAGAGGGATCAACATTCCTTTTGATTTGATCATTTTCTTAGAAATAGCATGCTCTCATGATAATCACGTCACGCAACCAATAATGTCGAGAGAATTATTATTATATCTATGTAAAGGGCCAACAGGTATCATGTCTCCAAAAGTACCTTGTTCCAATGCCAATTTCCCACACGCCTTAAAGCGCATAAAAGCGAACTGCTATAAAAGTCGGCTAACATAATGTGCGACAAGAATGTTGCCTGCCTTGATGCAACCACCAAAGAATATTCAATGGTCCATAGCATTAATCCACAGCGCATACCCATTGCATCAGTTGTCCTTGGCCGGCCTCGATAATGAAGCCCGTGTGTATAATCGTGCTGCAAAAGTGAAAACAATCGTACTAATTGGTATCCGCAAATAGTCCATTTTTCGCCCCTGTAACGCCTATTCCAATTCCTTTCTCTTGTTCCAACTCCAAGGGCAGTCCACCCATACATGCATCTCCTTTCTTGTCTTGCAAAAAACGCATCATCGTCAAAGACTCTTTATCAACCGTCAAGTTCCATAAACGGTACAAAGGTTGGTCGGCCCTCAAATCGCTCGCAGTCGCCAACTGGCCAACAGTCTACAAATGTTTTCTCTTCGCTCAACATGGTGTCAAGGCGGCGTTTGGTATTTTCGTTGGCTTTGTTGTGAATTGCTGGTCCCAATGCAGCTGCATGATGTTGCGAATGGCGGGCCACGGCAGCGCTGGCTTCAAGCAGGTCTTGCCACGTCCGCAGAGCTTCTTTCGACTTTGCATCGAATACACAGCAGAACCTCTGCGAAGTGACGTATCCAAAGCCAGATTGAAAAGACAGCCCATACATGACCATGAGATAGGCGGCCACCAAAGTAGGCGAGAGATCGTTGCCAGAGTCGCAAGTAACTAGAATCTTGCCCATCGGTGTCCGAGCAGGTTGCGAGGCGTCGTCCGATGCGCTCGCTTGAGGGCCATTTACAGCCAAAAGATGGTTATTGACTTGGTTGATCATTTTATAGAAAGATGGAAGCTGATTATCTGGGTTGACATCGATGTAGACTTGAGAAATACCAAGCCTTGCGGACGCCGCTCGCGCGCTGGGGTAGTCTCTGGGGGCCCGAGCATCGCGGACAATGATCATCATGCTGAAGGCCTCTCGCTGCATATACTTTTCATCCCGAACGACGCTGGTAGGGCCCAGGTAGATGAAATCGAGGATGGAATGTGCGTCTCTGCGCCACTCGTATAGCCAGGCTTCTCGATACTGGGCGGTCTGGGTCCTGTTGCCGGTAATGATGGCGACTTCATCGTCCGAGAGCTGTGCGAACTTGACAAGGCGATACGAAGGCGCTATGCTGTGCTTTTCGACGCCGGAGTGCTGCTGGAGAGGGATGTGGATTATCGGCGGGCTTGGGGCGCGGAAGCTGTAGGGCGCTGAACGCACGACGGCCCTTTTTGCTGAGCCGTCCATTTCTTCGTCGTGGCTGGAGGAGGTGGGTGATTCGAAGCAATGAGGCGGTAGGAAGAGGCTTTGGGGGTTCCAACTTGGGGTTTGGGGTTTGGCGGCTCTGGTAAAGAGACGAGCAAATGATGGCGAGATAAGATGGAGATGGAAGAATCCGGGTCGAATGCGATATATGTATGTTGAACGTGAAGACGTTTGGAAGCGTAGCAGCAAGAGATGTTGAATGGATGAAGATGAAAGAAGAAGTGAACAGAGGGAGAAGGGGAGAAAGGAAGAAAGAAGCGCGTTCACTGTCAGGTGAAGAGTTCAGCTCTGATGCAAGGCAAGCGCGAACGCTGTTTTCTGGTAGCAATGACAGTTGCCTGATGCTGTTGAACCGCACGCAACAAAGAAGAAGGACGCAAAATTTATTTATAGCGGATGTTCAAGGGATTAAGAATATAGAGTCTCGTGCAAAAGACGCTGCAGACTGTTCTGTAGAAAAAAAGACGGGCAAATGAGCAAGAGTAGGTGAATCGCGGTGTATGTTTCAAGGTTCAGGTCCTCTATAGAGCTGGAGCTGGTGCTAGAGCTCGTGCTAGAGCTGCTAGAGCTAGGCAGAGGAACGCAACAGTGGACCGTATCTCCAGGTGACGGCCAATCGGAAGGCTTCACTTTAGGCAGCGGCTGGGGTAGAATTGGCGTTTGAGGCAGCGTGGGAAAGCATTTAGAGTGATTACGCTTCAGTTATTTATTATTCGACTTGTTATGTGGCGCTGGTAGTGCCCAAGCCATGAGCCAGGTAGTGCTGGACCTTGGATTGCCTCACATGAAAACTTTAGGGGCTCCAGTCAATGGACAAGCCTCTGAATGGGGAGTATGCCCACTAAAAGCCTACCTAGTTGGAATATTAATAGATGAATGTTCTGGGAGATATTAATTATGAGCTAGTAATTTATGATTTTGGTCCTGTTATATGAGTATCTAACCCGTAGCCGGTGAAACTGTAGTTCTTGTGCCAACTGAGCAACGTCAAAGCTCCCTGTTCGCAACTCGGGTTTGTGGAGCCTAGATTTACAGTTCAACATCCAATGGGGCTATTGAAATTGTCGCTATCAATAAGAATGCAACTCTACTGCCTGCATGCACATGCCCACAAAATCCATCAACTGCCCGTCTAGGCAAGACATGCTCACTCCGATACTGCCATCTTACCTTCCATGGCAGATACAAGATGCTACACCCAGGTCAAAGGCTCTACAGAACGCAAACACCAACCATATGGCAACCACCGCTCATCAAGGTTTTTTTTCCCCTTTCTGTGATTAGTATTTTCCATTTCAATAATACTAATACGAAAACTCAAAACGCATCTAGTACAAAAGCAGCGGCATGTCTTGCTCCACCATTGTCGCAGAGCTCGACAACGCATGCATAAGAGTGGTGCTGTCAAATGCAATTCCCCGCAGAGCAGGGCATCCACCTTTATCCCAAAGACGTGAGATGATGTGCATGATTGAGGTAAACTTGATACGAAGAAATGGATTAAAGTGTGAAAAAGTAAGGGAGAAGAATAAATTATTGAATCGATTCTCACAAATGATGCAAGTCGTAGATGACGAGATTACCATTTGATGGGCACTGTAGGAGGATAGACGAGTAGAACAACATAAAGAGAGGCTGGATCAGCAACATGATTATAGCTGCAGTTCATTCTTCTTCATTTCTCACCTCTTTTCCAAATTCATCGGATATTGCGCCACGTACACGTATGCCACGACTAATCTTTGACAGTTTTTCTACAATTCAGCAGAATACTAATCTTTGTATCAAAACAGACCAATCCATATAGAGCATAATACCTGCTAATACCTGCCAGTCATTCATGTCTCATCCGTCTTTGTACACATAACCACCACAGAAGCGCTGCAGAAATATCCAGCTCAAGTAGTTTAGCCCTTTCCAGGGCATGTCCATACTAATCATACAATCCCCATGTTGCCCCATTCAATGCTGTTTATCGTACAGTGCAATAAAGCTTTCTCGTAGCTATTGCAAATGCGTTCCAAAGTGCTTTTCCTTCTTTTCCAAATATGAAGCATCACATCCAAACTGATCCCCCACACCATATCTAATATCATCAGACAAATAAAGATGAAACCAAGGGGTGCATGGCTAAACCGGATAAAAGTTAATGTAGATGGGCTGCCATCACACAGCAGGCACCTCTTGTTTCGTCCTCTCGGGTAATTCATCAATCACCAAATCATCATCCGGATGCTGCTCTACACCTTCCACATGCCCCTCGCCAATCGCAGACCGGTTCGCATTGCGAGTCTTGACTTGCTGGCGCTTGCTCTCTCGCTTCCGCTCCAGCTGCTCGTCGCTGTAGTTTAGCCACTCCAGCGTCTTCATGAGCTTCTCCTCGACCAGCGTCCGCACGTGGAACGCCAGGGCTTGGCTGCGGAACATGCCCGAGTAGCGGTAAGAGAGCCACACGTACTGGTTCAGAGCAACGTGTAGCGCTTCCAGCTTGGAGAGGTATTGCTGGCCGGATCCTGAAAAGTCTTCTGGGTTGATGTCGAGGAACTCTAATGGGATTTCCTCAATGTCAAGAAGATCGCCCTTGGAATTTGTGGCTACAACCTGTGCCAGAGCTCGGAGCACGTCCACGGCTCGGTCGGCGCGGAGCGCAACGGGTAAATAACAGAAAGTTAGCCTGTCGTGAATCGTAAGTGGAATATCCTGAATGATGTCTGCGATTTCCAAAATGTCAGATCCGAGGCCCATTTTATATAGCGAGCTGACTGTTGCCGTCTCCTGGATTTTTTTGAGGATATAGGATAAGGGGGTATCGGTTGGGAAGTATGAAGCGAATCGCTCCACGATGCCTGCGGGAGGCTGAATGCAGGCTGCTTGAATGTCTTCGACAGTTCTCTGGAACGCTCGCTGTACACTGCGCAAATCAGCCCGTTCCATGGTGGTGACAAGACCGACTTTTTCCGATTCATCAGTCGAGCCATCTGGATTCTGTGCTGATCTGTATCTCCCTGCTCTACCGCCAATCTGTTTGATTTCGGGAAAAGTCAGCAGTCGATTTTGACTGCCGTCAAACTTTGTCACAGATTCCATAATGACACGTCGAATTTCAAGGTTTAATCCCATGCCGATCGCATCGCTAGCGACAACGAAATCATAGTCGTTGTCGGGGTCATTGAACAACGCTGCTTGCTGGGCCCGAACCTCTGGCGGCAGTGATCCATAAATGATTGCACAGCGCCGTCCTGTTTTCCTCTCTATGCTTGTTTTCAGTGAATGGAGATTCACACGGCTAAATGCAACAATGGCATCTCCCTTTTGCAGGAGATTGTAGTCGTTGTCAAGTGGCTTGTCCATCGTCTTGAGAGGACTCAGACGCTCATACCGATGAACAACACACTTGTCTCCCACGCTGGCGCACATTTGTTGTATGACCTTTACAGCTCGCTCTTCGCCACAAACGTGAACCTCTTTGGCCTGTACGCCCAGCACGGCTGCGGTCCAGGCATTTCCACGATCCGCATCAGCAATCATCTGGATCTCGTCGATGACCGCAACGTCGAAGCGGGTATTCAGCGGAATCATCTCAACCGTACAGCTTGAAAAGTACTGGTCTGTGTTTTCAGGGATGCGCACTTCTTCGCCGGTAATGAGAGCGCAGGGGATATTCTTCGCCTTGAAGCGCTGGTACACTTCGGTGGCGAGCAGCCGGAGAGGCCCTGCGTAGACGCCGCATTTGGAGCTCTCCAGCGCCTTGAGCGCATTGTACGTCTTGCCAGAGTTGGTGGGCCCGACGTGGACATGGATGGTGCGCTGCATCGTCCGCGTCGCGGGAAACCACTCGTAGGGGAACCGAAAGTCAAGCAGACGCTTGTGGCTGTCCTCGATGTTCTTGGGGAAGCGCTGGCCGAAGATGAAGGACTGGAACGAGTAGTGGACCTCCTTGGTAAGGCCCTTGATATCTCCAGAAACAAAGGCATCGCGCAGATTCCAAAACAGCGGGTTCTTGTCACGGCGAGTGATTCCCTTTTCCGCCAGCGAGAATGCATGGTCAATGGCGTCCATGAAGACGGCCGAGTGGCGACTCAGCTCATCTTCGCTGAACGTGACGCCCACCCGAGCTGCTCCCAGCTTGTTCAGCACAATTTGAAAGCGATGCAGCACAGTGGAGCGGAATAGCTTGTGCCGTCCAGAGTATTTGCCAAAGTCAAGCCGCAGCCGCGTGTTGGGATCATGGCCATGGCTAACCTGAGTTTAAGCGTAAGCATGAGCCTTCTCTCTATTTTCCTTGTCCAAGCGTAGTAGCGAAACTTACTGAATCAACTCGAGAGTGGGGTGCAGGCTTTGACGAATGCAATTTTGAGAGCGCAGCAGCCAAGCTTCCCTTGTTTGCCGTCGTTTTCTGCTTCACAGGCTGGGTCTTGGGAAGAGGCGCCCGCCAAAGGTGGGATGTGGTTGAGAGATGCCGCCGCAGACATGATGCTCCAAGCTGGCCTCTGAAAGCGCCGTTGCGGGCCACAGCTCTCATGACAGCGGTGTAGAGACGGCCAGTATCATGATATAGCTGTAAAATGAAAAGAAAACACCAATTGTTCTCGTCTTTCACCAATCACACCTACCCTACATATTCTTGAGATTGCATCCAACTTTTCATGCCATTCACGGAATTTTCTCGGCGGCGGATTAGCGTTTGGCCGCCTGCAGCCAAGACGGCAAACTGTGGATGGAGTTTCGTCATAGTTTCACTCTTGTTCACTTTAGCCTCTCCATCTCTTGGTCTTACAACACCACAGGCAACCGGATTTCGTCGATTGCGCGCTCCCACTTTCTCTATCCTCCAACAGATACCAAAGCTCCAACCTTTATATCCTTATTCTAGCGCCGCAGCATCCATCGCCGCCATGGCGTCCTCTTCAGCTGCAACTCCGCTCCTTTAGTGCGTCCAAGCTCCTTTTCCAGTGATTCCCAGCGTCTTGTCTGCTAACAAAGCATCACCGCCGCAGCTCCTGCATCGCCCACGAAACAACAATCCTATCCGAGTGCACCACCTCTGCCTCTTCACAGACCTCATCTCTCGCCTCTCTCATCCTGCCAAAGATCGAGCACTCGACCCCCCAGAAGTTGACGTACACCCACGGCTCGCACCAGATTCACTATGTCGCCGAGGCGCCATCCGACTATCCTGACCACCCGGCCGCCGGCGGCCTGACTTTTCTCGTCATCGCAGACGGATCGCTAGGCCGTCGCGTCCCATTCGGCTACCTGTTGGAGATTCGCAAGCGCTTTTTCGAAAAGTTCCCCGAGAGCAGCGACTTTGCCGACATGCCCAACTACGGCGCCGGCTCGTTCAACGCCGAGATGAAGAGCCTGATGGTGGAGTTTGGCACGACGAGCGGCGGCATGAACGACGCGATTGGCAATGCGAAGCGGGAGATTGATGATGTTAGAGGCATCATGACGAAGAATATCGAAAGCTTGCTCGAGCGAGGCGAGAGGATCGACTTGCTCGTTGACAAGACGGACAGGCTGGGGAACAGTGCTCGAGATTTCCGGGTCCGGAGCCGCGGCTTGAAGCGGCAGATGTGGTGGAAGAATGTGAAGCTCATGGCGCTCCTCATTTTGGTTGTGGTTCTTATCCTGATGATAATAATCATCTCGGTCAAGGGCTGACGGACAGAGTGTGATTGTTTCTTTCTTTCTTCTTCTTCTCTTATGATGGGAATAGCAAGCCTAGATGCTGTATGTGTATTGATAATAGGGATTTGATGGTTATGGGAGTCAAGGGGATTATGCGCCTCGAGGTATTTTACTGCTTGTGAATAAACGGAACCTAGGCTGGAAGTACTTGAGCTTTAGTGATAATGCAATGCTATTTATTTTATCTTCTCTTTCAATGCGCAAGCAAGTATTATGGACATCGCCCTTCTTTCGCCCTTCTATTCTGTACCATTCAGGCCAACAAATAATACACACAAAATCCACCTCATATGGTATCTCGATTGGTTCAACATCCCCATTGACAGACAAACACATAAAAAAAAAGCAGAAAAATCTAGATGGTCAGATTCAATGCAAACACGCTCTTCCGCATCACCACAACTTACCATGGATGAACAAAACACCCCATTCACTCATAACTTTGGCGCATTCGCACCGCTCCTCGGCTCCTGGTAGACGTAACCCTGCGCCACAGGACTAAACACCGTAGCTGGCACCGGAGCTGGCGCAGGATGAGACGGCTTGCGCAGCCTCTCGGTGAAGAAGACGGGGTGCGTGGTTGATGCGTTGTGAGCTGGCGAGGCGTGTTTGCTCCAGATTGCCTGCAGCTGAGCGGCTGATGGGGCGGGCTGGGGATGCGTCATTGCGGTGGGAGGGAGCTGAGTTTGTTGTACAATCATTCAAAGGGAAATAAAGAAAGAGGTTTTAGAACGGGTTCAATGCGATGAATGAATGGAAGAACGATTGGAGATTAAGAGTTGGGCAATTAGCCGGATGAAGTCGCTATGATGGAATTGCTGCACAGGGTCTTAGTAAGCCGAGGTTCATTTTCTAGGTGCGATCAGCGCTGGTTGGAGATGAGCTTCATGAAAAACAGTCTTGATTCTATGTATGTTGACGCTATATCAGATGCAATTCTATATGTAATAAATGCTAATTCTCCATTATTTCTTCTTGTTGCCCTTGCCGCCCTGCTTTTGTTGCTTTTCCTTTTCCTTTTGCTGCTTTTCCTTCTCCTTTCCCTTTTTGATCGCTGCCACCAAGCTCTCCACCTCTGCTGCCTTTTCCTTTTCCTTGTCCTCTTCAGCCTGCTTGTCTTGGTTGGCCTTGTTCTGCGCCCTCTTCTTGGCGGCGGCCTTTTCAGTCTTTTCAATCAGCGCGTCGCTCTCTTCCCAGAGCTTCTTGGCCACTTGGTCGTCCTTGACTTCGGACCGGGCAAAGTCCACTTCCATGCACTCCTTTATCAATCTGCCGCCGCCGATGCGTCCAAGCGTGCCATCCATTGCGGCGTAGAGAATGGATTGCGCTCCTTTGCTTGGCGACTTGAGCAGGAACCAGGGTATGGCGTAGAAGAAGACGTAGAGGGCAAGACCGACGAGTGAGCCTCGCGTCAGCCACCTTCTCGTGCCTGGTGTGCGACTCAGCCCCGGGTCTACAAGGACGACTCGGGTGTTCATGGGTAGTTCGTCGGGGCGCTTATAAGAGTCTAGATGCTTCTGGAAGTACTGTCCCAAGACGTTGAGTGCGAGCTTGCTTCGCGCGTAGGCCGATCCAGGAGTCCAGTCCTTTTCCACGTTTCCAAGGCCGTCTTTCAGCGATGGGGATCCAATGTACGACGAACATGTCGCAATGATTACGCGGACATCTCTGTCAAAGGGCTGTGCCTTGAGAGCCGGGCTGAGGATGCCCAGCAGGTGGAAGTTGGCGAGGAAGTTGACCATCCACGTCTCCTCGATGCCTTCTTCGGTAACCTTTCGTTTCCCGCCGGGGGGCGTCAGGGTCGATGCGCACAGCACAACCATGTCCAGCCTTCGGGGAGGTGCGTTGTCGACCCATTTCGTCGCAAACTTTCGAATGCTGTACAGGCTCGACAGGTCGACCTGTTCCGCATAGATCAGGTTGTTGCCCGTCTTGTCTCGGATGTCTTGGATGAAGTCGATTAGAAAGGGGTCGGAGCCGGGCACCTGCGTGAGCAGCACCAGCTGCGCGCCCCGGGCTGCGAGCTCGCGTGCCACTTCTGCGCCGATGCCGCTGGTGCCGCCCGTCATCATGACGACCCGGCCATGGAGGTTGCGCTCCGAGGGATTCGTCCGGCCGGAGGTGAAGAGCTTCAGCAGCACGAGGACCGTCGTGGCGGCGACGGCGTACAAGATGGGCCAGGCATTGTCGTGGACAACCTGCGGAAAGCCGTGCTCCAGCAGATAGAAGATGGTCGGCACGGGCATTGCGAGGCTGCGATGGAATGGGAGTGGTGTTTGTAGGCGCGTAGATTTCGTCAATTCATCGTCTTGACTTCGAAAGCATCAGCATTTACTGCATCGGATTTGCTGACGAAGCTGGGCGGTCAAACTGTCGTGGATTGTTGGAGTCGAAAACGTGGTGGAAGCGATTCAGGAGCTCCACGTGACACGGGTCCAGTTTAAGGCAGCTTCACCTGCATCATCAAATGCTGCATGTATATACACCCACAAATATGTGAATCCAATTGTTGTTAATACTACACGTTTCGTCCAAGGTAAGCGTAGATGGAAGCTAGAATTGAGAAGACGACATGCTAATTACATAGTGGTATAGTTAACTAGATGGTGTAAATACGAACTGCTAGTACGACGGCATCAAGTGTGCCTGGGGTATGAACATGAAGAACAACATTTCCCATAACTCATCCATAAGAAAAGAATGAAAGATGAAAGAACAAAAATGAAAAAGATGATAAAAAGCCAAAGTCGATCCTTTTCATGCTCAGTTTAGTTTTGCTTCTCCCCCTTGGACTTCTTCTTCTTCTTCTTGCTAATGTCCAGCGTCACAGGATCGCCATTTCGCACCCAAATCTCGCCAATGGGATCACCTTCTTCTTGCACGCAGATCCATTCTCCAATGGCATACTCTTCGGGTGCGATGCGGATGCCCCGGCCGCCTCCGCCCACAATCAGATTGCCGGGACGATACGTCTTGTCCAGCTTCATGCGGCGAATGACGCTGCCGTGAATGCGAGCGTCGTTGGGAATGTCCCGAACTTCGCCACGAGGCAGCGGCCAGTTGATAGGCTTCCAGGTCCCGTCGCTCTGAAGATCCATTCGTCGGAAGGGCATCCACTCCATCGCGTTCCAGGCGGTGACGGCCACTGCAGTGAGGCCGCCGCCATACACCAGCGAGTCGTGGATTCGGGCGAGATGTGCCTTGTGCATCATGTCGAGGAAGACCTGCTTAAAGTCCTTTTCTCCGTCATCGTCTGCAAGCGTGTCTGGAGTTGGAGGAGCTACGAGCTCTCCTCCGTCCTCGTCTTCTTGATTGAGATGAATCTCGGGTCCTTTCTGTTGTCCCTTGCGGCCGCTCTTGGTGCTGGCCTTGGCGCTTTCGTTGTACAAGTCGAAGCAATCCAGCTCCTGAACCTTTTCCAAATCGAATTTCAGGCCGGCCCGCATAGCCTCGCGGACCATCCATACCAGAGGCACGTGGCTTGCGTTTTTGCCGTCGGATTCCATTTGCCATCCACCACCCACGTCGCCATGGCCACCAGAAAACCACACTTCATCAATGTCTTGATCACCGCCGTCCTCATAGTCAAGATTGGAGATTTGTTCAGAGACATTGCAGCCGGCTACCGAGACGCGGCGATCAGGTCGGGCGCCAGACTTTGACCTGGCCCGATATGGCATGTATTTGCTGCCTTCTGGATTTGCTGACGACTTCCTCTCCCCGGGCGTTGCGTGCTTGCTTGGGCGTCTGCCCCGGTCCTCATGATAGGTCTTATCCGTGCCCTCTGTTTCTCCGCCATTTCCGCTGCTGCTGTGTGGGCGACCAAGCATGTGCTCCCAATCCTTCCAATGGGGGCGGCTGCTGCGGCGCCTATTCGCTTGCTGGTACATCAAATCCTGTCGGAACTTGGCACGGCGCTCATCGATGCTGACGGCATGCCGAATAACTCTGGCGCTACTACGCGCCGTGTAAGGGAACTTGCTTCGCTGCATCCAGGCTGTCTCAAAGCGAGGTACCGAGTTGACTGTGTCGAAAAGCCCGAGGAAGCGGATCCGGCCAACGGGTCGAGAAAAGGTTTCGCGGAAGCCTTTCATGAAGTGGTACATTTCGTGCTTCTTCTTTTCGTCCTCTTCCGCGAGCTTTTCGTCCTTGTCGCCACCACGACGACTTTGCCAACTGGAAAATGCCTTCCAGGCAAACGAAACCAGTTCTTCGTTACCATGAGACAAGAGGCCAACATAGTCAAGCATCTCAGCCAGAAAGCGGGCAATGTACGCGCCGCGGCTGAAGCCAAACATGTATATCTCATCCCCGGGATTGTAGAATCTCATGAGGAAACGGTAGCCTCCCACAACATGCTGATCAAAGGAAGAACCAACCGCTGAGTCCTTGGCCTTTTGGTACCATGATCGGATGCGCGCTTTCGTGCTGGTATGTGAAAGCGAGCTGGACACGACATAGGTGCCAATACCAGCTGGTTATGAGTGTTAGTCAAGTCCACGAGCTCATGAGAGCGACCTTGCGCGAGTGCGCACGCGCCGGCTGCTACTGTCGAAGCACTTACGCTGGTAGTAGTGATACTGGTCATCCGCAGTCCGATCAAGCATGCGAAAGATTTTGAGAATGTTGCTGTCGCTTTCATCGCCATGGAACTTGTTGCCCGTGCCGTCAAAGCACAGAATCAGCTTCCTCGCAACTCTGTCCCGCGGCGTGGGACTTGCTGGGCGTTCCATCATGTTGGTCATGATGTAGTCTAAGCTCGAGCGTTTCTTTGGGTGCTCGGCAGAGCTTGGATCCAACATGCTGCCTGCAGCCATTATATGTGGGCTGTATTAATCTCAAGCTGACAAAATAGGCAATGTGGAGGATGAGGCGGAGCCAGGGGCCTTGCGGTACCTGATCACAAGCAAAGAAAAAGTGAGAGAGCTAGGCAGAACGAAATTGTCATTGTAAGCACAAGGGCGCCCGCTCCTTATTATTAGTACTTTTCTGATCATGAGCGTGGCTCATCGCGGCCGATGGCTACGGATCGCCTTGCAGCCGTATGTCTTGGATTCTCGCATTAGTTTTCGACTCGGCCTGGGCAAAGCTACTGCTAGCCACTTCTTGTGCAGTTTGTACGCTGGAGGCTGAGAAGCGGTGGGCTGAAAGGCGCTGATCGCTTCCCTGTCGAGGTGGTGGAGCTGCTGCTTGCTCAAATGCCGGGGGCTAGCGGCCAATTAAAGACCCCTTTTGTCTAAGTGATTGGCAGAAGGCCGAGATTGGGGGCAGCCTTTGAGATTCATGGCTTCATGACATTACGCGCTGCAAACCAGGGAGAGCGGGGAGAGCTGCAGAAAGATGCGCTACTCTTATGCATGTCTCAGAGCCTCACTCAATCGGCGATGGTGTTATGGATAGCTCTGCCGGTCGATATTATTCGGCCAGTGACAGGATGGGAATTGGACAGAATGGCGGACCAGCTGGGCTGCGGCTGAGATGTAGTCTGCAGACAAGCAGCAGGGGAAGTGGACAATTGTCACATTGGCCTTTTGCACGAAGCCATCCAGCACTTGCCATCTGGACACGCTCTTTGATTTCCTGCTGCTCCGTATCTGCTGCATGATTTTGCACCAACATGGATGCCACACAGTTGCTGTCTCTCGTTGTGTGCCGCTGTCTCGCCGCCTCTCCACTTGCATGGTTTTCGGGACAGTGCTTGGCATGGAATTTGTGAAACAACGTGCTTATTTCTCGGAAACTTTCCACGAATTCATGTGTACTGTTGCACAGTAGCCAATCTTCCGTGTGCTCCGTCCAATTCGAGGACTGATGGTGCTACTCTACTTGCGGTCTTTGGGCGTCCCAAAAAAGAGCTTCTCGACGTCTCCGCAACGGGCCGTGCCTAGAACTGTTTGGGTGTAAGAGCAATTTCAAAGCTTGCAGCCATTGGCTGACGGCAGATTCCCTTCTCCACACTTGTTGGATCTGTTCATTTCACGCCAATTGCTGGGTCTGGGCGTCTGTGTTGGATTTGCCTGCAGCCGATCGGTCTGGCTGGACCATTTTAGGTGGGAAGATCCAGCGAAATGTCTCGGGGTTTGATCGATTTCTAGCAAGGGAAGCCGAGACTTGTGGAAAAAGGGTGTGTATGGGAAGAGTCTCTCCCGGTTTGCTGGATCCCTCAACCAAGGAGAGAGCAGTATACTTGAGACTCACTACGCTGCTACTTTGACCGCTCAGGTAAACCAAGAGCAGTCTGAAACCCGGCTGCATATCTTGGTCAAGAGTTATTGCCAATGGACAGCTACATGGATGAGAGATTTGCAGCACAAAACAGAGCTTTGCTATACTAACACGCCGGCACTACACGAGTCATATGTACATTTCGAAATACGGAGCATACTGTCTGCTGCCATCTCCAACCTACTCGCATGTACTTGTATTGCATCACCAAGACGCAGAGACTGAGACACTCCACCACACAATTTCCCGCTTGACGGGCAGAAGAGACACCATGACATCTTGATCACAGCTTGCTGTCCTTCCAGATCGGCTTCCTCTTCTCGACAAAGGCGCGCAAGCCCTCCGTCATGTTGTCTCCGCCGTCCATCTGCGGATAGACGTCTGCCAGGATGCGGTCGGTGCTCTGCTTGGGGTTCTCGGCCTCCCAGCCGGCCTGCAGGCCCTCGCGGGCCACAATGACCGAGTCGGGCGAGTTGTTGGCCAGCTCAATGGCCCATTGCAGGGCCTCGCCCACGACGTCGCCGCCGCGCACAAGCACATGGTTGACCAGCCCCCACCGCAGCATCTCGTCGGCCTTGTAGATGCGGCCCAGCAGCGCCATCTCGGACGCGCGCTGCATGCCCACGGAGCGAATCAGCCGCGGCAGCGCCCCCTGGATCGGCACCACGCCGCGGGCAGCCTCGGGCAGCGCGAAGCGGGCGTCGACGGTGGCGATGACCATGTCGGTGTTGAGGATCATCTCCATGCCGCCGCCCAGGCACAGGCCGTTGACGGCCGCGATGATGGGCTTCTTGCCGCGGCGGTTGCTCAGCCCGCCGAAGCCGCTCGCCGGCGTCTTCTTGGTCGCCTCCTCCGGGTGGGCGTTGCGGTCGTTCCACTCCTTGAGGTCGGCGCCGGCGCAGAACGCCCGGCCCATGCCGGTGATGATGGCGCACCGCAGCGACGGCTCGGCGTCGTACCACTTCCAGAGGCCCTCGAGCTGGAAGTGCATGTCGTTGCGGATGCAGTTGAGCTGCTTGGGGCGGTTGATGGTGACGAGCAGGATGTGCGAGCGCGGCGCCGTGACGATGACATCGTCGACCTTGGGGGGTGAGCTGATGGATATGGCCATGTTGATTTGATCCTTTTTATATCCTCTGTTTCTTCTATTATCGGCTGTTGTTCAAGTGTCTGGTTTCATCAAAGGAGATGCGAAGGAGGTTGACGATGTGACCTCAGCATATGTTATGCCGGATAACGAATAGAATCGCAGCAGTGGCCAGCACCAAAAGAAGCCTCGCCTCCTTATTTTTTTTTCTGCTCTCCTCCAGAGAAACCTTTATATCTCATTCACTGTATGAAAAACAATGAGATTGCGACTGCAAAATAGTTCATGGCGTCGCTGCTGACGCTCAGCTTTTGATTATGTTCTTTGCAAACTCACCCTGACGGTGTGAATGTTGGGCTCAAGTCAAGAGACAGACTTGACCGGTTGTTTTGGCTACGCGCCCTGAATGGTCCGGCGCTGTGGGGCTCAGCCTCGGCCCGTGCTTCTCCTCATTTTGAGCCGAGCGTTTTGCTTATATACCGGGACTTGATGCTGCTTGGTAGGTATGGAGTGTAAAAAAGGATTGATAAGAGGTGAATTGATTTGAGAAACGGCGGATTGGTTCTAGTGCCAATGTTGTATTACAAAAAATCTGGCTGGTGGCTGGTGGACAATTATTTGGTGTGGGTATGAACTGACACCATCTATACATACAGCCAGACCAACTTATAACAACTTCATCATCAATCTCAAAAAGTAACATGATTATTACGTATTCATTTACAAACATTCCCTGGACTATTTTCAAAAGTCCCCAGTACCCCAAGCCCCTCCCTAGTTGTACATGTAAACAGTGATTTTTTTATGTTTCGACTCCCCTTTCTTCGTTGCAGTTATGCTCTCAATTTCGCATATATACATACATTTCTTCCTACAGGACTTGGACAGTTTGACGCGGGGTTCGACAGTTGCGCGTATCTTTTACTAATCAAAGAGACGCAAGTACCAAAATGAACTGGAATAAGAGAATGAAAAAAAAAAAAAAGTAGCCGATTAGTATGAGTAGTTGCCAGAAACAAATATCCGTGTAGTGGTATCCCGTGTCCGCGATACAGCCCTTTACGCCGGCAAGCCTCGTTTCTCGCACTCGGTGAAGAAGATGAGCATGCGCCAGAGCTTCTTGACCAGATCCTCTGCTTCGTCGTCCAGTGCCTGTCATTGCCCATTCATTAGTATTCCTAACAACATCGAAATATCAGAAAGGAGAGTTTGACAACTTACCCCCTCGAGCTCCTCCACCAACGCTCCAGCAGTCCCATGCTTGCGCAAATGCTCCTCCACAGCCTCCACCAGCATCTCCTCCTGCACGCCCAGATACTCGACAATCTTCTTCTCCACAAACGGCCGCAGCTTGTCGCGCACCACCGCGTCGTCCATAAAGTCCCACTTGACCTCCCACGCCCAGAGGCCGTCCTTTTCCGACGGTATCTCCTGCGCGAGCGCCCGCACGGCCTGCGAGATTTCTTCCTCCGACATGCCTGCCGCACCCGAGGTGGCGTCCAGCTGGATGGGGATGAGCTGGCGGCGGGTGGACTCGACTTCCTCGTCGTCCAGGAGGCCTTCGACCTCGGCGATTGTGCGGCGCTGGGGCGCTGCGCGTGAGGCTTGGGCTCGCTGGGCTGCTGCTCCGAGAGACAGCTTGAAGGGCTGCGGTGCGGCGGCGGCGGCGGCGGCTTCGCGCTGCTCCATCTCCCGAGCCTGCTGGTCCAGGAAATCGTCGGCCATGCCCCGAGCATGTTCCAGCCGGGCCTGCTCGCGGTTACGCTCCACCTTTTCGGCCTGGCGGTCGGCTTCGTCTCGCGCCTCTTCCTCGGCGCGGTCTGAATTTCGTTTCCTTGCCCAGCCGGCGCGATCTCGGTAGTACATGTGCGATTTGCGCGTCGCCTCTCGTTCGTCGTCCCAGGACTTCTCCCTCTCCAGCTGCTCCTGTTTTCTTCTCTCGAGATTCTCAATGTCGTGCCTTTCTCGCTCCCGTTCTCGCTCTAGTGCTGCCTGTCGTGATCGCTCTCTGTTGACCCATTTCCTCTCTGCTTCCGCATAAATCTTGTCGTCCTCGGCCTTGCGTTCAGCCGTATATCTCTTCCAAAGCTCTTCATCACTGGCATCGGTATCCTCGTCGTCTCTTCTAGCAGACGGATCTGAATTGTTCATTCCTCCATTCACAAAAGCCACTCTGTTAGATCCGCCTTGGCCCTTGGGTCCAGAAGGGGCGTTGGGCACCGATACGCCTCGAGGTCCCAGCGGCACATTGTTAGAGTTTCTCGGTGGCGAAGCCAGTCTTGATCGGCCAGCGCCGTTTCGTCGTCGTTCCATTTCTTCAAGCTCCTCTTCTCGCTGTAGACGTTCCATATCCCGTTGAATACTACGCTCACGGAAGGCAGCAATCTCTCCGGCAACGACCTCTCGCATTTCCGGGGGGATATCTGCCAGCTCATCTTCCTGGGCCAGGGGTATGTTGACCACCTCCACGTTCTCCTCCGTCTCGGTATTGCCCATGGCAACATCGCCATTAGTATCGGCTGTCTCGACAACAGGGGGGTAGAATAGCTCTCGGATAACCTGTTTCAGAGCAGCGCGGGCACTCTCTATCCTCTGCTCAAAGGATGCATCCTCTGCTTTTCCTTCCTTGTAAGACTCCAGGTAGCTGAGCGATGTGGCGTCCACAGCCACTTGCAGTTTTGTCTTTTCCACATCTTCAAAAGAATCGTCGGCTGGAGCGTCACTAGTACTCGGCTGCTTCTTAGTCGGGATTTGGACCTCCTCTTCGCTAAGGAGCTTGACCGCAGCTGCCAGGGAATCAAAGTCCTCGTACAAGGCGAAGCCGAATTTGGTTCCCTTTCGCTCTTCTGACGTGCTATCCGACGGATCCCAGCGCCTCAGCTTACCAACGGCTCCAAGAAGCTTCTTGGTGCCCTCATCTCCGCCCAACCCCTCTGGAATCTGATGTAGGAAGATCGTTCGGAGTTTCTCATCGCTCGTCGGGGGGAGTAGCGTCTGCATGCTCTCTCTCGCCGCCATTCGGCCTTGATCTGACCCTCGTTCCATGCCAAGCCCGGCTCTTCCTCCGGATTGTGCTGGTCGGTCATCGGATCTGCCGCCACCGGCTGACGCTCCTGTGCCCAGTCGAATCACGGGCGCGTTGAAGTTGATGTTGGGCATGTTGGTCGGGGCTTGGAAGGGCGGCAGGCCACTTGGACGATTAGCTTGGGGCACGTTGGCTTGCTGGAAGCCCGGCGGAGGGGCCATTCCCGGGGCAGAAGACATGCCTGGTGGAGGTCCTACAAGGACGATCGTGTTAGCATCCAGTGGCCTGTATCCGCGATGCTGGAGATGAGAGAAGCATACCTAACCCAGGAGGAGCGGCCATGCCAGGCGCCGCGCCCGGATAGCCATATCCAGGTGGCGCGCCATAAGGATTGTGCGGTGCTGGGAGTCCATTAGCTGATGCGTAGCGAGCATGAGAACGGCCTCTGTGCTGAGTACCTCCATAGGGATTGTAGGCCATGGTGACGGACTAGGCTCTGCGACTCAGAGCAGCGTCACGCAGGCAGATGGCAGAGAGACGAATTGGTCGTGTCTGCGAGTCCGATATCGCGCCGCTGAAGGGTACAGCTTGTTGAATGGCAAAAAAACAGGGATTCGGTAGAGCAGCTCGTCGATAAGCAGTCTCCAGCGAAAAAGCAGCTTCAAATTGCAGGGTTCTCAGATTGCATTGAAGCGCGATGACAAAGGAGGTTGCTTTGACGCAGTGCCAACATGTGAATAGCTTCAGAGTAAGACTGGCTCGCGATAACCAGCTGTTTTCTTCGCCAGGGTGTTCGGGTGCCGAGATCTGTTGTTGGTTTTGCGATCTGCAGGTTCGAATCGCGGCTCCATTGAACTTTCGGCAGATAAGTTCAAAGGTTGCAGCGCCCCGCATCAACGTTTATCCGCCCGCAGCTTTTTGCAACGACCTTTTGCGGGATGGAGACCTTTTTTGGCTTGGAGAGCGAAAGAGTCGAATTGCAGGAGCCATTGAGGACGGCAAAGATGTGCGTTTCTATTGTTTAATGCATACAATGAATCTTTTCTGTTTTGCTGACATTTATTATAGGGCTGCGACCTCCAGATACGGCAGCATGATGCTGTCTAGACTTGCTGCCCCGGCGCAGGCCCGCGCATTTTCTACAACACTGGCTGTGCGATTCAACGCCTCGAGGCCGAGCTTCAACGAGAGAATAAACCCTCTGGTCGGCAATTTCGTTCCTCCTACGCCAGCTCCTAAGCCCGCCGCAGCGCCAAAGTCTCAGCCCGAAACAGTCACCAAGACAGCGGAGCCCAGCGCCGAATTCACACCACCACCCCCACCTCCTCCCGCTGAATCAGAATCACCATCATCCTCCTCCGCCGACAAGTCACAATCCAAATTCCCCTACAACGCCGCCGACTCCTCCACCAGCTCCTTCAACTTCGACATTGCCGAAATCGTCGCCGCCAGATCTGCCGCCTGGGGCCAGTCCCTCAACGTCGGCGACCCCCTCCAGCGGCCCAAGATCCGCACCGAGGCCGTCACCGGCCGCACCGTCTTCATCCAGGATCGCCTGTCCCCGACGTCGGCGCCTACGCCTGCTGTGGCGATTCGCGTGCTGGAGAGGATGTGCCGGGACCAAAAGGTGCGGAACAAGTACCACTCGCAGAAATTCCATGAGAGAAAAGGGTTGAAGAAGAAGAGGTTGAGGAGTCAGCGGTGGAGGGCGAGGTTCAAGACGGGATTCAAGGCTGCTGTTAGCAAGGTGATGGAATTGAAGAAGCAGGGCTGGTAAGAAGAGATGTGGCTGTATGATGAAAGATGGATGCAATAGGGAAGCAGGATTCAGGGAAGAAAAAGGTGCGTCTGGAAAATGCCATTTAAGACGAGCTATATATACATGTACAATATGATAGATGGAGGATGAAACGCTTATATGCGAAATATATAAAGTGTTGTTATGAAACGAAAGCAATGAAGAGAATGAAAAGAAAAAAATGGAAAAAAGAAGTCATGTTATGCTGTGTAATCATTTATTCCCATTCCGTAAGTCTATTCATCAATTGTAAAACACATACATGCTAACGCTCAAAGCAAAAATCCAAGTATAAGCCAGCAAAACAAAACAACACCTCTGTGAAATCCAGCTCACTTCATCCTTACGCCATTGTGCTCCGGAATATCCCCCCATTCCTCCCTTGTCGGGCTAGGCTGCAAGCTCTGCCCAACCTTTGGCCGCGATCGGAAAACTGCCTCCATATCTGCCTCTTCGGCCAGCTGCTCTAGCAAAAGAGTGGCTTCGTTGAGATCTTCCTCCACTGTGGGAAAGTAGCCACCTTCTTTTCGCTGTGGCATTTTGGATCTCCTGAGAGATCTGCGCCGCTCCATTTGGGCCTTTTGCTGCGCCTGCTCGAATCCAGCCATACTTTTACGAGTCCGACTAGCGAGATCTTCTGAATAGTCTGGCTCAGGGACTTTGATATCCGTTGGCTTGGTGGTAGCGGCTATAGGAGTGGGAGGGTCAAGCTCCTCATCTTCAAACAACAGAGACTTTTTACGGCTCATTGACAGTCGAGTGCGCTCAGCCAAGGAAAGTGTATGCCGTGGTTTCGTGCGCTTCATAGGTGCTGGAGTCTTGTCCTTGATAGGCTCAAGAACATCGTCTTCAGGCGCCTTTGTCGACGGCAATCGTGGAGGGCTATTTGATGCCTTTTGTCCCGGCATGGACTTTGTCCTTTCAGGGGGAGACCGACGGCGCGTCGGGCTATCATACCCTGAAGCCTTTTTCGTAGGAGAAGGAGGAGTAGCCAGCGGCGAGTCGTCAATCTGAGTCAAATCATAGGTGCTTCGCCCAGGGAAGTTCTTTTGACTCGGCCATTTCTTCAAGACCGGCGGTGTCTCGGGGCCAGAAAGTTGCGACAGGCTGGGTCGAGATATCACGGGTCTCACAGTACGGCTTGGCACAGCAAACTTATCCTGGAAGGAGGAGAAGGATGTGACTGAGCCATCGGTGCGGAATACACTTTCAGCGTCCTCCAAATCACTAATTTCGTCATCGTCGCCGCCCTCGAAGGATGAGGTGGAGAGGAGACGGCGGTCGCGGCGATCTTGCTTCACGGGCGTCCGCTTCCTCGTAAGACTTGCAGTGCTGACCTCTTTGGTTGCGATTTTCCCCAGCTCGTATTTCAGATCTGAGACCAGCGCAGCATAGTCATCCGTCATCTGGGGCGCATGCTGGAACAGCGCAGCTCTCGCTGGCTTGACTCTTCTCACAGTGTGCAGGTCTAAATGGGCTGAGAAGCCAAGGTCAATGCCCTTGGTTTTGGCGGACGAGGTCCTGGGCTTGGACGGTACGGGTGCCGCTTCACCAAATGTATTCCTGCGGAAGGCATCCCATCTATGGAGTCTCTCCTTCTGCAGCTTGACTCGACTGTCGAGTTGCTCCAGGAGGCCAACATCATCGGTGTCGAGGTCGTTCAGCCGGCCCTTTTGGGCTCTTCTCCAGACGCGGTCGAAGCCCGTAGCAAGAAGGCCGCCGTGCTTTGGGTCTCCGGTCAACAGAGCCTCCATCCAGGCCTCGCTACCGGCCCAGTTATGGTGTACAGCCCTTCGCATCTCGGCTCTGGCATTGTCAGACACTGTCTGGCCACCGCCGTCCATCTCTTTGATTTCGAGCGTTTCCCGTCTACGAATGATGTCGTCCTCCTTGTCGTCCAGGACATGGGCAAGATCTTTGAATCGAGCTTTGGCTGCTTCTTTGCGTCGCAAGACCTGGCGGATCGACGCCTTGTGGGCCATGGAGAGGGCAATCAAATGAGACTTTTCACTCTTGTAGCCCTTGTTCTCAAAGGCGAGCTCAACGGCGGGCGAGAGATGGCCGCGGCCTGTGGCAAGGCTGTCTGAAACCACTTTTTTCAGGACAGCGGTGGAAAAGAAGGCCAAGACCTCCTCCAACCTCTCGCCTTTGCACTCGTCCAGCATCGTCTTGCGGATGATGGTGTCCCGGCCGAGGTCGCCATTTTTCTTGGCTTGCTCAAGGGCTCTGACGAGTGCGGCACGGAGGTTGACGGACTGGAGCTGATCACTCGGTGGATAGAATGGCTTCAGCTTCTGTCGGATGGGAGACGGACATGTTAGCACTCAGCAATTCACCATGTCACAGAGGATGGAAAGGGTCGGTTGGCAGTCGGTAGGAGATGTGAAGAGGATACGCACATTCGCCGCCTCGTCTGGATCCCAGATGACAAACAGCTGGTACAAGGCCCATTCTACGCACTGTACTCGCCTCTTCTGGTCCTGCAGCGTGGTGCCCGAGGCCGCAAATGTCTCGGCGGCAATGCCGGGCCAGTCGGGCAGCTGGTCGAGGTTGAGCAGCTTGACGTTGGTCAGGAACAGCGCCAGAGAGGCCGGACCTGCAGCCGCTACGCCTCCACCTGCATTCGGCTCTGCAGGGGCATTGCCGGACGGGATCTCAGTTGATTCGGGCTTCGCAAGGCCGCGCACGGGTCTGGCAAAGGCTGCGGCGGCCACGGCAGCGGCGGCGGCTGCTCGAAGAGGCCGGGCGGTGGATGAAGGCACGCGAGAGGCGCGCGTCCGAGTAAGGAGCTGCGTCTGCTGGACGACTGTCGCCATCTCGGCGCCCTCGTGCGGCCGCGGTGGCTGGCGGCGCAGTTGAGATGCGATGCTGTGCTGCGAGGCTGCGATGCAGGTGATGCGATGCTTTGCGTCGTGTCTCGCCTCCTGCGTGCGTGCTTGCGTGCTTGCTTGCTTGCTTACTGCTCTGTGCCCCGACTTGGAACCGGTATGAGAAGGACTGTGGGAGAAGAGCAGGCAGTGCTGGATGTGTCGAAGGCGTCGAGCGGTCCCTTGATGAGTGAAAAGCGAGAGATGCAGGGAATCCAGCAATTGGCCGCTACAGCATCGTCGGGCTCGCAATTGGGACTCCAAGTGTGTCTGCACGCCGATTGCCAGTTCAGATGCAGATGCAGATGCGGCGGGACTGGCTGTGAGTGGCTGCGGATAAGATTGAAGGTTGATGTGAGGTTGGAGCTGGAGAAGGTTGGTGGAGAGGCCTGTGTGGAGAGGCTTGTGTGGAATGCCGGCCACTGATTCACTCAGGCACCGCAGGGGCTGGTGGGCTTGCCAGCGGACAGGCCAGCGGGCTCGCAGTGGGCGCTCGTAGTGGGCTGCCAGTGGGTGCGCCCCGCCAACCAGCGCATCACAGGTGTCGGTGAGCGCTGCAGCAGCCCACTGGAGCTGGGGGGGGGGGCCACGGCGGCAAGGCGCATTTATACTGCGCTGTCCCGCATTTTGGACGGCGCTGGCCAGTGTGTTTATGAACACTTCACCTTACATATCGTCGACAGTACAGGCTGTTTATGGATGCATGGCGGCCAATGAGAGGGGGGCAGTGGCTGCGTGCTTGCAGCTTATACGGGAGATGCGGAGAGGATATTGCATGAGAGCGTGGGAGCATGACTATGAATGAGCATGATTTATGAGCATTGGCGAGTGAGATGTGTGGATTGAGCCCGACACACGACACAATCTGCCGGTTCAGGCTGTGATTCCAATCATTAATCATGAATGACCTCGGAGAATTGGTGAGCGTGCATTATCAGCATGAGGCAGGTGATAATGAACACTCAATGAGTTGATCGTGGACGCGGCAATAGTTTCAAGGGCTCATCGTCGATAACTCGGCATATCAATGTTCAAGTTTCTGTAGATGGCACCATGCCTACTAGAGATGTAGGCCGTACGGATACTTGATATGGGGATCAATGATTCTCCCGCGCCGTACCAAGAATAGCACAAGCTTTCCTTTTTTGAACCTCACAAGTCATGAGATCAACGACATACATCATCAGCATCATCGTCAGTTGTAATACCTCAACACCAACATGGTATCACCACCAGCGTCACCATCATCATGATTATCACCACCACGATGTTCCGCTGCCATCGGCTCCAATGCCAACAAGAATAGGACCATCATCACCACCATCATCACCCTCACCATCACCATCACCCTCCGTGGCATTGCCATGCGTCTCGCACATTCCCAGCCCCGCCGCCATCCTCAGCAGCTCATCCCCGTTGCCATATCCCGGCCCAGCCTTGACCGTCGCGTCCACAGGCCCGTACAGGAACCACGCACTCATCGGTTGCGCCGTCACTTTCCAGTCCTCCCCCGGTCCATCGCTCGACACCGCCAGTCTCTGGACGCCGACGTTGCCCGCCAGCAGATACGCCGTCGAGTTGGCCCCTGGACTTGGGTAGTCCAGCATCTTGAGCGGCGCCTTTGCGTAGCCGACGGGCACGTCCTTGAGCGTTGCTGGGAAATACGCGACGCCGTCGAGCACCAGGTCGCCGCTCGAGGGCTGCCACTCCTTTTCGACGTCGCGCGGGATGCGAAGCGAGCCCTCGGCGGTCCAGTGCAGGAAGCCGGTGATCCACCCTGAGATGCGGTAGTCAGGGGGCCCGCCGCAGGAGAAGAGGCGCTGGGACCGCACAATATTGTTCCAGAAGTCCTTTGTTTCTTCGCTGCCGGGGCGGTCCCATGTGTCGACGAAGCGCTGCAGAATTGGCCGCAGACGCTCGGCATAGTCTGCCGGCTCCTCTCCCCACTCCTTCAGCCTGTCCAGCTTGCTGAGCAGCTTCACCCAATCGTCTCGCGTGCCCAGCAGGGTCACCTCGGGGAGGCCACAGGTGATGCCCCCACTGAACTCAAAGTAATGCTGCATCAAGCCCATCATCAGCACAGTGGCTGTGAGGCCGTCATTCTCATCTGTCGTGGTGAAGCCGGGCGTGATCCAGTCCAGCAGCCAATCGGTCTTGACCCTCTTCTGGATCTCGCCTCCAAACGCCGCAATCACGTCATGCCATGACAGACGCCACACTTGGATCTCTTGCTTGCCGTCAATGTCGACAAAGAGGTGTCGAACGTCTTCGGCATGTGCAGTCATGTAGAAGTTGAGCTGCACCAGAATCTCAAACCATACCTCGTCAGGCCGCAGGACAAGGCTCTGGTGCTGGCCCCACGCCTCGATTTGCCCCTCTCACGAGACTGTCCGATGATGGGAAGACGGTGCCATTGGGAAACACGTCCTCGCCAGCAGTGCCAAAATCAGCAAACGATGACATGAGAAGCTCCGGCGAGTATGGCGTCCGCGGCGGGAACTCTTCGGGGCAGCTTTGCCGGAGCAGCTCCGACGCAGACGTCACAGCGCCGGACGTCGAGAGCGGGAGTGGGGCCACGTCCGGATCGACAGGGACCGTGATGGCAGCGGCAAGAGGCGCACGGCCACAAAGGCCGGACAAGATGAATGCCCCTATCTGAAGCAGCATGGTGCTTTTACTCCGTGGATGAGGGGGGGGACAGTGTGTTTGTTTTGGTGCAAGCGTGAGTTATGCAAGCAAGCTATTGCCAGCGTCAAGGGAGCGAAGCCGCTGCAGATGATGATGCTGCTGCTAATGCATGCAGGGCAAACCAAATCTTACAGAGCTGGCCGTTGACAACTTACAAGCACTAGTTTTATGCAACTCATCACGGGCAGCAAAAGGGGGCTTACTCGACCAGCCGGGGAGAGCTTCCGCGGGCGGATGGATGATCAACATTCCTCAGTCCCTCAGCATCAAATCACGAGGCTACGATATGGGGTAAGTTGATGAGGTGCTGTACCTAATATGAAACAGTCTCCCTTGTAACACGTTCCTGTAGACGCGCAGTCATGCCTTTAAGCTTCAAAGGCTTAGAGACAGATGCTGGAAACGCAAGTCCATTACCCGTTATAACATCCACGTGGCCACGAAATAGTATAGCACATGATGAGCTGTTCCATCCTCCAATCCATTCAGGAACGACTGTAGACATTCATAGGCATAGCCCCTGCATGATGGAAAGCCAATTGCAAGTCTAGACTCTGGGAGTAGAGTCGTAGCATAAGTACATGTAGCCTATAATACACGAGAAATCCAGAAAAAGGCCCCTTGCATATTCCTTCTGCCAACACTTTACGTCTCTAGCCGCATGTAAGCCATGTCCAGCCCAAGCCACGGCATGCCACGTAGAGGGCCTCGGCTTGCGTTTAGGTTAGCACGTATTACACGGGGTGTATCAACTGGCGGAAGGTTTCCGCATACCGCAGCGGAAAGATGTAATTTTTGGTGAGATGCAAGGCAAGAAAGACGAGGTATGTGTTTTTTTTTATTTCCTGCTCCATCTGCCATGTTGCCTGCTAGCATGTATTCTATTGGGTCTAGGATCAGTTAAAGAAGAAGGCTACTGGACGCCGCTGCTAGTAGCAGAAATGGACAAGTGCTCTTTTGACTGGCATGCTGAGACTTTTTGTTTAGTCACCTGTTGCTGCCATGTCTCACTTTACATCATTTTCTTTCGGGGCAGCCCGGGTGCTAAACACCGATCATTGCATGTAGACTACATGTAGTCTAAAACTCCAAGGGTCCACGTATCGTCCCCTTCCTAATTAGGCAATTCCAGATACAAACGATGTTTGATTGCATGACAGGTGTGGCATGGCATGCCTTAGCGCAAGATTGTGTTGTGTGACACCAGCCTAGCTTGAGAGAAAGGACGTCGAGTTAAGAAAGGAGGCGAACCGTTTTAGACGGGGATGATGGTGAGTTTACCGTGTCTGGTAAGTACTGAGATCATTGTGACCTCATTTTCAGCTGCTGGACGGTTTGGGGATGGACTGCAAAGAGTTGGGTATTTTTAGCACAAAGGATTGTTTCATCACAAATTATAGAAGTTTTTTTTTTTTATAAGTTTGTTTTCATTGATGTGATATGCCGAATCGTTATGCTATCAAAAGAAGTTGCTAATAATACCCAATTACAAAAAAAAAAAAAAAAAAGGAAGAATAGATAATATATCTATATGATGTTCCCGATAATCCCAGCGCCTTGCCATTCATTCATTGCATTTGATAAAACAAGCTCAAGAAGCGAAGAGAAGATGTAATGCAGAAAAAGGGTGCAGGCTTTTCATTCAACAGGCTTGTGCGTGTAATGATGCCGTAGTAGAAATGAAGAAGAGACAAAAAAAGACTCGGACCCATCAATCATATCCTGGATCGGAGTTCCTCAGGCTGACGAGCTAGTCAATCCTCGCGGCTGTCGTCCTGGACACGCTTGACAACCTCGACCAGACGGGGGTAGATCTTCTCGGTGGCCTGGATGCCGCAGACCTTTGCGACAACGTCCTCGGGGGTGTTGTCAGACATGATGGCCGAGAGCTCCTTGGACTCGTCGTCGCCCTCGACGTCCTGGAAACGGAACGTCATCTCAATGGCGTCGAGGAGGTAGTCAATGGGCATGTTGTTCTCGGCAGCCTCGGCGGCGGGGCCGACGAAGCGCTCCTTGCGCGACAGCTTGCGCAGAGGAGCACGGCCGACTCGCTCGACGGCATCCTCCAAGTGAGGGTTGCCAATGCGCTTGATGATCTTGTTCATGTAGGCGATCTGGGCGTCCTCGGAGATGCCGTGCTTGGCGACGAGCAGGTTCTTGGACTCGGTCAGGGCGCCGCGCACCTCGGCCATGATCTGCTTGTCCTGCAGGGCGTCGAAGACGGTGCGCTTGCGGCGGTTGTAGCCGTGGTAGGCGGCGGTGGCGTGGCCGGTGTTGACGGTGTAGAGCTTGCGCTCGATGTACGGCGCCAGGTTGTCGACCCAGTTGATGCCGTCGATGGAGGGGATGCCGACGTCCTCGAACGGCGTCTTGTCCACCACCCACTCGAAGAACTTCTCCAGCGTCACGTCCAGGCCGGCGTTGGGGTCCTGGGCGGGCACGATGCGGTCAATGGCCGAGTTTGCGTAGCGGGCCCGCAGGTGGTGCGAGTCGAGGCGCTCCGGGCTGGTGTTGCGGGCGTCCTTGATGTGGCCGGCCAGCGTGTCCGTGGCGCCGATGGCGTTCTCGCAGGCAATGACGTGCAGCGGCGTCTGCTCCGGGCCGTCGGCGCGGGCGTCGATGCCCTTTGCGATGACGGGGGCGATGAACTTGAGGATGTTGGGGCCGACGGAGCAGGTGACGACGTCGGCGGTGCGGATCTCGTCGACCAGGTCGTCCTCGTGGGTCCGCGAGTTGATGGCGCGGTAGTTTGTGATTGTGTTTTCAGAGGTGCCCTCGGAGCCGACCTCGATGACTCTGTACGAGGGCGTGGCGTTGATGGTGTCGATGAGGTCGCCGTTGACGTCGGCGAAGACGACTTCATAGCCCGAGTTGTGGAGGAAGCAGGCGACAAAGCCGCGGCCTGGGCATGTTAGAACGGATATAAAAGATGCAAGTGTTGGGGTGGCTTACCGATGTTGCCAGCGCCAAAGTGAACTGCCTTTTTGCCCATCTTGGCCATGATTGTGGTTTGGAAGTGTAGGTAGATGGATATAGGTGGATAGAGGTGGATATAGGTGGTTGAGAGGCGGACTGATGAGTTGGTTGTAGGATATATAGATGTAAAGTTTATAAGTCAAGTGAGGTGAAGTGAGGTGAAGAGGATGGATGTTTTAAACGGTGGACCGTTTTGGACTGTTTGGATGCTGAGGATGATGAGCCGAGACTAAGATGCAAGAGGGAAGCGCGCTTTATATAATGCTCGGCGCTCGTAGGCGAAACTCTGCTGCCAGAGTCGACGATATGATGGCGAGCGCAGCACAAACGGGCTCGAAACATGGCCAGAAGCCGGGGGTGGAGGCAGGGCGTGCGTGCCGATGACGATGGCGGGTCTGGCACCAAGCATTCAGGGAACTTTGGCGAGCTGATGGGCCATATCGTCAGAGACGGCCAGGGAGTCGCGCAGCGTACTTGTACAGGTACAGGTACGGGCGGGGCTGCAGGGAGCAATCCACTGGACAGCTGCGAATTACTGGAGACTGGAGAATGCAACGGACGCTGAGACGCTGAGACGCCAGACGGTACGAGTCGGAGTGGAGGCAAGACATCATGGCGCGCGGCGGCCAATCAGCGGCCTCTGGCGGACGCCTGGCGCAGGCCGTGGCGCAGGCTCGGGGCGGGTCTGGCGCTGGCAAAGCTGCGCGGCGGTACTTGCATTTGCCCTGGGCGCTGCTGCAGAAGCGTGTACACTCTGTGCCACTCTTTCACATGCACGCATCACCGCACCTCCATATCAGCGCATGTGCTGTGCTGTATGCTGCGCTGTATTGTATTGATTGCTGTCCAGAACGCTGCAGTCGGTAGCTGAACCCGAAACTCGGCGTCTCTGCTCGACAACGTGTTTGGCCGTATCATGACTCCGTCTCACAAACTACGCCAGCATGGCATCAGATGCTTTCGCTGCTCATGTTTGCTGCTGTGCTGCTGTGCCACACCGGCATCATCATCAGCATCATCGTCATGACTGACTCTCTGCCCGCCGTTTCCAACAACCTCCGTCAGGGGGGGGACCGTGGGATGGAAACCTACCTCCGTTTGCCTGCCCCAAAACCAAGGAAATTCCTCTGCGCCTTTTTGTCGTGGTTTCTGGAGCGGCGTGCCGTTCTCCGCCCAAACTAACGTCATCCGGCGCTGCTTTTGCTTGTGCAGTTTTCTCACGATAGCACGGTACAGTAACATCCACTAACGAAACAGACCAGACGCGCTGTTACTGCTGCAAAGCCCCCCCGAAACTTGCGCTGGTTTAGCGGTCGGGTGGCTCCAAGCTAGAGCGAACCCAGGGGGCCACTGAGGCGGGCTAAGAAATGGGGGACGCTGTAATAGCGAGTGGGGAGTGACATCAACACCGCTTCACCACCCTTTTGCGGCTTCCATCCTTCACGATACCTGCTGGCTGCACGATGCGATTTGGCTTCGATTCGATCGAGGCCGCTACGGGGGAATATGCAGAATGGCTGAACCCTGCGTCACGGGTCAGCTTATGGAGAGGAATTTGGCAATTTTATTTTCCTCCGTCCGGCGAGGCGAGGCAAGGCTGGGGTGATATCATTCCAGCCGCGAGGTCCAGATGGAAGCTTACTCGTGGCTCGCACTAGGAAACGGCGCAGGTCTCGTCTCGTCTCGTCTCTGTTCCTATGGCGTTGATTAACTCCAACCCTCGCTAGTATCGCATCTGCTTGTTTACAATGGGCGGTTTAGCGTCGCTCGCTCGTTGAAAGCCGCTCTTGGATGCCACACCTTTGGTATGTGTCTATGCTCTCGAGATGTGTCTGGGGCATCGCATCACATCGCATCTTCAAAAGCTCGTCTCCTATCATCTTCTGTGGCTTGTCCCCCCTAAACTCAGGATCCCTACCCTCCCCCCTTCACAAGGCTACCTGTCAAAGACAAACTCTGATGCTGCTTAGGCTTACCAGATGCAGACACGTTCGTATCTACGATCGTCGCCTCACAGGGGACCCCCCGGCAGCACAATGACGTCGATTGAGGGGGCTTCATTGCCAAGCAAGCTGCTTCACACAAATCACAGCTTGCCAGGACGTGGCATTTTGTGTTTCTGTTTCACGTACGGCTCGCTGTGCAAGTTGCAGGTGCAGGATACAAAAGCAATAGCATATGCACTCTGCTGTCATCCAGCATAAACAAGAAACATGGTCTCGTGGGTTGATGTTCTTGTACGCAAAGCCATCAACGTCAATGGCTGGTTTGGCATCACGGCTACGCGGCTACTACAGCTGCTATGCTATTGCTCCTTTTGCTCACGACGCAGCTCTCATCTCTCCCTTGCATCGAATACACCCTCATGCAACGGAAGAACAAGGAGAAAGGACCAAAGGACTAAAGGAAGAGAACGAACGAGGTTTGCATCGGCACTGCATCCATCCGCCCAAAGGGCCATCCAGTTCCATCTCACAGCAACAAAACGACTCTTCAAAAACGCCTCCCCGTGGGACCCTCTGCGGGCGATTCTCTAGTCAGTTGGTGGTCCCCGCCATCTCCTCTTGGCCCAATACACGCCCGCGGGGAAACATGTGCTTGTCGATCTCTTGCTTCTTTCTATCCCGTAGCTCTCCATCAACCACATGCTGCTGCGTCTGCAGCGTGTCGTTGCCGCCTGTTTATGCTCAAGTGCATGTAAGTTGACGTCGTGACACTAGGCCAAGGTCACACCTCAACTTCAAGTTTTCTTTCATATGCCGGAACGCCAGGCATCGTGACAAGCATTCATTACTCGGGCATGGGAACAGGTTGTGAAACATGGCATGCAGGCATTGCCCATTCTCGTCGAAACACACTGCCAGCCCGCAACAAGAAGCCAGTTGTGCACGATGATATCGACATCAAGCCCCTTGCTCAAATGGATGACCCCTTCACTTTCTTAGCCTGGCTGTAATAGCTGCACGAGTCCAGTTTCAATCAAAAATAAAACATGCTAAAAGTAGGCACAACTGCGTGACAGATACGACATTAGCCTCGAATTTCATGCAAGCACGGAGGACCCAACAAGACACAAGACAGAGAAAGCAAAAAAAAAAAAAAAAAGAAAGAAAGCCATGTTGACTGACGATACCCCCGTTGCGGGCTGTCCAAGCATGGATTTGCCGCCGCTTCGACCACTCACAGCCCCTACGCCTCGTGCCAAGTCTCAAAGTCTCAAGACGGGCCGACACATGGACGAGTTTTTGCGCGCTTTTTCCGTCGCTTCAACCCAACCAAGACGACGGAAAAGCCAAGGGTGGCTTGGCTCGGGTTGATTTCGCGATGCCCTTTGTTTCGGCCTCACTTGTTGTTGCAGTTTTGCCCCCCTGGTAGCCAGCTGGATGTCGCTTATCGTAAGATGGTGAGATTGCACGACTCTGCTTCGTATATCCGGCAGAAACAGCAGCCACGTTGCAAAACATGCCTGGATAAGACAGAGACGTGGTGCAACGGGCTCACCGCAATATGTCAGGCTGTTGTATGCACCTGTTCTCTGCGCTGTCTGTCTGTCTCTACAAATCAGACAAGGCTCAAAACCTCAGTGTCAGCTTCCAGCATCCTTCCGGGCCTTGTCCGCCTCGTCCTCCCGGAACGGCGGAGCAAAGGGACCCAATCAACGACATGCATTTGATCAATGGCAAAAGACACAAGACGCAGGATCCACCGCAGTTCAGTTAGCAGGTACTTGCGCCCTCGCCAACGTTACCTCGTGCATGCTTGGGACTTTTTATCAAACACTGGATGGAACCAACCATGTCCATCGCCAACCAACGGCTAATTCTCCCGAAAACTCCTCCCTAAAGCAGCGCCCTCCGCCGGTGCTCCGGGTACAATGTAGGAGGCGCCTCTTTTTCTTCTCCACTGTGCACCGGCCGTAACAAACCGAACCGATTTCGATTACGATTACCAAAGAAAATGGGGATGGGGCCCCAACCGTTTCGCCTTTGGCGGCATTAAAGTCGTATTGATGATGGGGGCGAGTTACTAGCAAAAAAGGCCGCAAAACCGGAAGAATAAATGAACCCATGTTGTTGCTGCTAAGCTGGACTGGGCTCGAGGCATGAATCTGTATTAGACGGTGGCGGTTTTGGGACTCTCTCTTTTTCTCAGCTCAGCTCAGCTCAGCTCAACAAAAGAGAGGCGGCATGACTCGGATTCCCCGAACAAGAGAAGCAAACAGACAAGTCAAGCCGGCATGTTACATTGATATCTAACTGGCATGCAGTATTTCATGTCTTTTGGCCTTCTTTTTGCAATTTTAAAGGGGTAGCAATACTCCGTTCTTCTACATAGCCCCTACCCATCACTAACATGCGCGTCCAAGGTACAGTACATGGCCATTATATCCCGCCGAGTCGTTATCTCCCTCTTACGTGCAGGGACGCTAATATGATGTGTCAATCATGAAAGGCCAGTTAGAATCTCAGGATTGCCCGAGATAGCGGCGAAACCGTCATCAGATCCATGGGCGAGCAGAATCCCACGATAACCAACGCACGAGTATTCATCCACGATGCTGATAGATGCCTACATGCGCCCGCCCCCCTTTTGACACCTTTCCGCTCTTGTTTCTTGTGCATTTACATGTGGATTGGCTGCCTCTTTCTTGTGCTATTTTTCTCTTGTTCTGTCTTATACTCTCTTTTTGGATATTCCCGTGTTACTGTCCTGGGCAACTGCACTGCCTGAGTGTAAATCACGCTTGGATGCCTCTCTCATCATACTACACCAATCAACCACCACGATGAACGACATTTCGCCATCAAGTCACTCTCATCGCTTATTCACAACATCCAACTGACAGCTACATTCCCCCAGCATGTCATTCACTCGCAGTAGTTCTTCCCTTGCCAAACACGCCACTTTTCCCACATGGCAGAGGAACCTCCCCAGACCGTTTCACCAGCAATATTAGCCCAGGCTAGGCTAATATCCCAATATACTATATCCAGCCATGCATCGCAAATCGCTCATCGACGGGCAGCTTCCCCGTATTATCCCGCATCTACTGCAGCTCCATACCCCATATAATATTGAAATACTACCCAATGCTTTCCTTCTAGCCGACTAACATTCACATTCACATTCACATTCACATTCACATTCCCAAAGCAACTCTTCACATGTCTCATCGGCTCTGCGCTTTTTATCACATGTACATTTACATCACCTTGGGTATCAGAAAGCGCCAAGCCTGCTTATTCCCGTAATCGTCGCCAAATCTCATTTACACTAAAAAGCCTCAGCTCGTTCAGCCTTCCCCATATGACTCTTTCTTCCACATGTGTGTGTGTGTGTGCCTACTTGCCTGCCTGCCCTTCCCGTGCATGTGCGTCCTGCGCCCCGGAAAATAACAATCTGAGTTGATTACTTGCATGCCGCTTTAGTGGTGTGAGTACATGTCAAGCGTCTATGGACCTACTGGGAGAATGTGTGGATAGAAGGTATGCAAGTACATGTAAGTAGAGTACTTGCTCTTGCTCTTGTGGAGAATGAAGAGGCAAGGCTAAATAGTAGGCGTACTTGGAAGAGAGAGGTATTTATTGTTTGCTATCAAACGTTATAAACGGTTCGCATTCTCGTGATGTGTGGTCAAGTGCCTCGAGTGCAAACCACATGCTTCGGATTCCAGGTTAGTCATGCCGATCAGTACGACAGAACTACACATGTCATGTTTTCAATACGCGGATAGGCTACTCGTGCTCATGGAAATTCTAGCTCTGTAAGAAATTAGAGCAGGTTTATTTCATCTCATTTCATTAATTCTCATGTCTTCCAGGTGCTGACTTTCCCTTATGCTTGACCCCCCTTTTTCCCTTGTTGCTTTTTTTTTTATAATTCATATTTTGACTATTTAAATCTTGGCAAACTGCTTGAAAGCTCCAATCAGGCCACCGGTGGAAACATCGTGGCCCTCGCCGTTGCCGGGCTCGTCGAGCTCCTTGAGAATCTTCTTGGCAAGCACCTTGCCCAGCTCAACGCCCCACTGGTCGAAGCTGTTAATGTCCCAGATGGCACCCTCGACAAAAGTCAGGTGCTCGTAGTAGACAATCAGGGCACCCAGCTCGGCCGGGCCGATGACATCGCCCACCAGGATGGATGTGGTTGGTCGGTTGCCGAGGAAGCGCTTGTGAGGGATGAGATCCTCGGGGGTGCCCTCAGCTCGGAGCTGCTCGTCAGTCTTGCCGACCATGAGGGCCTCGGCCTGGGCAAAGTAGTTGGATGCCAGCATCTTCTGGTGCAGGTTGTCGTGGATGGGGTTGTGAGACTTGGCCGCCAGGATGAAGTCGGCGGGGATCAGCTTGGTGCCCTGGTGGACCAGCTGGAAGAAGGAGTGCTGAGCGTTGGTGCAGGGCTCGCCAAACAGGATAGCGCCTGGTGGAGTGTTAGTATCACAGTTTGATACCACGGTTCTAGCCGCAGTTTAGGGAACATTGAAAACTCACCAGTGGTGTACTTTGCGGTGGAACCATCGGAAGTGATGCCCTTGCCGTTGGACTCCATGGACAGCTGCTGGAGGTAGGCAGCAAATCGGTGAAGGTATTGGTCGAAGCTGGAATGAGCTCCCAGTCAGTAACGCCCAAACAAAACATGACCCTTTCAAAGATTGAGAACTTACGGAGCAACCAGGTGAGTCTGAGCCTGGAAAAAGTTGGAGTACCAGACGCTCAGCAGACCTCCAAGGACGGGAATGTTCTCCTTCAGGGGAGTCTCGCGGAAGTGCTTGTCCATGGCGTGGGCACCGCTGAGGAACTTGTAAAAGTTGTCGTAGCCGACGTACAGGGCAACGCTCAGGCCGATGGCGCTCCACACAGAGTAGCGGCCGCCGACCCAGCTCTCGAAACCAAACATGTTGGCGCTGTCGATGCCAAACTTGGTGACCTCGGCCTCGTTGGTGGACAGGGCAACAAAGTGCTTGGCGACGTCTCCCTTGCCGCCCGTCTTCTCGAGGAACCATGACTTGGCGGTGTTTGCGTTGGTGGTGGTCTCTGCGGTGGTGAAGGTCTTGGAGGCAACGAGGAAGAGGGTGGTCTCGGGGTCAGAGGCTTTCAGGGCCTCGGCCATGTGGGTGCCGTCGATGTTGGAGACGAAGTGGAGGGTCATGTCGGGGGCGCCATAGTACTTGAGAGCCTCGGTGACCATGACGGGGCCGCTGTATAAGACGTGAGCAATAATTCCTTCATCCTCCCTCTTTCACTCGGATATGCTCAAACTCACAGATCAGAGCCGCCGATGCCGACGTTGACAATGTTGGTCAGCTTCTTGCCGGTGAAGCCAGTCCACTCGCCGCTGCGGACCTTTTCGGAAAAGTCCTTCATGTGGTCCAGCACGCTGTTGACGCCGTTGGGCCCGCTCATGACGTCCACGCCGTCGACCTTCATGTCCCAGCCGCCGACATTCCGCAGCGCGGGGTGGAAGACGGCGCGGTTCTCGGTGAAGTTGATCTTGTCGCCGCGGAACAGGGCATCGCGCTTGCGCTCGACGCCGGCCTGCTCGGCCAGCTTGACCAGCAGGTCGAGCGTCTCGTTGGTCAAAAAGTTCTTGCTGAAGTCGAAGAGGATGTCGGCCGAGCCGGCGGCCTTGAAGGTGCGCGAGAAGCGGCTGAAGCGGTCGGCGTCGGACGAAAAGGCCTCCTTGAGGACGAAGCTCTTGGCCACGTCGTCGCGGTGAGCCTGGAGCTCGCTCCACGCGGGGAGGGTGTTTGCCGGAGCCATTGCGAGGTGTCTTTTTGTTTTGGAGGATTCTAGTCTGGTGCTGATCAAGGTTCAAGCTGTTAACAACGACGCCGGAATTGGGTATAATCGAACAAGCAAGCAGGTACGAGATATTAGGATTAGGCTGGTTCAGCTCGAGTGGTCCAATTCAGCGCCAATGATGAGGAAACAGCTTTCAAGCAGCAGCGACGAGCAACCGACGGGAAGCACAGCCGTATATAAACTCTCGATAGCTCGCCGCCATGACTAAAAGCTCTCGTCTCGGCCATCGCGGGCACTGCGGAAGCTCCTCGTCCAGGATTCAACGTGGTGGGGTTGGCGCAAAAAGAACGAGGCAGACGGGAAACCAGGGGAGTTGCCCGGCTTGGGAGGAAAGGAACTGACTCGACACTCACCAGCGGAATGGCTGTTGCTCAGCAATCAATTGGCGAAAGCGTAAACTCGGAAGATGCCGCTTGGACGAGATGGAATGCCGGGAGTCGAAATGCCGCAACAAGAGGACGCAGGTTTTATGTGCTTGTGGCTTTGCAGCGTTTTCTGGCCTGATGGAGGGGAAGCTCGCAATGCTCTGCTGAGGTCTTCAGTGAGCTTGAGCCACTGCCCCTCACTGATGACCTCACTACGGGAACTTTGCTGGAACTTGGCGGCCCGCTGCAATTGGCTGGCTGCTTACCAAGGCGCTTAGCTCAGCGGTGTCGCATATTAGACAAGAGTTATCGTATGGTAATTGAATGCTTTAGAATCATGTTGCTTGACATTGGAATTGTCATTCGCTTGTCAAGTCTTACAAATACCGTCTTGGCCTGCCTCTACGCTGTCGTTGCCGTACATGAATTTCTTAATCAAGTCTTCAAGACTTCAAGGCAGAAGGAATCTAGGTATCAAGTATTGGTGGGGACGTATGGGAATTATACGTGTATACACGTGCTGACATGCCGCAATTTGATTCAGCTTCAACTTGCATCCTCCCTTACAAGAACAACTTCTAATGATGCTGCATCCGCATTTGCCTAATTGATTCTTGGCACTTTTTGGATAGGCACCGACAAGACGGGATATAACATTGGCCAGCTCCATGCCTTACAGTTGGCTGCAATTTTAGTTCTTGTCACTCCAGTCGCAGAGACAAACAAAGGTAAAGGGCTGATAAAAATCATGATTCCTGCTAAAACTCCATATAACATGTGGTTCTCATGCATTGTTTCAAGCCAAATATGAACCCGAGCCTCACATCCCTCCTCCCGCAACGCTTTCTCTGTCCCCTCAGCTTCGCTTGGTAGTCTTGATGAAAGCCATGGCATCAAAACAGTCGCGCTCAAGTCACTTCTTCGCCTTCATCCTCCCATTCGCTTCAAATCCATGCTTCTAGTCTAGTTCTCAACTCAAATTGGTATTCGCCGAAAATAAAATGCTGCCCTGAAAAGCTCAATTGTCCTGGAGGCTGCCCACAAACGAGGGGTCCCTGACACTTCCGCCGGCATCTCCCAGGCCCGCAATCGGGCGGTTATAGCTGAATCCTTGGAACTGGTCCTGCATCGTCTGTGATAGCATAGGTCCGTCTACATATGAGTCCTGGGGGACTTCTCCTGTGAAATCGTCGTCAAAGTTGGTTGTGTCCATGGCATCCGCCTAAAAGAAAAAGTTAGCAAATTAATTAACAAATATTTGCAAGAGACAGTTGGACATACCACGCTGGGCTTGAATGTAGGCTCGTACTTGCGCTGTAGGAGCTTGCGCCAGTCAATATCGTGGAAGAACGGATGGGCCTTGATCTCGGCCGAGCCGTTAGCACCAAGTCGCTTCTTTGGGTCCCGGTTCAGCAGCTTGGTCAAAAGGTCCTTGGCAGCCGGGGGCACTACGTCGGAGAAATGCAGCGGCTCAGACAGAATCTTTCTGTACATTTCGTTGGTGTTCTCGTCGTAGAAGGGGGGGAGGCCAGTCAACATTTCGTAGAGCAAAACGCCCAGCGTCCACCAGTCGACAGTCTTGTTGTATCCCTGGCCAAGCAGAAGCTCGGGGGCGAGGTATTCAGGGGTACCGCAGAACGTATTCGTTCGGTCCTCGTCCTTCATGTCCAGCTTGCAGAGGCCGAAATCGCAGAGCGCAATATGGCCCTGGTAATCCAGCAAGATGTTCTCCGGCTTCAAGTCTCGGTAGATGACGCTAAATCCGTGCAAGCACTCCAAAGCGCACAGAAGCTCTGCAGTGTAAAACCTTGACCTGTTAACGTCAAAGCGATGCTCCTTTTGCAGATGGTGGAAGAGCTCTCCTCCGTTGACAAAGGCCAGAACAAAATACAGCTTCTCGGGCGATTGGAAACTGAACTTGAGGGGGACGATGAAGGGATTGTTAATCTGCGCCAGCACAGACCGCTCGGCCAGGGTATGGGCGACCTCTGATCGAGAGATGATGTGCGCTTTTCGAATCGTCTTGAGCGCGTAAATACGGTTCGTGTCCTTCTTGCGCACCTGCATCACCTTGCCGAAACTGCCTTTGCCCACCACCTTGAGCAGTTCAAAGTCTTCAATCTTGAGCTTTCCCGCCCGTGTCTCCACGAACTCGACGCCAACCTTGATCTTGCCCGTGCCGTACTGGACATCGACCCACTCAACGCCAGCATGGCCCTCTCCCTTTTGGCGCTGGGCATCGGACGCCTTTTCGCGGTCCTTTTTGCTAGCCTTTGCGTCGTCGGTGGTGTGCTGTCTCTCCTCAAACTTGGGGTTTATCCGGGCCACGCCCAGGAAGATGTCTTGGCTTCGTCCGGCCCCAGGGGGGGCAGCAGGGTTCCGCATGTACAGATGAATCACCAGCTCCGTCACTCTTGAAACGTCAAACTTGTACTGTGTATTTGAACCAGCCCACAGGGGGTTCTCGGGGTTTCCTTCGACCGAATTGACAAACACCTGCACCTTGTCGAAGTCGATGAGCGCATAGGGCATGTATTTGCCGGAAATGCGGCCGTGGTTGGTCGGCAAAAGGCCAAATCCGCCGCCAGAAGAATGCGGCCTCGCGCCGTTGCTATATGACCCAGCAATGCGCTGGGAATCTGGGCGCACAGAGCCGGTCAAGGCGCCGCCCGAGGAGCGCGAGCTCTGGTGGCTGGATGCGAATGCGCTTCTGTGTTGCTCGGGCAGAGAGAAGCCCTGGCCTTCGTGGATGGTAACGACCAAGATGCCGGGCTTCTTGACGACCGGCGCTTGTGACAGGGCCTCTGCGCCGCCTATGGGTATCAAAGAGTCAGAACAGGTGCCTAGAATCCATCAATTGCCCTGCGGCTTACCGGGAACAGTCTCGCTGGTCGGCGTGGTGGCGCCGGGGCTGGTCCCCTTTTCATCTTTGTCGGTGATGGTGGAAGTCGACGGCGACCGGGAAAACGCGCTCAGCGGGCCGAGGTGCGTGTCCTTGAGCTCTGCGCAATTCTAGTCAGCTTCGGACAACCATTGCCAGCGGGCCAAAGGCGACGTGCATCGAGTCCATCACGGCGCCGGACTGCCAGCAGCAGCGAGCTGGACGGGACATCGGGGGAACAGGCAAAAAGGAGAGACATACTCTTGGTCAGCTTCCACGACATGGTGACGGTACCAGCAAGACCGCTCGATGGAATGAAATAGATAAAGTGAGGGACGGGCGCAGATAATAAAAGAGAAGGATGAAAAAAAAAGATGGAGGCCAAGGAGCGAATGCGATACGATAGACGGCTGCGAGATAAGGCAGCTGACGAGGTATCGAAAGGAAGCAGCCGCTTCTGATGCAGACGATATGGCCGGGCGTGTTTTGGGTTCGAGCTCAGTCCAATCAAGTAACCCCGCAGACGTCGAAACCCGCGAGAACCCACCCGCTCCAGTTGAGGGATGGAAGGGCTGGGGGTTGGTTGGCGGAGGGCGGGCCCCTATTTCTGGTGGCAATAAAAGCCTGTGTCTTGGGATGTCTGAGGGACACGCGATGCGACGAGATGTGTAGTTGAAGTCGCAGAGAAGAGGGCAGACCAGAGTCGCAGCGTCACAGAGTAGAGATCAAGGCGCGGCTATGCTATGAAAATCAAGATACGAGGACCATGATAAAAAAAAAAAAAAAGTAGTGGGCGGTGCACGGCAAGAGGCGACAAACGCTTGATTATATAAATGGATCGATGTCTTTGTAACGAGGGCTGGATCATCAACAGGAGGAGGCGAAGCCGCGAAGGAGCAAATCTGGGGTGAGTGGCTCTGAAGCCCGCTGGACGAGCACTAAAAGTTGGCGGCGGTTGGGGCGCGGGCGCTAGACACACTGTGCGCTGCAGGGGAGGAGGGTCGCGGGACGGTGCCTGTGCGCGGCTGCTTATCGTTGTTCTGCTCACAAGTTTCAGAGGGTTGGCGGCGATGGCACAGTGTAAGACCCCTGGTGGGCTGGCGATTGATTCGAGCCGGTGGTGGGCTTTACAGGGCCCTCTCTGCCGTGCCCTCTGTTTTGTGTCATGAACCTTGCTGAGCGAGACTTGACTTTTCGGCTCCTTCCATTGGCAAGTTGTTGTGACTGAAGTCAAAGATTCTTTTTTTTATAACTCTTTCCCTTGAATCTACAAATAGATGGATTTCACGAAGCATTTGAAACTTCACAGCAGCGCCTGGGCCTGGCGCTGCATAGTACGTCATTGATGCGCGGTTCCTGGTTCCACACTCAATGCTCCATGGCCATGGATGGCAACCAAGATGCGCAGCCACTTCGAGGCTCGATTGACACGCCAGCGGGTGCGTAATGCGTGCACTTTTATAGAATCCATCTAGGCGTGAAATGGTGATTCTCCATCAGCAGCCTAGCAACGTGCCAAGTATTCGTATTCTCGTAGCACTACACGCAGTCTCGCCATCACGTCTTGTGTAACACTCGTAGGTCTGTTACATAATAGATAAGCCATGATATCTGGGTGCTAGGTAATGATTCTAAGTCCGGTTTCTATGCAAGAACAAGAAATGGTCTCGATTGAACTTTTGACTATTTCCACATGAATCTTTTACAAGACATGTTGCGCAGATGCTACCTGCCACTAGTGATATCCGTCAAGTCAGATATCTTCTACCTGAATCGTACCTCACTCCAAGATACCGCTCCGGTTCAAATATTGTATTGCTGCCACCTGTAATGAGGCACAAAATGCAGATACTCAATATATAAAATACACGTCTTCACCATTTTCTACTCAACTCAGTATTATACATCTTTCACGAATGTAGTGATCCAGCTACATCCAAGCTGTTGCTCCAAACCTTTGCTACCCTGGAGTCGCAAGATTTGGAGCCGCTTTTCCTTTCCCCCTTTTCTGCTGTGGACTGAGGGGAGCTGCTAAAATGGTACCTCCACAGCGACTCGTTTTTGTAGCCACGTACGCTATTTGGTTGTACCTTTTCTATCCTACCTCTTGACCCCTGGCACTAGCGACAAGTACCCAGGTACCTCCAGCAGCCAGCAGCCATCCACTGATGCCTCAGAAACCAGGCCCCCACTTATCCTAGCTTGACCACCTGGCAATATACGGCTCCGACTCTCGATAGCGCCAGCAGGACACATTTTCGAGAAGCTGGTCAAGCCCAATTGAGAGCTGCCATATCTGCTGCGATCCGATCCCCGCCGCCGACAAAGAGCTCCAGAGACAGCAGACTCTGCCCGGCTCGTCCAGACCAGCAATTGTTGCATTCAGCACAGCCTCGGCGTCTTATGTGGGAGGTCGTCGAGTTCGATTCACCCCGCGCTCTACTTTCACCCACGCCACCTCCCTTTGCCTCGACCACATCCGCGACACCGGAGCCCTAGAAGGACCAAGCCGCCAAGATGAGATTGGACGTCAAGGTCAGTTCCCGGCACATTGGCCCCGTGCTGTGCAGTGTCTACGCTGCATGCTGCGTCCCAGGCCGTGGTAGTCGCAAGACGTCGGCCCAGTTTACCGCTTCTACAATGTCGCAACCGTGTCACTGACCATGAGCTTTGCACCAACAGCGCCAGCTTTACGCTCGCAGCGAACGAGTCAAGGGAATCGATTTCCACCCTCAGGAGCCATGGATCCTCACCACCCTATACAGCGGTATGTCACAGCAGGCAGCCTGAATCGCGAGCCCATTTCGACTCGCATCACTAATGCACTCTCCTCTTTCTAGGCCACGTCAACATCTGGTCATACGAGACACAGCAGATTGTCAAGTCTTTCGAGCTCACAGACGTCCCCGTGCGAGCTGGTAGATTCGTTGCGCGAAAGAACTGGATAGTCTGTGGATCAGATGACTTCCAGCTGCGAGTCTACAACTACAACACCTCCGAAAAGATCACCTCCTTTGAGGCGCACCCCGACTACATCAGAGCCATCTGCGTTCACCCTACGCTGCCGTTTGTCCTGACCGCCTCAGATGATATGAGCATCAAGCTTTGGGACTGGGACAAGGGCTGGAAATGTGTCCAGGTTTTCGAGGGCCACAGCCACTATGTCATGGGGCTTGCCATTAACCCCAAAGATACCAACACCTTTGCGTCGGCGTGTTTGGACCGAACTGTCAAGATCTGGAGCTTGGGATCCGGCACCGCCAACTTCACTCTCGAGGCCCATGAGACAAAGGGTGTAAACCACGTCGACTACTACCCCCACTCCGACAAGCCTTACCTCCTCACCACCTCCGACGACCGAACTGTCAAGATCTGGGACTACACCACAAAGTCTCTGATTGCAACCCTCGAGGGACACACCAACAACGTTTCATTCGCCTGCTACCACCCCGAGCTGCCCGTCATCATCTCTGGTTCAGAAGACGGCACCATCAAGCTCTGGCACGCCAACACATACCGACTGGAGCAGTCATTGAGCTATAGCTTGGAAAGAGCCTGGTGCGCCTCTTATCAGAAGGGCAAGCAGGGCGTTGCAGTTGGTTACGATGACGGCGCTGTGGTGATCAAGCTGGGACGCGAGGAGCCGGCTGTTTCCATGGATCCCTCCGGCAAGCTGATTTGGGCAAAGCAGAACGAAGTCGTATCGTCCATCATCAAGGGAGATGCCTCTATCAAGGATAACGAGCCCATCACATTACCGACCAAAGATCTGGGTACATGCGAAGTCTACCCCCAGACGCTCATCCACTCTCCCAATGGCCGATTCGTAGCCGTGTGCGGTGACGGCGAATACATCATTTACACAGCGCTGGCATGGCGCAACAAGGCCTTTGGATCTGCCATGGACTTTGTGTGGGCGTCAAAAGAGAACAGCAATGACTTTGCCATCCGAGAGTCGCCCATGAGCGTCAAGGTGTTTAAGAACTTTGTGGAGAAGAGCGGAGGCCTCGATGTTGGATTCCAGGCCGATGGTCTTACGGGAGGTGTTTTATTGGGTGTGACTGGCCAGGGCGGTGTCTCTTTCTTCGACTGGAACACTGGTGGCTTGGTTCGCAGAATCGAGGTGGAGCCTAAACAGGTCTACTGGTCAGAGAGCGGCGAGCTGGTGGCTATTGCTTGCGAAGATACGTTTTACGTCCTGCGCTTCTCCCGCGAAAACTACATTGAGGCTGTGCAATCCGGAGAGGTTGAGGAAGATGGCGTCGAATCAGCGTTTGAAGTCATTACCGATGTCAACGAATCGTAAGTATTGATGGCATTTCTCCCATTTTGTGCAAGAAAAGCTCTCTAACATTTGATACAGCATCCGCACGGGTGAATGGGTAGGCGACTGCTTCATTTACACCAACAGCACCAACCGACTCAACTACCTGGTTGGTGACCAGACTTACACCATCTCTCACTTTGACAAGCCCATGTATCTCCTGGGTTATATCCAGAGAGATTCCCGCATCTACCTTGCCGATAAAGATGTCGGCGTCACCTCCTTTGCCCTATCACAGCCCGTTCTCGAATACCAGACCTTGGTATTGCGCGAAGATATGGAGACGGCTGCTGAGCTGCTTCCTACTATCCCTGCCGATCAGCTGAACAAGGTTGCACGATTCCTGGAAGGCCAAGGACACAAAGACCTTGCCCTGGAGGTTGCAACTGACCCCGAGCACAAGTTTGAGCTTGCATTGGCCCTGAATCAGCTCGCTATTGCCCTTGATCTGGCCCGACAAGTCGACGTCGAGCACAAGTGGAAGACTGTTGGAGACGCGGCTCTGACAGCCTGGGATGTCAATCTTGCTGCGGAGTGCTTTACACACGCCAAGGACCTGGGCTCCCTCCTCCTCGTGTACTCATCAACGGGCGACCATGAGGGTCTCGCCAAGCTGGTCGCTCAGGCTGAAGAGGCCAATGCTCACAACGTGGCATTCTCAGCCGCGTGGCTCATCGGAGATGTTGACCGATGCGTGGACATCTTGACCAAGACTGGACGGGCCGTAGAAGCTACTCTGTTTGCCCAGACATACAAGCCTAGCCTAGCCGCGACCGCAGCGAAATCATGGAAGGAGAGCCTGGAGAAGAACAAGAAGGGACGAGTAGCCAAGTTGATTGGTGTGCCGGATGACGATGCGGAGCTGTTCCCGGAGTGGGATGAGTGGCTGAAGCTGGAGAGCGAGGGTGGCGTAGCCGCCGATGTCGACATGGCGACACCTAATAGCAAGTCTGAGGAAGAGGGCGAGGCCGAGGCCGAGGCTCAGGAAGAGGAAGAGGAACAGGACGAAGAAATGGAGGAGGCTAAGGAGGAGCAGGAGGAGTAAAAAGGGCACAAGGGGAAAAACCAATCGACTGTTTTCTTAGATGGCAGATGGCGTAGAAGAGGGATTTTATGTGAATATGATTCTCAGCTGTTGTGTTGCGTTATACACTGCACCATATTTTTTTACTTGAAAAAAAAAGCTGCATGGTTGGGTGGTTGATTGTAGGTAGTCACAGGGCCTGTGTTTGCTTGAATATACTAAACAGATTTAATAAGTTTGATTGATTGCAGCTGTAGTGGATTTGTGCTATATTAATGAGTATCATTGGTGTTGGGAACAAGACTCGAGTGTGATGGTAACGAGGTTAGCTAAAGGGGCATTTGGGTGTTGGTAAGCAGCATTTTTTAAGCATAGTCAAGATTTACATAGCTAATCTCTCTGATCAACGGTATTTGGTCTTTTTTTTTTTTTTTTTTTTTTTCCCTTTTTAGGAAATGATGATCTTTGAAGAAATGTCTGTGAGTCTTGCAAATATTGATATGTCGACGGGTTGCACATTACTTGAACAATGCCCTGAATGCTACGTGAGTGTGTTTCAGCGTGAGACATTCGGTCCGTCGCTCACTTACACGGGCTAAGCGCAAAACAGCTAATCGCAGTCAAGGTCAATTCACAACAGAATACATAAAAAAAAGCAAGAAGAAGTGGTAATTATGCGAAGCTGAAGATGTAATGCTCGCAGTTGGTATTTATTGATTCATTAAAATTTATTAGCGTTTCAAGATGTCGTCTATCCTCCATAAAGCGTGAAATTAGACATGTCTATAACCCCCCTTTTCTTCATCCATTGAGAGTCTGTGAGAGTCCGTTTACAGGACAACAGCAAGACCAGCGGCAGCTAGGACGGCAAGGCCCATTCCAGTCTCACGAGCACCGCCGGCCGTGCTGGTGCCAGACTTGGGAGCGCCAGAAGACTTGGAGGCGCCAGAGCCCGTGGGAGCAGCAGCGCCAGAGGTTGGAGCGGCAGCGCCAGAGGAAGTAGCACCAGAAGCACCGGCGGCAGCGACCAGGCTGTTGCTGCAGACGGGCACGAGGCTGGTGTAGGAGGCCAGAGCAGAGCAGTCAGAGGCCAGCGAAGTCAGCTCGTCCTTGTGGCTGCTGAACCAGGACAGCACCTTTGCCTCGTAGGAGGAGTAGTCGGCGCTGAGGCTGGAGGCGACGCTGAGCTTGCAGGGGTCGGTCTGCGGGTGCTCGGTCAGGTCGGAGACGATGGCCGGAGGCGGCGTGGGCAGGGACGAGACGATGCTCAGGGCCTCGGAGGCGCATTTGCTGGCGTCGGAGTCGGAGAGAGTGCCAGTTGCGCGGGGGAGGAGGGCGTGGACGTTGAGGGCGGCCGAGGCCGAGGCGGCGAGGGAGAGGATGGCGATGGCGGAACGCATGGTGGGCAGTTTGAGTGGGAGGTTGATGTTGAGTGAGTGAGTGAGTGAGTGAGACTCGTGAGAGTTGATACTGTCTTGGAGTGTGAGTGAGTGACTGGAGTTGAGAACTACTACAAGACTGTTTCCTGTCAACTACGGGTCTTGGCGCTATATATATACTATTCCTGCCACAACTACAAGTGCATGCTAGTAGCAATTCCAATAGTTCGGCAGCAGAGTCACAGCCGCGTTCTGTTGCCTAGAGCAAAGACCGTTAAACTGCGTCCAATGCAAACCACGCTGCAACGTTCTCCTTGCTCAGCCCAGCTGGGGGGGGAGGCCATGTTGGCAGTGACGCTTCACCGAATGCAGACTTGGCGCAAGGACGGTGGGTTCCGTAATGTCGCTTCCCTGCGGCAGCTGAAGCTGGTAGGATCTAGCTCGGCTACGCTATTACATGCCTAGCGTAGCATTTTTGTTTCCCTGCCGTCGTTTGTGGTTTGAAGGGGTGATGGAAGAAGACGGGAAAAAAGGGGGCAGAGCCTCCTTCTAGCGCTAGCAGGTTTGCACGCTTTGAAAGCTGAGTGCTAGTTTTGGAGCGAATAGCCTGGATGGGGGTTAGTGGCGTGCTGAGGCGGATTGGGGAGATTGGAGTTGACGGGAGGGTTTCGGTGAGGCGTTTTGTAAAGAGTTAATGGGCTAATGACTAGGCATGGGCTATGGGTTGATGTGTGTCGTTGGATGCAAAGTTGACAAGAGCACAACCACGTGATGGTTTCTCATAATTGATGTGATGGGATCTGGGCTGTTTGTACAAGCAATGGATGGATATGGTTTGCTTGACGTGTAAGATGGTAGCTTGCTGGCTTTGCTGCAGTAGGTTGTTTGCTATTGTCGGTCTGCCTGAGCTAACTAAGGTATCAACTAAAATAGTTTCCAGCATAGCCTTGATCAAGATTGACACATACATTTGGATGCATGACTTGAGTTGGGAGTGGCAGCATTGGGGCCTGAAGAAAAGAATGAAAAGAATGACAGAAACTACTGCATGAGTGCTACGCTATGTACAGTAAGCACTGGGACTATCGCTTGAGCTTTTAGGCACCACCAGAGGTTTCGGATTTCTTCGAGGGGTTCTAGACGTTTTCGGAGAGTTGCCGGCTGACTTGACGGCGGTGGATAGAGACAACCAGAGTTATGGGAAAGTACATACTCTTACTGCTGACTTGCAACTTACGACGAATATTAAGCCGCCGTTGCACAAGGTTGTCATGACCACTAGAAATGCGATGAACAAGCGTTCTATCTTTGTAGTCCCTCTTTTGAACTGGCATCATCCGCTAAATAGAAATCGATCATTGCAGTCTATCCGGCAACAACGGCGAGATGCAAAGCTGTTTGTTCTATTTATCTTGCAGCTTTTGGGAGTTGAGTTTGCGCGCTTGAGCGAGAGTGGATGCGAATTTGCAGGGGCTGGTCTGGAAGTGGGTGGATGAGGCTTTGATTTGGGTGAGATGACACATAGCCCTCCGTATAGTGGTTGGCTAAACCTGTGATTTACATACATGTAAGCAGCACTTTCAATGGAGTTTAGGTGCTGAACAACACGAATCTTGCTGCATACGTCTAATTATTGTTTACTAACTGCGAGTAATCATAAATGCTGGATGTAAGCCTAATGCAACTAGCTACTTACTACTCCGTAATTCGGCTGTAAAAAAAAGGCCGAAAACAGCTTTCCCAAACATTTATACCTGACAACGAATATCTGAGATCACTGGAGGTTTACATGTAGTCTACACTTACCTTGCCTATCCATACCTTAGTATTACAGACTCATTATGGATTCCAACCACAATGCCGAGGCAGATCCTGATGAAAAATATGACTCTGAAAGTTCCGACAGCTCAGAGCCGGCGTATACGCCTCTGCATAGTTTCTTTGAACGAGCCGACAGCGCATTGGTAAAGAAACTCGATCTTCCCCCTAGTTCAGCACCTCTGTTTCAGTACCGCGCCCCATCAGAGATTTGCAAAACTTGTCGGCGTATGATACAGCTTATATCGAACGTCGTCGCAACAGGCAGCCGCTTTGACGGTAAATATCACAAAACCTACGCAGCTGTGAAATCATCTGCCGAGAATGGATGTGGAATCTGTTCAATGCTTCTCCGTGAGTTTCGAATGGAGATGAAGGAAAGAGACAAGCCCGGAAAAACTATGGAAACTGCATCGCTACATGCCATTGGATCTTCCTTTTCGTGGAATGTGGCGATTCCTTGGATGGACGGCGATCCAACTCCAGGAGTCACACACCTGGAACCTTGTGGTGCGGAGAATCATTACTGTTTGACGGCTAGGATAGAATCGTTCGTGGCAGGTTCACAAAGTATGATGCTCTACCCGCTGTGATGGCCATCACTGAAACTTTCTGTTCACTTTTTAGGTCTGGATTACGATTCTCCGGCCCCAAACACTCGAGATGCTTTAACAATGTGCAGAATATGGTTCCAAAATTGTCGGGATTCACATACGACATGCGGTCTTCCACAAGAAAATTCAGCAGAGGCCAGCCCTTCTGCTGCACGACTTATTGCAGTCTCCAACGGAGACGCTCGACTTTGTCTTCCTGAAGAGCTGAGCCCTAATAGCCCTTATGCAGCCCTCAGTCACCGCTGGGGCTTCCTCAATTTCATGACGCTCAAAAAAGACAATATCAATGACTTTCGAAAACGGATTCCGCCAGAAGCTCTGACAAAGACGTTCCGCGACGCTATTGACATTTGCAGATACCTTGATATCCCATACTTATGGATAGACTCTTTATGCATCATTCAAGATAGTGCAGAGGACTGGGCACTGCAGTCAGCCCTAATGGCTCAGATATATGGACAATGTGACTTGAATATCGCAGCTACTTCTGCTGAAGATGGCAGCGTTGGATGCTTTTTTGACCGACCAAAAAATTGGGCGATCCAAATACGCCCGCTTCCTGGAAGAGACGACCTGATATATGACTTTATGCCATCCCCCTTGATACATCCAGAACTGGACGTATTGAATAACCGTGGCTGGGTTGTACAAGAACGCTATCTGTCAAGACGGACTCTTCATTTTACCGCCAAGCAGGTGTTTTGGGAATGTGATGGAGAATCAGCATGTGAGACCTGCCCTGGCGGATACGAAAAAAAAGCAATCAACTTTTGTCCCTATGAGCTCAAACGAAGGGGCATGGACAGATCTAACTGGGATGAACTTGTGAGCCAGTACTCGGGAGCCCGTCTCACACAATCCAGCGACCGGCTCATCGCTATAGAAGGCCTCGCAAGATCTATCCAGGCGACCACAAAGGATGACTACGTTGTCGGAATGTGGAAGGAATGGATTGAGAGGCAGCTGGCTTGGTCTCCCTCTGAAGAATTCAGGCCCATCCCCAACACATCATGTCCTTCTTGGTCATGGGCCTCAGGCATTGGTAGCGTGAGCCTCCCGTTGGTCTGGTTTGATGGTCAATCCAACTCGCCAACTCATATAACACTCCATGACCTACAAGTGCAATACTTTTCGACGAATACCTTTCGGGACGTCAAGAACGCTGTGATTCGCCTTTGCTGCACTTACCTTCTCCGGGCAGTTCTTGAGCCAATTGGGGACTCGCCCGATGTCTATTACAAGGCCAAATTCGGAGATGAGAAATTCGACGAAGTTTACTTGAAAATTGACAATCCTGACATCGCCAACAAGGCTCAGACCATTCCTGCATATGTTTTAGTTATAGATGAAAGCCGCGGAATTCTTCTGGAGCCTACAGCTCAGGCAACTGGGCAGTATAGGCGGATAGGCTCGTTCTTCACTTTCCAGAGCTCTTTTGTAGAGTCATTGGGATTTGTAAATTGCGTTGAGCAAAGACAACTTGACGCATTTTCGGCTGTCGAGGAGGATGACGAAGGCAATGAAATATATATTATTGATGTAGTATAGATATGTTATTGTTTGAGGTCTTGATTGAAAAGCAATGTAATCTTGTGTTTTTATTTACTTTCAAGTAATGTAATGTAATCTGACTTTTGGTTTAATCTTTGAGAAGAATTCCTTGAATCAGGTATAAAGTACTCGTAGAGACATTTACATATATGCACGGCTTTGACTAATGCTTGCACCACTTTCAAGGTGGCATCTTTTAATGGGAGGAAGTCAATTCACTTACAGTAGCCGTACCCCTTCACAAGCGAATTCTAGTTTCAGTTGAGAGAGGTGATGAACTAGTCGGTAGCGATGGCAGAGATCTTGGCCGAGTAGTTTGAGTATCAAGAGAACTCGGCGGTGTGGGATGGGTAGTCGTCGCTGATGCTGGAGGGGAGTTGGAGGTGCATGCGGTGGTTACTCTTTTGTGCGATACTCGATTGGCCATCTTTAGTTACATAGAATTCGCGATTACATCTAAAGGCATCGAAATACTTCTCATTCCTAGGTTCATGTTCTTGAAAGCGTATTCTACCATAGTCTACAATTTTCCTAGCAATGACAAGAGGGGTGGCTTGGTCAACAACATCATTTAGGCTTGTCAGCTGAGACTAGCTACGGCATACTGTGAGCTAATGTTACAGACTGGAGAAAGGTCACTGATAAACTTGAAGACGTGTGTATGCAAACTTGGGACAGCAATGTCTTTAATTACTAGACTAAAGAAGTTGATTATGTCGTGTAGCATTTTTGAACAACCATTCAAAACATGAATAATTAGAACAAGTGCTTCCTTCAATTGCTAATATGAAATAGGAAACAAAGAGAGAGTAATAATATAAGGTGAACAGACATAGTATATAAAAACAAATGCATATATTTTTAGGTGTTTTCTAAAGTTATAACATCATATAAACAGAAAATGAATGTTCTTAACGCAACCCACTATAAAGACCAACCATTTGTCTCTTCCATAAAGCCAAGTACAGCTATTTATGATTGTGATAGAAGCTCCAACAGCCGGCTAGAATTTCTGGAGATTGAATAGCTCTGCCGTGGCCGAGACAGCTGAAGCTCATAAAGGAATGTATTCTTCTGCCCCGGCAATCTCCGCCCACTGATTTTCTAGAGCTGGATAGACCAAGAGAAGTTCCTGATAACAGTACCATCGCCATTGTGGCCTCCGAAAGCCTCCCACAAATCGAGACACATGTCGATGGAGTGGTCGTCGCTGACGTTTCGATCCGCAACAGTGGCAGTTTTGGTGACACCATTGTGCTTCATGACGATTGTCTTGCCGCAAAGTTTATTATTCTGGGCTTGACCGTATTTATCAAACTCATTATAGGGCATGGCAACGAAAGAATTCTGTTCACCAATTTCTGGGTGGTAGGTGCTTATGCCGCATGAACCGTACTTCCTGAGGATTCCGTGGCAGTTGGATGCCGATTCAAAGCTGTAAATCGAGCCGTTTGTGCCGGACCTAGTAACTATTTCTCCTTTGGTGAGCTCGGTAGGGGCTGCAGACACACTGAGTGACAGCATGAGCGCGGTAACAAAGCTTGTAAGATGCATTTTGAAGATGGTGCTGAGGAAGCAAAGAGAAATTGTGTTTTTGTTTTTGATATGATTGCCAACGTTATCCTGGAGGTATTATTGCTGACTGATAAAACAGAGAGTAAGATCTGCCAGTTTGGCGGTCCTCAGCCAGGTATATATAGTTAACTCATCACGCCTAAAGTTCGTCAAAGAACTGAGTCTCAATAACAAAGAACCGTAAAAACCGAAAGATGGCAGGCTCACGGATTGGCAACATTGGGTAAAGACCCACTCTCCTAAAATCACCTTTGTGTAAACAGTTCTTCGCCATTATCTGAGATTGGAGTTTTGTTGGTATCTCGAACCAGCTGATGAGCGCAATTCGGTTTCTAATTCGTGGGACTCACGTAAATGAAAGTCCAGACTCACGAGGACAAAAGTCTAGACTCACGTAGATGAAAGTCTAGACTCATTTAGATGAGAGTCTAGGTGATGAGAGCTCTGCTACGTCTTTGTTCTGCCCCTGTGCTGGTCCACTTCAATGTCACCGGCATCAATAAGAGTGTCACCTTTTCAGCTAGGCCATTCATATACTCCTACCAGTCTTAGCTTACTGTATTACTCCTGGGTTTGACATCTCTCGTATCACGTTCCCCCCCAATCATTGTAATTGTAAACTGTTCTACTAAAACACTGTCTGGCTGGTATCTAAAGCAAAAGAGTCTCTGGTAATATTTTTTCCGATTCTTATTTCAGATAAAGAAATTGAACACGTATATTAGGCTCAAAGAAAATGTACTTTTATTTTTGCAGTTAGCCTTTCACTAACAGCGTTCACCAACGCATCTCACCAACACATACTGGAGAAGCAAAGCGGAAAGATATAACAGGCGACAAAATATAGAACCAACACCTTTCATTAACACATTCCACCACACATTTCACCAACACGTTTCACAAACAAATTGCACTAGCACATACCAGAGAAGGACCTTGAACACGCACATACTTAGGCCAAGGCAAAAAATGTCACCGGCACATTTCACCAACACATTTCAGCACATTTCTTGTACTTAGCACTGTATATTACTACTCAGAATGCGCGTTTCCTTTTCCATCACCACGTTGATGCTGTCCTTTGAGGCCTTGGCTACGGCTGCTCCTGCAACTAAAAGGCAGACGACTTGTACAGATGGTAAAAAAGTGCTTATGTTGGGTAATATTTGCTAGGAATATGCTCAATTTCAATCTCATTGTAATACAATAGACTCGTCATATGTCATGCTATTAATATACAGCATATTTTGTAATCGGCGTTTATGCAGCAATCTGACGGATGGATTGGAGTGGGGTCGAATCAAGATTAGAAGATTAGGTATTGCTGAAGCTGCCGACACTGCCAAATGGTCCGGGTAAGCGTCCATGATCTGATGCCAGTAGCCATTCGTAAACCCTTGTCTGGCTTATGGCAGTTGATCGAAACAACTTTAAGCAACGGCCTTCCTGTATATATGCATGTATCGTTTCGGGAAACTCTTGTCGTCGCAGTTAGTTCGCATTGGTACATGTATATTCTACAGACTATTGAGTGACGGGCTAATGCGCTATATGTTGGGATAGACGCACAATATCTCGCCTAGTTTTCAAGGTCTGTGCGAATAGTTTAGGTTTGTATTATTTCTGGTCATAGAAGATCTAGAACTCCATAGAGGCAGACGTAATTATAATGTGAAGGCACCAATGGCCAGAAGATGATATCTTTCCTTCAAATGATATCTCATCAAACGTCGACCAATGTCTCTCTCAGTCACAACGCGTACAGACTACTTCCACAAACAGACATTGCAAGTGGTGAAGCCCCGCGTAATCGAGTGTCGCGGCGGCTACATGTACCAGGTAGAAAAGAAGCGAAAATTGAAAAGGGAAAGTTTAGAGGACGAACCCGACGCTGTGGTTAAGTACCTAGTCAAAAGTCTGGCCCAACAAGCCGGTTTTGAGTAAAGCACGCCTCAGACAACTCTGCAAGGGATCTAACGGTGGCAACTTATTTTCTCGTTGCTTAGCATCTCGGTATCTTTACGAGAGCCGTTATACACCACGGCTTGAACAGTAATGCGACCGATTCGGTAACGTGGCAATGCCGTTTGTCACGAAAACATATTAGAATTGGTGGTGGTAACTGCGGAGACTATCAGCATGACGGGCTGTGCTGGAATATGGCACATGTAGAGCTACAATTAAGCATCAATGTGTGTTGGGAGGCAAATAGGCTGAGATTGTGGGACCAATTATACCGCGGGAATATCCCAGTTAGGGAATATTCGAGTGGAGCTTCCCGCTTCACCATTTTCTAGAGCGACTTCTATTATAATGGAAGCTTAACATGGGGCTTCTACACCTGCAACGAGTCCAACCAACCAAACGGGATAGTAGTCGGATAAACCCATGCCAGATGCCAGTGTTGAATCTCACTTAGTAGGATCTTGTTGGGTTTGGCGTCTTACATTGTCGACCCGGGAAATGCTTCATCTGGCCCAGAAGCGAGTCTCACTTTGAAGCCTCAGCTGTTCTCGGAGGGAACGTTGAATGGTTGTACCAATCGGCGGGAAGAAACTCGAGGCTCTACGTCAGTGCTTCGTTACAATTTGTGGAATTATATGCTTGGCCAACTACATGTAATCAGCTACGACGAAACAATCTGATTGACTGGCTACCAAATTATGTAGGCGTGGGCTCAAGCTGATCATTAAATCTTGAATCATGAAGCAGTCTCTCTTGTTACAATTTGTATCTAACGTAGACAAAGTATCAAAGTAATCTGTTCGTCCACCTGGACAGCCATTCCACTTGCCTAGACTCCCATAATCCGCGTCCGCAAGACGTGTCTAGCAAATGCTGCCATTGCTGCAGCTCTGCGAGCAGTTGTATTCTCCGTCCAAATCGGCGTCCGACCCATACATGTCGTAACCCAAGAACCATCCATTCAGCGTCTCGTGGAGATAGTTCAAGTTCTGCGGGTCACCATGTGCCTTGCCTTCGGAAGAGCAAGGATAGCCCTCTGTCAAGCCCTTTCCACCATTCAGACCCGTGCCGTCACTGGCCGTGAACCACCCGTTATACGAGCCCAGCGCATGGACAGCGTTGCCACCGGTGTTATCCAGAGCCGAACGCAGGACCCAAGCTCCGCAGTCGACATTATCCTGGATGGGGTACTGGCAGCTGCTTTGGCCGTTCTGGCAGTTGGACGGGTCGCACTGCATCAGCCCGGGCGTTGAGCCTCCAGCATCGGCATTGCAAGAAGACTCCTGCATGGCAATGAAGGCCAGGATGGCAGGGTCGATGTTGTATTTGGAGCCTGAGCTCTTGAAGTACTGGTCGTACTGCTGGCAAGGCTGGCCTACGCCGTTGTAGTAGTCATCCAGCGAGATGTGTGTGAGGCTGTTGATGTCGAGGAACGGAGGCTCCCAGCCATTGCCCTGGACACCGGTGTTGAGCCACGCCTGTGAACCGTTGGGACCACAGGCGCCAGAGCCACCTGTTGTAGGTGAACATGCTCCCTGGGCATTTGGATTTGTTTGAGCAGCAGCCAAGTTGGCAAGGAGGAGGGCCTTGGCGGCGAGGATTGTGCGGTGTGAGGAGTGCATCTTGAGGGCGTATAATGAGAGGTAATTGTATCTGAGGAGCGTAAACTCTCTGAAAGATGCTTCCTCGCTCCATGTTATATATTGCTTCTCAAGGGGGACCTGAGTTACCAGGTATGCCCAAGTAGTCTATCGTGTTGTCGATCACCAGCCGCTAAGTGGCGGCACAGATCCGGAGAGAATACGGGGCAGTTTCTTTGCCCGAATTAGGCAAGGAGCCCTTCCTAATAGGGCAGCTGAGGCAACTCGATTAGTTATTGTATCCGGCATAGTCTATAGCTTTACGAAGAATGGCAGGTGAGCAGAGGAATGCCTGGCCGACTGCCCGTGCTGAGAGTCCTTGTGGCCCGCTCGTAATACAACGTTTCCCGTCATTGACGGATGTCAAGTGCGAAAAAGTCCGACCCTCGTTCACTGATGAGGTGAAATCTCGGGCCTCGTGTGCCTCTTTTTTAACTACTTGTCCCTGCTACTACTACATGTAAGCCGCATTAGTAGCAAATAACGCCTCGTATCATGGCGCATCCCGGCCTTATTTCCTCTCTTCCAACCCGAAGCCAAAGACCATCTTTGACTCCGGCAGGCTCGAGGACTTTTCAGCACATGGTCGGAACTCGCTCATAATAGCGGCCGAACCGAACACATCATAGTCTATGTTGTTTCATTGAAAAGGCGGTATGAGGAGGATGTGAGTGTTCCGCTGTACATGTACAGGTACCAAGCCGGTAGTAATTGCTTATTCATGCTGGACATCTTTAGGTCGGCATTCTTTTCCGTGAAATGGTGCTAAATACTCGGCGGTCAGTTAACCATTTACTACTCACAATTCACAATATGGTGGCATTGAGAGCCTCGTCGGAGTTTACGCTGGGATGAAAAATTACCTGACCGGAATAAGATCTCTGACTAGCATATTGGGCCATTGAAACAATGTCAATTGATCTGCGGCACCAGGCATACGTACCAGGCAATAGCACAGAATATTCCACGTTGTTGAAGCCACCAAAAGAGATTGACGATGCTTTCAGGTCCAGCGACGCAATCTGGCGCCAATCGAAATGGTTCTTCCTCAGCTCGTTTCACGCTTGTGGGCCAACTACTTACATACGAGTACGTAGTAATTTATGAAACACAGTTAAGCCGAATCATGGAAAGGAGGATGAGTAATCAGTGAATTGAGTTGATAGTAACTCAAAAATAAGAATAACTCCAACTCTAACTCTACGGACTCGATATATGCGTAGTCTATTGATGAACTCATATATGCCGAAAGGGCAGAGATTCTATTCCTTCAAAGAGAGTTGCTGATGTACAGGCTGGTAACGGGTTGATTGCCCAAGGGCTTGATGCTGATCTCGAATTTTGTCGTGTTTTTGGCCTTTCAATTTGCACCAATGCCAGGAAAGCCTCTCCGGTAGAAGTAAAGTCATTTGTATCACCCTAGGCTCTATAAAATAAGAGTACATCTCCACTGTTGGCAATTGTCTCTGTGAATAGAAATATAAACGAGCACGTACGGTGCCTAAACACTGAGTTTCGGATAAAAAATACTACCTCGTTGTTGCACTCTATTGCCGTGACACTGAGAGGTTCCATTACCTTGCTCTGGGGGTTGAACGATGGGCTGGCGCCTTCATTTCCAAAGACAACTTGGGTGTGGACATTTGCATTGAGGTTTGGGGATACTGTAGCTCTTGACGGTCTCTTTACGCGGTTTCGCCTTGGTCACTTGGGTCATTCATGCACCGACCGGCCGAGATTTGAGTACCGACCGGCCGAATTGTTTGCGCCATCGCAGTCCATGTTCATATTGTCATAGTCTCCACTGCTTCCCTTTAAGAAAATGGCATTTGGAAGACCGCCACGGTATGTAGCATCACCACTAAAAGGGCTAGAGAGCTTATTGGAACATGTTCCGGACGATGTAATGGATCGTCTCAGTAAGAGTGCACCTGTATACTTTGTACTGATCATATATCTTCTTGAGGTTGGAAGGAAGTTGATACAATGCAGAAGCATTTAGGTAACGACGGCAATAACGCTGGAAGAACGCATCTTGTAGACTGGCAAAGCGAGATTGATAGTCATTTTATATAAGAGAAATTGATCATCTGCTTATCTGGGATGAAGACGGAATGAATTCTATATATTAGACTAGAAGACGGCCCTAGATTCTTAAACTTCGCACTCCAGTTACGAGAATAGCGATGTACTCTGAGAGAAAAAGCCGGCTGGACAGAACCGGACCAGGATGAATCGATCGGCAAATGCCGAGGCCTCTAGTGTGGTCTAAGCTTTTCACCGGCGTAGTTCCGGCGTGAAAGCCCCTGTGAAGCCCAGGAAAGTTGGGCACTCAAGACTTGCCAAAAGAGGAAGGTGATTGCACTCGCGATGGGGATTGGAGGGAAATTGCAATGGCACTGAGGGAGTGTATATATACAGTACATGTACGGTGCGACCTGGTTCTATAGTACGGGATATTTGAGTATCCGCAAATACGAAACATGGTCTGAAGAATATGGTAATGATATACATGTATATATCTCTGTATTCTTGCTTTTCATCTCCTAAAGATAATGACTGTACAGGTAGAGCGCGCTCTATTATTTATTTCCCCTCGTGTGTTCTATTCAATAGGTATTATCTTTCCGCTTTCCGCTTGCTTAGGCATGACCAAGTAAGATTTTGCAACTGATGCCAACTTTGCGAATATCTCGGATCGTCCTTGTTGCTGCGGGAGGAATAAACAAAGACTCACGACTAGGAAGATACTTGATGAGCGGAGAAGAATGAGATATGCGTAAACGATTGCCAATTCCAAATCCATCTCAAAAGTAAGCACATGAACAAAAAGAAAACATCTAAAGTGTCTAAAGTGATCCAAAGTAAATTACCTAGTATGCAAAAAAGTGACATCCTCCACCACCACATGTTCTGTAACAAGGCGCCCATCCCCCAACTACATGTATGTCTCTACTCAAAACCAACATGGCCTTCATCCATGATCGTTTTCAGGGTGATCCTATTGTCACTCCTTGGAAAACAGCTTCGGGATGTATATTCACGGTCCAGCAACCCAGACGATTGCCGTCTGCCAGCATCTCGGGTGTCTTTCCATCGTTACACATAGCGTTGACATTTGCTCCGCTCTCGATGAGCATTTCTATATTTGCGACGTGATTCCCCGCTGCTGCCATGTGTAATGGGGTGTAGCCATCTTCGTCCGCCTGATCAATTCGAGCTCCAACCCAGAGCAGGTCTTGTATCATCTCCGTCAGCCCATTTACTCGGGCTGCTAGATGTAGCGGCGTTGATCCGTTGTTGCCCATGTCGTGACACACGGTGGTTGCGTTTACGTCGGCGCCACACTCAATCAGCTGTCGGATAAGTTCTGTATCTGGCTCTTGAAGCTCGGGTGGCTGAATGGCAAGATGCAGCGGAGTGCGGTCTTTGCTGTCTCTGGCTTCCATGTTCGCACCATGCCCAGCAAACAGCCTTACATGCTCTCTGCGGCGAAATCGTACCGCGGAATGCAAGAGGGTTGAGCCTCCGGAACCACTTGTCGTCGTGTTGACTCTGGCCTTGGGGGTCCTTCCCCCGAAGGGGCCCGACCTGCCTCGAGGGGCATCGAGCCAGAGGAGTTGCTTCCAATAAACGCAATAAGATTTCAAAGATAAACACATATGAACCGATATTAACATAAAGACGCAGTTGCAAAGACTGTCTCACAAACTCAATTATGAGCTAAAGAGACATGTACCAAATTTGGTTTCTCAAGATCTAATTACAAATTATTCTTCCATCGACCCTTGCTCGCTCTGGGAAGCAACTAGCTCGCCAATAGATGTCTCCAAGGCAATTCTATCAGCGCTGGATAGTACGGGCTTGTCATCCGGAACAGATTCGCTAGACGTCTGCTGGCGCCTTTTAGCAGATCTTATTGGTATACCTTGTTCATGCCCAGTATCCCACAAATCATCCCAGGTCTCTGCCTCTTCTTCAGACGAATCATCCTCAAGGCCCCCAAGCTCATCTCGAGCATCCGTCTTTCTCTTGAGGGGAGTAGCAGCCTTGGATCCGCCGCCACCGTAATGCGCTTGTAGCTGAATTCCAGTCATGATCTCTTCTTTATACTCCACGAGGCTGGATTCGTTATTATCCACGTGGACTCGGATAACATGGCGCTGAAAGCCTTGAGTGACAAATGGCTTTACGCGGAGTAGTACAGCCCATGCAAATCGCGCAAACAGGTATGGCTTAGAGGCTGAAGTAAGACCTCGAATAATGAGGTTCTGGTACGTCGGCCAAAGTTCAGACGCTTGTCTTGCGAGGATATGAGAGACGTACTGCGTGCCGCCTGTCGTTAACTTGGGCACAATTGCAAACCACCGATCATCAAAGCACTTGTGAAGGTCTTTGCGAAGCGGAAGAATATTTTCCTTGCAGTTGATGTCTCCTCCATAGACTGCCATACCATTTTGCAGGTACCATACTGATTCTTCTTGTGGTACGAGGTGTGCTCTGTTAATAGCATACGAAACACCTGACATACGACAAGTAACAGATATATCAACTGCTATGGGGCCGTGGTGAGAGATGGTTGGCCAAAGATCTGGCACTTGTCCATGGGGGAATTCCCAATCTTTGAAGCTGGGAACAATGGGGTACTTGACTAGAAAGAAAGATGTTAGGTAAAACTGCCTTGGATAGTGAGGAGCGTATTAAATACCGTTTCCATCCACAATAAAGTAGTAAGAATTCTTAGTCAACAGACCATCAAGCGATACACGCTCTTTCTGTCCACCAGCACTATCGGCTGCAAAATAGCTGGCTTGAAAGACATTGCCCGCGGTAATCTGGCAGGCGGTTAAGGCTGTTTGATGGTGAATACCAAAAACGACAGCGCCATCTGAGCTCTCACTATCGACTCGTGGGAGAGTAAGAAACACATTGAGGGGAGATGGGTAGCCTGGATGTAGAAACCGGATATCCAGCCTGTCGTCCAAATCACGAGAAGGAGGGTCGACGGAAGATGCCACAATAGGCAAAGGGCGCAGAGAATCGGTCGCCATGATTCGTACAGTACAGTACAGTACAGTAGTTGTAGCACGCCAGAAGAGGAAAAGAGGAGTCCCGATGCCGTTTGGGACTTGGGAGAGCAAGGATTAGGACTCCGCAGAAGTTGTGCGCACGAAAGTGGGCTTGTATTTAGGTGCTAGGGCTAGCACCGCGCGCTAAGAACTGGGTCTAAAATACGCTAGCCCTTTTCAAGGTAGCACAAACCTCGTAGCATCTGAGAAGCCACAGCACCAAATCTCTGGATCCCACTGGCTCGACCTTACCTGTACTGTACAGCATGTGAGTAAGTACAGTGGGGTGCACTTAGTTTTTAATCCTTGTCAGGTATTTGAACACTGTAGTCTAACCATAATGGGAAGATATTTGCTTGCTGCTTTATTAGGAAATGCGCTAAAATATTATAGCAATTCAACCACTGTAATATAGCGTATGTCTCACTATATTATAGCACATAGACCGCTGTATTATAGTGATGTATATGCTAAAGCATAATGAAGATAGGGCGCTACTTAAAAGCAGCAGTATTAAATCTACCTAAAGTGGCTAACCTCTTTTCAAATACACGACAAGGATTGAAAACTAAGTGCATCCCACTGTAGCACCACAAGCAGGCGTTTGCCCGAGGGCTGGGGCAAAGGGACTTTGAATTTGCATTTGCCAACAACACTTGCAGCAAAACACTACAAGCAGCTTCTCCCTCCACCAAGCAGTGCAGTGGGGTCGTTTGTGAATTCCGGCTGCCCCAAAAACTCGGAGGCTTTCCCTTTTATGCGCAGCCATTCATCATCTGAGACATCACTGCGAGTATGGATGACACCAGCTGCTGAAAGACCTTTTCGTTCAAAGCTCTTAACATAGAATAGGCGCAGGGACAACGCGGCCTCGATCTCTCCAGCGTTTGCGTTCCATTTATGGCCATGTCTGTTTATATTCAGCCGCGGCATCTTGACTTGTTGTCGTCCGAGTTCAATTGGATATTCCCAAGAGTATCGCAAATTGCGGTATGAGTCGGCGTGTAGACTGTCGTCGTTTTGAGCCAGAATGCTCATTGTCGCTTCTATAGCCTTCGTAATTGCTATCGCTTCCTGAGATACTGGACTCCGCCAGCCCACAAGTTTTGCGAGGCGTTGGCGAATCGCGCAAACATCTCGAGCATCAACAATATCGAAATCTCTGGCCTCCAGTCTAGGGTCCTCGCTGTTGGTGGTAGAGGCATTGGTCCTCGCTTCATAGCGAACAACTTCGTCAGTGGTATTGTGGTCTGAGCATTTATACCACTCTGCATTCTTAAGATCTTTGAATGTATCTGCAAACCAGTCGAGCTCAAACCCAGGAATAAGAGGCTCGGACAGTATCGGGGTCGTTAATCCACGACGTACCCATGCCCTCAAAGCCGTCATGATGGAAATTGCAACCAAGGAGGCGATAGACGCAGACCAATGCATTCCCCGTGTGCCAATAAACTGAGCAACAAATCCGATTAGGCTAATAATAGCCCCTGTGAAAGTCTTAAATTCCAAAGCAAAAAGCGTATCGCGACCTGTAGCTGTTTGATCTTGCTCCACTCTGCTGGACGTGATAATCCTCGGTTGATCTTTTCCTGTGAAGAGGGCAAAGGATTTTAATTCCTGATCACCAACAGTTTTCTCTTGTTGAAGCCATACCAGCTGCGCTCTCCATCCCTCCACGGGCGTATAAATTTCCTCCTTTGTGCTGCTTTCCACCACGTGGGAACAGATAAATATGCCGATGCTTAATATCACCGTGCCGGCCACGACTAGTGGAAATGCATACTTACCAACTGGCTTCTCATCCTTTCGAAAACTAGGCGTGATTTTAGAGTACTGGGTGATAAGGCCACTGTATACTATCACGCCTGTTTGTAGAGCAATGCCGAGGCAAGCAACGAAGTAAAGCTCACCTTGCCCAGTATTTTTTGAGCGATTGTGAGAAATATTCGGAGCAGGATGGCGTGAATTTCTCACCACGATGACCTCATCTGTCGGCTGGGATGGTATTTCGAGATTCCATTGGCTAGTCTCGTGAGCATTGCCAAAGAACTTCAAACGCTTTTGTATGATACCCCAAAGGCTAGTTGTATTGTTCGGTGCTGAGGAGTCTTTTGTAAGTAAACAAATTTAACAGTACAAGAAAGAAGGTCCGGTGCAAAAGGATAGGGTGGGACTACTCACAGCTTCTTTGTATGTAGCTGCTTGCTTCTTGGATTTCCAATATTCTTACAACTGGATTCTTTGGCGTCCCTCTGGTAGGCACCAAACAGATAAATTCCCATATGGGGGCAGATCCCATGCAGCGGACTACGTCTTTGCCGTTCCAGAGCTCGCAGACCTCGTTGGAGGTAGAAGACATGAGCTCCAATTCAGCCGTGGCGATATTTTCGGTTGCCCGCCCTACCAAAGCCTTAAGCCACGGAGGACCACCAACTCTTATGGCGGCGACAATTATTGTCAAGATACCGAGAGGCGCTGCCGCGAGGATGATGCATTCGGACCACCCCATGCACTGGCTTAGGAATTGCATGGTAACACGCTCTCCGAGGAGAGCCAAAATTCTAAGATGGGACATTGAGTTAGAAAAAGTGGCCACTGAGTAAGACGTTTCCTTTGAATTGGGTGTCTCTTACGGGCCAAGATCTGTGAACAGGTTATTGGAGAAATCATCTCCACTATCTGCCGTCACAGTTTGCAAGAGTAAGACGTAAAGAAACGCTGGAGCAATGATCGAGGGCATGGATTTTGTCGTTGTTTGTGATTTTGGAATTTGTTGTGCGATTCGATTCAGAATTGTCTGTTTGTGAAGCCAAAAAGAAAAATGACAAACCACGCTTTGTGTGCTGACTGCTGTTGCTTTAAGGCCAAGGTTGGATGATAGAAATCGCTAACTTGGAAGTTTTATAAGACGGTCTAGGAGCCCATGGCTTCCAACAAACAAACCTGGCCGGCTGGATGGACACCAGTGAATTCAACAGCCCGTGAAAGTGTGAATCACGAAGAGAGAGACAACTGATAGGAATTAGTGGCCTGTGTACGAAACGATATTCCACTCATGCTCAAATCTGTTTGCTTCCCGTAACTACTCATTTCGGCTGTACGTGGACCAACCTATGCCACGACAGCAACGGCAGCTTAAACAAAGTAGAACAACCGGGACGAATTTTTTCGTTCCAGGTACGTGACTATAGGACAACTCGCCTATATCTAGTTAATCCAGTAAAGTCGACTGAATGCATTTCATATGAGCAGTACTATATCGCAAGTAGACCACTTACAAATGTTCCGCCCCCTTGGTGGAATTCCCTCCTTGCGGCGGCACCTCTCATCCATACCTGGCTTGTTCAAGGTGGTTACCCGCGTGTAGTGATACAAATAGCCAAAAGGAGCTATAAGTAAATTATGACGGAAATGTACCGCAGCGCAATAGCCCTCTTTATACAAGCTCCCTCTGCTATACCCTATTTACCTTTCTCTATCCGTTCGGTACAAACAGCAGTGTACCAGAAATTGAGTTTGCCGAAAATTTGCCGAAAAACTCCTGTTTACGGACCCACGCCGTTACCGCCTCCTGACTTTGTATGCGCAATACTCATGTTAATTGTTCATCTCTCCATGTCTGTATAAGGATCTGTGATGTTAGAACTGTGGATAGTAGCGTTTGTTGGCCACACATACTGAGTAGACTGATTACAGGCTGTTCCAAAACAGCATTGGCCTCAGATGCTGAGTCTGCGTGTCATGTAATGCTACTTTCTGCGTTGAGATCTGTGCCACGCGCTGATTTGGGCGAATTTTGTCGATCAATTTACGCGCCGCGTCGCTGGGTAGCACAAGCCAGCGCTGGTGTTGGCGAAGGAGCGCACCAACAAACGCTTCGGCCTTGCTGAAAGAGAAGATTTTGATGCATCCCATCATGCTATGGCGCAGCGTTTGTCGGATTCTGAGGTGCCGAAGCGGGCGCAAAGCGCTGAGAGAAAGGGGCTTTAGAAAAGAACGCGAACGAGGAGCTCGATATGGCAAACCTTTACGGCAAAGTTCCCAATGCATTAACTTATGTTATACAAGTGGCATGCCCGCCAAGGCATTCATAGGGTAAGCAGATCTGGTCAACAAGATCGTCCAAGACCGCCCTGTTTGATCGCATCCAGCCGGATTATTCAAGGGCAACAAGATCGTTTGAAGTCACTTTGTTCATACAAAGCCGACTCGTCCAAACGAAGCCGACTCGTCCAAACGAAGCCGACTCGTCCAAACGAAACCGCCTTGTCCAAACAAAGCTACACTTTCCAAACAATGTCCCCTGGCTTAGCCAAGGCCGCCAGGCTTGTTCAAGGTCGCCTAATTTATTCAGGGCAAGCAAAGCTGCCGTCGAAATTGCCTATGGGGAGAGCCAACAGCAAGCATAGCATTGTCTGCGATCCAAAGAGGAGAAATGACGGGACTCCAGCATCGAGCATGAGTGCTTTGTTGGGATGAGCTGATAAAACCCTTCAGGGCTTTGTGCTATCAAGCACTGGCCAATTGAAATGGAATCTTGTGAGCTGTAGCAACACAATACAGAAAGATTGAATCCAAGTCTGAAAGAAGCCCTAGGGTTCATGCGGTGTATTGAAGTGTATAAAGGAACACGTAACGATTCCTTTCAAATTTTGAATAGGTAGATGCTATATTTAAGTGCTTGATGCGCGATATCTGTGCGAGACCCCGAGGCCTTTCATCCAACGCTATGATTCGCGCCAGGTGTGTACAAGCAGAAATAAAGCATTCTCTTTATTTAGATTGAGCTATGCAGCTGAGATTCAGTCATAAGGCTTTGGTTCGATTTACCTTGGGCCAAAAGATGTACATGCTCCTTTGTAATCCCTTCATTGGATACGCCCCTTTGTCTTGACAACGTTCGTTGCTTTGCGTCTATTTAATGAGGGTAAAGTCTCCTGAATCTGCGCCAACTTACATGTACTTACATTTCCTGCATCAATCAAATCATACGACAAACCACTTTAGCGCATTGGGACCTTTCTTGGCATATGTACCAAAATATTTCATGATTTAACGCGCCAAACATGAAAACTTTCCTAAAAGGTATTAAGAAGAAGCTGGTAAAGCTCAAAAATAAGTCTCATGGAGAGTGCGACATCATAGCCGTGGAGAATGCCACGCTGATTGAGCCTGACGAACCAGAGACGGAACAGAAGCAACAGGATGGAAATTTACTAATGAGGCTACCTCCAGAGCTCCGGGACAAAGTCTATTTCTATCTATTTTCTTCAACTCGATTCATGTATGGACAGAGATTCGTCCTCGACCAAAAATACACACCGCTGCAGTTTTACACACGTGTAGCTTACCTCGGATCAGAGATTCTTCGTCCACCTCGTCATGGCCTCGCGCTACTACGTAGCTGTCGCCAAGTACATCTCGAAATTGGCAGTGCGTGGTTGGAACATGTCATCTTTTGTTTTGAGTCCCCGATTGCAATGCTCCGTCGATTGGACAGGGTGCCTCTGGAGACGCGCTCACTCATTCGACATGTGCGGATTGCAAGCGACGCATTGCAAGTTCCTCTGAGTTCACCAGCGGAAAAGAAGGTTATTGATGGTTGCTTCAAACTCCTACTTCAAATGAACCTTTACACGCTGACGGTATTTGGCCCTGCGATTCCTTGCTGGTCTCACGAAGACTTGGATCTCTTTATCAAGTACGGCAGAGGATGGAAGGAGCTTCGCTACATAACATATACCTCAGCTTTCGTCGACATTATATCCTCCAACCGCGGAAAGACAATCACACTACCTAGCGAACCGCAACCCGCAGCCTGGCAGCGTGATCTTGAGAACCGTGATGGCCCAAACTCTGGAGCTTCTGTTACCATTTACAAATCTGCAGATTCTAAGAACCCCCTGTCTGTCATGTGCTCGACTATGCGGGCAGAGTTGTCATATCCTCCAACTCCAACAACGGGCGTCGATCATTTGAACACAGACGGGATTTCTCAAAGCCTGGACTTGAAAGATGATAAAAGAGGCATCTTAATCGTGGTAAAGCGAGGCAAAAATGCAGATTGGCAAGGGGTGCAGAGAGCAGATGACCAAGAGGATCAGGAATCCTTGGATTTCCAATGGGTGAGGACCAAAGACAATACGGCACTCACAACACAAGACGTGCGGAAACTCTATACTGCTTACGACATTGGCACTTACAAACTCTCCTCAGAGCACGGCAGAATTCATAATGAGCATTTGGCCGGTTGTCCGGGCAGGATTGAGGTGGACAATTACAGACATGTAGACGATTATGAGTTTCCGCCATTTAACTTTAGAACAATACCTTTTTCTCTCTATCGTAGGCTATTCCCGAGAGAGCTCATATTGACTATACCCAGCGAGATACATGAAGAGGTATTGTAGGTAGTTCCTTAGGTGTTTTAGTTGTCTTAGCTTTGCTTTATGAAACCTTTTGACTTTTCGCTACGCTTCTGTCTTTTAATGTGATTTGCTGTGAGATGGATTTTTTTAAAGCTGGATACATAAGCATCAGCTCACTACGCCCCGCTAACAAAATTCCGACTTGTCGTTATGCGCAGTGTCTACCTAGTCTTCAGACACAATTACTACCTACTTCATTAGGTACTACAGGGTTCTGATTTATAAAGACTCCTCTGTGATGAAAGATCTAAAAATGGGGCGGAATCTCGTTTCCGTTTTGTTGAATGTGGCTATGCGTACCGGCTTTGCATACTATCCGCCTCTTGGACAAGATGTCGATTGGTCTTACGAATCCGAAACTTGTCGAGATTCAGCTTTGAATGAGGGCAAAAGGGGCACTTTGATGGTGGTTAAATGAGAAAGTGGTGCAGATTATCAAGCGAGGCAAAGCCTTCAACATCTCTGGACAAATGTCTCTTGGAAAACGTGGGGCAAGATGGTAAGGCTGGAGGGTATACATAAGGCCGCTTTTAGAGAAGATGCCATTGTTGCTGAACTCGGCTACCGGGATTTCAATAATGTATATGGCCGTCGATTAATACAAGCATGTGGACAACAATGTGTATCTACCCTTCAGATTTAGATAGCAATTGCAATGATGGTCAACATGTCGTTTATTAGAAGCAGGCCCCTTTTTGACTTTTCATATGAGTGACGCTTTCTAGAATGAATTATTTCCAACAGAATATGAAATGTTTCCAAGATAAATCCTTGTATAAGGTACATTCACGCGTCGTTTGGCAGTCCACCCCAAACGCATGCCACAGCCACCACCCCTGCCTGTTATCAGGCACCACCACGACACGGGCGCCACATGTTTCTCATACGTTGTATGCACAGGTCATAAAGACAAAAGGGTGAGATGTATTTATCATCTTGCCACCCGCCCGACTAGCATCTAATTTGCCGGTTAGTGGCAAGGCACCGGATTCTCCTGAGGACGATGTGGCCTATTTGTACCAAGATCTAGGCGCAGGCCAAGAGGCCGAAAATGGAAGTTGTCGAAACGCAGAACCAGACGTTGGCATATCCTAGGCGCGGTTGTATGAATGAAACGCCATGATAGCAGTTCAGGGCCGGCACCGAATAGCCTGCCCAATCAGGCTAAATAATTGAATACAATAAGCCAGTAGAGGACAAAGAAATTAATGAGCTATTGTTACTTCTGCCCTTTACCCGCCAGTAAACGTGAGTTTTGCCGAAATTCCGCTCAAAGGAATATATTAGAACAGGGGTTTGCGATTCAATCTAAGCGGCTCAAGGCAGGCGGGTCTGCACTTGAACTTGTTCAAACCTCACTCCATCAACTTGCTCTATCAATTCATAGTGGCTTTCATAGCAGTATTATGGTAGCATTAGGCTGCTAGAGGACGGCAAAATATAACGTATGCTTTGGACACTTCCGTGCCAGCCTATATCGCCGCAGAGACTATTGCCGACTCACATAGCCTGTTAAGAGTTTTATTCGCTTGAATGACTGACTGTACTTCATGCAGTGTTGAAAACAACGTAAAAGGGGCTGCAACATCGCCTGATTGCCGCACGGATTGTAGCCTCCAGTTCTCTCTGCCCAGGCCCCCCTTTCTCAGCCCATATAGTAAACAATATGGCGCCTTCCGGTACACTGCCGCTGGCCGCTGCTATTCTGGCCTTGGCCGGGATTGTCACGGCTCAGCAACCGGGCACAAGCACTCCCGAGGTCCATCCCAAGTTGACAACGTATCAGTGTACGACGTCGGGAGGATGCGTGGCTCAGGACACCTCCGTCGTCCTGGACTGGAACTACCGCTGGATGCACGACGCCAACTACAACTCGTGCACCGTCAATGGCGGAGTAAACACCACAATCTGCCCCGACGAGGCGACCTGTGGCACCAACTGCTTCATCGAGGGCGTCAACTACACCGCGTCGGGGGTCACAACCTCTGGCAGCTCGCTCACCATGAACCAGTACATGCCCGCCACCACCGGCGGATACAGCAGCGTGTCCCCGCGACTCTATCTCCTGGGCGCGGACGGGAACTACGTGTTGCTGCAGCTGAACGGCAAGGAGCTGAGCTTCGACGTCGACCTGTCAGCTCTGCCTTGCGGCGAGAATGGCTCGCTCTACCTCTCTCAGATGGCGGACAACGGCGGCGCCAACCAGTACAACACTGCTGGTGCCAACTATGGAAGCGGCTACTGCGATGCCCAGTGCCCCGTCCAGACGTGGAAGAACGGCACCCTCAACACCAACCACTCGGGCTACTGCTGCAACGAGATGGACATCCTCGAGGGCAACTCGGAAGCCAACGCCCTGACTCCCCACTCCTGCACGGCCACGGCCTGCGACTCCAGCGGCTGCGGCCTCAACCCCTATGCCAGCGGATTCCACAGGTGAGCAAAGTTGGCCGTAGCGACGTTGTTTTGATGATTGTGTGTTGGTAAACTGACATCTTACGCTTGTTACAGCTACTACGGCCCCGGACTGACCGTTGATACCTCCAAGCCCTTCACCATCACTACCCAGTTTAACACAGACAACGGCAGCCCTTCCGGCAACCTTGTCAGCATCACCCGCAAGTACATCCAAAACGGCGTTTCCATCCCAAGCGCCCAGTCCGGCGGCGACATCATCTCCTCGTGCCCGTCGGCTTCGGCTTATGGCGGCCTCACAACCATGGGCAAGGCTCTGACCTCGGGCATGGTCCTGATCTTTAGCATCTGGAACGACAGCGGCGGCTACATGAACTGGCTGGATAGCGGCAGCAGCGGCCCCTGTAGCAGCACCGAAGGCAACCCGAGCACGATTCTGGCCAACAACCCGGGCACTCATGTCACCTTTTCCAACATCAAATGGGGAGACATCGGCTCGACCACGTCCGGTGGCAGCTCACCACCCCCCGTCTCCAGCTCCAGCTCCAGCTCGAAGCCGCCTGCCAGCTCGACGACTCTGAGGACCAGCACGACTACGTCCAAGACGTCGACGGCTCCCCCCAGCTGCACACAGACTCACTGGGGCCAGTGCGGTGGCAACGGTTACACCGGCTGCAAGACTTGCGCGTCGGGAACAACTTGCCAGTACAGTAATGACTGTGAGTATAGCATGAATATCTCAAAGAGACGTTTTCGGATTCTAATTATGTGAACTTAGACTACTCGCAATGCCTGTAGAGCCTGATACTATCAGCAAAAGTGAAACAGAGTAGGCCAAAGGCTCTCTTAGTAGGGCGATTCAGCAAAAGAAAAGAAAAATAAAAAGAAGACGATAAAAATAAGCGCCTCTATTGTTCGAGTACATATGTATTGTTTTTTTTTACTCTATTATAACCGCCTTGTACTTAGAATCTCTCCCCGTATAGATATGTAGATCCATAGCGAGTGGAGCAGATGGCGATAAATATCAAACATATTATGACAACAGCGGTTTCGTGAAGCTGCTCAAGGAAGAATAATAGTATAAATACATATAGTGGCGGATCAAACCGGATAGCAACCGCATATGCTACTCCCTCAAAACACGGGGCTATCATCAGGCTACTGATACTTGTAAGATGTAAACTGCTGGCTGTTAGTAGAATACAGTTTCTTGAATTGGTAGATGTACATCGGGAAGAGCTGGTCTCTTTCATAATCCCTTGCAATTATGGGTATTGAGCTACGCTAAGTGTTATTCTTATCATGAATGACACTTGAGCACTGAGCTGAGTGACGGCGAGACACACCATGAGACAAACAGCCACGTTTGTTGAGCGAATCCTTCAGTAGCCATGAGACCAATAACTGCGCCCCAGTGGCTGTAAAAAAGCTGCGTAAGTCAAGATCGTTAGAGGGAAGTAGCTTTTTGGTAAACGTCCTTATGCTTAATTACGCATAGCCTCTCTAGAAGCAAGGGGTTCAAAAAGGCGTTCAATAGTCCGTGCAGCGATAGCCGCTATGCCGTTAGAGCTAGCCGTTGTAGCTCTGCATAAGGTGATGAATATATAATCTTATTGGACGAGCGAATCAGATGAGACGTTGACTATTGTTCAGCTAGGACTATACTACTGTATGGTTATGTTCTCGACTGCCATCAGATACTAGACCTAGTATCAGCTCTCACTTAGTGCCTTCGTGTCTGCCACAGCCTCACTGAGACCATGGCAGCTGACGCTATCAGTACACCAAACACTTATACGTCCACAACTGAAGCCATCATCGATACATGGCAGTTGTAAAATGAAGCGCAATTGAGGAGGTTTCGTCTATATAAAGCAGCGAGCAATCCGTTCCCCAGTCTTGGATTAGCATCACCGCATCACCTGAACCACCGAGGAAGCCATTAAACTAGGATTTCCTTGCATCCAATCACCCTGGAATTCTCGACTACTGTACACAATTGAATACTGAATAATCTCATCATGGCGCCGCTTCTCGATGGAATCTACACCATTGCAAACAACGTTCAGCATTATCCAGTTCTCGACCTTGATGGCGCTACCAACCCCTTTGCAAGCCCCATCGCTGGTGTTGTCGGCTTGTAAGTTCTCTCGGTCCATACGACAGCTATAAAACTCATGAGCTAATATGCCCAGCACTAATAATGGCCCTGGGACCAAGAACCAACAGTGGATAGTAACTACACTTCGCCCAGGTGTCTACAGTCTGCAGTCAGCATTTGCCGGCAACACTTGGTTGGCTGCTCCCAGTATGCTCTTCCATCTTGTTTCTTTCCGTGGAATAAAGATGATATCCCATTTCCACCAAACAGAAGGATCTAACTCATTTGTTTAGCTGATGGCGCAACCCTTGCTCAAATCGAGTCGTCTAGATACGACCCCGTCTATAACGAGGTCACTCGCTGGAAGATTACCAACATTGAGGGCAACAACTACCAGTAAGTAGCTTATTGTGAGGTTATGTAATGTCTGTTCACTTCTAATAGACCATTTAGAATTGAGAGTGTGCCATTCCCTGGCAAAGTTATGGATCTCGAGATGGCTAATCCTACCGACGGCACTCGCGTCATTCTATACCCAAACAACAAGACTCCCAACCAGATCTGGACATTTATCCCTAATGCGATTCCGTGAGAGATGGGATATAATATGGTGAATAATTTGGTCCTGCCATTAGACTGTATAGGCTGCATCTATGATCATAGCTTCTTTAGAATGAATTATGCATTGAAACTTCCGACGCTGAACCCATCTTCTTGGCCCCTCCTGGCACCATGTCTGTATGTAGATGCGCCTCTAAGCACTTAGTTGGCGCCATTACAAGAACACCAAATCGTACCGAATATAGTGCTTCTTGCAGTAGTCTGATTCTGTAGCATAAGCTGAAGCAACAAAGTGAGGGGATGATGACACTAAATTAGTAATACGCTGGACGGGCGTATCACAGCGCGAGCCGAATCCCTCATTCTCACGTTGGTGGATTGGAGCTTTCGGTACAGCAACATCACAAATCTGCGCAACACTTCTTATCAGTAACTCGTAAATCAAGTACATTTCTACTCTGCTCAGGCAAGTACTCTTCTCATCCTTCATACCACTGCGCTGAGGCTTGCTTGACTCAATGTGTGTATCACATCAAATGTGACTAATTACAGGTACTGTTTCCGGCGGCCGAAGCCTCTTACTCTAATCACCAGATCAGTTTTCGTCGTGTTGCAAGAACAGCTTGTCCTAGTGCAGAATGGCCGAACAAAATATCAAAATCCCATTTGCCTACCGGGCACTTTTCCTTTATTTCGAACCCTTTGCAGCCTTGTTTGGCGCGGTGCTGCTTCACTTTCGCCCAGAGATATTCCTCAATACGATGTCTCCGGTTGCGAAATATGCGGCAGACAACCAGGTCATCTACGACCAGCTCTCGGCGACGTACACATTATTTGCCTTCAATGAAGCCGTCGTTTTGCGTGTCACCAAGGATTTGCGTGTCTGGAAAGCACTCTTGGTTGGCATTCTCGTGTGTGATGCTATACATCTGTATGGGAGCTGGGCGGCACTTGGCGGCGACGTGTTCTGGGACGTGCGATCCTGGAGGGCCGAGGATTGGGCGAATCTCGGAAGCCTTTGGGGACAAGGAGCCTTTCGGGTGGCTTTCTTGGCGGGAATTGGACTGAATGAAGCTATTCCTGTGAAGAGGGAGTGATTGGATGGATACAATAGGCCATCATGAAACGTGGGGCAGGTGCTCTATCGTTGATATTCAACATCATGCTGCGAAGTGGAGACTTGCGATATTTATGGGAGAATTGCAATATAAATATATGTCAATGTATGATGTAGTATCAATAGTACTATCTGATCGGTCCAAGTCTTTGGAAAGCAAGGGTAGAACATTTATAAGACAAGGGTACAGTGAAGGCAAGATAAAAACTAGAGAGTAGATTAATGTGTAGTGTTGGCGTCTGTTATTTCAGCGTGCTCCTCCTTCGAGCCCTAAACGTCCTATTACTGCTCCATTGGACGAGCATCAAATGGAATGGCGTCCCAACGCACCCGACGCAAATGACGGTTTGGATCCTTGATGCTGTGCCGTGCGTGCAGCCAGCGGCGATTATCCATCAGTATAATGGTCCCTGCCGGAAAATCCTTGGCGGTGAGATGCACCGTTGACTGAAATTGAGCATTGGCATCTTGCACCGCCGCTTCAAGCTCATGCAGTGCTTTTGCCGCCCGTTCTGTCAATGCTGTTACAAGATCTCTCCTGAAACGTAGCATGTTGAGCTGGCCTTGTTCGTCAGCGGCCATCAGACTCCCTATGATGTTCTGTTTCCGGGGGTCTTTGATGAACTCTGGGGGTATTGTGATGCTGTACTCTCGTCGCATCAATGACTCTCGGGTGGCTGGGGAGAGAGACAGGCTTAGCCGTTGAGTGTTCATGGCCGACAAGGTCCCTCCACCAAATTGATCTTCCTGAAGAACGTGGAGTGCAAAGTACCGTGGCGGCAAGTCTTCATAGCTGCAGTCGGTGTGCCAAGGGAACTCCTCCATCGTTTCCGATCGGGCTTGGTGGTTGGCGGTCTGGAAGACGGTGCTGTTGGGCCTCACGTCCCAGAACCACCCGCGCGACGCGCTGTGAGATATGGGAAGCTGGTGGCCATGATGTTGATGAAGGCCCACGACTAGTTGCTTCAGATACTCGCTGTCGGGGTCTGGAAACTTCAAGCCGATTTTGAGTATGCCATGTTTCTGGAGATTCTCGTGCACACTGCGAACATGACGCGGCTGTGTGGCGTGCTCGAGATCAGATGCCGTCGAATGAGGTATAACGAGAGGGACCACAGCAGCCACGGATGCTACATAATGCCGCCTGGATGTGGGTATCCGAGCGAGATTCCAACATTGGGCACCCGAGATGTGTAAGTTGGGAGGTTTCCTGGAGTGCAGGTAATGTGCGATATTGACTGATGGCAGACGCATTTTCAGAAGCTTGAAGTTGATGATTATTGCGAATAGAAAGATTGACTGCCAGTAGTTTATCTTTCTCAAGGCACTTTAACCACTGTATTACTGAGATTGATCATTGTATTATTCAGATATTGACTAATATGCATTTCCAAAACGGCCGCCCTTGCAGTGATACCCTCTTACCCGGGCAGCTTTCCTCTACCGGCTTGATTCCGTCATAGGCGATAAACTAAATCGTGATGGGTGACACAAACAGAGTAGGAGCTCAGCTAAAACTGAGACAATGTAATAATACTCCTTGTACACCGCTATTTTTCGTTCCCGAGCTGTGTAGCCTGCTTAGGCGGAAACCTGAGACATTGTGTTACTACCATCAAAATTGAGCGCTGACATCTCATGGTGGGCTATATCCCCAAGAGCATTTTCTTTGTTCAATCGGTTTATTATACACCTTTTTCATCCTGCGCTTCCTCAAGATTATTTGCCCATCACTATCGTCTCAATATGGGGAAATCTGATATTCCTTCTCGACCCAAACTTCGGCCGAGAGCGGCGGTTGCGTTGAAGTGGCCTATTCTTCTCGGCACTCTACTCGTTTACATCATATGCTGGAAATGTCATAAATTCTCTTCTTTCAACCTTCAACAAACGCTGCTTTCTGTTCCCTCTGCCGAGCATGTGCGCAACTGGAGCGCCTACTACACCTCGGAGGCGCATTTTGTCGGCCAAGGTCTGAGCCAGGCGCGGTGGACTGAAGCTAGATGGAAGGAATTTGGCATCACCGATACTCAAATTGCTTCCTACAATACTCTGGTGCCAAAGCTCACAGGCCATCAGCGGCTGGCTCTCCTTCGCGGAGATGAAGTCCTTTATGAAGCGCCCTTGATAGACGATGTCACCACCAAGGGACCTGCTGGAAACACCAGTTTCTTGCCTGCATATCTAGGTTTCTCGACCAATGGCAACATATCAGCTTCGTATGTCTTTTGCAACTTTGGCAGCGCAGAAGACTTCCAAGATCTGAAACGAGCCAATGTCGACGCCACAGGAAAGATTGGCATCATCAAGCTGGCTAATACATCACCATACTTGCGCCTTCGTAACCTAGAGGTCTTCAGAGGAGAGCAGTTGACAAATGCCGGAAGAGCGGGCTTGATTGCTGCCGTCTTCTATACTGATCCTCAGAATGACGGCCCTGTGACTGAAGCCAATGGATACAAGGCATTTCCTGCCGGGCCAGCACGACCACTTGCGGCCATCGAAAGAGGGTCAGTTACTACAGGAAGTAAGCATTAGGTTCCTCGAACCTCATCTCGATGTTATGCTCACAAATTATATCTAGATCGCTTTCGCAACCCCGAGTCTCCTAAGCTTCCTTGCATACCCATGTCTTACGCTGATGCCATTCACCTGCTAAGGGCTCTAAACGGCCATGGACCTTCAGCAGAGGAGCTCGGTCCTCGCTGGCATGGTGGTGGCCTCGAATTCTACGGCGTACACTACAATGTCGGACCTTCGCCTGCTGATGTATCGCTTCATCTCGTCAACGAAGCAGACGCAATCGAGACTCCGATACACAACGTAATTGGCACGATCCCGGGGATAATCTCCGACGAGGTCGTTATCCTTGGAACTCATCGTGACTCTTGGGGCCACGGAGCAGGAGATCCAGGCAGTGGCTCCGCAGCTCTGAACGAAGTTGTACGCAGCTTTGGCGTAGCACTTCGGCATGGCTGGCGGCCACTTCGCACCATTGTCTTTGCGAGCTTCGAAGGCGAAGAGATTGGTCAAATGGGCTCTTTCAACTGGATCATGGACCACTCAAAATGGTTGAAAGCCTCTGTTGTTGCATATCTCAACGTTGTTGTTGCCGCGGCTGGGTCCAGGTTCCAGGCCAAAGCCAGTCCGCTTCTCTACAGGGCAGTTCTTACTGCCACGGATATTGTTACCTCGCCGAATCAGACTGTGGCTGGTCAGTCGGTGCGAGATGTCTGGGGAGGGACCATTGGTACGCCGGGAGGCGGTGATGCCATCTCCTTTATAGGCCTCCCGTGTATTTCGACGGTTGATTTCAGTTTCTCCCAGGGTATAGGGGACGGTGCCTTCCCCTATCATACTGGATTCGACAGCTTCGAATGGATGGACCAAGTCGGTGACCCTGGGTGGAATTATCATATTACTAGCGCAAAGATATGGTCTGTCATGGCTGCATATCTTACAGAGTTTGCCGTACTTAACACGAGCGTTGCTGATTATGCATCGGCGTTACAAAAGTGGATGGATGAACTTTGCAGCAGCAACCTATGCTCTTCCGAAGTTGATCTGACGGTGCGGGACAAGGCAGTCCAGCGACTAACTCGGGCCGCAAAGAGCTTTGATAGCTACGCCGAATCGTTAAGAGTGCCTCGCAATACCTGGTGGAGATTCTGGACAGGGAACGACTTGAACGCGGCAATTCGTGGCGTCAATAAGATTTATACTGTATTTGAGCGTCAATTCTCCCACGGGCGAAGCGCAGATTCATCCTCCAGCTTTCATCATGTTCTATATAGGCCAGCTGCTTGGCATGCCGAACAACCACCTCTCTCAGCACTACATGACAGTTTGAAGAAGAAGAATTGGAAAGATTCCAGGGTAAGAAACATTTCTTTTCTCTATACTTTTAGAATTATCAAGCTAACAACAGCAGAAATGGAGAGATGTTATGGCAGAAAAAATTAATGATGCTGCCCAACTGCTAGAGGATCACCTGGAAGAGGTAAACCAACAATAAGAAGACGCTTTATGAAGTGTACACCAAGGGTTGTAGAGCCATAGAAGGCATCAATCGAATCTATTATCATGTATTGTTGCAGTACTAATAACTATAATAAGCCACCTTGCCGGAATCATCCTTAACATTGGAAACTCCTAAAGCATAATCTATAATCATAGGGTTATGTACATAATGCTAGGTGGTTGTACCAATCTGTGCCGGCGACGGGCCTTTTACGGCTGCAGCTGGCAGGGATGCCCCGGTTCCCAGCCGCCTCCAGATCTGCAGGGAGGCGATGCCAAATCGTCCAACAGCTAGCACTTGAAACCCACACGGGTAAATACTTGTCATACAGACCCGAGGTCACTTCTAAGCTGGGGGTTGACGTGGAAGGTGTATGCTACTTGTTTGCGATTTTCTTGTTTTTCGTATACCGCTTGGTTAGTACGCTGATTCTCTGTGAGAGTGTGATGAGACATGTGTGACTGGCACTATAATCTTGGCACAGGATGCTCTTGTCCTTTGGTATTGCTACTAGTAATATTATACAAATCTACTGTAAGATTATAATGAGACATTGACAGCCCTGGTGCTACGTCACTAGTACCGACAGATTCAGCTTTTTAGTAATACCGCCGTCATACACGTTTAGCTGCAGTAGTCATATCAGCCCACCGTAAGAGTAATACAAGACATTGGTAACTCTCCGTAACGCTTTGGCCATCCAGCACAAATGTAAAACGACTGCGTACAAATCGCCTCCAGAGGACATCATAATTGCCTTTAATCATGGCCAACTTCCGCCCCCACTCCCTTACCCTTCCACGTTCATCTTTTGAGAACTTTTCGCCTTGATCTGCGTGATCGTATAGCAGTGTCTTTGCCATGCCGGGGCATGCCGCGCCTCCTGGCTTTGACTCTCAATACTCTAGCGGATGCCATATTGGCTGCCGAAAGTTTCTCGCAATAACTATACTGAGACCGCTGTCCTCGTTCTGACGGCTGGCCTGAGCAAGGTTCGCATATTGGCGTGCATATCTTGACATGTTCATCATAGTTTGCAAAATCAGAATTTCACTGAAGCATATAGCTCATGGTCGATGGTATCAGCGGCCACTATTCACAAATAATAATTATAATGAAAAAAGATGAGATAAAATGTCTTAGAATTAAAACCCAAGAAAAACGGCCGATATGTACCTATAAGTACCTTTACACGTCAGTCATTTTGTCGTTAAAATGATTCACATAAGGCTAATGATCTTTTATGTATAATCTTTCCGTGGCTTTTTCGAGCTTCTGTATTCTAATCGATTTTGCATAGGAAAAGTCAAAGCACGCGAATTTCTCAAACTGACCACAACCTTTTGATGAACTACATGTATGTGCTACCTCAATCAATGATATATCAGCCTCAGCTCTTCGACGCAAACTGAGCTCTGTTTTTCTAAAAGTTGGCCTCCAAACCATTTAGATGGACGAATCAACACCCCTTTTACAACACCAACCTCACCACCTTTCCCAGAAACGGCTGTTGGTCATCTTTCCAGCCCTCGCTTTGATACACTTCATTTCCTTTCTCGACCAAACAGCTATTTCGACGAGTCTGCCCGCCATCGCAGCTTCGCTAGATATCGGCGCGTCCATCTCGTGGGTGGGAGCGAGCTTCCTCGTTACCAGCACCAGCATCCAGCTGATCAATGGCCGGCTGTCGGATATATTTGGCCGCAAGGCCTCTCTGGTCGCGGCCATCTCGATCATGGGCGTTGCGAACCTGTTATGTGGTCTTTCCACGACACCGGTAGAGTTATTTGCCTCCCGCGCTCTCGCTGGATTTGGCGCCGGAGCCATCAACGCGCTTGTGCAGATTGCCATTGCCGACATCACGACGCTGGAGCAGCGCGGCTACTATTTTGGCATCATGGGTGTAGCGGTGGCTCTGGGGAATGGCTTGGGCCCTGTTATTGGTGGGCTGCTTACCCAGGCGGTTGGCTGGCGATGGGCATTCTGGTTTGTCTGTCCCTTGTGCGTTGTCGCCATCAGCTATCTCGTCTCGGTATGGCCTGTTTCACGCCCTGTATCCAATGGGTATCAAATCTGGGACAAGCTGAAGCTGGTGGACTGGGCTGGAGCTCTGGCGAGTCTGTTTGGCATCGCATTGCTTTTGGTAGGAGATGGAAATGGCCTGTGACACTCAACACATGTAGGCTAACGCTGAGCCATCGCCTAGATTCCGATATCCCAAGGCGGTTCGGCGCAGTCTTGGAGTTCGCCGGCGACGGTAGTCATGCTCATCGCTGGTGGAATACTGCTCGGTGTCTTCTTGGCCATCGAATTCCGATTTGCAAAGCTGCCTCTGTTGCCGGCTCGACTGTTCCGCTACGGCCGTTCCACCAATATTCTGATCTTCGCCAACATCCTCATCGGTTGGATTTTCTGGGGCAACATGTTTGTTCTACCGCTGTATCTGCAGAATGTCCGCGGACTAAACCCTACCCAGGCCGGAGCCCTGATGCTGCCCATGGTCATCACTCATGGACTGACATCCGGCCTAACTGGCATTCTCATATCCATGATTGGGCGTTACAAACCCGTCATCGTTATCGGAGCCGCCTGCTGGGTCCTGGCCGCCATTGGAAAGATGCATTTCCATCAAACGACTCCGATCTGGGAGATCATCGTCGTCGGCGTCTTTGACGGCATAAGCGTAGGATGCTCCCTGCAGCCCGGTACGTGGCTCTCACTAATGTACGACTTGCCTCTTATTCGCTAAGTCATGCCTCTACAGTCCTTGTCGGTCTTTTCGCCGGGTCCGACGCCCAAGACCGAGCTGTGCTCACCGGACTACGGAATTTCCTTCGAGATTTTGGAGGAGCAACCGGTACTACCAGTACGTATGCACTTGCTTGGCTAACTAGTCCTCCGGTCTTTAGAGCAGGACGATCTAACGAATATCTAGTCTCCGGTGCTGTTCTAAGCAACGTGCTCTATAGACAATTGAAGTCGACATTCAGCCCCGAACTCATAGCGAAGCTAGCTTCATCGGCATTCGCGTTAAAAGACCTGGACCTTAGTGATGAAGAACGAAGCATGATTTCTCTAGCGTACACAAATGGCCTCCGCGCAGTCTTTTCTTGCTTTGCTGTGCTTAGCGTCATTCATCTCTGCGCATGCCTGTGTATTCAAGACTATGGTCTGAAACGAGAAGATGGGAAACGGCAGCAAAGGGTCATCGTGGAGGCGAGCACAGTAAATAATGGCCATGATCAATGACGATGAGTCAAGGCTTGACCAACGCATATTGGGCTTTCAGTGAAAGATGCCGAGTTGCCAAGAAACAAACATGCCAGGAAACAAAGATAAATGGACCATTTCCGCTGGTGAACAAATGAAATTGACTAATTAAAAAGTAGATAGTTACAAAGGCCGAAAGGCGGTATATATACTTTTGAGGCAAAAAGAGTGCTTTATAAGAATAGGAAAAAGCAGAGGTGAGTTAAACGTCTCAATAAGTAAGAAGTCGTGAAAAGGAGTGTTACCACGAATGAGATACAACAAAGGAGATGTGTAGTATGACGCGACATATAGAACAACTTGAACCCTTTCAACTCCACCCATTCACCTGCACCCATGCCCTCAGTAGAAAATGCGTGACGCCAGCACCCACTCTCTCTTGGAAGTCTCCAATGTATCGACACCATTCCATTCTTCTTCGAGTTCCCCGAACTTCCATGCCGTGGGTAGAGTGTACTGCCATGGTAATTCTCCCGTCATTCCGTCGAATGTGAAGTCTGCAGTCAGTTTAGCAGAGAGGCCATGGAAAACTTTCTCTCGCTTGCTCATATGCTCCAACTCAGAATCCTGGAATTGAGAGTGTAACCTCTTCAGTAGCTCCAAATGAAGCTCTGCTGTCTTGGAAAGGAGCTGGATGTCGCGACGAGTATAGCCATTGTATACAATTTCAGAATGGCGGCATATCTCTGTCAATACTGCTTCGTGGAGGTCCATGGCATAAGAAGCATAGCTGGTATCTCCTCCCAAAGCGTTGGTGACCAAGACATTTGAGAACAGTTGTGATACTGCCAAAGTCTCCGGGTGAAGTCTCCCGAGACCACGCTGGAGATTATAATACAGTTCCCTAACAGTCTCAATAGCTGCACTCCATCGATTCTGAGCACACTGCGCATGCACCAAGCAAGTGCCAATCTCAGCGATTGTTGGCAATTCTGAGTCGGACACGGTCGACAGGTCGCTTCGCATGTTCCAAAGAGGAGAAAGTACGCGCTCAAGCTGCTTGTAATTGCTTTGCCTATATAGGAGATGGACAAGGCCAATCAAGTCTTCAGAAGGGAGTGTCTCAAAAGCAATATCTAAGGTATTGATAGCATCAATAACAATTGTCATGATGTCTAATGACGTTTTCAGCAGAGCTTTGCTGTGAACGGCATCGTCAGGATGCGAAGCATCTATTCCGACCAAGTACTGAGCCAGCATGCATCCATAGCGGACGTAGCTAGCGTGATAATACAATTTCTTCTCTTTGGCAAAGGAGAATATGAAAAAGCTAATTTGATTCGCATCATCAAACTCATCTTTGCCCAACAGATCTTTGACTAGCTCATTGCCGATTTGTAACATGAATGTTTCAAAGTCAAAGTTGAGAGAAGGTCGATCTTCTCCTAGCTCTTCCATCAGATAGGTATAGAAGAACTTTATTATCTCATCACGAATATTTGCCACAAAGTATTGAGAGAACGTGGCTTTGAAGCGTTTGAGGAGCTCCTCATCAAGGTCTTTAACAAATTCATGGCGATGGTGAAAATGCCAGAAATGACGCAGTTTTGCACCATACTCAAGAATGACCTCCGATTTGGCTTCTTCTTTGACCTTTTGCGAGTATTTCTCAAGTAGCAGAAACTCTAAAACGTTCTCAGTCATGACTTTTGAGTAAGAGAGTTTCTCGTGGGGCTGTTCAAGACCGTGAGCGAATACGATTAGGAAAATAAAGACAACCTTCTTCATCTGAGACTCATGATCAATTTGAGCATCGTTATGAGAATGCTTGTGTCCATGAGTGATTGACTTGCGCATCTTATGAAGAAGTTCTCTGCCATTCTGTGTCAGGCCTGTTGTAGCAAGGAGGGTAGCAAACTCATGCGCTACATGGAAGAGCTCGATATTGACCGTGGCTACGGCAAGGATGTGTCTAATGGCTTCCTCCAGAAATTGGTAAATGCGCTCAGAAGCGTTCAACTTCTGATATAAGAGTATAACATTCTTCAAGTAAACCAGGGCTTGATCGGGGTTGGTTTTGAACTCGTCCTTATGTTTATGGTAGGTTTCAAGAGTGACCGCGATAGCACGCTCTGATTCAAACTCTGTTGTTTGAGACTCTTCAACCATTGTCACATACATCCTGGATAAAAGTTTCTTGACGGTTTCAACGGTCGTGACTGTGGTGACTTCGGTGTTTGTGGTGGTTCTCTTAAGTACATCTTCGTAGGCGCTGACAGAAACTTTGTAATAGTCTTTGTGCGTTTCGCATATCTTGGCCAAAGCAATAAGCGTCTTGACTACCAAGGCCTCGTCGTCGCTTGTCTTGGTAATCATGTCTCTGTATTTAACTGCAATGTCATATCGCTCGGAGAATTCAGCCTTGGCATGATGGTCCAGCACATACGAGTATCTATCATAGACCGATGCAATTGCCTCTGCATCAATCTTGTATGCTCCCTCAACCACGTGTTCTTCGTGATGTTGGGTGATAGTTACCCATAGAACATTACATATAGCATGTAATTTGTCCCAGAAGCTACGGGCATCGTAATGCTTGCTGAGAACTAGAGCAGCCCTGAGTGCCTGGTGGTGACAGTAGTCCAGGCCCTCGTTGAGTACATTGACAATCTTTTCATAATAGATGTACGCTTCTTCATGACCAAGAGTCATATAGCGGTCTGCCAACAAGTAGAGCGTCTTGATAGTCGATTCATGTTTTGTGCCCAGTTCTTTCTCATATTTCTCTAGCACTTTGATGTGGACATTGATAGCTTCTGTATGGCGGTGATGCCCCTCGTAGAATGCAACCAAGCTATTCGCGGCAGCTTCATACAGCTCAGCTCCTGTAAGGGTGGTAGATTTGGTGCTGAGATTGTCTTCTAGCTCAAGGGTGCTGCAAGCGGCAAAGATTTGCGAGTGAATCTCCTCAGCCATAGAAAAGAGTCCCTGAGTCGAGTAACAGTCGGCCAAGTGGTGTGCTATGTCCAAGCATTCCCCTATTGAGTACTGGGGGAGCTTGATCTTAGAGCCTGCGATGAGAATTTCGCGCCAGGTAGAATTCAGAGTCTTCTTAAGCGTCTCCTCAGCCTCGCGCCAATTTTGTTGTTGAGTGTATACGCTGATCAGAGCCTTCGATGCCGAGAATAAGGTAGTATCAGACTCATCATGATGGTGCTGATGCACGAAATGCTCAAACAACTCTTTCACTGCTTTTTCTGTTGACTCAGTCACAGTAGTTGTCTTTGTCGTTACTACTGTCGTGGTTGTCTCTGTGATCTCCTTAATCACTTCAGTAATAAGAGTCGCAGTTCTCTGGGTTTCTTTGCTGTACCCTTTGCTGCTGAATGAGTTCCAAACTTTCCTCAGAATGGAAACAGCAATGGTTGTCAAACCAATAGCCCTGCACTCTTCTGCGACATCTCTGATCCTTGTGATGTACTTGATCACTGCTTCGGATTCCTCGGTTTCACCGTTGGTTGTATATTCATGGCACTCTTTACCCTCTTTGTACTCTGCAGCAAGGCAGATAAGAATGCTACTCGCATCTTTGTCACGGCCCTGTCTTCGAAGAAACTTGACATATTCAAGTGCAATGTCAATCTTGATTGAACTGGCATCCACATCGGCTTCTCGGTCACAAATGACAGTAATGCTTTGCCAAAGGCTGACATAAAGTCTCTCGGCCTCGAAAAGGTGCTTGCATTGTTCAAATGTGTTGGCCAACCAGAGCCAATTCTTTATGCAAAGGTAATCTGTAAATTCTTTGCCAATTCCAAAGATGAGTTGCTCGAGTTCGCCAACTCTGCCAACCGAAGGGTCATTGAAAACGATATCCAGGGTAACGAAGTACCTATAAACCCTCTTTGCCTCTTCTGACTCGCTGCCGTATTTGGTGGCCGTGGCAGTATACAGCTCTTTATAGACATCAATAACACGCTCTTCTTGTTTGCTGTCAATGTAAAGCTTTGTGAGCGTCTTATACCAAAAGATCACCTGGTCACTAGAATACCCATGCTTATGCTGATCAATTCTGATAGCTAGCTGGATCATTTCTGCATAGCACTCGACAATATCAATTTTCTCTTGAGTGTGAACGGTGGTGATTTCAGTCTTGCCAGTTATCTTCAAAGTTGCCATGTACTTTAAGAAATGGCTCGTGCAGCTATGCACAATGGCAGATTTTGCTGTCAAGATCTTTTCTCCAAGTTTGGCTGCCTTGTAGAAGTACCACGCCGCATCGGAATGGGAACCCAAAACATTGAGATAGGTGTAGCCAAGGCTGATCAAAGTATGAACCACCGTAACATGTTCACCAAAGCATGCTTGCCGAATCTGGAGAGCGAGTTTGTGATTGAGAACGAGTTGCTCTTTTGTATATGCTCTGCTCCAACAAGTCCTTTCAAGAAGGAGCAACGTGATAGAACCAGGGAAGACATGTTGAACTTTGGTCTCAGACAGACTGGACTTTTGAAAGTGCGTAACCTAATTCTGTACGACATATTGGAGTAAAGAATCTCCAGAAATGGTAGATAGAGCAAGGCCATGGTGTAATGTGTCTATGTTCAGCTCTGTATCGCTTTTCAAAGAGATTCTGGCGTACAAAAGCATTATCAACGTTAGTTGCCGATGCGCTTCTGCCTCAGCCAGAAACGAAGCGCTTCCAAGCTGTGATTTCATGAATAAGTGGACGGCTTTAGTGCGAAAACGAACATGGCCATCTCGAATTATGACTAGGCCGTAGCTATATTCGGAGATGAGTGCGGCAGCATCAAAAGGCGTGGGAAATGCTGAGTTCATATGCATATGAAGATCAATTCAAAGGATTTGAGCGACCTCTTCAATGGTGAGGGGGCGTGTGACCACTAACATTGCGGTCAAAAGAGTCTTCAAGGAGTGGTTTCTCAAAGAGTGGCGTTTATCAAACTCAAAAGTCTTCATAACCTTGAGCAGTATGTCCGTTTCCATATCGTGGCCTGACTGTAGAAGAGAGGCCTTTGATTGTTCTTTGGACAAGAATTTGGAAGCATAAAATGACCAAAGCCAGTTGTTGTTTGCCTTTGCCATGATATTTTGGAAGAACTCTTTGCGCTCTGTAGAGCTCAAGCTGTTGAAAACATCAGACCGAGATAAGATCTCAAGAAAATAAGTTTCAATGTCTTTTTCAACTTTGGTGTTAGGAATCTCATGCTCGTATTCCCTGACACTATCAGGAATTGAGCGAGAAAATGTCACGACACGGACATTTGAGAGCTCATGGATGCAGGTTCGGAGCTTTTTATAGAACTCGGCGTCGCCACCAGCAATCCCCTCGCAACTATCTAAAATCATGATTATCGACGCATGCTGAATGCGGATAGCTTTGAGTGAGGCCTGTAAGGCTTCCCATAGTAAAAGCTCTGTAGGCCCAGAATCTGCGTCGCCAGATTGTCGCTCGAAAGCATGCGCGATGCTCTTATACACATCGATATTGCCGACATTCTCCTCAAGGATTTTGTATAAAATGTTTTTGAGAAAGACATCGGCAGTTGGCAGACTTGGCGGATTGTATGCTATGATCTTCAATTAGCAATGTTCTAATTTAATAGACGCAGGATAACTTACGAAAATCGTATCGAAGAACATGATTAGATTCAACATGGATAGGCCGTGCAAGTCTTTCCTCTATCCATCCAGCGAGGAATGTCTTACCACAGGCTTCATCGCCAGTAATGCAGACGATCTGGCCGCTATTGTCATCAGAAAGAATATTCTTCAGCCAGTAGCCGACTTCAGTCGATATATTGGCATAGTGACCAATCTTTTCGAATACGCCATTGGGAACATAATGGCTCTTATTAAGCTGAAGCTTCGATTGAAGAAGGTTGACATTTGTAGGGAGACCTGCGGCTTCGAGCTTTTGCTTCCATATCTCATTGGAGAGTGCCTCTTTGAAGCGCCAGACCTGCTCAACCTTCGATTTGAAGTTGGGACCAAAATTAAGAGATTCTGATGACCCAGGGTTGACATTGCTAATCTTCTGTTGATATAGTGTTCTCATACCGTTAAGAAAGACGATTACACTGTGGAAAGTTTGAACCAAGGCATTCAGAATCTCATGCGAAGGCTGCTGGAGATTATATGCTCGGATAATGTCCGTATACAATACAGAGATCTCGTAAAGAGCAGAAAAGGTGGGCAAAAGAGTCTCAGCTTGTGTGTATCCAATCTAATCATATGTAATCGTATTAGCAATTGTATAGTATGACAATGTCAATACTTTTGATCTGTGGGATATACCTCTAGTAAAGAGTGAGCAGTCGTAAGAGCACTGGTAATCAAGTCGAGGGCGCCGTTGATAGAAGCATGATCATTGCGTCCATTGGAGAGAACCTCTTGACCGCCAGATATATCATCGACTCTGGCTTCTTGGGAAAGAGCATCAAGCAATTCTCCATTGATGAAAGTATTGATTTTGTCTCCAAAGTCCGAAATGTGGAGCCCAAAGAATTGCGCAGCGTGGAGAACGCGATCCCAGGCGCTGCCTCTGCCGGGCATCCGACGAAGTCGTTCATTTGAAATGTATTCAAGATAGTAATCGAGAGTAATATGAGTAACTTCAGGCTTAGGAGACACTTTAGAGCGGGATCTAGTCTTAGTAAACATCGTTTGCATCTTGGACGGTTTGCTCTCTACCACCTCTGTCGATTTACTAATGGTAGTAGTGGAGGTGATGACTCTGTTAACAGCCTTTGTTATCACTTCGTTATGGCTGTTGTCGTTCTGAGATGAAGACACTTGAGAGATTATAGCAGTGTTATCGGAAGGCCCTGGTGTAGTCGATACTACAGGATCAGGAGGAGTGTATGATACTACCAGGCCACGAGACTTATTAGGCTCCATGGTGGCAGATCGTCGAAGAACAGTAGGAGTTATCACAGTCTGTGATGGAGTTGAGCCGCTGGCAGCAGAATTGATGCTGGCGGAGTCGTTGGTCATAGGGTCAGCGTTTCTGTTCTTTTTCTTTCCTAGTAGCGTTTGAGAAAGTCAGTATGCTTGCAGGAAAATAGCCTTAGTAGTATAACGCCGGGAATAGCTGTACGAAATAAATTTATCAGCATATGTGCTAACGTACCTTTATTAGCAAAGTTCTTGAACATGCTGAGTTGGATGGTGGTATCTATCGGTCTTTCAGTCCCGGATAGATATAAAACAGGGACTTGAAGTAAAAAGTCGTCTCATAAGCGCTATTCAAGTGAAGATAGAGGACAATGAATACCATACAGACGAAGACTGCTGGACAGGTTATATATAACTTGCTTTCCTTTTTCCTATGGGGTTACGAGGTACAAAGATAGCTGAATATTGCAAAGGCTGTACACATGGGCATATATTGAGAATATATCTGCCAATATCACTTTAAACTCTATTTTAAGTACAACCCCGCGATAGGCCTCACCGAGAACAAATCTTATTGGCTACAGTATGCCGTTCAGCTTGGAATAGTCCGCATAGACGTGTAGTATTGCATACAGGTGAGTGGATTCTGTCTCCAACGCGGCTGTGAGATAAGGCTGTTAAACTAATTAGACATGGATAGAACTTGCTTACCGCCGTCGTCAACTGAGACTTGCGTCGAGGCCGGGTGCATGTACTTTGTGCAAAGTCGAGACTGTTCGTATATACCCGGAGGCATTGAATACGTTTAACACATAGGAGAAGCTCGCATATCATCGAACCTCTCCAAAAAAATTCTCTATAACCGTCGTGATTTGCATTTTGATATATTAGAAAAAGCGATGTATATTCCATCGTACTATTATATAAGATAGACATGTTCATAAGATGTGATTGATTGCATTTTGTACTCTTAGTGTACTGTATAAAAATTGTCAAATAAAGAACCCGGCTGAATAAAGGCCAGGGCTATTGTGCATTATTACATGGAAGCCTTGTACTCTATTACCAGCCTCGCTGATCGCTACCGCCCTGCATAAAATCCTACTTCAACGGCTTCGGCTTGGCCGCAGAACTGCGGCCTCAGGCTACGTGGAGCTATTGCACAGGTTTGCTGCCTTGAACAGATCTATCCACTTAGTATTGGTCATAGTAGCCGCTTGAAGCGCCTTTCATTGGCTGATAGTGCATATTCATGTCGTCTTCCTTCTATCGGATACTACAGCACATATGGCAGGACTCTATCCGAGAGAGTGGAGCGCTTACAGCATCGTAATTTATCGCCACCAGTTGAATGCCATCGTATAATATAGCATGAATCGATAGTTTGTATTGAAATTACTCATCTGAGTGGCGTAGCGAAGATTATCCTGGATGGTCTATTCAGCTGCAGCCTCTTCGACACGGCTCGCTCAGCCGCAGCTGAAAGCCGAGCTGCTTTACCTGACCAGCTCAAGGGAGGAAAATCAGGCCATGGATATTGGAGATGATATTCCGAGGCTGTGAAAGAAGTGTTTCATGGGTTCCATCTCAGCTCTTTATTCGTTCATTTTAGCAGCGTTTCTTAGCCACGAGGTAGCAATCTGTGACTACGCCGCATCTAACGGGTCGAATAGGTAGACACTCAGTTCATCGAAAACTTTTAAGTGTGGTGTTCTAGTGGTAGCCGTTGGTGAGCAAAAATTGGGTTCTAAAAATGCATTCGAGCTCATAATATCCCGACGATTCAATTAGCATGATCAGGGGACTCTGATTGACAAAGCGCCTCCAGATTTGCGGCCGCAAGCAGCAATTGCTCTATGACAAAGTCGAGACAGACTCCTATTTATTTGTTTTGTTCCCAAGGAAGAAGAGTATTTCTAAATTCTACCTGCTCCTCAATTGGAGGACCTTAGCTAGCCACGATCTTGAACCAGAGACAATTTGCTGCCGCCTGAATACATGCAAATACTTTGTTCAGCTAACTGTCAGCACTTTTTCAGCTGTTTCGGATGATGTAGGGAGCATCTCTTGCTATTCTACCAACCAATAGCGTGGCTATATGTGGAAATTTGCTTACGCCTTTGCTTTTGATATGATCCTTTTCAATATATATCCGGTGAGAGGCTGGCTGAATACATGTAGCCATAGCCCCTCAGCTACATGTAATCGTGGCGCAGCTCACCACAGGCGCAGCGCGTACCTATACTTTACCTGCAGCGCTTCCTGTTTGGCCTCGTGGCAAGGGATATGGGGTTATTGTAGCAAATTTGAAATAATGTCTTTGACTCGATCGACAAGGTATAGATATATCCTGCACTGCGGTCAAAACCAACAAATTCTGGTCGCGTTTGGTTACGGCGGGGCTGCATGTTCAGCGAGCCACAGAAGCAACTTTGCTGCTAAACCAGCTCATCTCGCTGACGCTGTGGTCTTTACGCTGTCTCGAATATGTAGCAGAAGAATCTCAATTGACAAGTATTTATAAGGCGTGATATGCACTTGTCCCAGAAACAGTCGTCGAGTATCGTCTGTTTGAAAGTCTAGGCTCAGCAGCTGCTTAGCGTCAGCCAACGCCCTTTACCAGTGCAATGTCTCTTTCTCCTCTCGTCCACAATGCTGACAACACAATTACTCTCATCAATGACCGGAAAGAGATAGTCTTCTGCTCCATTGTGGACAGAGACTCCAGCGAGGCCTATGGCAAGGCAGTGGCTGCTGGAGCCCTTTTCCTCTCTATTCTTGGATTGGCCTCTGGTGCCTCAGCACCTTCACCTGCGTTGCTGGTAGGGCTTGGAGGCTTGTATCTGTCGAGCCAATCGCCTTTTCACAATTTTCACGCAATTCAGAGTCCTGAAATCGTCAGCAGGGTGCTTTTCTTAAATGATGTTCTCAAGCTATCCCTCGACAAGGGAAAGTCTGGTGTGATTCTCCTCTTCCATGTCCAGATTCACGGAACACAAGTCAAGGTCACACAATACGAGAAGGAATGCTCATTGGACATCAATTACGTCGGAAAGATTATTGGAGGTGATTCCAATGATAAAAAGGACTACTTTACCTTTACAGTCACCGGTACGCATAAGCTCGCCCATCGAAGGTATTTGGCAATTCGTGGTCTATCGCCAGGCGGTATTATTTCCCACTCGACAGAGTCGGATTGGAAAGACATTCCTGAGCCAGGATCCGCCATTGTCTTCGACTCTTCTGGAAAACTGGTGAGCTACTTTCCTCAGAAAAAGGAGAGCCACGGCAAGGATCTTTTTGAGAAATGTACGTTTAATTTCAAGAAAGATGCCGTTCTTCAGCTAGTTCAAGGGGAAAGTGATCATATAAGCTCGAGCCTATCAGTCTTGAACCTCGCCGATGATAAGCATACGGCTGTGCTCAAGATGCACGGATGGAAGTGCAACTATCTCGGCACCAAGATTGGAAACGCACTGGACAACGAGCTTCAAAAAGCCTTGGACATCATCCGCGATCATACGAACAAGTCATACTGGGCATATCAATGGATTCGTGATTCTCAAAAAAGGAATTATGGTGACCTGTATGGTCTTACCTGGCCTCATGATGGGGACACTATATCCCGCGTCCGCAATTCAGAGTTGTTCTTCGTTGTCGAAGACAAGGATTGGACTTACACATCCACTATTGTAAAGGGATGAATATTTGGAGAATATTTTGACAAAACCTAACAGCAATATTATGGCGTTTGTACATCCAGACTCTGTATACTTATACTTATATACTTATACATGCGCTCCATAAGCGTTTTGGAGTATTAATACATCATTTCCTTTTCAATCTTTTACTAAAAGAGATTTCTGGTCAATGTCACGGGTTATTTGGTAGATTAATTATAATCTGGCTGATAAAGAATATAATGCTAGATGAAAAGAAGGCTAATGATGGAAATTATTGTACGTCTACCTCTCATATACATTATAACCAATCTAGTACGCTCTATACGAACATAGTAAATCTACCGGTGCGCGTTGAATTTACTGCAGCGCTCTATATGAAGTAGCCAGCTGCTGAGCGAGTTCAAAGTAGTGGTTAGTCGATGTGAAATCTTCATCAATCCCCACGAATTTCTCATTTGTCGGCAGTTGGTTAGTTTTGAGGCAAGCATACGACCCAGTACCTAAGCCATAATTAGTAAATCATGAGTCTTCGACAGAACACAAGGCATTCTGTTTCTCACCTTCATTGACTTCATCAAACATGGCGGTATAAATAAAGAGTGGCTTCTGTTTCATAACAGTGTTGACCTGAAGTTCGTAAAAGCTTCCGTTGTCTCGTGGGAAGTAATCAAGGTGGGAGAGATCGTTGGAGAGGTGGTAGTTTGAAGTGCCGGGCCAGGCCACGGGCACATAACCTTTACCGAGTGAATTGGTTAATCTAAAAGATGGAAGAAGCGTTAGACAGTAAATAATAGCTTCAAAATTTAAACAGGACAACAACATACGTGGTATCGTTCTGTTGCCAGTGAAGATTATAGCTCAGATATCCAGCATCGGTATAGGCGCCAATAGTCCAGGGGCTGATTGCATCGGCCAGTTTGTAGGTGTTTACCAAACCATTGTTATTACGGACATCAGCAGCCCAGGTGTTAGTCGTTCCCAGGATAACATAAGCTGGCTCTGCTTGCAAGTCTCTGACCAAATTAAACGCGTCTGATGCACTTAGATCGCGGCCAGCAACGCCAAATCCAAAGGCCATGACGACTGGCTTGCCGTCTTGATGAACATATGCCGGAGACTGGGTGTATTTTTTGATGTTGTTAACGTAGTCGGGGATGATTTTATTGGTAACACTTGCTTGTGACGAGTTACCGCCGCTCAAGTCATACTCGACGGCGAAAACGCGACCATATTTCTCAGCAGAAGCTTGTACAAGGTCTAGAACCTAGATATCGCCATTAGCAACTAGCACATGTGAGACTGTTTGACGAGATCAGATGTCTCAGCACGAACAGTCAAAAACGTAGCATCGCTCAAAGCGCCATAAAAGCGCTGAACGAAGACGCCATCAATGCCATACTGCTGCATCCATTTAAAATGCAGATCTACCACTCCAGCACAGGTGTTGTCGTATAACTTGGCGGTTGTTCCATTCGGATATTTAAATTGAGTATCGAAAAGACACTCAGATGGATACGCACTTGTGTCAGGGAAAAAGTCAAAGACGGCTTAAAGTTGTTTTAGTAAAAGACTTCTTAGCTTTGAGGGATCAGCGCACCATTTCCAGGGCCAGGCACTCCACCATTGGTAGACCAGTGCGTGTTGAGCCCTTTGCCCGGAGAACGGAACCAGCCCTGGTATCCAAACATGTATTTGCCCTGGATCGTTGAAGCATCGACGGCTGCTGCCGCTCGAGGCGCGAGTGCCTCGGCAGCCGTGGAGAGCGCAGAAATGAAGAGCAAATGGGCACGCATATCATCCGGTGGAATGCTCAACTGGGGTGATGCAACAAACAAACAAAAGATGAGAGGGAAGAGACAGCATTAAATACCCAAATAGCAGAGGCTCGGAGGTGTCCAGCCGGCTGGATCAGGGGAGTATACGAAGTAGCGATGGCTAGTCTGCAGTGAATATACGGGCAACTTCCCGCGAGAGATTAGCTTGTATTCTTCTTGTCATATTGCCTCCACACAAGATGCACATCAGATCTTTTTAGTGCTGAGTAGACGGAACACGGGTTGCTACGTACAATGAAGAATGAGTTACTTCATACTGGACACAAGCCAATTTAATCAAGACATACATGGCGGCACTGCTATTATCGGACTACTATGTTCTGTATTTAGACTTGGAAGTTCATGAAATACCGACTGATGGCGTTTCCAGGCAGCGCATAACGGATGCCTTTACAAGGATCTGCCTTGCTTAGACAAACTTGAGAAAGAATTAGCGACTTGCCCACTACACGGCCAATAGCATTGTCTTCCCAGAGAGAGACAGAGCAATTGTCAAGCTCGTACTCTGTAAAAGTTTCCATGTAAGAATTAAAGGTTTAGGGGGTTGATCGGCAGTTTTTCCCGCAGTCTAGCCTTCAATTCAAACGACTTGCCTTTTTAGGCATTTGACGACTTCCCAAGCTGACTCAAAACTTATGGCATTCGAGCCTAGCTGTCCATATTTAGGTCTGAGCACTGGGTTGCCTAACTACATGCACAGCTCGCGGTGTAATTGCGCCTTGCCAGAAAAAGACTTGCTACTATATGGAATTCTGTCATGGAATCATCGATACTGTATAAAATAGGTTTGTGCTATTTAAGGCTTTGGTTGGGCTGCATTGCAGCGATGCTTCATTTTAGCGGGCCAAAGTTGTCGGGGTGTGAATAACACCATCGTATATATTCTAAGCATTTTTATATGCCTAGATACAGCTACATTTTTTCTGCTACCATTTCGCTTATACATCTTCGGTGGCTTGGCTTTTCTTCTTTTTCCACTGTTCATAATCTGGTGCCATGAATATTTTACCCTCTATAATCTTGCTTATTGTAAGAGTAGCAACCATGACCCACAGCAGCGTTACAATAACTGTAACAATCTGTTATTCATGCGTATTAGCTTCATAATACATTGGTTAGGAGGAAATATCCTAATAGCTGGTATAAATGTAGGGAGCGTTAAGAAAAAGGTTGCAACTTACAGTTCCTAAAACACTGAAGAATCTAGACGGCATTTCTTGGCCAATTGCTATCGTTGCACCAGCCCAGACACCAACAGGAAACGTGAATCCCCACCAGCCAAGGTTGAACGCAAATTTGCGACGACTCAGGCTGGCTAGAGCGAAGAAAATCCACGCCAGACCATTTGCCCACATGATGAAGCCAAGTATCCAACCTGTAACATATAAAATCTCTCCAGACTTGGCTCCCATTTTCCCGAGGACGCCGGTTTTGGGGAAAACTTCAGCTGCTACTTTGCCGAGCTGCATAATTGCATATCCACCTTGGCCAAGGGGCGCAACCGGCAAAAACATGGATACTATAGCTTCTGGAGGCGGTAGGCTGTGCATTGACAGACGTTGATACAAAATAACCAAGCAGGTTAGAGAGAGAGGCATGGCAGTTCCCCAGAGGAAGTATGAAGTCATAAGAGTCCAAAGAGCATGTCGCTCATTCTCTATGACTTCAGCCACAACTCCGCCGATGGCGGACGCGACGATTGCAGAAGCTATGGGAAGAAGCCAGGTTGCAGAAAGAGTTTCTAATCTCACATCGTGAACGTGCATACTGGAAATTATAATTAGTCATATTAATTGAAGCAATAGGCAGATGGCCATAACTTACATGACAAATGGTATCCAGTAGCAGATTATAATCGATATCGCAGCGTCAATCCACCAAAGCGTCCACGCCTAGAGCAACAAAAGTAAGCTTCTTTTCCAATCTCATCAAGTCTCGGTTCAGCTTACCAAGGTAACTGCCCAGCTACCCCACGCGGGCACACAGACCAAAACAATCATCTCAACAATTGTAGCGAGACCAATCGGAAATGCTCCCAACAAGAGGGACATGCCAGGATGTCTTATCATAGTCATAAATAGACCTGGATTAATGAGGTACCGAAGTGCAGATATGAATGTGAAAAGAATGAAGAAAAAGAGGTTCAGACAAAAAAAGATGACTGAGATCCAATACAACCAAGCTCCATTGTAAGGGAGATTGTGAAGGAGGATAGAAACAATGCCAGTGCCCATGTTGACGGTGAACCACCTTGAAAAAGAATCTTTAGAATTTTCACACATTATATATGATAGAGGCGTGATTGAAGGTACTCTAATCAACAGACAGCATGAAACGAAGAATCTGAGATGCCCACTTACGCTGGAACGAAAGTATGGACAACAGTCCAAATATTTTTCTTGCGCTTTTGAGGAGGGACAGGGTCGTCATCTGGCTTCTCCATATCGGTTTGTGGTACATTGGCCGCTGAATGCATTGTAAGGTTGTCGTTTGAATATGTCGAGGACGCAGCCACGGCCTTATTTTCAAGTCTTGGGCCAGCTAGGACACTACTTCTATGAATAGAAGAAGGTACTTGTGCCAGAGAGCCGTCCATTACACAATCTCTTCCAGCAGAATAAACGTTCGCTCGGAAGATGGTGTCAGATTCAAAATACCGAGAAAAGGCTGTAGATGGTGGATAACCAATTTGTATCAATCCAGCTGTCGATATTCATATATATAGCATTAAATATCCCCTGAAAGCCGCAGCATGTTCCTAGTTAAGTAAGACATCGGCCCGGACCAGACTCTGCACAATTCCCCCGATATTCGCAAGACTAAGAAGGAATCCGCCCCATCAACAATCTATTCACGCGCCACAGTAGACTGAAGAATCTATACCGTCGTATAGAAACTCCCCAGCGGCCATGTCCGGGAGCCAATGAGGAGTGCATTTAGATCACCAAAGCAAACGCCGAGCAAGATCAATCCCCGGCCCGCATCGACTAAGTCTTATGTAGAAATAAGCTCCGCAAGCAGGATCTCCGGCGTAAGGCGCTTCCAACATAAGAAATAGTGGGTTATTACCTTTGTATTCCCGCAAGCTTTCTGAGGCAGGCATCGTTTTGCCACCATTATTAGTCAGTCGGTCTCTATAGCCAAAAGTCAGATCCCGCGGCGTTTGGATGTCGGACAAGAGCGAACACTATGAATATATTCCAGCCGCACTTCCTAGCCTGGTTGTGTCTACTGGATGACTACTTTTCCGATTGGGGCGCGCGTTTACAATACTTTGTGAAAGAGAAAAAGCCCTTCACATTCTCCTAATTAAATTAACCCAATTACCACACACCATGTCACAGAGAAAGACGGGGAGAAAGTTCCCGATGCCGCCGGCAAAGGTCGCATGTTTGCATTGGTACACATCTTTTCTTCTTCCCCTTGATATTTACTTCTAACAGAATATAGCCGGTCAGCGAGAACGCGCTGCGACGGCGAACAACCATGCTATGGCGTAAGTAACAGGAAGAAGAGCATGACCAGTGCACAGATTAGGATCTGATTCTTCTATTGCAGTGTAAGATAAGAGATCAGGTTTGTTCCTACATCCCCAGCAAAAGGGGCGGCTCACGGAGGAAGCGCGTCCGGAAAGAACACGTAAACGAGGATGAGATATCAAGGCCACCTCCAACTCAACGTCTGCCATCTCCGCCAGATTAGTGTAACAAGAAGAATTACTAATTCATCTTAGAAGTTCTCACTCTTGAAAGCATTAAAAACCTTGCCATTCCAGGAGCCGGCCTAAAGCGACCAGAAACAATTGAACAACAGGACGGAACCCTTTCAATAGCCAGTCTGGCCGGCGGTCATGGAGCTAGAGTATATGAAAATGCACAAGAGATGTAAGTGTGGCTGTCATGATATTCGAAACTCCACTGTCTCTCTTGAACCGGGCTAATGTATAAGAAAAGACTAAACGCTTATTACATCTTCATTCATCCTTATTTCCCATTACTCCCTCTGCCGAAACGTCGCCTAACACCTGATTGCCCTATTCCTTGGCCACTAGCGGAAGCAAAGAAGGCTCTTCCGAATTTATCAGAATCACCTCTTAGTCTCGCCCTTTCTGCCATACTTGCTCTTATTCCCTTGCCACAAGAGGCGCACTGTTCCTCGGCGGCATGTGTCTCTTTTCGAAAATCTCTCGCCCAAAGATTTGTACAAGCGGCACTGCAGTGCATCGACGCTGATTCGGAATTCCTTGATTTTATTTCAGACCATCATGTGGGCTCAGCGGCCGTCACTGGGCGGTCCTCAATACCTCGGGACCCTCTTCATCCACAAGCACCGGTAGAGCTGGAAAGTATCTTAGCACTGCTTCTCTTGAGCAACTATGAGCACACTGAACGAGCCAATTTGCTGAAAATGACAGCCCGAGCAAGCCAAGCTTTGATAATCGCAAAGAACATGTCTCTCCATCGATTGGGACTCGAAAATGACGGGTTTTCTGAAGCAAAGAGAAGGGCTTGGTGGATGACCTACTTTTGCGCGCATCTGTGCTCCGTAGTTCGACAAAGCGTGAGTTGATACACACAACGTCAGCCTTGCAGGCTGTAGACAGAAAGCTAATCTAGCTTTGTTCCCATATAGGCATGTTTAAATATCGACGACGACAGCCAATTCACAACACCATATCCACGATTCGAATGCGATCCAGAAGTAAGTCATCACTCAGTGTATTAATGTATACATCAGGCTCTGACGCCTCCAGGCATGGTTAATCTTCCTCGATGCTCTGCGAATCGGGGTAGCAAGTGTCAAGTTTACGTCCAGCTATAACGAACAACTTAACTCACACGCGGAAATGTCCTCTATTAACGAACAGATGAAATTACTTGACAGCTGGGTTCTACAAGTCTCTCATCGCGCAGAGAACCACGTACCCGTCTCAGGCTCCGTGGAACTTGATCCTGCATACGAGTCCGCTACTGCGCAAGTAATGCGACGACTTTCACGAATCAGATTATCTAGGTCTATTATGACTCCAATCCCATGCCGTAGCAGGAATTCAGACTAATTTCTTTTCGCATACGACAGCACGAGAATTCGCCTCCATCGATTTCAAGCCTTTTCGGATACCCCCCTCTTCAGCGCGAATCACTGTGATCTCAAGACAACAAATAGCTTCAATACGTCCGCCAACATCTCAAATGAGACGAATATTGCTCCATACGATATACTCCAATCCCCTGCTTTCACTTACGATCAGTCGACCGAGATTTGTGTGTCATCCGCGTTAACAATCGCAAGACAGTTACAAAGACTACCCTTCCCTAGCACATCCAACGGGATAACTAGTCCTCGGGCAATGCCTACATGCACATGTTGTGCTATGCAAGCTAGTTACGTCTTACTGATGCAATTCTATAAACTTCACGCCGCCCGTGCTCAGCCGATACTATTCGGAGATCTGTCCCAAGATACAGAGCGCACAGTTGACGAACTTCGGCATGGTTTAGAAGATATCATTTCTTCAATGAACAATTTTGCAACTGCATTTGAAGCAATTGCGGGAATGCGAGGTTAGTTGAATTATTTACCACGAGCCTTCTACAGATATTGTGATATTGAATTTTGCACTTATGACTAAAAAAAATGCTGCTGCATGATATTAGATGAAATCGAGATTGCCTTTCGTATTGCTTTTCCAGGGTAACATGAGATGGTTTTAGTAGCTTTAATAACTTTAAAAATAGCAAGAATGTATTAAAAAGGAACAGAATAATAATATACATAATAGCTATGTAATAAGCCATACGCTAGTATAAGGCAGCTTCCCAAGGGATAAACCCAGTAATAACTCTAGCTTTATGTTGGCGGATTAGCTTGTCTTCGTCGAGAGGCATGCAGTACGACCTGTTCTTCCACTATATCTGCTCGTCCAGTTTCCTGCCTGCAATATCATGGTGACAGGTTTTCTAACATCATTCATTAACTACTCGGTAGGTCGTAGACTGTTGTCCCTCATTCGCACATGACTTCCATTCTTATTCATTCACTAGGTTCTGTCCAACACAACACTCTTCTTCCAAACAGTACATCTAGACTCTAGCCAGGATGCTGGCTTTCAACTGCTGGTACCGTCAATTTCGTTTACTTTTGCGAGCTGCGCAACAGGATTCATTCTCGCGCGGCGTGGTAGTCGGGAGCTGACGCTTCAACTGGGGCAAGGCTTCCTCTTTGTGGGCACGTTTGGACTGGTCCTTATGGCAGCCACGTTTCGGAGGCTCAAGATGCCAGGCTGGCTATATAATATTATGCCAATCTTCCCGATTGTTGGTGTGGGAATGTTGGCATCAAGCACAGCTCTCGTACTATTAAATGTTACTCCTAGCAGGGACCAAGCCGTAGCAAACGGTGGGCTTGTTATATTGAGGTCGCTAGAGGTATTTATTTCCACAGACTATAGTACCACTGTTTTACAAAATGTTGCCCTAGCGAGCATCGACCTGAATCAGTATGATGAACTGCAAAACAAGGTATATAAAGAGCCCTGCTGTATCCTGCCGTTTAAGCGTGTTTGGCTACATTGGACGAACTAGATTATAGAAACTGTCCGTCAAGAGACAGGAGAATTGCTTTCAGTTGAAGAACCCTTGAAAACACAAAGTAAGTCAGATAAAGCAACATTCTATTTTATATAACTGTAGCTATCAGCACGCAGTCACAGCTGTTTGTATATTATGTGCTATTGATGCAATGATTCTTATAATTTGTTTATGGAGGGTAAGAGTAGGAGGTTTTCAACAAGGGTGAAAGTAAATAAAAGTAACAAAAAGCTTTGTGATATCTATTACGCAATTATCTCGTCTATGATCCGCAAGCCTGCGAGTCCCCGTAACTCGTTAACCTCTCCAAAGTACAGTAAATGACGAAAAAAAATCGATGATGACCTGTGTCCCCGTTAGCGAGTGCGATTATACAAAGAGTGTTCTGAATTGTTTAGGTGTGCCTACCTGGCGCCGGTGGTCGTCTTGAAGACAGACCGTCTATATGTCCTACATGCCCTGCGATTTATGCATTGATTAAATGAGACGTTCTAAGATTCTGCGGTCTACAGGCAGCCTGCTACTTTAAAAGTGGGAAGCGCCACTAGTTCCATTCACCAGTCCATCCTTCTTGTTGTTGATCTCTTTGGTGATTTGGTCGAGGCATCCTGCGCTGGCCGCCACGAATCCGAGGAATGGAGGAGAGGGGCTCAGGACTTTGCTGGTGAGTTCGGGATGGGCTTGCAATCTGTTTACTGAGATTAGCATTTTTTCCTTTGAGATTTCTGAGCTGAGCTGCCGCTCGAGTTGCTTACCCAACAAAGAAGGGATGATCCTTGATCTCAATGGTCTCGACTCGCACTCCTTGATCGTCAAGAGACGTGATAGCGAGACCACCCTGCTCCAGTTCGTCGATGTATTCGGGGTTAACCTCATAACGATGTCGGTGGCGCTCCTCAACAACGTCGGCGCCCTCGTACATGGCTCGGAGCTTGCTCCATTCGGTGCCAGGCTTAAAGTGCGTTGTGCGAGTGCCGAGTCTCATTGTGCCGCCCATTTGTCTAGAAAAGAAAGGTCAGCGTTCATGTCTCTTTCAAGAATCACAGTTCATCTTACTCTTTGGAGCCTTCAGGCATAAAGATGACGAAGCGATGCTCTGCAAGGGCACCTGAAACCTCCTCGGAGGTGGCGTGCTTGTATCCAAGGATATTGCGAGCATATTCCTGGACGGCCACCTGGAGGCCCAGGCAGATTCCAAGGAAAGGCACCTTGCGCTCGCGAGCCCACTTGGTGGCCTCAATCATTCCCTCAATTCCTCTTGAACCGAAGCCGCCTAAAACACCATCCACGTAAGCTTCGTTGGCGGCATTTCTATCGTTGGATTACTTACCCGGCACAATGACGCCATTAGCCTCGCAGACAGCCTTCCAGGCGTTGTGATACTTGATAGGATCGGCCGTCTGCATATCTTTCTCCAGATGCTCAGAGTCCACGGGAATGAGGTTCAGCTTGCGCTTGCATCGCATGGCCGAATGCTCAAGCGATTTTCGCACGCTCAGGTATGCATCGTCAAGGGTGACGTATTTGCCTACCAACGCGATGCTGACAGGCTCGAGGTGGTGTTCAGGGATGACGGTCTTCTTCCAGAGGCCCCACAGGTTCTGGCCTTGCTTGATTTGAGCCGAAGAGAGGTTGACCTTATCAAGAGCCAAACCCTTCTGGAGGAGTTTGAGCAGGCCCTCCTGTTCAAGAAGCATAGGAACCTGGTAGATGGTGTCCATGTCTCGCACACCGATAACTTGTTCGTATTGAACCTGGCAGCTTCGAGCGACCTTTCGGATGGTGTCTTCGTCGAGGGATCGTTCGCATCGGCAGGCAACCATGTCGGGAATCAAGCCGGCACTGCGCATCGATTTGACGGCGTGTTGAGTCGGCTTGGTCTTTTCCTCTCCATTGATGATTGGCACATATGATACTGCAATGCTGAAGAAGTTCTCGCGGCCGAGTCTGTGCTGTAGCTGAACAAGGGCTTCGATGAAAGGTGCGGATTCGATATCACTACTGGTGTGTTAGCTATGTTGCTTGAGAAGATTGCCCGTCTCCAAGTCGACAGAGTTTGAAACACAATCGGCGTCAAGAGTGGAAGCAAACCACGCAAACATTGGACAGTGGGACGAGAGACATACCCAACAGTTCCACCCTGCGAGCTTGGGCGTTAGAATCGTAGAATCGAAATACTGTACTCGGGAGAATGTTCTAGGAGAACGTACCAACTCAACTAGAGAAGATCAGTCAGCGTTATTATAAACCATGCAATACACTCTGCCAACACATACTAATGCAAACATCGGGCTCCTCTCCAGAGCTATCGACGGGAATCTTGGCGACTCGCTCAACCCACTCTTGGATCTGATCAGTGACATGGGGCACCACTTGAACGGTCTTGCCCAGATAGTCTCCGCGTCTCTCTTTGTCCTGGAAGACGTCAGCATCCGATGGGGACATGCAATTCACATTCAGTGGTATCTTACAATGACGAGCTTGTAGATTTTGCCAGTCGTCATGTTGCTCTCATTGCTCAGCTGGATGCCAAGATATCTGAACACGATGTCAGCAATGTTTTCATCGAGGAGCATAGAAACCAAAGTCCAACCTCTCGTAGTTTCCAAGATCCAGATCAGTCTAGAAGAGTCAGCATCAAGCATCAACAATTGGCGCCATCTTCTCCCACCTCTCCGCCATCGGCCAGAACAAAGCATTCGCCATGTCTAGATGGCTCTGTTAGCTCATGCGTAGCAACGTAGCTTGGTCAGTCTCACTCTAGAGGATTGAGCAATCCGGCGTCTGTGTTGAGGTACGGGTCAATTTTCAGGGCCTGTAAATCACGGCGTAAGTAAGAGACGAGAAGATGGATCGTCTGCAGCATCATACTGTGACTCGAAGACCCATAGTCTTGAGGAGAAGTCCGGCGCTGCTGGCTGTTGATGCTGTTAACAAGCTGTATAATCCATTCGGCCTCATTAATCGCCATACCAATAATGCCTAAAGATTCACGAGTTAGCACGTCGGCTCAGGATAGATGATGATCTCACATGTCAAGGTGATGTTTCATCAACAGGGCATGCATTAGCAGCACCGCGAACTCACCTTTGCCCACGCCGGAAATGACACCACCGCTGACTAGAACGACACGCATGTTGGCGGCTTGCTGTTCGGATAACCTAGAAACACGAGTATTGATGAAAAGATGTCGCTATCAATCTTTTCTGAGGCGCGAGATTCTAGAAGAAAAAAAATCTTTGGCGCATCTGCGAAAGAAAAATAAAAGCGGGGGAGACGGTCTAGTCCGGAAAAAGCTTAATACGCACAGGGTCTCGATGTCACTGCGGCTGTTCGCAGGTACTTTGCGCCCCTAGCGTTTTACTGCGGCTGGCGGCGTACTCTGTCACTGTAGCGTGCCGTGCAGATACGCACGTTCAGAGGTTACAGCAGCAGCTTTAGCGCATCTTGGCGGCTATCTTATCGCTGATAAGGCGCCCCCGGGTCAATGTCGTCGATTCTTCGCCATGTGACGGCCACTAAAGCGGGAGAGGAATACTCTGATACAAACACAGTGGCTCATGAAAGAAAGAAACACTTTGTAAAGAGTTGCAAATGTTGTACTATCTAATTTTTTTTTAGTTTTCTTGGAATATTTTTCCCGTATGAAAAATTGACTAGTTTTCAAAACACCCCATATTCCTAACAAAATATACTGCAAATGAAATAAAGCAAATGGCGTCAAATATAAATGCACCAAATAGTCCTACCAAACCTCCAACGAAAAGCGGATTAGGTGTGGGAAAAAATCTCTCCCAAACGAAAAGAGTAAAGAGCAACATGGGAAATTGAAAAGAATGAGGGTAAAAACAAAATAAATCTAGTTCAATGATCAGGCATCAATGGGCTGGCACAGCGACCAAACTCCTCCTGGCAGCCGTCAAGACAATGCTCTCCGGTAGATCCGCACCAGCCAGCCTTTGAACAGCATTTCTCAATCTGATTGCGTTCGCATGAGATACTGGCAAACTCAGCGCCGCAACGAGTCTCATTGAATGGCAGTTGGCGAAGAGGGAATGACTTGCCGAAAAGACGACTGGCGGGGTGAGAGAGAGCTTGGTTGAGTGTAAGGCGAGATCCTTTCACCGATGGCTGAGGCTTGAAAGGTTGGAGGCGGAAATGCCTGGAAGAGGAATGCTGATTGGACTCAAAAACGTTATTGGTGGAAGTTCCGTTTGTGTGATTCCGAGTGCCCAAAGTTTGGTTAAAATGGTGAGGAGCGCGTTCTTCCAGCGCTTCAAGCGAACGCTTCTTATCCTCATGGTCTGGCCAGCGATACCAGTTTTCTTCTGGGTCATCCAGACACTGGCCAACAGTTACTGCTGTGAATCCGGCGTGATAGAGAGCGTCGATGGTGTATGATACCAGAGTAGACACCGTCTCGTATACTGTGTCATGCTCAATGTGCAAGTAGCTGTCGGTCTCCAAGTCTTTATTGGTAAAGGCCTTGTCAACAATGTTCTTGCATTCTTCAATTTCATCTTCGCTATCGTGTAGATAGCCCTGTGTATCCAGATCAAAGTAGGTGACGTGGTATCCCAGCTCGCCGAGCCACTCGTCCACGTCCTCATTGCTAGCCGAGTAAGGGGGGCGCATATAAGTTGGGAAAAAGCCAAGAATATCTGCAAGAGCAATCTCGTTATAAATCATCTGTTGGCGGAGAAGGGTCTTGCTAAGCGTAGGAAGACGCTGATGAGACCACGTATGACTGGCGATTTGGTGGCCATCCGCCTTCATTCGGTGAATGAGGCGGGCCCAATCAAGCTCAGGGTCATTGATGGCTCCTTTACCGAGATTTCGGCCTGTAATAAAAAAGGTAGCCTTGACATTGTATTCCTAGAGACAATGAATTAGTATCTTCTTCGTCAAGGTACTCTATATCTACACGACGATAGCATACGTACCTCCAACACGTCGAGGAGTTGCTCGGTATATTTCCACGGGCCATCATCAAAAGTCAATGCTACGGTGCCGGGCTTTTTACAGTTAAAAATGGCTTGTCCATATGGCACGTCGCCTACATGAGGGCGTGGCCAATCTTCAGTATTTGCTCCGAGTGGCCGCCTGTTTGCGTCACAGTAAGGGCCATATTCAAGCTGGCATGCGGGAGCAGAGCAATACGAGTATCCTGTTCCGCACCACCTAATTTTGACAAGTTTGTAAGTTGGCATTTTATATCAGTTTCATGCAGTATTTAAAGACATGACATACCCCTCAGCCGAGCAGCCCTCGTCATCCTCGCAACGTGTGCCAAAATTAACACCACAGCGGCCGTCTTCGCTCTTGGGATAGCGCTTCTCTAAATGTGATGTCGAGTGATCATAATCTTCCAAGGCCGAGGTGACTAGGACCCAAGTAGCTACAAGCGCCGCATAAAGAGCCCAGCAGTGGTGAAGCATCTTGAAGGTCAATGCGCAACCTATTACGGATTTTCAGGTATTCGACAAACGGGGAAAAGAGAAGGAGGGAAGGGAGAGAAATGAAATGAAAAGACGACAAAAGAACACAGTATCACTTGTGTAATTTATAATAGGTCTAGCTATGTAGTGGATGGGACTGTCCATGGCAGTTTTGGCTTATCAGAGGTCAAGCTCATTACGCGAGTGAATCCGGACAACTCGGCAATCCATCGACCATTTTCCAGCCGCCGATGATTGCAGCGTATCTGAGATATTGTGGCATCTAGTTTTATGCCACCGCATGGCTAGAAGTTGGGCATCAAACAGGTTTGTTGAGTACCCATGTTGGGCTCGTAGTGCTACTCGGGTAATATCTCATCTGTTGTGGAAAGAGGAAATCTCCATCGGGCGCCTCGAATGCTCCTATATCCCCTGCATTAGTTGCCTACGTGTGCTGCAAAAGGAAATGCAGTACAATCTGAGATTGCTGGTATACCCGCTTTGTCGCTGAAGCATCAGGAGGCTCAACTTTCCACGTATCATCACAAGCAATGGGCCACCGCGGCGCAAACTATGGTAACCAGAATGGATCCCCCAATCACGACTTGGACAAGTATCAGAGAAGTATTAGGCAAGTATTGCATCAATCGTTTCAAAGAGACTAGGATGGACGCGTATGCTCATCATCAATCAGGTACCTTGGTATAAAAACCTGTCTCAAGAACGTAGATAAAATTGTCCACGCCAACAAATTTAGCGACTGACGAACTACCTGGGTCTTTAAATCTATGACAGCTGTTTCATGTCTAGAATGTTTGCCGTAACATGGCATACCGAAGCCGTTTGATTGCTGATTGCATGCTTCCAGCTCTTGGTCGGAGTTGAATAATATCTGGAAGGATCATTGATACAGTGGTATATGAACAATGACCAGATACAGATTACATGTAGTCAGATTAAAGCAGTGCGGCTCGTACAGAATACTTGGAGTCTCAGGGGTGGAGGAATTGCAAACAGATATATTGTCGTATTACACAACAAAGGCTGAATAGACTTTTATCGGCGCAGCAGCGAAATTACAAAAGCGATAGAACTCGCGTGCATGGTGGGCTTGTATCATGGTTTCTCGTATGCTTAAGTTGTGGCCAACCAATGGGACAGCAAAATGGAAGAGAAGAGATACAAATAGCGGCCGCAAAGTAGGAGTCTAGTGGCAGCCATGGCAATTAAACTTGTTTCATCAGGCCAGCTGTCCTGCTTGAGATGGCCCGAAACAACTGACTGTATCAAGCCGAGCAAGCCACAGATCGAGGTACCAACGGTTAACCCCGTTAGTCTTCTCTCAGTGGCGAGATGTGGAAGCTAGCAACCTCTCAGGGTGTTTGAAAAGAGCTGAACTCATGTGCTTTGTTTTCTCCCGTGGTATCTGTTTGCATTGTTCAGACCAAACGCCTCTTTATAAATTTACGAGAATTCCCAGATGCAGTGATACGCGTTCATTTTCGATCTGCAGGTACATGTCGTCAAATGCAACACAGCAAGTCGTTTGCAAGGACAGTATTGATTGACTTATAGTTCTCAACCAAGCGCAGTCACTGAATAGCCTCGGTATAAATATGCTTCCATGATTGCCTTGTCGGAGAATCGGTCAAGACACCTCGCTGTCTCGGCTTGCGAGCGTCTGCAGCTCACCTTGATTCCACCTCAAGCTACAGAGCTTCCCGGTTCGATATTTTATCGGCCCATCGCAGAACTTCCGGATGCGAAAAAAGAGTGGCACTAGCGATTATTGTGGCGCCAAAAGCTCCGAGAAAGAAACTGTCTAGCGCGCCCCATCGCGGAAGAGACGCAGCCTACATGTAGGCTCGAGCTCTTGTGTCATGCTGTTGCTACGGGCTCTATTCGATGTGATCTAGGCTTTTTGCTACGGCTTTTGTTACGGCTTTTGCGGTGGACGTTGCGTCTGGAATAGAGATGGAAGCTTGATGGCCGCCACCGAGCGCCACGCTGCGAAAAATGCGCTCATGCCGCCCCTCCAAGATGCCTTTTGTGGCTCCGGCAGGATGCGGATCCTTCCGGCAAAAAATGCTGGAAGGGCTGGAAGGGCCTGGGTCCGTTGAAGCGTTCGGTGAGACTTGGCGATGGAGTGGGCTGCGAGAAAATTTTAAGAAAAAGGGTATAAGAGAAGGGGAGCCAACAGAGAGCCAAGCCGAGCTGGGCCTGGTTGAGTAGGCGAGAAGCCACTTATACTCGTACGAACGGTGAAAAGGTATCGAAAAGGTACCATCCAGTATCTATGTGCATGTACTTGATTCGTATGGCTTCAAGGCCGTTTAAGGTTACACTTTGCGTATCTTCTCTCGTCGCTTCATTCCTCGCTCGCAAGCCACAGACTTACAAGAGATGCTCTCGCAACATCATTATCTACCTCGTCTCTTCCTCGCCACCGCCAACAGATGCTCTGGATCCCAACATCTTATCGTACTCGTAACACAAACGACGGCATTCGGCGTCTTTATGCGATTGGTTGCTAGTAGGCAAAAACCCTTCTGGCCCCCCTGGCTTCGAGTCGTGTCACACAGAATCCAGGATTCCAATCCTCATTAGCCAGACTTGGCAGCACCGACCGATGGATTTCTCTGCCCGGGCTCTCCAGAAGAAGTTTTTTTTTCTCGGCCTCTGCTCCATTGACCCGCTTTTAATCTGATCATCAGATAAAGCCATTGATCAAGCTAATTTTTGCATCTTGGCTCCTTCGGGGCACCATTGCGCCGATTTTTTTCTCGCCTCCATTAATCTAATCGATCGGATCAGGCAGACGCGTTTGGGGGTGGCCGCTAGAAAACGAAATATATAACTTGTGCCACAGCCGTGGAGGACTGAGAGAGGGTTCCTCCTCCCCCCTGCTTCTCACTTGCATATATGAGCATGCACATGCATCCAAGTCCGCATCCGGAACTTGTCGAGAAAATCCGGCCTTGTGCGATCGCTTCGTTTGCTGATCACTAAAGGCGTTATCGCAGTCTCACTGCTTCTTGTCTGGCAAAGAGAGAGCAGCACACGCAAGTGGCGCCGTGAAGATCTTTCCGAACCCAGCGCCTCTCTCATTGTTGTTGATTTTTGCGTCCTTATTATATTCGCATCGTCACAATGTCTACCAACGCCGCGGTTCCTGACGCGGAAAAGGCCGCTGATCCCGTCGTCAACGGCCATGAGCAGAGCGCAGACCAGTCTGCTGCTGATCTGGTCAAGAATATCAAGTCGCCGGGAGTCTCCCGCATCGAGGCCATCTCAGGTGCCATCACCACTCTTGATCGCTACTTCATCTTCTTCAGCGTCTTCCTCGTCGCCTACTGCTACGGCCTCGACGGCACGCTGAGATACACCTACCAGCCCTATGCCACCGGCTCGTTCGACAGCCACTCCCAGCTCTCGACCGTCAATGTCCTCCGCGCCGTCATTGCAGCGGCGGCCCAGCCCACGTCGGCCAAGATTGCCGACGTCTTTGGCCGTGTCGAGCTGATTTGCGTGTCCGTCTTCTTCTATGTCATCGGCACAGTCATCGAGGCCTCGGCCACCAACATGGCGACGTATGCCGGCGGCAACGTCATCTACCAGGTGGGCTACACCATGATCATGCTGCTGGTCGAGGTCATCATCGCCGACATCACGTCCACGCGCGCCCGGCTCTTCTTCAGCTACATCCCCGCGCTGCCCTTCATCATCAACACGTGGTGCAGCGGCAACATCGCAACCGCCGTGCTGGGCGTCACGACCTGGAAATGGGGCATCGGCATGTGGTGCATCATCTACCCCGTCTGCGCGCTGCCGCTCATCGTCAGCCTCTCGCTGGTGGGACACCGTGCCAAGAAGCAGGGCCGTCTCGTCAACTACCGCTCGTCGTTTGAGCTTCTCGGCCTCAAGAACCTCATCGTCGAGCTGTTCTGGCTGCTGGACGTCATCGGCATCATCCTCCTCATTGCCGTCTTCGCCCTCATCCTGGTGCCCTTTACGCTGGCTGGCGGAGTCCACAGCGAATGGCGCACCGCTCACATCATCGCACCGCTCGTCATTGGCTTTTGCTGCATCCCCTTCTTTGTCTACTGGGAGCTCAAGGCGCCGCACCCGCTGGTTCCCTTTGCCCTCATGAAGGACCGCTCTGTGTGGGCGCCCATGGGCATCGCCGTCTGCCTCAACTTTGCGTGGACGATGCAGGGCGACTTTCTCTACACCGTCCTGGTTGTTGCCTTCAACTTTTCAATCACCACTGCAACCCGAGTGACGTCGCTGTACTCGTTTGTCAGCGTCATCATCGGAGCCCTCCTCGGCATAGTGGTTTACAAAGTCCGTCGTCTTAAAATCTTCGTCATCATGGGAACTTGTCTGTTCATGGTGGCTTTTGGACTGCTCATCCATTACCGTGGAGCTGTTTCGGGCTCTAGCCGAGCCGGTGTCATTGGCGCTCAGGTTGTTCTGGGTGTTGCCGGCGGTCTCTTCCCATATACCGCTCAGGCGTCTATTCAGGTCGGCCTGAAGCATGAAAACTTGGCTGTCATTACGGGTCTCTACTTGGCCGTTTACAACATCGGATCTGCTCTGGGAAATACCGTGTCTGGAGCCTTGTGGACTCAGCTGCTCCCCAAGACTTTGGAGAACCGGCTGGCAAACATCAACTCCACGCTGGCAGCCGAAGTCTATGGCAATCCTCTCATGGCCGTCATTCCCTACCCTCCGGGCACGCCTGAGAGAGACGCCATTGTCGATGCCTACCAGCATATCCAGCGCCTTCTCACAATCACCGGCATCTGCATCTGCATTCCTCTCATTGCCTTTTCTCTGCTCATTCGCAATCCTCGTCTCACAAGCGAGCAGACCTTGGCCTCCGACTCTGACGTCGAAGAGACACAGCAGCGCGCGGAGAAATAAGCATATACAAGGTTTAATGGAGGGAGAAGAATAGAGTTTGAAAGAATTCGAAAAGTTATATAATTGTTCCTTTTAATTTTTTTTTGTTTTTTTTTCATGTTCGGAAAGATAGAGGGAGTTATCATTTGCTTATCAGCTGTACATAATGTTCGTACTACCATAATTGGTAGCATTCGAAACAATGTGATGATTAATGCGTTGAGTAATCTCATTATGAGATCATCTTAAGTCAGTTTCATGGGTGACGCTTAGCTGATCATGATGGGGCATGTGTCAGAGCCAATCAAGACTATCAGGCATTCCATTTTGGGAAGAAAGTTTTCGATGCTTGTTTGCGAGTTTGAGACATTGGCAGGACTGATGCTGTCTGAGACCCATGGCGGTTCACATATGGGCGTTTATTCGCGGCGTTTGTAAATCATTTCAACGCCGTCTCGCCACTATGCACGTCTCCGTCAAGGATCAAGCGAGCTATTTGGAATCACTGCATTCTGAGGAATAGGCCAAAGAAATAGGGTGATCCTAGGTAAGAGATAGGGTACCAAGGGGGGTAAACAAAACACCTCCGGTCTACTCTATAAATTTGTATGTGAACAGCGGCGATGAGATTTTCACCCCACATGGGTACCTATATAATCATACTAAAGTGAATGCCGGCGGGCGTTTACGTCCCACATATTGGAGGATGCTGCGAATTCTGGCCCTACTCTTAGGAATACCAATATATGTTAGGCGGCAATTGTACAGTAAGACATGAATCTGGCTAGCAGCAGAATGGAATTCGCCATTTGCTCATCACAAAGCCGACATCTCCTCGGCCTGATGTGGTAATCATGCACGTTGGCTTACCAGCCCTTAGGTAATATCCCAGAGCATAGCATGACGCAGTCTAGCCATCTGCTCTTCAAACTGGTTTAAAGTTTGTCTGACACGCTCTTATTGGCCTAACGTGAGAAACCAGCGGACGCTACACCTTGCAATACTATACTAAGCCTTAGGAGATAGGCACATGGAGTTAACGAGTCAGGTCTTTTGAAGCTCTGTCTATTTTCGGTAGCTTTCTTCGGCATTTCTTTCTACTTTTGTGTAAACTAATGTTCCTCCTCTACCCCTCCTCGAAGTTGTGCTCGCTTGGACTGTTTCAGCGACTCTCTACCCCGCATTATATCAACTGATATTACCCCAAATAGACGCTGTCGCCGATCCGACTAGGCAAGAGCATGCATATACACAATGCAGGCCTTATAGTATCTTGGCGTGCGAAAAGGGAGCGAAACAGGGCGTAGAGTCATAAACTTGCATGTGGCCAATGGAGTCAAATGGCTTGTGTGATGACGGGTCGCGAGGAGGGGTAAGCATAAGTGCCAATACAATGATTTTATATTAGGCAGCTCATCCCCGAGTGGCTTGTTTTGGCCTCTTTCTGTCTGGTTTCCTTCTTTAAGTACTACAGGAATCAATTGTCCCAGGCATAGAACTGCACCTTTTCAAGTAAAACACTTGTCAACTCATCATCATGACTACTCACAAACCGGGGACCGAATATGACGTTATAATTGCCGGCGGTGCGTTGCTCCATCCCAATTCCTGTGACCATCTATCCCAAGACCTAACATTTCCCAGGTGGCACCGCTGCTTGCATTGTGGCTGGTCGACTCGCTAAAGCAGATCCCAACTTGTCGATCCTCATCGTGGAACGTGGCACGAATAATCTCAATGACCCCAACGTCGTCAACCCCTCCAGATATCTCACTCATCTTACTCCGAATTCCAAGACGACGATTCTCTACAAAGGAAACAAGTCAGAGGCTCTCAATGGACGCTCGCCTCTTGTGCCCTCAGGAGGCATACTGGGAGGAGGCTCGTCCGTGAATTTCACCATGTATACTCGAGGTAATCATGTAAAGAAAGACCGTCATTCATGAGAGCTTGCTGACATTGATTTAATAAACAGCCGCGGGCGCCGACTTTGATTCTTGGAAGACCGAAGGCTGGGATGCGAAAAGCCTGATTCCTTATGCTAGAAAGCTAGAGACATATCACCTCGACCATCCCGACGTGGACAAGTCTGTACATGGCCACGATGGACCAATTAACGTTTCGTTTGGCTCTTACAGCGCCAAACGCATCCAAGACGATTTCATGGCCGGCGCTGCGGCCATTGGCCTTCCTGAAATTACCGATTTGCAAGATTTTACGTCTGTTGATGGAATATCTCGCTATCTTCGCTATGTTTCGCCCGACGGCAAACGGCAAGACACGGCCCATCGCTATGTCCACCCTCTCATGGCTTCTGGAGAATATCCCAATCTCCATCTTCTGCTCGAGAGCAAAGTTAGCCGTGTTATTTTTGAAGGAAACCGAGCTGTGGGCGTCGAATGGGTGCCAAACCCAGACTACCAGCCCTTGACTAATCTGACTCGAAGTGAGCCATCGATTATCAGAGCAAGGAAGCTGGTGGTGGTGTCCTCGGGAGCTCTCGGCACGCCAAGTGTTCTTGAGAGATCGGGAGTTGGCAATGCTGAGCTTCTCAAGAAGCTGGACATTCCTGTCGTCGCCGATGTACCAGGCGTTGGCGAGGAATACCAAGATCATAACCTCATATTTTATACTTACAAGACCTCGCTGAAGCCTGGTGAGACACTGGATGATTTGCACAGAGGCCAACTGGATTTTGAAGAGGCTATCAAGACGAAGAACCCAATTCTGGGCTGGAACGGCGTTGATATTGCAGCCAAATTCCGCCCAACCGAGGAAGAAGTGGCGCAGCTAGGCGAAGAATTCCAAGAGCACTGGAATCGCGACTTCAAAGAGCAAAAGACAAGGCCCTTGATGCTCTTGGCAATTGTCAGCTCTTACTTGGGTGACTACAAGACTTTACCGGAAGAACAAGAGGATGGCCCTCATCAGTACATCTCCATCGGTATGTACACGGGATATCCCTACGCCCGAGGCGACATCCACATCACTTCCAAAGATCCCAAGGCGGCGCCTTCTTTCAACACTGGCTTCTTCTCCAATAATGTGGACGTGACGAAGCAGATTTGGGCGTACAAGAAGCAGCGAGAAATATTTCGTCGCGTAAACTCGGTTACTGGCGAAGTTGCCTCGGGACATCCGAGCTTCCCTGAAGGTAGCAAGGCCGGTCTTCGGAAGAGTCGTGAAGTTGCAGAGGGCTTCAACTCTCTTGAGGAGAGAAAGAAGCTGCCTCCTATTGAGTATACCAAAGAAGATGATAAAGCTATCGAGGATTACCTCCGGTCTAACATTGAAACAACTTGGCATTCTATCGGAACGTGCAAAATGGCTCCAAAGGAGAAGGGCGGTGTTGTGGACAAGAATCTCAACGTTTACGGCACAGTAGGGCTAAAGATTTGCGGTTAGTGACGAGTCTTGATATTGTTCATCCTTTCCTTTTTACAGGACGCTAACCATTGGATATAGATATCTCAATTGCACCTGAGAATGTTTCCGCCAATACAAACAACACGGCCCTCATCATTGGCGAAAAGGGAGCGGACATAATAACCAGGGAGCTTGGACTTCTCAATTAAGCAGCATTATCTAGCTTAGAGCGATTGGCTTGGGGGTTTATGGAAATGACGATTTATCGCTAGCAAATAGTAAACATGATTTTGGATAATTAATTCTATTATTCATCAAATGGCGTTATAACTATTTGTCTCTATGCCTGAAGACCAGCAACAAGGCTATCTCCAAGGCTCTTGATGCTGTTCTCAAAATCCGCCGTGTTTCCAGCGCTCCAGTTAGCGCCGTCAGCGCCTGGGACTGCCTGCTGGCCCATGAAGCCGATATACAAGACATCCTTGGGATCGTGGCCGTTATCACCGGTGAGGCCATCATTGGGAAAGCAAAGGTTGCCCATAGAAATGGCCGATTCGCCGGTGGAAGTGAAGCCGTTGGTGTCGCCCCAGATTCCGTAAAACTGGTTTTGATGTCAGCACCGTTCACATAATGGCCGAATAAATGAGGACTTACGACTTGGTTGTTGCAGACGACAGCCATGACACTCAAGGGTTGCATTCCGAACTGCTCGGGCGAAAATGAGGGATCAGCGCCCTCATTTCCAAATACGACGTATGGGTGAATGTTGGCGTCCAAGTCATCAATGCCAAAGCTCTGGACAGTATCCTTGAAAGCGGTCTCGCCTTGGCCGCTGGGGTCATTTGAGCAGGCGCCGGCAGAGTTATTAGCGCCATCGCAGTCAATGTCCATGTTATCGTAGTTGCCGCTGGATCCCTTTAAAAAGATGGCATTGGGAATGTCGCCACAGTAGACTGCGCCGCCTGAGAAGGCATCGGATAGAGCATTTTGGCAGTTGCCAGACTGGTAAACGCCATGATGTTAGGTATAATCAGCGTCGCGGAGAAGAGAATATTTACCCGATGGTTATCGTATATCTGTTTCAAGTTGTCTGGGAGATCAAAGGCAGAAGTAACGGCGCCAAGAGCGGCGAGAGTAAGGAGTGTATTAGAATACATTATGGGATAATTTGGAAGTGCGAGGAAAAAGAACAAATTACTGGACACTAGAAAGCTGTAAGGAAAAGATATAGCCAAAAGGATTGCGTAGGAGAGAGCTGTGCTATATATGTTGTTCTATGCAATCAATTCGCTGATATTTAGTATTACTCAACAGTCCGTGCATTGTCGCGTCTGTAGACCTTGAAATATCCTATAATTGGCGGAGAATCATGCTCAATAAATACAATTACCCCATAGAAACACCTATTTGCTAATGGAAGTTGTTGAAACAATCTCGCACTTTCAAAACGCGGCGTCATGCCTCGTATTATCATTCAAGGAGCTTCCTAAGGAGGCGTTTACCTGACGATCAAGCGATACTCAAACAGGAAGGCCGCCCTGGTTTTCGAAACAAGACGTGCGGAAGGTCCGTTCAACGGAAACATTTAAGCTCACTTTTGCGTTAACCTTGTTCAAAAGTGTCTTTTGTGCTATGTAACTACTGGAGCTGCTAGCCAGGAGTAAGCCGTGTGGAGGTGCGCTGACTCTATCCGAGACTTTGAGACCCGGTCAAGTCAGATCCGGCATTGCTACCGACGATCGTATCGGTCCTTTAAATTGAAGGTTATTACCGTTCAAGATGTTCAGTAATTCGGTATATGTTCGATTGTTCTTATAGAAGTTTGTGCGGCGCCGTAATTATTCAATGCGGCATGTCTCTATGAATGGGCCGTGTTGCGCACCCGCTTCATTGAGTCAGGTCAAGCGATCTGCATGCGAGTACATATGTATGCTACAAGACTACGGGTAGATTGCAGTGCGTATTGTGGGAATAGCTGCAATATGCGCATGCAATAGGTACCTCAGAAAACTCATATAGAGCTATGTCTGCTATTCATGGATTCCTATCATAGACTCATCTATCACATAGCAGCATGGGTTACGATGAACATACAAGGAAGTTTGTCCGAGTGTACTTCTCCTAACGATCAACATCTATAATCTGTAGTAGGCGACAAATGCATATATAAATGGGCGCGTGGTCTAGGGGTATGATTTTCGCTTCGCATGTGAAAGGTCAGGGGTTCAATTCCCCTCGTGTCCATCCTTTTTGCTTTTTTTCTGCTTTTTTCAAGCATGAGATGGAATCAGTTCGAGGGCGTATTAATAGCATTTGCTTCATATTATGTAATAAAATGGGCTTGTGGTCTAGGGGTATGATTTTCGCTTCGCATGTGAACGGTCAGGGGTTCAATTCCCCTCAAGTCCAACCAACGGTGTTATCTTTTTGCTAGCATTCAAGATTCTACTTAGATCTTGAGCTGGAGTGTTGTCCCTTCTCAATAGCTTTCTATGGCTTGGCAGCGGAGCTGGCCGATTATGCTTGCTTTTTGCAAAGTAGATGTAGTTTCCAAAGCTATAAGTTGGGATAGCATTGTGTCAGCAACATACCGTGGACAAATAGGGCCATGGCACCTTTCACTACCACTTATATAGCGATATCAGAATCATATACTATTGACATCTAGTACTTTTTCAGTGACTATCGCTATAATGAGTGACATTAATCGGAATCCACTTTAGCAATCTTACATCGGGGCTATCCGAGTGGCGTCGGCTACCCTATGGCTGTGTCTTATCGTTTGACTTTTGCAAGTTATACAAGTGATAGTTGCTCCCAATTGATGTCTCGTCGTCTTATATCTTGAGAGATAGTATTATAGCTGACTAATTTGACCCAAGGGGAAAACAAATCAGAAGTGTGGCGTATTGTAGAGTTCTCAATCGAAGAGATGAGTTCTAATTCAACATTCAGCCTTGAGCTACATAGATGATAATACAGAAAGAGGCTAATGATTGTCAATTATGTAGTGGATAGAATGAAGACTGTATACTTAATCTTTTCGCCTGTAAATATTCCGATATCTATGATTCTTCGACGTTGGCTGCGTGTTGAAAGTCAACTGTACAGGGGATATTTAATGACCGAGAATCCGAAGCTTATGCGTTATTATTTATTGTCTCTCACTATCAACTGCCGTTTACGCTTATACTTACATACCTAGGTAGGTAGTGCACTTGCGTATTTTACAGCCCGTCTGCCCGGCTGCACGTGCACCCCCTATTTTGTTTTCTTAGCTTCGGCAACTTCTTTCTCTAATCGGATGTTTTTCTGGAGACCTCTTAAAGCAGAGGAATTGCGGCCATGCTACTCCGTAGCAACTGCAGCGAGCATGACACCTGATATTCGACACTAAGTAGTTAAACCCTACTTGGAGTTGCCAAAAACGTACATATCTTCGAATTCACCAGTCAGAACTTTTTCTACAACTTCAATGTATTTTTGCTCAGCAAGTTCCGACAATGATAGACGGCAGCCCCAAGGAGTCAGTTGAGCCACAACCAAACGCTTCTTCGCATGCTGGAATAATTCCTTCGCCCCAAGGAGGAGCGCATTGCGACAACAATGAGACAAAAGAGGCTTCCACTAGTGTATATGTTGCTGGTGAAGTAGACGTGGATAACGATGGTACTGCTGGACAGCCAAAGAAGAGGAAGCCGCTCAAGTTCCACCTCGCTTTTTTGGCCATCAATATCGCTTGCTTTATTTTCGCTCTTGACTCTACTAGTCTCTCGGTAGCAATTCCCGTGAGCCACCAATTAACAAGGTGTCTTTCATCGAGGTTCAATGCTAATTTTCCTAGTCGATTGCTGAGCAGCTCCATGGCACGACGCTGCAGTCCTTTTGGGCTGGCATTGCCTTTCTTCTTGCGACCGTCATCACGCAACCGCTGTATACAAGCATGTCTGACATATACGGCCGCAAGCCTCTCTTCCAAATCGCCTTTTTCTTGTTCACCGTTGGCTCGATTGTGTTTGGGCTCGCACCCAACATGCCTGCTATAATCAGCGGACGATTGATACAGGGCTTGGGAGGAGGAGGCATGGATGTTCTCAGCGAGATTATCGTCGCTGACATGGTTGCGCTTAAAGACCGACCTGTTTATCTGGGGCTCATGGCCATCCCCATTGCAGTTGGGAGCATTCTTGGTCCATCGCTAGCTGCAGTCCTCGTCCAATATGCCAGTTGGAGATGGATTGGCTGGATAAACCTTCCGTTTGTTGGCGTCGCATACCCGCTTATTATCTTTTGCTTAAAGTTGAAACCAATTGACAGTCCGCTACTGCAAAAGACGAAGCAATTAGACTGGATAGGGATGGCCATCTTCACATCAGCGTGTACACTATTTGTGCTGCCACTCACATGGGGAGGAACACTTTACTCGTGGCAGTCTTGGAAGACTTTGCTCCCCTTTGTGGTGGGCATTCTTGGTCTCATAGTGTTTGCTTGGTATGAATCCAAGCCTTCGCGTCCCATCATTCCGCATCGCATCTTTTATCCACGCACTGCTTCAGTGACGCTGGCTACAGCAGTCTTACACGGGATGCTGCTGTTTTCTCTTCTGCAGTATCTCCCATTCTTCTACCAGGCTGTGGCGGGCGAGACTCTCATTCATTCCGCCCTGTCATTGCTTCCCACCAGTATTATTTCTGTTTTCGCTGCCGGCTCATCTGCGGCCTTGGTTGGCCCTCTGAAGGGTTATAGATGGCCCATGTGGATATCTTGGATCACCTTGACCGTCGGATCAGGATTGTTATCTCTATACAGCGAATCTTCATCTACGGCTATGAAATACGGTCTCCCTATCGTGTGGGGGTTAGGAATTGGTGCTCTCCTTCGAATAGCTCAGCTACCGATGCAAGCCAGCGTGGCCAATATTGACGACACGGGTGTCGCTATTGGCCTGCTGATGTTTGCTCGTTTGCTCGGCGGCCTCACGGGCCTAGCTATCAGCTCAACAATCTTTAGCAACGCTTTTGGGCCTTCCATCTCTAGAATTATCCCAGAACTGCCGGCCAATCTCCAAGTGCTTGGGAATGCCAACACGGCCATCGAATTTATCCCGAAATTAAGGACAATTGACATACCATCAGATGTATTGCTATTAATTCGAAAGGCATACTTGGATGCCTTTAAAGCAATCTTCTATACCATGACCGGTATTAGCGGCTTAGGCTTTTTAATTTCTCTGGGCCTCGAAGAATTATCACTCGACAAGGAGGAGCGTGGCCAGCAGCAATTTGATGACGAGTAATGACTCAATACTGAATGATTGGATGTTCACTAACGTAATGTATAATAGAGGGCAGATATATGACAACTGCTTTATATTTTATAACTTATACTGTTAATAATAAGTGGTCATAATTTTCCCTTTTACAAATCATGACTTGCTGATGCTGTTGATGCCTTTCATATATGTGTTAAGCGTAATTGCCCGATTCAAGGTGCGACTATGGGATAGATAGTTTACGATAACTTGTTACCTTGAATTTTAATTATTTAACAAAATAACTGTGTCGATTACAGTGTGTGAAGATTGAAATACTCGCTGCTCGAGAGACGCATTTTCGGAGTACTGCTGGACCTGCTGTTCTGCGTGTTTGCGAGAGCACGTTTCAGAATCGGCAAGAATAAAAGCGATTGACACTGAACCGTACTAACTTATTCCATACTTCAGTTATTCTTTAGAGCATATATGTGGTATCGGAAGTCAATTCATATCCCGGCCCGGGTTTTCATCCTTCATCTTTAGCCTCACGTAGATGAGCCACATGAGTCATAGCTGTGTATTCAACCTCATGGTTGCGAAAGCGGTATTGATCTTGAAAGGGATAGTTTATTCCTATGAATAGTATGTGATGTAGTTTATGCATGATATTAGAGTAGAATGACTCGGTTCCTACCCGATCCACGGAAGCTAAGAAACCAATGACACATGTCACCAAATACTGTAAGAATGCGGACTGTACTAGGTCATGCAGATGCTACGCTTAGTTGTCTGAAACTGTGAGATGTGTCGGTTAAACTATGAGGCGTACATATGGTCAAGCAACGGTATCTTTTTAGCAAAGTTGCTTAAGAGCAATGTACACAATTTGGATCGTGTCATGAGTAAGGCGTGGATGCAGTTTCGATAGTGGAGAGCAGCATTAGCTCCATGCCTTATTCAGCGCGGCATATGGTCCGTTTAAGCCTCCGGAGTTGCATTAAGAGTCATTAGGACCTGATCTAAAAATTCGATCTGTTTTTGGGCTTTCTAGGGCGACAGAAAATGCCATAAATGGCAAGTATACCCATCGTCCCGAACCATGTCGCGCCTTATAGACTTGCGCCACACCACCACCTTTTTATACTTCTAATTCCATAAAGCTCTCAAAACTTCTCAATATGAATCCAGCTCCCCCTAAACCCGTCAGCAGCGTCCTAGACGCTATTGGAAACACCCCAGTGGTGCGCCTTAACCATGTTGTGCCAAAGGATGCCGCAGAGGTCTATGTCAAATTGGAATTCTTCGGCCCAACAGGAAGCTACAAAGACCGCATGGCTCTATCGATGGTCGAAGAGGCAGAACGACGCGGAGATTTAAAACCCGGCATGACGGTTGTTGAAGCCACCGGCGGCAGCACAGGATCGTCGTTGGCTTTTGTCTGCGCCGCCAAGGGATACCAGTTTCTGGTTGTATCTTCAAACGCCTTTTCAATGGAAAAGCTACGCACAATGACTACGTTTGGAGCTGAGCTTGATATCGTGCATAGCCCTACCGGAAAAGTCACACCTGACCTGATCCCGAGGATGAGGGATCGTGCAGAGGAACTCAGCAAAGGGGAAAACTACTACTACACCAACCAGTTCCACAATGTCGACGCTTTGGTTGGCTATGGAAAGATTGGAAAAGAGCTAGTTGAACAAATTGGCGATGGTATCGACGGCTTTTGCGGCGCTGTCGGCACTGCAGGCATGTTCACTGGAGTGGCCAGCGCCTTGAGGTCGAAATATCCTTCTGCGAAAACAGTAGTGCTGGAACCTGCAGAATCGCCGACGATCACCAAGGGCGAAACGGGAAGCCATGGCGTTGAGGGCATTGGCTCTGGCATCATTCCGCCGCATCTTGACAAATCGTTGTACGACGAGGCTCGAGCCGTTCCCGAAGCAGAAGCCCGGGCTATGTGTCGCCGTCTTGCGAAGGAAGAAGGATTGCTGGTTGGAACTTCATCTGGCTTGAATATCTTTGCTGCCATACAGTTGGCGAAGGAGCTAGGACCTGGGAAGAAGGTGGTCACAGTTGCAGTTGATACTGGCCTCAAGTATCTCAGTGGCACACTCTTTAAGGACGAGTGACGATTTGAAGGTAGAGAACCTTTATTTAGATGTTGGGAAAAACAGTCTTTCTGTATGTTATAAATAAGTGGTCATTTCCTACGGCATTCAACATGAGAAGACTGCAGCTGGACTACCTATTTAATTGATGTAATTGCCCTCGGAGTCTATAAATGGACCAGTATCTGGATGAGCTTACATCAGCTATTGCCCATTGGAAGTTACAATATATGCATTCATTGCACCTGTTTAAAGCATATTATAAGAGGGCGATGATTGCTCAAAGTTAACCCACATATTTATTGCTTAGACACAAAATAAAAGAGAAAACGGCACCGGGTAGCGACATCCTCCAATTCATCTCAATTGGCGGGCGTGCTGTCGGGTAGTGGACCATGTCTTGGCATTGATCGGATGCTGTGCGAGCATGAAGCATAGGCTTATTGCATCACTAAATTTGCCCATTTCTCCAATCGGTGAACAATGGATTAATAAAGTTGTAGTGGATAAAGTCGGCATTCGGCGCAATCATCCAGCGGGCGGAATGATGCATGGGACGCATCCAATTACCCGGGCCATTTGCTGTTTTCGCATATTTATGGCTCCAGTTTCCTACTCTAGTGCTGTAAGTGATTTGACAGTCTCGTACTTGGATAGACTGGGTAAATGGTAGTATAAGACTTACTGCTGTATATACTCAATTTCGGGCTCAAAGTATAAGCCTTCTTGGTGAGAAGTTCCAAGCTTTGGAAATTATTCGCATCACCATATAGAACTAAGAGATTACCGTCAAAGTTTTAGCTCATTGTCGCAGCGTAACAGTGCATACCTACATTGCCCTCTTTTGAAGCATACTAGCAAGATTATTGATGCCCTTTTCAGCAATATCAGCTGAGCCCTACATGAAGCAATGAACGGCAACCGCACGTGCAGATATTGTCTACGGAGTAATGGAGCAGAAGAGTTCGTCATTCATTAGCTATATGAGATAATGGAGAACACCATTGGATAAGAGATAAAATCATCCGATATTGAAAAGCCTTATTAGATGCGCATTTGTGCAGGAGTCTCTGATAACGCAGACCTCCGTCTTCGCAACCGTGTGGACCTGCTGAACCCATGCTATCGTGAAAGAAGAAGCGATCTGGCCACTCGTTTTAATCCTTGGCGAATGGTATACTGCCATCACGTAAAGCTTTCAATTGTGTAATTAACCATCTCGGAAAATCTTGCCTGAAGTAGGTTTACTCAGCTTCCGCCAAATCTGCCGCCTCATCATCGGTTACACCACCATATGCCTACCTTAAGATGCGGTCATGATCGAAGCAAACTCTGCTGCCTCACATCTGAAACATCCAAAAACACTAGATAAGCACGACAATCCACCAGAGAAATGGCTCAAGACGTCAGAATCATATTTGTAATTCGACTTACCCGTTTGGGTGCCATATGCGAACGCGACAGCTCTAATTTGAGACATGACGAGATCCGTTTCGCGATGACCCGCGGCCGCAATCGGGAACCAGCAATGATTATGATGTACAATTGGGAAATTAGCATGGAAATATAATCAGCCACGAAGAAACTCAGAATTGCGTGCTTCGCGGTCGTGCAATTGCTGCAGCGCTGCACTGTATGAGATGGATGGCGTGATTCGCACTATCAATAGCATCAACACTGTCCAGATCATCTCCGATAGTGCGATACCGACGCTCTCGGCAAAGCATTGCTGACATTACAAGTATTCATTAACAATGTCTATCTGCCGGATGGTAAATCCGAAGATCAGACAAGTCTCTCCCGGGATGATTGGATGATTCGCCAATTCGCCATAGAGTTCGTGATGCATGCAATTGTGGGGGTGGGGTTTGCCCGATGCCGATGCGAGGGTGGCCGATGGGCCGCGACAAGAGGGGAAGAGACGCTGGTTGGGCAGTTTGTGGAGGGACGGGAGGTATAAAAGGGCAGTATCCGACGGGCTGGCGAGGTTGAGTGCGATTTGAACTTGCTATAGCCGTTAAGCATTACTGTCCAAGTGACGAGAATAGCAGCTTATATCAAACCACAATGGCTCCCGCATTGGTTGAGACCGCCACCACCACCAGCTCCGGACCGGTGCCGGCATCTGTCTACAAGCTGGATCTTGGACAGTACAAGGAGATTGACTTGACCTACATCGATAAGGATGCCGAGGCGGGCAAGACCGACGGCCCTGCTGCTACGGTGAGTGATGATCCCCTTGGCCGTGATGTAGACGCCATACTTATACGCAGAATAGTACCCTCACTACCTTCCCACATGGAACCCAGCACAGCAGTATCCCCCTCTGCAGCCCTTTGAGCACTATGAGCACGGCAAGGATGCCGACACATCCTATCCCAACCTGCTTCCCAGCGGCGCCCAGGTCACGGAGCTCACTCCCTCCATCGGCTCCGAAGTGAGAGGCATCCAGCTGTCTTCTCTCACCGATGCCGGCAAGGATGAGCTGGCTCACTACGTTGCCAAGCGAAAGGTCGTCGCCTTCCGCGGCCAGGACTTTGCTGATCTCTCAATCGCCGATGCGCTCAAGTTTGGCGGCTACTTTGGACGACACCACATCCACCCGACCTCTGGCTCTCCCGAGAACTACCCCGAGGTTCACCTCGTCCACCGTGGCGTCAACGACAAGGGCCACCTGGACTACTTCAAGACCAGAACCAGCTCTGTGGCCTGGCACTCTGACGTTTCGTACGAGCAGCAGCCTCCCGGAACGACCTTCTTGTACATCCTGGACAAGCCCGAGACTGGAGGCGACACCATCTTCGTTGACGCCGTTCAGGCTTATAAGCGACTCAGCCCTCTCTTCCAGGAGCGTCTGCACGGCTTAAAGGCCACGCACTCTGGTATCGAGCAGGTCAACGCCGCTGCAGCTCGCAACAGCATCAAGCGACGAGACCCTGTTGTCAACTCTCACCCCATTGTCCGAACGCACCCTGCTACCGGCGAGAAGGCCATCTACGTCAACCCTCAGTGTAAGTCATTTCGAAGCTTCCGATCATATATATATCGTATCAATTTGACTAACACCAACTTTTAGTCACTCGTGATATTGTCGGAATGAAGAAGGAGGAATCCGATTCCATTCTCAACTTCCTGTACACCCATCTGGCACAGGGCGCCGATTTCCAGGCTCGCGTCAAGTGGGAGGACAAGACCGTCGTCGTCTGGGACAACCGAGTCACTCAGCACAGTGCTCTCGTTGATTGGGAGAACGGCCAGAGGAGGCACCTTGCCCGTATCACTCCGCAGGCAGAGAGGCCCCAGGAGACGCCATTCCAGGGCTAATGGAGACACGAGGGGTTAGATATTTCATCATTTTAAACATTTGTTAGCGGTATGATTTGGTAGGCTCACTGAGATGGCCGTGTATAAAAGCAAAGAATAAAGAATGATTCCATGCTACTGATGATTGGTGCTGACGTATCGTTTGATGCTTACACCGATATAGGCGCGCCACAGACTCGGCTCCGGCTTTAGCTTGTCAACTAGAGGGCGCGAGATGGGTCCCCGATTCCAACTAAAAAAGTCAACCGCTTCTAGAATTTATAGCATTTGAAGAATGATACTCTGAAAACCTTCATATTTGTCTGCGGCGTATCATCCGAGTATAACGTAGTAGTGTTACAAGGCTGCTATAGATTGATTTATCATGGCAGTCACAACCTCAACTACCACTGCAGTCGAACTCTCTCCGCTTCCTCCGCTCGCCAACAGCTCCGGCCACAATCGGTTTCACAATGAGGTAGCGAATGATTCGCAAAACCCATCATCCGAGGATATTCTGGAGGCATCCCGCCTGGCAGACTCTGCAGTTCCGGATGGAGGTTATGGCTGGGTTGTTCTTGGTGGCTGTGCCGTCATTGCGTGGTGGGTGAGTAGTTCTGTCTCCATGTCTCTGCCTATAAAAAGAAAACATGCTTCAAACGATGCTAATCCTTTCGATTCAGTTTGTCGGGACAGGATACAGCTGGGGAGTGATGCAAGGAGCTCTTGTAGAAAAGGGACTCTCAACGCCAGCAACTTTGTCATACGTCGGCTCATTGGCTACTGCCATCATCGCTTTCCTAGCAATTGTCAATGCGCGCATCATCAGGGCCATCGGAGCGCAAAAGACCGGCATGCTAGGCATATTGATCCTCGGCATATCCGAGATTCTAAGTGGTTTCACGATAAACAGCCTTCCAGGACTATTCATCACCTCGGGCGTCACTCTCGGAGTCGGGCTGAGCTTGTGTTTCATGGCTGCGTCTGCAACACCAGCACAGTATTTTAGCAAGAAACGAGGTCTCGCAAACGGCATCGTTTTTGCAGCAGGGGGCTTGGGCGGAGCCATCATCAGCTTGTCCATGGATGCACTGATTCGACGACTTGGAACTGCATGGGCGTATCGGATTCTGGGACTCGTGACGCTGCTTACTGGTCTACCGGCAGCATGGCTGGTGAGGGAGCGCTCTCCAGTCAAGAATGCAGGATTCATCGAATGGTAAGATATCTTGTTTTGGTCGTGATACGTTAAATATGACCTCCAAGCTGACTTGATCCAGGCGTCTCTTTCGAGATCTCGAGTTTGTAATCATCTTTGCTACTGGCGCCGTTGCCACCTTTCCTCTTCTTGTTCCTGCCTTCTTCATACCGCTTTACGCACGATCAATCGGTTTGTCTTCGTCCACTGGAGCAGGCCTCTTGGCAGGCTTCAACCTCTCGTCGGCTGCAGGCAGAATCCTCTGCGGCTTCCTTTGCGATAAAATAGGATCACTCAATGCTTTGTCCATTTCCTTATTGATCAACGCCATCACAATGCTGGCCTTGTGGCCTGCCTCTACTACACTCGCTCCGTTGATTGCGTTTGTCGTTCTCAACGGTGCCGCAAATGGTGGCTTCTTCTCTACTATTCCTACAGTAGTAGGCAATGTGTTTGGATCTCAAAGAGTATCTGTGGCCATGGCCATGGTTGTTACTGGTTGGGGTGGTGGCTACCTAATGGTAAGTTGTTAATGCGCCAATACATTGTATCAATGTTCTTTTCCTTCTGCTTACAACAAATAGGGTTCCCCAATTGCTGGCTACCTTTTAGATGCCTACGGTGGGACAGAAAGTGGATTTCAAGCATATCGACCTGCCATCACATATGCGGGATGCATGGGACTTGGAGCTGCTGGGCTTGCGACGTTTGTAAGATTTCGAAAGAATCGCACAATTTTGGCAAAGGTTTAGCATTTTACACTTATATAGAACAATACTTGTACAAGTCATATGTACTATGTACATCATACCATTTGACTGCCTTACGCACGAACGGCGACCAAGAAAAGACGAGGGTATCGCAGTAACACAGATCCATCGTTGCAGGAAGGATAAAGTTCTTTGAGCTTGCCCAGATACGCCGCCAGAAATCCCTCCCTCTGCTCTGCACTGAGTGGATCAATAAATGGCCTCAATCCAGTCCCTTTAACCCACTCAACAATGCCCTCATGACCTTCCAGTGGATGCTGGTAGTTTGTATGCCATATGTCTACCGACGAACACAGTGGTTTCAACTCGTTGTATAGCTCAAAGGGGGTCTGAAAAGGCCCAAGAGCTGGCTTCAGTTGCGAAAGCGTCGCGGACCAAGGGCCATTTTCAGCCACTGTACGCATCGCTTCGTGAGATTTTTCCGTGTGGTTATCAGGCACTTGAAAGGCAAAGACGCCTCCAGGTTTCAGAGATTCAACCAGGCGTTTCATGATGGGAATTCGATCCTCAAACTTGATCCACTGGTAAACCGCATTGGAAAAGAGAAGATCGACTGGCTCTTCTGGGGTATAGTCCATTAGATCCGCCACAGCAAATTGCAGATTGGGAAGGGCTTTGCGAGCTGTTTCGATCATGTTTGGCGATGAATCGATGCCCGAAATCTGTGCATCCGGCCATTGCTTCGCAAGCACTTCGGTTGAGTTGCCCGGTCCGCATCCAATATCGATGATAGTTTTGGGAGCGGCCAGGGGTACTTGGGCGAGAAGATCGCGCGAAGGCCGAGTGCGTTGCTCGGCGAATTTGAGATACTGGGCGGCCGACCAGTCTTTGGTGTTGGCTGCTCTTCCTTTGCCAGCTGCTTGAGTCGCCATTGTTCTGTTGATGAGGGTCTTTGGAAAGGAGGCAAGTTGGCGAGATGCCATTGTGTAAGTCGAGATGTAGAATGAAGAGGAAAGAGAGAACATGAGTCGTGCTAGCCGATCTATTTATATATGGAAGCACTCCAGTAGCGATCAGTATCTAAGAACCTGCTGCTATGAGAGCCTTGCTTACAATACAAGACCAAGTTATTGGGCAGCGGAAATACTCATCACAATAGTTTAGCCTCCTTGTTTCCAGTACTATTCCGGTCGATAGTCGATACTCAGGAGCAATGCAGAGGATTAATCCGAGAGCCTTCGGCCGTCCGAACTTATTCCGCTGAGGCCGGCTTCACGGCCGAGAGCGCTTCCGCGGAAATACGAAAGCAAGGGAAAGGCGTAAATATAGAAAGACGATATTTATTTCTAATATGTGATGTAATTTCTCCAGTAATGAAAATTGCGACATGTATGATGGGAAGAACGGATGCTCTATTTACAAACGCTGTTGTGGCCCAAGCCGCAGCCAAAAAGGGCAACGGAGCGTTTCGTGCATTACAGTCTGCACTTGACGGGCTGCCAAGACTTTTAGAAAAGAGGAAATCTGTATACTTGGGTAATAGAAGCAGTATTAGGCAAATATTCGTTAGCTAGCAGCTAAGAATAATATGAAAGCCCCTTCCAGAGAGCTTTTACTCATATCGTCCACTACCAGCATCATTAGAAGTAGATTTGCACAGCGAGTCGCTTTCCTTGTAATAGCGGCAGCTTTGCCCTCAGCTTCGTAGTCGACTTGACAGCTCTGTGATTGAGACGGTCAGATCAGATAATTCTTCTTCAGAGAGTTCTAGAAAGCTTCGGTCGAGCTCCAACTTACACCTCAAACATTTGATGTGAAATTGGTGTATTTAATCCCACACTTCGATTTGTTCTTTAAATTCCCTCCCCCACCATTGCTGTCATGGCGGGGTACATACAGCCGGCAACGGAGAGGCTTCAAGCTCTTACTGAACCGCGATAATTTCACAAGCGCCGCATACAACACCTCAACGCACAGAATAGCAACATTTATTTCTCAACAGCATCTGCCATTTCGAATTCATTGGTCTCGATCAAACTGCACACTGGCAGCTTCAGCCATCTTCAAACCATCTACAGGATTGGGGGTCATAATTCCACGTTACATTGCAAGCCACATTTACGGCCAAGCCTGACCCCCACTTGAGCAGACAGTCTCCAGACAAATATACGTCGGCGAACAACAAAGAGGCCTTCTTGGACTGCATTTTCCGGGGAATAAGAACCTGGAATAACAAGTTTCAAACTATCGTCGGAAGCAAGATCCGGGACGTTACATTGTTATTGAGAAGCCACTACCTGGAGTAGTTCCCCGCAGACCTATCGAATGACCCCATGTCCAGCTGCTCAAGATTACACAACTTGGATCCTGATATTCTTCAATTTCACGGCGTCGTACTCGCTAACTGGAGAAAAAGGCTGATTTCACCACGGCTCCAAAGACCGTCCTAGGATAGAACACATCAGATTCATCATGCCGTCAGCAGAACAGCGCAAACAAATCGGCCAGGTGAGGCCTTACAATCTCCTATACGTGGTGACTCGAGCTAATATCACATCTGAGCCAGCTATTTGCTGTTGGTTTCCATGGCCGTGAAATCAACAAAGAAATCACAACACTCATTCGCGACTATGGCGTTGGCGCAATCGTGCTCTTCAAGCGCAACGTGCTCGACGCCACTCAGCTCCAGGCGCTCTGCCTAGGCCTCCAGAAGATTGCAAGCGATGCAGGCCACAGCCAACCCCTCTTCATCGGAATAGATCAGGAAAACGGCCTGGTCACTCGGATATCACCGCCCATCGCCGCCCAGCAGCCAGGCCCCATGACTCTCGGGGCTACCGGCTCTCTTGACTATGCGTACGAGGTCGCCAAGGCCACCGGAGGGATGCTGCAGTATTTCGGCATTAACATGAACTACGCTCCAGTTGGCGACATCAACTCGGAACCATTAAATCCTGTTATTGGCGTTCGGAGTCCCAGTGACCAGGCAGAAACTGTGTCCAAGTTTGCGGCAGCATGTGCAAGGGGCTTGAGAGAGCTCAACGTCGCTCCGTGCATCAAGCATTTTCCCGGCCATGGAGATACAGCTGTTGACTCTCACTACGGTCTGCCAGTCATTGACAAATCAAGAGCTGATATGGAAAAGTTGGAACTGATTCCGTTCCGTGATGCTGTTGCCGACAACATCGAGATGGTCATGACGGCTCACATCTCTTTACCACAGCTATCAAAGGACGGCCTGCCCGCCACACTATCCTCAGAAACCATCGGCATCTTGCGAAACGAGTGGAAGTACGAGGGTGTCATTATGACGGATTGCCTGGAAATGGACGGCATTCGCGCGGAATTTGGCAGCGTCAAAGGAGCACTCATGGCATTTCAGGCCGGCGTCGACAATGTCATGATTTGCCATACCTTTGACGTGCAGAGTGCGGCCATCGATCACGTCTGCGACGCCGTCACAGCCGGAACACTATCCCAAGAGAGAATAGACGCATCTCTGGAACGTCTCCGAAAATTAAAGGAAAGATATACGAGCTGGCCTCGCGCCCTCGGCACAGAACCGCCAGAGACTTTAGCCGCACTGAACAAGTGCGGAGAGAAGCTCGCCAGTCAAGTCTACGCAGATGCAGTCACTCTGGTACGAGCAGAAGAAGGCCTTTTGCCTCTTAAGCCGACTACAAAGATTGCGTTTGTCTCTCCTGGGCCCGATGTGCCCATCGGAGGCGCCGTTGATAGCGGAACTCTACCAACGCGCGTTCCTTGGATCGCAGACACCTTTGAGGAGCGCATCCGGAAGCGAGCATCTCAGACAACCGATATCCGATTCACGAGCTCTACCCTCACGGATGAGCAATGGAAGCAGGTGGACGAGGCTGATGTTGTGATTCTCGCAACCCGCAACGCGCGCGAGTCCAAGTACCAGAAAGAGCTTGGCCTCAAGGTCGCCAAACGACGAGCGTCATCGCCGCTCATCTCAGTTGCCACATGTGCTCCATATGATTTCCTGGATGATGCTCAGATTCGCACGTACATTGCCGTGTATGAGCCTACTGTGGAGGCATTCAGCGCGGCGGTGGATCTTTTATTTGGAGATGCACAGCCAAGGGGCAAGTTGCCGGTGGCGCACTAGTTTTGGACAAGAAACGATGTATTTATATAATTAAGCATTATCATTACATGCAATGTTCGTTAACATGTACGTGATCTCATATATCATAACGCCCAGATCGGCCTACTCAATCTTGACAATGTTCGTCTCGTCAGTATACTTGACAAGCGAAAACTCAATCGTCAAGTCCTCGTAGTCAAACGTAAAGTAGACATTACGCAGAAACGGGTCGCCCAGAGCCTCGCCGTAGGGGTACACTGCCACTGTGCAAGTTCCGTCTCCCATATCGACGGGGATAGAGCTCAGTGGCACGTCGAGGCTGACTCCCGGCGCGATGTTGACGGCGATGGAATCAGCAGACGGCTCGCGGAACTTGCAGTCCACAACGGGATCGTTGGTGAGGTCCGGGTTGGGGATGCCCCAGTAGTTGGTGAGGGCGTCGAACATGTCCTGCTGGACGTACCAGTGCGGATTGCCGGTGTCCCAGAGAGCGTATGTGCCGTTGTCGTAGGTGGATGTCACCTTTGTGCCGTTTGCGAGCTGCAGTTGGAGGCTGGAGAGGCTGACAAAGTTTGGCTGCGAGTTTGCCGCGGGGATTGATGGATCTTCCACCTTTACTTTGTAGACGGGGCCCTGGCGCTTGGCAAGATCGATGCCTCCGATGAGCAGCGAGCCTGTGGCATCAGCGTCGTTTGGTCCTAGATAGACGCTAAAGGCACGGCGAGAGATGACGCCCTTTTGTTGAAGCTGGTTCAGGAACGTCGGGTAAGTGTCGCAGGCCTTTGTGTCGCAGAAAGCCCCGAGGCCAAAGATGGCGGTTTGCTGGGTGTCGATGGGAAAGGAGGCCGCGTTCAACTCGACTGCTCCAAACATCATGTCGGTGACGGTCACGCCGCCAAAAGTGAGGGTGTCGTTGATGTAACTGCCAAAGCCGTGGTCGATGAGCAAGTCATTGTAGCCGTCGTTTAGCCACTTGGTCGTGGACGAAGAAGTGTTGTCGTAAGTGCCGTATTCCGAGCAAAGTCCTCGCTGGCATACAGAATTTTCTGGTTGCAAATGGTTATCAGCAATGCCATCTTTGAAGACTGCGAGTCTCGGGATTCAGGAGAGTAGACGAACTGGGTGTTTCAAAGGCATAAGTTGGACTGCCTGTATCGGCAAGGATAATTGCCTTTTGAGGGGGAGTGCCAACCAAGAACTCGGCTCCATAGGCGCTCTGGTTCTTGATACGCTGGAGGGGAAGCTCAATTACACCATCGGGCAGAGCTGCCGCAGCGAGAGACGCAAATGTTAGGGACGCAAGAGGAGCATGCATTTTGACAGTCTGCCGTATTGAAATGACTTGAAAGGTTAAATCTTGGCTCGGTATTCCAACGTTGAGCTGAAATCAAGGGATCTGCACTATGAGGTGGGTGGCCATTGACTTTTTATATACCCAAACTGTGCACGTAGCTACAGCATCGGAATTTGCACGGATGGTGATCGGTACCTATCGGCATCTATACTATTCTCGCCTATTAGCCAGGAGATTCCCAAAAAATAGTAGAGCCTTGTCCACAATCATGCTCGCTGTCAAATACGAGCTCTCGCCGGCCGAAACGAATGGGGCACACCGTACGGAGCATCAAGTCGTGGCGACTTAGCATGGCCCACTAAGACCACGGGATCGAAATTGTAATCAGCGGGAGCTTGAGCGCCACGATTTGCTGTTGGTGTGAATCAGTGGGGATGATTGGAACAGCGATCTGGATAAAATGATTCCGATCGTGGTGAACCGACCAGGTTCGGGGTTTGGAAATGGGTGACATCGGGTCACCGTTCCACTAGTAGTCTGTCGTAACATGGAATCGACAGCAGATGCTTCCCCCTGCATATTCCATCAAAAGTTCTTCTTCTCTTGGCAACAACAAAATACGAATGGACTGCATGATACAACCGGAAAGGGGAATCCAACACGAGGAATTGATGATGCAATGCGCGTGTCTGTATCACCAAGACTCTGTGTAAGCAATTGATAATGATCCAAGAGCAGCAGCGGTCAAGAGGCAATCCCAGTCTTGATGTCGAAATACGCATTACAGCCATTACGTGAAGGAGCAATATTGCCATGTATTCCTCCTGAGCTTCATTTATTCACTTCACATACAATGTATATAACCAGATTACTTGGTAGTATATACGAGCATATGTCCATATTTATTCTACTATACTACAAGTCATCATCAATAGTTCCCCCCCTCACAATCATGAACATCAACCTGACTACACCACAACTGCGTAATCGGCGCTCCCCTCACCCCCCTCGCCAACATCCTCTCCCGCTGCTCCGATAATCTCGGCCTTGCGTCGAGCTGCGACCGGTTCGTGCCCGTTGCCTCGTCCACCCGGCCCGACCACCAGACCTCGGCTGCGGCGCCGGCCCGGGGCCAGATGATGGTGTCGAGGCTGGTGGTGTCGATGGTCTCGGTCCAGACGGCCAGCTCGCCGCCAATGACGTTCTTGTGCAGGTCCGAGGACACGCCGTCGGTGGGCTCGTGGGAGTAGAGCAGCTTCCAGTTCTTGGTCGGGTCGCACCAGTCGAGGAAGGGGTAGTTGTTCTGGAAGGGCGCGCCGTTGTCGAAGTCGAGGAACTCGCCGCGGCCGCAGTCGAGATACTATCAATAGATGTCAGTCGTGTACAAGAAGAAGACGAAAATCAACAGCACTCACGTAGAAATCATTGCTGCTGTCAATGACTTTATACCCCAGCTGGGCCAGCTTCTGGATCGCGCCTCCGCCCAGCCACGTCTGCGCAACCACGTCCTTGCCCAGCGTGGCGTTCCAGTCCAGAATCATCTCCTCCCACACCATGGGCACGAGGCCCAGCTCGCGCACCTTGCCGTGCACGTGGTCCAGGAACTTTTGCAGCAGCGGCTGCAGCACGCTCTGGTCGCTGGTCTTGAGGGCCGGGTCCAGCAGCGAGTTGTTGGCCTTGTACTCGTCGCCGCCGGTGTGGAAGTAGGCCGAGTAGGGCGAGAGGCGCGGCAGCAGGTCCTCAAACAGCGTGTCGATGAACTTCTCGACGCTGGAGTCGTTGAGCTTGAGCGATCCGCAGGGCGGCTGGGCGCAGTACCACTGCCACGGGTTGACGCCGTAGGCATTGCTGAGGCCGGGATACGCCTGGTCGATGCCGACGTGGCCCGGCATGTCGATCTCGACGATGACCTGCACGCCGCGGTGCACGCCGTACTCCTGGATGCCGGCGAGGTCGCTGGGCGAGTAGCTCAGGCTCTTGTGATACGCGCCCTTCTCAGCCAGCAGCGGCAGGGCGGGGATCTCCAGCGGCCAGGACTGCGTGTCGGTGGCGTGCAGGTGCAGCACGTTCATCTTGTTCATGGCCAGCGCGTCGATTGTGTGCTTGATGTCCGAGACCGCGAACCAGTGGCGGCTCACGTCCAGCAGGAGGCCCCGGTGAGGATACTTGGGCTCGTCGCGAATCGACACCGGCGCCAGCTGCGTGTACCAGGCGGTGCCGGCGCTGTGCTGGAAGAAGAGCTGCGAGAACGTCTCCAGGCCGCGCAGGATGCCCGTCGACGACGGCGCCACCAGCGTGGCATGGCCCGCGGCATCGACGTCCAGCGCGTACGACTCGTTGACGGCGCCGTTGAGCGGCCTAAAGGTCGATGCCGAGTCGTGCTGCGTCTGCACAATCTGCAGCGTCGCGATGCGCCTCCCGCCCAGCGCCGGCTCAAAGTCGACGCCGCGCGCCCGCAGCATCCACGGCACGAAGCCCTGCTGGAAGATCGCGCCAAACGTGCGCGAGAGGCCGCCCTGGACGATTTGCTTGCTGTCAAAGTGCGGTCCGCTGGGCGGCACGTAGCTGGCCGTGTACGAGATCTGTTGGTTGTTTATCCTGGTCTCAGCAAAGTCCGATCCGGGGTAGTTTTCATCACCATCATCACCATGTGGGCGGTACGGGATCCATCGCACCTGTTCGCCGTTGTAGGTTACCTGGACCGTCTGGTCAATGAAGAGCGTGCCGTTGCCCGTCGACGCCTGCTTCGGCGCCGGCCACAGGGCGCTGGCCGGGCTGCCGAGGGCCAGCACGGCGACGAAAAGGGCCCTGCAAAGCATCGTGGGCTGATGTCTGGTCGTTCCACCGAAAGAGAGACTCGAGTATGTGCCAGAGTCAGGCCACCAAGAGTTGAGCCCGTCCGTATATCGAGCAGTGTCCGTGGACGAGAACCGGGATGGCTGCTTAAATACTGCTGCTGCTTGCACGCATCCTTCTCTTGACAGCTCCCCCCTGTTGACTTGATTGATTCACTCTGTCCTTGTCGTCCTCTTGGTCCCGCTTCTGCTCCAGGTCCAGGTCCAGGTCTGGGGAAATACAGACTAAAACGCAGGATGCTGCCTCGTAGATCGGTGTAGCAGCAGCAATGCTTTGACAGGCGCCGCTTCTCAGCTTCATCGGCTGCAAGAATACTGGGCCTGCGGTATGTGTTGGCGCGGAGTAGCGTAACGTTCCATCGCCATTGGAAGGGAATCTTTGCGGATGAAGAGACTTGGGATGGCGATGAACAGCTCGAGTTGAATCAATGCTGAGCGTTGATGCCAAGCCGTGCCGGAAATTTTGCCTGCAAGACGAATTGTCTTTGATTGAGCTTGTGCCCGTTGGCCCTTTGCAGCCAACTGTGAAATTCCACGTCTCGTACGATTCCCGTGATGCTTTGGCCTGTGCCCAAGATGCGGAGAATGACGCTGGCTTGGCCGATCGCCGGCAAGATGCTAGTGGTGAGCCAGCACTAACGCCTTGTAGCAGGAGATGTGACGCTGTTTTCCCCTCGACATGGAGATGGCCTTGCAGCGGCCAAGTCGGAGCAACAGTTGCCTATCAGGTTATCAACTGATATGGAGGAGTCAAGGCGGATATGCGGCAAAGGACCCCCATTTACATGCTTACTGTGTAGCTAATATGAAGCATAATGCGGCTTATCTTAAAGTTGAAAACTGGCGTGGGCACCGGGCTTCACGCCACCAAATGGCTACCTGAAGGGCATGTAGTCATCACCGTAATTGCAATCCAAATATCAACATCTTGCTCTGAATTGATTGTTGCAGTCTAAAGAGCAGAATATTGAGTCTTCCACTACATGGTACGAGGACTGAAATCAGGTCACTTTCAATCTACACGCACTTTTAGCTCCCCAAAGCAGTAATCACAGCGCTAGCATCTCAGCTCAGCCTCTTTGCATCTCAAGTCAAATCAGAAATCAGCCATTTGCACGCGCCCATGAGTCCCAAACAATGCGCGAATTCCTCGATCCGGGCTATCCCGATCTTAAAACATCTTTAAATAGAGCCAAAACACGCCAAAGAGGGTAAATCAAGGGCTATGACGCACAGCAAAGTGCAGCATCGTCCTATCCGCTGCTCGTCAGACCATCCTCGGGGTCACGATTCACGATGTGGCGTGACGATTTCGATCATGCGTATTTCGCCCAGTCTGTATGCCAATAATGGCTCAATTGATGTTCTTACTCAGAAAACAATTATCAAACATAGTGTAGTCAAACAAGAGATTTGATAAATACGCGCATGTAGACAATTGATGTGAAAAACAAGTCTCATTCTTTCGCATGTCCTTTTACTGCGCTCATTCGCGTTGTTGATCGAGCTACCCTAAAAGCTGGCACAGCTTTGAATCGCGACTCTTCACATCGCCATCTGATTTCAAAGGCATATTGATAATACAGTCATTCAAAATCATCAACCAAAAAAGGATTCACTCATAAAATTCTAGCATCACATCCCAATCACCACAATGCCGACCTCAAATACATACTCAAGGCCAATTCGGCACATCCAGCGCGAAGACCTCTACACCAACCTCGAAATGCGAATCCAATACCTCCACTCATTCCTCGACTTTTCAAGCCGTATGTTCCCGCTCACTCAAACATCCATCATCAAAAATACTAACGTGTGATCAAGGCGACATTGACGCCCTCGTCAACGACTCCAAATACATCAAAGCCCTCATCCCCGCCGTCGCAAACATCGTCTACAAAAAGCTCCTCCAGTACGACATCACCGCCCAGGCCTTTACCGTTAGAAGCACATCCTACGAGGGCCCGCTGGATGAAATTCCCGATGAAAACAGCCCGCAGATTCTGCATCGCAAAATGTTTCTGCGCGCATACTTGAGCAAACTATGCTCGGACCCGAGCAAGATGGAGTTTTGGGAGTATCTCGACAAAGTTGGGTAAGTAGCCTCATCTCTCGTATACCAATATGAGTATAAACAAGTATATAAAAAGCAGCAGCTGATCAAACTGCACAGCATGATGCACGTAGGCCTCGGCCGAAAGCACCCCCTCAACGTCGAATACATCCACCTCGGCGCCTGTCTCGGCTACATCCAAGACGTCCTCAACGAAGCCATCCTCTCCCACCCGCGCCTGCACATCCAGCGCAAAATCGCCCTCGTCAAGGCCCTCAACAAGGTCATCTGGGTGCAAAACGACCTCATGGCCCGGTGGCACGTCAAGGACGGCGCCGAGTACGAGAATCCCGACGCGGAAATCGAGGTTGAGAGCGAGGGCTACCTCCACGGGAAGAAAGTGTTTAACGACGAGGACATGCAGGATGAGGCAGCTGGCGAGGCGCCTCCGGAGAGATCGTCGTGTCCGTTTTCTGGAGTGCCGGCTTCGGGGATACCGGTGAAGCATGTTGATTTTAAGGAGGCAACATAGACGAGGGAATTCACATGCTAGAGGCGCTTTATTATTCATCTTCAGAGAGGAAGCTTGTATTACTATTATTATTACCAATCTTATGAGGTTTCCAAGTTATAGTTTAACGGAATCGGCCAATTTTGTATGCTAGCAATTTATACTCAAAATCATATGCTCAGTGCTTCTTGAATAGCAATTGTTCAAACAGGGTATCATATCCAATCTTTGTGCCACTTTGCCTCCCTGGCCACCCCCATCTATTATACAAGCAGTGGTGACTCTTCGTTGAGTATACCAAACAAACTCTCAATCTCCTTCTCGGCAATCTTGAGCTCCTGTGCCACCTGGCCCGTAACCAGCGTATATGCATAAATGAGAGCATAGTCCCTCTCCTCAGCTATCGTTAAGCTGACTTGTGTGTCACTGCTGCTAGCAGCAGCTGTAGTGTCACGGCTACTCTCGCCATTCTCGGCTTCATTCTCTTCGATAAAGCCCAGGTTTCGAACAGCTTCGGGTGAGTGCTCCTTGCGGAATTGGAAAATCTTGGCCAGCAGCCGATCGCGGATGCCAATGACGCTGGGAACCGCGTCGGTCAAAGGGTATTCCAGCATCATGGAGCTGGCGAGCACTTGAAAGACGTGGCATATACGGTCGCACAAGACGGCTCTCTCCGCTGCTGTGTACTCCAAAAGGGCTCGCTCGCCTGGACTAAGATTCCCTTCCCGATGTGTTACCAGGCTCATGGCGTAGAAACTGTCCAGGATCCGGTTGGTGCTGCGCATGATGCGGCCATATGTCTCAAATGGAAAAGGGCCGCGAAGCTCAAATTCCGACGAGGCCGATTGGCGCAGACTTTCCAGGCGGCTAGCGTACCGTTGCATGGCCACCTGCTCCCCAGACTTGAGGTAACTCTCAGAACAGTCGGTGCGGAGCAAAATAGCCAGCGGTCCTCGCCGCCAAATGAGACCCATTTGAAGATAGAGCATAGAAACCCCTTCCTTAAACTTCCGGCGAGCTGAGATGGGCCAGATGACTCGACAGACAATCAATCCCCAGAGGATGCCCGTTATGACGGAAATGACACGATGCTTTACAATCTTCATCATAATCGGGTGTATTCCACCCTCATCGTCGTCGTCGTCGTCGACCCGCTGGCTCAAGCTATAGGCGTAAAGCGTTGACACGTTGTATGCCAGTATGGTCATGCGACCCAGCGGAGCTTTGCCTCGGGCGACGATGAGATAAAAGTTCCAGAAGCTGACCGCCCATCCGAGTACGATGAGCGCCGCCGCATTACCCTGGCTGACGGTCCAGTTGAACAAGGAGAAGAAGGCACCGAAAAATGTTCCCAGGAACCGAGCCCAGCCGGTTGTGTTGGAAGCGCCGACCGTCATGGAGCAAACAATCATGAAGGATAAGAGTCCCCATTCGCCACGATAGTGGTTATAATAGTCTCGAGTCTCTTCTATGAAGGCGAGCATTCCCCAAAGAGAAGCGCCAATGCCCACCTTGAGACCAAACAATACTAGAAGAGGAGTGTCAACTTTGATCTCAGCGCAATCAAAACGGGTTTCGCGTCTACTTACTGTCGTCTCGGGCAATTTTTCTAGCGAATTTCATGACAGACTGAGAAAACATGGACAGTATCTTGCTGGCATTGGGCGCTGCTTGCCAGTTATAAGTGTCTCTGCGGCGGATCATGGAGTCTGGAATGCCCCTGGGCATATCGCGCTTCCGGATGGGCTTGATCAGGCTTTCGGCTTCCGGTGAAGTTTCAAACGGTAGGCTCGACATTTTACGTCCTGGCGCAGTAACGTCCTCTTTCCTCCACCAGAAAATCCAGCGCCAGCTTTTCTTGCTATGTTCGTTGACATACTTGAGGTCATCGAGCACATCGAGGTATTTTTGCATTTCCTCGCCAAATGTCTGCAAACTGAAGCTGAAATGTCCACAGGCGGCGGCAATCTCCTCCAAGCCAGCCTGTATCCGTCGCGAAGTAGACTTTTCTTGTTCAACCATGGTGTACACCTGTTGCAAGGCGTTGGACCTTGCCGCATTGAATTCCCCGAGCGCCTCGGTGAGGTTATGCCGAAGTTCTTCGCTGATGGTCACTTCAAAATCGGACGAGGTTCCTAGAGGCGGCTCTTGGAGAATCTGAACAAGGCTTTCGGTCAGCGTCTTCATCGAAGGCCCCATTAAGTCGACAAATAGATGAAAGACGGCTGCCGGCGCAGGGCCATCCTGTTGCGTCGCAGTGCTTGGTCGCCGCCCTGGTGAATTGGGTCTGCTCGTCCCTTGGATAGTTTTTGGACTGGAACTGCTAGGAGATATGCCTTCAAAGTCGCCAAGGGACGAAACTGTTAGAAATCGGGTCAAGGGTGGCGGCCCATCGTCTGATTCGGCCTGCCTGAGGAGGGACAGCTGGGTATTAGCCGCGCTGCGTAGGCCGCCGATGGAGCGAGCAAGAGTCTCGATGGCCTTGACTGTGGATCTCTGCAATACGTATATCTTCTCGCGGCCGAGGAGGTAGTCCTCAAACTTTGCCTCTCGCAGGTTTTTGAGCATTTGCGGGTTCGTCGTGTTGTAGGTGGCCGAGGCTGCAGAAAACTGGGCAGACATGTCTCCTTCTTCCACTCCCTTGAGAAAGCTCGCGGTGATGGATGAGAGCATGCCCCCCAGCGAGACGGTTGCCTTGGCCAAGGAGGTCCGTAACAGATCGCGGGCAGACACCCTCCAAACCAAAACGTTGACAGCGGCGGTGGATGTGATGCCCATGACGAGCATCTTGAAGACTTGGACGATTTTCTGATTCGAAAAGACGTTGGAGACGACGGCGTTTTCTTTCGTAACGACGGAGATGATGGCAAGGGATGCCAGGGTGCTGCCGACATTGACCAGCGGGTTCGCCATCTTCTGCTTGACCCATCCCATGAAGCCAAAGGCGCCGCCGATGAAGATGATGACGACCAACACATGCGCCAAGGTGACGAGGCCCATGACGGAGCCGACAAAGACGGAGGTGACCATGGAGAGGATCGAAACGAGCTCGGCGTACGCGACGGCCACGACGGCGATGAGGACGGCCTCGATCATGGACCCGGTGGACCGCGCCGGGTGGAAGTAGACGGTGATTGTTGCGACGACATGCTTGCCGTCGGGCGTGCCCAGGAAGCTCGACAGCGGCGAGAGGAAGGTGGCCAGGCTGGCGATGGTGTAGGCCAAGGTGCACTTGAGGACGCCGTGGCCCGCGGGCGAGTCGAGCCACTTGATGAAGCGCAGCAGCGCGGCGCGGACGGAGTTGGCCATGGCATCGGCGCGGCGGGACAGCGATGCGGACATGAAGTCGACGAGGCGTCGCAAGAGGCCGCTCTTGGCTGGATCTTGGGAGGTTTGTCGCGGTCTCGAGCTCAGAGCGGGAGCCCGCAGCTGGCGGGGCGACAGAGGGATGATGGTGTCATCGCTGCTCGTCTACAGTTGCAGAGAAACAAGGTCAGCCGGTCTGTGCGCATGAGCCTTGCAATGCCATGCCTGATGACGACGCCGCGCATTGGACGGGGCTGGTGGGCAGGGAGGCAGAGCACTGGGAGCCTTCAGAGAGCTGAAGCATTGCAGAGCAGAAAGAGACTGACATTCCGTGCAGAATGCGAGTGAGCCGGCGCCATGCGTGGTGTTGAGCCCGGCGCCATGGCAAGCTGGACTGGTGGCAGCTCTAGACGAGCTTCATGGCTTCGAGGGCGCTAGAGTGGGGGAGCTTGCGCATGGATAGGTGCGACGATGAGCTAATGGGCGTCGGATAGGTACTGATACTACTTGTAGGTGGGTGGAAGCAGAGACAGGGTTGCGTATAGGTACTGTGGCAGTTGGGATAACGATGGAGGTCGAGTGCATGTGAAGTTGCAGCGGCAGGGTTTGGTCCACTTGGAAGAGGTGATGAAACCTTGGCGCAGCTGGCTCGGCGATGAATGGAACATTACAGCGTTTGGAGGTGACTCTGGGGTCTCTGAGAAGACGGCTGGGGACAAGGTACCGGGCTAACAGTTGGGGCGTAGCATTGATTGCTACAGCACAGCTCTAGCTGCCAGCCACTTGTCTCTAGCGGGCTGTCGGTCTGCACCTCGAGAAGAAAACAGAAACATCCAGTCAGCTACATGTTTGGTATTCTAGTTATACTCCGTACGAAATGGTCTAATTAATGCCGAGACCAGATAAGACGCTGAGATGGACAGATCAGTCTGGTGTCTGCACCCTGTCCGTTACGCTGCTGCCTTGCTGCCCGGCCTCTCTTTTCTCCGTCGAGTCCAGCCTCCATCGCCATCACAAGCCGAAAGCCGTCCATTCTCTCGAAATGAATGAATCAAATCATGCCCAGCTGTGGGACGGGCCGGGGTGGCCACCTGCTGCAGAGAACTTGAACGCGTGCAGCCACCAGAGAATCACGGGCCAACACGCAGAATTTTCTGCAGCCTCTTCTCGGTCCTTCATATCCCCTCTGCAATTCTTCATTTCTCCACGATGGTGTTTCTTCTTTTTTTTTCTTCTTCTCTCAGCAACGTTTCCCATCCTCTGGCTTTCATTGGAGGTGCCGTATTCCCGTAGACCGCATCCCATATCATCACTGCCCATTTCATGGCTTGCAGACCAACTTACTCGCACTTGAGCCGCTGCCAACCTCCATGCAGTAAATACGCCGGTCGCAGACAAGGCGTCCAGCCTGGCTGTCAACGGCGCTGCTGATCACCAGCGGCCTCAGCGCCAGGCTCGTTCAACTTTAGCGCCCCCACCCCGTAAATGTCCCCCAAAGTGTTCGCGGCTTAGCGCCTCGCCCAGGGCCCCGTAGCGCGCACTGCAGCGCACCTACAGTACGTCGCTAGCAGCGGTTCCGTGCATGGCCCAAGATGGCCGTCCCTGGGCCGGATAGCGCTGACAGGTCGGGCTTGCCGATCCACAACCTCCAGTTTTTGACATCCGTCATCTCTTTCTGGCAGCAGAAACATCTGAGCGACGGAAAATAAGAATGGCCAACAGCCCAACGACTTGATTCATCTCGTCCACGTGCATCGTCAGGCTCCCCGGTAGCCTCTCGGTCAACGCTTTGGGCACGTTGCTCACCCTCTTTTCGGGCGGTCGTTCCGAGATGCTCGGCCGAATCAAGAAATGGCCTTGCCTCGTGTGGACTCGATGGCTGCAACCGGCCTCGACTTGGAGGGAGCACGTGTGGTGGCCGGATCCGAACGCAGCACTACGACTTACACGCAACGATTTCATAATGAGTTGATGGTGTCTGGGCGTTGGTGCCCCTAGTGGCGGAGGCTATCGACTGATGGACCACCCAACGTGGTAGATAACTGGTAGATGACTTGGCACTGCTCGGTCTTTTTGCCCGTCTCTCTCTCGATATCCACTCGATTGTCGGAGCCCGTATCAGTAGGACCTGCAAACTTATTCATGGACCTTCACCCAAGCTTGCTCTGAGACCTGCGACACTGGGCACTTTTGACGCGGTATCCATATATACCTGGACTACCCCATGGGTTTACTAGTCAAGCCGAGCAATGCCTGCTTCCCCTCACATCTGTAAGGGATCGCCATGCCTATGAATGTACATGTACTCCGTAGCAGCCATTCCTAGGCCAGGATGCAAGCCAAGAGGCCAAGGTCGGTAGCCATGAGCCGACAGGTTGAGGCATGAGATCAACTGCCAACTCTGGAACCGCCTCCTGCAGACTAAAATAAGTTAATAAATAAAAAGAAAATCTAGAGGAAAAAAAGAAGATCAACAAGACTCTAGAAACCACCCCCCCTGAAAGGCAAAATCGCATCCACCCACTATTGCCAGATAGCAGTGCCGTCTCTTCCACTGCCAGCCATTGGGCGTCCCAGCACCGCGCACATGGCCCTCCACCATGCTTGATTTTTTATCTCTGTTGCATCTGCCAAATGAGGCGATAACTAATGGAAACTACAGGCATTCTGTGGGCTTATTATCTGTCCATCCCTGGCCGACTGAAATCCCCAAGTGGGCCTCCAAAAAGGCTCGGGTCCAAGGCTGTAGGCAGCTTAGCCTCTTCTCTCTCCAGTCTCTTTGCATGTCTGTTTGCATGTGCAAGCATCATCGAGTGGGTTCGCGGCTCATGTAGCGCTACTGCTACTACCACATTGCGCAGGTCGCTGCAGAAGCCATCTTAGCGGACGCAATGCCTGTCTGTTGGGTGGAAACCGGACATCTTAGTCTGGGATGTGCAGCTCATCACCCTCGGCGCAACTGACCCGGCGATCGTACATTTCGATATCGACTCCAGGTATGAATAGCCGGTGCTACCCCCCTTCGTGGGACAAGTTGAGAGAAAAGAGTCTGTTGTCAGTCAGTGTGTGTGACACAGCTGCCGGAAACTTCTTAGTCTTGCTGGTCCTCCATCTCGAGTTGACCAACTTCTTCTCTTTCCTTCTTGCTTTCCTCTGCTGCAACTCTTTCTTGCTTCTCTTGGCCAATAAGAGACTCGACTGCAGCAATGATGGAACCCGCCATTGAAGTCGGCATCCGCCGCAAGACCTTCTTCCAGACCGCGCTGCCCGTCTTCGCCTGCGGTGCCGGTCTCTTCTCCGACGGCTACGTCAACAACGTCATTGGGTCTGTCAACACCGTCCTCAAGCTCGAATACGGCACCGTCTACACCGACTCCAACGCCGCAAAGTATGTCTCGGACATTGCCTTTGTCGGCACCGTCGTCGGCCAGCTCTTCTTTGGCTTCCTGGCTGACCGCTGGTCTCGCTCCAACTCGCTGCTCGTTTCCACCGTCATCCTCATCGTCTTCACTGCGCTGGCCACGGGCTCGTACTATCACGGCGACGCGGTTGGCATGTTCAACATGCTGACTGCCTGGCGCTTCTTTGTCGGCATTGGTATTGGAGGTATGTGTCTTTTGAATTATTTTGGTCGTGTTCAAAAAAGCACATTATGCTAATAGTCCAACTCATACAGGTGAATATCCTGCTGGCAGCGTTGGCTGCGCCGAGACGAGTGGCGAGCTCAAGGAGGGCACCCGCAACCGCTGGTTCATCCTCTTCACCAACACTATGATTGACTGGGGCTTCGTCATTGGCGCATTCGTTCCTTGTAAGTCTCATTTACCGCTTTTCGCTGCTCGTACATGTGTGCGAAATCGCCAAGCTGACTCGCCTCGAAAATAATAGACGTCGTTGCCGCTGCTACTCACGACGGCCGCCTTAGCACCATCTGGCGCACTTCTCTCGGAATCGGTGTCGTTTTCCCCTTTGTCTTGTTCATCCTCCGTCTCAGACTCAAGGAGCCCGATGAGTTCTCCAAGGAGTCCATGAGGCACAAGACACCTTACCTGCTGGTCCTCCGCTACTACGGCCTCCGACTGCTCGCCGTGAGCATCGTTTGGTTCCTCTACGATGTGAGTCTCGCTCTGGGTCCCATATCCTCTCAATTTGCATTTGTACATGCTAACCTTGTCTGGTCCTAGTTCTCTACGTACGCCTTCGGTATCTACACCTCGTCTATCCTGTCTGGCATCTACTCCTCCACCGCTCCCCTCACCACCATCTTCGGCTGGAACACCGTCATCAACCTGTTCTACATTCCCGGAACCATGATTGGTGCCTTTGCCAGTGACTACATCGGCCCCAAGTACACCCTGATCATTGGTGTTGTTCTGCAGGCCGTCATCGGCTACATCATGGCTGGTGTCTATGACAAGATCTCCCAGCACATTGCTGCCTTTGCCGTCGTCTACGGCATTTTCCTGAGCTTTGGAGAGTTTGGTCCCGGCAACAACATTGGTCTCTTGGCCGCAAAGTCCTGCGCCACTGGTGTCCGTGGCCGTTACTACGGTATTGCCGCTGCCATTGGCAAGATTGGTGCCTTTGTCGGAACCTGGGTCTTCCCCCGCATCGAGGCGGCTGGTGGCAATGATCCCACAAAGGTTGCCCAGTATCCCTTCTGGGTTGCTTCTTCTCTGGCGCTGCTGTCTGCTCTCATCACCTTCTTCTTCATTCCCAACGTTGGCCAGGACACCATTACTCACGAGGACATCAAGTTCCGCGAGTACCTCGAGAGCCACGGCTGGGATACTACCCAGCTCGGCTTGGACAACAAGACTGACTCCAACCCTACTTACAATGAGGAGGAGCACGTTGTCCAAAAGAATCTGCAGTAGAGGGCTGCCTTTGTGTTATTCAAGATTCCCCCATAGCATAGAATATACAAGTAATGTTAAAGATGAATGATGAATTCCTCATACGATCCGTGTTTGAATATGCATGTCATGGCACCTAAACATCATCTTATTGGGTATGCGATGTAATCTGTAGATACATGTAACCAAGTATATGCGCTGTGTAAAAGAAATTGACCTCAGCCATCACCAAGTTGTATGCATTCATGGAAACTGTATAACACTATTACTATCATTAAATCGCTAAATCAGAACATGACCATATAGAACTCTTCAAATCCAACTCCTCACTGATCCTCCACTCGGAACAACGCCAGCGACAACGCATCTCCCAACACCGACGACGGCGGCTTCTTGTGAACCGTCAGCATCCTGCTCAAGCTGACCTCGCCACCCGGACCCGGCGATGGTGATCTGGCCCTCGGTGCACCTTCGCCCGGGACGCTGAGATTTCGACTGTGCCGCACACTTTGCGTGGCATTGCTCCTCCTCAAACTACCGCTGTCGAGACTGTCGCGACTAGGAGGCATGAGAGACGCCGGTCTCGCTTTACCACCTTTGGGAGCTTCGAATCTTGCTGATGAAGTAGGCCTGTCGCCATTTTGAGGAGGAGGAGGGGCGGCACGGCTGTCTTTGCTCTTCTCGTCTTTCAAAAGACCCCACAAGTTGTTGAGCCACTTCTGCTTCTCTTCGGCCTTCATGGAGCGAATGGGCAGCACTTCGGCGCCGGCCATTTCTCGCGTCGGCCAGGGAAAGCTGACGGCCATTTCCTTGAGCGTCAACGGGGCGAGTTGGCGTAGCACGATGCGCAGCTGCGGCTCGACGTTTTCCACGTACTCGTAGGACCAGTCGTCTCTTCGCTGGAGACGGTCGGCGATTTGCGTCATGGCACCAATCAGCCACTCTATGGCTACGGCGTCGGGCACGCTGTTGGCCTTTTGGAGGAGCCAGCCGAGCATTTCTGGAGAGCCGGACTGGTTCAGGATGGGGATGCTGCGCTTGTCGTGTTCGCGTCCTTGGAGCTTGAGGATGAAGTCGTTGTACTCTTTCATGGCGCTGATGGGCATGCCGATGAACTTGCCGCTGTTTAGTGCGTGGACAAGCTCGTCTCCGAGGGATAGGCCGGCCTTGATGCCGCTGTTGAGGCCTCGTCCTGGCCAGAAGTGTACCGTCATTGCAGCATCGCCGGCGACTGCGACCAGAGCATGGGGGCGCTTGACGTTGATGGAGTCTTGAGGTGGCAGCAGCTGTACTCCTTCTCTTACGGCTTGTACAACAATTGGGATGCGCACAACGTTGATGACTTCTTCGTCCTTGAATCCAAAGAGCTTGAGGCCATCTGAGATTGATGTCCACAGAGGGCTGCTCCTATCCTCAGATGGCGCGAAAACTTGACTTGGCTCGAAACCCTCGGGAATACTCCCGTCAGGCTTCCTGAAGCAACCTGGTCTGCCGAAATGGACTGGCTGCCCGTCAACCGAGAGCATCTTGTGCCACTCTTCCTCGGTGAGTTGCATATTCAAGTAGCCCCTGCCATCGTGATCGCTGGCATTCAGTAAATAGCGTGTCTGTCCGAGCGTGAGAAAGACGTTCAGGGACTGTGACCACGGCAAGCCGGCAGGTCTGTCAAAAGCCAAACCCAAGGCATAGCTTCTTCCGCGCTCATTTTCATATCCGTGGAAATATGACTGGCGCACCCATGAAGCAGCACCGTCGGCGCCTAGCAAGACGTGGAAATCACCGACTTTGGCAAGGTCTTCTCTTGTGACGCCCTCGCAGTGCAGGAAAACAAGGCCTTGGAACTCTGAGTCTTGTACCCGCTTGAGGAAACGGTCTTCTACCTTGCGGATCTGGATGTTGGCCGACCCGGGCCATACCCGCTCTGGCCTGCCTGCGAAGAGCGCTTGATATGACGCCTTGCTGAGTAGGGAAGTGACAGAGTCTTGAAGTGTAACGACTTGGTCTCTTCTCCTAGCGGTAGGCGGATAGTCGACAACAGTTTCGCCGTTGGGAAGCTGCTTTTCCACCCAGCGCTTCTCATACATGTGTACCTCAACGCTGCCAGCGCCCTTCTCGGCGATCGCAATAGCTGATGCGAGGGCAGTAGGGCCGCCTCCTATGATGGCAACTTTTAATCTTCCCGGCACATACTTATAGACGGATACTTCGCCGATCGGTGGCGGGTTGAGGTTTCTCTCCAGCGTCGGATCGAAGAAGAAGTCGACAACCGATCTTGTTCGGTCGGATAGAATAAGCTCCGGCACGCGAGACTTGAGAAGCATGAACCGCACAGACTGCATCAAGGGCGTGGTAGCAAACGAGCCGTGTGAGTTTCCAAATATCCGGTGCTGTATCGCCGTAGCCAGGGCTTGAACTGTTTTATTCTGCGGATTCGAAACGATGTTGCGCAACTCTTGGATAATCAAGGGATCGGGCGTCATGTTGGCTATGCGCATGAGGAAGATGCGAGAGCGGTCGAAATCGGTTCGTTGATCCAGCGAGTTGGGGTCGGAGCTGCCCCAGGCTTCTTCGTAGATTTTGGGGAAGACGATGTCGTTGAAAGAGGCCGTCTGGGCGGTTACGCCTGGATCGCGCCTTCGGAATGGGATAGCAGTAGGCATAATGGCGTTATTATTATGAAAATAAGATGTAAATAAAGAATAAGAGAAAGAAAATTAGGAAGAGAGCAAAAAAAGGGTATCTTGATATCGGGGCGAGCACGCTTGAGAGTTGTAGTAGAGCAACAAAAAAGGCAGATATTGAGCTTAATAAAGGCTTGCCAAAGTCATCACAACTAGCCCCCAACTCGCAAATCCCAGCACGGGGCGCGACAAATGAAAACCTGTATCGTCCTCTTGACAATTGTAATCGCCAGTCTGCCAGTCAGAGAGCGGAACGCTTGACGAGATCCTGGACCCGCGGGACAGATAGTGCTGACAGGCGGAGATGGCTAAATGTGATGAATTGAGATCGCTCGCTTGCAAGATTCAGCCTCGAATCCACAATTTGCATGGGGGGGTTTTAAAGTAAGAGTTGACTTCCCACAGCGGCTACTAGTGGTAGTATATATAAGAAAATAGGAATGCATCAACTCTTGACAATAGGATCAACTTTGGCGCCTCGCCTCAAGTGCCATCCAGGGCCAACCGCTCCCCAACACACTGAATGACTGATTCTTCACTCGCGGAACGCTCTTTTCTAATTTAGAACGCTCTGCGTACCCGCTCGCTAAAAGATCTGGAACAGGGGAGGTTTAAAAATAGCCTGCCGCATGGCTGTTTTGACCAAGCACATGCCTCCAACTCGAGGGCTTGTACTAAGCAAACCGCCAGCCTTATTCCAGCACGGCCAACAGAGCAAACGAGGCTTTTCTCCTTTGCGAGACTCAGTTGGCGCGGCTTAGCCAGCCAGCTAACCCGGCACTAGCAGCGGCTTGGTTGCATGGCTTTGGTTGCGTCAAGTCGTTTATGCCAACCAAACTGTCGGACCCAAGCACTAAATGGGGACAGGCAGAGAAGCCTAAGCCTAAGCTAGAAAAGCAGGCATAACAAAAGTCCTGCAGCGGAGTTGCGAGTTGGGGTAATCTTTGAAGGGCAACTGGTATTTTCCACGTTACTAGGAGGCAGAGGAGGGGCTCTGGTTTGGGGGCTGAATCAAGGACATGGAGCTTACATATATGTTTAGTATTCTGTAGCCGCTGAGGATGATGCAGATGGATGCCATCCATTTGGGTCCTTGAGGCATGACGAAAGGTAGAAGTGGCCCCTAAAACGTTGGCGTTCAAACATGCACGGCCCGTGGTCTCTATGGCTGTAAATGACTCTGACGTGAAACCGGCAAGATAGAGTCCGTCGAGGCTGACGATTGCACAGCCACATCCTAATCTCGATCCCGAGATCTGTAGAAGAAGCGTATAAAAAGAAGAAAGATATGCGGGCAAACATGGTAGTAAAAGAGGATCGGTCGCGCAGAGTATAATAATGACAGGCTCTCTATGTAACACACATACACAAGTATGCTATAATCAGAATATCCCTCTCCTTCGCAGCACATGCAGTTTACTCATCTCTGGCCTTCACTTTGCCATCGCTGCCTCTGCGTAGCGTCTTACCTCCTCGTGCACCCGTCATCTTACCCTCGTCGAGAGCCACCTGACCATTCACCAGCACATACCTGATGCCTTTGCTAGGCAGCTTGGGCTCGTCATACGTTGCCATGTCTTTGACGGCCTCCGGGTCGAACAGCACAAGGTCGGCAGCTGATCCTTCGGCGACGAGCCCGCGGAACGGATAGACAGAGAGACGCTTTGCTGGGCGAGAGGTGAGATGCGCAATCATGGCGGGGAGAGGAATCAGCGATAGGTCTCGCGAGTAGTGGCCTGTTGGGAGATTAATCAGCCGTCAGTATATAATAGCTGGGAAATACTACTATGCATCTTACCTAGATAGCGAGGAAATGTTCCATATGCGCGTGGATGAAGCGTCTTGCCGTGCAGAATCGCGTCGCTGCCCGACATGTGCACCCGATGCTGCATAATGGCCCTCACGTTTTCTTCGTTGCCGACGTGCATGATGATGCTGGTCGCCAGCTTGTCTTTGAGTAAAAGTTCGAAAAACACCTCGCTGGCTGGTTTTCCCAACGACTTGGCAATCTCTGCCACCCTGCGGCCAGAGTAAGATGCCAAGGACGGTTCGCTTGTGGCACCGACTTGGATCTCCTCCCAGTTTGTGGGAATGCCATGGCCTCCGTCGCATCCTGTTACTTCAACCGCTACGCGGATCTTCTCTCTTGTTTCTGGGTCTTCTAGCCTCTTGAGCGTTTCGGATGGGCCACCTGAAGAAGCCCAGCTCGGTAGCAGAGCGGCCAGAGTTGTGCAGCCGGGAAGATAGGGATAAGTATCCAGTGTTACATCGATGCCTTTTTCGAGGGACTTGTCAATCATGGATATGAGAATTGGGGCTTTGCCTTTGTTTTCTGAAAAATTAAGAGTAGCGTGAGTGAGATCTATTAACGTCTCTTGTTAGCTGAACAGGTTCTGGGGATTGCAACTTGCGCCCTTGCTATGCGATGGAAGACAACATACGAATAGGACACCCTGTGGACTCTCCTAGTCCTAGCATTTCAGCATAGCTCTCAATAGCCTGGAAGCCATAACTGCGATGATGAGGCGCATAAAATGCACCGGGAAACTCTTTTGCAAGTGCTTCGCAGAGAGAGGCAAGCTCAGATGTGGAAGCGTACATGCCGGGCGTGTAAGTCAGGCCGCTATAGTGCATTAGATATCGTCGGAATTAGTAGTGGTTGCGCATTGTAATATTCACCTAGACATGCCGACAGCACCCTGGGCCATTGCCTCTCGCAGCAGCTGGATCTGGTCCTGTATCTCTTCCGGCGATGCAGGCGTGTCATAAGGACCACACGCCAGCAATCTCAAGTTGCCTTGCGGCACCAAAGTGGCAACATTGGTGGCTGTCTTGTTGCGCTCCAAGCAGTCCAGGTACTCTCCCACAGTCTGCCACTCAAACATGCCAACTCCACTGAGCGTGGTGCGGCACTCTTCGTCCGTGGGATTGCCGTTCCAACCTGCAATTTGTTCTCTGATTGCTCTCAGCTGGTCTTTATTGCGGATTGGAGAGTAAGAGATGCCGTCTTGGCCAACAACTTCGGTCTGCCAGGCTCAGTGCTGTTAGTTACTGTGTCGTATTGCTATTGCATCTCAACTCGGTCGATTCGCAAGAGAAGAGCTAATGGTTGCTTGAAGAAACCCCCACTGTGATCGGAGTGGACGCCGAAGATGCGTCCCTCTCGGTGGGGGTTGACTTGCGTGGGGTTACAGCAGGCAGTTGGGATCTCTTACCGTGCATCCTTGGGTGATTTTTGCTTCATGATCAGGGTGCGAGAGCAAGTAAAGATCGGAATGAGCATGCATGTCGATGAATCCGGGAGACAAGACGTGGCCCTTTGCCTCAATCCGTCGAGCCGTCGAGGGAGCGTCAATCGAGCCTGGAGCCCCGATTTTGGCAATCAGGCCGCCTGACACGAGCACATCGGCCACAAACGGCTCAGCAGATTCATCGCCCGTGATGACGGTTGGGGATTGGAAGAGGATGTCCACAGCCATGATGAGTCAGAATGTCATGTATCTCTCAGCGATGAAGATTGTAAATAGCAATGGCAGAAACCCGGTGTCAAATCGAAAAACACATCAGGATAAAGAGAGAGGAGAGATCATAAGATTGAGATATAGGCGGCCGACTCCGTTTTGCGGAGAAGCGGCACCCCACCCTTCTTTTAGTCATGGGGAAACGACCCGGCATCAGGTCGTCGTATAGACCGAGATAAATTGGCATGAGAAAGCGCTAGTGGCTTCTCTTGTCTACTTTGAAGGTTGAGGGGGATTATTGATAGCATCAGTTGTTGAGATCCGAGGGAGCTCGAGGCAAGATAGTTAACTGTTGAAACTCGCTATGCCTAGTATAGCTTCCGAAACTTTTTGCCCTTGTCTCTGTACGAAGGAATATCTTTGACTAACTTTCTAGTGACAGTACGTTTGACGGCTGCAAGAGTGAGGGAGGTTTACAACTTGAACTTGCTGTAGATACAGGTACAAGTATGTATCACAGCATGAGAATACCTTGGCATTCAACAGTTAAAGTGCCTCTCAATTTTGCAACAGCTTTTTTTTGCGATTCCAATATGACCGAAGCACGAATAACATGGCGAGCATGCACACGTCAAGTGCAATGGCCCAATTATACCCGATGAGATATCGCGGTGCATCAACAGTCTTCCAGACACTATAGCAAGAGTTAGAAAAGAGCATTCCATCATCAATCCAGGGCAGAACGAAGCTTACAACAATGGCAGCCACGCGCCAAATGTATTCCCAATAGTATTCATACTGCTCAGCACAATCGCGCGCTCTTCTGCGTTACTGGCGCAAATCTCATTTGCCCATGCGTATATCACGGCTGCTATGCCATCTGCAGATCCCGATAAGAAAAAGGCAAAGAACTTGAGGCCACTGGGAATCTTCCAAATTGCCAGAAGTACACCTGCAAAAATATTGAGAAGCGCAGTAACGGCGATGAGATAAACTTTGGCGTCGTAAATATCGGAAAAAATTCCGCAGATGATTGAAGCCACGATGGTCACCGCAGGCATAACTGTAGTTATCGTATTAATATCCTTCACGCTGTATCCCTCAGCTTTGAGCCACAGAGGGAGGCCACTGTTGGAGGAAATGCCATCAGCCTGTGAAAAGAAAAAGGCAAAGGTTACCAAAATCCAAAAGTGCCAGCCGGTGAGAACAGATTGGATGACGGATAAAGTGATTGGTTTCCTCGGCTCACGATTCTCTGCTGCCATGCGTGCTCTCGCTAGCTGAATATCATGTCTTGTTAAGATGAAAGGTTCACAGTTATCCGGATGACCAGGCAGGACAATGAATCCAAAAAGAGCGATCGGGATGGTACAAGAGAAACCTTTGTATGTCAGATGAGATGCAACTTAAAGGTTGTATACTATCAACTCACAGATAATGTACAGCCAGCGCCACCCTTCAATGCCATATCTACCATCAAGATGCGTGTAGGCGCCGCTTTGTATGTATCCCGAGCTCATACTACCGATTTGACTGGCGATAAAGAAGAGGGAGCCCCGTCGGCTTAGCTCAGAGCGTTTATACCAGCAGCCGAGATACCATTGAACAGCTGGAAAGAACAGGCTACCAGCAGCGCCGATGAAGAAACGAATTACATAAAGCTGATGCACATTCGTGACTTTGTACTGCGCGAGAGTGAGTATGCCCCATATAAGATCTGCGCCAGGAATGAAGTACTGTGCCGAGAAGCGAGTCATCTGTGGTTATAATTAGATTGATGGCTTGAGCTTTGTAATTATTAGGCATAAGAATGAGTCTCACAAGCACAGTCAGTGGTATCTGGAGAGTGATGTATCCAACCCTTGCTTGACGTATTAAAAAGCGATATGAAACGTTTTTGGCTCATCATTGATCCTCACATATAGGTAGTATTGAGATAGTTGAGCTCATTTCCGAATAGCTTCAAGTCTTCTTTCATGCCGCTCACATACGCCGCACTGGTCGCAGATGAATCCAGAACTTTCGCCCAGTATGCAAGAAAAACAAATATCATGATTAATGCGTCCAATTTCATGATTAATCGACGCTCTTCCGGCGTATCACTAGGAGAAAACCACTGATACCACTTCTGGCGAGGTACATTTGCGATGGATGATCCGTCAGGCGGCTCGGCTCCCTCCACTCCAATTGTCGCTTGCGTGCCATCTTTAGCGAAGACATCCGTAGATTGTGGTTGCGAATCCTTCTCAATTGGAAACGACATGCTGCTATGCACAACCTTTTTCTGCGATTAGATGAAACGATTTTGGAAGTGAAGATTGTGCATCGAGTAAATGTTTTCTATTTATTTACTGGCTTTATTTACTCGCATCACGTAATTGATCAACTAAATGGCGTTGCACTAGATTGTCCCACCATGCACTGTCGTTATTACATTCATCCAGCATCATTTTCCTTCAATCATATTCTCAACAATCCACAAGATAATATGATTTGGTAATGGATACCTGCTGTGTTGATGCTTACTTTGCAGTTTTGGACTGCCTATCAATGTTTGTGTTGTATGAAGCCTTACCCGTTGCTAACCTCAGTTCTGCATGACAAGAGCTATGGCTCGAGAATATGTAATTTATGCTCTGTTCATTTACAATTGTATTTTATGGTAAATAAGATTTGAATATATACCAACTGAGAGTTCTACTGATGGCCCGGACTAGGAGGAACATCCCCAGTGTCCCACGATTTTGGCTCAGGCCCCAATACAAATTCTAGAAGTCCGCCTTTTGCAATGTCGCTATGCTCTAGCCAGCTCTTGTTCCAGACCTTACCATTGACTTTTAAGCTCTGAATAAAGAAACTATTGTTCGATAACCCTTGCGCCTTAATACGAAGGGTATGAGAACCCCCGACTGAAATTGAAATGTCTTCAAACCACGGTGCTAGGATTAGATACACCGGCTGGGTTACCACTGGATACAGACCGAGCATCTGCCAGAGCATCCAGCTGTCCATGGCGCCAGCATCGCTGTTACCTGGCAGGCCGTTTGATCCAGCAAAATAGTTTTCGTCAATATTCACGCGAGACTGATTGACGGCTTTGTATTGGCGGCCTGGTAGGTAATTGTACAAGAATGGAGTGCCAAAACTTGGTTCATTGCCTAAAATTTTCGCAAGAGCCCTTATAAGTGACCACACCGCAAAGTTTGTTTGATACAGCAATTTTAGACTTACCAGGATTAAATAGAGTTGTTCCAGAACCAACTCCCACGCCTAAATCTGTTGTTCGAAGATTAGGCACAAACATTATGTCAAGACGCTTTTCGGTTGCGTCGGCACCGCCCATTTTCTCAATAAGGCTTTGCATGTCAAATGGAACCGTCCATGTGTATTCTGTTACGAGGTTAAACGCAAATATTTTTAGGTGACGGGTGGACAAATTATCACGTACCCCATGGAAGGCCTTCGGTCGTGTAAGACTCGTCTTGTGGAGCAATGGTTATCATCGTACCATTGGGATAGCGAGGACCAAGGAAACCTGATGTATTGTACTGATTGATTGCCGGATTCCAAAGATTTTTCCAATTTCTGTAGATTTTGGTCAGAAAGCAGTTCCGAATATTCCATGATCCGGATTGAGACTCACCCTGATCTGTTCAAATATTTTTCGTAGTCGTTTGGCGCTATCCCCTTGGCTATTTGGCTTACAGAAAAGTCATTCAGAGAATATTCAACTGTGCGACTGATACTTGACGAAAAAGTCGTTGACACATAGCCTAGGTTGATCCAATCAGGAAGTCCGCAGCGACCTTGATTATCGGTACAAGTTGAGTCCTCCGGATCATTGTTAGGAGGCGGGACAACTTCTGCATCAGTCCATACGGCCTTGTATCCGTCATTCCAGTTGATACCATCCTTGAATCCTTTGACATAGGCATCGGCCAAAACGTTATCGGCATTGCTGCCGCCTTGTACTTTGCCGTTGTGGTTGCCGCTGCGACCATCTGGCATGAAGCCAACGTGCCGCCATATATCAATGAGGGAGCGAATCATGCCAACGCCCCGTTGTGGTTGGACCAACAGATAGAAGCTATTCAGGCAGCGAAAGGTATCCCAGAGAGTGTAATAGTCGTCGTAATACGGCTCTGTAGAGTTCCAGATTGGATTCTCTCCGGTTCTGTCGGAAGGCATTTGGTGCATACGATAAAGCGCAGAATAAAAGAGTGTCAGGCGGGTCTCATTCTTAGACGGCTCTTGGATCGATATTTTACTGAAAACATCATCGTTCCATATCTTTTTGGTGGCTTTCACAGTATCGTTCAGTGTCCAAGATGGGATTTCTTTCTGAAATGCGCAAGCTTTCTCAACCGATATGAAAGACACTCCAGTCTTGGATTTGACAACTGTAGTCTTGGAAGGGAACTTGAAAACTGCTCCGACTCTGTCTCCAGAGTCGTCACCGTCAGGACCTCCCTGGACTCCGTGAGGGTTTGTTGATGCATTACCCCAAGTCACCGGCGTAGAAGGACTTGGGGGGTTATCAGGGGCATTCCATGGCCCAGAGAAGTATTGCCAGCTCGAAGGAGTGGAATCAAAGTCGTTGCAAAAGTATATTTTGTAGTCAGATCCTGGTAGAATAGTTAGCACGAGACAATCTTTGATCAGCTGATGAGAACTTGCCAACTCCCCAGTTAATCCCTGTGCCTCCCCAGCCTCCTCTCCAGACTCCCCATCCCTGTACTCGCCGGCCTCTGTTTGTCACTTCAATTTGGCCATTGCTATATGACTGAGACTTGATGAATTCCGCTAGCGAGGGTAAGTTGTGCGATACATCCAGAAGAACGATGCGATCTGTGTTCTCGGGATACGTGTATTGGAAAAGTCCAGCATGGTTAGACGCAGTAAGCTCAACTTTGACGCCATTTGCCAAATCAGAGCGGTAGTACCCAACGGAAGCCTTGTCCATTGAAACACGAGGCTGTTGGTAAGTCGTGTTGTCGAGGACATTAACGCCTGCCAGGGTTGTAAGCGGCATGTGTCCGACAACACCGTATTTGGAGGCGCCTCCAATGCCGCACTCATGAAAGCAGGTAAATGCAGTGACTATGGGATTATGTTATTGGCACAATTCCGTGAGCTACGTTCATGGTTCTTGAACATACCGTTTCCATCTGGCGTATACCCAGCAAAGGCGTTTGTACTTGGATTCATCTCAGTGGTATCGGGCCCAAGTTTCACAACTCCAAAAGGCACAGAAACGCCCGGGAAAGTGTCGCCTGAGTTGGCGCCCGTGCCATCTGGTCCAGCAGTTCCAATAAACGGATTCACGTAAACAGATAGATCTTCACCATGAGTGGGCGATGCGCCGGCGCTCAAAGTTTGGGCAAAGAGGCCCAGCATCATCCAACCAAACATCCTGATGGTTCTGCTCTAAGGAGCAGCAGCCACAGACTCTGATGAAAACTTGAAGATGCTATAACTTTGATGATCAGCACCATTATTTATACACAATTATTCGCAATCGTCTCTTGAGGGGAATGCAAGTGGGGCGGACGAAAATTCGGGGACGGGCTTCATCTAGATCTCCAAGGTTCCTTTATGCATACATTGTACCGACGGCATAATTCGGATCTGCGTCACGTTGTATAGAATTTGGATCCCAGATATTTGACTCTTACTACTACTTGTTCAAGTTGATATGCAAGCGATGTAGTTGAGCATTTTGAGAGGTAATAGAAATACGCCATTGGTCGCGTAACTAACTAATGGCTAGTACATAATGGAACATGAGAGAGACGAATCAGAAAGACAGTGCACCTTCGCTGGTCTAGTGTATCATCAGTTCTTTATGTTAATGCGTATTCTGGTTGAGTACCGCCGAGGTAAGTCTTGCTATTAATACTGGTGACAGTATTCGGAGCACTTAATTGGATGATCGTGAGGGCAATAATTCGGCGTTGCTGAGAATGCGACTACAACAAAGCTGTAACGTCGCTTCTGTGGATTAACCCTGCCATTACTAGAAGAGCAAAGAAAGGAATCGCAGTTGTAATTCATTAGCAAGCGATAACTTAACATGGCTTCATATATAGACTGCTGGGGTTATGAACAGGTCTATGTCTTTTGCATTACTTATACCTCCAAATACCCAGTGCTCCAATCTGTACATTTTCCAAGGGTTTCACAATTGGGTTATGCTAAATTGAGGTACAACAAGCTTATGTCTTTACTACCTGTACAGGAAATACACTAACAAAGGAACCCCAAAAGCGTTAAATCTCTCGAGTCCAATTCTGAGAATCTTGCACCCCAAATACGATATCCGATAGCCACCGTTTAATTAGTTGAGCATACGATGCTGACTCAGCGGATGGAAGAGGAATGCGAATATCCTTTCCCCGATGGTGAATAATCTCAGCTGGCGCAATAAAATACTTTGCACAACATGTCAGCCACTTTAATCCTCATGTTACTTGACAATGGGTTTTGAGAATAACTTACTGCAGTTCCTGCTGCAAATGCCTCAATTAGTCGGCCTTCCTCCACTGCATCCTGTATCTCATCTATAGAGAAGTCCCTTTCAACTGCGGTCAAAGGAGGGAGTGGTTTCCCATTGTGCTGCCACATAGACTGTTGGTCACGATTGGATCGTACCAAATCCAGGACGCTGTAGCGCGTCACGCCTTCTAATATTGTCCCATTGTCCAGACCCGCAGTGACAAGTTCAACATCACCTTGCTTCGTCTTCCAGACAACAAAAAAGTTACTCGCGCCTGCTTCAGTAACAAACCCCTCAGGCCCAAATAACCACAGCACTTGGTCAAATCCAGCCTGAAGGGCCGCGTCATGTGCAGGTAGAGTTGGTCCATAGTTGCCTCCAAGCTTTCGGTTTCCGAATCCTCCAGGCCAGGCTCGGGCGGCGTCAGCTGGGGAAGTCAGCAATCTCATGCCATTGCCTTTGGTGGAGAATCCTGGGAGCAGTGTTGCAATGATGTATATCAAAGACTGCCGGGGCTTTTGCACGCCAAGGGCAGCTGTTGTTCCTATGTGTGTTGGTCGTAGATATAGAGTTTGGCCTGTTTGTCCACTGGGTAGCCATTTTTCAGCTTGAAGCGCCCCATATTGCATGATGATAGATTCGAGATGAGCTGTATCGAATGAAGGCAGCCCAACGCGAAGAGAAGACTTTAGCATCCGCTCGCAATTAAGCTGCAGTCTGAAAACACGCAATCGGTCGTCGTATCCCCGATAAATCTTAATACCTTCGAAGCATTCTGTTGCATATTGGAGAACACTGGCGCTGGGCATGATAGGAAGCGGTCCATAAGGTCGAATTTCAGGAGCCTCCCAGCCCGTTGCTTCGTCCCATTGCCAGATCATCATTTGTTCCGTGCAGTTGGTTTGTGGACCATGCAGCGGCTTAATAGGTGTGCTTATGGTAGCGGCAGCATCATTGCTCTTGTTAAGGAGCTTCGGGTATCCGACGTTTTCGTGGCTCTGTTGGGGTGCCATTGTGATAGCAGTTTGCTCTTGTTGTGACGAATGGAAATGGCATGTTCATTTGAGAGGTAACAATTATATCTATTTAAAGTGTTGAAACAAGCCAAAGGCATCTTTAGAGCCGATGGTATCCATTTGAACTTTTCAGAGGCGAAACAGCACCCCTTTTTGAACCCATCAAGTCCATAGGGTCTAACTAAATTGTCCAATGGTAGCATACGAGTGCATGTATCTAGCCGTACCGCGTGAGTGAAAGAGAGCAAAATCCAATGAATCCACGTGAGTTTCTTCATGTAAGAATCATTGTGCTGGACAATATGTGGGGCGCGCCCTTTTGATACTCTGTGGATGTATACATGGAGATCCTTCTGTCCGAGAAGCAATGTCGCGATGCAGTTTTCAGCATTTGATTACGTCAACCCTCGCGCTTTCATGCGGCAAGTCATCATCTAATCCTATTATGGATGCTTACCAATCACTAGCTTCCTCTTTCGTTCTCTAGTTATGCGTGTTGCTGCGATCGCATACCGATGTCGGCCTGTAACAACAAAGGTTATACTCATATTCTGTCATCCAGAAACGCTATGCCGCTTATTTGAATGCCTGTTAGTCAGGATTTATTGATCTCCGTTTGTAACCGGGGCTCTCCAATTTTGAAATTCGAGGTACATACAAGTCAAATCATGGTGGGGAGATGAGAGATTTCCTTACAGCTTACATGGCATGCGTGGGATGCCGCGAGCCATCATAGAGGCAGATGTGTTCAGGTTTCCATATCATAATATTTATCAATTTTAATAGCATGTACAACTCTGAGGTGCTATTCGTGCTATCAAATCTCATGAGAGTTCTTTAGAATTGCAAACAGTAATAGTGCAGTTGCTCGTCAAACTATGTAAACCCATTATTCATTTTTAATGGAAGAGTAGAGGCTCCCAATATGAGGGAGAATCTCAACTGTGAACTCGTCGCCTTCATGCAAATACTCAGTTGGCTTCATCGCCATGCCAATTCCTGATGGCGTTCCTGTGAGAATGATTGTCCCAGCGGGTAGCGTTGTTCCCTGAGATAACCAGCTGACAAGTGCGGGAATACTGAATATTAAATCACTAGGCATGCTCAAAGTTAGTAATGCTAATGAAAAAGAGCAAAATTTACAAATGAATTATGAGGCTTACCTGAGTGGTGAATCTTGCATAACCTTGCCATTCTTAAGCCCACGAATGCGAAGTTTGCTTGGATCTGGTAAAACAGATGTAGAAACTAGAGTAGGGCCGATAGGGCAGGACGTATCAAAACCTTTACTGAAACACCACTGCGATTGCTCAAATTGGCTTTTACGAGCCGAGATGTCGTTCGATGCAGTGTATCCCAGAACATAGGAAAGCGCGTCATCTTCGCTCACATTTTTAGCAGACTTGCCGATGACTATACATAGCTCGGACTCATAATCAGCCGTGTCATCGGCGAGCGAGAATGAAGGGATAATAGTCGATGCAGGCCATGGGTCTGCCAGAGATGTTGCTGGCTTTCTACGAGGAAGATGTGCCCATAAGCTTTGATCCCCATAGAGCCTAGAAGATGCTACTCACAAAAATACAACTGGTACAGAGGGTAGTGCAAGATTGGCTTCTTTCGCATGCTTTGCGTACTATAAAGGTCTTAGACGATTATCCGATTCTTAAAAGTTTGATTGAGACTCACATTTAATCCAATGCACCTAATAGTGCCAACTTCAGACATAGCTAGTGGCGATAAAATGCGATCGATAGATTCAATGACACCTGTTTCTGAACCGGCGTCCAGAACCGAAGTACCACTGAAAACTTTCACTTCGACTTCGTGGCCATTTCTAACTTCTTTGCCGACATCAATAGCGGAGTTTAAGGGCTCCCCGATGAGGATGGAATTCTGCCTCCCACGGGGGACGAAACGGACAAGACCTAATAAAATATTAATTATAAACTTTCAACTGCGATATTTGCATATGCAGCGATCACCTACGATTGAATGACATTGGATTAAGTGAGCAAGCCAGAGAGTGTCACCATAAAGAGCAAAGAACTGGCCATTCGACATTTTGGAAACACACGAACACCAAAGCTTTATAAAACATAAGAGTTGCTATTGATCTACTACTGTATGCACAAAAAACCTCGGACAAATGGGTACTATCGGGCTACCTAGCTCAAGACTACAATCTATCTTCTATGTGTATACTTAGGCTCGGTCTTTACGGGGTTACGAGATGCAGCAGTGATGCCAAAAGAATATGGAATCTTCCGATGGAGATAACGATCTCGGCGTGGAACCATACATGTCATCAAAATTATGTAATCGCACAGTATCCAAACAAGGTGCCCCCAGCAAATCGTCCAAGTTGTTATTTGTGGCAACCCAGTAGGTGATAAGTCTGGCAAGCAGAGCTCTCATTCGCCATCTAAGCAGACTTCCCTTCTATATGTACAAGTTCAACGTCTTTCCCTCCAACCTCGGTTCTGAGTGTTAATTCTTCTCCAGAGGCAATCATCTTGTGCAATTCTTTAGCGCGCTTGACTGGAGTGGTGGTGTCGTCCATGAACGCAAGATCCACCAGCTCTAAGCTGAAACCTTTAGTTTCTGGGAAGAAGAAATAGATGATTGGGATGAAAGAAAAGTTGAAAACGGCGAAAATAATGTACGTTCTCCATCCAATGTTGGCAATACTCGATGGGACAATTTCCACCATTACGAAAGAGAATAACCATAGGGTTGCCGTTGCGAGGCCCATCCCTTTGGATCGATATTCGAGTGGTAATATTTCCGGCCCATAAACCTGTATCTTGAATATCAGCGCCCGGTCTGAAAAACGGTTTTGGGATCCCAAGATAACTTACCCAGACGCCGCCCATAAATCCCCACGTAAAAAAGGCCTGGTATGCAAATATCATGACCACGGCGACAATTCCAGAAGTGCGTGTATTGACGGCAAGCATCGCAGCAACAACTGCCATGACCATTCCCATACAACAAGCAGAGAGCATGAACAGTCTTCGACGCCCAACGCGCTCAATCAGCCACCAGGTCAGCGTAGACGCCAAGAGGAACCACAGTTGTAGGAAAATAGACATGAGTAGAGACAAATGCCGAGAGAAGCCAACGGAATTTTGAAAGCTAGAGACATCAGATTCTAGTTAGTACCGGTCAACATGGCTAATGTCCCAGGCCAAACTCACATAAAAGTGGTGTAGTAAGCTATTGGCGTACTCCCACTCAGATCTTGCATTAAGTTGACTACGCAAGCAATAATTACACGACGGCGCGACTTGACCTTATCAGCCCTGAATAGATCTGTCCAACTTTTCTGAGAGTTTAGTTCCAGCAGCAGCGCCTCTTTGATCTCGGCGATCTCAGCGGCTACGGACTCTCTGTCTGCTGTGTCTTTGAGCGCTTGGAGAACTGTCACAGTTTCTTCAATACGATCCTTCATGATGAGATATCGAGGCGCTACACATTGTGTTGTTAGTTTGCTCATGGACATGATATAGGTGAATTGACTGCCACAAACACGGCTAAACTTACACTCTGGCATGAAAAATAAAAGAGCACTCATAAGAAGTGCGATTGTCGACTGAAAGGCAATTGGGAAACGCCATGTGACAGGGCCAGAATAACTGTTCATCCCGTAGTCTATCAAATTGGCCAGAAGTTGACCGAGAATGAGGAAGCTCAGAGAGCACGCAACCAAAGTGCCACGCACTTTTGCTGGTGCTGTCTCTGATTGCCAGATTGCCACATTACTAGAGATCAAGCCGAGGCCGATGCCAGCAACAATGCGACCAACCATCAGCTGGCCAACGGAGAAACTGGAAGCCTGGAGGAGAGAGCCGATGGCAATGGCCAATGTTCCAAAGTGTGCGAGGGTTCTACGGCCAAATCGTCCGCCTGCAGCTGCTGTAACTAGGGATCCAAAGAAACACCCAAGCTCAAATAGTGAAGTTACCACGCCTTGGAGTGTAGAATCGAGATTAAAGGTTGATTCGAAGTCAGGAGCGGTCAGCAGGCCGCCGATGACGCCATTGTCGTATCCTAATATATAAATATTGATCAGCATGGAGTTCAAGCTCACAAGATGCATCCATTGGCAGCTGGATAGATGGAGCGAGATCAGGTACCGAAAAGTATGAAGCCCAAGCCACTTGAAACCGTGATTCCACCCAGGAGCTTCTTGCCTCGTAGGCCAAGAAAAACCATTTCGGCGTATGTCCTGTAATAATAGCTTTACTTGGTGTACCTGAAATTATTGATACAAAGCATAGACCCAGCGGCTCGGTATAGCTCGGTATCATGCATGATATCGATCACGGCATGCTGCTCTACAGAATCTGGGGTAGTATTTAAATTAAAGAAAACGCGGGGTAGATTAACTTCATGTGGAGAAATCGTGGAAACAAACAGTATGGGGGCATTGTACAGACTCAAGGCCTTTCATCAACATGCCATGTTCAATATCCCAGGTCGGTGAATTTCCGACTTTGGAGACTAGCAATGCAGCTGTCAAGTGATTAGATTTTTATTGCCGGCGCTACGTAGAGCGATCACCGCAGCCAATCATCTTACAAATGTCGGCTCTATGCCTGGCTATTAAGCCGCGTGGCTGTTTCTAAGAATTCGAGTTCTAGGAGCTGCTATACCACTATTTGAACTAATATTGGACGCTAGGCTTGGGGTATAACCAAGCCGAAAATAAGAATTGTATCTTCAGCTTCTAGGGATACTGAAACAGCGAAATATAAACAGCCACATTCGTCCCTTTACCAGGATACATCTTCGGGAGGCACGATGGCGCATATCCGACGGATGCAATCCTAGAATTGAGCCAATGGCATTTATTTACTCGGCAATATTGCGCATCATTTCCCGAAATGCCAAAAGTCCACTTCTACCTTGCATTTAGCACTGCAAACTATTGATGTTTTGCCTTTTAGCCGCAGCAGACCGGATACCTACCCAGAGCCGATACCATGTGCAGAGGGAAAGCCTGCAAGCTGTTATACGAGTAAGTTTAAAGCGAATATTAATCATAATATTAAGTGGAGGAAATAAATTTCAGGAGGTTTGACGAAAGAGAAGCATCCTTGAGGGATTAATGGAAAAGCATCGTGGCCTTGTTTTGGCGCCCGTAGTCGTCTTCATCTGAACACCTAATTGGTCATGATGAATAGCCACAGAGTGCAATTTTAATAGCATCCAGATTAACAAGTTATACGTTACTCGATTGCCTCCTTACTATATCACGGTACGGTCCAACGGTCTTCACCATGTCTCACTGAAATGGGTGGACCCTGGTTTGCATCGAATGACTTTCAGATTACTGCATTTGACTATATAACTACCTAACTAAATATCTAACTATCTAACTATCTATACAAAATGAATCTTCTATATTTCTTGCCTTTTCAAGGCCGGGCTTTTGTCTTTGCGACATATATTATGGACATGAATGTTACATGCGCGGGATCTCAACCCTCCCCATTGTTGAGACCAATGGCCGTCGCCGTATAAAATATCTGAAAACTCAAGAAGACTTCGCTGCGTGCTCCATGGCCGTCTTAAAGAAGGAGATGAGAGCAACAGGGCCGTCTTTGTGTCTCATCAGGGCTCCCAATTTTAATCCGTCGTTGATATGCTCCACTGCGCGCTCGAACATATCCTCTTCATACTCGATAACAGCACGATCAATGTCATCTGTACCATGTGCTGCAATCTTAGTGGCCAGAGAGAGTGCATCTGCCATGGCGCAGTTTACACCTTCGCCATTTGGAGTTGCGACGTGGGCTGCATCTCCAGCCAATGTCAGGCCAGCCACAGGCTTCCAGCTCATGGCTTCTGGAGGCATGTAGTACAAAGACCAGGGGCGAAAATCTTCAGAGTGGCGAATCATATCTTTTAGCTCGTCTGCCCAGTCCTCGAAGAATTCTGAAGAAAGAAATAGTTGACGGGTAGACTCGGTATCAGTCAAGTCCACGGTGCCACCCCGCACAAAGTCTTCAGGGACCGTAATACCAAGATAAATCCTGTAAGAGCCGTCGCCTTGACGCTGAGTAATGATCTCCTTTGAGGAACCTAAACACGCCAAACTGCCGGCGCCAACTTTCGAAACCATCGTGGGGTGATAAGGGTTGCCGGGGTTTATCCTCGATTCGATGTAGTGATTGCCTGAGTATTTCGGCTTTGCTTGTGTTATCTGCGAGTGAAGCTGTTAGTAGGTGAACGAGAGAGGCAAAGGAAGAGAGAGAATGGAAATCGTATAACCAGGCTGATAAACGTACCGATGCTCGCACTTTGCTCCAGGCACCATCTGCACCAACCACTAGCTTGAATCCAGAAACCGATGCACCATTTGTAAACTCAAGGATGTGGTGCCCATCCTTATCCGTGGTTACGCTCTTGAGCACATGGTTCCAACGGATTTTCTCACTCGGAATGGAGTCTAGTAGAATCTGGCGGAGCTGTATGCGGTCAATCTCAGGCGCATCACGTCGTCCGCCTTCCGGAGGTTGAAACACTCGCTCCCCTTGCTGGTTTGCAATTCTAAACACAGTATCTTCGTATCTCGCATATTTCAAGAACTCGTCGAAAAGACCTGCTTCTTTCAAGGCAAGTTGTCCGGTCCCAGCATGAATGTCGAGGCTGCCTCCTCTGCGAACAGAAGCGTCGGATTCGTCACGCTCATAGACCACGTAGTCGATGCCTTTGCGCTCTAGAAGGCGTGCTAAGGTCAAGCCACATGGCCCACCACCGATAATGGCAATGCTGGGAGACATGCTGTAGCGGTCGTATTAGGCTCTCGGAACAAAGATGGTAAAAATGCTTGGGTATGCTGCTGCGCAGATGAGATGGTGCTCTTTCCAGACTTGTGCCATGTGCTGGGTGATAGCCTTTATATAGATGGCTAGTTCAAACATTCTGAAAAGTAGACGGCTTCAATATCGCAATCTCTCGGAGCCAAAGTGCGTTGAATAAAGGGCTTTACAGTGGCGGCGAGATGTGCGACTTACCCGGGCTCCTAGATCTCTTAGTTTGGGGCGCTTCTCGGGACCGAGAGTTGCCTTCGGGTGCCTCATCCGAATCTCGTCTGCCCCGCGGAGTGCAGCGGGGCCGATTTTCTCCCATTGGACTACCTGTACATTTATGCTGTATATCTATCAGATGAAAATCCTACAGGCCGATTCAAGTAATAAGTCATGTCGAATGTGTACGTTCTATGCTTATACCGTGAATCACTTTCACAATAAGTCTATTACATTAGACGAAACCTGCATAGGCCCTAACCTCTTGTCACTCGCATTCATCTATGCGCGCACTACTTACAGCGCGCTTACATAGGGTACTTCCAAATTATCTTCGCCTTTGAAGAAGCCTTGTGAATTGCTGCTAGGTTCGACTTCAGCGCAATCCATAGCTTGATGGTTTGCACTTTTATAATAACCTGGCGCATCCTTGACGAACTGCAAGACGGCGTTTCAGCACCAAACCCAGCTGCAACGCACATGTCCCTATTAGGGAATTCTGACCCACAAAGTGTGTTAATGCAGCACGAACAATTGTGCCCACACATATGCACGACAAAGCAAAGCAATTCTGAATGGGATTATGGAAATAATAGGACATTTATTCTCATACACAACTGTCGCAAGCTCGTGATCTCCCAGTCATGCACCTTCATGAGAGGTCGTAAAGAAGAACAATAAGGACGTGGCCGGTCTAAGTGTACAAGCGTACTGTAGGGGCGAACATTCACCTCTCTCAACCCTTTGGTATCCAGCAATGATCATTTCCAACGGCCTGGTCATTCTAGGTTCACTGAGAAAGAGGTTTGACAAGTCGTAGCAAATTCTGATGCTTGAAAAGTAGTAAGACTTGCCGATTAGCTAATACCCTTCATTAACCACCATCCACTATTGCTGCTATTAGGGATGCCTCGCCTTTGACTTTCGCGGCCAGGCCACGCAATTTACTAGGATCCGTATTTCCTACAACGTAAGGGTTTGTTGGCCTGAGGACGAATTCTATCAATGCATGTATCATATAAATTCCAGCTGCTTTCCATCTTACTTCCTTTCCCCTTTCATTCCTCTGACTTCATTCTTTTTCTACCTGGCTTTCAATTTGTCGTTAACAACTACTACCACAAGTCGAGTTTACTTATACAAGATCATCAACTCACAGACATGAAACCCGCACTCGCAATGACAAACCTCGCCTCGGCCTCTCGGACGCAACGTTCGACGCTAATTCGCAACACTGCTACTATATGTAGTCTTCAACACCAACTCCAAAGAAATCGAGCCATCTTCAATGCGCATACCTCTTTGAGAACATTTTCTGCTCACTCCTCCCTTCTCAACCAGAAACAAAAAGACAGTGAGCTACCCAAGTTTAGCTTTGAGGGCTTGGGTATGAGCAAGAACTCCAGGATCTTTGTAATTGTAGTGTTGAGCATTTTTGGAACGATTGAGACCTGGGTTTGGTGCAAGGGCATTTATCGCTGGTGGTATGGGCCTTCAGAGGAAGAGAAGAAACGGATAGAGGCTTCTCATAAGTAAGCTCTGATGTGAACAGAGAGCTATTTTGAGATTTTGGACAGAGTTATTGGAGTAGAAAGGCGCAATGCAAATATCCCTGCATCACAAATATCTAGGTAATGCAGTGCTTGTACTTTACGAAGCGCATTGCCGTAGAACAAGTGTCAATGACTACCGAGATACTTCATTATCTAACGATTGTAATAAATAAAACCATGGAAGTATTCACATAATCTTGAACTTACATGTTCATATACGACGTATATGAACATGATATCTTCGAGAGTGCTATCAAGAAAGAGGGTGACAAATAAAGTTGCCTCTGAGTCAAAGATGAAGTTAGGTACCATGGATGCGTGGTATACCTAGCAGCCAACGCTAATTTCGGTGATTATCGTGTACCCTTGCCAAGAAAGAGACTTTATCCTGCCATTAGAGGTTAGCGTAAAGAAGAAAATGAGCTGCTGTTTGACACACAATACCCCTTGCTAGCGGCCCCTACTTGGCTTGTTTAATAGAGCTCGAGCAATATCATGGGGCTTTGTATTATACACACTACGAGGTCAAGGCAACTGAGCTGATGTCAATGTAAATCATTAGGATTGCACTCTAGGACTAAGAAAAGACATCTTGTAAGGGACATTGGCGACTCAATTGCAACATCTCTTCTTCATCTCATTCTATTTTCTCTGCACAGTATAGCATTAGCATGCTGTAGTGGGGTCTCGTGAATCCCAGAGTCATTCGATTGTGTGACCTTCTTGAGAAGTCAAGATATTCCGGTTCATAATAGCAACTGGCAACGAAAAGCTCAGGAATGCCGGTTACGTTAAAATGGCTTTCCAGCGATTCTGTCCCGAATTGCTTCTTCCAGAGATTGCAATTGACCATCATTGAGCCCAAGTGCCTCGTTATCCAGCTTATCGTACACCGCTCCGCCTGTAACCCAGATTCGTCGCAGCGCCGCCATGACTGCCAACGGATTGCCCTCATCCCAAAACTTCTTCTCAACGCTCTTTACGTCGTCGAGCGGGACGTACGTGACGTTGAACTTTTCGCCAAGCTGCTTTTCAAACTCAGCAAGAACCTGGTTCGACGATTTTGTGAAAGAAGCAATCTTCAACGCCTTTCCAACAGATACTTCTGGGCGCTGCAACGCAGCCACCACTCCTTTACCAACACTGTGTTGAATTGCCACGGTTAGCTCTCATCGTCAGTTGAATCGGTTTTCATAACTCACTCATCCATAGCGGTGAAGCCAATAGGCTGCTCGCCATCTTCAAGCAGAGTTGCCTCTCTCTTCTGTATATCAAAGCCGCTTATTAAATCTTTAGGAACCCACATCTCAATGTACGGCCCTACAACTAGGTATGTTGGCTTCAGATTCTTCAGCTCCTCGGCAAACAACTTGCGAACTGCCCGTTTGAACGTATGGGGTTTCTCATGTGCGCTGCTGGGGTTGTGATCTGGATCGGTGCCGTATTCTGAAGGGAAGAACCACCGCACGGATTCAGACTCGTCCGCTTGCTTGATGAGCTCAAATTGATACTGTAGAGCCCCTCTGCCAAGGCAGCTGATGGCGGTGTCAACGCCTTGATAGGCATTTTTCACGTCTGTCGAGTCTTTAATGTCACCAACGACAACTGATACTCCTGCAGCTTTCCATTTGTTCAAAAGCTCAGCCTTGGTGGACACTGTGTTTGCAGAAGTGAAGACCGAAATTTGAGGGAACGGCGGCTTAGCGGCAATGAGCTGATTGACGATGTATTTGCCAATGTTGCCTGTGGCACCGAACACCAGAATATGCGAAGGCTTAAAGGACGCCATTGTATCAATTATAATTGTATTGATGATGAGACAGCTGATTACAGATAGATATAAAAAAGAAAGATTAGGTCTATTATACTTTTGACGATCTCTAGCAGACAATGTCGCGTCAACTAATGTATTAGTCATTCACTAACACAAGTGAGGGGTATCCACGTCGCAATCTCGCCCGTCTCAAATCCGAGCGTTTGCCATATTAGGCTTATTACCAAACAAAATAAATCCGTATGCGTTCATCTCAGCTCTTTAGAATCTCGTCTCAAACTGAGCCATGAAGCTTCACAGCCTTCCCAAATCAGGCAACTTTTACTTTCCTAACTAAACCTCTTCTTTCTCCACCTTGGCCACAGGTGCTGGGGGAGGGAATTTGGGCGTGTATTTGCTGTTCTTCCGGATCTGGGCGCCCTTGAAGTAGAAAAGAACGGGCACAGGCGCAAGCACAGCAGCAACACAGCCCAGCAGTGTCATTTCCCACTGGATGCCCATGCCCTTGAACATGTAGGTTGCGAATAGAGGGAAAATGGCTCCAAACGCCGACCGCAAGAACGTATTGGCTGCTAGTGCTGAGGCCGCAAACTACGTGTCCACCTCGTTAGTGATGAATCAGTTCATGTTTAGGTGAGTGGAGGAGTAAATACCATCAAGTAGGCGTCAATGATATAATTAAACGCCTGCAAAAAGACCATTGATATGCCAAGACCGGTCACGAAGCCGCCGATGGTGGGCACGATCCAGTGGACCTCTTTTCGGTATCCTGACCATCCAAGCCAAAACATGCCGCCGGCGAAAAGCACAGCTCCAGCCATGGCCTCGGGCATCCGCCACTCAGGCACAGGCATATTATTGTTGGCCACAAGCTTGCGTTTGTAGCTTGGCGCACGTAGCGTCATGATGATACCCGTTACAATGCAGCCAAGGACGGCACCCAGCTCTGGAAGTCCGCTAACGCCGGGCTTCATACCGTAGACTCCCTGGAAGATTTGGGGATATGCGGTGAGAAAGAGATACAAAAGGCCATATATGAATGCAGAGTAGAGACTAGAGCAAGAAACAATCATCAACTATGCTCAGCAATAGGATAAGAATAGCGTGGACATACCTCATAAGTAGGACAATAGGCTCGACGACAAGCATACGGAACGGGCGCATGAACTAGCGTTCGACCATCTCATCAAGATTGATTTCATTTTCCTCTTGCTTAGCATGAATTGCATAGTTCTTCGTTGCCCTTCGCAGCTTGGCTGCCTTCTTAGCCAAGATAAACGGAGCGTTGGTTTCTTGTACAAAGATCAAGTTTAGCACTGCAGCGGCGGAAGCCAGGATTCCTGTAAGATATTGCGTCCATCGCCAGCCAAGTCGGCTTGTCACAATGAAGCCGCCGATGAAGAGTGCGCACATTGGACCAATGAAAACGCAAATGGTGAACCATGTCACCTGGTATACATGCCTTAGTAAACTTCAAGAGTATTAAGAGCTTTCATGTGACTTCTTACCGCAATACCGCGCGTCTTGTTATCGAACAAATCGACAAACACGCCGCCACCCACGGCAAGCGGAGCGGTCCCAAAAAATCCTGCAAAGAATCGGTTGATCATGATGCTTTGAACGTCCTTGGAAACTGCCACAGCAAATTGGAAAATTGCTGTTCCAAATGCGGCGATAACAAGGGGTAGTCGTCTTCCCCTGATCTCAGAAAGCGGTCCCCATAGTAATGGCCTACAGAAGTGTTAGATACGGTCTCATACAAGGGAGTCGTGAATGGCGTTCAGGCGCGATTGTTGATATAAAGGGAAGACATACCCTGCTGAGAATCCTAGCACATATAGTGTTACTCCCAATGTAGCAACTTCTGGTGCGATATGGTACTTTTTTGATATCGTTGAGATGGCGGGAGAAAAGATGCCGCTTCCAAAGGTAGTGATGAATGTAGTAGACGCGATGATCAATACTATCCCCCACCTGATCCCGTTAGAAGGCTATGTCAAGTATTCTTTTTGTCTGTACTAACTTTCTCTTCATAGACCAGTTTTGGGGATGGGTAGGGTCAGATGGTCCATCAAATTCCACAACTTAGCTGTCTTTGTTTAAGAGATCCTAGGGATAAGGCTTTCCAGCACCCATTGAGAGACTCGATGCTTCTTGGCTGGTTATGGGATCATGTCGACGATCGGTTGCTTCTGACTGCTTCACGGCTATTGCATTTTGTTCCACGTTGCTCGAAATGGTATCGTCTCTGCTAAGCTGCTGCTCTGACTTAGATCGAAGTCCATCTTCGTTGGAATGGACTCTCGCCATCTCGGAGTCGTTATCCGTGAAGCCCAGTCTTTAATCTTCTACTAAGAGATTATCTCCTTTCCGAACCTTGAAGCTTAGAAAAGATTTGTGTAAAATTGGATTCCAAGAGTGTCGACTATATTTACAATGATTATGAATGTTATAAATGCATAGACATGATTCAGTAGTTACACTGCGGCAATGTGATATAGGCAAAACATTTCCATGCTATCTCTAATCTGCTGTATAATAATACTATGAATGTATACTAAAAAAAATCATCATTACTAAGTGTTCTTCCTTTTTCATGAACCATCATGCAGTTTTGTAAAATTTCTAAGCAAGATGAATAATTTTAGGCGCAATGTTTTAGAGATTCGGGGGATTCGGGAGAGTCGGGAGAGTCGGTCCTCGGATTCGGGCGCTCGCTCATTTCTTTTCTGGTCTTTTTAGCGTTCGTAGCCTTATTCATTAATACGCGATTCCCGAGTCAGGCAATGCTGGGCCAAGTTACTGAAAATCGAAAAATGGTGTTGACGTGAATTGCCTCAAATGGAATTAGCCGTGTGCAGCAATAGTATTGCTCGTCAGCTGTCTTTCAAACACAGCGCTTAAAGCTCAAGCCGGATGCATTCTTGAATTTCGGCGTTATTGCTGTTTCTGTCGTCCTAGCTGTGAGAGATGTAGCTTGTGACCAACCTATATCTCGCTAAACATACCTAATGATTATGCTTCCAGAATGTGATACGACAGACAGGAGACTAGAAGCCAAAGTCTAGTGTAGCGGCGTGGACTACGGCTCGGGGCGAGAGGCCATACACGTAGTGTCAATGACGTGGTAGCGGCTATCGATGCGTATCTCAATAGGTGCAGGGGCATTTGATCATGCTTGTGTCAGCATAAGACTTGGGAACTATTGATGCAAAGTACAGCATAGCTCGAGGCGAGGGGAAACTCATGACCACTAGGCATTATGTGTGTGCATCTTAGCTCCCTGCCGCTACTGTTACTGTCGACAATGTCAGGCACGGAGGCTGTTTACTCGGATAATATTTTGAGCTGGGTAGATTGTCATGTGCGGGACAACAGTAGCATTGATAACCGGCAGATATACGGAGGCAATAGCACTATGCATTCTCAGAATTCCCAGTTTCATACACTCGCTGGGAGAAGCTAGTGTCGTTAAGATAAGTTATCGTATAAATACGTCGAAACAACAAGCCTACGGAATCCTGTGCTCAAAAGGCATTGTATTTGTCGTAGCTACGTTTGTAACTAGTAGTAGGTTAAGGTCACACTCCAGGATTCAGCTTATCGCCGATGTGTATTAAAAGGGAAGAAAAGGAAAAGGGGAAAGAAGAAACAGATTTAAAGTACTTTAACAAAATTTTCTGATAAAATTTTATCGTGAAAGTAGGGTCTACACATGTCACCTAGCCATCCATAGACTGTCTGGCTAGTTAATAGGGTAGGAGTTAGTTGGCCTGCCGCAGAATGATGGCAACATCTGCCCCATGCGTAGGAAATCTACCCTGCTTTCTCCTTTACTATAGTTCTTCTTAAACACGGGTTTTTTTCTCTTGGCTTCGTCTCTTCTTTATTTGATCCTTGAACTCCAAATACCCTCATCTCTCTCTCTTCACTTGCTATACTGCACCGTTTTCTATACAAACTAATCGCTGAGAGCTCGTACTAACTTGGTAACATGCAGGCTCTCAGCTAGAGGGGCTAGCGTACTACCTATTCTGTCCATTCATTCAAAATGACGTAATGGTAAGCGGCTCTCGCTGGTGAAAAAAGCATGAAGGAATCGGCAACGCGGCATAGGCGTTCAATCGTATCGCCGTAAACCCGCATCGGACACTTTTCAACGACGGCTGATAGGTCGAATCGCTTGGACAGCTGTTCTGGTACGCGTAGAAAACTAAATCGCTTCAATCTTGTTTGCTGCGAATTTGTCAGGAAAAGCTAGTGGCGGGCAACTGGTAAGCTTTTTACAAGCGTCCGAGATGCCCGAAGCAGCCGATGCTTTAGAAAACCTCAGTGTATGAGATGCTATCGAAAGAATTGCCCAATACTGATGACAAAAATACCAGTGATACAATGTGATTTTTGTATAAATTAAACCGTGTTCGCAACTCATTGAGAATACTCACTCACAGCTCACATTCATGAGAATTTAAGAACATTCATCTAAGACTCAAACTCCTGACAACTTCATCATGTCCAAGACAATGCGCGCCATTGGTAAGATGCCATTACCCCATTCATGGGCTCTATTTCCACTTCCAATTCTTACTCTTCGGTGATATAGATATCAAGGGCGATATTGGCCCTGCAGAGTCCCTCTATATGGCTGAAATTCCTAAGCCGGTGCCCAAAGAAGCACAGGCTTTGGTAAGAGTTAAGGCTTTCGGTCTCAATCGTGCGGACATTATGCAGCGCGATGGAGAGTATCCTGTTCCACCCTGGGCTGGCAAGATCATGGGTTTGGAGTTTTCTGGTATCATAGAGGAGCTGGGAGAAAATAGCGAACCATCATTCAAGGTTGGCGATGAAGTGTTCTCGTTGACATATGGTGGTAAGAAATCTTCTAATGGAAGCTGGTGTGAAATCCGTTGGCTAAAAACTTGAATTTAGGGGCGTACGCCGAGTATGTTGCTGTTTCGACTCACATGTTGATCCATAAGCCCGCTCAACTATCATGGGAACAAGCTGCAGGCATTCCAGAGGTAAGTTTCAAATGGTTTATGGGCTTCAAGAGTGCCTTGGTGGAAGCTGACACATCCCATAGACCTGGCTCACAGCGTCAAAGATCATGTACATGATTGGAGAGTTTACGCGTGGTAAATCTATTCTATGGCACGCTGGCGCATCTGGCGTCTCCATTAGCGGGATCCAGCTTTCTGTTGCTGGCGGTGCCTCTGCTGTCTACGCAACAACACGGTCTGATGAAAAATGCGATTTCTGCGTCAACACCCTGGGCGCTACCGCAGCTTTCAACACCACGGATCCGAACTGGGTTGACCAGGTGCTAAAGGCAACTGATGGAAAAGGCGTTGATATAATCGCCGATTTGATCGGACCTGACGTCTTTGCTGAAAATCTCAAGATCGGCGCCAAGGATGCCAGGATTGTGCTGATCGGATTGATGAGCGGGACAACATTCAAAAAGGAATTCGACATGGGACTTCTCGCCTTCAAGAGAATTCGATACGAGGGATCAACGTTGAGGAGCAGAGATGAAGAGTTCCAGCGTAAGCTGAGAGACAAGTTCGTTTCGGAGGCCCTCCCTGACTTTCTGGCTGGCAAGTTCAAAATCTACATTGAAAAGGTCTATCCGTGGGAACAGATTGTCGACGCGCACAAGATGCTGGAGACGAACAAGACCATGGGAAAAATTATATGCACTATCAATTAGACGATATTGAAAGGTGGGCTGATAATTCTCTATCTCATGGATGTTTGGAGCTGGGATTTGGGAACTCGTCGGGGAAAACATGTATATCTGGGAAACTTGGTAATACAAAATAAGCTTAAAATTTACAAATGCTTAAATTTCATGTGTAGACATGCATCTATGCGCCAGAATTCCTCAGAGACACCTTGGAAAAGGATTTACGACGGGTCGTCGTCAGGTCAGAGCGATTGCTACTTAAAATAACGCAACTCGCCGAGTACCGGACAAAGCTCGCGCACATGTAGACACAGCCGACATTGCGATTGCAAATTTACGCGAGGACACAGTACTAGGATGAATAAGGCATATGAGTCTAATGAAGTGCTTAACCGGAACCGATTGCTACATTGGATGGCCAAGATAAAGGGACATCACTCAGAGTTGCGCAATTCGGCCGAGTGTATCTTGTGAGGTGGGGATGCCCTTTCTCTCACATGCAAGAGATATATGTACATGTACTGTATGCAGCAGAATTCCGCGGTCAATTTTTAGTGCTTAGTTCAAATAATTCTACGACGACCAGCTGAACTTATTCTCCGCTTACGGAACCCCTGCGTTGGAACCCTGTATGGAAGTAAAGGTTGGCGTTGATGTCGGGGATAATTTATTCTACGCGCTTCACGCTTAATTACCGACTACTACCTTGGTGATATGCATATGTTCTTGGACAAAACGCCAAGGCAATGAGTGCTCGCGTGCAGATAACATCGTACCAGATGCAGGGGCGCTATCTCTTCCTTGGTCGCATAAACCTTTCTCTTATCTCGCCAAATACGTGATTTTTAGTACTCAAACTATTCAGAGAGCCCTGCAATATCTGCTCCACCTAGCCAAGATGCAAAAGACATGACAGCAGCAGCTTGGGGAACCCAGTGGCGTAGGCTTACTCTGATTTGGAAAGAGGGCGCAAGTAGAGTGTGGGGAAGCTGAGGCTAGGAACACGCAGTCTACTCTAGCTGGAGCAGTCTACGCATGGTCTCGAGTTTGATCAGTGCTGCCTAGATACCCCCATACAGTTTTGGCACACTGCTACTCTGTAACATTTACTGGCAGTTCATCCGCTAGCTCTTCTATTGATCCTGGCATCTCTGATCCTAATCAGCACTCTAACCTCGGAGCGCGATACGAGCGGCCGCTGAGTCTGGACTAAGAGAAAATTATAATTTCCGACCGCCATCCTTCTCTCTGCGGCCCCTGAAGCCACAATGGCCGGCTGAGAGGAACAAGGCTCTGTTCCAGTTAGCCGGAAGTGAGACGGGTCTCCCTTCTTGAAATGAGCTGAAGCGACGCTCAATAGTCGCCACACCCATGCGCCGCCAAGGTGCTTTGACGTGGTAGTCACCCAAATTATTTTCGTTATCAATTAATGGCTTGCATAGGTAGTCGATATGCGTACGCCACAAATGGTTCTGCTGGCACTGTTTGTTCTGGAACTAGTCCGCAGTGCATGGTCGTAGCATCTCCCTTTAATGCTTAATGTATCACCTCAAAAAGACATCATGGGAGGAGCGTAGTTTGTTCTTCCTTCCAATCGTCTGCATGTAGCACCCCATAATGGCTCTCTACTCATCGGCACCGCCAGAACGGCCATTTAGCGATGCGAAACCTACCTTGCTTGTAGCTTGGTGGATAACGCTCTTTTGTACATGCTTGATCTTGCTCCGCCTCTCAGGACGATACATTCGGGTGGAAAAGTTATTCATCGAGGACAAGATTACAGCGGCGGCACTGCTGCCGTTGTACATGCGGATGGCATGCACTCACGTCGTCCTCTTATACGGAACAAACAACATTGAGCTCGCCGGTACCGATCTCTTTCCCCAAGAGATTGAGCGAAGAATTATTGGAAGCAAAGTCGTCCTCGCTGGAAGGATACTTCATGCCGCTACGTTTGTCTTTCCATACCTTTCACTTCTTGTTATCATCTCTATAACAGATACTGACTGTGTTACTCCAGATTATGGACGCTTAAATTCACCACGCTCGAGTTCCTCAACAGACTGGCTGGTGCCTCCCTGAAGAGGGTCTACAAGCTTCTCATCAACATCTTGCGATGCGTTCTTGTGGCTTCCTTTGTGGCCATCATAGTGAGCGACCTTGCGGAATGTCATCCGATATCTCACTATTGGCAAATCATTCCGGATCCAGGGCCACAGTGCCGTCAAGGCTTCGTGCAGCTCCTCACAATGGGCGTCTGCAGCGCAGTCATTGATGTCGCGCTCATCATATTTCCAATTCCCATCATCTTCTCTACGCGGATTGCTACCAAACGAAAGATTCTGCTCGCCATGCTGTTTTGCTTTGGGTTTCTGACCGTTGGCATCACCATTTACAGAATCCCCAAGACCATCAAGCAGCATGGGGACCAGGTGGTTCGATCCATGTGGGCATCCATAGAGCTGCTTGCCGCAACTGCAGTGGCAAATCTGGTAGCTTTGGGTTCGTTCCTGCGAGACAGTGGAGTGAGGAAGATCAAGTTCCGCCCTGGCTACCACAGCAGTGGAACAAACTCCAAGCCTCAGGGCAAGGGGGCTTCGGGAAGTGATAGACGGAAAGCTGAGAGCGAGCGCCGGGCCAAATCGGCGAGCGATGAATGGGCAGACGATAAGCAGGCCGATACCGCATTCCATTCTTCACCAGACAATGGAGATGGAGCACGTCACTCGCAATCAGCTAGTGGAAGTGGAATTAGTCCAACGCAGAGCCATGACTCGCTCATCCAGCCAGACCGGGGATCTTCACATGTTGCCCCGGGGCTGGGTCTTGAGACTCCTCGATCTCCAGAGCGAGTGGTTCCTGCCGGAATCACTAGCTTCCGGCGCAGATAGCTGTTTTACCAATAATACTTTATTTCTTCTTCTTGGCGTCTGACGTTTTATTTTGGCTTGCATAAGTGTCACAATTTGTGGTATCTAGCCACCCTGCCACGCAACCATCAGAGCCGAATTGCCAGGGAACCCTGAGCAAATGCAAGCCATGTTTCTAGAACTTGTTCTTTATTAACTTAAAAGAGGTGATAAAAAGGGGGCCATCATATAGCGTGGGCATTCAAGTCTTTAGGCTCTGCAGACATACACTCACACCAGCTGCATCTATGACTAGCTAGCGTATAATTCATTCCATTAGTTTATAGAATCGGCCAACGGCTGCCTAGGCGTGGCTTTTGGATTCTGTTAGCCAAGTTTCAAGTCAAGACCTGCCAAATGTCAACTCAACTCTTATCTCTCAGCATCAGGCTAACCCCAGGTTTGCGGAGGTCCAGGCTCCACACGAAACCCACGCGATGATATGCAGGGGCAGTGAACGCCCTGAGCGAACTCCTGGCTGTCGCCACCACTACTTCACGTCACTAGCAGTGCTACTCTCTTATAAGGGAACTACTACTCCGAGTCACTACTCGTATCTAGCGTCCGCTAAAGTAGCGCAAAGACCTCGGCTGCAGCAAATTGTGGCTGTAGGCTATTGCCATGCGCAAAACTCTTCAGCGCGCTGCAAGACAAGGCACTATGAACTCATACCGGGGTTGCTCGATGAGCCCACCCGGCAAGCTTACCATATTCAGGCCATTGAACGCCAAGATGAACCTGCAAAGGAGATGAGGTTCCAGAATTTGCAATAGTAGCGTTTGTAGCTAGGTATTCGTAACTCCAAGTCGTATCATTTCTCTCCTTTTCCTCCCGCCTTCTAAAGGCCTTCTATCGTTCATTTGCAATGCAGCTCCCTGCATACTTTATTCTCCGAGCAGACGGGATCATCTTTTCCTCGCCTTACATGCATGTCACTGCATATTATCAGAGAAGATAGGCAGTGCTAAGGTTGACCGGATCCCATCATGGCTTTCAACGGGCCGGAGAGGCCAAAATCCATCAAGAATGGAATCACTTATACCCGGGATTTCGAGGTTGTGGAAATGAGCGATCTGGCGGAACCAAAGGGGGATCAGTTCACGGTAACGACTTCATATTCCATAACGACCGCATCACGTCCTAGGGCTCCTCATAAGAAGTCGATGGGCCATCGTTTTGTAGATAGCTTCCGCCGTGCCCCCGGAGGACTCCCAATGACTGGCAACCACGGCTATCAAATCAACGACGATCTTCCAGAAATAGCCCAAGCGGGTAACCGCTTCTATGATCTCCGCGCTGCCAACGTCCGAACGGCAAATTCCGCACTTGCACGCGATCTCAAGGGTCGTCATCTGCAGATGATTGCTTTTGGCGGTTCTATCGGTAAATTTACATCTCTACTGCTTAAGAAAGAAAGAGCTTGAACTCTGACATTGGTAACCAGGCACCGGTTTATTTGTGGCATCGGGCCTGGCATTGTACCAAGGTGGACCAGCCTCGATGCTGCTGGCCTACCTCGTGACAGGTGCTATTCAGTTCTGTACTATGCAGAGCTTGGGCGAACTGGTGGCCACATTTCCCGTTGCTGGCTCGTTTTCTGCATTTTCAAGCCGATTTCTAGATCCGTCGTGGGGCTTTGCTATGGGCTGGAAGTAGGTACATATCAACCCCAGATCCCAGGGCCCGTTTGTGATGTCGCCAAGATATTTCAGAGCCTTGGTTGTTGTAGCACTGCTGACATTGGTGCTAGTTATGCACTGCAATGGCTCTTTGTCCTGCCGATTGAGATTATATCTGGAGCATTGACGATTCAATTTTGGAACTCGTCTATAAACCCAGCAATATTTGTTACTATTTTCCTCATTACAATTGTTGCCATAAACATGTTTGGCATCAAAGGCTATGGCGAAGCAGAATTCATTTTCTCTACAGTCAAGGTAACAGCGATTGTCGGCTTCATGTAAGAAAAAGCAACATTTCAGTAATTCCTGTTTACCGTTCCTTCTACTAACGAATGCCTTAGACTACTTGGTATTGTCATCAATATCGGAGGACCGCCTACGAGCGGATACATTGGCGGACAATACTGGACCAACCCTGGCGCAACAAATAACGGGTTTAAAGGGTTTTGCAGCGTCTTAGTCACGTCTTCATTCTCCTTTATTGGTACCGAATTGGTCGGCCTTGCCGCCGCTGAAACTGCCAATCCGAAGAAATCCCTTCCAAGCGCCATCAAGCAAGTCTTTTGGAGAATCGCCATCTTTTACATCGTATCGCTCCTCCTGGTTAGTCTTTTGGTCCCCTACAACGACCCACGTCTCGTTGGAAGCGAAAACTCCGTTGGTGTCACTGCTAGTCCCTTTGTCGTTGCCGTTGAGAGCGCCGGTTCAACAATTCTGCCGAGCGTTATGAATGCGGTGATTATGATTGCGGTGCTGAGCGTGGGAAACTCTGCCATTTTTGGATCCTCGCGGACACTGGCCGCCTTGGCCGAACAGTCACACGCACCTGCGATATTCTCCTATGTGGACCGCAAAGGACGGCCGTTGACGGCAATCGTTTTCGCCTCGATTCTCGGACTTTTAGCATACCTGGTCAATGTCAAGGTCCATTCAGAGATTTTCGACTGGCTCATGGCTGTTTGCGCGCTGTCGAGTTTGTTTACTTGGGGCAGCATTTGCCTCTGTCATATTCGCTTCCGGCGGGCCTGGGCAGCGTCAGGACATTCGCTGAATCAGCTACCGTTTCTGTCGCAGGCTGGCGTCATTGGCTCTTTTCTTGGAGTAGCTGGAAACATATTGGTATTGGCTTCGCAATTCTGGATGGCCGTATCTCCAGTGCGGGGGGATCCGAATGCCGACGGGCCTAACATTACTGCGAAAAACTTCTTTCTGAAGGTGATGACCGTTCCAATCGTTGTTATATTCTACGTTGGACACAAGTTGTGGTTCAGAACCAAAATCGTTCCGATCGCTTCCATCGACATCCACACCGGGCGAAGCTTCTCAAGAATCCAGCCGATTTCGGACGAGGAAGAGGAGTTGCGCAAAGCGTGGCCACTATGGAAAAGAATGTATCGGACGCTGTGTTAATAGACTTTTGATAGTAATAGAATTGACTTGATTGTATAAGTTTCTTAAGTTTCTCGATCATCAACTACCTGCTAAGGAAAATATGCGTGTGCGTCTATCACTCTATCATTTCCAAGAATACATTTGCCACTCACTTGGCGGCGAACCCAGTGTTGCACAGAAATCTATACACATAGACATGTATATAACCTGTATTTTGGTTGATGCTTGTTCAATGCTCTGGCAATCGCATTGTCAACTATATGTACACAAAGGAACGGGCGATTTCTCAAATACATGTAGGCTGCAAGATGGCTAGCCTAGCACTAAGCTATGGAGCCACAGTGTCACTCATCTTGTCTCATCTATGCTTACAGACCCAGCAGTATTAAACAACTGCCATGGACAAAACACCATGAAAGCATGGCAGACAGACGAAACCAACGCCTAGACTAATTGATGTGGCCTTCTACCAGACAAAACTCCTACTTTGTATATCAGCTCGCTATGGAGTACGGATACTGCCGCCGGATTGGCTAAACACCGCTCTACTTCACACGAGCTGGCCCCGCTGCGAGATATTTACGGCATCCTTCCAAATCCTTTCTCGGTTAGATCTTAGTCTTCATCCCTTAATGCATTTGTGTCTGCAATTCTCGTCTTTTCATCAAAACACCAATTGTCCCATCACCACATGCAGCATGGCCGCTTCCACAGCTTCGGCGCGCGATCAGGCGATCAGCTATCTCTCCGATCCCCGCTTCAGCCAGGAACTCACTCTGCCAGCAACTGCAGATAACCCTGCCCTCACTGTCAGCTATGCTGACGTTGGCTTCAGCCCCGAAAGCCCGGCTGATAGTCGCAGTACGCCTACAATGCTGTTTATACCAGGCATGTTTGGCTCCAGATACATAGGCGCCATCTTGGACCCTATTGCGCGTAAACTCGGCGTTCGTGTCCTAGTAGCTGACCGGTAATATTGTTCTCATTTTGAACCTCCATGTCGCACTTATCAACGCGTCTGACAAGTCTACTTTTGCTAATATATTCAATTGAATCATACCGATAGGCCGGGGATGGGTCATTCGACAGAGGTCCCCTTCTCTCTTCGTCTTTCAACCTGGGTCCGGACTGTGCCTCTCCTGCTGGAACATCTTGGCATTAAACATGTCGCCTTGGTTTCCCATTCCGCTGGGACGATATATCTACTAAACACACTGCACCATCATCGTGAGATACTACACCCGGACCAGCCATTTGTTGCGCTCCTCGGTATGTTGAAGATACTATATACTTCATGTTATAGGCATTTCTTCTACTTACACAATGCCAGCACCATGGGTTGACCCTGCGCATTCCAAGGTTACATCAATGCAGATGATGCAATACATCCCGGCGCAGGCCTTTTCGGTGTGGCATCACATTGCGCCTTTACTAGCCACAAGCGGAGTCGTGATAAATAAAGCGTCTAGTGTAATCTCTTCTTCAACGGGCAGTGGCAAAGATACACCTCAGGAAAGGAATAGACAAAGGCTAGCTGTCGAATACGACGTGTCCAGAGACTTTCAGATTGAATTGGGGTCGCTTCTTGGTAAGAGAATAATGAAAGAAAATACCGTCGGAGCGAATAGCGAAGCACTCCTGTGTGCTAGAAAAGGCAAAGGATGGTCATGGGGAGAGTGTGATGATTACGCTACTTTCGTAGAAACACTCGCCACTGCTGAGAGGCAAAAACACCAGATGGACTCTGGCACAGAGAGCCATGGGAAGTTGAAAATTAGGGCATATTTTGCCGAAAATGATGTCATGGTTGGAGTTGGCGGGCAAAAGTATATGGATGACTGTTGGGGGCGTGAAGAGGGCAGTTTTAGCGATGTTCTTGATTTCGATTCAGCCACTATCGCTGATACAGATCACGACAGCCTTGTGCTGTCTGTAGATATTTTGGAGAAGGTGTTTGCTGACGCGGGCGGCAGTCTAGCACGCTAAGTCTCATTGAAAGTTGACTATTCATGAGGAGACAAGTACATGAAGATGCTGTATCTGTGATGCTAGGTAATGTATTAATATTTTCTATGACGTTCATTGTGATATAGCCTCTTCTTCTCTCCCAAATCAGCAAAAGGAAGCGCCCTTCAAATGTTCGGAATTCAGCCAGGGGTATAGTGTGAAGTGGCATTTTTCTAGACCACATATAGCTAAGATCTGATGCGGAGAGGGCCTTTTGCATATTAGAGACGGGGACCATTGCCGTTATCTATCCGCACAGCCCCGGCAATGACGGAACTAACATGACAGCTTCGCAACAATTGGATGCGAAATCCAGATTGGAGTTGACAAGCTTACTTGATGCAGCAACTCCCCTGGAGCTCGCGCCACCAAACCCAGACCTGCCTAATGCTGCGCGGACCTTTGTTAGCGTTGCGAGCGCGCGCCAAACGTGCACTTTTGATCAATCCTCCACGGCATGCCTTGCCAGGTGAGCAAATACCTGGTCAGGAACCCTGTTGTATTGCAGAGCACAAGCTTTTATAATATCCAGCTCCCCTCCAGATCTCGGATAATCGGCAGCTGGCTGATAGTAAATGAGGAGAAATGAGGAGATGGGACCTGGCAAGTTCCTAGCTGGGTGGTTGGCGGCGACAAGGGCTCCTGGATGACTGCATGACAGTTACTATGGGACCTATTTGACTGAGTATAAAAGAATGCCCAGTTGTCTCAAACGAAATCTCTTGGTTATTAGCCAAGGTCCTTCGAGAAGGCTCTTCAGAGTTAGGTCAAGCACGTGTTGATAGGCTTACTGGTACAATGGGCTATTCTCTGAGAGCCTTTCTGGCCCTGGCAGCGGTGGTTGCCGTGACAGATTCGTCTGTCAACGGACTGCCTTCCACCAACTATGTTTTGCACGAGACCAGGAATCCCACTGGGACAGGCGAGTTCAACAGTCATCGTCAATGGAAGCGTGGCAGCCGCCTCGATCCCAACGCTATTGTCCCGCTTCGGATTGGTCTAGTTCAAAGCAATATCGATCTTGGCTACGAGAAGCTGATGCAAGTTTCCGATCCGTCCTCGGAAAGCTTTGGCAGCCATCTCAGCGAGGCCGAAGTTCACGACTTGTTCGCCCCGGCAGATGAGACTTTCGATGCCGTTCATTCGTGGTTGGTCGAAGCCGGAGTCAACGCGTCGGATATTCGCCAATACGCCAACAAAGGGTGGCTCGCTATCGACCTGCCTGTATCCTACGTCGAAGATTTGTTCTTGACGCAGTATCATGAGCATGAGAGAGAAGGCGTGGTCAAGATTGGCTGTGACGAGTATCACGTTCCCAAACACCTCGCCCAGCACATTGACTATATCGTACCCGGCGTCAAGCTGTCACCACCCATGCTCAAACGATCCATTGAGAAACGAGCCGACACCAGCGTCAACAACTACAGAAAGGGCTGGAAGCCGAAGCAGATGCCGCCTGCGCTCTTGGATCTGGAAAAAGCACTTGCGCCTAGCTCCAAGCTGCCCAAGGATCTGCAAGATTGCGCCCGCAACTTCACCGCTATTTGTTACCGTGCGCTGTACCAGATCCCCGAGGTCAATGTTCCTGTGCCTGGAAATGAGCCTGCGGTCTTTGAGTCTGGTGATACATTTTCCCAGCAAGACATTGATTCATATTCCCAGAAATATGCCTCTTATATTCCCAAGGGCACGCATCCCAAAGTCTTGTCAGTCGACGGTGGCAAGGCTCCGGTGGCCGCAAACTCCCCGTTCAACACTGGTGAATCAGACATCGATATTGATATCCTTCAGACGTTGATCTGGCCCCAGTCAATGGTTCTTTACCAGGTAGATGATCGACTGTACACCACCGCAAACAACATGTCTGGCTTTTTGAACACCTTTTTGGATGCTTTGGATGGATCTTACTGCCACTATTCAGCGTACGGCATCTCAGGAGACAGCCCCGGAGTTGATCCTTCATACCCAGACAAGAGACCTGGCGGTTACGCTGGCCAAAAGCTGTGTGGTGCTTACAAGCCAAACAAGGTCATTTCTATCTCATATGGCGAGGGAGAGATTGATGTGCCCAAGAACTACTTCCTTCGACAATGCAATGAGTGGCTCAAGCTGGGGTTGCAAGGAACCACCGTTCTAGTGTCGTCTGGCGATTACGGTGCTGCGATGCCGCCGCATGAGGATTCAGACAGCGGCTGCTTGTCCGGGTCAGGCCAGAACCAGACAATCTATAATCCCGGTAATCCTGTCTCGTGCCCGTATCTCACCGCTGTTGGCGCCACTCAGCTTGAGCCTGGAACAACAGTGTTGGATGCAGAGGGCGCTATGCAGACCAATCTTGGCCCAGGAGCCGAGTTCTTTGCTTCTGGGGGTGGATTCTCCAACTACTTCCCTATTCCAAGCTACCAGAAGACTGCAGTGAGCAGCTATTTCGCCAAACACGATCCAGGCCATCCTTACTACGTTGCGAATAGCGATGCTAGCAACATTGGCGAGAATGGAGGAATTTACAACCGTGCTGGCAGAGGTATTCCTGATATTTCAGCCAACGGAGCCAATTTCCGAGCATTTAATAACCAGAGTGACGGCCATTGGTTCGGTACAAGCTTGGCTGCACCTCTTTGGGCCTCTGTCATTACCTTGATAAACCAGGAGCGTGCGCTGATTGGTAAAAAATCCGTTGGATTCATTAACCCGGTTTTGTATTCACATGCCAGTGCTCTCACCGATATTAAGCAGGGATCAAACCCCAACTGTGGTACAAGCGGCTTTACTGCCGTGGAGGGTTGGGATCCAGTAACTGGACTGGGCACTCCCAAGTACCCAGATTTGCTGAAGATTTGGCTGGAGCTCCCATGAACATGGCTCTTGTCGGTGTACCGACAGATATTCTTAAATAATAACAAATTACTATAATCAGATTCTCTACGTGTTAAATCTTGCTCATACAATTTCCAACCAGCAATAACACTAACTGGAAATCCGTACTTGATATTCCCATCTCTGGGCGACATCAGGCATTATTGAAAGCAAATATACGGCAATTGCGCTTATAATAGATACATAATCAGTTTTATGTAAAGACTCATGCTGCGGATATACGTAAAATCGACTCATCCTCCGCGATCTGCTTCCTGCGCTTTTCTCGTCGGTGGGCATGCCTTATCCAGAAAGCCATTATTATCAATCCGACGGCGATTCCAATGCTTGTCGGGTATCCTTTTGGGTATTCGGGAGCTTCCACTTGCTGCCAGATCAAGAGCGGAAGCCATGCCTGAACCACATAAGCCATTTCGTTCATGGTACCTGTCACTAGCGCTCGCTCTTCGTTATCATCGGTGCAGATTTCGTGAGCCCAGGCAAATGTCAGGCCGCTGATGCCTCCGCTGAATCCAGCCAAAAAGAAGCAAGCCCACTTCCAGCCAATCGGGATGTTCCAAATTGTTAGGCTAACATAAACGACAATGTTCATGATGCCCGAGAATACAATTGGTGGCCATCTTTCTCCTCTGAATATCGTGTCTGAAGTCCAAGCATAAGCCAATGTCGTGACGACGGTAATTGCAGTCGTGATGGTGGGGTATGTGTTGATCTGTGTAATACTGTATCCTTCTTTCTTGAGCCACAGTGAAAACGCAGGCTGAGAAGCCGCGCCGCCGCCGTTATTGAAGAATATGTAGAGCAGAGTGAGCAGGTAGATGTGCCAGCTAGAAAATATGCTCTTCAGTTTGGCTTTGGTAAATGGGGCGCGGTTGGCTCTTCCCTCCAGCTGCATCCTCTTCTGAGCAATGGCAATGTCATCTGGCGTCAAATACCATGCCCGTGTGATTTCTGGCACGTCGGGAATCATAAAGTATCCGGCCAAGGCTATCGGCAGAGAGATGACTGTGTTGATGATGAAGAGCCACTGCCAGCCTTTGAAACCATCTTTGCCGCCAAGGTGATACACCGCAGCCATAAGGTAGCCTGATAACATTGTCCCAATAGCACTGCTGGTGTGAAAGATGCAAGATCGTTTGGCGAGCTCATCTTTGCGGTACCATGATCCAATGATGTACTGCATCCCAGGGTAGAATGTGCTCTCAGCAAGTCCGATGAAGAATCGCAGTACGTAAATCTGTTGCGCATTGTTGCATTTTACCATCAGAATCGTCAAGACTGCCCAGGTAACTTCGCATGATGGAATCCAGATAGACGGTCGAATCCGAGTTAACAGGATATTACTGTGAACATATGGTTAATAAAAGATCTTTATGATTTAGCTTCTTCCATACCTCGGAATCTGCCCAATGACATATCCTACAGTCCAACAAGTTTGCATGTAATTCAGCTGGTTTCCAAACAGACCAAGGTCTTCTTTCATTCCAGAGACAAATGCATTGTTAATATTCACTTGGTCGAGATATTTGATGAAGTAACCCAACGAAGCAAACGAAAGAAGCACGGCGTCGAGCTTGAACAAGAACCGCCTTTCTTCCGGCGACTTATCCAACGTGTCCCATAAGTAGGACACCCATCTTTTTTTAACCTCTGGTTGGATGATACCTGATGAAAGTGATTCGGTTCTATCAATGTTGACTGATCCCAGAGATTTGTTTTCCAGGTCACGGCCGGCGGAGCTCTCCGCTGCTTCAACGGACGGCATGATGGCCGCTAAATTTCCAAGACAATCAAGCAAGGCCACTGCAAGCTTGATCAGTCTTCAATTTACAATTAGACTACTGCCACTAAATACAATTCAGCTACTCTAAGAGAAAAAATTATATACATCATATATCCTCAATCTAATGATCTTGTTATCATGCGCATTGCGTGATAAGAGGGGTATTTGAGGACATTTGGCGACTCTCGACGGATCATGAACTTCCTTGGTCAGCATTAGTGAGACTACTTGCACGGGAATACCAATTCCATGTTAGTACGCGCACGGCCAAGATCAGTTATATACATGGATACTATGGGATCTGATAGCACAAAGATAAGGGTGGTTCTATTTTATTGACGAATTTCCTTCTGCAATCTACTGGAATGGGGCTTTGCTGTCGCATCGCTGAGAAATTGCAATATGGGTGCATCATCGCGCCACCACTCCCTTACAAGAACCCCGGTAAATTGTGATGCTTAAGTGGTGGAATAGGCATAACATACATGCGGCAGTTGACATCCCTAAGCTGCATATACCTTTGATCTGCAGCTATGCGTACGATATCTGTCTATTCTGCGGGGAAGTATGATTGGTCATATGAGTACATGATAACGCCATATTGGAACCTTCTTGGGCGATCCAACTAACTCCAGATTGGAATAAGATACGTTACTTGATATGGATAATGGATAATGAATATAATGATATTCCGCAGGCCTAGGCCAGAACCTCCTCAAAGTGACAGCTATTTAGAGGATCATACTTGAATCGCTGCGTCGCACTTTTATAAGTCTATGACGCTAACACAAGAAGCTTCAATAAGCGCATCCAACAATTATACGCAAGATTCTATAAGAATAGAATCAATATGGCTCCCGCACCCATTGATCCTGCCATCGTTGATGTGGCGACTCCAAAGAAGGATTCTCTTCCAATCCCTGCCCCCGCTCGGCAGCGATTGCTAAAAGCTGGCATTGATCTATCCAACGGCTATCCCTACAGGCCATCCCGGCCTCTTTTCCTGCAAGACGTATATAAAATCAGGAGTGCCGACAGGAAGCACATCGATGCTGGAACCAGGGCGGACAAATCCAAGAAGAATTTGCTTTCTGCCGCCACAAAGATTACTGACATTACCGCAAACATCGGTACGGAGATTGAGGGCATACAGCTGAAGGATCTTACCGATGAGCAGCGAGACGAACTAGCTCTATTGATTGCTGAGCGAAGCGTTGTCTTCTTCAGAAACCAGGATATTTCGCCTCAGCAGCAGAAGGAATTGGGAGAGTGGTATGGCGATATTGAGATTCATGTTAGCCGCCCTTTTGGTATCCATATAGTCACCATGCTGATATGTGCTCTAGCCTCAAGTACCACAAGTCCCAGGAGTCCCAGGAGTCACTGTAATCTGGCCAGACCTTCAAGCCACAGAGCGGCCAGCGAATTTCCGTAACCCTGGTGGATCGTCTGTCTGGCACACGGACCTTGTACATGAGCATCAACCTGCGGGATACACCCACTTACACAACGATACAGTTCCCCCAGTTGGAGGAGATACACTGTGGGCGAGCGGGTATGGAGCGTATGAGAAGCTTTCTCCAAGTTTCCGTAAGTTCATTGACGGCAAGTATGCTGTGTATCGATCCGCACACCCATACCTAGACCGAGAAAATCCTGAGGCGGGACCGAAGTATGTTGAGCGGACTCATCCACTGGTGCGAGTTCATCCCGTCACGGGATGGAAGGCTCTTTGGGTCAACCGCTCGATGACCTTGCGCATTGTTGGCCTCGACAAAGCTGAGAGTGACCTTATTCTTGGCTATTTGTACGACGTATATGAGAAGAATCCCGATATCCAGCTGCGATGGAAGTGGACTCCAGGAACATCGGTACTATGGGACAACCGGTATGAGCACATCGCACTTTCAAAGAGGCCTTGTATTTGCAAAAGCTAATATCCAATGACAGAATTACTATCCACAATGCCAGCTGGGACTATGCAGGTAGACATCCTAGACACGGAACTCGGGTAACTTCATTGGCTGAGAAGCCGTTTTTTGAGGCTGATGCACCAACGAGGCGACAAGCACTCGGGCTCTTGGACGAGAGCGAGAAGGAGGAATTGGTATTATATGGAAATTAGTCAAGGCTAAGAGACATTGCTTGAGAGTAGCAATTGAATACTTCACGCCCTCTGTGAATATAAAAACCCAAATATATTCGTCGCATAACAATGATATGTGACAATGGAAGTAAAAATATCAAGGCCGTGGCCATAGAACAAAGCGTCAATGGTGATATCTCTTATATTTGAAGCCTGTATCATTCGCATAACTTGACTAGACCGTTATTTTGCTATTATACAGCTTTACTGGAGGTTGTTGTTAACATTGGGCCATTAATACAACAACCCTATTTGCTCACATCCTTCAACTATGGTCAATCTTCTTTTTGTTTGGTGGCCTATTCTAGGTACAACAACTAAGTGGGCAGCGAAAGCGCGTCTTTGGTATCACACGTATCTTAGTAGCACCTAAGCTTCAAGTACGCCTCTATAGCGTAGCTTTCCGCGCTCAAGCCTTTCGAACGCATTGGTAATTCCTTCTACCGTCATTGGAAATCGTTCAATGCTAGGCTTAATGCCATGCTTCACGACAAATTGCAACATTGTTTGGACCTCATCTGGAGTAGACGAGCAGCTGCCATGGATTGACAATTCCTTGATTATCATAGGCATGTAAGGGAATTCGAGGCTGCCTTCCGAAATAGTAAGAGGATATATATGACCGAATGGTGCCATTACTTTAGTGTATCTATGTAATACGTTAGCGGCAATTCATCACTTTCTCTCTGTATCCTAAAGACTTACAGCTGCCAATCAGGGGTCGCACTGGTAGTGACCAACAAGTGATTGATCTTTGGAACATCTGCCGCGCTCAAACCTGTTGTGTTATAGAACTTGGTAGCGCCAAAGCCCATAGCCTCTTGCTTCTTATTGTCTGAGCTGGAAAACACCACAACAGTGCATCCCCAAGCTGCCGCAAACTGGATAGCAAGATGACCCAGCCCGCCGATTCCCACAATGCCAACACAGTCAGAAGGCTTGATGCCCTGTCGCAAAAATGGTATGAAGACAGTCTGTCCAGCGCACATAAATGGTCCGGCATAGACGCTGGGTATCTCGTCAGGGAGTATTGCCAGTCGTGTTTCCGGCCACACGCTATGAGTCGCAAACGACCCTTGGTCAAAATTAGATATACCAAATGCGTGTGCACCTTTAACGCAGTGCCAGGTGTGTCCTGCCAAGCAATATTGGCACTCAGCACATCCACCCTTGACATATCCGAATCCCACTCGATCACCGCTATTCTCATTAGACCAGTCATCAATAACGGACAAGGTGATTTTACTTACACTTTAACAAGGCTAACTTTGCTTCCCACAGCTTTAACAATGCCGACGCCTTCGTGGCCCAATACCATGTCCGTATGAAGGTAATGTGCATCAGTTCCGCAAACTCCAGAGTGCGTATTCTCTATGAGAACATCGTTACTTTGCAAGGTTGGAACTGTCGTCTGGCCCTCAGTGATCTTGCCAGTCGAAGACCCTTTGAAGACTGTGAATATAGTCGCCATTGGCGCTGTTTTCATAAAGTGCAACTGAAGGTGAAGCTGAGAACTGATGAAATGACATGGCCATGAGGTTCGCAAAGCTATGCTTTATACTTCGCGGGTTAGGTTGTAGTAACCTATTTACTAAGCAGAGGTTCTAAAAGTATTCATGATCTATCGGCAGTATTGAAGCTGCTTGATTAGTAAAGTCTTACATGCAAAGAACTAATATGAATATGCTGAAAATTCTGATGCCAATCTTTATCGCCCAGCGGATTAGCCCATTTTAAGGCATTGGTGGAGCATAGCATGGCGCTTTCAGTCCCACCAACATTATATGGTACAAGAGATATCTACCATTGGACAGAGTTTGTTGGATTATTGTAGTACTTTCAGGCTGTTGAACGAGATTTCATTCAATGAGATTATGTAGTGGTGCAGTTGTCGAGTGAAATTGTGCGTATGTAGGTGCGTATGTATTGGGCCTGTTATCCACCAACAAACTTTTTATATGGTTTTCTATTACCTTTCATGAACTCGTCTGAAGAGGAACAGTAACAGAGCACGATGTTATTTAATTATATATCCCTATGCAAGGCAGAATGTATATAGCTATAGCTCACAAGACCCAGATTTTATGCGTACATCTCTGTTGATGGTAACATGTAATGGAGTTGATAAGCAATCGACAGATGTACCTACCGGCCGTTAGCTGTTTTGCCTTGTCTACATAGTAGAAAGCGTGTAATATGATCAGGGCTGATCAAAAGCCCCACCAGCTTCTTGAAAACGTTAGACCTCAGTCTGTATTCGTGAGATACTAGTAAACCGGGCATATGGCTGGTTATACCACGTCAATGTGATGATCAAAAAAATGCGTGTAAATGAAGAGTAATGATGCAGGTATGCGAGGAGCACCTTTAATTAAATTAGTACGAAGATATGAGTCTTTGCCAGATGAGATATATAAGTGCGAAGCCCCTCCTGAACAACGCTCTTAAAACCTCTCCCAATTCTTGTTCTTTTAAAGAAACGTACGTCGACTGCTATAGCCAAATGCTTCAACATAAGATTGAAGTATGTATACAAGGCAAGTCCAAAGCAATCTCTTCAAGCATCCAGCAAAATGGCTGTGGAGATATGTTGTTTGGAGTTTCAGTTAATGCTTCAACATCCTCCCATGAAAGCCCGGCGTCGCCTCCACAAGCTTTCTCTAAGCATAACCTGAACCATATTCCCTGAAAGTTTTCTCTTCCTGACGCAAGCATGCCGACTAAAAGCAACCAGACCAATGCAATTGGGTGATCGTCAAATATGTCATCTTCGGAAGTATATGCGAAAATGAGGGCTTCTTTTAACTGGTCAACCAAGATTGTTATGATGCGAGACGATCGAGGTGTGCCTCTCAAAACGACATGAGAAAAGAGTAATGCGCCTCTGGCAAATAAAGCTAAAACACTGTAACCATTTTTGCCATGAATACGTTTCAATATTGAACGGTCTGAAGCTAGGAGGCGAAATCCAAGAGCAGCTCGACGATCCGGAGCCATAAGATGTTTAGGAGTAGCGACGAGCTCTTTCGACATTGAACGTATTTCGCCCATCATGGCCCACCTTGAGGGCTGATCATAAAGGCCTTGTGAATCTAGAAATGTAGAGGGGGGTGGAGTAACCTCTTTAGATGAACTCTCCTCGTCAAATGATAGCATCATATTTGATTGCTGTGCGTGGCAGCAGTCCGTCCTACGTAGAAGTAAGCATATGCCGCCGCCCTGTTCATGAGGGCATTTACCATCTAACAATTCGAGCGGCTAGCCCCTGGAATCCCAGGTTCAATACACCTTTTCGACTCCTAATCATACCTCTCAGGCCTTGAAAATGAACCTTGGCTTCTTCGACATCGCCACAGAGGAACTAAATGGTCAGAATTGGCGTTTTTCCTAGACGAAAGATGGCTTACATTGGCATTGGCTAAGCATGCTACAGTAGCTATCATGGCATCGCTAAATGTTGGAGGATCGCTCCCCATATCTGGAGTGGCTCGTTGAAATTGTGACGCAAGCGTACGTATTGCGGCTGCCTTTAACGCAAGTAAATTTTGCTGGGACTGAAAACTTGCTGGGAGAAAGCTGTAATTTAGGAAAGCCCAGTGATATAGCGTGCTGTTAAAAAGCGCGCTGTCTTCGATTGCATACTTAAGCCAACCGGTTTCGGCTGTAACAGTACATAGTGATTTCGACGTATAATTTAGGACTACGCGTATTAATAACATTTCTTTCTCTAGTACATTAAAACATGGAGTGAAAGTTAAGCTTACAATGATGTAACAATATCTTAGTTTGTGTATTTACCTGGAGAGAAAATCCCGAGAGTCGAAGCATATCATCTACTCCAACCGTGGGCCGCAAATCATCGTGCTCAACGTACTGATTTATGGATGAAGACTGATCTCTAACCGCGAAGTCAATTACAATGAGGATTTATTATGTATTCGCTGAAAGATTACTTACCCTCGGCTAGATTCAGCGGTAAGGTCGCGACCACGGCTGGGTTCTTCTTTTCGACCTCGCCTCTTCATCACAACCCTGTCCATCACGTGCATCTTGATGAGAGATTTGGTCTTTGGCTTGTGAGAGCCCGTCCCCATTTCTTGAATGAACACAAATTCTCCTGGATCCATGGCTTTTTGTCCTTTGCTTCTCGAGGATAGGGTTTGGGCATGAAAGCCAATCGCAACAGTCAAGGGCTGGCTCTTTCACCAGTAGAAGGCCGTGGTAATGGCATATAACTGACTATCGCAAGGTACCTAGGTGTGGGTATCGCTTCAGAGGTCGTTAGTAATCGTACGGTCTTCTATATTCCAATGCAAAGATATATTTAGACTGTGCAGTCCAAAGTAATGACGCATGACACGCTATGTTGTAAAGTCGATTAAGCAGTATTTTACCGTACGCTTCATGTAGGGAGGGAATGAGGATCAAAGTTCTCGAGAGATTCAAGGTTAAGTTCCATCCGATCAACCGATCTGATTAATCACGAAGCCGCTTAACGCGATTAAGGAAATGGTGGAGTAGTAAGAGGCGTTTATGATTAGTAGTATATATCATTGGCGTAGCGGTTGAGCTGGAAACCGAAGGAGATGACTAATAGCTTCCAGCAGAATTAAAAGCGGCTTCTGTCTTAGCCAGCAGATCTATAAGTTTCCACATCTCAGACACAGTAGTCTACAGGTATGCGATGAATAACAAAGAGTTGGTAGTTTATGAGTAGTTCTGAGGAGTGGGCAGGGAGAAAAGCCGCTGCAACATTGAAGCAAGGATTGAATGCAGATTGTTAGCCAGTAAATGGCATTGAGGGTTATCAAAACTGTACGAAAGGAGTGTCCGCCTACCTCTGAGCCAAGCCTTGCGATGAATACCATTCGCCAATGAACAATACAAAATTGTCTCCGTCACTCGATTGCAAAGACGAGAAAATATAAGTCGAAGTTCCCCATAAAACGGCTTGGCTTCATCCCGTAGCATAGTTGCCAAGAGGCATAAGGATTCGCGGTAATGGCACTTCGCTAAGAAGCTAGCTGGGTTATGAAGCTGTCATCGGTAGAGACAGAGATGGCCCAAACATCGCCGAAATTTTTGGTCACTCGAATTACGCGTCATACAAATACGAAAACAAGGCTTACAAACCAAAAATAGCACATGGTTACTTCAAATCATCAAAGGGGCCGGCCTGTAGGAGGTCCATCTTCAACACCCAACGTATTAGCTCAACGCCGCAATCTCCCATACTACTACTTGCGTTCTGTTTGCCTACTTCAGCTGTAAAATATTTATCAGCTTAGTAACACGAAATAGCATTGAAATAATAGCCACTTCTTATGAAACCAATGTCTTCCAGATCGATGTTGACTCCTAGCTACACCGCTTCAGCCATTACATGCTAAGGACACTAAGGATACTCTCAATGCAGTAAAAGAAAACGGACGAGCATGGTTTCATTTTTCTGGCAAATGACACATTGTTGTTTTGCGCATGTTAATAGATACAGCTATATGTTACACATTAGCAAAAACGCCGAAAAAGAAGGACTGGAATAAAAACATTAAGCTCCATCTATTAACGACCAACTTGGGCTATAACACCTCTAGAGTACATGAGATCCCAACTATTCTACTTCTTGCCCTGCTCTGTGTTCTGGATTTGAACAGCTTTTTGGACCGAAGGTCGCTGCATGACTCGGTTGTGCCATGCACTCCAGTTGGGCCACAGCTTCTCACGCTGTTCGGCAGTTGCTGACTCGGAATCGCCCGCCAGAATGGTATCCAGCGCGCGATCCCAAGGAATGAATGCAATATCAGCGAGAGTGATTTTACCCCCCACCAAGTACTCCTTGCCTTGAAGCGCGCGGTCCACGGTAGTGATAGTTCTCTTGACCAGAGCTTGAAAGTGCTTAGTTGAGCCTTCATTCTTCAACTTATGCTGTGCAATCAAGGCCTATGGGATATAATCAGCAACTGATCAATACAATGGAAACTATAATGTCAGAATATTTACCTGAGCAAAGAATGGCCCCTGAGACGCTGCTTGAAATCCGAGCCACTGCTTGACGAGAAGCTTATTCTGCTCTCCCTCAACGTTGAAAATGCCTCTTGTATCATACTTTTCGGCAAGATACTCGCTTATCAGGTTGGACTCTGTCAGTTCGATGCCTATCAAATTGTCAATGCCGAGTTCAATCACTCATTTGTCATCTTTCACAAACCGGTGTTGGGGTCCTTGATCCATGGCACGCGCCCAGCTGGATTGATCTTGAGAAAGGTTTCATGCTCTACACCACCGCTGCCCTCTCCAAATACAAGATAGGTAGGGTCATAGGCGATTCCCAATTCTTCAAAAAGAATAACATTCTTCCAAGGGTTTGGACCATCACCTTTTTCACATTGTATTAGTACTTTCAACAGTGCATGAATTTGTAACATATTTGAAGGAGATAAACCACCTACGGTGAGAGTAGAAAGTGATTGCCTTGGTTGCCATTGTGTGATTTGTTATAGTGTCTTGCTGCTGCGCCTGTGTTTGGCTGTTTGACGTTGATGATGATAATCGAAGCTTTTGTAGAATCTTTCTAAAATCCATATCTTGAAGTGTCAGAAGGTCAGTCTACTGGATATGTTGTGAAGTACTTATACTACTTCAGACACAGTGACTTTATGAGATAGGCCACATCGTTCGCAACACTGGTAGTAATCTTCGTTTAGTAAGTCAAGTGTGTGATGTCGGGGTCACCGAGCTCGATTTTTGCTTGACTGCAGGCAATGCCCAAAACAGACAGCGCTCGGTTTCGCTTCAAAAGAGTGTGGTAGTACTTGATGACTTTTATTTTACTGCGAGCTCATCCGAGTTTACTACCTGAAAATGGTCTAGGGTCCTACCGATCAAGATGACCACGGGGTTTAATAGTTCCTAAAAAGGCAAAGATATTTTACAAATTCACTTGCATTTCTTTAACCAGCTAGACACATATACATACAAGAGATTGTTCTTCCGTATAGTAATAATAACAACATTAATAATACAATACTACCCATGAACTGTTAGCTGTTGCTTCGCTGAAGATCTCGCACAATACTTCAGTAGTTGTGAAGCGAAGACCGTCAAGAGAATTCAAAGCGGGGTGCTTAGACGACACTTGTACATCGATAAAATAAGCAATTCTATTCCTAATCCTAGCGCCCGTCTACTACCAAAGGCCATTCTTCTGTTTTTATTGCACTATTTTCCGTAGAAGACACTGGCCTCTCAAAAAGAAGTCTATAGACCTTTCGATCCTACATTGCACAAGTTGCCATTAGTTACACTTTTAGCCAGTTTGTATACAAACGACTTTAAATATTTAGGTGCACACATTCAGCGCCTTGAAGATTCAGTACGCATAGCTATATAGACTGCACTAATGGTTACTAGTATCAACGCTCGGAACAACGGGTTAAGCAACAAAAACGGTGGTTTAAGTAACCCCTCGGCGTGTTGCACCTACAATGCGTGAGTAAAGTGAATTGCGTTACCAATCACGAATTGGCATCATGATCTACTATGAGCCCTGCTTGAGTTGAAAACAGAGCCGCTTTGACTATTTCACACACGATCTCACATTATGACGTTCCATACCAGAGACAGCGGCTCTCCAATGAAAGATTCAGCTGTATGACATCAGTTTCCAGACGCACTCGTCCGCGAATTCCGCTTCTCAACTGTTGCTCTTTAACTCGACACTCACGAATTGAGCTAGAGGGGCGGCGGGTCTTTCGGTGGGCGTTGAGAAACCCGTTATATCTGGTGAAATTGTTAGCGGCGGGCCTGAGAAAAATGGTGCAATAGCTCAGAACCAAAAGCAGAAACGTGAATTTTGAACTGAGCGTAGAAGGCAGAGGTAGAGAGATAGAATGTGTTACTAAGCTGGGATAAAATGGCGACGATTGTGATATCATTGGGCGAATTGGTCCGTGGCGTTTTCGGAGCTTCGTCCGAAACTTCGCTCGAATTATTTAAGCGAGTTTGAGGCGGCAGAGGAAAAGAAAGCCCAGTTCGGCAATCGTCAGCGACGGTATGCCTACAGCGGATGAAAGTTTAGATCTCGCGAGCTTAACTCCTTTAAACTACATAGGATCAGCTTTGTACCTCAGTGCGGAGTACGCATACCTAGCCCTCTCTCTGTCTTTAAGCCATACGCTTTGCTGGCCTCCAGACCTAATAGGCAGGCTGTACATGCCTAGTCTGTGTGCCCAACGTATGCCCCGTAAGCAGCTCGGGCAACCCTTCGTGCATTAGTGTGTTGGAGATCATGATATACGCGGAAAAGGGTTCATGTTTCCGCATTGTTAAAGCTTCCAGTAGAGAGCTAAGCATCGCCCGGAAACTACCTTCTAGAACACTAGTGGACTCAAAGAGTCAAAGTTTCTATAGTCGAGGTGGAACTATCCCAAGAGTAGAAATGAGCGGATTCCTAATCAGGCTCTCGTCTCCATGGCTTGCCTCGGGCACTAGCCGTGAAATAACGTCACAAATGAATAAGCAACGGCAATAGCTTTGAACATAATTGCCGCCACAGAAAGGTTAGTAGCGCCGATAAACATAAGCTTTCCGATATTAAAAAAGGACAGCCGGGCAGACAACCACCGGTATTTACAACATTATCTTCTGTCCTCAAGAAACATCGTACCATTAATTGAAGATGACAATGCACAACCCCAGCACTTCTATTTCCTCTTGGGATGAGACCCGATTCCTGATTGACATGCAGGGGCCTATGGACATGACATACACTGTAGGACAATTCTCCTAGTCATAACACTGTAAAAAAGAGCGGAGCTGATATGAGATTAGGAAGCATATGAAGAGGTGATGCAGTGCTTTCTACCCGCAACACAGCCAGGCTTGGCTCCTCATTCACCGATATGCAATTCTCCTGCCGAGTCATTTACAACCCAGCGATTTGATATGCTGTCTGAAAGCTCAGCCGATATGTCAAATCAGTCATACTCAGCTTCCTCAAGTCGATCACAATCACCTGCATCTTCACATGTAAAACCTCTCGACCTCACGGCTGTGCGCAAGTTGTCCAAAAGACAGAAGAACCGAGAAGCGTAAGTGTCTATACTGCCTACCAATGCAACAGTAAGGGCTAAACTGATATTTGCATTTTAGGCAACGGGCATATAGAGAGAGGAAAGAAAAGTTGCTTCAAACTTTAGTCGAAAAAGTCGAAAAGCTGGAAGCCGCATACAGCGTGATTAAAGACGAACGCGACCAGCTCCAGCGCAGACTTGACAACTTAACAAACCCTACCGGATTTGTCAAAGACAATGTACTCAACTTTGACGACCAATTTGGAAATCTAACAGAATTCCAGTTCAACAATTTTCTGTTCAGCAACTTACCACGGCAACACACAATATTGCCACTCTCATGATACATGCTTCAAACAATTGTCAATTTTTAAAATGTATATTTTCAGGAGCCTGTGTACAAATGATTTAGACGCAATATAGGCACGCTACGATAATGAGATAATGTAACAATGATAAGTATAGACATATTGGTCAGTTAGTTTTTAGACACAAAATGTACAACATGTTCAAACATCGAATCAACCGCTCGGTTGTAAAAAGCGGATGTGTCAGGACGCATACTTATCTCGAGTTCTAAACTCGCATATGTCCAAAGGTCTAGCGATGTATGTAACTGAGCCTCTACGATTCAGCATCCAGCAAGAAATATCCTTGATTGTTTTAAGGCATGCTCTAAAGATTGCAAAAGAATGTCATTAGCGTAATCAGTCAGATTTCTGGATACCATCTAGGGTTTGCCGAGGCGACAGAGCTAAGGGGGGGCAATAACCTATGGCGCCAATTTTCTAGATCTAAAAGTCTTGTTAAATTGATTCTGTTTTGCAAGCGCATACTATATCTACATAAATCTACAAGACGCGAGCTCGCTATAAGCCGGACCAGTAAACGCCTTGGGTAGCCTCTTTTTCTACGTCGAAAAGCTATGCTGATATTAACTGTTGGATAGAAAGGACGTGACAGCGATGCTATGCCGACGGTGCAATGCACATCCCTCACATTGATGAAGCTGACAACATACGATCACTGATGGATATTCGCTCATGCTTCTAAGCCGCTATTTCATTTTTAGGTACATGTATAAACCCAGCACCATATCCAATACTGCTTCGAGAATTATCATGTGGGATTCGCTCTCAGTGGAGTTAGACGTGAATTTTAATTGAATCGTGTGGGGTGTATCCTATTCCTTGTTTATTCATGATGGTCAACTTGGAGGTTCTGTTGCTCCAGTCAACGTGGGTTGTGAATTTCTTTCTCCAACGTCCAATGCGACAAGAAATCTGCTCACTCCATTATAGGCTGCAACAGCCAGAGTGAGCTCTGTAACTTCTCGGTCGTTTAAGCCTGAGTTTTGGAGTTCTCTGAAAACTGTATCGGGAACTGTAATGTCTTTTGTCATTGCATCGGCATATCTTAGCACAGCCCACTGCTGAAGACTCAAGGGACCTCTGTCTGACGGCTGCAACGTTTCAACAACTTTTAATTTTGCCGCATCAAAGTCTTCACAGTGGGTTAATGCTTTAATATGCCCGTCGTATTGGTACCAAGCTCGGTTAAGCAATGCAACTCGGCAAATCGCAAGCTCCAATAGATCAGCGCGAATGATGGAGCCGGAGTAAATGGCGCCAAAGAAGGAATGCCAACCACCAGCAATGATTGGCGAGTGAAGTAGAGCCCTGTCAAGTGAGATGAGTCCGCTCTCGCCTCGGCGGGCTAATATCTGACTGAGAACAGCTCTTCCTGCTGCGTCCAAGTTGACCGGCGGGTTTGAAGCATAGGGTAGGCGCATATTTCGTTCGATCTTGAAACATTGAATACAAGATGGATAAAGACTAGACTCAAGCAAAGCTAGAGTAATGGCTTCCCTGCATTCTTATCTGGGTAATGGCCGTAAGACAAACGTAATCATTATTGTACCTTGTGCTACTGAGAGAGCGTGCCACATATATAGGTATAACATCCCCATACTCTAGCAGATAGATTAGCATGTCTATATGGCCAACAATGCTAGGTAAGTATTATAAAGCGAACGCTCTCTTCTCTTTCATACAGTGCCTCAAGGTGTTAATTATTAGTTTTAGGACGCACATTACACAGTACGAAGTCATCGTGTAGGTTATTCTATTAGTACTAGGCTTTAGTAGGGAATAGATATGGAGCGTTTCCTGTCGGTTTGGTAAGGCTTCTTGAATGACTTAGTCATCTAGGGCGGATCACACGACAAACACGGTATTAAGATGAGGAATCATGGTAGGTGGCCAATGGGTCCGCAAGCCGTGAATTCCAGCATACTATGGAGCTGCTACAAGATCACGACAAAGTGAGTCTTTAGAATCGCCCCTAGGCCATTGCCCCCTGCATAGGTATTAGTTAATAGCGTGATCCGTTGCCCGACGCGTATTTAAAGCTGTTTAGCGGAGGCCTTGAGGTCAGACGCGACATCTATTACGGAGCATACATACAACAAGATACAAGAGTAACAATGGCAAGGGTAGCCTCCAGGATGTCAGCCACGGCGTCTCAATCAGTCACTGAATTCCAAGACAAAGTCTACGCGCTGCTACTGCAAATCCCAAAAGGTCGCGTAACTACGTACGGCGCTATCGCTCGTGCTCTCAATACTTCTCCTCGGGCTGTGGGCAATGCTTTGCGCAATAATCCATTTGCGCCCGAGGTTCCCTGCCATAGATGCGTCGGGAGCACCGGATTTATAACGGGGTTTGACGGCGAGAGCATCGACAAGAAGAGTTTTAAGCGGTCAAACGACGGACTTGTTCAAGGAGCCGCACACCAGAGCAGACCTCGAGGACCCAAAATATCGCCGGCGCAGCCTGCAGGGACCAAGCTGAGCCTCAAGATACAAATCTTGCATGACGAGGGTGTCTTGATTGACAACAAGGGCATGGTTATGAACCGCAAAAAGGTGTTGTGGGATGGACCCTGGGACGTGAATGCGCCGAAATACTCCATCAACTGATGATACCTATCATACAATGGCATCGCAAACGCCATCTATTGCTCCCGAAGAATTCAACTCTTCACGTTTCGAGCGTATTCTAATGCCCATCAGTCATCAAATACCCACTATGAGCTAGCCAGACTGCTGAGAACGGTCTTGCCTGCTATTGCCTAGTCAGGTGTTGATTTATCTGTTCATCTTAAATTATATTTTGTACATACATACTATGACTTATATCTTCAAAAAGATCAATGACGTTCGTTGAATAACCCATTTTTCGTCTTGAAAATACTCATCTATCTGCATGATAATCTTGGAAATAATTACTCGAGATGTCTCAGCCGATACCTATTATCTTTGTAGGGAGAGTTCCAGACATTGCGCTAGGCATCATTGAAGAAATGAAACCTGAGATTGAAGGTATGCCTGTCTTTTCTTCCATGTCATTCATTTCTTCATTTCATTTTCTCCCCTTTGATCATGGAATCACCGTGTGTAGTTCTGAGTTGATATACTAATCGCTATGGGACTTTACATACAGTTATCCAACATTTTGCAGAACCATCAATTGCCACAAGTCAGATTCCTGCAATTCTGAGAAAAGGCGCCAAAATCGAGTCCGATACCTCCATTGGCACTGGAGATTATACACGTCAGCCTATTGCCATCTTAGTCGGGTCATGGTATGATGACATGATGATACGAGATTTCCAAGACTCAGTCTCAAAATTTCCACCTCTTCTCTGGCTGCGCGTTGATAAGAACATATCATCTCCTCCATTAGGGCCTCAATACTCAATAGTTGTTGGGAGAAGGATCAAAGCCAGACTTTTGGAGCTTGCAGTAACTGGAGCGGAGAGTGCGGATTTTGTACATCTTGTCTAGCTATTAGAATATGTGCAAGCTTGACCTTCTGGAGTAGTCGCATCTACTTATATCTGTGCATTTCAAATTTGAAGATGTGTTTTTGGAAGCTCAGTGAAATCACTAGAACGCTAACTATATCAGAGAGATCTGTTGTTACTGAAATCAGTTGTTGAGAGTTGCTGTTTGAGCTGTATAGTGCGCATATCAGTACTCCGTTTTCGTAATGCTCCGGTCTAGACACTTCCACTCAGAAGCTGAACATCTCACAACACAGATGACGGTATCTCTACATTATCGCTGACACCATTACTCGCTTGCAACCAGAAGCTGTGCTATTACACAACATGTTTAGACGCATCTTCAAATCGAGCTCTCCTTGGTGCAGCTTGCGAATACCAATTTGTCAGCTTAATTAACGATTCTTGGTTATTGTATGCCTTGCGCACCAATTTGAGGGCATCTAATTCAAGCGGTCCGTGATGAAAGAGGTAATGGGGGGCTATGAGCACATACGGATGAATTATACGCACATCGCTGCAGCCTACAGTGTCTACTGCGCAAGGTATGCTCATAGGAGTGCTATCCTGCACTTAATCCACGGCCCCTCTTTTCCTCCTCGCGAACCAATTGTTAATTGCATCTCATTGCATGCTTTGCATAATAGGGCATAGATTTCCGAAAGCCGGATTGAGAAATCAGTTACGCTTACTCTGCGTGCGCCACGAAAAGCGTGGGTGGGGCAGCACATGTAACTATTGGCAAGGCGTTAAATGGTTATATCATCGGCGGTGTCATACGTCGAGCTTTTGGTTCAGCTGAAACTGGGAAAAGTTTGAGGAATCAGAGGTTTGAAAGTTAGTAATTGTAAAGAGCTGTTATTCGGAGTTGCTAGAAGTAGTTCTGCTGGTGGTGTTGAGCAAGATAAAATAAGAAGCAGGACAACCCATGATAGATTCCGGCACATGAGAAATAGACAAGAAAACAAAGCTACAAACTAAACGAATATTGAGCCCAATCAAATAAAACAATTTCGGCCAGATCAGCAATTTTTACCAACAAAATGGCATTTACAAAGGAACGAGTCGAATTCAACACGCAAGATGGAACGACCCTACGCGGAAATTTAACGTTGACTGGCGTACCAAACGCACCAGCTGTTATCATGATTGCAGGGGTAAGACATGCTACGCTCCTATCAATTCTCATGATGATTAAATGGACAGCTAATATCATTCTCAACAGCTTACTTTTCTTAAGGAGCACGGCGGAGTTGAGATTGCAGAAGCATTTAACAAAGCGGGATACGCTACACTGTTATATGATCACCGACACTGGGGATCCAGCGACGGGCTGCCACGGCAACATGTCAATCTCTTCCAACAGGCTGAGGACTTGTCAGACGCAATTACCTACATGGCCAATCGGTCAGACATTGATGGCGAGCGTATTGCCATTTGGGGTCTTGGCCATGGTGCAGGAGTCGTTGTGCAAGCAGGCGCTTACGATAAACGTGCAAAGGCGGTTATGGGAGTCTCTCCATTCTTCTCTGGTGAGGTCGATATGCTCCGGTTTCCTCCTGGCGCTTATCAAGATGCGTGGGAAGAGCGAGTCGCTCGTATTGGAAATCCAAGCCTTGCGCAAAAGTATGTGCCAATTTTCGCGGAGTCAATGGAGATGGCGGAGAAGAGCCCACAGGCCAGCATTATTGGAAGCCCTCAAGGCTTTTTTCTGAGATCAATTTGCAAGCCACTCTCAGACGCCGCAGGGACGCCGTGGGAGAACAAGTTGACCCTAGAGAGTCTATACTGGCAGAGCAAGTTCGAGCCCACTACATCGATACATCTGATCTCGCCTCGCCCTCTGTATTGGGTCGCAACTGATGCTCCACTGCTACCGAACTATCAGGATCAAGTCCGAGCATTTCAGAAAGCGTTTGAGCCCAAACAGTTTCATGGTTTCCGTAGCTTGGAGGAGTCTGCCGCAGGCCCGGCCTACGAGAAGAACCTTGAAGAGCAGGCGGAATTTTTGAAGAAGTGGGTTTAAGTCGTTGGGCAGTAGACAGTTTTACACTTGATAGTAGTAATCAGCATGTTAGAAGTGAAAATTATGTTTGGTTTATCATAAGAATGATTTACTTTGCAAGGTGCTTCGAGGATTGCTTCATTAATCAATATACCATAACACTTGGCCTTCTCACCCGGCGCCTACTCATTGCCAAATTACGTCTCGAATGTATCATTGCTCGCAAACACGCCGCCGCAGTCATCACACCTGTAGCTCTTCTCCCTCATGTGTACGCTTTGATGACGTCTTGGAAGGTCTGTGCTGCGGACGAATTTATGTTGGTACATGCCGTGATCGTGCGGGAAACGGATATTCCCTATTCTTGGTATGCGTTTCCAAGTGCGCCTTGTAGTTGGAGCTTCTGGAGATATGTGAAGCGCGGTATGGAAGGGGGGTCCAGTGAGGACGGTGGCATTCTGAAGAAGAGAGTACGGGGTTGGTCGGAAAAGATGCCGTCGCCGTATAACGCAAGAAGAGAAGCATCATACACTGATGGGTGCATGTTGGGATCGTTTGCAAATGTCAAAGGACGTGATAATGGCGGCCGGGTCTCAGAGCTAGACAGTCTGTTGAGAATTCCGGCACGTAGGATCGGAAGGCAGGATTACTAGGCTGCCATCGCGGCTAGGAGGCGGGAGTAGGTACATGTAATGTCGACATTGCGCCACGGATGAAGCCCGAATCTCCGACCATGGTCCCATTCAGACCGAGACGCCTCACCCGTTAACCCACGAATGGCCCATGGCAAGCGGTAGAACCAGCTTTCCTTCTGAGCCGTTGGATAGTTCCAGACGAGGCTGGCGGGTCTGCATTATAGAAACGCTGCCGCTCATTGTGGAGAAATGTGCTAGTGTGTAAAGGAGGACGGAGTTTTGTTCCAAGGCTCAGGCCGGCCAGCAAAACAGGCTACCAACCGCAGCAGCAGCGTCGTCGCAAAAGGATCGCAAGATGGTTGCTTTTGGTCGAGGCCAGTTGACCCGGCGCTAAAGTGAACTGTAGTAAGACGTAGGTGCGCGGCTAATTATTATAAATGATTGGTGTCCAACTTATATAGTACGGGTGCCCTCCGCTCCAGACGAGCCATCTTCAAATAGCACATCACAACCCATACGCACAGTATCATCAGAGCCAACTTCACTTCATATATCCTAGTACGGCATGCATTTGGAGGACCTTGTGACAGAGCTCTTGGCTCGTATCTTGCAAGTTCTGGATCATCCTCGCGACCTCCTCTCACTCGTCAGAGCATCTCCCCATTGTTTTCGAGTCTACGCCCAATCGCCTGTACTCATCCTCTCGCCCGTCCTCAAGAATGCCATTCCACCCGACGTGCTCTACCATGCCCTTGCTTGCGGGCTCGTTCCATCTACTCCTTCACAAACTGTTCGAGAGGCTTTCCTCAGGGACTATCTTCAGTCTAAACCACTCACGTTTCCTACGGACCAGATTACAATCACTGCCCTCTTTGGGCTTTGTTTACGGACGTGTTACCTCGTCAACGATTATTCTACTCGAGCAATGCGTGCCTTGAATCTTGAGCCTGATGCCGGGAAAGCCACGGCGTCGGCCTTGTCGTCAACAGAACGCGCAAGATTTCAGAGAGCATTCTTTCGGTATGAACTCTATTGTAGAGTTTTTCCTGTTGACCACCATGCTCAATGCAGTTCACTTGTCCCGGCCCATGAGCAGTTTACTCAGTTCCTTGCTCGGATGGCACCGTGGGAGGCGGAGGAAATGACCTGCGTCCACCACTACTTCACGGTTCTTATTGGGGGATTTATTGACGACCTTGAAGATCAGCTCGTGGAAACCGTTCTCACTGCTCCCGGTGTCTGTCACCCTCCTGTTTTGGCTCACTCTCCATCCCCGAAGCCTGCCAAACGCAGAAAAATCCGCACCACAACTGTCAATGGCCTAATAATTGATTTGCACGCCCCGTCTTGGGAGCCGATCCAAAAGGACATTGATGACAGGCAGAGCCCTGCTGACAATACCGACACGGTACCTTTTGACAATCTCGACCTACACGACCTTGACATATTCACCAAGGACGGCAGGTTCCGGTCACCAAAATTCGTCAGTTACGTAGCATCTTTGGGTTTGTCGTTTATGTACCGACTTGTTCTTGCCGATAAAGATCAACGCAGACGCATAATCCAAGAGAACACGCCCGTGTGGCGAGATTTTCTCCCAGAGGCGTTGGATCACGCCCCCGGCGATCGTCCCAAGACCACCATGCCCGACGGCATCGACAATAACCATCTCTCGCACCCCAACTTGGGCTATTTTCGGTTCAAGCGCTCGAAAGAAGAAGTCCACTTCAGAATCCTTCACGACAGCATCCTCAACTGCCCTCTCCGAGAAAGGGCATATGTTTTCTGGGACACCGATAGGATTCTCTGTCCCGTTGTCAGCGACCAACTGCAAAAGGCGCGATATATGGATCCGGAAATGGTGGATCTGCAATTCGACCGATACGAGGTCGAAAGCGCCGAGGAACGGCTGAAGGGCGTCCAGATACCCTGGGCACAGATGGAGAGGATAATTGAAGAGTTCGGTTCTGTCTTTGATCCACTGATGTATTACTAGAAATGAAAGCTCAATGCCATGGCACCTTCCAACGTGCAAGGGAAAATGAAGGGGGTCGGGCGCGGTGTTACTATCCGATTCGCCCTGATCTCCAGTAAGCCTCAACACGGACTACTCTATAAAACCTGCTCAGTAACAATTCGATGACCGAGCTATCTCCAGCGCCCACGCGGACCATACATGAATACTAACCTGACTTACCTACCCCAGATTTTATTGACTTCACTCGGACTTGCCCGAGCTCTCATACAAAACGTTTCTATACAACTACGGGGTGTAGGCTGCCGCTAGACGCCTTACCCTTTAACTGCGGTGATGCTGTTACCGTTGGTACGAGAAGACAGGGGCATGCGTCGCCGTCCCCAGTCGGTCGCTCCCAATGGGTAGTAATTCATCGGGCGTGTCTGTGACAGGCAGCAGTTGGCCAGTTTCTCGACGAGCTCAACCCTCTATTCGAAGCCATCATTGGCCTTGTATCTCAAATCTGAAGAGAGCTCCCCATCTGGGGAGGCCCCGAGGCCTGTGTGCGTTTGTGGCCTCAAAGGTCCCGGCCCTTCGGCCTTTGGCGCCACGTATCAGAAGGCGTTGCACGACGTAGCCATGATGACGAACTCGACACATGGGACCTCGGACGAGTCCAAGCCATGTCGATCTCAAGGCCTCCCAGAAACTTGAAAACGCCGGCTGTGATATGGACGATGAAGAAGACCCCAAGGTGCTCTACAACCTCGTCCTTTCCGTTATCCCTAAGCAATCAAATTCAGCTATATATCATTCTCATAGTGTCACGGCTCACAGTAGGTTTTGATCGAGTAGTTTCTTATTGCGCAACTATATGACTGACACTACTATTCAAAACCCCCCTTCTCGTTTTATAGCTTGATCACTATTTTTGTGCGACCAAAACTCCACGGTATCGCATCTTTCCATCAAGAAGCCTTTGAAGTGCTTCTGTAGCACCGGCCACTGTCAATGGAAATTCTTCCACTACAGGGATAATGTTATGCCGAGATGCAAACTCCAACATCTCACGATGAATTTGTCGGGGAGCAATCATGCCCCCTTGAATCCTCAAACCACCCATAATAAGATCCATTGCTGGCACTGCAAGCTTTTCAAAAGACACTGTGATGGGGTAGATTGTCCCCTCTGGAGCCATTATTGGCAAGTACAGGCTCCAATCCGGCTGAGCGTTGGATGTTACCAACAAGTGGTCAATTGGAGCGCGGATTTCAAGCTTTTCGACACCCTTTGTGGGATAAAACTCATTTGCTCCGAACGCGAGGGCTTCAGCTCGCTTTTGCTCTGTCGAAGAGAACACTGCAACCTCACAGCCCATTTGGGAGGCAAATTGAATCGCCAAGTGGCCCAAACCGCCAACTCCAATGACTCCTACTCGATCAGTGCTGCGCACACCGTTGAGTTTCAAGGCATTGAAGACTGTAGATCCGCCGCACATCAGTGGGCCAGCATGACTGGACGAAATATTGTCCGGAATCTTGTAAATGAAATCTTCCTTCCATACCGCGGCGCTTGCGAAGGATCCTTGATCGAAGTTGGCGAGGCCAAACATTTCACGCTCAGCGCAGAATGTCTCTCGGCCCGTAAGACACTGTTTGCAGTGCCCACAGCTGTTATGCTGGTACCCCCATCCAACACGATCACCACTACAAGAGTAACATGTTAGAGCTTTGTCTCTCTTCCAAAGGGTGAAACTAACATGGCTTAACTTGCACTTTGAATCGTGTTACGTCGGAGCCAATCTGGTTTACCACTCCTGAACCTTCATGGCCCAGCGCCATGTCCGCTTGTCGATAGTGCTGTTACTGTTAGCGTATAGACTTTTGTGTGAAGAGAAACAGTTGACAACGACATACATGGTCTGTGAAGCAAACGCCACTGTGCGTTACATTAATCAGCACCTCATCAGACTTGATCTCACGAGAAGACACTGCGTCCACAAGGATGCCAGTCGATGATCCCTTGATAACCTTGAATTCAACCATATTCGCTTCAACCGTTTATGTGCACTCTTTTGAAGAAAATGTTGAAAGTTACACGTTTTTTGACCTCTCTATAAACGAAAAGTCAATGATGCGAGATATTTATACTATACTGCTACGCAGCGCAGTAAGTTGGTTAACAACGTGTATAAGCGCATAGTGTTGCGCTCCGACTTGCAGCACGGCACCACAACATACTTTAGCTGATAAAGCGAAGTGTCCTTCTCATCGCAATGTGCGCATAATTTCCCATACAAACGCGTTGATTACTTTGGCTCGGTCTTGTGCGAATGAGGATATTACGTTTGGAATCGGGGGCGGGGGATTTACTAATTAAAATTGACCAAATTAGTGATTCATATTCACAGAGGCTGGCTGTATAAGTAGATCCGACCAGTCGCCCATGCGTCGGTGAAATAGGCTCCTCCGTCTGATATCCACCTACCTAATCAGCAATTCGCCTGCTCATCGTGGCCGTGATCAGTAGCATCAGCTACTCCATACAGAATTAACAGGTTTTTTTTCTTAAACAAAGCAGTAATTATTAATGCGACGATGTATCATCACCACACTCCAGCCAATTATATAGTAATGTAGTTTATAAATAATTCCAAGCAAGCAAAGTCCATCTCAAAAGTAAAGAAGTAAATTTGTAGCCTATTCATTACTCGTCTACAGAGTATGAGGCTGTATTGCTTCTTTTGACATTCAGATCTGGCTGTATTTACAGTGCGTAACGATTCAAAAGATTCGTCTTCGCCAAGGTACATTTCATTCGCATTTAACAAAAGTAAAGAGGACGTTCAAATAGTTACATCAGCTTATTCAAAATATGATTTGCAGCCAAGCTATCTATTTGCATCGCAGGTTCAATTGGTTAATGACGATAGCGTGGCTTGATGCGGATTTGTTATTGGCTTGGCTGAAGTTCATCCATACAGATGTCCTCCAGTTGTCATTCCGGCTGCTACGGAAATATCAGTCTGAGGGTCAAAGGCGAGTCCTTAAAGTTAGTAATTGTGAACGTAAACGGTGTGGCCAATGTGTGGCTGATTCACAACTGGAAGGTTGATTCCTTATCAGTATTTAATTGCCGTTATAGTAGATTCGTTGGCCGTAGTAAGACTGGGTAGGTAGCCTCCATATATAAAGCTTAGCAATGTGCTTTTGGTTTGAAACTCACAAACAAAATATTCAATTACCAATACTCCAAAGTCTTATTGTCTTCATTTGCTATTAAATTTCAGCTTCAAATTGATCAAAATGGTGCAACCTGTTATGGAAATTGTTATAACGGAAATTGGCGATCACACAATTGACGACGTCTCCACTCAAGATGGCAAAGATTGGCTGGAAGCGTTTCGCTTGGGAGCAGAAACAATCCCCGGAGCTGTGCGAGCCAGCTGGGGTCGAAGCTACAAATACCCGAATATAGCAATGCATTTCATTGGTAAGAATGATTCACATTGCTTCTGCTCCTTCTTTGTTCTAATACGCATAGATTACCAAACTCGCCGTCAGCACGATGTCCATAAGCAGGAACTCGGTGGCGCCGTCCCCAAGGCACTGTGGCACATCATGGACAAAGAGAAGACGGATTTATACGTAATTAGTCCAAACACGCCGGACAGGAGAGTACTCTATGCTCCCCAGACAAATGTTGTATTCTTCTGGGGAATCGACGAAGATGCGTTCAGATCAAAGCAAGATGAGTTTTTCACTGCAATCGAGCAGTCAGATTCGTGCGTTGGTTACATATGGGGAGAGATCCAGCAGCCCGTGCTTTCCGACAAAAGAGGATACGCTGCGCTTGGTAAAGGAGGAGTGATGATCAGCGGATGGAAGAGTCGCGAAGAGCACGACAGAGACGTCGCAAAACCCAGGGTTACGGAGGCTTATGAAGCAATTTCTGCGACCGTGAAAAGGACTGATACTTGGGGAATGCAGACATCGATTGTGGAAAACAATGGTCACTTTCACAAGTGGCAACGACTCACCAACACCGACCTCACAAAGCTGGACCACGCCAAACGACCAATTGCATAAATCAGTGACTGAATAAGGATTTTAACAATTGTGATAAACTTTAATACGCATAAAATAATTGAAAGCATTGCTCGCGTTTGTTTAAACCGTATATTTGCTTGTGCATGCTTGGCAAACGCTGTGTGCGTGTTACTTTTGGCTGCCTATTTCAATCAGCTTTTGCTTTAGCTGCCACCGAAAAGTGGAAAGCGGAAGAAAAGTACATTGACCATCTACCAATAGACTTTGAGAGTACATATGGGCGAATTACTTGAACAAATTACTTTACAACATATAGCAGCCCGTTGACACTGTTACTGTATGTCGGATTAGCACCAACTATCAAACTATAACTTGTGCACTTGGATTGTTATGATATGGCGATTATATGCGCAGGAATGTGTACTCGTAAAATAATTATGATTGTGCAATAGTATGCGCTTGCCCCGAGCTTTGGATATTCTCAATCAAGGTATCCTTCACTGGGAAAAGCCCTCATTGTACAATAGCATCGAATCAACAGTCTTGAAAACATGCTGTAAAGCTAGTAGCTAGTCGTCTAACACTAATGCAACACGATTTAACTTCCAACTGAACTTGGTACAAGGAAAATGAGTATCACAAAATCGTTTTCATAATACTTTCTCTAACAACCTGATCTCTAACTTCTATATGTTACGTTGTATTCCGGCCTTCCAGTTACAAGGTATATTTGCCAGCCTCTAGTAACCACCGTACGCCTGTTGCGAGTTCCATTCCTGCTCGGGCGGTTGTTGGTAGCTGTGGAAATTGGACAAACCTGTTTCATATATTAGACAAAGCTTCGCTATGGAAAGATGAAAAGTTTTGGGCAGCTTACCAGTTGGGTAGTTCATAGTGGTCTGTTCTAGTCTGCACGCCAGCCTTGCGAAGCATTGCCTCATATAGATAGCCTTCGTCTCTAATTGGGTCTGGGCCATCCATAGCGAGATATGTCCTGGGAAGCCCCTTCAAATCTGCCCAGACAGGAAAGTTTTCCCCTTTTTTCTTTTCGCTTTCGGGAACATTCAATAGAGACAGGTATTTTTGCCATTCTTTTTCACCAAAGACTGGTGCCTCAGCGTTTTCTTGGTGGGATACTACCTTTTCGGCCCACCCAGGTGGTACTGACTGAGGGCCAGAGTATACAAGAACCGTCGGGACGATTAAGCACTGACCGGAAAGTCCTATGGAGGGATGTCGGTCTCGCGCGCGGACAGCCGTTGCAGCAGCCAAGTGAGCACCTGCAGTGGCACCGCCGATATACAGCCCCTTATGGATGTCACCTCCGTAAGAAGACGCGTTTTGGTTAACCCATACAAGCGCGCTTTCCGCATCCGACAGAATGGTGTCCCATGAGTTCTCTGGGGCAAGTCGATATTCGAACGAAATGATTATGAGATCGTTTCCGTGTCCAATCATGGCCCGACAACCCAAATCGTCACCATTCACGTTACCGGTAGCCCAATATCCATTGTGGAAATAAAGCATGATAGGAAGTGCCGCTGACTTGTTTTGTCCAGGTGAATATACTCGGATCACAAACTTATGGTTTGGCGCGTGTGGAAGAGTGATTACAGCGTCCTTGGCGTTGACGCTGGCAAGGACGGCCATTGCCGGTTCCTTCAATAGAGCCATGTTATCCAAGCTCTGTTGGTTAATGGTTTCTCGAATAGATGCCAAGCCCTCATTGTGATTGACGTATTTTGGCTTCGTTGCGGCGAACTGCTGTGGTTTAGTGTTTATGCATTTTGGCATGCGATGATCCGTGAACATACTGTGTTCCATTCTTCAGACATCTTCGGAGGCGCCATATTCGTTATATCGTGCTGTAAATTGATCGCTAATATTATAGGCAGTAATGCAAAGACAAGTTTATCCACAGTATTGTTGTGTTTGGAAGTGATCAACAATGAGTGTAAAGATCGATTCGACACGTTCTATATTTGAACCTTTTATTGGTTTCGCAACTGCTATCACCTTATAGCGTATTCTCTGAAAATGACGTAGACATATGTAAATAGGTGTAAAGCATTAATGGATGGCGGTCCAAAACACTCATATGGATCATCCCGGACGAAACTGATGAGGAAGCATAAGGCTCTTTAAGGAAATCGGGCCCGCTTTGAGAATAGGTTCCTTTAGTAGCTTTCAGCTAGTACTCAAAAGCCTCTCCAGCGCAGCAACTAGTAGGTAGCCTGCTCAGTAGTAAAGACTAATACACGAGTGTGAAGATACATGTTCCTGAATGCGTGAAGATAGTGACAAACTTGTTGGAATACGATAATGAAAACAATCTTTATTGCATTATATCATCATAATGGCGGCTTGCATATTAACTTGTCAGCTGCGAATAGCTGTTTTCGCCAAAACCCGCAACACTACTACCTAGCTTCAAATACCTATACGCAGGCCAACACACGCCACATGCGTCCTTATGTCTACGTAGCCACTAGCCCTTCAAAGAGATGCTGCAAGATTATCCAAGTCAAGTCATTCAGAATTGACATCTGCAAAACACCGAAACTTGCTGTAAATGCAGCATAAAATGGCCAATATATTGATCAAATCCTATACACATAAAAATTTAAAATGAGTCTAGATGTTCCAAGTAATTAATAAGCCTATTTGCAGCCGTATCTTTATATTAATCGCCATTTTTGTCAGTAGCCAAACATTGTCGTGTTAGAAAGAGTACCATTTCCAAAGAATGATCGTATATCTTCTATCAGAAGATCAGGCGTTTCCACTGAAGCAAAGTGTCCTCCCTTTTCATGTACTTTCCTTACAACAACATTGCCTCCTCGCTGGGCCCAATCTAGAGGCTATGAAGAAAGTGTTAACACAAGTTCGAATGTAGATTGTGAATTGACAAACTTACAGTCCTGTACCAAATATCTGCCGGGAACTCGGAAATGGCAACCGGCTGGTGGATATAGGGAAGCGTTGTAGAGTTTATAAGCAGCCCGTCCTCAAGGATGTGGTCCTACAGTATTGTCAGCAGGTCTCATACTCTGGAATTTACCGTCTGGCAAGGTCACTTACATTAACACTTTCTTTGTAGAACCTAAATCCTGCGTATGGCCCTTGAATCCAGTACATCAAGGACCAAGTAATGAGCTCTTTCGCACTCCAGATATAATTCTGGACTGTCAAGAACATGAACTCGTATATGTACATGGCAAAGCCAATGGGACTATCGGTCATAGCGTATCCAATCTGCAGAGGCGATGTTTGCTGCTCGAAACGATACCCGCTGCTCTTGTTCTCGAAATTCCAGAATTCTTCGATCACATATCTCTCGTCATCTGTAGTATTGCCTGCGTAATATCTAGCAAAGTCTGTCGAATTGGGTTGGACAAGCCAGAAATTGCTCAGCACCGATAGTACTGACTCTGGATGAGACGATGCCATGAATCGATTAATAAACCCTCCAAGATCTCCTCCTTGGATAACATAATGTGGATAGTTGAGCTGATGCATCAGGTTGTTGAAGGACTCTCCGGCAGCACGAGGGCCAAAGAGCGGATTCGTTGGGGCGGGTGAGAATCCGAACCCAGGTATAGATGGAGCCACAACGTGGAAGGCAGGTAGTGAGGCATCACTAGGGTTGGTTAACGGTTCCAGCAAGTTTTCGACTTCAAGAAAAGATCCAGGCCATCCGTGGATGAACAGAAGGGGAATAGCATCAGAGCGATTGGATCGATGATGCACGAAATGCAGAGGTACGCGTTCTTCATATTCAGAGAATGGCTTAGCATCGACCGTTGTGGTAAACATATTAAAGCTTGTAGTAGAAGTATTGGTTAGCTTTTGAGAGGCGGCCGAAGAAGTATAAGACAAAATCGTTACTGTCTATTGGCTTACCGTGAATTGATTCTCCGTTGGGTGTTTGACCAATCGTATTCTTTGACCCAATAGTCTCGAACAGATGTAGCATTGTGCACGGGAGGTCCATCGCTCCAATCTGGCTGCTTGACATCGATGGGGTATCGAGTTAAAGCAACCTTTTGGTGAGCTAATGCGATGATCTCAGGATTGACCGCCAGCTTAAAGAGGGCTGGACTATTTCCGTATGTTGCATCCCATTCCAATGCAAGTGTGCTGCGAGAGACGGCTAATAAGGCTGTAGCCAACGAAACGTAATGCTTGATAACTGACATCCTTTTTCTCTCCCCGGTTGTTCTTTCACAGATCTGCTCTGGTGGTTGATGTCGGGTCGGATGAAGCCCAATTCTTTTCTTCTTAGTTTTCAAGGCTTCTCCTACTGGTATAAATAGGTAACACTCTTATGAGATCCTTTTATTTGCTGGAGTCCCTGAAATTTACAATAGCGCTGCCATTTGAACAACTGCGAGAATGCCGGAATAGCGGAAAGCCCTAGCTCCTTGGGAATCTCGCCACGTTTTTCTCATTTTAGCTAGTAGCCTCTTTTGGAACACAGCCATTAATCCATAATGCCTCTAGGTTACAGTAAAAGTGTGTGAGTGACTTTCTGTTTCTAGATTAAAGAAAGACATAGCTTCTAATTCATTACTACACTATCTCAAGTTTCCAAAACAGAATGCCTCTTTGGGACGTGTCCACTTTATCTCCCTACAATTTAACTGCAAGTACTCTCTCTATGTGGGGGAGTATAATTTGAACAATTTGTTCGCATAGCCCACAGGCTTCTTGCACAGACTAGCCTACGCACGTAGTTACAATTCTTAATTGCTTAAGCGACTTCAACTTACGTCATGTTTCTGCGTAGTTACCGAACAGTCTTCACAAAGACGTGAAAATGCATAGGGGAAAGGGGTAATTCACGCTCGGTGTAATAACTTGCTCGCGGAAGATTTCTCCATATTTGGCAAACCGTGATACAGTTGTTTTTATTCTTCCGTCTACCGTTAATAACGACTCACGATACATCAGTTATTTAATAACTTGTCTGTTGAGCTTTTGGGATAAACAACTAGCAGCTCCATATATGTGACGTCGCGTAATCAGCAAACAAAGATACTGAACTTTTACAATTTCACAACTCTCATTCTGACCCCAAACATGCCCGAAACTGTTGAAGAGCGCTTTGCTAAGCTGTCGCTCGGAACTGACGGCAAAAGAAATGAAGATTTGACTCCCATTATCCTAGCCACCGTGTACCCAAAACCAGGTATGACTGAAAGGGTAAGATAAGACCTTTTGTCGCTGGCTAATACTGGTAGTCCTGGCATGTTAATAGCGTTCTAGATTATTGAGCTCTATCAACCAATCATCAAAGATGGCGCAGATAAGGAGCCGGGAACTATTCAGTTCCAACTATTCGTTGATGTGAATCCAGAAACTGGTAGTGAAGAGATATTTACGATTGAAAAGTAATAGCTTTTTCTCATGTTTTGGCCTTTGAAATGACTTGGCAATCATTTTGGGTAACACGATGACAATAGGTTCAAGAATATCGAAGCATTACGGCTACATCAGCAAGGAGGGAGTTTAAAGGAGTTTAACAGACTTACAGCTGCTGAAAATCTCCATCCTAAGCCGGTTTTGGTACATGTTGTGAAACCAGTAAGCGGATTCGCTATCTAAAAGATAAAGGCGAGTCATAGCAGAGGCACAGGGTGTTGTATTATCCGGTGTATGGTGCATCAATAGGCAAAGACAAACAGGTAGCAGAATAATAGAACAGAAACCGTTAGGCCCCCGTGAAGAACTATCACGAATCTCGCAAAGCTTCTCGTCCTAAAGACCTTTTGTACATAGGCCAATGGGCCATACATACACCGCATAGTTTTCCTAGCGCTAGTTTCTCTGCCACCTCGGCTTACCACTACCTAATGCCAGGTATAATCGTGACTGCGAGGGTTCCACATAGCCACACGGGGCGAAGAATAGGCAAGCGGAAGACAAAAAAAAAAGACCGCAAGATAACGAATTGCGTACACAGTGAGGGGATAAGCAACTGTCGCACCGATCCAATGTTTGCGTTGCATATACATAATGTTGATTTGAGTGTTCAAAAGTCCTACATTACCTGTTTTTTTTTTTGGTCTTCGCCTGGTCGCTCTAGATGTGGGGTTAGATGGTAATAGTCGCGGTCAGTATGACATGTTTTTAGTCAGAAGCTAGGTTTCTGAACCGTGACGTTCGAACCAACTCGTCCGAGCCGCGCTCAAGAGCGAGCAAATATACCTAGTTGTAACACATATAAGACCACGGGTCAATACCCTCCTGCTCCATATCAGCGTGCAATAATAAACTACACTTCGAAGAAAACATGTCTTCTACAGAGGAGCTAACAGTTCAAGAGAAGAATAAGCAAATCGTTGCAAAGTATTCAGAGGAATTTTGGGGGAAATGCAATGAGAACATTGTCGATGAGCTTTGCTCAGATGATTTTGTGTCCAACTATCCAATGCACGGCCGCCGCGAAGGAAAGGCCGAAGTAAAGAAGATGTTGCTTGAGTTCCGAGAAGTAAGTTGATCCAACGGCTGTGGTGAACCAATTCTACCTAGCCCCCAATCTCGTGCTAATGTTCAGCAAGGCGTTCCCAAATGTCACTTTTCGACCATATGGACCAATTCCCATGATAGCTGAGAAAGACTATGTTGTAACGCGCTGGATTGGCGGCGGCAAGCATACAGGTGTTGCATTTGACGATCTGCCGGCTGGCCAGCTTACCACACCGAATACGGGAAAGAGAATTCACTTTTCTGGTACCACCATATTCACGGTTAAAGATGGCAAGATTACAGAGGAGCTTGGGGAAGAAGGTGCTTTAACTGCGCTACAACAGCTAGGAATCATTGATCCTCCAAATCCGGCAAGCGGGGCCTACAAAACAAGTGAGCTGGCTGGCAATAGAAGCGAACCAAAAGACAAAGGTAGCAACTAAATGATGAACTGGCGATGAGAAAATGACTATAAATCTAATATCATGTCCGAAGCAAATATTAAGGTTTTAGTCCTTCATTCGGCCTCGGTGGATTGAGTTAGGCATTTATAAACACGTAATATTGACGATCAACAACAGTGCTATAATTACCAAATTCAAGATTACTATTAGTCTATTTCTTTTTGAACAAAAAGCCACTGATTTAGTCTATATTAACAAGGACTGTTTGGTGTTTATCCCTATTCCGCTTGTTACTTAAGCTTTGCAAGAGCTAAAGCTGCCATGAAGGAGTTCGCGTAGATAAATGTGTCCCTCAAAAAATATCGCTTCTTAGGGTACCATCCCAGAATCTGTTCCGCCCTTGTTCGATTGGCGTTGTGATTTCCACCAATGACGTCTAGAAATCCAGTATTCTCAGGCTTAAACAATTCTGCTTTGCCCTTGCATCCGAAGTAGAGCGCGTCGCGTTCGCAAAGTAAGCCCACAGGGAACTGATCCCCAACAAGCTCGAAGACAGGATGAACACTGTTTCCATTGATCAGCTGCAGCTTGTTCACCGCCAGCTCAATGGCGGTAGCAACATCGTCAATGTTGGTGAAGCAGTAAATCTGATCTGCTGGGTCAACAGCAATTTTCACAGTGTCGGTAGTGCTGGTTCGCGCTCCTTCAACTAGGGGCCCCAGGATCCGAGTCCAAGCTGCGCCTCCACGAGCCCAGATAAACGATGGCTGAATGACAGCCACGTCAAGGGAACTCCTAGCCGCGAGGACCTCTTGCTCGTACAAGGCTTTCGACTCAACGAGGCCTTCTTCAGGCTGTACTGAACTCGCTTCAGGCGCCATTTTCTGAAAGCTGCCATGAGGGTCTTCAGTCGATCCTTGAGTCCAGATTCCGCTCACGGTAACAAATCCGAGCTTTGGCTGAATCAACTGTTTCTTAGCCAGCTGCTGCTGTCTAAGATTCTCCGCACCCGCAATGACTTTGAGCAGCTTTGACTTCGTCGTTTTGTCGTTGTAGCTGGAGGTGTCCACAATGACGTCTATCTTGTTGGATGTAATGAGTTCGAATACTGTTTGGGACGAGTCGAGGCTGCCCCTGATGGGAATAATTTCGCTCGTGGCAAGTCGGAATCCTTCCTCATCACTCTGGGATACTGCATAGACATAATGATCGCCGCTGCGGATAAGTTGCTCGCTGAGAGCAGATCCAACGTAACCAGTGGGTCCAATAACAAGTACGTTAGGCATGTTGAAGATTGTGTCTTCGATTCCAAAATAAGGCGATAATGTTTCTGCTGATTTTATATATTCTGTAGTGCCGTTGATCTTTTCTCTCGTTGTGTCCAGAGACTTTGAACTCTTTATTGCATGTGTAGTGTTCGATATAGAAAGAGGATTTCGCTTCTTTAGGCGTCCCGTATCAACTCATTTATATCCTGCCATTATGGCTTATAATGTGGATAGCGTAGTACCTAACTGACTCATTGAGTTTGTTTCGTGCGAGATTACAAAGTTGATAGAATAGCGATGTAAAAATTATGAAAGATCTGTCATCCCGTTCAGCTGTACCTCATCAGTTCGTCCGAAGTGGTCCAGCCAGGCACCGGCGTCTCCGCAAGGACGACGCAGCTCTAAAAATGCCATAGAAATAGCGCTAGGTGCGGAGATCTTGGCGCCTGAAATGACGACAAAGCTCCAAAAATGATGTTGAATCAATCGGCTATTTTAGGTCAAGTTTTGCACACCATTGCATCCCTCCAATAACACAACACGCTTAGAACACATTAGACCGCCTAGCGACTAAGTAAGTAAATAACAAATTAGGGCAAAGTGAAGAAAATTAATTCAGCAGACTATTCTATCATTCACATCTTCTTTGATTGAGCGTGAACGTAATTAGCATGGAAACTAATACACTGATGAACGATAATCATGCATATGGTTATGTAAAAGGTGTAGCAATTAACAAAGTGCTATTGCCGCGAGTCGACTAGATCTAAAGAGTGATCATAAAATCTGCAGTGAATAGAATACAGACGCAATCGCTTTGAACATTGCCCGACCGATGATTTTCTAACTTCTTTTAGCCTAAGAAAGATTGCCTTTGGCTTTGGGAGAAAGACTGAGTGTTTACCACTTGTACAACAGAGTTCGTTTCGATGCGACTGACGTGGTCTGCTATCTTCTGTCGTAGGCTCGTAGGGCTGTCAGACGAAAACTCGTCCTCTTCTTCATACGATGTACTACATGCCAGTTCGCACACACACCACAACTTGTGCATCAATGAATCAAGACCTGAGTATAGTAGATCGTCTCATTTTAAAACAAGTACAGAAGGTGAATCTTTCAGTGTTTTAGTCCAGCTGTCGCCCGCTTCTTGGCAATTCCAAATGTGGTGAAGCATAACAAATGCAGTAGTTGTGCTATTAAAATTCCCTCGCTCGAAAATGCCCATGAGCCTCTTGGAAAAGAATGTACGCTTCGCAGGGATATTGCTCTCTGCAGCTGCGATGAAATACACCCAGGCCAGCGCATTCTCACCAGGAGCATAAGCGGGTATTTCTTCCGCAGCTGTTTTCAGGTTCTCTAGAATGTCTTCAATGTCCGGTGGAGGGCTATCATGCAGGACATGGTAGGAATAAATATTGCATGCCTGTTTAATAGCTTCCTCTATCGATTTGAAGATGCAGATAACCCTGTCCTTAAAGGTGCGGTCATCAGGCTCGTACTGCGCCAATATTGTATATTGTTCCTTTAGTAATGGTTCGGCGTATAGCTGTACTCTATCAGCTTTTGTCAGTTGGTGATGGTGACAACGTGCTTTGAGAAGAATGCACTTACACGTCAAGTTGGTTGAGCAGAAATTGTTCCAACCCTGACCGGGAACTTCCCGTGGGTAAATCATCATGCTTCATCGCCTCTACCCAGGATTTGGCCATGTTTAGAAGAAGATGAAATTGATGACCCCCATTCATCATATCTGTGATTATAAGAAGAATTATGGCCGCCAAAATTGCGCTTCTTGTAGAGCCGCTCGCATTCTCGATTCTAGAAAAGACTGAAAGTTTCTCAATTGCTGCGGACTGAAACTTCGATGCCAAAGGAGCCAGCTTGGGCCGCTGAAACCGCAGCTGATTTGCCGAAGCTGCTAATGTTGCAGAACGAACAAGATCATCGACGCAGGCGAGTGGGAGTAAAAGGGTTCTAAAGCCATTCGAGGCTCCATCCACGGCAACAAGTGATGGGGCAATATTCTCCGAGACTTCATGGGTTAGACAGGCGCCTAAGACCCGTTACATCAGGCAGTACATACAGTTGAAGAAAAGTAGTCTAGTTAAAGGGTCAAAAAGTTCGAGGCTTGGTGGTATTGAAGTCGACGCAAAAGCTTCATATTCGAGTGAGCAATACTTTATCGGAAATGTGGTATAAAACATATCCAGACAAAAATACAACACTCACAGAAAACATCGCTTCCTAAAACGCCGTCCATGATGCAAGGATCTGTAGCTCCGGGGTAGATGCTGGTGAATATGCCTGGGGCAATCTGACCGTTGAAGCTCTGGACAAGAACATTAACGTTGATATTGTTTATTGTGTTTAGAGCGGTTTGCGGCGATTGGTTGTTGTGATTTACATCGCTGGATGTTGCTGTGGCCGAAGTCCTTAATCGAAAGATCTCAGCTTCAAGTTCATCGATGTAATCCAAAGTCCTTTGTCGATGTGCACTATGCGACTAATTAGCATTTTGCTCAGAGAAAAATAAAAGCTTAAGCTTGCGGGCGAAGGAAGAAGTGTCAATTACCGCTGGGCTTGAAGGACTTGACGCCTCCTTTTATTAGGTTCAGCTTCTGTAACTGGGTATTGATTCGGGCTCTGGTCAGCTGTAGACGAAGCACCGTTACGTGTTGCTCGTGATGGCCGTCTACCATGTTTTGAAGACTGGGAGAACCTTAGCGATGTTGTTCCCATAACGCGCAGCCGTCTCTCTGGAATTGTCTCCCTGCGTTCACGCGCCGCCTTCTTCGAGTCGTTCTTCTCATTTGATTGTCCGCTGCTAGCACTTTCCATTTTTGCAGAACATAAGGTCCAACTCGCAGTTGGTATCTTCACAATAATACACAAGTTTGTTTCGCGATACTATTCATAAACTCAAGTAGGTGCATTGCACGGGCCTTGCGGGCGTATAATAGCTATAGATGGGTCGAAGTTACTTGCGCGTGAGTAGAGTCGAGTTCGTAGGCGGGAAAACTAGATCGTTTTAGTTTGGTGGCACTATAATAGCAAAACGCTCCGAAGTGGCTGGCCAGGGGCTACTAAAGGAGGGGAGAGAATTACCCTGAGCGGTGCTGCGGAGCGCGCCACCTTTCACTTTGTCAACTATTTCGTCCGAAAATCGAACTGCTATGGAGTCTTCAGCTTAGTTACCGAGCTGGTGCGGCACGCGTTGTCAGCGCTTGGTTGTACATTCTACGTCACTTGGACTCAAGTTGCAAAGATGTCACACAATGGAGGTTAGAATTTAAATTATACACTAGATTATCTACAAATTCTTTTCCAAAAAGTCAAGCTGTGCGGAAATGTTTTCTTCGAAACTGTTTCCAAAGTAATTTGCCACATGGTGATTGTTCAGTGTAACAAATTGCTTTGGCTCTCCTGCCTGCTCAAAGACTTTCTTATGAGCTTCGATGGGTCCAGTGAGGACATCTTCGGCCGCAGCCAGGTAAAGCAACGGGCGCGGGCTAATTCTTCGAATAAAATCTTGGGGCTCAACTTTGCCGATATCGTATAAGCTCCGTAGTGTAATCTTATTCTCCCATGGGGTACCAGCAGCGTCCGAGCGCCGTTTGCCACCATCAATGAACTCAAATGCGGGAGGAGAATGCAGAATGACCTGTCCACGCTCACCAGATGCCTGTTCAAGCGAGTTATCCCAGACCTGTACATATGTTTCTCCTAGTTTGGGGTTCTGTGTTCTTGCAAGTCGATCTGCTTTGCTGCGGTCAATTAATTCTGGTGGGAAACCCGCAGCATCTCGCGCTCCTGACGTTAATGGCATTACGAGTACGACTGCTTTCACATAATCGTCGTTGCCTGCTGATATCATAGCTGCACCACCAGAGTGTCCAATTCCCCACATAGCAACACGACTTGGATCGATCCCTTTTATTTTTCGAGCAAATATGATGGCGTCGTGGTAATCTTCGGCTTGTTGCATTGGATTTACGGCGTTCCGAGGCTGTCCTTCGCTGGATCCCCAGCCGCGATGATCGTAGATCAGTACTGCATAGCCTGCTGCTTGAAAACGGCTAGCAAAGTCAGGTAGATAATGCTCCTTTAATAACGTCAACTGCTAAATGTCAGCACAGCCACTACACGAAAAAGGATAACCGGTAAAATAACTCACTCCTTGTGTCATTACCACAATAGGTACACCTGTTGCTGTTGCTGTTGCCCAGTTTGGCATATACAAATCTCCTCTTAAAGTAACCCCATCCACCGTAAGGAATTCAACACGAGTTGATGCTGCCATCTTCACCGCTTTCAGAATAAGAATGTCGTGTGCCGTTTGCAATGTGTCGTAGCCTTTGTGTGATTATTTTGTCAGAAACTCTGTACGAGCCGCTTTCCGAAAAGAATTGGGGGGGAATCGCGTGTTTATATCTGTACAGGATGGATGCATTGGCACGTGGTGATGGAAGCAACACAAATTTTTCGTGCAAGAGACAGTATTACTGCCTAGGTATACAAGGCCAGATATGTCATAAAACTGAATAGTTATTTCACGCTCTCCACTGCGTCGCATTTTTTTGGGCAATATGTTCAAGCATCTAGCAGAATGCCTACGTCGCGAAGAGAAGATGGCTATTGGAAATGCACTAAAGAGCTGTACCTTGGGTAGGTTGTAAAATTTTGGGCCTGAGTAAAACAATTCCAAATATGAAGTTCTCTTCGGACAGTGCCTCACATATTTACTTTGGCCTTCAATTACATACTTCAATAAATCACTGACGTTTTCCCTCAAGACATTAGGGATAGGTACCGTCAAACCCTTGATGTGGTGCAATCAATTACGCTATTTACTAGATGAGGAATAAAGTGACCCATATTTGGCTAGATTCAGTTACTGAGCCTATTCGATAAGCAGCGGCCGATTACTCATGTACAAAATAGGTGAGAAGACGCTTCAAGTATAAGGATGCAAAGTTCTATTATTATGGTATAGGTAGTATAAGCCGTATACATGGACGTAACGACTTTATAGTAGTTAGAAAAAACCATGTCGACATTTGGATCAGTGCATAAATCCCCTTACAATTAAAAATGTGCCTGATGACATTGCAGCGAGTGAAAAATTAGCCACAACATATGATTAATGTTAAATTGGCGAAACAGCAACTCAGGCATTATGAAAATGTATGAAATGTAAACTGAATACAAAGAATTGCAAACTGGCACTAGAAATGTATTCTTACCAGTTTGCTGAGAGCATCCTGCTGCGTTCAGCCCGGAATAGGCATCATGCAGTTCTTACCCTGCAATTTTCATGTGACTTGAAGGCTTGCCACAGCTGCCACTAAGCTTCTCGACGCACTAGCCGCAAGAGGACAAGAGATGAGGAATCCAAAAACTGGAACATATTTCCAAATGGGGAAAGCAGTTTTCAATGTGCCACCGAGAGCGAGGCTCTCCGACAATTAACGCCTGGCTAACCCAGCCGTGAAGTTTGTAAGGGGTGGGTCCTGTGCCACGAAGCCAAAACGCGCCAAATTCGCTCTGGTATTTCGTTACTGTTGCTATTGTTGTGCCCGACATGAGTGTCTTCTCCTCAAAGTTTGCCGAGCCCCTCAATTGAGTATAGTAGATGGAGTATTCTCGAATGTGATGTTACTGACAAATTACCATTGGCATGCGTTTTCACGCACCAGCGGCCGAATTCGATGGCAACGGACGTTATCCAAGATACATGACTCCCGACGCCTCCTCTTTAGCGACCGTTCGGGAGGAAGGTATATATACAGGTGTGTAGCGCATTCTGCACTTCTATCAGCGTCGTAAGAGAAACAATTACAAAGAAGCAATTGACTCCTTAAATAAATCTCCTAACTCTTTTCTGTTCCAAACCTAGTTTTAATTGAAATCGACATTACACCAGTACGCAATGGCTGCCTCAAACGCTTTAGCCGCGACTCTGAAGTCTTTGCACCGTCCCGGCAAACCTCTTATTCTCGCAAACGTCTATGACATTTTATCAGCTCGTGCGGTCGCTGCCCTCCCAAGCTGTAAAGCGCTGGCGACTGCAAGCTATGCTGTCGCTCGGGCAAACGGAACCGAAGATGATGATATGGATGCCCAGACAAATCTCCGCGCGGCTTTGTCCATCGCCAAAGTAGCTGCAGAGTTCAAGAAGCCGTTGACAGTTGACATCCAAGACGCCTACGGAGAGCAGCTCGAAGAAGTGATTTCGGCACTTGTCAAGGGCGGCGTTCACGGAGTCAACCTGGAGGATGTCAATAAGGACACTCAAAAGTTCTACCCCCTCGATCAAGCTGTGGAGCGTGTCAAGCGAACTTTGAAGGTTGCGGAAGAGCTTGGCGTCAAAGACTTCGTTGTCAACGCACGCTGCGATGTCCTGGTTCACGGTGGCCAGCTCAGTGAGGTCCTCGAACGAGGCAAGGCTTACCTCGCAGCCGGCGCCACCAGTGTATTTGTATGGGGCGGCTCGAAGAGGGGCGTGAGCCGTGACGAAGTTGCCACGATGGTGAAGGAATTCGATGGACGACTTAATGTGTCATTGAAGTTGTCTCCAGATGCGCTCAGTGCAGCTCAGCTGTCACAAATTGGAGTCTCCAGGATCAGCATTGGACCTACTCTTCAGTTCATAGCTATGGATGTCTATGGAAAGGAGGCGGAGAAGATTTTGACATCAGCTTCATGAGTAGATTGGATAATTGAAGGGAAATAGAAGACAAATAATTTACTACTGGAGGAGCTTTAAATGGGGCCTAATATATATTTAATTGTCCCTTTATTAGATGATTGCCTTGCATTGACATAATATTTGCCTAGGTATGTTATATGAAGTTTGCATATGTCTAAAAGTGGATGTTATATTCTGCGATTAATGTTTGTAAGTGTTCTACCTGTGTTCCTAACTATGATGTTTCAATCAACGTGGGATCTAAACGCCGGATTATTCTGCCTGATTGACGACATATCTCAATTCCCGAATTGTCCGTAGTTTTACTAGCTACTCTCAGGTCACTCAGATCATTTTATGTCAAGTAGAGACAATACTTTAACAACGCGATTGAAACAACGGAACTGTAGATGTTTCCTGTTTAACATTTGTGTCCACCTAAATTTGTTGTGCATATGGCGTTATAAATTGTCGAAAATGATACATGGCTTTTACAATTGGCGAACTCTTACAAAACTGTTCACCTAGTGAATGCGATGCTATTTCGTTCAAATGTGATAGAGACTGGGTCAGATATTGACGTTCACATTTATACCTGGCTACTCAGCAGCAAACGAACCGCAGTCTGCCAGCATAACAAATGTATGAGCCATGATGCAAGGTTTATCGATATTCATTTAGACGTGGGATTTAAAGAAGCGTGAAAAGTCTACCCACAAAACAAAAAATATCACTATTACTTCATAGAATAAACATCGGTTGTAATATGATAGGTTCGCATAAAGTACCCTACCATCCAATGGTTTAAGCTGGGCAATATGCAAAGCATACGCAAACACACAGACCGGCATATATATATTTATATACCTTTGTAATTTAAAGTATTATGCAACTGGCTTTCGGGCTAGTAGGCTAGCCGGCGTCCAATGGTATACAGCGCCATGTGGAAGTGCCTTGATTAACGCATCCAACGAAGCTTCAGCCTCTTCACGGGGAGGTAGAGCTGCGTCACCAGATTGATACAGAGATTTCATACCTGGAACGTAAGCCATTATGCATGCCCTAGTAACGATTGATATGCAGCTTTTAGAAAATGGTTCTGTTTCAAACTTCAAGACTTCCAGACCAGCCTCCTTGGAGCGATTCGGAAGATCTCGTATCCACCTTTGTGATATTATGAATTAGCAAAGATAACTGCGACAAAAATGTACTTCGCTCAAAATCATGGACTTACGAGTAGTCAAAATGCGTGATTCCTTGGACGGTGCGTTGAAGGGCAGCAACTGCTTCGGCTTCGGCACCTTTGATGTGCATATTGCCAAGGTCTGCTTCATCCCACTGCAAATACCCCCCCGGCTCTGCATGTTCGTAGATTTCAGATTAATTATAGGTTTGATGACAAGTGAGGCTGCTGTGAAGTGAAAACTTACTCAAGAGCCGTGTAGCGTGATGAATAAGGGCAGCTGTCTTGCAATCTCGCACTATACAACACCAAAGTCTCAGATGAACTACATCATATTTTCCAATCAGTTCATCAGGAACTTGAGAAAAAGCATCGAGAGTCCGAAAACTCATGTTATCGGGCCTGCTGTCCTTGTGGGGGAACTGTTTGTCTGATATGTCGAACGCATCCAGCTGTACTGTCGAAGGGACTTGCCGAGAGATGTCCAGCAGCCATATACTAACACACCGGTAAGCTAAATCGACGAATTTGGGACAGTAGCCATAAAACGACTCACCCGGTACCTGTACCCATATCGGCAATCTTCATTTCAGGAGTGATTGGAATCTTAGGGTCGATTGTATACCCATTATGGATATTGAAAAGGAGATGTTGAGTTTCCAGTCTGGTACAAGTTAGACCAACTCAAAGAAAATGTGAAGAATGTTGTTTTGACCTCAAGCCTTCTGAATATTCCCTTCCAAACACGTAGTCGTCTGCATCAGACATGATTATATAGAGCCTATTGCAAACCGTGTAAGAAAATAAAAGTGATAAAAGCAAGTTTTGCTGTTACACAGCTATGCAGAAAGAAGAAGGAAAAGAATTGGAATTTAAGGGGAGCTGCGTAGTTTATAAATCGAGATGTGGCACCATCATTCTTTAGTACCTACGCTGAGCTAATTGGCCACCATATTTGAACAAGCCATCGCCATTGCCCTTTTGGGTATGACTTCATTGCAGCGGCTATGTTTATGTTAAAAGACTGGAAAACCTTCAGAAGCTTAAGTGGATCGATACTCACTTCAAACTCTATAATAAGCCGGATGTAATACAAGTCGTAAGAGCTTAGCTAAATTGCCGCAAAGACACGAGAGTTGGTGTTCTCGATAAATGCTGTCTCTCCTGTAGAGTTAAGACGTTGTGATTTTATAAATTAATGTTTAATAATATTTAGCTTCTATAACTTTCAGAAATTTGATCGCAAAGACACATGCGATGTCGCGACTATTTTAGTGAATCAACATATTGTCCCCACCGGTTTTGCTGTCGTCCTGCGCTTTAGTTCATACGTAGCTGAGCACAGATAAGCCGCTAAAGCACTACTTCCAACGCCGAAACGAAGCTTCCAATAGCGCTAAAACCATGCTTGGGTTACAGCGGTGAGAAGGGAATCTGACGTGTCTGACATGTAAGCAGCCACATATATCAATTTCCAACTTGTCTTCCCTAGAGTCGGTTCATCGATGGTAAGAATATCTATCTAGCTATTTAATTCTTTCCCAATGTTTACTGCAAAGGGATATAACTCATTAACGTATAATACAAGAGGTAGCCTTCTATGTAGTAACGCACGGACTTTTGTAGTTTTGATGGCGGTAATTCGCCTACATACTGGGAGAGGTGAGTGGTATCAAGTAATAATGAGTACACCGGCTATCAATCTCCGTGATTCATTTATACTCAGTGCTACAGTGCAATTTGGAGAGAGTCATGAACTGAATAATGTGAAAAGTGAAGGAGCAAATAATGTACCTATATACTCTCAAGCGTGATACTTCATGAACGGCTCTGTGGCGATGCTAGCCATGGTTGGATATTAGCAGCTATGCACTGTCTCAAAGGCATCACCAGGGCCTACTAGGCTTAGATCTAGCCATATACACGTGTTTCAATACTTTGAGAGACTTTCACTACGATACAGTGACAACATTAAGTACGTGCTGATCCCATTGTCATATAGGCCAAACGGCTGAGAGCGGCGATGGCAACTGTCGCTCTGAATAGCGAGGTGACATCCAACTTGTTATTCGTTATATGTCCGTCTTCAAGGCCTACTTTGGGTCTCTGTAGTAAATCAGCATTTGCTCATCATGTAAGTGGTGCGATTTATTTGTACAATGGCCCGTCAAGTCGAATTCGATTAATAATTCTCTTGTCCTCTGATATGTCTAGCCTCTCCCTGTGCGAGATGTAGGCCTAGAGTATACCTGATTTAATCCACAGCAAAGCTGATCTGGTAACGTCCAATGGAGCTGATTGTACTCGTAGTTATGGGCTCTGCTAGACAGCTGTTGGGCGCGCATCGCACGGCCATGGGCTTCTCATGGCATAGATGCTCTGTTTCGTACACAATGAGTACTACTGGCCACAATAACCGTTATTCATTGCTAGCTCAGCGATATATTTGTGCGCTGATACGTTGTGGGCGGATAATACGTATGTATGGAGTGATCCAGTAGCCACTAACTCCGGCGAACTTTTGTCGCTGTTAGCTGCCCTGAGCCCCTGCAAGCCGCCGATTACTTCCAGTCCCAATACCTACATGTACTTGTACCCTTTTCAGACCTCTGTTTCCTAATCTTTCAGCAAAGCTCAACGGCCTCTAGATCGACTTTGTAGGCAAATGCAGCATTTTGACCCTTCTAAAATCCTCGTTAGTGGTCTGCGGGGAAGTATTTGTGTAAAATTGCAAGGAAAAGGAAGGTCCTTAGCTGTTATCCCACACCCAATTAATATGATGTGAAATAGACTGGCGTCCACCACAGTTCTGCATTCTTATGAAGAGATAATGCGCCCTCCTTTAATATACGCAGTCTTAAACACAAAATAAATGTTAATCGGCAATATTGTGAGTTACAATGTTCAATATGGCTCGTAATTTTAAGAAGGCCCTTCTTTATGAGGCTTTACAGCTCTCTTTGGCTGCGCTAGGCGCCGCCCATTGTCTTGTCGATAGCATTACCCACCGTTACCAGCCAGTGCCATCCTCGGTGCCACCACCACAACTCAAGGATGGCTACGCAGTTCAATACTTTGGCGATGGAGCATATCTCATCACTGATGGAAGTGGCTACATAAGCCTTTTCGTCGCAACAACTGTGGGGGGCATCCTCGTCGACGCCCCCCCCTACAATTGGCCACAAGCTTCAGTGGGCCATTGGAAATATTACAAGCAAGCCACTAAGATATCTCATATATTCCCACTCGCATGGAGACCATATTGGAGGGGCCTCTCTATTCACCAACCAGCATAACGTGAAGACAATTGCACACGAATTCACAAAGGAAGAATTGATTATAGCCAAGGACCCAAATCGGCCTCCTCCCGATGTCACGTTTACCGGAGATTATACCCTTCGTCTTGGTAACCAAACACTGGAGCTTTCATGGAAGGGATTGGGTCCAATCCATGACCCGGGAAATATCTTCATCTGGGCGCCTCGACAAAAGATTCTCATGCTCGTCGACATGGTATTTCCGGGCTGGGTGCCGTTCTGGGGAATGGCTCTTACGCAGTCCACGCGGGATTACCTTTCAATCCACGATCAAATTCTAGCGTATCCATTCGATCACTATATTGGAGGCCATGGAAAGAGCGGCGACCGAACAGATGTTACCAATAATCGCGATTACATTGCGGATGTATTGGCAAACTGTCGCACTGCTATATTGGCAAACTGTCGCACTGCTATATTGGCAAGTGCCACCAACAATACTGAAGTCGGAGTAAGCCAAATTGTGCCTCCGTTCTTGACTGTAAACCCCAACAATGCGTGGGGAGAGTTCATGCTCTACTATACCAGAGTTGCAGAACTCTGCTACAATTTGACAACCCCGCAATGGGAAAATAAACTAGCTGGGCAAGACGTGTTTAGCTTTAGCCATGCGTTCAAAGCTGTTGGCGATATGAGCCTAGAATATGGTGTTCTTGGTCCATTCGGTGTCATCTAGATTGGTTACAAGATATGAATAGAAGCAATCAATGACAAATTTACGTGCACACAATCCGACTTCACGCGAGAAATTGCTATTTGCATCTTCATAACAATCAAAAGCAAAAGTTGTATTTACTCTAGCTTCATGAAGGTTGGTGCTATCTATCTAAGAGAGCTTGTGGCCCTTAAACATAAGAGCAAGTCAGAGTGCTGCCGGAAACTGAGCACTTGGTAACATCCTTGTTGTTGATTTCGACCTCGGTGAGGACAGCGCCGCTAAGAGAGACAGTCCTGCCGTTCTGGGTAGCTGAAGCAGAGCTAAACTTGACTGCAGGGCTGAACGAGGCAAATGGCACGAATTGGCAGTCGCTGCCATTTTCGTTGCACTCTTCAAAGTCCTCAATGATAAACTCGGCGCTTGTCTCACACAGTGAGCCAGCAGTAACCTTGCTGAAGTTTTGGGTCACCTTCTGGCCAGAGGTCAAATTCTCAAGAGTGGCAGAGCCACCAGTCAAAGATGTAGCCACCACCGACATAGCAATCTGATCTCCAGCAGAGATGTCAATGCCAGAGAAATCGGCTACAGCAAGTTAGCAAATCGTTCTTTCACAGGGATTCCGCCACAAGACTTACCAGAAAATTCAGGGTACCACTCATACCAAGCATCGTATGTACCATCGCCATACCAATCAATGCCAGTCTGCAGAATAGCACTGTCCTTGAAGGAGGTCAGTTTCTTGTCTGATATAGAGGCTTTACATGGATACATACACATGTGTCTCCGTCAATTCCTACCCATGCCGTGCCTGCAGCGCTGGAACCGCCGCCACCTGTTGGGACGTTCACAGTAGCCGAAGCAGCGCTGTAGCCTGAACCCTGGAGAATGGCGCCTCCCCAATTGGATTGAACGCTCGCGTGAAGAGTGTTATTCTTGAAAGGCGCTGAGCGGCGACCAGCGCGTCGAGCAAGGCGTCGAGCCAGGCCACGGTTAGCCGCAACTCCAGCCAACGCAGCGTCAGCGCAGAGAAGCGCAGAGATGGCGATTCCGGTGATGAACTTCATATTGGTGAAGAGAGTTGCGGGTATGAGAGGGAGTTGTTGCTTTTTTTGAACAGTGTCTAAAATCCTTGCTTTGGAAAGAATATGGAGAAGGGAATCGCCTCATATTTATATCTGTGAATATACAAAGCTTTAATACATGTATGGCTTTAACCAGCAAAGCTTCTGCCAAGTTTTGAGGTTTCAAAGAGTAGTTGTTCGATCATATCGCATAGAACTGCTCACACCTTCCCACTTGAAAGACATCTCCGAACTTGTGGCAAACCGAGATGCCATTTTGAGAACGGTCTGAAGCGCAAGTCGATTGCTGTAAGCCAGCCATAATGGGAACAAATGCAGACTGATCTAGTCACCATCACGTAGAAGAACTGTGCCAGACGACAGACTAATCGCTGCATAAATGAATCCACACCTCCAACAGTAATGGAGAAGGGCGTGGGGAGCAATGCGAGTTCCATCGTAGCCAGCTCTTGATCTGGTGAACGTGCCGAGATGCCGGAGACATATACTACTACAGTAACTCTTACTGCGCCACTCTTTATAGACAGCCCACGGCGATGGAAACTTGAATCAACAAGGGAATGGATATAATATACATTTTTTGATCGGTTACACACTCAGCGAGCCACGGATCTGTCTCTCTTTTTTCTCCGTATTATAGTTCTCACTTTACTAGAGAAAAAGAGTCTAATGTTTAAGCATTCGCACCCCAACGGTCGCTTGACGATCTTGCCCCCAAGCTCGATCGGATTAGCTATCAATAGATCACTTGTTCATTTCTACCTTCCCGATATAATTAGAGAAGTACCGGTTTCTACCAATGGATCCAATCTCTATGCCGATGTTCCGGCTTCTCCACTTCCAAAAGAGGCAAGCGGTTATTGACCACAAGATTGTAGTAAACAAGTAACTATTTGCGTTCGTATTTACCTACTAAAGCTGGGCACTTCCGTGTTTTCTTATCTTATTCTGATCAAAGAGGCTAGATGATTCTATTACTACTTATCTTTATCGGACATATTATTGACCATTTTTCATCTTGACCCCGTGGAGAGTGTCCCGATTGGCTTCATTGCGCATGCAGCTTCAATCTTATCTACTGTGATCTATAAATATGACCTCTCTATCTACGTTCAATGCCTTAAATATAATTGCACTATTTCAATGTTGAGACTTTGTTTATATAACTGATCGCTGGAAGAGAAAATGCAATTAGTCACTTTTATATACTTGTGTGAATACTGTTGTTTTTTTATACGAGCTCTTGCTATAACATGACCCGTGATGTTATTACTATCAACAATAACTTTTACTCTTTGTGTTTAGATAAAGTCTACCTACATGCATAGGTGCACAGCTATCTACTGGTTCCGCCTTTGGTAACTAGCTGTTAGGCTTCGCCTCTAAAATGCCCATGAACTTAAAGCAGCTTTTTTGCTGAAAGATTTTACCCTTTTCAGCATTGCATGAATAAAAGACCAGCATTAGAGTTAAGCATATAATATGGAAGAAAAATATACTGTAATTTTGTTTACGAACTTTCCATTAGCACGCGAGTTTGGCAGCAAGGTTGCTTGTCGGCGTGGTGGAAAGAGTCAAAAGTGAGATACCAATGCTTTTACGTACGCATAACGAACAGATGCAAGATTTGGTTGTAGGGTTTTGGCAACTTTTCTCACAACAGGACGAAAACGCTTCATTGTATTACACGACGAACAGTTGGCGAGGTTTCATTTGCCATGCTTTTTGTTGTGTTTCTGTAGTAAGGTCCCTATTCCTGTTGTCCAGATGGTTTGATGGCTTGACAGATCGGGTTGATGCTTGCATAGAACGCTGACTTAATTGGGCTGCGGATTTGATTGGCCCTCTGTATATAAATGCAATATAGCTAACACTAGATAGTTCAAAAGACACACGATTACTATGCAAACGGAATTCCAGCTATTGTGAAAGCCTCATTCGTATTGGCACAAGGTCTCAGCAGACAGATCAAACGGCTCTTTGAAGTCTTCTCGCGTTAGTCTTCCTAGCCAATAGCAGAGATATTACGCTTGTAATGTGGTTGAGTGCTGTTTCCTAGGTTGAATTCACATGTGCGTTCTCCAACCCTTGGCAAAATAGCTATCCCATTGTGACCATTTCTTCTAAATTTCGCAATGTCAATAAAACAGCCTGCTCTGCAAGATCAACTTGGGTTTGTAGCTTGAATATTTTCCCAAAAAAAAAAACAATACTTCATGCGCTTTACCTTACCCCGTAAAAAAAGAAGCACAGCTGCAAACAGATCCATAGACCTAAAGCCCGCCTTTCATGGAGTCCGAAGATGGACGAAGAAGAGGAGTAGGAAGAGAAGGAGGAAGGAGAAACGAAGGAAAAGGTAAAGCAAGTAAAAGAAACTGGCCAAAAAAATGGTCGGACATTCCTATGCATGAACGTATCGGAGTAATAAGAGATAGGGAAACGCTGCCAAGTAGGTATAGGGCTTGCAACACTCCACAGCTACTCCTCATATCTAGACCAATTTAGTGGAGACTTGCTTGCTTGTACGGGTTTCTATTGTCTTGGATTCTGATTCTTAGGGGTAAAATGGACGGATGCTTGTTCAGCGGTGGCGACCAGGACAGGCTATGTGATATCGGAGTAATACCAGCAATCAGCCCTTGTGCGCTTGATTGTGTACTGCTCTGCAGTGCTGTAGGACGTTACACACGGCGGTGGCTAAAAGTGTCAAGCTGTTAAAGGCTAAAGAGTTTGTATAGAATAGCGGCTAAAAGTCCCATACAATCAAGTGGCTAAAGTACCGCCATTTAGCAACGGCCCATGCTCGTGGGGCAGCAGAAGTAAACATCCACCCCACTTCCCCACATTCTTGTCTTATAGCCAAGTTTAATCTTAGCTGCCTCGGGTTTGTTTCTACCTCTCACGTTGGATTATTACAAGCAAGTTTGTATGATGCTAGATAGGGCTGTTAGAACATTAGATTGACGCCTAAACATACATACAAAATCTCTGAAATTTTGATACCCAAAGTATAGAAAGCATGAATAATTCAAGTTCAAAATGTTATGCCCTGCTAGAGACCTCAAAAATTTTCATTTCAAACCTTGGCAGTCAGTACAGGCTCAATTTGCCTAAGGAGCCGGGCTTTCATGTGTGTTAGCCGTACGTTTAGGCATTTAGCGTCCTAGGAGTGTAACATCGTCTTTTACCATGTGGAAGAAAGTATGCTGCTTGTAAAGAGTTAGAAACCAATGCTGGTTATTCAGTCGAATAGGCAGGTTAGGTAACCAACAATAGCCGAGAGGCATAGCGTTGTTGTTGAAGATGTCAGTATGAAAATTGTATATAATCCGATGGCCTCTCTCTAATTGATTCCAATCTTCATGAGTTTTACACATCACCTTTGAAGCATACAATCTCAGTCAATACAAGGTTGCGCATCATGTATCAGAAACTAGCGGCAATTTCGGCCTTGTTGGCCGCTGCTCGTGCTCAGCAAGTCTGCACGACCCAGGCAGAGACTCACCCTGCTCTATCATGGTCGAAATGCACATCTGGCGGAAGCTGCACGACTCAAGCCGGCAAGGTAGTCCTTGACGCTAACTGGCGATGGACTCATGCCTATCCCAGCGGTAACAACTGTTATAACGGCAATACCTGGGATGCTACCCTATGCCCTGACGACGCGACCTGTGCGAAGAACTGCTGCTTGGAGGGAGCCGATTATTCAGGAACTTATGGAGTTACCACCAGTGGCAACCAGCTTACCATTGACTTCGTCACTCAATCGGCAAACAAGAACGTCGGTGCTCGCCTTTACTTGATGGCATCCGACACTGCGTACGAGGAGTTTACTCTTTTGAACAACGAGTTCTCTTTCGATGTTGATGTGTCCGCGCTGCCGTGAGTTATATCCTTTTCAGACCAAGGCTGGCTAGTTCTAAACTAACATTGCTGTTTCTAGATGTGGCTTGAACGGAGCTTTGTACTTCGTGTCTATGGATGCGGACGGTGGTGCATCCAAGTACCCAACAAACCTTGCTGGCGCGAAATACGGCACAGGATACTGTGACAGTCAATGCCCTCGTGACCTGAAGTTCATCAGCGGCCAGGCCAACGTTGAAGGCTGGCAGCCATCTTCCAACAACGCCAATACCGGTATTGGAGGACACGGAAGCTGCTGCTCTGAAATGGATATCTGGGAGGCGAACTCAATTTCCCAGGCTCTTACTCCTCACCCTTGTGAGACTGTCGGCCAGGTTACGTGCTCTGGCGATGACTGCGGCGGTACCTACTCCAACAACAGATATGGCGGCACTTGCGATCCTGATGGCTGTGACTGGAACCCATACCGCTTGGGCAACCACACTTTCTATGGCCCCGGATCTGGCTTTACCGTTGACACCACCAAGAAGATTACTGTTGTTACGCAGTTTAGCTCAACCGGTATCAACCGATACTATGTTCAAAACGGCGTCAAGTTTGTCCAGCCCAATGCTTCAGGCCTTAGTGGCTACACTGGCAACACGATCAACAGCGCGTACTGCTCAGCTGAGCAGACAGCATTCGGTGGAACGTCTTTCACAGACAAGGGCGGTCTCACTCAAATGAACAAGGCCCTTTCTGGCGGCATGGTCCTGGTCTTGAGTTTGTGGGATGATGTGAGTAAATGCTCTATTTGATAGAACTAGGGAGACCTCGCTAACAGTTATGACTTCCACAGTACGCGGCCAACATGCTCTGGCTGGACTCAACCTACCCAACCAACGATACCGCTTCCACCCCCGGTGCCGCCCGAGGAACCTGCTCTACCAGCTCTGGTGTTCCCGCCACCGTTGAACAGCAGTCTCCCAACTCCAAGGTTGTCTTCTCCAACATCAAGTTTGGCCCCATTGGTAGCACCGGCAGCAACAGCACAACCGGCACTCCCACCGGAGGTGGCGGTGGCCCTACCAGCACTGGAAGCTCTACCGGCGCCACTCAGACTCACTACGGACAGTGCGGCGGTACCGGCTACAGCGGTCCCACTCAGTGTGCCAGCGGCACAACTTGCCAGGTCCTCAACCAATACTACTCTCAGTGCTTGTAAAGCTACCTCCCTTGAGAGCAGGTGTTTGTCCAAAATCTATGAGGCTTGGGACTCGCTTTACTGTGTCTGCTACCGCTAACAGTACACGTTCGTTTATTTCGGCGGAACTTCAATTGCTTGCTTCTGCAATGAGTGCACATTTGGCTGGCCAAAAGAGCCATGACCCTTGTGAATACTTTTACTATGAGTGTTTATATAGAAAGAATATGAAAAAGTTTAAACATATGACTATTGTCCTCTTTTCTCCATGAAGAAGGAAATTAGAGCATTTAACACAATGAATGGGTCAGATGGCTTCCAAAGTGTGCGTCAAGATAGAAGTTACTTTGGAATGCATTGCAATGAGACCGGTCAAAGGTTATATCTAAACGAGATTGTAGTCTCATCAGATATTGTATATAAGCTTTTTTTATAATTACTTGAAGTCAAAGCAGCTGAGAATGAGTTCTACTTAAAGCCTTTATATGACAACAGCGTCTAAACTGGTTAATGAGTCTGCGTCAGGTAAAGTCCCCGTATAGAAATAAATATGTTAACAGGTTAGCATCATCCTTGTTCTCCAAGACCTTGAATTAGCCAACAATGTCTTATCAGCGCGGCAATGTCCCTTGGCAGGCTAATAATAGTATAAACCATAAGAAAATATATCTCATAATACCCAGTCTAGCTACAATAAGAGTCAGAAGCGTAGAGATATAATTTTTGGAGCGAATGCACAGAGTTTGGAGTAATGCAATACAGATTGAAATTCTCTTTGAATCGTACACAATTCAATTAAAATGATAGTGAAGTAGTCCGAGACATGGCACTTTCTTATATCTTTTACTCTACTTGGCTTCTCCAACAAAGAAAAAATAATCGGGTGCCTGTGAAACAACTGCAAAGTTCTCATAGTAACGGCGAAATACACTAAAGTTTTAGCTGAGGATAATAAATAGTAAGTGTTAACTCGCAAAATAATAGTTTATGAGAGTTTTCATTATCAAAATGTGGGAAAATAAGCCGCTTTATTCCACGGGTCTCCAGATGCCCTCAAATATCCCATAGCAGCCTATATCACTATAACCATTTTAAACACCATTTTAGCCTTTAGACGCCCGCCAATGGGTCCCAGCGTCGCACTCCAATATTAACCACCTGATATTTAATGGCTAAGCCCTCTTTATCTTGCTCATTATCACCTGTCGTAAGCTCAATTTGCCTACATTTGTTAGTATGTACTCGCTGCAAATACAGAATCTAGACCAAATCTCTTGACAGGAGGCACCCGCTTACCCGACCCGTGAACCCTGGTGAAGACTCAGCCTAAATGACAACCCCTCATATAGAAGTTCTTTTTTCTCAGTGAACATGCAGCATCTAATGAATTTCTGAGTTCAGGGACATTGTATATATAGAGCAAAATGGAGCAAGCTGACAGCGGGAGGTTTTGCATTAGACATCCTTTACAAACAGCAGGAAGTCAGAATGTTGCGTAAACTTAGCCTACTGGCACTAGCGGGCCTTGTTTCCCACTCGGTACAGCAGAGCTGTGCGGCCTTATAGTGAGTAAAGTCGAGGGTAGTAAGAGAAAACAAGAGTCAGTTCTTACTAACGGAAATTCAGTGGCCAATGTGGAGGAAGTGGATGGTCCGGGGCGACGTGCTGCGTTTCTGGTGCCCAGTGTAGCGCGTTGAATCAATACTATTCTCAATGCGTACCATCAACTGTATGAGCTGTAGCTGTTTCTATGGAACTATTCTAACATCACGCAGGGTAGCAGCGGCCCTACTGGATCATCGTCTTCAACTACCTCGATCCCTCACTCTCAATCATCATCTGCTAGCCACTCATCCGGTGGCCAGTCATCTGTTGGCCAATCAACCGGCGTGTCCACGTATACCACCACCGATACCTCTACTGTTGCTCTCCATTCACAGTCTCCTTACCCGAGTATTGCTGCGTCCAGCTGCGGCGCATGGACCTTGGTTGATAATGTGTGCTGCCCATCATACTGTGCCACCGATGATACCTCGGAGAGCTGTACTTGCAGTGACTGCACTACACCACCTTCTGCAGATTGCAAATCCGGAACAATGTATCCGGAAGTCCATACCGTTAGCACCAATGAGACTTGGCATTACAGTGTGAGACCGTTTAACCCAATGCAAATGGCTCTCGATATGCTGCTGACTTTTGGACCTGTCGTATTAGAGATCTACTCATTTCGGGTTAACCAGCGGCGGAGCCTGTGGCTTCGGCCTCTACGGTTTGTGCACAAAAGGCAGTGTCACGGCAAGCTGGACGGATCCAATGCTTGGTACAACATGTGATGCCTTCTGTACAGCGTACCCTCTGCTCTGCAAAGATCCTGCGGGAACTACTCTTCGTGGAAATTTTGCGGCACCAAATGGAGATTATTACACGCAGGTAAGAGTAAAGTCTGCCAATCTATCTTCTATGCTGATCATGTTCTAGTTCTGGCCTTCTCTGCCAGGGGATCTTGACAACTATCTTTCTTGTGGTGAATGTATCGAACTTATCCAAACGAAGCCCGACGGCACCGACTACGCTGTAGGCGAAGCTGGCTACACGGATCCAATCACGCTGGAGATTGTAGACAGCTGCCCCTGCAGCGCGAACTCCAAGTGGTGCTGTAAGGAAACTTATTAGCGCATGCATGTAATAAAGAACAATTTCTGACCAATATATTACAGGTGGCCCCGGCGCCGATCACTGTGGAGAGATCGACTTCAAATACGGCTGTCCTCTCCCTGCCGACAGCATGCATCTTGATCTCTCTGATATTGCCATGGGCCGATTACAGGGCAATGGGTCTCTCACCAATGGTGTGATTCCAACACGTTATAGGAGAGTACAATGCCCCAAGCTTGGTAATGTTTATATATGGCTTCGAAATGGCGGGGGTCCGTATTATTTCGCCCTCACAGCTGTCAACGCCAATGGACCTGGGTCTGTCACAAAGATTGAGGTCAGAGGTGCAGGTTCAAGCACTTGGATCCCCCTCGTACACGATCCCAACTACACCAGTAGTCGTCCGCAAGAACGCTATGGTAGCTGGGTGATTCCACAAGGATCGGGGCCTTTCAACTTGCCGGTCGCAGTTCGTTTGACCAGCCCGACAGGAGAGCAAATTGTCAACGAGCAAGCCATCAAAACTTTCACTCCACCATCTACTGCAGATCCCAACTTCTACTACATTGACATTGGTGTACAGTTTAGTAAGAACTGAACATATACAGCAAAGTAGGCTGTTCTTGGTATTTCTGGTCATGTTACTACTCATCCTTCATTCTGTAAGAATAGTACCTAGAAGTCGGCGCTTTAGTTGTATCATATAAAGGAACGATACCGCGCTAGCAAATTCGATTATGCGCTTTATTGTATGCCATCTGTATACTCTTACAATTGAGATTCTTCTTCAGTTTGCCGTTGCTTCCTCCATTCCTGATCAAAGCGTGTTGCAATGCTTGCTCGTGTACAATATACTGCATAAAATGGATACCAGCTTCGCCTCTTGTTCCATGCAAGTTGCAATGGATGCGCCAACTCGACGGCTAGTGCGCCTCAGGCGACGTAGCTGGCCCAGTAAACCAAGGCAGAGTCAATCGTGTTTTACGCTCAAAGCGTCTGTGTTCAGCTTGCATGTAGATTCGGCACTCTCTATACTCATTCACCCATCAGCAGCTTACCAATTCTTGCCCATGATAGGATGGATCAACCTCACCATAGTTTGTAAGGCGAATCTAGGGCTATGGCTTCTAGCAGGGCGATGACAGCTCAGCTCCGATGCTCCGGCCCGAGCCCGCAGCGATACAAGGCTAATTGCAAGCTCCCACATCCCGGTGTAAGAACCGAGCGCAACGAATCCCCATTCGAAACATCTTCTATCGCTTCCGCTACCACTCACCTACGAGACCGATTGATAATTTAAAATCATGAATACTGATACATGCAAAAGGGCCTGAAATGCAAAACTAAACGACTTGGCCTCTAAGGCAAGTTTATTGCTACAGACCACTGCCACATTCAACAGGCATCTTACACCATATAAACCCAGCTAATGATCTAAGGAGAACACTTGAGTATGAGCCAGAAGCTCAAGAACACAAACAACTACGCTTCAGCCATGCTTGCTACCCAAGATACGATTTCAAGTTTCCGCTCAAAACACTTTGGAAGTTAACGACATCGCAGACAACAACAGCCCATCGACGCCATCTCAAATGGGTCGCAATTATGAGCTCTGTGTTCGAGACTGGTGATAAACTCCTCTATTCAATGTCATCATCGGAATAAAAAATGGCGCTCTTTTTTTTTTTTTTTTTCGGATTTTCGGCCCGTCTCACTACGTTGCAAATTTCCGGACGTGTATGCGAGATTGACATATCACCCGGAACCACTACCCTAGGCTGCCAGCATGCGAGATATCGTACGATGCAGTCAACACAACTGATATGGAGCATGCTGAGCCAACCGTTGTATCAACTGATCCAGTCAAAGAGAACGTCATCAAAGAAGAGACAATCGACCCAACAGTAACTGCAGCACCTATTTTCCGCTTCTCAGAGGGCGCTCAAATCAAGACGTTTGGGACGCTCATTGTCATGTCTCAGACAGCAAATGGGCAAACTGGTTCATTGCACGCGGTGTAGTCAATAGCGAGAAGACTTAGATGGAAGGGCAGGGAGCTCTGAACACAAGGACATTTTGCAAGATGCCGGATGGTTCGCCCCTTGCTCCCGGTGGCCCCCGACAAGGATCGCCTGACAGGCTACACACCACTTTCCTACTTGTTACGACCCAGAGGCTACAAAAACGTTTAGAAACTAAGTAGTAACGGAGGAAACAACCCCCACGGCGCTGCCCCTCAAAAGACGCAGGTTGAACCCACAATTCTTTTCTGTTTACTTGAAACGTGGGATATGAACCCGCGGCTCATGCTATCCTTTTGCCTAGATGAAGCTATCTTACTTAGTGGACGTTGATAGTAAAACAACTAAACAAAAAAGGCCTTGGCAGGAGCGATTGCAGTGTCACAGCACATTAGAGGGACGCTGAAGGATGCTGAAGCTGTGGAAGGCAGAAGGCAAAGACCGCCCTTGGGCTCTAACATTTGGCGTTCCTCCCGCCACCATGGTGGAGCTCGGTCTATTGCTACCCGATGGTGTAAGTGAGGCTGGGCGTGTCGGAGTTCTTACCGTCAACCAATGACCTCTTGGTTCCAGCAGATCCTGAGGCCGTTTTTTTGAGGATACCATATCCATAACCGAAGCAGGACCTGAAAGCTCTTTCGGTGAGATGCACGGGTACTCGTTTCCCAGTGTCAATCAAGTTCCGGTATTCCACGTGAAGAAGATCACTTACTGAATTGACTCCCTTGCCGGCTGCTGATCGCTTGACCGATGGAGCTGTGCGCTGAGAGTTTTCTCCGCCTTTCCCTCCTCTCGGCTTTTTATTTAATCCTTTCTTCGTTGCTAACCTAGTCAAATGGCGAACCATAATCGATCTTCTTTGTGCCGCAGAAATTATGAAGATCCGTCAGAATAATGGCTCCCCAACGATTGATGCTTTTGCACCGCCTAAACTAGTCCATACAGGTTGCGCTTTAGCCCACACGGCACGACCAAACTGCCCGTGATGAAGTCTACCTCTAAACAGCTTTCTGGGTGGATTGGTAACTTTACGCCCAGCCGAACGCAGTCTTTTGTATTTACCTCTTTACCCTTGTGAGAGGTAAATTTGATTCTACATCGATAAGGATGTCTTATGCACTCGGTGTCGACCTGGGACAGACAAGTAGGTAGTATCACCGGGAGAATGTGATGCTCTTCTTCCCGTTTATGGGAAATGGTGTGATAAGGTTGTTCCAAATGTTCTATTAACGGTCAAGATACACCAGGCCAAAGCCGAGATACCACCGGACCGAAGTGACAGACGCACCGCGTGCTTTATTGAGGGCTTTGAAATGATGTTGTTGGTTGTGCGAAGCAGTAAGCAGATGCAAGAATTTTGCAGGGTCCATTAAGACCGGTAGGCACATTTTAGGTGGTTATGGGGCAGCATTGATTAATAATGTCATATAAAACAGTCGGCACATAGTCTTTGCATTGGGATTATATCATCTGGCAAGTGTTCCCGAGAAGACGGGGCGGGTACAAAGGAAATGTAAAGTCCAGGAACTATACGAATACTGGTATACAATGTATTACCATTACAATAATCCTATGATTACTTACTATTCATATTTATGAGCTGTAAATCTTCTATTTCCTATTCCAATTGTTATTTTCTTTATATACGTGCTATTTAGTTACTTTGATTCATTTTAGGGTAGGTAGTTTGAATGTATAGTAGTATTGCTAACGGAATCTATTATGGGTCTCGACACATGCAATAAATATGTCTTCCCGGATATACCCACGGGATTCAACAGTCGGTGTTACGGAACTAGCAGAAAATGGGATGATATTCCATTTCAACATTCCTTCGTCTTCAAAGGCATGAACATCATTTATCCAATGAAAAAAGGTGTATACATCTATCAACATCCGCCTTCATCCGCCTTACCATTGTCCCATTTGGGATAAAACTTCAGGCTGCGTATTACCACTTTCGGATATTGCCAATCTTGGACAATCGATATTGCCAGTCTTTCTTTGCAAATCCACTGGAAATTGTAATCCTGTGATAATACCCATGCTCTGTCAAACCGAGGCTCAAGTAAAGCATACAAGACCCACAAGTGTAATCGAAAACCGTTACAGACAAATCCAAATTGCTCTTTTGAAGTGAAGATGAGGCGCCCCGTAGTAACGTGGGAGATGACCGCATCATGTGGGATAGATGAACTCAGTTGTGAGCACATGGCCGTAAGCAGAGTAACCCTCCGTTATTCACAAGACAAGAACGGCCTTGGATGAGTACATTTATTGATAATAGATTTGAGCCGTGTCAGACAGCGAATGACATTGGAAGTAGTACTGCATAATATAAGGTATCTCTGCTAAAGAAAGTGGACTTTTTATGATAGTATGACTTTCAATATAATACTACAACGTTTAAATTCACCTGAAGCGTACTACAATTTGCAATAGCGTTATTAATAACGCCATTTGATCCGCTTACAAGACAATATATATTTCACCTTTGATTAGCATCAATGCTTGTCTGCAACTTCGATGCTCTTAAAAGCTTTATCTGCGTAGGCAACAATTAAAAAACCCACTCTCGACTTATACAATGGTGGTAAATGTGATATGTGATGTACCTAGATAAAGGCGGATAGCACAATCATACAGGATTGCAAATTCGTAACGAATACTACTACAAGAACCTTTCATCTTTGTAGTAGGGTACTAATATGAACATTATTTGTCTTTAGTAAATATATAAATAGATCAGATTTATATTGATAATCGTATTTTAGTAGTTTTGTGCATCTTCGGAATTTCTTTCTATATTTCCGCATGTTTCATCATATTCCCGTAGTCCTTTCCTATTTTCGTAATATTTCGAGATATTTGTACAGCTAGTGTTATTTCCGTAATATTGCACTTTTCCCCGTATTCTCGTGTTACCTAATATAACAAGCGGCAATTCTTCTTTGCTGGTAGTATACATGCTTAAATTTTACAAGTCATAAATTGCGTATTATAGATCTGACCATCCTGTAGTCATACTTGCAGATACGCTTATGTTGTTATCACTCACCTTTGCATACCGCTAAATTCTTTGTTCTTCTAAGTCTATCTCTACCTTTTTGTAACTATTCTTCGCCACTTAATAACTGCTGAATTAGATGGCTTGAAAGGTGGCTATAAAAGAGAAGGTAGCTGTAAGTCAGAAAGAACTTGAGGCTTGCTCTTGGACTGACTAGATAACAACTCCGTATTATAGTTCAAAACATGATACTGAAATACATGATAGTGTACTTAACATTATATAAAAGTTGGTAATATGAATAATTATTGAGTACATGCTTTATACCTGGTATTGATGTTTACAATTCTAATCGATAACGGACGTAGCTGCCATTTTGCGACTTCTATGGGATATCTACTGTATGTTGACATTGATTACTTCGAATAACCCTGGCATACGGCCCTAGAGTAAGCGCTAGACTTTAAAGCACTTATCTATCCGTAGCCCCTGGCAGATAAACCCTGTCGGCAGTTATGCGCTGCGGGATCCAAACATATCCGAAAACGATCTGATGAGTAGTTCGATATGTGATCTCTCCCTATATAAATATATCGTCTTGGGTCCATCATATAGAATCTTTCCCATATACTCAGTCAACGTCTCAAAATTTCCAGTCATTCTTGCTCTCTTTACCCAATCATCTCATTGACGGAGATTGAAATTTGAATCATTATGGACTCGTTTGACGCTGTCGTTATTGGCGCGGGTTTTGCTGGAATTTATCAGCTTTATAAACTCCGTGAGCTAGGACTCTCGGTAAAGCTGTTTGAAAAAGCTCCCGAGGTTGGCGGCACGTGGTACTGGAATCAATATCCAAACGCTGCCAGTGATTCTCCCAGCGAGTTATACAGATACAGCTGGGATAAAGAAGTTTTACTCAACTACCCATGGCCTACACACGTTGTCCCCCAAAAAGAAACTCAGGCTTATTTGAAACATATGGTAAAGCGTCACGGCTTGAAAAAGCACATGAAGTTTTCCACGGAACTCAAATCGGCATCTTTTCAAGATTCTTCATGGACTCTTAGCTTCTCAACCGGCGAGACTGTCAAGACCACCTACTTGATTGCTGCTACTGGAGCGTTTAATAAGGCCAACTGGCCCAAAATTCCTGGGCGTGAAAAGTTTAGTGGTGAGCAATATCACTCAGGGTACGTACTGATACATCTATCCGCTTATCAAACAATTCAAGCAAAGTAATGAGGTATGAACTATTACTAAATATCCTTTCATAGAATTTGGCCTGAGAAACGCGACCTCAAGGGCAAGCGAGTTGGAGTGATTGGTAACGGCTCTTCCGGTGCCCAAATCCTGGTTGGCCTTGCCAAAGAATCAGGTGCAAAACAAATCATTGCTTTTCACCGCGAAGCGGCATATGTGGTACCCAACCAGATTGGACCAGTCTCAGCTGAATACAGAGACAACATCGTCAACAACTACGACGAATTTTGGAAGGGAGCTCGAAATTGCCCTCTTGGATATGGCTTCAAGCCGCTAACTACCCCAACATTCGATGTCAGCGCAGAAGAGCGCGAGAAGGTTTACGAAGCAGCCTGGAACGACGTAATGGCCTTCTCATTCGTTTATAAAACCTTCTCAGATGTTTTGACCAATGACGCTGCAAACAAGGAGGTTTGCGACTTCATTAAGCGAAAAATAGCCAAGATTGTGGAAGACCCTGGAAAACGTGCCAGGCTTACGCCAGCCCCAGATGCGCTATATGCTAAACGGCCTGTCTGCTGCGCAGGTTATTATGAGATCTTTAACCAAGATAACGTTGATGTTGTTAATTACCAAATGACCCCCTTTGTTGGAATTACCGAAAAGGGTATCCAGACGGAAGACAAGCTTCATGAGTTGGATGTCCTCGTCTATGCAACTGGTTTTGAATCCGATGGCAGTTGGGCCTCAATCGACATTAGCGGCCCTAACCAGACATTGGAGCAGCACTGGGCTGAGGGAGCAACTTCATATTTGGGAGTAACGGAAGCAGGATTCCCCAACTTCTTCATGGTTGTAGGCCCGCAGTCGGCAGTTACGAACATGCCTCCATTGATTGAGGGTCAGGTCAACTTTATCACAGGGATGATTTCCAAGGCTGAATCTTTACGGAAAGAAACTGAAGTAAATGGAAAGAAGGCAATTCTTATTACTGCTACTCAAGAAGCGGAGGACGAGTACATGGCAGAATGTCGATCCCTTGCAGAAGGAAGTATTTATTACAAGGATAAGTCATTCCTTTTTGCTGATAACCATACCTCGAGGAAGTCGAGCAAGAACGGAAGGAATGTTCTTTGGTACCTTGGCGGCTTGAACAAATACTTGGACAAGGTTCAAGAGGTAATCGATGGAGACTACCGCGGATTTACTTTTGCGTCTTAGAATGACATCAGAGAAGACACGTTTGAGCATTACACACCTACCTTGGTCGAATGACATAGTTTGAAATATGTACAAGAATTCGGGTTTTCACTCTCCTTTCAATATCATTGAGAAAAGTGGTCGAAGAGGAAAAAATAATAGTAGTTGACTGTATTTTGTTGTGCATCCATCTACTAGCGATGGTAAAAACGTATGCTTAATCGCAACTCAATTGCCTAATGCAACTCATGATTTCCATTTTTTGTTGAGAACCTTTTAGTATTTGGGCATATATATTCTCTGAGATAAAAGATCTATATTTTCTCTAACAACTACTCTTTACATTTCGTATAAAGGCTGCTTAAAGAAGAGAGCCCAAGTCCTGCTGCTGCTAGGCTAAATAACAATAGTAGTGCTATTCAGCACAAATCTATTTTATATAGCCATATATTCGCTATACTGTTTGTAGTAAAGATGTCTACATGAAAGTCATATTCAGCAGAAACAGGAAATCAGCAGATGAGATTAGATTCACAGAGCAATATTATAATACAAAGAAAAAAAAAGATAGAAAGATAGAAAAAACGCCGAAAGACCAGATATAAAGCCAGCCGTAGGCATACGACAACTGTGAAATAATCAGTAAATTTTTTTTTTTTTACATCTACCGACAATAGCAAGTAAGAGATTGATAAATAATACCCTAACACCCTGCATGGCGTGGGCCTCTGCGTACATTTGGTTCACGAGGCTAGCTACATGTACCATCCACTGGCGCTGGAGCAGAGGGCGATTTCCAATTAACGGCATTAACGCCCGATACAGGTGCTACAGCAGGGGCCAGAAGGCCTATACAGCTAGGAGCAAAGCCAGCGGGAGGGAGGGTGTGTTGGGGGACACCTGCCCCGATGTCCCTAAGGAAGAAGGGGCGAGGAGAGTCTCCGATATTATATATAATAGCATTGGACCCTATATTATAAGAATGCAAGCTTTTTAATCCCTATATGGTGTACCCTACGTGTTCTCGTAGCTTACAACGTGAGATCTCAGCTCGCATCCTGTTCGGCCCTGCGCTTGACGCGCAACAGGGCGAGGGCAATAACAGCAGTGCCAGCGACGGCAGCAACATGATCTTGGGCGAGAAGCCCACTCACAGAGGAGAGGTAACCTTGCACCAAAAGGCGCTCACTATTGCCAAAGACAATGGGGGGAGGGGTGGCGGCTGCGGCGGTGGCAGTGAGGCAGGGCAGACACCGAGTGCGGCAAGCTACAGCCGGAAAGAAAAAGCAGGGCCCAGACACCAAAACCGACGGGCGCGGCGAGGGGTGGCGGTGGCAGCAGAAGTAAATAACACTGCTCATGGACATTCTATATTACTTGTTATTAATAGCATTGCTAGCAGCAGTAAAGAAAGTAAAAGTGCATGTAGTAAAGATAGATGTAGCAGATGTAGCAGATGTAGCAGATGTAGCAGATGTAGCAGTAATAGCAGTAATAGCAGTAATAGCAGTAATAGCAGTAATAGCAGTAATAGCAGTAATAGCAGTAATAGCAGTAATAGCAGTAATAGCAGTAATAGCAGTAATAGCAGTAATAGCAGCAATGGCCTACAATATAACTGGAATGCTGGATAACTTTCCCCTTTATTAAACGCCAAGTAAAATACAACAAACACAAGCTCGCAATTTTTCAGTGCAAGGTATGGAAAGAGGCAAGAACATAGGTATCTACATTATGATATAACAATTGCTTCCTAATGCTTATTTGTAAATGCCTTCAGATGTTTTGTTCGAGCTCGATGGCCAGATAAAGCGCCGTGGATACCTCAAAATGCATTTGACATAATTCAGTTCACTAATACCAGGCTTTAAAAAGCAAAGTCGGATGATAAATGCCATTGTCATAAGGCCAGCAAGGTATACCCTGTTATTCATAAGAGTAAATGCAGTTTCGTTGTTGGGGTATATTGTCGGTGTATGTAAGCTGATAACAGCCCCAGATTAAACCCAATGCCCTATAGAGGATGCCGATGACATTTGCTGCGTGCATAGCTCGATGGACGTTACGTTCTGCGATTGAACGTTTGTGGTCGCGGCTTGCGTAAAAGTTATTGAAGCAAAACTGGCTAACAACAAAAATTGTTAGAGTTTCTTTGAGAAGTCCTATGGTTCCGTCAAGCCAGCCATCCAGCCGTACAAAATTGTAGTATCCGTGAAGGATCAAAAGCAGAATTGGGATGATATATTGGCGATGAATGAAGCTTTGGCGCTGTGTTACATCTTGCACTGGATTGCTCATCTTGTGCAATTTGTGATTTGGACTTTGACGGTCAAATATGGAGCTGAGGTCGCTATGGCTAATCATATATTATGCCAAAAGAATACGGTTCTTAAAATCGACAGTTAAAGATCAGAGAAGCTCTTGTTGACTAGTCTCGGGCCAGCACAGAGTGGCTTAAACATGAAAGGTATCTGGAGCAAAAAGAAAATGGGGGGAAAATAATTACAGCTGCGGCGGGGGTGCTATGACCTTTATACTACAGCTTCAAGATCCGGACACGTATCACGTGGCCCTAACAATGGTAAAGTACGTAATAGTACATATCTGTTGTATAGAATACTTTGTGCACTTGAACACAGACTGCAAGTTTGCGCTCAGGGCAAGGTAGTTCCTGGTATACAAAGCATCTACGTTAAAATGGCGACGTAATCTACCCCTTTGTGATATCAATGGAGTTAGGGAAACCGTGGTCTTTCGGAGACTGGTCTTTCTTAAAACAAATCCTGAGTAACAGCCTACCAGCTTCAAAATTCTTGGTCATTTATCTAGGGACGTAGATCTTATGAACTAGAAGCGAATCGACACCTTTATTCGCCTGTTTCTAAACCCCGTGGGTCGTTGAATCGAACACTTGTCATTTGATAAGATGTCTACCTAGGCAGCCTAATCGCAACTTGAACAGTAATGGTAATAGGCCAAATTTAGTTGACTTAAAAGTATTGACGTTACCAACAGAGGCATTTGCGTTAATTGAGTCAAGAAACATTTGGAATGTGGCTTACTGTGCACAAGCAATCTTGGATGTAATAGCACCTTTTTACCAAGGATTCCAAATTCCTTTACATGCTTCTTAAACTACATTATAGGCCTAAAATTAGCTTAGATCGGCTCATTACATATGACCTACGAGTCGGTAGGTGTTGCAGAGGCTAATGAGTTCATAAAAGATTGCCACTACAGACGGCGTCCGCCCTTGAGCCATGCCATTACGCCGACCTATTCCTTCGTCATCCAGGCCAACTAAGGACGACGAATTTGTATAAAGTCCGGCCTCTCTATATCAGCCCAGGTACCAAGTTATAGCCTCTATTGCTATGTGCTTCACCAACCTGCTTCTCCACACTCTTGATCATTCCTCACAGCTGTCGAAAGCGATGTATTCTGGGCAGGTGTCGGTCGCCCGGGTTTCGTAGACAATGGCGCCACCCATTATGTTCGCCTTAGAACCATCCTCGATCGTGTAGAACTGGATCCTAGGTGCTCCATTATCACCAGCTGCTCTGTTTATCTGGTAACCGAAGCTACCTTGTGCAGCATCACTGGGTTTGTGGACTGCTTTATCACAAGGTGCATACCCGGATAGTTTGGCACCGATATGTGCCCCGAGATGGAACCAAACTCCATAAAAACCATTAAAAATGCCGTTATGATTTGGGCAAGCCTGGTCTGCGGAACGCTTCTTCAGCGCTCCAACTCCATGCTCCAAGTCTGGAGGTAGCTGGTTTTGTAACTCGTAGATGGGTTGGTTTGGATCCGCCTGACCCTGTATTAGCACGGCTCCGTAACCCAATCCACCCACCACAAAGCCCAAACTCCCTTTAATGAGCGCGGCGAGCACCTTGTCACCACATTCCTTGCCGGTTGAGGTTCCATCCATAGTAGCAGCACCATAGCAGTCGTTCCAAACTGCCCTGATAGTGCCACCGTTATCGGAAGTGAATGATAGGAACATTCCAAAGCCGCCAGCACGAATAAACTGATTGGCAGCCAATACTTGCGCTTCACGACGACCATCATGGGCCTTTTGGGTTGAGTTGGCTAGCCAGTGTAGCAGTAGGTTCTCATCAACATCTTGGCCGTGGTATTTCCATATTTCTCGCATCTTGTCAATAGGCACAAGGCCCGGAGTGATATTAAACATTCGTTCTACCTCCATGGTTTGTATCTCTACATCATTTGCCATTGTAAGAGCTGTGCCGACCTTGCCGCGGTTGAAGTTCATAACGGCAACTTCGTCATCGTTAGCCCAGCGCACTGCAGCGGCTACTGCAGTTGTTGCCACGAGGAGATATGAGAGCTTCATCGGGAAAAGTTGGAATTTGCCAGCTGAGCTCCGAATGATGACGCCAAGTACAGGCTTGTAAAGAGATTTTACAACTGAAAATGTCAAAACTGTGTGGCTAAGCTCAATTGCTCGGAAAGAAATGATGGGTGGAGTAAGGATAAAGAAAAATATGCGCTTGGTTGATGGACACGAAAAAAGGGCGGATATTTCAACGTTGATTTATATCCCAAACCTTACAAAGAGGTGATTTACATACAAAAATACACGTATGCCGCAAGACCCCTCGAGATAGTAATCTATGATGTCACCAACAATAAGTAGAGGATTACTGGACGATGACCATTTGCCTATCGAACTAGATCTACTGTCAAGAGGGTGTGTCATTTATATCCACCTCACTGATAACACCTGCATCGTAAAACTCAAGACTTATCAAGAAAGGTATATTAGCCAATCAATACTCCTACATATTCCGCAGAGTAATGCAGTACGCGAAAGCTTTTCCCGTTACACATCCTGCCGTCCCACGCGAGTCGGAAAACCCCACGAATAGCTTTTAGACAGGATATCATAACATTATGATTAAACGAAAATGTAATGTAATATAACCTCTCTTGATAATGCACTCCAAGAAAATACTAGATTATACCATGTATGGAGTAAAATTTACGTAACTATCTGCTTGTACTACAAATCCGCCTGGTCGAAGTTTCGAATAAAATCGTAATAGAATCTTACCATATTAACATGCTCGCTCATCAGAAGTTTCTCATTAACACCATGGATGTTTCCAAATGAACGCAGGCTTCCAGGACTCCACCTATAAATATTCTTGGACAGATCTTATTGACGATATTAGTTCGAGGTCAGATATAGCCGTATATAATCAGAAGACTTACTTAGATAGTGACGGGTATCAGTGTTACCAGTCATGGCACCCGGAGCAAAAACGACTGTCTTGGCTTCATCAGCGTATGTATAACGAACAGTGCCAGCGAATGTGTCCCAAACCGCTCCCTTAGTGGGTGATTGCGGAGTAATGTAAGATTTTTTCCTCGCCTCAAGTTGCAGTTTTCCGTTATAAATAGGTTCCCAAGTCGTGTGTATGCTGTTGCTTCTATCTGAAGCGGCTTGCCCAAGATTATGAAGATATTCTTCGTAGTCTTTGTCGCCCTCAAATGCTTCCAAAGTAAGATTGTATCGTTTGGTAACATTTTGGACCAGATCCACTATACGATGTTGAATACTCCCAACACTATCCTGAGGGGCGAAACGATGGTTCACACCCAGCGTTGTGAATTCTGGCAAAGAATTAATTTTTTGGCCTCCCGCAATCCAATTGACAGATTGCGACGTTTGGATGAAGTATTGTGTCTCACGTTGGACTTGCGCCAACAATTGAGCAGCTTAATCTAGGTCTCCATTCTTGATAGAGTCAGTCAATGGCGGGAGAACATCTGGCGAGTATTTGGTGAAACAGATGAGACCTTCGTGAATAGGACTATCCTCAATGATCTTTGGCTCAAATGGCGTGGACTCGAGAGCCACCACGATTTCAGACATCATTCCGATCGAAGTGTGCGGCGTCGGGGTCGAGGAGTGCCCTCCGACGACGCTGAGGTCGAACCATACATCAAGATAGCCCTTTTCATATACCGCTGGTAACGCATATATGGTATCGCCAATATGCTGAATGCCCGCACCGCCCTCATCAAGAATAACAGCGATGCCGTCTTTATGGTATCGGTGTTGAAGATGCTTGGATATCGTAGCAGCGCCACGAGTGCCGGAACATTCCTCATCAAAGCCAAATGCAAAGACAACTGTGCGACGAGGATAGTAATGCTTTTGTGACAGAAGTGCCTCCATAGCAGACATGAGAGCTGTAATAGCTGACTTGTCATCCGAAGCACCACGGCCATAAAGGTATCCAGACGATTCATCGTAATGGCCGCTAAAGGGCGGGTATTCCCACTCGTGCAAGGTCTCGTTTTCGACTGGCACGACATCTTGATGAGCCGTTAAGAGAATTGGTTTAAGTGAAGAATCCGAGCCCTCAATAGTATATACAAGACCAAATCGGTTTACTTCCTCTACCCGCGCATACTTGTAGCTGTTACTATTTTAGCCTCGTTACTGGAAACAATAGAGGTAATAAGGGCGAGACAGTGAATCTCACATTAGCGGATATTCATCCTCCAGAACCCTTGGAATGTAATAAAATGGTTCCCATCGATGATCGTTGAAATCTCCCAAGTCGTCATAACACACCGACGGAATCTTAACAAGGGGTTGGTGGCGTCTAATAAGATTCCTGATTGCTCTTTTATTAGAGAACACCTCGTGAGAACTGTAGAGCCCATCTGCTGATGGATCAAGAGGGTCGACTAAATCGCATTGAAATCCCGGTGTGTCGGCTTTAGGACGCGTAGCAACAGTATCGTGTTTCGATCCCAGGGGAACCTGATTCCCAATACCAGCCAATGGACCTAAAGTGTTTTTAGGAAAAGGCTTAAATGCGCCTACGCCAGCAGAGGCCAAAGTGGCACCAATCAGAAGTTTCTTGATAGATGACATGGCTGACAAGGCCAAGGTGATATGAACAACGATTTTTGCTGAAACCAGGTTCTCAACATCAATATAATGAGCAGAGTAAGTGATGAAAGGTATATGAATCGACTGAATTAAAAAAGAATACAGGTATTTATGTTCCAAACTCTGAAAACAACCTTTTGCACGTGGGAGCAATGTGCTCCGCAGGTCTATGATGCATCACAGGCCTCGAGGTGGCGATCCATTCCGATGTTATACAATAACAAGTAAGGTGTCTCAGACGAAAACTATTAGCCTATCGGAAGAATATGAAACGTGATGCTTATCCACAAAAAGCGTGCTCGCCAACCAATATCTGTACACGTTGAAATAAAGTAAGACAAGGTACCATATAGCCCCGCTGGTCGGAAAAACCAACAAATAGTTTTATGACACAGCAGCGTAACATCGGAACAAGACGATAATACGATGCAAGGTGACATCTTCTTGGTAGTTCCTGTACGCACTGGATAAGAAAATCTCACGATTCTGTTACACGTGCAATCAATTTTACGTAACGCCTTATTCTTCATAAATGCGGCTATGGGACATAATTTAATACACCAAGCTGAATACTACTAGCAGATAGTCACAAAGCCAGCCCAGGCATTGCATGTTTGCCTCGAGATAAGAATCAACTAAAAGTAAGTATCGTTTTTTATTAAAATTATATAGCTATATAACAGAATGCTAACGAAATCATAATAAATCTGCAAAAGTATTATTATAACCGGTACTGTTTGATCTTGGAAGGACGTATATCACTACTTTTGGCTGTATCGATGCCTAGGTACTCAAATATAGCAGCAAAACTGCTCAGTTTGATCTAACCTACCTATATCAAGTTATGTAGTTGTATGAACTTTTGTAGATTCTTTCGAATCCAATTATAAATTTGTAACATGCCTAGCCTCAGTTTTTCCAAACAAGCAAGATTCCTAAATGCGGATTTTCAAGTCTAACTTTCCACTCTTCATTTGTCAATCCGAATCTTTCTCTCGCATCCTCCGGTAGAACTTCACGCCTCCACTCGAATCTACCATTCATACCGCCCAACCTAGCTGCTTCCTCGTAAATGCTTTTCTTCAGATGCCAAGTCACAAAGTCCACTCCGTCGTTACTTAAAAACACCCGCGAAGTCCACCCATCGCCTGAACTGAGCTCTTCGGTGTATTGATTACGCGGCAGAAGCCTATTAAGAGGAGGGTTTTGATTCGCTTTAATTCGCTCGCCAAAATCTTCAGTAGGATGTGGAACAATTCCTACAAAGCAGCCGTCTGGTTTGAGATTCAGGGAAATGTTCTTGAACATAGATACTAATGTTGCTTTGTCCGATGCATAGTTGAGAAACCAAGCGCCAAAGGCCATGTCGAAATAACCTAAAGTCTTGTCTGGGGCGAAAGAAGTTGGCACTGCTCCATCTCCTTTCTCAAAATGCACTTTTCCAGAAGATAATTCAGACGAAAGCCGAGCCATAGCACCATCAAGCATGGCAGCTGAAATGTCCATGCTCGTTAGATGGCTCACCCCCCAATTTACCAGAGCAGACGAGTAATACCCTGTCCCACAGCCGAATTCAAGAACAGACATGTGTGGCCTAAGAAATGGTTCGATCGTCAAGTGGACATTATCTTTTTCCATAGCTCGATACGGAAGGCTCTCAACAACATTATAAGATGAGCCGATAGAGTCGTACTGTGTCATAGTGGTGTCGTTCGCAACCAAAAGATGAGACGCTGCTCAGTGGGTAGTATGAGCTATACTGAGTAGATGGGGCTTGAGGGTGTCAAGAGCTGATGAGGCAAGCAAAAGAAGCGACTTCAATTAAAGAAGAAAGAAAAAAATTCACATCGCCAAATGTAACTATGACGTTATATACTAGAGCTGGGCAATATGCTTTTGCTAGTGTTCAGTGGCAGAGCACGCTCCCGAAAATGTATCCGGACTGCAATGTTACGCATAAAGTTTAATCACTCTTTGTCGCTGGTGAGTGTTTGTATAAACATCCACTGAAAACAACATGGCTCAGTTTCACAATGCCTAACCGTCATGTTTCTGCAGATTACTGGCGCGCCAGACTTCTCCAAGATGTAGACACAGTTTACTCACTCTTTGTGAACCCAATCAGGGCCTAAAGACTTATCTATTGGCGCTGTAAAACGTCTCATATAGATATATAATAGCTTTCAGCTGTCGTCGTACGTGAAAAGTTCGCCAAATATATAAGTGCTGTACTATGACGCTAATGAGGATTCACCAGAACCGGTGCGACGTGGTAGTCACACCAGCCATGAAATTCCCGCAACTAGCTTTACACACTCCAACATTCCTTGGGGCACAGTTCTCTTTGCGACCCTCCCATTTATAGCATTAGAGCTACCACCCATCAGCATGGGCTTGAAAGTTGTTGCTTCGGGGAATTTGTGTAGAATAGCCAAACAGATCGTTCAAGTAATCTCTGCTATTCCATTGGAACGCGAAGTCTCGAGATTTGGACTCAATATCTGCGAAATAGGCTAGGCTTCGCCAAGACACGTATTCTAACGGAATCATACACGGCTGCTCAAGTAGGCGGCGCTTCTTTCTAGTGCGATAGCGCAGCGTATATTTACTCTATAATTCTTGTTGACCCGTGCTACAATCCAGACTCGTCTCATGGTCTTCATGGCGGAGGCCTTAGTACATACGACGTGGCCACCAGCCATCTAGGAATGCATCGATGTATCGTACAGCAATACCGTCATCCTCGCACTGCAGGCTGTGTGCAGCGCGAACGCTACGCGCAGTTTTGCTTTTTTTTTTTTTTTTTTTTTCTTCAATCTTTCGAAAAATTGTAAATTAATACTGCAATTAACAGAAATAAAGTTGAAGGGTCGCGACATTATGACTTGATATATCCATCATTATTTGGCCACTTTAGCTACTCCACGGCATTTCAACACAGCTGGATGGATAGCGGCAGATGCATTCCCATGAACTAGCCTGCTTGAAGCATATGTAATATTCTAATACCTAAGAAGATGGTTTGGCGACAGATTTTTGAACGTCACAGGTGGTGGTGCGGTAGTGCAATAAAATAACCCGCTATTTGTCGGCGTTAACTTTGCCGATTGTTGAGGGATAATAAAGACTATTATGCAGTAGTGGTACAGAGGCAGTCAAATCTTGCAATCATGTATTCAGGTTAATAAAATAACGAAATAACTGGGGTGACTTAGCTCCAAGCTCAATTTCAATTGTTTTCGGCATTATGTGTTATGTACTTTGATCATAAAGTACATTCTCTAAGAAAATTCGCGTAATTAATTTATCAATTTTGCTATATTAGATTGTTAGCATAAATTCTCCAAGTAATATATTACAAAGTCTAGGGTAAACACAAAATAAGCGAGACTACCTACAGATTCACTGCCTTTTTTATATCCAAGGTATTTACACATGAATTGATTGTAGTGTGTAGCATTGAAACGACAGAGCTTTGTTACCAGAAGCAAAGACGATGAGTGTGGCATTATACTACAGGATACAGTTTATTGGCGCCTGTGTTTGATCCACTGGCCCCTTCTTGGAATGTCATGTCAATACTGACAGTTTTTTTAATTCCCATTATTCTCTCCTCGCTACCTTCGCTCTTGTAGTTTTCCAGATCATCAATGCCGGCATCTAATTCATCACGTCTCCTTGAGCGGCTAGCTTGGCTATTCCAGTTCCCAGACCGGGGTCCCATACCATAGTGCACGCCATCGCTCAATTCGTAGGATTGATCCTTATTTGAAGAGCCAAACAACAATGGAATAAATCGGCTTAATGGCATTCTAAGCGACGGCGCGCACGCGCAAATGACTCCGACCGTTGATTCCACCTGAGTCCAGATAACTGAAGTTCCGGTTGCCCAGGTAAAATCGAGAATGAAGGTGGCATTGAAATTGAGACTTATAAGGCGTTCGATACTCGTTATGCATACACTTTGAGATGTCAGAATTGAGAGATGCTAGCGACTGGACATTGCTTACAAGGCGCCAAGCACGAATACTGCCAATACACTGATCTTGGCTCGGCGATTCATCTGGAGCTTTAGGACCACTGGAATGGGTAAAACAAGGACGATAACATCCATCAAGGTGTTCCATCCTGATTGGCCGTACCAGAAGGCCTTGATGTTTATACTGCTCCATTGTTAATATAACTTTTCGTATTGAATCGATCGGGCTCACAAACCAAGATCCGGGGACAGTTTTATCCCATGAAAATCTGACTGGCGAACATTGGAAAATTGTTGTGAAACTGAGAGCGATTATTCCAGCTGATATGTGAACGATGAGCACCCAGCAAATTATCCTAAATTTTCTCTGGGGAAAAATGTCGAGATAGAGAAAAAGAAACGAAAGTTTCGTAATGGCGACGGTGTCTTTGACGAAACATTGAAATACAAAGAAATATAATAACGAGTAGTAGCGTTGTTCCGCGTTGAGAAAAGGAGCGTGGTGGCCGAAGCCCCATTTCACAATAGCTAAAAGATTTAGTACTGGCTTCTAAACAATTCGCTTCCGTGTTATCCTTACCAATTGAAATACACGTCACTTGAATAATATTGAATACCTAACAAGATATTAATAGTGTGATAAATATGACTCGCAATCAAGGCTTACCAAACAAATAACAACGCAGATATCCGCCTTGTTCAAAGCACCGTAACCATTTTTAAAGCACCTCCACCATACACGAAAACAAACAATACCTGTAGCTGCGACAAGCAGAGGTATGTTCACATATAAGAAAGTATTTCCATTCTTCGTATCAGGTCCGTTGGGCACAATCACTTTCGTAGTTGCCATAGCCTCGACAGTGGGAAGAGTAACAAAAAGACAAGAAGTAGAATGTGTACATAGGTTGATGACAACAATCTCAGATGTTGCTATCCCTCATCATCATTCTCTTTAGACCTTGGCCAAAGATTGGATGAATGAATCTTGTTCAACGCGATC